CCCACTCTTCGGGATACGTGGGGATCAGTCGCTCAGGCAGCTTCAACTCGCCTTTGATATCTGGCAGCTCGCTGGTGATGGCCAACAAATCTCCCGCGGCCAGTGCGCGTCCCTGGAGTCCACCCACTGCCGTCATGGGTGCTGTCGACTTGGAACCGAACCAAGTCGCGATGCTCGGCAAACCGCCGTAGATGGCCAGATAAGACCGACACCCTCCGCCTGTGGTCTTGCCGATGGTCAAGCGTTGACCTGCTTTGATCTTCAGGCGCGTCCACATCGGCGCGGGCTGTCCATCGAGTTTGATCTCCATGGGCGCACCACACACGGCGATGATCGCAGCCCCAAGGAATCTGAGGTCTGGACCACTGAGGGTGATCTCGATACCCTCCTTGCCAGTCGGGTTGCCGACCAGGGCATTTGCGATTCGGAAAGCCACGGGGTCCATTGGCCCCGAGTGCGAGAAGCCCTTTCCGATGGTAGGACGACCGGGCCAATCTTCAACCAGGGTATAGGCCCCGCCTTGAAGCACATCAATCGCATGGGGCTGATATCTGAACGACTCGAGGAACTTTGTCATCGTTCGACCAGACTTGAATGTCTCGTCTTGTAGGATTTCAGCGAGGAATTCGATGTTGGTCGCGGGACCGAGGACTTTGGAGCCTTGTAGCATCTCGGAGAGTTTCTCGATGGCTTGCTCCCGAGTGTCAGCATGCATCATGACCTTTGCGAGGAGCGGGTCGTAGAAAGACGTGACTTTGGTCCCCGTGTGCACCCAGCCGTCGATCCTCGAACCGGGAACGTCCTTCCAAGAGACGTGCTGAAGCGTTCCGGGAGAGGGCGCGTAGTCTTTGGCAGGGTTCTCGGCGTACAACCGGACCTCAACGGCCGCGCCTTTGGGCTCCTTTGGTTGCAGGCTCTTCAGGTACTGGCCCGAAAGTCCTCCCTTGCCGCACAGTTCCGCGTCAGCTTGCTTGAGCATCAACTCGACGAGGTCGACGCCGTAGCATAGCTCGGTGATGCCGTGTTCGACCTGCAATCTGGTATTCATCTCGAGAAAGAAAAAGTCCCCCGTCTCGTCGTCGACGAGATACTCGATCGTGCCGGCAGAGCCATAGTTGATCGACTCGGCCAGGCGGACCGCCGCCGAGCCCAGCTTCTCTCGGAGCTCGGGGTGCTTGACGACAAACGGGCTCGGGCACTCCTCGATGACCTTCTGATGTCGTCGTTGGATCGAGCACTCTCGTTCGCCAAAGTGAATGGCTTGCCCCTGTCCGTTACCAAAGACTTGCACTTCGATGTGGTGCGAGGAAGGATAGTACCGTTCGATGAAGAGGCCTGCATTCTTGAACAGCGTCTCTCCACGAGACTGTACCGTCTTGAACGACTTGCGCACTTCGGCTTCGTCTTTGCAAGCGAGTAGTCCCATACCGCCACCTCCTGCCGTGGCTTTGAGCATTACCTGGGTAGCCTCCTTGTCAGCAAAAAGCACATACTTTTCATAGAGCCCCTTCAAGGGCAAGTAAGCGCGAACATACGGGGAATCCCAGCTTCTTGGCCTCCTCGACGGCCTCGTCTTCGGATTTCACGAGGCCTTTCGTCCCCGGCACGATTGGCACATTCGCTTTGGCAGCCAGCTCTCTGGCGGTGTGCTTGATGCCAAAGTCCTCTATGCATTTGGAACTCGGGCCGACGAAGACCATGCCAGCCTGCGTGACCTGGTGTGCAAAGTCGGTGTTTTCGGAAAGGAAACCATAGCCCGGTATGACGCCATTGGCACCTTTGGCTTTGGCGATACCTACGATCTGCTCGGCGTCGATATATCCCTTGGTGTCCGGCCCTTCGAGGAGTACCGCCTCGTCTGCGGCACCGACATGCGAACTCGCAGCGTCGGCGGATGTGTAGATTGATACCGTACGGATCCCCAGCTTACGCGCCGTTTTGCATATGCGGACAGCAATCTCGCCACGGTTGGCGACGAGAAGGGTCTTGAGTTTCTCCATCGTTTGCGCGCGTATGTGTGTGATGACACGACGGAGAACAGGGATTTGGGATGATCACACTACGATGGGGGAGGGAGGAGATGGATAAGTTCACATATATGGTTCCGGAACCCAAGCGATCAGATCCCAAGCAAGCAAACCCCATGCATGGATTGGTTTCAACCAGGATTCTCCGGCGAAACGTGGGCTTTGCCCAGGGCCATTATCTAATTACAACTCGCTCGTCTGAGTCGTCAAGTCGGTCGTTCGGAGAGCCATTGGTGAGGATCCGCGCTTGATTGGGCAAACCATCAGAAATCTCCTCCTCTCGATACTTGTACGTATGATGAGGGGCTTCGGCTCTTATCTTTGCGAGGAGATTTTCTCCACAGACCGTTGTTCTCCGTTGGGTGTGATCCATCGACAGCTGACGTATGCTATAAAATACCCCGTTCGCTGAGCAATGCCTCGTTCCGCCCGGAGGGTGCATAAAAGAACCAGTCGCTTGGGTGTTGCTGAGCGTCACATACAGTCTTGCACGACCGCGATATCAAGGGTACAGAATAGCATTGCACTAAAATATACGCCTTCCAAGTTCGCCATGGCCGCTCCACCAATCAAGCATAAGGCATTGCTCAATGTCGACATGGGAGAAGCCGTAAGTATTTTGGTGCCAGGGTGTGTGATTTTGGAACGACGATATTGATGACGAGACTAATAGTATGGAAATTATGTCTGTGGTCCTGATCTGGAGCTTCTGCCTCTCATCGACCATGCCAACGTCGCCTGCGGGTTTCACGCAGGTGATCCGCTCATCATGCAGGAGACGGTTCGGAACTGTAAGAAACATGGCATCAAGATCGGTGCGCATCCAGGTCTTCCAGACATCCAAGGTCAGTCTAGGCCATTCCACTTTCCTCTCTGGGGGCTCAGTTCCATTGCTGACCTGCTGTGTGCGTGTACGATCAAGGTTTCGGACGAAGGGAGATCAAAATGTCACCTGAAGAATTAACAGCGATCACGGTATACCAAGTCGGGGCCCTCAAGGGCTTCCTCGAAAAGGAAGGTGTGCCATTGCACCACGTCAAACCTCACGGTATCTTGTATGGCATGATGTGCAGAGATTACGAGGTCGCCCGGGCGGTCATGGAGGGCATCCCGAAAGGCATACCCGTGTTCGGTCTGGCCGGGACGAACATGGAGAAGGCGGCCAACGACCTCGGCATCACTTTCTGGGCCGAAATGTACGGCGACGTCAAGTACAACAGCGACGGGATGCTGGTGATCGACCGGAAGAAGAAGCCGTGGGACCTGGGGGATGTCAGGAAACACGTCGGCCAACAACTCAACACGCAATCGGTGACGGCTGTGGATGGCACTACGGTAAAGCTCCCTGTCAAGGATTATCCCATCTCGATATGCTGTCACTCGGACTCGCCTGGTTGTCTGGGCATCATCAAGACGACCAAAGAGGTCATCGACGAATTCAACAAAGCTCATGGGAGATGAGATACACTGCCAGGTGTACTCCATGTAAGTGTAAATCAAAATTGAGTGTGTGCCATTTGTGCACAAAGAAAGCATGAGAAACAAAAAGTTGTCGGCATTTCCATTCTACCTGGGTATGCTCTTGCGTGTCCTCGAATTCTTGCTGTTGAGACTGTTTTACTCACCGATGCCAACAATCTGGCTGCTGACAGTCCACAACTGCTTCGCTGCATCCTCGTCGTAGATCCAGCCCTCGTAACCAGGCGCTGCAAGTTCATGCTTCCTCGTGGGGTCAATGGGAGCCGACACGGCAGTATCGTCGAGGAATTTCCCTCCTTTACCCTCCAATTCTTTCTCTACGGCGGCCAAGACGGTAGTTGCAGCACCTTGCTCAGGGGACTTCATGCTCTTTTGGATCTCAGGGAGGGCCAACAATCCCGAGAAATCGACATGGACGCCCAACCCGGTCTGAATGCCTCCAGGGTGCAGTGACCAGGCGTGCAGGCCCTGCGCGCCGTATCGACGCTCGATCTCATTGGCCATATAGATATTGGCCGTCTTGGACTGGCCGTACGCTGCGAACGGAGTATACGAGTCCTGCTGGTTGAAGGTTAAATCATCAAATCGGATCTGCGACTGTCGGTGACCGATGCTGGAGACGTTGACGACGCGCGAAGCGAACCCGGGCTCAGAAGATGCGAGCAGTGTTGGCTTCAGCAACTGGAACAGCAGGAAGTGGCCGAGGTGATTCGTCTGGAACTGTGCTTCGTGCCCGTCCTTTGTGAGCACGCGCTCGGGTACGGCCATGATGCCGGCGTTGTTGATCAGGATGTTGAGCTTGGATTCCTTGGTGAGGAAGTCCCTCGCGCAGGCACGCACGCTCTCGAATGACGCCGTATCGAGTTGGAGTAGCTCGACTTTACCTGGTTCCAAGACGCCGGCAAGGGCTTTACGGCCCTTCTCCAGGTCGCGAGCGGTGCCATAAATCTTTGCGCCTGTGGCCTTGAGCGCGCGAACAGTCTCGATCCCGAGGCCCGACGAAGTTCCCGTCACCAGGATGACTTTATCAGTGAGTGCATTCTCGAGCTTGTTGTCGTGGATGATTTGGAGAGCCGTAGGACGAGCGTCGCCGGGGCCAGCCAAGGAGGACAGTTCATAGGCAGGAGCGTATCGGGCGGTCATTTTGACAAAAGTAGTACTGCGGTCTGTCTGGGCCTGGTCAAAGCCAAAGATCGACTGTAGAATGTACGTTAATTAAGTGATCTGAAGCTGAGGTGCAGAGTATCAACGTCGAGAGAAGGCATGTCGAGAACCTTATTATATACCTTCTGCAGGTATTCAAAGGTGTCGTTGACGATGCTCCGTATCGTAGGGACTCGGTGAAAAGCCAATTATAGTTCCGAGTACGAATGCACCAAACCCTTTCTGTCTATGCGTAAGCCTTGTACATACAAGACAAACCTGACAAACCTGAGAGGCTACGCCCCAATAGATTTGGACTAGGGCGGAGATAACGCAAATGGGACACGCCCAGCGGATATAAAGCATGTTGCCAAGGTTCAATGTGAAGAGACATCGGAGATTTATGTGTGTTTCAATGCAGAATCTGGCATATATTCAAGGTCGACGAGCTGTTCTGGGTTGGTCTTGAATGTCCCCTGCTCCACTGGTATTACAAATGCCTTGTCTTAGGCGGATGCACAGCGACCAGAAGTTGATTGTTGTCAGAGGCAGTAGAGTAGATTTCACCATTCGATAACCTTCTCGTTTTGCCAGAACTCTCCATTCAAATCCTTGATATCGCCTAGAGCAAGCAATACAGGAGTCTGTGCTCCCTCACCTGGCGTCTTGACTCCTCGATGTTTGGTCATGTCTGTGGAAACGTAACCCGGACAGCAACTGTTGATGAAGGTTTTGCTGCCGGACTGAGCATTGATCCGCGCGAGTGTCTTTGTCACGCCAATCAGGCCTGCCTTGGACACGGAATAAGAGTTGCCAGGCCAGTCGTTTTGGTATGTCCCATTAGCCACAGCCGAGGCGTATTCCTCCATCAGCTCAGAGACTTGTTCTGGTTTCGAAGCACTTCGGAAACGTGACTTGATGGCGTCCGAGTACTTGGACGTCAAATGACCAGACATACTTGCGACATTTACCAGGCGCCCGCCGTCGCGAATGTGTGGCAGAAGTTGTTGTGATGCTTGCAGGGTTCCATAGTAGTTGCAGCGCAGCGTCTGTCTGACAACGTTCTCGTCAAATCCTTGAAGTGCAACGCCGGCATTGTTGATGAGGAAATCGATCCCATCAGGGTGTCGCTGCCTCAACGTGGCTGCAAAGTCATCGATGCTCTGCTTGCTTTCAATGTCTAGTGGGAGATACTCAACATCGGCGAGTCCTCCGTAAGCTCTTAGGGCTTTGGTGTTTCGAAGCGCGGGATCATCTTGGATACTTTGTAGTGCTGCTTGACCTCGCTCTTCGTTTCGCGCAGTCAGATAGATGAGTAATGGGCCGTTGTTGTATGCAGACTTGGGATATTGCAAAGCTAGCTGGCGAACGATGGCGAGACCAACGCCTTTGTTGGCGCCAGTCACAGCTCCTACTCGTGTATAGGCGGTCATGGCGGAAAGATGGGGGGAACGATATCTCGTTGAAAGGGTGGGGGATGTCGAGGTTTGCACGTTGAATTCCCAGAAGATGCAGCAATGTAGAGACGGACAATTAACGCGGACACCAAATGTGCACTTCACCTCCCTGGATGAATTTTTGTGGCAAGATCATCGAGAGTGTACATGTCATCGATTTTTGCTCCTGGCTCTCGCCAAACCATCGGTCTGTCCTTCAGATATTTTGCTTTATCTGGTATCGTCGACGAGGTATAGTAGGCTTTCGGATCCGAACATCTGGCAATCAAGACAATCGCACAAGGCTGGCGAGATCAGCTTCGCCCGAGAAGACTCCAGCTCCAGACAGGAATTCAGCATATCTGGCACAGCTTTGCTTTACCGACGTGTTGATTGGTGGACGATTCTCGCACAGCGTCCATCTTGCCGAATCTCGCATTTACCCGATACAACAGAACCGAGGCTAGCCGCCACCAACACCCTCGAGATATTCGGGGACCTAAGAGAACGGATAGGCTATTCACTACCAACTCGATCTACTAGCAAGCCTGCGCACCTAGTTCGTGACGTTGTACAATCGGTTGCTGGTTCCCGCACCCCGTGGAGAGCAAGAACATTTAGATGTGTGGAATATTCCCTCTCGAGCTCCTCGACAGCTAAATCTTCCTTTCCTTTCTTCACCTTACCTTCCGATGGCCTCTAAGCACGTCTCGAGACCTCTGCTGAGGCTGGCCACTCCGGCCCAGCAATGTCGTTCGTTTTCTAGACCTGCTGTACCTCTATTAAGGGCACTGCCTCAACAACGAAGAAGTACCCTCAGAACAACAAGACCTCTCTTCGTCGCGGGGCAAAGACGGTCGATATCTGCGAGCTTACAGCGGAAGTATGCCGATGCCGACGAATCCTTTGATCCTGCTACAATCGATCGGGAGTCCGATGAAGTCGATGTCTGTATTGTTGGCGCGGGTCCCGCAGGGCTAAGTGCCGCTATCCGATTAAAACAGCTTGCCAACGAGGCTGGGAATGAAGAGTTCAGAGTGGTTGTGCTAGAAAAGGCGGGCGAGGTCGGGGCGCACATGCTGTCTGGCAATGTGTTGGAGCCACGCGCCATCAACGAGTTGATCCCAGATTGGCTGGCAGAGGACAACGAGAACAGGTTCACGGGTGCTACGCCGGCCGGTTCGGACAAGATGCGATTTCTCACCAAGTCGAGTGCCATACCGATACCTGCTCCTCCACAGATGCACAACAAGGGCAATTACATTATAAGTCTGAGCCAGTTTGTCAAGTGGTTGGGTGAAAGAGCTGAGGAGATAGGTGTGGAAATATATCCGGGGTTCTCTGCCGCAGAGATACTGTACAACCGCGAGGGCGCTGTCAAGGGCATTGCGACTAATGATCAAGGCGTGGGACGAGATGGGAAGGCAAAGGCCAACTTCGAAAGGGGCATGGAATTTCATGCTCGGGTCACCCTCCTGGGTGAGGGCTGTCATGGCAGTTTGACCAAGAAGGTTACGAAGAAATACGACTTGAGACGAGACTGCCAGCCTCAGACCTACGGACTCGGCGTCAAGGAAGTCTGGGAGATCCAGCCTGAAAAGTTCAAGAAGGGCGAAATCTCTCACACTATGGGCTACCCATTGACCAAGAACACGTACGGCGGTGGCTGGATGTACCACTTTGGAGACAATCTTGTCAGCCTGGGGTTGGTGGTTGGCCTCGACTATCCGAATCCCTGGATTTCTCCTTATGGCGAATTCCAACGCATGAAATTGCACCCGTTCTACAAATCTGTGCTTGAAGGTGGGAAATGCATCGCATATGGTGCACGCGCTTTGAACGAAGGTGGCTTCCAATCAATACCGAAATGCGCCTTTCCCGGAGGTGCGCTGATCGGCGATACAGCCGGATTCTTGAATGTACCCAAGATAAAAGGCACGCACACGTCAATGAAGTCTGGCATTTTGGCCGCGGAAGCTACTTATGAGGCTCTCAACTCGAACAAACAGGATAGCACGATATTTTTGTACAACTACGAAGACGCACTGCGGTCGAGCTGGATTTGGCCTGAGCTCCGGCAGGTGCGAAATATGCGACCGTCATTTCACAACCCTCTCGGTCTGTACGGAGGTATTATGTATTCTGGTCTCGAAGCGTACATTTTCCGTGGCATGACACCGTGGACCTTACAGCACAAGAAGCCTGATTATGCCAACACCAGGCCGGCAGACGAGATGCCCAAGATCGAATACCCCAAGCCCGATGGTGAGATTACCTTTGACATTTTGACCAGTGTATCAAGAACGAACACCAACCATGAGGAGGACCAGCCTGTACATTTACAGGTCAAGGATTGGGACGCCCATGCTCAAATGGACTATCCCAAGTACAAAGGCGTGGAGAACAGATTCTGTCCTGCGGGCGTGTATGAGTACGTGGAGGATGAAACGAAAGATCTGGGTGTACGGTTCCAGATCAATGCGCAGAAGTAAGTCTTCAATGTTTGATCCATGGTACCTTTGCTAGGGAAGTCGATTACTGACGGCAGGAACAGCTGCATCCACTGCAAGACATGCGATATCAAGGATCCCAGCCAGGACATCAATTGGCAGACGCCGCAGGGTGGTGAGGGACCAAGTTATAGCATTACATGAGTGTTACGAATGATACTCTGTAGGAGCACTTGTGTCAACTCTGTACATGGTGATACTGCTCCTTGCTTAAAATACGTGTGCAACCAGCATTTCAACCGTACAATACTTCGTACTCCGTACCCCAGCCTTGTTCGTTCTCCAGTGCCCCGTTTCCTACGAGGGATCTGGGTAGCCTCATGTACGATGTCTCCAGACGAGGCTGAATGATGGCATTTTCTGCTCCTGATGGCGTCAGAAGACAGATAAGCAGCCAGCGGTTCGATATCGGCAGACGCTGAGTGGTCAGACTGGTCACCGGTTTGGGCGCAACCAGACAAATACGCTACAGTACAGTACAATACAGGAAAAGACCCGATGTAGCCTGAATTTCGATTGGTTAAGCCGAGTGTGGGTGGCGCCCAGGATGCCAAGTCAATTGCGCGGCATGTGAAACAGAAGGGGGCATTTCAAGGGTCATGACTCACACTCTTTTCTCTCGCCTCCTTCCCTCCACGATTTCTCTCAGTCTTACCACCATGCCATATCTTGCAATGAGAATTCAATTCCTGTCTTCCACGCATTCATTGGGCATCGCACTGCCAAGCACACAACACTCTTTTGATATCATGACTTACAATCGAATAGCTGCTCCATCATGGTGATGGTGATGGTGATAACGACGATGGTGCTGGCCTGCGTATCCGGTAATTCGCAGCCCTGATCCGCAGGGGGGATGAGAGATCTGCTCTTTTTCTTTTGCCGAGGAGGCTAGTCGGCTTCTTTTGGCCACCGTTACCTTTTCGCCCATGCCCACCGCAGAAAAAAATTGGAAGCACGTGCTCGAGCCATGTAACACTGTCAAAGTCCCGCAGCGGCAAACCACCAATTTACGCCCTTCAGCTCGTCATTTTATTGCCCTTGGTCGATTTTCCACCCTGTTTGGGCTGTTTGGGAGGACTTGAAGCACAAAAGAATGGTTGGACCAAACAGACCTGATGCATGCATGATTTAGGGGCTGGACAGAGGCGCAGGGTGCATGACAGGTGCATTAAGTAGAAAGAAAGGGGCAGATAAGGTGCATGCGTCGGAGGCAAGGTAGGGAGCAAATGCTGACTTGGCTAAGCCTCTTTGGGCATAGACAGGCATTAGCAAATTTTAGCGTGCTTTCCGATGGCGGGGTGTTTGTCCGCAGGCAGCAGTATATATACCGCCTTGCCCTCCCACCCGCGCGACTGCACCCGACCTCTCGTTCTCTGACATTTTTTCTTGGCTTGGCGCCACACCATCACCCTCGCCTTCTTTCCTCCCCATATCCATCCATATCGTCAGGCATCCCAAGCAGCGCATTTCATTGCCGCATACCTGCTGGCGAAATTCCTCTCCTCCCATATCCGTTAACGATCCAGTTCCTCGCTGATCGTGCTTCCCATAAATCTTGGGCGCTTTCGCTACCGGACCGCAACAAGATCACACAAAAAACAAAGGATCCTTTCTGCGATCGCCCTTGCCGTTCTCTACAAAAAGAGTCAAACCAGGGACAAAGAAAAACACATTAGACAGTCTGCACTTTCCGCAATAGTAATTCGCAAAAAGATCTTGCTTCCTCTTGCTTCCTTATTTCGCGCGCGCATACGCACCTCATCGTCGCTCAAAGTCTACACGGAGACCTAGTACTGGTGGTCAACTGTCGATTCAAGACAAGAGATTCAAGTCGACGGTCACATCAGACTACAGCAGTTGTTGTTTGTAGGGGAGACATTGAGTTGTTCATCTCCCACATCTCGGTACGAATACCACACCCTCCAAAAAGAAACCTCCTCGTCGCGCGGTTACGAAGCCTGTCTGCGGTGCAGTGAAGTCACTTCGAATTCACTGCCCTCTGAATCGAGCCTCACCGACCGACTCGGCGAAAACTCTACTTCATCACCGCTCTCAACATCACCATTTCGTCACCCTAACCTCTCTCTTTCTCAGACTGTTCCCATCGCTCCTTCGAGGTCTTCTTCGACAAGGACATCAACTGCGACCGCTTCGTTGCGCTGCAGTTGGGCAATTCTCACATTGCAATCATGGAGTCTCTTACCACTCATCCCTCCACCGCACAACAGGCAAAGGCCTTCACCTCCCCTGCGTCTCTCTCGTTTCCCGGTGGCGCCGGGGACTTGACACCGCCCTCCTCTGAGAAAGACGGACAGAACCTCAATGGTGGCTCCTACGCAGATGGAAAGATGAACGGGTCACAACCAGGAGCAAATGCTCTACAAGCTCCTCAGACTCCGAGTGCTACGCCTGGTGCTGGAGTGAGTGGTATTGTGCCTACTTTGCAGTGAGTACCCTATCCTGTGTTGCCCAAATATGCTTGGTCAGCAGAGGTTAACTTGGCCTGAAAAGAAACATCGTGGCCACGGTCAACCTGGACTGTCGTCTGGATTTGAAGACAATTGCACTCCATGCCCGTAATGCTGAGTACAATCCCAAGGTGGGTTTAGATTTAACATCTACTTGCACATTTCCGTGCTAACCTGCTTCAGCGTTTCGCTGCCGTGATCATGCGTATTCGAGACCCCAAGACAACCGCTCTGATCTTTGCCTCAGGCAAGATGGTCGTCACGGGTGCTAAATCGGAAGATGATTCGAAACTTGCCAGCCGCAAGTACGCCCGTATCATTCAAAAACTTGGCTTCAATGCCAAGTTCACCGATTTCAAGATCCAGAACATTGTCGGCTCTTGCGACATAAAGTTTCCTATCCGATTGGAGGGTTTGGCATCAAAGCATCACCCTTTCAGCTCGTACGAGCCTGAACTGTTCCCTGGTCTCATCTATCGCATGATCAAGCCCAAGATCGTCTTGTTGATCTTCGTGAGCGGCAAGATCGTACTCACTGGTGCCAAGGTCCGCGAGGAGATCTATCAGGCATTCGAGCAGATCTACCCGACATTATCAGGTAAGCCCAACAACGCCGGAGGAGAAGCTGTCAGGTCAACTAACATGCTTGCCAGACTTCCGCAAAGTCTAGATGCTTTGGTGATCTTTTCACTGCCGTGTATCAACAGCACTGCGTGACCTCTCCCGGCAAAGGTCATATTGTCGAGGTTGAGTGATCACTGCGTGCATCATCACACAACACCTACCATCTTGCTTTTTCTGCCCGTGTCACGACTATCTATGAGCATTGCAAGGCGTTCTTGAGCGAGATTCTTTCCTTTTTCGTTCGGGCTTGAGCACCAAAAAGGTGGGGTGCAAGGCCTGTACATCAAATTAGACATGGAGGTCTTCATCGACTCTAACGGGCATCATTGGGCGGTATTCGGCGCGCTGGTCGAATTCTCGTTTACCGTTCAGATTGCGACTTCTCTCCGCTTCACTTGTCGATGTGAAAACGATCGTCCTCAAGGGAGGCATCGTCGATCATCTTCCAACGACTTTTCCCCATATGGAACATCGTTCGGTCGTGGGGATCCGCATCTTGATCTTTGATAAATTGGGTTTTTTCCACGGCTAATTTTTTTTTCGAAAGCCGTTATGGTCGCCGATGGGCGACTGTCAGATTGTATTGATGAAAAGCGGGTGAGGTGTTGGAACAAACTGTGGCCGGATGGGCGGAGGGTGCTGGGTATCGTGGTCGTTGCTGAGGTATTGCTAGATCGGAAAGCATCAACAACAGCATTGCATGATAGCTCAATATTATTTTTCATCCTCCCAAACTCAACTGTTTCTCTCTCCTGATGTTGTTGCTGTGACCTGTGAGTCGTGTGACTTTTATAGTTGAAGGTGTACTTGTTCGATCCCTGTACACGGTCGTTGTTCGAGGGGGCTTAAAGTTGAGACTCACCTGTAAACTTGTTTGTCTGCGGTCAGGAATCGTTTCTGTAGGGTCAAAATGAGTCGTCCATCGTCCTTTTGTTAGATGTGAGAGAAGAGGCTGAATGTGAAAGAGATGGGATGGGACGGATGTCCGAGGGTTATTTTTATTCATCTTTCGAGGCTTGCCTTTTTGTCCCTTTTCCCACCTAGGGGCAACCAGGCAGGCAGGCAGGCAGCCATTTCCGGTGTACGAAATGTTGCGAACGTTTTTGCGAGTGCAAGGCCTCCAAGGGTCCCTTCGTTTGTGTGTATGTGTCTGTGTGTCAGTGAGGGACCCGGCGTGGTTGGTCTCCCGTTTGTCGCTGGCCGTGCTGGTACTGGTGCCTTGGTTGCGCATTTCGTTTGGAGCGCCCGAGCGTGTGCGCGTGTGTACGAGTAGAGAGGTGTTAAACAGTCCGTGAAATTTGAAAACAACAGCATTTGCTTCCGACGGCCATCATGTTTTTGACTTGGGGACAGGGGGGGCAGGGGCCAGGTCAGGAAGGAATTCTTTGATGTGTTCGGCGTATTTTTGTGCTAATCTTGGGGGCTAATCAACAACCGCACCATGACTTTGTTGGTTTGTGAGAGAGCGAGAAAGAGAGAGGGGAAGACAGAGAGAGGACGAGGATGAGGAAAGAGTCATGATGTGATGAGCACCGATTACATGGGAAAGATTTGGTTAAAAGTGTGTAGAAGAAGAAGAAGAAAGAGGGAAAAAGAAAAAACGAATTCATTTCGGGTTACAGTCGAGGATTTGTAAATGTAAAATGGGAGTCGCAGAGGCCGAGTTGAAGAAAACAACGTCAAAGACGCGTTTCTGCTCCTTCATTTTTTTAGAATAAAAAGGGTGGTCTGTGCATTTGTTTCTGTATCTGGTACGTGATAGATATGGCGGCTCGTTCATGGGCTGGCTGGATGATTGACGAGACATTTCCCCCTCCCCCCCCCCTTTTTTCCTCAACTCACTTCATTACGCTACCTAGATACCGTACTCGACGTCAATCGAAGATGGTGTCCAGATTTAATATGAATCTTGACAGTTGATCAGACAGGGGTTGGTGGCCAAATAGGTCCAATACAGAGGACTTCATTGCCCGTACTTGTCTAGATCTACGATTTTTACGATCTAGGGGATTTTCCTCTACAGTAGGCACGACACAAAAGGACAAACTTTACGGGTAGAAAAAGGCGTCGATGGGGTCCTGTATATCTCATTTCCTGCACTTAAGAATCAGGTCGAGTGAAAAGGTCAAAGGGGGTAATTAGGTAATCTTATTCGATTTCAATAAATATAAACCTATTGGCCTCTTACTCGATATTGTGTAGTATCATGCATTCGCTGGCCATTTGCTAGCTACCTAGCTCGTCACAGTCACTGTACCATGCTGGAATGATGGGAACTGACGGGAGGGATGCGTCGAAACCCAAAAACGACATTGACAGTTTTGATCCGAGACAAAAAAGTCCGCATCACGGAAATACAAAAAGTATCAGTGTTTGTATCACTGATGTGCGGATGCTCTCTGTGGCTGTTGTGTTTTTCTCCTTACCGCTTACTCCCCGATGGTGATTGCAACGGTCCAAGAGGTCAAGACAACTCGAGAACATCCCGTACCAGTACCAGGTACCAGTGGACATTTGGGTATGTACGTACCGAGTACAATCTACTTTTTTATTCTCTCACTTCATCTCTTGCTTTCGGTCCTGGCCATTTCTTCTTCTAGAATCATACCCCTACCCCCCGCGCGACTACCGTCCTCGCAACCCGTGAAGCCCCCAGGGCCGCATAATTTCTGCAAATCCTCGTCACATCGCCAGCGCCACTGCCGGGCATACACAGGATCGAGATTGCCTTGGATCGCGTCGACAACCTTGTCGCCTATGACGGGGAAGAATTTGAATCCGTGTCCACTTCCTCCGGTCGCGACAAAAAGGGATTTATGTCGTGGGTGGTATGTTATCAAGAAATCACCCGTTGGTCTGTGTGAACGCATGTGTGTTGTTAGCTGTTGCAACTCGAGGGTCGCAGGCGCCACCAAAAAAAGACAAGGGGGAAAAAAAAACTCACGTATCGCAATACCAGCATAGTCTTGTGCGTATAAATGGTCGATCTGCCATGTGAGGTACAAGATCTCGGAGTGCTTCTCTCAAAGCTTCTTGTCCTTCTAGAGGGACCGAGACACCAGTCATGGGAACGCTGACTTCGACATACTCATCCCCTTCCGTCACGGTGGGTTGTATATTCTTTCTCGGGACCTTGACCGGGTTGGTATATCCAAAGCCATGTCGGGCGATCTTGAGCTTGTTGTCTCGTGGCGGGATGATGAACATGCCACGACTCATATTCATGATGACCGGTCGGTCGCCCATGGCCGCTTGCTCTTCCTCGGTGATGTCGATGAAGGCGACTGCTTGGCCGGTGGCCAGACACCGGCCTTGTAGATCGATCAGTGTAGGTGACCACGCGCCGGCCGCCAGGATGACCAGGTCCGCACTTATGCTCTCGCCGTCTGATAACACGGCGCCCGTGCAGGTGTCGGCGGAAAAGGACAATTTCTCGACCTTTGCGCCGCCACGGATGGTCACTCGACCACCACCCTCTTTGTGTACCCTTCTCAGTGCGTACGCGACGCATGCTTCAGCGTCCGCCCAGCCCGAGTTGAAATTGGCGTAGCCGTATTCCCCCGTGACATTTTTATATCCCGTGGCTTTCTTGATCTCGTCCTGACCATGTAATTCCCGGATCTTGTGTGAGTCCAGCCCCCTCGCCTCGGCCGCGACACTGAGTACGGACTTCATCGCTTGACCCAGGTATTCACCCGCGCCGGCGTCGGCGGTGAGCACGAATCCAGGCTGGTGGTATCGTCCTTGGCCGCCCCATCCATCGTCGGACGTGTCCCGCCAGAAGTGCTGCGACTCGCTGGCGAGCCGGGAATAAAGGACGTCCGCATAGTCGGCTCTGACGATACGGTTGGCGTCGACTGAAGAACCGGATGGGTTCGGTAGCTGCGGCGAGCCATCGACGATGGTTATCCGGCTGTCGTTGTACGCCGGTCTGGAGAGGAGGGAGAGCGCGGTGCTCAGACCGAATTCACCTGCGCCTATGATCAGAATATGCTGTGGAGGGGGCGAATCATCAGCCATGGCGAGTCGAGTCACACAGACTCTTTTCTTTCTACAACGCTCCCCGACCTACTCTATTGTATGGTCTACGAACACTCTTTTTTTTTCTCTGCTATGTCTGGCAAATGTACGGAGTAACGAAGTACGACTACAGTGGGACGCAACCGTTGTTCTCCGCATGGGAATGATTCTGTCAGCCCACACAAAAAGGCTCATCGATCAAGGCTGTTTTCAACTCGGCTCAGTTTCCCATCTTATCGAGCACGGAATCTGTACATAACATGACTTGCTTTCATCAACAGCAAATTGTTCCAGATATCAGTATGCCTTGTTGAAGAATTGATTGTTCTCCTTAGAACTCCTGATATTTGGTGTCACGGAGCAGATGATCTTGCTGAAGATGAAAACTGTAGACTTGAGTTTCACTTTTCCTCGTCTAGTAATTTCTGGTCCTCCTCAGAAGTACGCACAAGGCTACGGAGTACCTACCAGGTATATATCACTGAAGTAACCCCCGAACATGTCGTGTCATTTCTTAGTATCAATACTCAAGTATAGGTTGAATGGCGACCGACAAGATCCAATTAGGTCAAGAGACATTCTCAAGAACATTGAGAATGACGAGCACTGAGACACTAATAAGGACAGTAATAATGACCAAACTATTAGTTACTCAGTCGTGTGCCTTTCACAAAGGTATCTCTACACAGAGTAGCGAATTGCATTTGGGGGTTAACTCCAGCATAACTATTGTATACCTTGTGCCTGATGCAGAGGTGGGTGTGCGTAATACCCATCGCCAGAAGTTCGGCCAGACATGTTCAACTTGAACTTCTGATATCTGGCACCACGAAGCACATGACGTTGGTAAAGATGAAAGTTGTCGTAGTGTGTGAAAGTCTTGCTGGAACCCTCATTCTCGAAGGCACAAATTCGTTCTGGCATTTTGTTCTCTGGGTGGACATTCAACAAATGCATTCTCCAAGCCGAAGTGTTCTTGTTCGGGAACTATCTTGCTGCTGTTGAGAAGGAGATCGTAGCTTCAAAGCCATAAGAAACCGTTTGGTAAAACTGTAGAATGAATCACGCTTGTACTATGGCGAGCATAAGAAATTGTTGAGTGTTTTGCTTGTTGCACAATACTAGGGTTTGTACGGAATCTCGCAAAGGACAATATTTACCTGGTGGGTGTAAGGCGATGCGGCTTATAGTTTCCTACCTCGTTCTCTCGATCAAACACGGGAAACCCTCATTCTGTCACCTCCCCATTGCATACCACCTTGTCGATCTAAATAGTTCCCTCCAAGTGCTGATCCAACGATTTGCTTCAAGCCCAGACCTTGGCCTATGAGATTTGCAACGGTAAGACGGCAATTCTGTATCAGCGCTGGGATCCTCCGACCGCAGAATGATGCCACGGTTGAAACAGTCACAAAAATGATCGCTTCCATTGTCCACATCTTCTGTCCTTGACGCCACGAACTTCGATATGATGCTTTTGAGCGAAAGAATCGATGAACCAGAAGCCGGATGACCTACTTGACAGCCTGGGCAGAGTCACCACGATGATGGACCCCTCCGGATGAGCATTTTCCTTCAAGATCCATGGGGTTACTGAGCGACACATCCCAAGCCTATATCTTCCCAGACCATATTGCAACTCCGCTGCGTCAAAAACCCTGTCCCTGCGAGACATGCGTCCTTCTGCCTGACCAGAGGTTCCTACGTACTTCTGCTCCCCATGCTGTCCTCCGGGTTGATGTGCCAAGCTCCGCCAGTGCTCTGGGGTTGCGGGCTTGCTACCATTGGCACACCTCATCCCTCGATACTTGACTTCCCCATCCCTCTTGGCTGGCACTACATTCCCTTCATTCTTGACTTGGCGGACGACCAATCTGCCTTTGCCATGACTTCATCGCCCCAAAACCATTACTTGGCCAAGGCATTGAAGGTGCTATGGACCATCGCGGCGCCTAGACACCTCGACACCGCCCGAGGATAGTTTTGGCGACAAGAAGTCACCAAGACACGATGTCACCTCAATCAGATCGAGCTGGGCAGATGCGCAGCCAAGATGCATCAAGGACTCTTGGGTGTGAGGGGGAGTCCTCAGCCAAGTTGTAGTTGAATGATATAGTAAGGACCCGAGAACGTTCTCACCCGTCCCCCTCCTTCATTTTTCGTGAAACGAAACCCGAGCATACTCATCCTGCCATGGCAGACAGCAAAGATATCCAATATCAAAACTTCGAGGGCGCAGGAGGTGCTCGTCGACGTTCCACTGTGGCCGACCTGAATAGGGATAGGAACTTGGATGCAAAGTAAGCTCTTGAGGCGCTTTTGACTCTCCGTCCTTGGCTAAGCTTGAAGGGTATCGAACCCTCTTGCAGATATTCCTCGAGAACAACTCATGAAAGATGTAAGTTTGCCTTGGCCTGTGGACAATGTGCATGCACCGCCTTCTAACGAGCGACACAAAAGGTCGAAGAGTTTGCTGCTCGTACCGGCATGACCGATGAGGTCGAGCTGATCAAGAAAGGCGCTCTCGTTGCCCAGAACCCCAGCAATTACGAAAACGTGACCGACCTCGACGATGAAGAGCGAGATGCTCTACATGTCGAAGTCACCAAGAAATGGCGCCACCCAAAGCAACTCTACATTACTGTCGCCGTCTGCTCGATTGGTGCCGCTGTCCAGGGATGGGATCAAACAGGATCCAACGGTGCCAACCTTTCCTTCCCTGAGGTCTTTGGCCTGGACACACCCAAAGGCGAGCCTGGTTATGAACGCGACTTTTGGATTATTGGTCTTGTCAACGCTGCTCCCTATATCGGCAGTGCCTTTCTCGGGTGTTGGCTGTCGGACCCCTGCAACTTCTACCTCGGCCGACGTGGAACCATCTTCGCCTCTGCAATGATTCTCATAGCGACCCCTCTCGGTGGTGCATTCAGCAAAACCTGGGAACAGTTGTTTGCGAGCCGTATAATCATGGGTATCGGCATGGGTTTGAAAGGGGCGACCACGCCGATCTTCGCCGCGGAAAACTCCCCCGCTCCCATTCGTGGTGCACTGGTCATGACCTGGCAATTTTGGACGGCTTTTGGTATTTTCATGGGTACGGCGTTCAACTTGGCCGTATACTACGCTGGGAGTATTGGATGGCGCCTTCAGATCGGGTCCGCCTTCATCCCGGCGATTCCGTTGGCGGCCTTGGTCTATCTTTGTCCGGAGAGCCCTCGATGGTATATCAAGCACAACAAGCACAAGAAAGCGTACCAATCACTGCGCAAGCTTCGAAGACATCCCCTTCTTGCCGCCAGGGATCTATACTACATCTCCACGCAGATCGAGATCGAACACGAAATAGTAGGCGACTCGACCTACGTCTCTCGCTTTTTCCAACTCTTCACCATCCCTCGACTGCAGCGTGCAACGCTGGCCTCGTTCGTGGTCATGATCGCCCAGCAGATGTGCGGTATTAACATCATGGCCTTCTATTCGTCTACGATTTTCCGCAGTTCTGGAGCATCTGATATCGAGGCTCTACTCGGCTCCTTTGGCTTCGGTGGCATCAATTTTCTTTTCGCAATTCCGGCCTTCGTCACTATAGACACGTTTGGAAGAAGATCTCTGCTCCTTTTCACGTTCCCTCAGATGGCCTGGACGCTGCTGGCCGCCGGGTTTGCCTTTTACATTCCAGAAAGCAATCAGAGCGCACGAATGGGAGTCATAGCCCTGTTCATCTATCTCTATGCGGCGTTCTATTCGCCTGGAGAAGGTCCAGTGCCTTTCACCTACTCTGCAGAGGTTTTCCCTCTCTCACACCGTGAAGTTGGTAAGTTGACTGCATCACGTGATATGTGATATCCACTCTGTTGCTACATGTTCCCGAGTTGTTTCTGGTCTCTCATGAGCCGGTCTTAGGTTAATACAATCGCTGACTGTCCAACAGGCATGGGTTGGGCTGTTGCAACATGTCTTTTCTGGGCTGCAGTACTGAGCTTGACATTCCCCAAGATCCTCGAAGCATTTACGCCAACCGGTGCTTTCGGTTTCTTCGCGGGTTTGAATATGGTTGCGCTCCTTATGATCTTCTTGTGGGTTCCAGAGACCAAGGTAAGTATTTATAGGGGGTCTCCCGGTTGTCATGCACTGATCACTAACCTTCTTTTTCTTGTTTAGCAACGATCCCTCGAGGAGCTCGATTACATCTTCGCCGTACCAACTCGCAGGTTCATCAAGTACAATGTTGGTACCTGGCTGCCTTGGTTCATCAAACGATACATATTCTTCAACAAGAATGCCGAGCTCAAACCGTTGTACCACTTCGACGCTGGTATCGTTGCGGATTTCAATGAGCAAGAGAAGCGTGAGCGTGATCCTCATAGAAGGACTTCTCACAGTGTCCAACACACCGGAACTGAGGAGGCATGACTGCAAAAAACAATCGTCTGTCTTGGTCATGGGGGATAGAATGAAACGGAGACGGTAGGGGTTGGTGAAGTTGAGGAGCAGAAACATGGTAACGAAGAGGGAGGAAAATTGAAAACCCAAACAAGGTCTACGATGGAATCTATATCTATATATATGCTATTGTCCTTCAGTACCGTGACAGTCATTCGTTCCTACACAGCCATATAACTACGTGGGTAGAGAGACAAGATGAAATCATATAATTTGTTTGTACGGAATCCCTTGTGTTATTCTATAGGGGGAGCGAGCCTTGTCGTTCTCGGCAGAGCCCGCAAAGTGCTTAAAAGCGGCGGTTACAGCTAGTAATACTGACTCACCTCCGCATGCAATTCCGAGCTGCCAGAAAATAAATAAATTATCATTCTCAGAACCACCGGATACACAGCTTCATTGTAGATTGGACTGCCCAGACACGTTCCTCTCGTTCGAGCTTCTCTCACCAACCTCAATCTCCCAAGAAGATGTCATAAAGTAGCCTCCCACGTATCGCTATTGCTACGACCACAGCAATGTCGGAGCTCGCGCTGACTGCGTCTTCCTTGGGGAGATCGAGAATTCCGCACCTCGCATTATCGTTACTGTCGAAGCGAGCAGTTTTAAAATCACGTCAGAAGGTTTCTGAGATACCCACACTATCGGGATCTTACTACACTCGCTCGACGTCGACTGCGACGACGTACGGCTATAGAAATGGGTACACTACAAGAAGATACGCATCATCGACGACACTCCCTCGTGCTCCTCCTCCTCCTCCTCCTCCACGTACTGCCACCGACAATACCCGACCAACTCGCTCACACAATGTCAACAACAACAACAACATCCCTCCCTCTCCTCCTCCTCCTCCTCCGTCCTCTCGCACCCGCCTCGCGTCCCGCCGCACCGGCCGGTCGTTCAACGTGTACTTTTACCCGGTATGCGGTGTCGGGTTCGTGCTCTCCACGTACCTGATGTACATGTACACGTCCTATCGACGGGCGGTGGCGGAATCCGAGATGCTGGACCTGGCCCAAAACGCCGACGTTTCGTCCCGCTGGATGGACCTCTCCCGCAACTTTGACGACGAGGTCGACTTTTCCGAACGCTTCATGCTCTTGGGGAGGCGGCGCAGGAACCTGTGCCGACAGGCCGTCGGGAACGTGCTGGAGGTCAGCGCGGGCACCGGTCGGAACCTGGAGTACTACAACCTCGACCCGATCAGGACGCCGCGGACCAGGCGCGTCAAGAGTCTCGTGTTCAACGACCTGAGCGAGATCATGGTCTACCAGGCCCGGAAAAAGTTTGACAGCATGCAGGAACACACGGAGAACATTGCCAAGTTCCGAGGGGACGTCAGGTTCGTGGTGGGCGACGCGGCCGAGAGGAGACTGATCGCCAGGCCCGAGGGTGGGTTCGACACGATCGTTCAGACCATGGGGGTTTGCAGCATGGCGAACCCGGTGGCTTTCTTGAAAAGGTTGGGCGAGTTGGTCAGACAGCCCGGGGAGCGGAGCACGGGGGTGGACGTCAAAGCGATGATGGAGGAGGAGGAGGAACGACAAGAGGGTCAATGGCAGAAAAGGGATCACGGGGCCGATCAGGAGACGGAGAAGGAGAAAGGGAAAGAACCTGCGGAAACCTTGTCGGACAGAGGAGGAAAGATTCTCTTGCTCGAACACGGCCGGTCGTACTACGGCTTCGTCAATCGTTTCTTGGACAATAACGCCAAACTCCACGCTCACCGCTACGGGTGTTGGAACAACAAGGACATTGACCAGGTCATCCGGGACAGCGGGTTGATCGTCGAGAGTAAGAGGAGGTATCATCTCGGTACGACGTATGAGTATGTCCTCAGGCCGAACCCGAGACAAAAGTCGACGGACAAGGAGGTGGTGAGTGCGATGATGAATGCGACCACTCCGAGAGTGGACGCTGAAGGTGTGATGGGAAAGAGCAAGTCCGCTTGGTGGAAGATTTGGTGAAGTTGTGTAATGTACATGTGTGTAGACGTATATACACGGTATACACAAAACATATACCTAGGTACCTGACCTTGTGTACTCGTTGTCGTGTCAGGAGAGTATGCTACAGATGGCCCTTTTGGGGTCCAAGGAAGTAATCAGGCTTGGTGTCTCGCCCGTTTAGGATCTTCCAGGGGGACAAAAAGCTGTGTATGTTTGTATAGAATACGGTACGAGCTCGTGCCCCCTGCGTGATAAAGCACGAGTCGGTAGGGTTCATCTACGCCAATGTCGATATACGAGACGGGGGGGATGCCAGTGGGCGAGATGCAGTGGGGGAGGCCCCATATCCTTGCGGGAGGGTTATGACTATGTACAGGTAGACTCGGTTCCGCGTCGCCTTCAAACCGCCAGATGATAACCTTTCGCACTAACACGGTACAATGCCTGGAAATGGGAATTGGCAACAATGGAACTCGCCCTCGTCGACACATTCGGGACGATCGACGACAAGGTTACGGGGGTACCAAGCACTCTAGACTAAAGGGTAACTGGACGGAAATGGAAAGTGCTCAACACTCTACGAGCAGAAAGAGATCGTTGCGGATAGCAGCAAGGGGAGAGAGCACTAGTTGTTTTGCTAGGCGTCTGTGCCAATGGATCAGCGTCAGGGAAAGAATCGTTGAAACTCCAAAGTCCGCACTGATACTTGTACAATGACGGCAGAACGAGAAAAAGAATGCAGACGGGTTCGAACGTCGAGTCCGAGTCCGAGCATCAACTTTCACTCGTAAGGCATTTTCGTCCGATCAAAGGAGAACCATGTGTCGATCTCAACGGTTTTCTGTGACGTTTGTCCTATTGTAGCCACAAGTGGAATCTGACAGCTTTGACGACGTAATTGGTGATGCAAGAGAGAAAGATGAGATGGAACGATCGCGCCCAGATACTCGCACGAGTACTTGTGCTTCGCAAGGGGGTTTGTGATGTAAAGTCTGCGATAACCGAAAGGATCTTCAGGTCCAAGGGACCGCCGTTCAGAGTAACCGAGTACGAGTACTCGTGTAAGGTACAGTGCACCCCTTCGGTAGGATGGAAACGGCCACGAGCCACATGCGACACACACACGATCCAAAGTTGTTTTGAGTTCAGTCGAAGATAGTCAAAGATCAACTCCTCGTAAAGTACGAGTAGAGAGAAGTTGTTGTCACTCTGCTTGTACAACTGGGGGCTGGCTGGAGGGGGCGCGTTCTCCGCATCCTGCGAGTTTGTTCTGAAGAGTTACATCATGGGGTGAACACCACCATCACCCTAATTAGGGTTCGCCTGCAGTAATGATGGAATATATAGAATAGTAAGGAGTCGGTCAAATAATAGGAGTCCTGAAAAAGACTCCGATAACCCGTGAAAATGGTATCCCCGCCCGTCGGTTATCCCTGGCGGCATATCAGATCAGAAGATGGTAATCGTTCATGGTGGTAATCGATTCGTTTCCGCGAACAAGGATACGCCTTCAAAACACCAAACTGAAGCGTTGAAGCATTCATGATTGGTATTCGTGCACGGCAGAGACAAACTCTCTTGCGAAATAATCCATCCAAGTGGTGCTGCGGGTTGGGTGAGGTGTCTGTGCCATCCCTGAACAAACCTAAACTATTGGCAGTTAAAAGCGGTTCGCAAATCCGTGTGCACGATAAGCGTTGAGACAGTCCAGAGCCGGCAGCCTCCCATTGACTGCGGGGGAATACAGTAGATGCAGGACTTGTGGCCGAATCGGGACACGCAAACAAATATGCGACTTAGGTGAGCAGTTGGTGCTGCTATCCTAGGGGGTTTAGACAACTCTCCAAGAGACTCCATCGCCGATTCATTATTGATGATAAGGACTTGGTAAAATGAAGAGACGAGTGGTTTCGGATAGAGGAACCTGAAGTTGCATGGATCTTCGGATCCATGGTGGGTGTAAGCGACGTCTGTCAGGCGAATGCATGTTTTGACAGCCGCTTCGGGGACAGCGGCATGTTTTGAGAAATCTGAACTGAAGCTTTGATCAATAATAATCTGCATCTGAGGCGTTAATCATCCAAAGTATGTATTTGTAGAGCAATCGAGGGGTTCGTCGCTTCGAGCCGCCCTTGATTGCCTATATCTTGTGCACGGTCTTCAATAATCTGGAGGTGGCTGCCCCAAGCGCTCACTTCGTTTCAGACGTTGCTGTGATAGAGGCGACGAGTGCCACAGGTATTCGCAGGACGACCCTACAGAGTGTACAATCACGTGAAGAACCTCTCCTTCGACCAGGGGGGGTGTCCTTTGGCGCATGCAACGGGAGATCGGTAAGTGGACTCGATGATGCGAAAGGCCAACCTTCTTTTCCACTTGTCGCGTTTGACAGGTCTTGGGCTCCGAATTCAACGTCAGCCATTATTACCATTTGTGATGATTTGGGAAGAAGCTGAGAGCGATACGGACGAGTCAAGTCGTCGAAGTCCAACCGGTGCGAGACGACAAGAGAAAGATCCTTGAGATCCAGACGTGACAGAGAATGTACTCCGTATCGGTAGGACCCTTGCCGCTGTCACCGCTGTAGTTGTTGTCTGCTTTGACGGCCCAGGTTGACCAGGCCAGACCGATGTGGCTGCCTGTCAAAAGCCGACCGGTTACACAGCCTTCAGCAGGATAAAATCAGCATGGGGTGGTCGTCCTAAGCAACGACTGATTGCGACGGCTGGAGATGCGTGAAGTCTGGCTGGAAATCGTTTTGACGGCAGATGCATGATGGGGTCGTTGCAATTACGTGTAGTGGGCTGGCTGCATCTCTCCATTGAGCATTTGCGGAATAATCGTGCGTGAGCAAAAGAAGAGATTTTCGAGAAAAAAAAATTTGGATGTGTGGATTACGGTGGATCAAGCTGGGAGGCGAGCGATTGGTTTGGAGGGGCAGGCGAACACAAGGGCTTGGTGTCATTGAGGAGCCTAGCGAGGCCTTAGTGATCCCCTCTAGGAAGCCTCTCCAGCGCCTACCGAGCCCCGAGAGTTTCTTGGAGGCCCCTAACAGAGCCTAAACGGCCACCCCCTGGAGGCTGCAGCTGCAGCTAAACCTTGACCCAAGCATGCCATTTCTGAATGGCCCATGTTACAACAAAGCACACCACAATCATTCCATACTCTGCTGAGGTGCCTCACAGTGTCAGCATGCGCTTAAGGTGCAGCACCAAATACTCGGCTCTCCTCTCTATCCTATACTAAATGTTCCTACTATAGCCGTATCTTGACTTGGTTGCGAAGAGATGCTTGTCTGCTTTATCTGTGTCCAACGTGGCTCGCTTGCAACCCTTGGTGCTCCGTGCATGAAGAGGCGTCTATCCGTACTTTGCAATTCTGTCAGTGTCCAGCTACAAAGATCAGCGTCCATTGGGTGACCGCATTCCGGTCACTATGAACAGGCTGTGATTGGACTGATACTATCAGGGTACCACTGGATGTGGAAGCGCTCGTAATATCACCTATCTCATTTTTTGTATCCCACCGCACCACCACATTGTTGCCTGCCGCTCGAATCCGGCGTCTCTGGTGCCTACAGTTTTCTGGTGTGGGCTGTGTACAGTAGGAGGTGTATAGGCTCTAAAGATGGCCCAGCGATGATACCTGGAGACAAGCTACTCGGTGGTCGCAGACTTAATAGACGTAACAGGTCCATTTCAGGCCAACCAGACGTCGAGTAATGTTTTGCGAAGCATGAATGGTGTCAGGTCGTACTGTACTGTATCCGTAAATAATGCTTCTGCTCAACTTAGTGGCACTGACTCATGACGGTTTAGGGCGTTGGATTTGCCTCCTTTCGGTCTAGCCTCCCTGATTAGTGCAAGACCCCGTGTTTAGCGTCTGCCGCCTAGTCGACTCTCGGATCTCAGAGCCCTTCGATCCTGCTTGAGCGGCCCTCTTTTTTTTTTCAGGTGGCATTTTTTCCTCGTATCCAAACACTTCGTCGCCGCCCATGAGGTTTTTTGTTTGCGCTGACCCTATCCATATCCGTAGCAGAAGGTCCCTGCCCATCAGATGCTAGAGGAGCCCAGTATTCTGCATCATCCCAAACGTAACCTGTTCGATTTTCCCTTGCCTCGCCTTCATTTTCCTCCTTCTCCTTCAGCTTGCTTTTTTCCCCAGGGAGATACTGCAGCATTCTACCCCGGTACACTACTTGATCACCTGTACAGTACCTTTGTCCTGTATAGTAGGCCTCGCATACCCATCACGGCGGCTGTGACCTTGTTCCGTACATTGACTCGCGCGCCCAGTCCATAGTCTCTCCCCGGAAATCCTGCCTTTTCCGAACCTTTCGCAGCCAAAACACCTGGACCCTGGGCCGAGCCACATACAAATCATCACCATCCTATACTCTACGAGCTCTTGGTCAAAGGCTCTCAGTGTACTCCGTACAGTACGATATCGCTACGAAGAGCGCGCTGCATCCTGTCGTTGCTGCTTACCGCTATTTGACCAACCTCACCAACCAAGTGGTTAGCGAGATCTTGGAACGCAAGGGAGGCGAGAAAACAGCCAGTCGAGCTTCTCCCTGCATCCTTGTCGCAGGATTTACAGAATCCCCATTGCTCCATTTCCCTCCTCTGCGGCACCTTGCATTACAGCCACGCATTCCAGCTGCATTCGCCCTCCAATCACTTTACGCCTGGCGCTGTCACACTGGCGACACTCCCTTGTCCAACCTGACCGCAGCCTGAATCATCATCGTTCGCAACCCCCGTCCCATACATTTTTCTCTACCAGAACATTTCGCCATACTCTACCTCCGACATTGTGTCTCTCTCTTTCTCTGTCCGTCCTCGTCGTCGTTAGACAGACATTTCACGACTACACCACCAACACATGACATTATCTCGTCATGCCTTACAATACTCGCCGAAAGTCTCTCTCCCTGCCCTCGCTGGGCATCCATCTGCCTAATGGGTCTCGTGTACACCGCCCGAGCCTGAAGGCTACACCAACTCCCGACACCACTCAGTCTCCTCCTACAAAGAAATTAAAACGTTCACACGACACCGACGGCCCTCTCTCCCCAGTCTCGTCGCCACGATCCAAGACTGGCTCTCCTGCCCTCGATCTGCCCGAGTCTGCCCTACCCTCACGGCGAGTTCCCACTGAGCAGACCCCTCCACCATCTCCTACACTCGGTGCGCAGCCTGTTCGGAAGGTTGACCTTGAGGGAATCAACGACGACATTGTCATTGCAGTCATTACACAGTTGGAAAAGACCGGCAACCGTCCACACCTCATCAAAGATCTCGCGACCATCCTTGCTTCTACAAATTCAAGCATTGCACAGTAAGTTCCTGGCCTCGAATGGTAGTCTACATGGACCCGACGCTGACTATGTCCCCAGTTCTGCAAACCCAGCTGCCCTCCTATCCTCCCGTCTCAGCCTATACCTGAAACGTCCATGGACCGCATTGTCCCCGTGTCCTCTGGCGAAAGAGCTGATCCCCGTTCACCCAAGAAAGGTCTTCTTCTTCCTCACCACTCAACCACGCCTTCCATTACCCACCTCGTCTGACGATATTCTCCCACCATCTATTGTCAAAGCAAAGATCCTTACGCCCAGTGTTTCTGAACACAGTCAAAATGAGGACGAGCTCGATTTGGATCAACAGTCAAGAGCACGATTGTCGCCCAGCCCAGAAGTAGAACTTTACTCGCCAGAGCTGGACCAAGAAGACCCCATGCAGCCACCTACCCCGGGTGAGCCCTACAGCAATCGCAGTAGTCTGAACCCAGACGGGATGCCCGAAGTACGCCGCAGGCCCAACCGCGCCCCAAGCCCACCGCTCGAGGCTGATGAGAGAGGTTTCACTGAGACAGCCACCGCTGTGCGAGCTCGTGGAATGAGTACGCACAACCTTCCGGTCCAACCCTCAGTTGAGGTGGACTCGACCATGGTTGCAGTGACCGAAGAGACTCCAGAGCAGCGCCAGAGCCGTGATCGTGAACTGGGCATGGAACTGTTCGGCCAGTCGCATCCGGGTCTCAATCCCCCAGAGCAGAAATTGTTTTCTAGCAGTCCAATGATCCAAGCAAGGACTGATCATTCCTCCACCTTGGGAAGGATGAACATGGCACTGCAACTGGATGATATTGACATGGGTGAATCTTCCTGGGCCATGATGAGTCCTGAGCAGATTGATCTCGACGAACTTGACGTTCTCTTTACAGGCTTTTAAGCAAAACCTAACTCTTCTCGGCTCGATCAAAATGGATCAATCCCGACTCCTCCCTCTCCACTTTCCGTCCATGCAGGACGACTCTTCGAACATGTCTTCTCCGATCTTTTCAGTGCATGTCAGTGTATGCGGTAGAAATTTGTCTTCTTTTCAGCGGGCGTTTTAGCAAGGTGGTTGATGTTGACTCAGGCGTGATATGAACAGAGGACGATCAAGTAGATGTCATGTGAGGAGAGATGATGTGTGGTATGCCTCGACAATGAGCAGACGAAACACTATGTAGTATTAGCAGACAAAAGCTGCCTTGAGCAGCAATTTCTAGATCTTCAAGGGACTTTGATCTTATGAGTACGTGAGTCCAGCAATGATATGGGACAAGACAACGCCAATCTCGCGCACAACATCTAGTCCAACATAGGCCTGAGGTGGTAATTTGCAGCAGTTCGGAATCCGGAAGGGAACCCTAGATGCCGCCGACTCATGCATCATGCCAACAAGTTCAGTAACGAACGGGTGCCATGGGCGGCGTTCATGCGCACACTAATGACTTGTCCACTTGTACCTGATAAGTAAGCTGGCCTGCAGACTACGAGTATGAACCTTGGGCGGAATCACTATTATTGAACGGGTACAAGGGAACACTTATGATCGTCAAAAAGTCCCGTCGGGTTCCCCCAAAAGGGCATGGAATACGGTGGTTTATACGCTGGTTACGAGCGGCCGGAACGGAAAGATTTTATGCAATTTGCTTTCAGCCTTGCTTGCTGCATTATTGGTGACACACCCGCGACGGGCAAGGCTGAAAAATGGGACTTCAAAGACGACATGTAACTTGGCCTTTGAAAGGGTTGACATGTGTCTGTAGGAGAGTCGTAATACTACCTGGTGAGGACAGATTTGTATAGGCTTGACAACAGTGCAGTGAACTTTATCACTACAGCTTATTGTACCAGTACTATATCTGTTCTTCATCAATGCACCTAGAATAGCAGGCGCATGAAGAGACAGGACGAATGACACGCTCTGTATTTTCGTATTTGATCTCCCACACACAGCTGGCAATGCATGCCGAACTGAGGCGAACATGTGCCGACCGTGCTTGATTAGCGAAGTCAATCTCTTTCGACCACGAGATTCGAAGAACTACTGGAATTACTGCAAGTCAGGGACAGAGTCTCATGGCTGGCATGCATGTTGTTGACGTCCTATCAACCTATACAGATACATCTACATGTAACTATTTATATATCCAGGGTATACAATACAAGGATGAAGAGACCAACCTATACCATAAGAACGTACCCAAGGAGTAGCTTGTACACGGCGGTCGTATTTCGTATCCAGATTACTCATCCCAATCCTCTGCGCCTCATTCATTGCGAATCTACCACCCAGTAACGAAAAGTATTAGGTAGAAGTAAAAGAGATCCATTCATTTGTTTGGGGGGGCATTTGAGGGTCTGGGAAAATCAGTTCAGGGCTCTCCAGATATTCGCTCCGTAGTTGTACTTGAGTTGTACTCGGATGCAAGCATCTGTGCTGCCGGATAAGACGATCATTTGCACATTGGCGGAAGAAGTCTGTGGCTTGTGCAGAGCCGCCAACCATCCGAGATCCGATGCATAAGACGATGAGTCCGTATAAAAATACAAACGAATGGACCGTGGACCCTGATCGAAGGCATTACGCCCTTTTATGGAGCAGCCTCGTGTTTTTATGCCTGGCCTTACGGAGTAAACAACTTCACTCCATTGCCATTGCTGGAAATTTCCAAACAGGTGTTTTTTTTTCTTTGCTACGGAAGACTCCATGATCCCATATATTGAATTTGCTTGGTCTTTTGTTTCGGCGTTAAGAATAGTGCTATCTGCTTTTTTGTGTTTCCTTTTGGATCTTCTTGCTTTTCGGTCGCTTTGCATCCGAAGAACGATTGCGTCGTCGACTTACTCACGGGCGGGTCTTTAGAATCCTACCATATACATCATATTCTTCTTTTCAGTTGTTATATATCTCCTTGTTCTTACTTCAATAGACTTACGCGCTATCCCTTTTTTCTTATTCTTACACACAAGTATTTACGTTCCTTGTCGGTTCCATAACCCTCTCCCATACAAATTAATACTCCCAAGAGTCCATCGATGATATCAAACGTCAAAGGGTTGGCCTAGAGACACGACGGCCTTTGAGAACACACACCACCCTCCTCCCCACCTGCAAGGCATCGTCGACATGTCTCTCGTGGGGAATTTCACCACCAACCCGGACCACAGTACCGACATGCGTGGTGCTGGCGTGCCGGGTCACCATCGAAGGAGCAGTGAAGTCGAAGACACCTATCACCCGTTTCGCAAACACTCGCATGAATCACGCCATCGGACACACAGCACATCCGCCCAGAATGACATCGAAGCCATCCAGGAAGCAAAGCTGGAGAGCTCGAGTGGCTCAGATGAAGAGGAAGGGGCCGACCGCATAAAAGAGCTTGCTCGGCAGTTTACTCGGGACTCTGTCCGTTCCATGAGCGGTGCCAATCCATTCAATGCTGAGCCCGGCTCGAGCATCGACCCGGCTTCGGACAACTTCAGACCGCGGGCATGGACAAAGGCCATGTTCCAGCTTCAGTCTTCGGACGACCGTTTCCTCGCCAGGACCGCAGGTGTCGCCTTCCGTGATCTGAGTGCTCATGGCTTCGGAGCCGCCACAGATTATCAGAAATCGGTGGGCAATATCTGGCTCGAAGGTGTCGGGATCGCTCGCAGGTTGATGGGCGTTGGGCAGCGCAGAATCGACATTCTTCGCAACTTTGACGGTTTGATCAAGCCTGGAGAGATGCTCGTTGTCTTGGGTCCTCCGGGATCTGGATGCTCGACGTTCCTCAAGACCATCGCAGGAGAGACCCACGGTTTCAACGTCGACGAAAACTCGTACATCAACTACCAGGGCATCAGTTTCCACGAGATGCACAAACACTTTCGTGGTGAAGCAATCTACACGGCCGAACAGGATGTACATTTCCCTCAACTGACCGTCGGAGACACCCTGTACTTTGCCGCTCGCGCGAGGGCACCTCGATATCTCCCTGGAGGCGTTTCCCGAAACACCTACGCCGAGCACATGCGAGATGTCATCATGGCCATGTTCGGCATCCGCCACACCTTCAACACTCGAGTGGGCAACGACTTCGTCCGCGGAGTGAGCGGAGGTGAACGCAAGCGTGTCAGTATCGCCGAGGCGTTCTTGAACATGTCCCCGTTGCAGTGCTGGGACAACAGTACTCGTGGTTTGGACAGTGCCAATGCCATTGAGTTTTGTAAGAGTCTGCGGGTTTCGACGGACATCCTGAACTCGGCGGCCGCGGTTGCCATCTACCAAGCTCCCCAAAGCGCATACGACATCTTCGACAAGGCCGTCGTCCTCTATGAAGGACGCCAGATCTACTTCGGCCCCAAGGACGAGGCAAAGGATTATTTTGTTCGTATGGGTTTCCTCTGCCCGGATCGTCAGACCACGGCCGATTTCTTGACTTCCATGACAAGCCCTACGGAGAGAGTCGTCCGCGAGGGCTTCGAAAACAGAGTCCCTCGAACTCCAGATGAGTTTGCACAGGCCTGGAAGGACAGCCCGGAGCGAGCACGGTTGCTGGAGGAAATCGAGGCTTTTGACCAAGAACATCCCATTGGTGGACCGGACCTGGAAAGATTCAAGGAATCACGAAAACTGCAACAGGCCAAACGACAGAGAGTGTCCTCTCCATGTGAGTCCTTTTACCCCTTCCTATGTCACCAGGAACAACTTCCACGGCTCTTCAACGGTCTAACCATCTACCAGTCACTCTGTCTTATGTCCAGCAAGTTCGCCTTTGTCTATGGCGTGGCTTCCGGAGACTTGTGGCCGACCCCAGTCTCACGTTGACACAGAGTAAGTCTCACCCATACAAACCTGGCACGGATCTCTCCTCTCCACCGTACGTTTCTGACATGGTACAGTCTTTGGTAACACTGCGTTTGCTTTGATCATCGGCTCCATCTTCTACAATCTCAGCCACACCACTAATTCCTTCTACTCCCGGGGCGCCTTGCTGTTTTTCGCCATCCTGATCAACGCGTTTGGCTCTGCTTTGGAAATCTTGACGCTATACGCCCAACGGCCAATTGTCGAGAAGCACGCGCGATACGCCCTTTACCATCCCTCTGCGGAAGCGTTCGCGTCCATGCTGACGGACATGCCCTACAAGATCTTCAACACCATCATCTTCAACGTCACCTTGTACTTCCTGACGAACCTGAGGAGGGAAGCTGGAGCATTCTTCTTTTTCTTGCTCATCTCCTTCTTCCTCACTTTGGTCATGAGTATGCTGTTCCGAACCATCGCCTCGGTCTCTCGGACACTGAGTCAGGCTCTTGCGCCTGCGGCCATTCTGATCCTGGCAATCGTCATCTACACCGGTTTCGCCATCCCCGTCAACTACATGCTGGGCTGGGCTCGATGGATCAACTACCTTGACCCGGTGGCGTACGGCTTCGAAGCGTTGATGATCAACGAGTTCTCCGGTCAAAAGTACGATTGCTCGGCCTATGTCCCTACCGGACCAGGATATGGCGAGGGGACGGACCACCGCGTTTGTTCCACCGTCGGATCCGTTCCCGGCCAGACCTTTGTCTCCGGCGATGCCTACATCAACAGCAACTACAAATACTACCATGCGCACAAGTGGAGGAATTTCGGTATCCTATGGGCCTTTTTGATTGGCTTCATGGTTTTCTACCTGGTGGCCGCCGAGTTCGTCGCCGCCAAGAAGTCGAAAGGTGAAGTGCTCGTGTTCCGACGTGGACACAAGCCGGCCGTACTCAAGAAGTTGCCCGCGTCGGACACCGAAGGCGGCCATTCTGGTGCGGCTGTCACGGCGGGGAAAGATGACGGCGAGCTCCAGCCCATCTCCAGCATCATCCAGAAACAGACGGCCATCTTCCAGTGGAAGGACGTGTGTTACGACATCAAGGTCAAGGGCGGGCAACGACGACTGCTCGACCACGTCGACGGTTGGGTCAAGCCCGGCACCCTCACGGCCCTCATGGGCGTCTCCGGCGCCGGCAAGACCACGCTCCTCGACGTCCTCGCGACGCGCGTGACCATGGGCGTCATCTCGGGTGAGATGCTGGTCGACGGCCTCCAGCGCGACGAGTCCTTCCAGCGCAAGACGGGCTACGTCCAGCAACAGGACCTCCACCTCGAGACGTCGACCGTCCGCGAGGCGCTCAACTTCAGCGCCCTGCTCCGCCAGCCCGCGCACGTGCCCCGCGAGGAGAAGCTGTCGTACGTCAACGAGGTCATCAAGCTGCTCGAGATGACCGAGTACGCCGACGCCGTCGTCGGCGTCCCCGGGGAGGGCCTCAACGTCGAGCAGCGGAAGCGCCTCACCATCGGCGTCGAGCTCGCCGCGAAGCCCCAGCTCCTGCTCTTCCTGGACGAACCCACCTCCGGCCTGGACTCGCAGACCTCGTGGTCCATCCTGGACCTGCTCGAGAAACTGAAGAACAACGGCCAGGCCATCCTGTGCACGATCCACCAGCCGTCGGCCATGCTCTTCCAGCGCTTCGACCGCCTCCTGTTCCTCGCCAAGGGCGGCAGGACCGTCTACTTTGGCCAGGTCGGCGAGTCGTCCAGGGTCCTGACGGCTTACTTTGAGCGCAACGGCGCGCACGCCTGCCCCCCCGAGGCGAACCCGGCCGAGTGGATGCTCGAGGTCATCGGCGCCGCCCCCGGTTCCCACACGGACATCGACTGGGTCGAGACGTGGCGCAACTCCCCCGAGAAGCGCGCCGTGCACGAGGAGCTCGCGACCTTGAAGGCGGAACGGTGCAGGCTGGCCCGCGCGACCTCGGACCTCACGGACAAGGCGAGTTACCGCGAATTCGCCGCCCCCTTCTACCAACAGCTCCGCGAAGTCTTGCAACGAATCTTTCAGCAGTACTGGCGGACCCCGTCGTACATTTACAGTAAATTGTCATTGTGTATCGCTTCGGTAGGTCCCACCCTTTTTGTTTGCTTTCTCTTTCTCTCTTTCTCTCTCTCTCTCTCTCTCTCTCTCTCTCTCTCTCTCTCTCTCTCTCTATCTCTCTCTCTCTCTTCCTCTCTCCCCGCGTCCACCTTCTCCACCGCCCCTTTGTCGTCGTTTTCCATGTGGTGGTCTTTTAACACGTTTTGTCGTGGCAGGGCTTGTTCATCGGCTTCTCCTTTTTCAAGGCCCGCAACACGATCCAGGGTCTGACGAATCAAATGTTTGGCATCTTCATGTTGATGACCATCTTCGGTCAACTCGTCCAGCAGATCATGCCGTTGTTCGTCACTCAGCGGGCCCTGTACGAGGTCCGAGAACGTCCCAGCAAGACCTACTCCTGGCAGGCCTTCATGATGTCCAACATCATCGCCGAGTTGCCGTGGTCGGTGTTGTGTGCGTTTTTGATCTTCGTCACCTGGTACTACCCGATCGGCCTGTACAACAACGCGGAACCCACCCACGCGGTCCACGAGCGGGGCGCCCTGATGTTCCTGTTCATCCTGGTCTTTTTGTTCTTCACCTGCACCTTTGCCCACATGGTCATCGCCGGCATCGACAACGCCGAGACGGGTGGCAACATTGCCAACCTGACCTTTTCCCTGACCCTCGTCTTTTGTGGCGTCTTGGTCGGTCCCAAGGCTTTGCCGGGATTTTGGATCTTCATGTGAGTCTTCCGAAAAGAAAAAAAAGGGGACAAGACATTTGACCCCCCCCCCCCATCTGTGCTCGGTGTGTCTGTGTCGAGAATACTGACGATTTGGCAAAACGACGACAGGTACCGTGTCTCCCCCTTTACGTACTTGATAGACGGCATGCTCTCCACGGCCGTGGCCCACACCAAGGTGGTCTGCGCCGCCAACGAGTACGTCCACTTCTCTCCCCCCTCGGGTCAGACCTGCGGGGAGTACATGAGTGACTACATCTCGGCCGCGGGTGGTTACCTGCAGGACGCCGGGGCCACCGGCAACTGCAGCTTCTGTGCCATCGCCGACACCGACGCCTTTTTGTCCTCCGTCGCCTCCCACCCTCGATACATGTGGCGCAACTTCGGGATCATGTGGGCCTTTATCGTCTTCAACATCTTTGGCGCCGTGGCACTGTACTGGCTCGTCCGCGTGCCGAAAAAGAAGAAGGAAAAGGCCGAAGATGTTTCCGAAGCTCCGTTGGAAAAGACCACGACGAGAACGACGGCACCACCACCACCGGCTTCGGCGTCGGAATCGGATTCGACACAACCGGTACAGGCGGTCTCGGGCGAGAACGAAAAGGTCGTCTCCTAGCAGATTTTGTTTGTTTTTTCCAAACCTGTACACAAGTATAATTTTTGTGACGTTGCCTTGGACCTCTCACCTACATCTACATCTACATCTACATCTACATCTACATCATCTCGCCATCTACCTCGATCACCATCTCGTCTACATTCCATTTCAAAGTTTTTGTGCGGTTTCAACCGGTCATCTCCAGGCGGGTTCGAGAAGAGGTCCTCCCTTTCGAAAATCATTCTGTTGCCACTCAAGTACCTTTGTTGGAAAGGGGGGTTTCTTTTCTTTTTTTGGGGGGGTTCGGTGTACAAGGCACAAGGTGTCAAGGGGCGGGGGAGGTCAATCGATGCCTTTCTTCATTTCTTGTTTATGTGTGTTTTGGTCCATGCACATATGTACATACCTTGGAGCCCAAGGGGAAAGAGGAGGGAGAGGGAGGGAGGGAGAAGAGCTAGTGAATGTGTTTTGACCAGGGAATGGAAGGAAGGATTTTGAATAGGTTTTGTTTGTTGTCAAGGTTGCCAAATAATAGACATGTCAGCAGGATATAGACAATAATCCATAGACGAAAAGAAGAAAAATAGACAGGACGACTTCATGTCCAAGACTACTTGTGTCGTTGGAGTAATTTTGTGCGCTCTCATTTTATTCTTTTTTGGTGTCCTACACCTTCCCAAAACTCCTCGCCTTGTTCTTTCAAATCTGTCTGCTGATAAACAAGCTGGCCATGTAATGTAGCTAGCTCTTATACACTCCATATCATCTCATTCGTCATGATCATCATTCTAATTCCACATCCATATTCACTTGCTGTCGCAGACCACTGATCTCTTCACAACTATACCTTTCGGACTCGTTGTTTCCCAAACCACTTCCTCATTCACTCGCTGTTTACTTCTTCCCGCTCTCGATCAACCTGCCGACCAAACCACCAACCTTTTCCATCCCACCAAACAAATAACCCATCCCGAACCCCCATTTCCTCACCCGGACGGTGTAAATGAAGAAGTAGACGAGCAACCAATTCGTAAAGACAAAGACCAAAAAGATGCCAAAGTCTCTCCACTTCTGGTCCGGTCGGATGTTGATGGTGGACAAATACTCGTCGCCACTCGCGTACGGACAATACGCGCACGTCCCGTTGGCCGTGGCCTCGACGTACCCCATCCCGACGTTCCGCACAAAGGCACCCGCGTAACTCTGACACGTCTCACCGGGTGGTGCATTGAACAATGTGCTTTCTCCCTCGCGGCATCGAATTGGTAGGTTTCTCATCGTCGCCGCCAGGACGCCGCCGATCCAGTAGGTCGAGGGGACGAGGTAGTACGTCCAGTATTTCCAAAACACCGGCAACTGAGTGTACGGCCTGACGACGCCGTTGAAGATGCCCACAACCACAAAGAAGAAGGGGAGGACGTTGGAAATGACGGTGAAACTTGGCGCAAACGCACAGATCCACTGGCCCCAACTCGACATGAACAGATAAAACAACATGGTCATCAAGAAGACGTAGCCCGCCGCGCTGCTGTCACGTGGGAGATTGGTCGGGTAGTACCAGATCAGCCAGTAAACCACCGAGGAGATGATGGCCATGGGGATTTCGGCAACCACCTGAGCCGTACAAAACGCGACCCAGCCGTAGATCCGAGACGGGTATTCGCGAGCTTCCCACAGCGACCGGCTCTGGTAGAACTTTGGTACCACACCATTGACGATCGTAGGCGGGATGAGCAAAACCAAAAAAGGCGAGAAGAGACGCGATTGAAGTGACGCCACCGAGTTTTCTAGATTCCAGAACGTAAAGCCATTAAAAACACCAATGATGACACTGACGAAGAGCTTTGCGTATAGATACGAAGGATCACGCCAATAGTTGCGGAAAGTTCGCTTCGTGAGCTCGATGGTTTGGAGTGTGACGGGCGCGGCGAAAGCACGTTGGGTGTGCGTCTCCTTGACAGGCTCTCTCGATCTCTCCTCCTTGATTTTTTGAATCTCTTTGAGCATTTGAGCATTCTCTTCAGACTCAAGCCACTCCTTGTTCCAATTGACTCGCTTGCCGTCTGCACGTCTCTTACCCCCTTTGGCCGCTGTCTCGAGGATGAACTCGGCCACGTTCTTATTCGGAGGACACTGCGTACCGCGCTTGGCAAAGTAATCAACGACAGCCGATCCGTTCTCACCAATCGGTCCAAAGTAGAAAGGATTTCCACCTGGATTGAGTGCCAGAACCATATCGAATTGTTGAATCAGCATGGACGAAGGTTGATGGATGGTGCATATGATGGCCTGACCGGCGCGAGACAACTTCTTCAAAAATCGGACAATCGAGTATGCTGACTGAGAATCAAGGCCACTTGTAGGTTCATCCAAGAACAAAAGGAGCTCGGGTTTGGCTGCCAACTCGACGCCGATGGTCAACCGTTTGCGTTGTTCCACACCCAACGATGTAATGATGGCATCTTGAATGTCGTTCAACTCCAGCAGATCAATGATCTTGTTGACGTAGTCAATCTTCTCTTGTTTCGGGATATTCCGGTCTTGTCTCAATACGGCCGAAAACTCGAGAGCCTCCCGAATGGTGGCAGTCTCGTCGTGGAGATCCATCTGTTCACAGAAACCAGTTCCCCTTTGGAATTCAATGCCGAGCGGTCGGCCGTCAACCAGCATGTCACCAGACACGGTCCCGGTCGTCTGGCGCTGAGATAGTGTATTGAGTAATGTGGTCTTTCCAGCACCACTGGCACCCATCAGGGCAATCATCAATCCTGGTTTGACGTAGCCATTGACTTTATTGAGCAACTTCTTCTTCCCACCCTGATATGGGACTTCATATTCGACATTCTCCCAGGTGAAAGCACTCTTGCTCTGAGCGATATTGTTGACCATTTGCTCCTTTTCGTCCTGCATCGTTTCCGACGACCCACTCGACACTGGATCTTGAGGAGTTGCACCCTTTTCTTCATCCGTGGGTTTACTGTCTTGTGTAATCATCTTCTTGGCTTTTCGAGTCTTCTTGAATATCAATGCACCACCTCCTTCTTGAGCAAATGAAAATGTCTCCGAAGCCCAGGCCGTGACGAGGACGTACAACACCGTGAAGGCGATCAGAACACCAAAATTGCGCCACAGATGTGATCGTGAGTATCCAAATGACTGTTTGGCATATGCGGCACCGTTCACCGTGTTGCTTCCGACAGTCGCCCCAGTCAGCGAACATCCCTGATACGCAGGATCCACATTGGGCCCCTGAGGTACCAAGTTGGACGGCGAACACTTCATCGTTCGATCCGAAAATTCATTTGTAAGGACGGCTTCATACGCATACGCGACCGGATTGACATAGTACAACCATCCGAACCAGATGACATCGGAAGTCAAGGTTCGCATCGGTATGGTATAGCCGACAAAGATGAGCAGAAGATTGAGCGCCGTGCCAGAGAAGCGGACGGCGTCATCAATGCTGGGACTCAGGGAGGCGAACATCCGGTACAAGGCCGTGATGCAGATTGTGCTGACGTAGACGAAGAGCAAGTTGATGAAGAATTTGCCCGCTTCGACGTCCAAGTTTGCCATGAAGTATAGGATGATGGTGAACACCACGGCTTGAACGGCGATGACAGGCAGGTCCAGGAGAACTCGGGCGATTACAACAGCACTCGGTCGGTAAAAGGCATAATCGCGATGTCGAGCAACGACAACACGTCCACTCACGGCCCTCATCAACTCGGTCAACTGCAGCCAGCCAAGGAAGAGAACCGAAAAGAACAATGCACCGCCACGAGGAAACGCACCAGCCGTGTCAAGACTCTCGCCGTAGAAGAGCGAACCAATGATCAAAGCATTAGCCACGATGATAAAAGCTTTTGTGTAAAGCGAGGTTTTGTCACCCCAGAAGAGCCAGAACTCACGAAGAGTGCAGGCCAATACCTGGCGCCAGAAGGAGACGGTGTAACTTGACCGTGGAGACACGAGCTTGCTATTACTCTTCGATTGCTCGACGGCTTCTTGGAATCTTTTGGTGTTTGCGCAGTCTGTCCGATGCAGTTGAGCTTCGTATTCATCAACTTCGGAAATGGTCTGCCGGTAGATTGCGGATTTGCGGAAAGCGGCTTCAAGCTCTTCGGCCGTCTTGGGCGTGGAGGCTTCTTTCCCTGGCTGAAACTGTCGTTCATTCGGATCTCCCACGGACGTCAAAAAATCTGCGGTGGTCTGTCGATCGGGAGCTTGGAAGCCGAGGTCGATAAAATATTGCCGGGCGAGTTTGGCAGGACCTTGGTAGATGGTACGGCCTTCCTCAATGACCAACACCTTGTCCATGAGCTCGTAGATTCCCTCACCGGCTTGGTACAGGGTGACAAACGTGGTCCGGTTAGAAATGTCTGTCATGACTCGCAGAGATCTGGCATAGTCCAAAGCCGTAGACGCATCCAGACCTCGTGTGCTATTGTCCCAACAGACGACGGAGCTCTTAGTGGCCAGGGTCTCTGCGATACCTACTCGCTTCCTCTCCCCACCAGAGACACCACGGATATACCCATCTCCGACCAGAGTGCCGTATGTATGAGAAATGCCAAACATCTTCAGCAACGCGTCGATGATGACGGGGATGGTGCCCGCCTCATGTTGTCTGGTCTTGTTCATCAGGGCGAACCTCAGCGTCTGGCCGACGGTTAGGGAAGGCATATGTTGATCATCCTCGGGGTTGTAATTGACTTCTCCTCGATAATGTTTTCTCTGCTCCTCGGCTGATATACCACCATAGCTGACTTTGCCTTCGACTCCGGCAAAGCTATCGCGCTGGTTCGCAATGGCTTTGAGGAAGGTGGTGCATCCCGATCCCGGCCGGCCCAAAACCAGCATCATCTCACCATCTCGAACGACACCGGTGAAATCGTGGATCAAATCTCGCGTGGGAGGGTGCTTGCCCATTCTCAGGGCCGGAAAGAATCTCGTGACTATTCGATATAGGTCGGGACCGAATGTTCCCACGATGGCTTCCGGTAGTGTTTTGGAGAACGTCGCTTGAGCCCCCACGCCTTTCACCGTGAGATGTTCGTACACGACGCCCACCTTCTTGGCCGACTCTCCTGCCTCTGTTCTCTTCTCGAAGTGACCGTCTTTTAGGAAAGTGCCCAGGTCAAGGTCGTCATCATCCTCCTCGCCCGATACCGACGCAGCAGCCTCGTCGTCTGCTGCACTCGAGGCACTTGTAAAACTACCGGCCCTGGAAGATCTGGTTACTGTCCTGGCGATTGAAGGAGCGGTTCGCGCTCTGCCCAGCCTACTCTTGGGTTTTGTGGCCGCCGAGTCTCGCGTCCTCGTCCGTTGCAAGCTCAGTCGGGTGAGCTCTCTCCTCATGTGTTCGTAGTCGGCCATGGCCTCTTCCCGACTGACCGGACCGCCGATATCCCGTTCGCCCCACGTGCCATCTCGCGCCTGGGCAGGGCTCTCGTCGGAATCGCGAGGCGACTGTACCGCGCTTGTATTTTGTGAGAATGGGTCGGGGGCGGTGATGTTGTGTAGGTCATTGACGGGCGCTGCGGCGGCGGTCAGTATTGTACACAGCGAGGATTGAGAGTCGAGGGAAAAACTCACGCTCACGGCGGAAACTGCGCCCGTACATCTCCCGGGGATGTGTATTGAACATTTTGGTACGGATAAACTTCCACCAGTAAATAGAGACGTACGACCAGGACCAACCGGCACGAAGCCAAAAGAGAGACGAACAAACAAGACAACTAACAACGACAACAATCAACAGGACACGAAGAGAGGAAAAAAAAGAAGAGCGGTGGGTGACAGTCCAACAAGTCAAGTGCAAATCAAATGCGATTTTCGGCGAAACAAGACAAGCGGGAAAATAGGTCACCACTCATGATGATGACACTGGAATGGGTTGTTCAAATAAATGACCCTTGACGCTATTATCGTCTCTCGTGTGTGTCGGGTTGGGGTCAACAACTCGTTCCATGGTGTCGTAACGCAGTAAGCGGGCAAAAACATATGGGCCCGAGGACGGAGTTTGGAATGGGGTTTAACGGGATGGTGGTCCGTCAATGATCCTCGTAATGGTACGGAAGGGAATGGATTTCTAAGCTGGGAAGCACTTGGGCCACATGGAGAAGGAGAAAAAGGGTTTCCCGTTGTGCTTTGAGCCGCATCATCATAGAAGAAAAACACCAAAAAAATCGTATTAGGAAATCGAAGCGCAAAAGGACGAATGAAGATGCGAGGAAAGGACCCCGTCAAAAGATCTAAACTTACGGAAGTAGATGGAATGGCCGATATTTCACTCCGTACTACTGTCAATCGATTGGATCATTATTTTGGCAGAGAACAAGGTCCCCAGTTATGGCTAATCCATCATCAATCCCTTGCCCTTCTGGCGCAGAGGTTCGGTCCATCGGGCCAAGTCCTTGCGAACTGACAATAATTGATCATTATCATCACGTACGCCGTAGAATGAATACCTTAGGTAGCTAGGGAATTTTTCAATGTCTTACTCGTCGTACATGTGCTATTGTACGCTGTATTACTCGTCACTGGGTCGGGAATTGGCCGGAAGCGAGCAAAAGGATCAAAAAGAAAAGCGTTGAGAAATAACACTTTCGACTTGTCGTCTTCATATTGTTATCACCGTTCGTGGCCGTCATGACCAAGCAAACCTGCAGCTTGAGTGAGTCAAAATCTGGCCCAGGTTGACCAATGCTCGAATCATGTCCTTACGGAACAACATAGCCGGACGTATCTCCGATGACAAGGACATCCACAACGACTGCGACGACCGCGACGACTAAGACGAGATCCCTATACAGTACGAGGACGAATAAACACTACAAATCTTGTTCGCTTTCACCTCGTTTATTTTATCATCATACCAAGCTACTGAGCATCACCCATCCGTATTATCAAGTACCAAGGGCAGGCATAAGTCTTCTTCCTTCTGGCGCGTAAAATAACTCATGTCACCCCCTACATAAAATGTACATGGGTATCGTGTGTCTGTCATCACCCATTATGGATTACATCCCTGAATCAATACCAATCGAAATTTGCTCGTAGTTCATGAGCCAAAACATCTCCACTGTGACTTTTGCCGATTTCTTACAGCCAGAAAACGAATCCGGCACAGACGGCCATCAATGCAACCACCGTGCTCATGAACTCTCCACCGTTGAAGAGGGGAGGACCGGAGGCAATTCTGCTCGCTGCGCCTGAAGAAGTGGCAGAAGCAGCACCACCAGAGGTTGCGCTTGCACTGCCAGTCTTGGTCGACGACGGGTAAACTGTCGAGCTGTAAGTACTACTGTTCTGCGACGCCGAGGAAGTCGGGGTGACTGTGATGCTGCCTTTCGGAACACCACTTGGCATACCTGGTGTGACGCCCACGGCCCCAAGAGTGGGCAACGGTGAGCTGGGATCAACGGTCCATCCTCCTGCGGTCGAACTGGGGCAAGGCGGTGCTGTCGTGGATGGTTTGTAAGCTGCCGACTTGACTCCAGTGGGGTTCAACGTAGACCATTGTGATGCGAGGTTGCTGAAGTCAGGTTGGACTGGCGTGGGAATCCCCTGACGCGTGAACCTGCACAGGTTAGCATACGCGTATTCGTTGCACCAAATTTGTAAGCATGTCATAGTTACCCATCCACAACCACAGAGCCTTGGTCTTGACCACCAGGTGGGCCATATGTCACCAGGCCGTAGTGATTCGTCTCCTGGATCCATTCATAGATAATCGCGCCCGACCATGTATTCACCATCTCTGGTCCGAAGATTGCGGCTTGGTCATCAAAAGTTCGTGGCGGTACGGTGTTGCAGCCATCTTCCGAAAAGAAGATGGGCACGGGATAGTCTTCCGCACTAGCCTGAAGCCCTGAATAGCCAGAAGTGTTGTAATCAGGAGACGATCCACACCACTCATAGCTGTTCAGTGCATAGAAGTCCAGTCGTTCGGTAGCATTAGGACGACAGACGACATAGTTCTGCAGATTCGGTCGAAGGTTGGCCGTGTCGGTAGCCGAGTATCCAATAGGGATCTTGCGGTACCCCTTTGCTATACCGTAATTCTTCAGATCAACAGCGGCGGAGAGGAGGTATGGTGCGGCACCGGAATCGGCATCTGACCAAATTAGTAAGTATTCGTATATTTTACCCCAGGGAACTGCGTTCGTACTTGAATTGAGCACCTCATTACCCACGAAGAGGCCGGCAGTGTTGTCGTATTGTTGGAAATTGTCCATGACAGCTCGGTAAGAGTCTGACTTGTTCTGGGTCCAAGAAGGAGTGCCACTCTGCGTTTCTGGTCAGTGCCTTTTTCCCTTCAAGACCAGCCTGCCACTCTTACCAACTGAATGTACGTTTTGAAGCTGTCCATATCAACCCAAATGTAGATGTTGTTTGAGGCAAATGCGTTCATGCATCCAGAGTGGTCTGCGTCAGGATCGACATGGTAGACCCGAATCGAATTGGCTCCGACTTGTTTCATGAGGGCGGCATCGAGTGTACATTGCGTGGTATTCACGAGAGGGTCGTCTTCGACCAGCTGGTAAGCAACACCTGGGCAGACGAGGAATCAGTGACCCTGTTCGACCTTTGTTGAGTACTGGCATTCTCTCACCTTTGATGAAGAACTGATTGCCGTCACTGGTGAAGAACTTGGAACCGACGGCAGTAATGGTGGGAATGGCAGTGACAGTTGAACTTAAGACCGAGAAGACCAAGGCCACCAGAACCAGCAATGGACCCATGTTGACTGCTTGCTGTCTTGAACTTTTCTCTCAATCTGAGTATCTTGCTCCACGGAAAGTGTATGGACGAGGAGATGGTAGGAGCTTGAAGTCCAAACTGCGGAAAAACCAATACTTTTTTTCTTGCTCCCGACGTGGATGAGGGGGGCAACGATCGAAAAGGAAGTGAAGAGTCAACGCTCAGGCAAGAGATTCTTTTCGAGGAGGAAATTAAAAATTAATTCAACGTGGAAGGCAGGAAAACGAAGGGATTCGTGGGCAGGAGCAGTTGGTGCTGCTGGTGTTGCTGCTGGTGCTGCGATCAAGGTAGGCACTGCGCACAGCGAGCACCAAAAAGAAGCCACTGAACAAGACAGGCGCTGGTCAAGCAATCAATCAAACAACAGAATAAAGCACAATGCCAGTAGCGATTCGGCACTTCCCACTGAGAAGCCAAACACAAAAAAAGGACACAACAGTAACGAGCAGTTCATTCAAAAAAAAAGGCGACAGGAGAAACTCAGCTGTAGACGTCGACGGCGCAGGCTAGACGGCATCTCCCACCCGTCTGTCTCCTCCCCCAACGTCGCGATCAATGTCGATGTGACCTTTAGCGCAGCCTGTCGCGCCCGCGTTGTCAAGAAGGAATTCACGAGCCACCAATCATCAATCGACGTCGAGCTCGAAGCGATCAATGGCAATTAAGCCATGGGAAAGACGCGATGCGAAAATGGGCGATAGCGGGATTCGACAAAGCAGGTTTTTTTGAAGGGGGGGGGAATCATGACGATTGTCGATGCAAGCTTTAATCAGAGAATTGTTTATGGGGCCGGCCTTATCGATGCTTGGGGAGCTTTCTCCCGCCCTCCGAGGATTCCAAGATAGGGAACTGTGTCGAGCCCCAATCGCTGCCACCCTAATGGTAGAAAAGCCCCGAAGGAACGAGCCTAGCACGGCCCAGCACATGCCTAACTTGTTACCCGAGATGCCCCTAAACCACCCCTAGTGCACCATAACAATGCTCCGTCCTCCGTGTCACCCACAGTAGTTCTCACAAGCCACAGATAGAGCATGCACGTAGCTGTATCCGGATGTGTGAATAGCTAGGATATTTAGTGGGCGCCCTGTTAACAGTAATACGGTACCAACAGTAAGTATGTACCTACAAGGCGGATACCTTCCGGGTGTTTTATCCAGGTTTCACAAGTATTCAAGTGGACAAGTAGTTAATGCATGTTGCACGTTGCAACGATTTCAAAGGTTGAAAGAAGTTATTATTATGTATGTGTGACTTGTCCAACTTTTCAGTTAAAGTGAAAGGGGGACAATTCACGACAAGCTCAGCACTCAAACATAGCAATCCCGGCCTAGGACGCCTGTAGCTGATCTCGTTGCATGGCCTGTAACTCCTAGCTCATCTCATTAAAAACGGTAAAAGAAAACAGCACATATTGCTGGTAGGGTATCTCATCTCTCATGACCAGCCCTAGCAAATGCCGTTGGTTCTGCGAAACCATGTGTACCACCCACGCCATGATGCTAAAACCCCGACAACGCCATGCTCAGTTGACATTAGAAAAAACCAGCCATCATCTCCTCTGTGTGTTTTATCCTCCCAACGCCATGCAAGTAATCGACCGTGGAAAATAAAGGGAGGCGTTGTCTTTTGCAAGCAGAAAACAACAAGTCTTCACCCAGTCGTAGCAGCCGTGCGACGTATGACAAAAACGCCGACCTCCAGACCGACGTTTCCGGCCGGCTGTCGACTCTGGCGGATGCCATCGACAACTTCGCGGGCCAGCATGGCCGGTGTCACGTCAATCTGGCCACGAGGAGGCGGCATCCGACCGCCAGACTTGTGGTAGTCGACCAGGTTCTGTCGTAGCCGGTGGTGTTCCTGTTCGACGAACCAATCCACCCAGACAGAGCGATCCAGGACGACATCGGCAGTCTCGGAGTGGACGATCTCGTAACGGCTCGCCACGCCACGAGAAGGTGATCGTTGATTGAGTGCACCGCACATTGCCGACACCGCCGCTCCGATTTCTTCATACGTCTTCATGGCTTGAACTGCCGGCAAACTACCCAGCGTATTCGCAACGTGCATGAACAGTCCGTTGAGGAGGACAAAATGGCGTAGAAAGGGCTCGATGATGGGATTGACGTATCTATTCGCAAAGGTCAGAGATCCCTGCTTGGTCGGATAGATCAACAGAAGGGTGCCGTTGTTCGAGGAAAGCTCGAGAAGTCGATCGGCGAGGTAGGAGCGACGACTGAGGGTGAAGAAATCTTTGATCTCTTGAGAAGTGGTAGGGGGAATGTATCGTTCAAGGATCGAGACTTGGATGCTGCTCGGCACGGCGATGATGTTGGTGGGCCTGGTCCCGATGTTGATGGTAGTGTTGGGTGGGGAATGGTACGCGGGCACCATGGCGGCATGCGTGAAGATGGTCTGGTCTTGAAAATAGTCGTCGCTGGCATAATTCGTGTTTGGAGTGGCAGGTGGTGACGCCGGCACTTCGTCCATGCTAATGACTTGGGACACGGCGTGGGTTATGGTGATGTATGGAGCAGTGGAAAAGCGATTCTGAATTGCCTGAACCACCTGTTCGAAGACGGACATGATCTCTTTCGACTTGGGCTGAGAGGGTAGAGCTTGAACGACCATCTGGAGTTGGTATTGGTTCGTGGAATCTCCGAGACTCGATGCTGTGGGACCACGTTAGCTAAGGGCTATCCATCTACAAGTTCTCTGACCACTATCACCACAAGGTTCTTACCAAGTTGCTGGCAAGCTCGACTTAGCCAGTCAGACCGGCTGGAGTCGTCATGCGAGAGATCTGCTCGTTCCGGCATTTGGATACCTGACGGACGGGAGGTAGACCGAGGACGCGGCTCACCTGTGCCGGTTGGCTCTTGTCGATGAGATCGGTCTGGGTCAACGTCCGATACAGTTCGGATGCCGTCGGAAGAAGGAGATTGCACAGGACTACTGTCCCATTTGAAGGCGTCCAGGTCGTCTGGGGGTGTGAGAAGGGGCACAATGCCACACGGGTTGATCAAAGAAGTGAAGGCTGAACGGTCATATTGCGGCCAGGATTGCGCAACAGACAACGGCTGTACTGGTAGCGAATTGGAGCGTGAAAGACTGAGGTCTGTGGAAGGTGGGTGGGATGCTGTCGTTGAATGGCGTCTTGCGTGCGCATCGTTTGTCCTGGACTCTGCTTCGTGGCCCTTCATGTCCATGTTCGTGTTCATATTCACATTCATGTTCTTGCGTGGAAAATGAGGGAGCCTCATGTTCAGTCGTAAAACCTCGTTCCTCTGCACGACCTTTTCAACCGAGTCCACAGATGATCTCCTCCTCCGGCTAGGCTTTGATGGTCGCCTCGAGCCATATACCTGACTCTTGTGCACGGGACTTGGTCCAAGGTTTGAGCGAACGTCTTCCGAATGCTTCAACAGACCCTGTCCTGCCGTCTCGACGATTCCAGCTCGTCCCAGCATAGCCACATGGTGCTCCCCCTCTTCGGAAGGTGATAGTATTGGAGAGAGTTCGTCTACCTGCACCACCACCGACTGCCTTTTTGGTATTTGATACAAGCCGTCATCCAGCAACAAAGGCTGGGGGTTCATTTGCGAGGCTGAACGGTTCTGGTCTGGAATGGATATACGGACAGTGCCAGGGGAGGGACTGCAAACGCCGGGGGACGTAGGAAGGAATGTGGCAATCAGGGAGCGACCGTTGGGACGGGCCCGAGATAGCAGCTGACACTCCCGCAGATCAGCCGGATGAGGGTATAACGAGGGACGGACTCGTGCAGGAGTGGACGTCTCATAAAGCAACAGGGACGCCGAAGGGGGTCCAAGGAGTCTGTGTGAAGAGGAATCTGCAGACGTGTGTTGTTATGTTGCTGATGGTCGCCCGTGAGGGAAACTGGAAACTTGGGAGATCAACGGAAGCGAACAAAAAGGAACTGTGGGGGAAGTTCAAACGGATGGCGAGAAAATTAATTGAGGTTCACCAAAGCTAGCTTAGGCAGACTCTTTTTTGACATGGGTCAGCCGACAAGGACCGCTAGAGGTACGGAGTAGGGACCACTAGGTAGAGGTACTCTTACTCCGTACAGGCGTTCTGTGAGGTAGGGCGATGTTGTGGGAGTGACAGGGGGTTCAGAGGGTACGGTAGTCGTACTTGTTGTGTACTCTGTAAACACTAGAGGTAGGCTGCCGTGTCCTCGTCGGCTGTTGAGGCCACCGGGAGAGGGAGGATTCAGAGCCTCGCAAGTGTTCGAATAAGGAGCCACAGGCTGATTCAGGGCTTGGAATGGCCGGGAACCTTGTAGAGGGGGATGAGAAAAAGTCTCCTGCTGGTTCTCCCTCTTTCGTTAGACACCACAGACAGAGCAAGTTGCGAAAGAGATGCAGAACATTTTGGCCCTGGTGGAGCGATGAACCCCCGTCGGCCAGTGGGTAACTTGGTGGTTCTAGACCGTCGTAGATCGAACAAGGCGCCTGCGATAAGCCGCTTCAGCGCTGGCCTCATCCCTGCAAAACCGGAAGGATCCAGGAGGCCCAAACCACCTGTAGGCCGAGTATTTTACTCAGCTCGCGAGTCCCATGTCATCACTTTTGAAATGGAGAGAGGCTTTTTTCGCTGCTGAGATGGCCATCCATGGGTTGTTACTTGTACGAAGCTGTTCACAGTAATTTTTTTCACTCGTAGAGAAACCAGCACTGTGTCTTGTCTTTCTTGTGCCGGCGTCTACCGGAAAATAATACTGCAGTAGTAGTAAATCTAGGCACTACAATGGGACCTAAGCATCGTTACTCCATACAGTACTCCGTAATAACGGTACAGGGGGGGGGATCCTCAAAGTGGAGGACCAAAATCCCTACTAACAATAAGGTGGTATGTAGGTGATAGTCAATCATTTATCTGATCAATATCTGGTCAAACGCCCTACGGATTACGAGTACGCAAAGTGACTCCGTATCCTCGATCGATCTCTTCCCTTGGGGGTCCTTTTTTGACGAGGCATTAAACTGCACAAGTACTAGTTGACCGTCCATCACCTGGGTACCTATGTAGGTATTGTAGGTACGATAGATACTTCTACTGTAGTACTGTCTTTGAAGAAAAGGGAAGTACACCGTAGATGTGTCACAGATCTTCTAATCGGCCACCAAAAGACATTTACATTGTAGTATTCGTACTCGTATCCATACCTGTACACATGTTACATTGCATCTTTGACTTTTTTTTGTTTTTTCACAACAACAACAACAACCCGTAAGAATTTGAGGAGCCTCACAGCCAAGCAAAAAAAGGTACAAGTACGACGACGAGCTTCTTCCGTCCGGCTTGGCCCAGTGCATGGTCGTCCTTCAGTTTCCACTCTTTTCTTACTGATGGAAGTTTCCCAAGTCTACAAAAAGTATGTACCTACAGTACGGTGGGTGCACCGTACCTCGTACTGCATCTCCGTCTGGAAGTTGTGAGATGTTCTGGCTGAGTTTGCCTTTTGACAGCTGCAAGTCAGGAAGAGGCGCTGAACTAATTTCATGGACATTCCCTATCACTCACCTCTCAAGGGCCTTCTTCTCTCAACGACAACCATGCAGCACCGGCTATAAGGCTTACCCAACCGGTCAATCCGCCCGAGACCCATTGGGGGACCGTGTCGTGTCGTGTCTTTGCATCTGCATCTCACACCTCCCCCCCTCCCCCCCTTGTAAACTCTACAACTATTACTCCAGTATGTACATACCTACTATCACACCCGCGAGTGAGAAAAGACTCCAAAAGTGACTTTTTGGCCCTTCTACTCCGTAACGTCCTCGGCAACACAGTCACCCGGTCTCCACCCGCCCTTGCAATGCCCGTGATAATAATTCGACATCACGCCATCTCAATGGACTTTCTACCGGGGGGGGGAAATGACAAAGTATTCATAAGCCGTACTCCGTACACAAATCTACGGATGATCCCAAAGAACTGTTAGGGGGAAAAGAAAAGAGCCCCACCTTCGGCTATTGCTTTCTGAAAAGGAGTGACGAGTATCTACCGTACATATGTACGGCGTAGCTCGAGCTCTAGATGATAAGGCTTCGGAAGATGAATGACTTGCAGCCAGACGGGAGCCCAAAAGTGGGTTGAACGGCGGTTAGAACGGTCGGGCGGCAACTGGGCTGCTGAAGTTTTCCCATCAACAACTCCCTACGGTACATACAACCCTTGGGCCTGGTGAGTGGGCCACTAAACTTCCCTAGCCTCGACGAAAATCAGGCGACGTGTAAAAAAGACCCCTGCCGATCGCCCAAACTGGATCCCCCGTCGCTACATAGAGCTGACGGTACATACATACAGCTGGACAAGTTACGAGTATGTACGGAGTACTCCTACCAGGGTCTACTACTGTTACTTGCAGGCTGACTTTACCGCAAACCGGGGTGATCTTCGCCACAAGGTTCGGCTGGTGCCACGAGCGTTCCAAGTTGCATCCTGCATACTTTGGCACAGGCACCGTGCGAAATGCCAAAATGGCATGCCACCCTCTTCAGATTGAAGGGACCGTCGCGCAATCTGAGCCCAACCCTCATCTACGACTAGAGCGGCCACCTTCTCAAATTGACAACCATGAAAAAGTAAGGAAAAGAGACCGTAACATCGGCGAGCAAGATGAAGACCCCAATGGGAGGTCAGGGCGCGACCACAACATTCGCACATAAAGATTTTCTAGGGAGATCGGAACAGCAAGCAAAGACAGCGTAGACTGTATCATGTGTCTCGGCGTGGACACCGCAGCACTCTTGTTGAACGATGCCGCTTCCAACCAAAGCAGGGACCCGGGGCCCCTTCGTGCTTTTTTGCCATCCCTCGAGAATCCAAAAAGGTAATACTCCTCTTGTACGTCAATATTTGTGACCAACTCTTCCGGCCTTGGGATCCAGCACGACGCGAGGGTCTCGAAAGTCGACCCATCCCAGCATTGGCTACAAGGTGTCAGTCACTGTGCTTTCCCATGAGGTAGAATGTCACCCAGGGCTTTGTCCGAGGGACTCACCTCGCTCACAGCGTACCCCATGAGTTTCTGAATCCTCAACGGCAGACTCCTCGCTACGTCCAAAGGAACGCAAAGGTATTGATTCTCCTCTTGACGCAGGTATCCTCTGGTCATGAAACAGCTGAATACCAGTCGCTCCTCATCCGTGGTCGTATTCTTGCTGCCACCGTGGTAACAGCTGGAGAGCATGATGAAGCCGTCTCCAGGGTTGAGTTCGGCATATACCGCGTCCTTCTCGTCTGGTGGCTGTGTCGTGTCCTCCAGATGACTGCCAGGAATAAACCTGGTGGCTCCGTTGGCCTTGGTCGTTTTGGTGCCCGCGACGAAAAAGCCGATGCCGTACTCTCTCGAGTTGGGAGGCTCCGGATACTTGTTCACACGCAGACGGTTGGCATAGTGTATGTCATCGTCACGATGGAGCGGCTGGTCAAACGAGTCCCCCGGGCGGACGGAAAATACGATCGTGTTGTTGACCTGCGGCGGCGAGACGCCGACTTCGTTCCGGTCGCCATACCACGCGTATGCTTTGCTGGTCAGAAACTGTTCGCACACCGCCTGGTAGAGGTCGTTGCCGATCAGTTCAAGGGCGGCCGTTCGAGACTTCCCAATCAATCCAAAAGCACGCCGTGTGGAGGGTGGGAAGAAGTCGTTGCTCGCTGTCCAAGGAACGTCGGCCTCCAGGTAAGGACGCATGTCAATCTCCATCTGTGCTATGGCTTCTTGAGATAGAATGCCCCTGACAATGACTCCGCCGACACGCTTCAACCCTTCCACCACCTCACCGGGGCTTGCACTTGGAGCATATTCCGGAACCTCGAGACGCGGTCGGGGTGGGTACGTGATGCTATGTGCCTGTCGGAGTTTGTCGAACGATATGTGAACATCGCCATATTTGACGGTAGGAGGAGCGATGTTGTGGTTTTTGGTGTCTGAGTCAACCGTGCCGTTTGTGGTCGCTGTTGGACTCATTTTCCGAGATTGTTGTCGAGATCTTGATGGCGGGTGAGAGAGTCAGAGAGTCAAGACATCGATATCTGTCTCAAACATGCCCGTCATGGCCCGACACGTCAGTACTGGTCGCTTTGCGATCACAGATCCTCCCCGTCTCTTTATCTGCATCCTGCCAGGATTCCATGCGGAGTTGTACTGGTGATGCCGTCCTGTGTCCGTGGATGTCCAATTGTGGGGTTGACTTGCCGTTGGAGCGCCGTTGTGCGTCCGACGAAGCGCCGCTATTCGCTTCTTGCTTGCCCGGATTGCATATCATCGGGGGAACTGCTCATTGATATTCTTTCTCCTAGAGATAAGTTAGGGAAATGCAGGTACAGTGAATTTGGTGTATATATTCCGCAATGGCTCTTGTTCCTGGTGCGGTACGATGTCTTTTTCTTCGCCGAGTGTCTCTATAGCGCTTGAAAATGGAGTCCAACAAAACATCCACGATTCGCAACGCCAGCATCACTGAGCCAGAGATTGGCACCATGAAACCTATTGCCAATGATGATTTCGACTTGGTGCAGCTCACCGGGCACAAACCCGTCCTCGAACGGAACTACAGCCGCTTTGCACTCTTAGCAATGTCATTCATGTATGTACTCTCTCTCTCTCTCTCTCTCTCTCTCTCTCTCTCTCTCTCTCTCTCTCTCTCCCCTCTCCGTCTCTGTCTCTCTACCTTACTAGATTACTTTTTTAAGGATTGAGGGGGCGAGAAAGGTGTAATTTGCTGACAATTTGAAAGGATCGTGGATTCTTGGTCTGGTATTATCGGGGCACTCGCTACCGGCATCGCAAGTGGCGGAACTGTGAGTCGATGAATTCACATTGAACAGCTCTCATTCACACTAGCCAGGTAATGTTGATCTATGGCTCAATCGCTGTCACGGTCATGACAATGGCGGTTGCACTATCCCTCGCAGAGTTGAGTAGCAGTTTTCCAACGAGCGGGGGCCAATACCATGTAAGTCACGCATCATGTCGTGCCAGAAGCATCTGCTGAGGATCTTAGTGGACTGCTGAACTCGCCCCGAAGCGTTGGGCTCCCTTGTTGAGCTGGTATTGCGGGTACTTCAGTACCATCGGCTGGTGTGTCGTCAGTGCTTCTATCACCGTGATTCTCGGTCAATTCTTGATGGCCATGATAATACTCGTGCATCCCGACATCACCTATCAGCGTTGGCAAGGCTTCGTCGTGTACGAGGGCATGAACGTCATTTTCATGCTGATCAACATATATGGTCGAAAAGTCCTCCCGTACGTACACAGCATAGGGTTTTATATCTGCATCACGGCATTTTTGGTCGTCAATATGACGATTATTGGGAGTGCATATCCAAAGAACTCGGCAGATTTTGTCTTCAAGACGTTTACCAACGGAACAGGCTGGAAGGCCAACGGCATAGCTTTCATCGTGGGCCTGACGAATCCAGCATTTGCCTATGGCGGTCTAGATGGCGCGGTAGGTCTAGCGGCATCCGTCTCGATTCAACATAGGCTGACGTTGTTTCCACCTAGGTCCATGTCGCCGAAGAATTGAGAGGTATTGTCGTGCCTCATGGTGAAAATTGGCCCGCGGTACTGATGCAATAGAACGATAGATGCTCGTCGAAACCTACCTTTTGTCATCATCTCGACAGTATGTATCGGGTTCTGTACGATGATTGTCACTGCCATCGCCATCTGTTTTTGTATCCTCGACCTCGACAAAGTCCTGGCCACGTCAACCGGCGTTCCGATCTTGGAAATATTTTACCAAGCAACCAACAACAAAGGAGCTTCTATATTTCTTCTGTGTGTCCTCTTCTATCTCACATGTGCGGCAACGGTTGCGTCTCAACAGACTGCGAACCGTCTGATATGGGCGTTCGCTCGAGATGGGGCATTGCCATACAGCAATCAGTAAGTCGACGTCGGCGAAAAAGTGTTTGCTCGGGCTGACATTTGTCAGACTGCAGTCGATTCACCCTCGACACAAGGTGCCTGTGAAGGCAGCAATCTTGTGCTGGGCCATTATTGCTATCCTTGGATTTGTGTACCTGGGGAGCACTACTGCTTTCAACGCTCTCGTGGGGTGTAATGTCCTGCTGGCGAATATCTCCTTTGCTTTCCCCATTGCCTTGCTGCTCTTTGGTCGCCGGAAATATCTCAAACCGTCACTTTTTCCGTTGGGGAATTTTCTGGGTCCAATAATCAATGCTGTCGCTCTCGTATGGATCATTTTTATGGTGGTGTTTTTTGATTTCCCCTTTACAATGCCTGTACACGCAGACAACATGAGTGGGCCTTTTCCTCTCCACGCCATTAGGGTAAATAATGCTGACGGTGCTCTTCAGATTACAGTTCCGTCATTATAGGCGCCGTGTTGATCTTCGCAGGGCTTTATTGGATGCTGAATGGTCGCAAGTCATACCAAGGGCCGGTAAGTCTAGTGGTATCCTCGCAAGAGATGAGTCAAACCACTCATGTTATGTTAGAAAATGGAAGTCGGCATCGACGCTGCATTTCAATCACAGCTGGAGCAGAGTACCGCAGGAGCGCCTTGTAAACGGTAACTTGAACTTCGCAACCAAGGAAATGAGTCGGACAAATCTGCGTGATGGGCTTGAATTCATCGGGTGTTCAATATGACCTGGATGTACAGCACCTCCGCACAAGTCACCGTCCGCCCCAGCATGCCAGGTCAGCCCCTTTTACAATCATGAGCATTGCGATTATATAGGCATATCACGAGGTCTCATGTTGTAATAGATATCATTTGATGGCGCTTTTTTCCGAGAATATGGCTCTCTAGTTGTGTAACTATTATCGCGTGTACCAGCCCTTTGCCTCAAGGACGGCGTTGACCCTATTGTCCATGCTCTTAACAACACCTGATGCTTTTAGGAGGAATAGAAGCAGATGTCCGTTGAATAGCAATCTTAAAACACTCTCGAATCACTTCGGAATCACCTATTGTAAATTGCAAATCAGGATTAATAATGTTAAGAAGGTGTTTAATCTTAAATCAGAGAATTTGAACCGGGTTTCAATCCAGAGAATAAGGAGGCCAATCTACTATAACCTTAATACCATTATCCTCGAACCATTTTCTGACCTTTTTAGCTCCATGAATAGGTGCGTTATTCTGCATAAATATTATGTCTGGTTTCTAGAGAGACAAGATATTGTCATTAAGAACTTTTAGATAAGAATTCGCTGAATAGCTCAATCTTTAGCCCTAAAGTCTCTCTTGAGAATATAGACATTTAACGCTTCCGAAAAGTTTCGAAGATAGTAGTCTATATTATACTAGACAGATCTCTTGATTTATTTATTGAAGTGATTTTTTTCATTTTCTATTTGTCATTAGGTGTTCAAAAGATCTATTCTCGTTTTGTTCCATCGCCTCGTCAAATAGAGCATTCATCCGACCATATAACACGTTGTCAGTTCTCCTAAGTTCATTCCTTATGTATCATAGCCTATTGCAATCGTTTCTCAGTATCCTTAGCCCTTGCGAGGTCATGAGAAGTCGTTCCCTTCTTGCAAGTCCCAGGCGTCTGAGGCAATTGGTCAAAGCCAGGAAACTGCCACGGCAGACTGTCGATGTTCCACGGCGAAAAGTCCGAATGGTGCCAATTGTCTGGGTGGGGCAATATTTCTCCTTTCGAGACCTCATCGAGGAAGATAAAGGCTTGCCTCGCAACTGAGTTCTTCGCGCCTAGCTTTTTGAGTACAGGCAAAGATTCTTGGAGATTCTGCAAGCCTCGTGCTGATATGGAGGGATCTGGATCGCGAGATTCACGTGCGTGCTGGCACATGGCAAGATAGAGCTGATGTATTGCAAACACCCAGATCGAATTTATCAAATCTTGCTCGAACAGAGAAAGGCAGATCTTGCTGATGGCTGTTGCCGCATCGTGGACGACTTGTGCGTTGGCCCCAGCGATAGAGTCGAACCGAATGACCGCCGTATAGTACGCGACGTGGAGCGTGCCCGACCAAAGCGTGTGCTGTGAAGGTGGTCTATTGGGGTTCATAGTCGGCGGCAACCCCGACAACCAGGATTGCAACTCCTCCTGGGCACGTTGGGAACCTTGCTCTCGTCGCAGTCGGTAGGAGCCTTTTGCACGACCCCCAGGACGAAGGCAGTCGAGCCAGTCATTGATGATGAAGCAAAGAGAGATCGCCGCTAGGAAGAAGTCGATGTGCTCAGCGCAAGCCAAGGCTCCTGGCTCGGTTGGCTCGAAGTCGCTCTGCTGGAGTTCTGGGACGTCGCTGTCTGCCAGGTGAATTGCTCGTGGCCGACCCCATTCGAAGGAGCAGAGAGTATCGTGCAGGACTAAAGTCCACCATACTTTCTTCCACTGTCGCCGATGCTTCGAATCTGTGGCAGCACTACCGAGATCTCGGTGCATGCCTAAGCCTTGAGCGATCCGCACTGCACTGCCCAGGGACAGCCACATGTTTTGAATAGTGTCATCACAGCTGTCACAAGTGTATGTGCTGAACAGTAGGTGTGCAACTACCAATGTTAGCCGGTCTTGCTCGAATCTTTGGTCGACAAGCGCTTTAGCACGATGATGAAGCCGTCTCGAAACTTCTTCTGGTTGTGACTGCAAATCTGGATGTTGCCAGACGGTCGAACCAGATAATATGACTGCTTGCAACAGTAACAGTGGGGGGCACAGAGTTTCGAGCGACGACAGATCGAGGTAGGATTTTCGCAGACCGGCCTGGTCTATGATAGGCATAGTAGGGTAAACTCGGTCGAAGAATGCAGTTATAAATCCGCTTGCAATGTTCCTGTCGGGAAGCACAAACGAGCCGTGATGATCGAGTATGGCTCGTTCCTCTTCAGTGATGGTCCGCGGAATGGTACCATTTAGGCGCTTTATGAAAGGCGCGTCACGGAAATGCTTCACGTTCGGTTGAAAGCCTTTGCCAAAAACTGGGCCTAGCACTCGCAGCACATTGGCGTAGTCCTCCACAAAAGTTGCCTGGTAATCTCCTATTGATCCCTTGTCAAAGTCTTGTGAGAGGAAATCTAGCAGAATCGATCCTGCCTTGGCGATATCCTCACTGCCCAGGACCTGAATCTGCTCAGGATCGTGGTCACCTTCACCGAGGGTTGCATAGCTACTACGGTAGCTCGAAGAAGGGAGAGCGGTGGATGAAGCATGCCTTTCGGGTATCCCTGTTAGCCCGTTTTCAATACCAGTGCTATTTATACACACGCCTCTGAAGCGGCGGTCAGGGCAGCTTCAGCCACACGAATTCGACGTCGCTTTGGGTGGAATTCGTGACAATCCAAAGAGGCCCTACTGCATGAGGAGCAAGGTGTCCCCATGGTCGCCATGTCGCAACGTATCTTCCGAGCATGACAGCTGACACATGCCTGTGCCTTTCGGCTAACTATAGGTTCGTCAGCAATCTGGAGAACAATCAGAGGCAGTGGACACACTCACCACCTGTCCTGTGCATTGTAGACATCGTAAGGGGTACTAACCGTGAAAACACAGCAGCAGTGACAGTGATGACAATCAGCGAGGAGGGTGCCGGCGTCCTTATCAGCGTCTGGAGATGCGGAGTCGGAGGACAATGCCGCCTCTTCTCCAAGGCGGCACGACTAGTGAGCATTTAGTGAGTGATCTCGGGCATCGACCTTCACTTGAAGCGATGCAAGGACGATGTGTAAAGAGTCCACAGCTCATTGAAGGATTCTGGAAACGTCGCTGATATTGCAGTTGAGGCGTGCATTCAGATGGATAGAGACCATAATTGCAGAACTAGAGGGAAGCAAGCAAGGAGATCTCGAGGTTGATCTGCATATCTTGGACGTGAAACATCAGGGACGTGATGAGGTGCGGCCACCACCACAGATCAAGGCATTTTACGATCCTTGTACTGGCAGAGGAGACGTAAAGCAGACACAGTCCCAGGTAGACCGGCAGTCCGTAGGCGAGACGAACGCGTGTACTGTACGTGAATCGAGCAGTCGATTAGGGGTATCCTTTTCCTCATCTTTGATAGTAGGGGGACACCTGAGGCACCGTGTAATATATGTGGCCTCTGAGACGGTGGCAGTGATCATGGCGAATGATGCAATTCAGCTTGTCGAAGAACAGTATTCAATACATGATGATAGCGACGATGAAGCTCTCAGTGCATAAAAAGCATTAGCGGCAATAGATCAATCGCAAGGGGAATAGAATCTCTTGGATCTCTTGGTCGCTTGGTCTTGGGTTCCGCCGAGCAGCCGAGAATCACGGAGGCGCAGCACAGCACACCACCTACTCCGTGCCGGCCAATGGTCCCTCCCTCACCCTGCCCGTTCCATGCGATGACCTTAGGTTTACAAAGGTCTTCATCCTTTTCCATTTGGGTTTTAGATGTTGTCGCCATCACCTTCGAAGGTCACTGGCAGCCCGACTGCGGCGTGCATGTGTCGCCGATAATCCATCACTGAGTGTGTCCTTCGGGACGTCACTCGATCCTCCACGTCAGACAACCATGGGCGACAGTAAGAGCCGCTACGAACATTTGCCAATCCCGACTTATGAGGAAGCCACTTCATCTCGTCCGACTTCTTCTCAATCCAGGCTGGGTCCTGAAGAGATCAGCGACGATGCTGAGAGGCAGGGTCTCCTTCGCGGTGACAATGGCAACTACCAACCCCCGACCGTCGAGTCCGCGCGGCCTAGTCTTGACTCGCTCGATGGCCTTGAACATGATGAAGAGGAGGAAGTCCGCCGGGAGATGCAGCAGATGGATATAGAAGATCCTGGCAGCGACTCCTCTTCGAATCGCTCCCTCCTCCGATACCGTCTATCCAAACGATTTTCGACCTTCACCAACTCCTTTTCTTCGCTCACCCTCCCATCCTTCCGTTCATACTTTTCGAATTTTTCGTGGCCACGCATAAATTACCAGTCCCTCGATACGAATCGAGTGGTCATTATAGGGCGATTGTTTGGTGTTTTCTTGATTATGGGGGTGTTGTATATATTGATTGCGTCGGATGTGTTATCATTTACGAAGAACAGAATGGGGATGGGCCAAATGTACGACCCAGAGTCAATACGAATATTCATTCAAAACCACATGAACGATCACGGGCATATGCAAAAATATCTGGAGCACATAACCGACTTTCCACACGTTGCAGGCACCGAGGGCAATTATGTTCTTGGAGAATGGGTCATGGAATTGTTCAAGTCTTCGGAACTTGAAGACGTGAACATGGAACGATTTGATGTCTACTTGAACTATCCCCGCAAGGATGGCAGACGAGTCGCAATCGTCGAACCCGAAGAGGCAAAATGGGAGGCCAGGATCGAGGAAGATCAGGAACGGTCTTTTGTCTTTCACGGACATTCCAAGTCGGGTGACGTGACTGGACCTCTAGTATATGCCAATTTTGGCTCGAGAGAAGACTTCAAGACGCTGGAAGAGAAGGGAATTTCGGTCAAGGATGCCATCGTCCTCGTCAGATACTATGGCTCTCAGGGCGACAGGGCTTTGAAAGTCAAGGCTGCCGAACTTGCAGGTGCCGCAGGCTGTATCATCTACTCTGACCCGAGCCAGGATGGGTTTGTCCAAGGGCCAACGTTTCCGGATGGGCGATTCATGCCGGCAGATGGGGTGCAGAGGGGCGCCGTTAGTCTGATGTCTTGGGTGGTCGGAGACGTCCTCACACCAGGCTGGGCGTCAACCCCGGGTAACAAACAAGTTCTCAAGGCCGAGGATAGCCCTGGACTCAACAAGATCCCATCCATCCCACTCTCGTGGAACGATGCTAAACACCTCCTTGAGGCTATCAAGGGCCACGGTGATCGAATGACCGATGTCTGGAAAGGGACACCCGACACAGACTACTGGACCGGAAATCAAGATTCTCCGAAAGTAAACCTGAAAAACATACAAGATGATGAATTCAAGCAGCCCATCTACAATGTCCTCGGCAAAATCACCGGCTGGGAACGACCTGAAAAAAGAGTCATTGTCGGCAACCATCGTGATGCCTGGTGTACCGGTGCCGCTGACCCTGGCAGCGGAACAGCAGTCATGCTCGAGGTCATCCGCATCTTTGGTGAGTTGCGTCGCCTTGGATGGCGGCCCCTTCGCACCATTGAGTTCGCCAGCTGGGATGGGGAAGAGTATAATCTTATCGGAAGCACTGAGCACGTCGAGAATCGCATGGCCGAGCTGCGAGCCGAAGGCGTCGCATATCTGAACGTCGATGTCGGCGTGTCGGGCCCGGACTTCCACGCCGCTGCGTCGCCGGTGTACGAGCGCATGCTCTTGCACGTGCTTGACCGCGTGGGTGATCCCGCATCGGGCAAATCGATCGGCGAGATGTGGACCACGGGCGGCCGTGGACTTGAGGGACTCGGCGCGGGAAGTGACTACGTCGCGTTCCAAGACATGGCAGGCACGTCGTCCATCGACATGTTCTTCAAGGGCCAGCGGTACCCGTATCACAGCTGCTACGACAACTTCGAGTGGATGACCAAGTACGGCGACCCAGACTGGAAGTATCACAAAGCCATGGGCGAGATCTGGGCACTCATGATTCTCGAACTGGCAGACAAGCCGCTCTTGCCGTTTGACCTGAACGCCTACGCAAAGAGCGTGGCGAAGTACGTCGACGATCTAGACAAATACGTCAACGATGCGGCATTGGCCGTCGGCGCAGGTGGCATCAGCGTCGACCCTCTGCGTAAAGCGTCCGACTTCTTCACGGAACAGGCAAAGGCGTTCCACGTCTTTGACGGTCACTGGCGTGACTTTGTCTTTGGGTCCGGTGGGTTCGAGAGCGCCGCCATGTCCACGGCCCGGGCGGAACATAACGACCGCTTGATCCATTTCGAGACGGACTTGTTGGACCTGGCTGACTTTGGCGGGCTCGTGAACCGGACGCAGTTCAAACATGTCATCTACGCTCCGCAGTTGTGGTCCGGATACGACGAGGCGTATTTCCCTGGCGTCAGAGACGCCGTGGATGCTGGTGACTGGGACGAGGTGCGCCATCAGATCGAGAAAGTGAGCGGTATACTTGAAGAGGCTGCGAAAAAGCTGAATGGATGATTATTGATATACTACCTGCCATGCGAGGTATGTGTGTGTACACGTGTTGTGTCATATCAGTCCTGTCTGACTACGTAGTCAGTCAGACGTAGTGTGGCACCGTTTCGCTTTTCCGTTATATTTGCAATGTTCATTTCCTCAATGTCAATAGTCCTTGTCCGAATAAAATACAGTAGCTATCTGGGTTTGTTTCTGTTCTGTTGTCATTGCGTATTTAAGAGGGAAGAGGAAGAATTCTCTGATCATGGACGTATGAGTAACAGTGCAGACAAGACTTTGCTAGACACTTCGTATGTATTTTCTTCTTTTCATTCTTCTACAGTAGAAGAATCTCGAGTCATGCAAGGGTTCCATCGCTTCGATGTTTACCTAATCATTCAACCAACACTCTGTACCTGAGTACCGGAGCAGGTGATGATCGTCTAAAAGTCCTTTTTCCAGCTCTTGGCCAGGTTCCAAAAACTTTCCATCTTCGCACGACTCAGCACATCCTTGGCCTGGGTGTCCGTCTCGCAGGTCCGAGCGCCCACCCATTTCCTGAAACTGCGCTGCTTGGCTTCACCCTTGAAGATCAACTCGCAGGTGTTGGTGCTGAGGTCCTTCAACTCGCCGTTCTCGTCCTCGGCCTCGAGCCACTTGGCCAGGACCTCGCGGTTGCCCTGCTCCACGGCCCGGGGGGCCTCCATCTCCTGCCACCGGATCCGGCTTTGCATGAGCTTGTCGTACTTTTGAATCGAGTGTTCGCCGCCCTCGACGACCACGAGGTTGAGTTTCGGGTGCACGACCACGACGCCGGTGAGGGCGTACTGTTCCGCGTTCACGGCGACTTGGTACCGGTGCTTGCCGTTGGCGAGGCTGTCGATCTTGTAGACGCGCACATGGATGCCCCGCGCGGCGTCTTCCTCCTGTTGGTGTGCGAGTTTCTCGGCGCGTTGCTCCTTGGTGAGTTTGCGTGACTCGTTGGCCTCTTCGTGGGTGTGTTGACGCTCGGCTATCTCGCGGTTGACGCGGGCTTCGACGGCCGTGGGATCCTTGACGGCTTCTTCACCCAGAACACGCATGAGGTTACTCTTCTTGACCTTTGGCGGAGGAGGAGGTTCAAGACCCAAGCGGATCTTTGCCTGCTTTTCCTTTAGGTCGGCTTGACGGCGTTGGCGGCGCACTTTTTTCTGCTCTTTGGTTGTCAGGAACATAGGCTTGGGGGCCGGGATGTGTTTCTCCTGAGGAGGCTCGATCAAGACAGGGTGTTGGATGTAGATCGTGATGATGGAGTCTGGCGTGTCAATCTTGAGCTTGGAAGGATCATCAATCACGTCGTAAGATTGGCCGTCCACGAGGCCTTCGTCCCACCATTCAATTTCTGGAGGTGCGGGCACGAGGAAGCCTCTTTCTGCGTTGAGATCTTCTTCAAGACCCGCAAGACGCGTGCGCTCGGCGATCTTTCTCTTTGTCTCTTCAAGCTGGGCTTGCCGTCGAAGAGCGGCGGCTTGTGCGATATATTTGCCTTTTTGGTTGAAGACGAGCTGTCGGGACTGCCGTGCCTTTGCAATGACATTTCGAGGACCAAGGCTTGTATCAAAGTACGGATTGTCCTTCAATTCTTCGAAAGTAGGCGCAGACAAATCCAGCTGCGCCTTTTGCGGAGCCGGGGACTCGGTTCTTTGATTTCCTAGCCCTGACCCAAATCGTGGTCGCGCTTTTGTTTGATTTCTCTGAGTATCTGGTTGTGTATCTGCAAGCAGCGCAGGATGTAGACCGATGTCAAGACCGCCACGTCCTCTCGAGCTATCATCGTTATAAACAGGCGGGGTACGCGTCGCACTGGACGGGTCCCTCTGTTGGCTCGATGTAGATGATCGACTTGTTGCCGCTGCAATACGTGCCCTGAGCTCAGCAATCTTGCTGCTTGTAGCAGATGGTGGAGGAGTTGGGGAGGCAGTTGCTGGGGCGCTCGACGGTGTTGTGCTCTGCTTGTTCAGCCTGGCCTTCAATTCCGCCGCTCTTGCTTTGGCCGCAGCGATGGCCTGATTCACGTCAGGTCTACCGCCTGAAGCCCCAGTTGCTGGTGTGGTAGGACGAGGGGAGCCATCGTTAGATCTAGCTCGTTTCTGTGCATCATCGTCATGGTCTTCCAGGTGTAGTCTTTTCAGCACTTTGGTCGACTTTCCTGCCATTTTGTATCGAGAGGAAGACTCACTGAAGAGACCGCGAAAGTCAGCTCCGACGGCTGTACCACTCTGGCGTGCTACTGCAGGGAAAGTCGCAATATGAGTTTTACGAGTAGCCTACAGTGGTGATAGTTCTGCGCTTGGTCTGAAAGATTTAATACACATTCCCAAACCAGGCACAGAAATGTTGCCGCCTTTTGCACGTGATTGATCTGAAACGTTAGATTCACAAACAGCGTGAAGGCTCGAATCTCCATCTTGAAAGACACCTGCCTCACACAACAACACTGGGCATCGTCCTATATGGATGGTGAAGATGACCTAGTCCTTTTGTTCGATGCTACATGGAAGCTCTATCCATTGCACCATTGCAAACAGCCTGATGATTTCCTGTGAGATAGGCTTCTAACAATGCTGCGTGAATGTGGCGCATTCGCGGTCCAGCCACGTACTGCCGTGATTCGAGAGTCTTCATAGCTGCATTTATCAACTAAAACGATTATTCCCTGCTGTTTTATGAGAGTAGCCAGTCCATTATTAAATACGTGTAGATATGCTCTGATAGAGGATCCATTATCGACGGCTTATGTGATTCACGAATTCGGACATATATTTCACCGATGCCGAAACTCCAAATCTCGGAGGTCAAAAAAAGTTGCTGATCCCCGCAGCCTCAAAAAAAGTGCACTACAGCGCTGCGACGATTTCTTGTTCAGTATTGTGTCTGTGTCTGCTACCACTATTGAAGACTTCGGGCTTGCTGGGTTATGGCATTGATGCGCCATGGCGGGCTATCCAAAACCTCTTCCCTCGGCCACCGCTGGCCTGGCCTTCTCCCGGCTGCCCTCCGAAGAAATCAGGAAGATTTCAGTTAAGCAAATTCATGTCTCACCAGCGCTCGATTCTATGTTTGGTCCAATCCCAGGAGGATTGCATGATCTCGCCCTTGGTGCAATCTCAGCCCTAGATGCAAAGTACGTTGATGGCTATAGCAAATTTTGGCCCTACTGACAAGGCCGCAGCTGCTCATCATGTCGAATGAACGCTATTCACTGCGCAGGTCATTGCGGCCACATTGAGCTACCAGTCCCTTGCTACCACCCACAATACATGGACGTGACTTTGCGTCTGCTTCGAGCCAAATGTGCCTATTGTCATCGCTTCAAGGCGCCTCGAAACGTAATCAGCCAGACCGTCTGTGCGTTGCGCCTCCTGGAATATGGTCTTGTCGATGACTATCAAGCCATCAAAGATATGCACTTGGGTGGACGCCGACCGAAGAGGCAAAAGACAGATGACGTCGTTGAAGATATATTGGAAGCTGATGAAGATGAAGACATTGATGATCTGATCGAGCGGAGAACAAAGGCAACGGAGAAGGCCATCAAACGTGCACGAAGGAAGGGTCTGCTTGACGAACAGGCTCTGACCCGCAATCATATTGCGATCGACGCGCGGAAACGGGTTATCACCGACTTTCTGAAAGAAGTTCCTTTGCTCAAAAAGTGCGCAAATTGCAGCGGGGCTAGTGTGAACTTCAGGAAAGATCGCAACGTCAAGATTTTCAGAAAACCGTTACAACAACGACAGAGAGAAGCAATGCGTGTTTTGGGTATGAAGGTCCCGAATCCTTTGATCTATCTTTTGTCAGAGAGAAAGCAACAAGAAGCGCCTGTGAAGAAGCCTCTAGTCAATGGCATTCACGATGACGACGTTAACATGGCAGATGCCAGCCAAACCACTGCTCCCGAAACACACGGTGCCGAGGAGGAAATCGCTTTGCGTAATGCCTTGGAGACCACATCCGCGTCTAAGAATGCGGAGCTTGAAAATGAGGATGATGTGCAGCACTACATGACTCCAAAAGAAGTGCAAGCCGCCCTCATTCTACTTTTCGAACGCGAAGTGGAAGTTCTCAATCTTCTATACGGGTCGAATTCGAGTCGGAAGCAGGCACTCGTGTCACCAGATATGTTCTTTATGACAGCCGTTCTTGTCCCGCCCAACAAGTATCGACCCTTAGCCAGACAGGGTGCAGAACAGATGACAGAGGCTCAGATCAATGGAGTACTGAATCGGATCATCAAAGCTGCCAATGATGTCCGACATATCAGTAGAGAGAACAGGAAAGCGCGAACGGACAAAACTATCCGACCGCGGAGCTTGAACGAAAACATCCAGGCAATGATCGTGCTACAGGAGACAGTCAATGCACTCATCGATTCACCGTTGCCGGCGTCCGGGAAGCCTGTAGACCAGGGTATCAAGCAAATACTGGAGAAAAAGGAAGGCCTGTTCCGCATGCACATGATGGGGAAGCGTGTCAACTTTGCAGCTCGCAGCGTCATCTCACCTGACCCGAATATCGAAACCAACGAAATCGGTGTGCCTCTTGTGTTCGCTAAGAAGCTCACATATCCGGAACCCGTCACAAGTCACAATTTTGACGAATTGTGCAAGGCAGTCATTAATGGCCCAGACAAATACCCAGGTGCCGCTGCCGTGGAGAACGAGAATGGGCAGGTCTTAAGTTTAAAGCGCAAAACCGAAGATCAACGCAGAGCCATTGCGAAACAACTCATGACATCCGTGATACCGGGATCGAAGGGTGAAATAGGGAAGAAGGTCTATCGACACCTCCAAACAGGTGATGTGGTCATCATGAATCGTCAGCCCACCCTACACAAGCCTTCCATGATGGGTCACCGTGCTCGGGTCTTGACGGGACAGAAGACGATTCGAATGCACTACGCAAATTGCAATACCTACAACGCTGACTTCGATGGTGACGAGATGAACATGCACTTTCCACAAAATGAGCTGGCTCGTACCGAAGCTCTTCAGATCGCCGATACTGACCACCAATACTTGTCTGCAACTGCAGGAAAGCCTTTGCGTGGCTTAATCCAGGATCACATATCAATGGGCGTCCAATTCACGAGCCGGGATGTTTTTCTCGACCGAGAACAGTATCAGCAACTTCTCTACAGCTGTTTGAGACCTGAAGACTATAACACGGTATTCGAGAGAATTCAGATGGTACCGCCTGCCATTTTGAAGCCCAAGATGATGTGGACTGGTAAGCAAGTTGTCACCACAGTGCTAAAGAACATCACGCCCGACAGGTTTGATGGCCTGAATCTTACGAGCAAGTCGTCTACCTCCTCAGACTCTTGGGGCGAGAAGACCACTAACGACAGTTCAAAGTGGGATGTGACCAGCGAAAGTGTGATCTTCCGCGACACCGAGCAAATAGTTATTTTCCGTGACGGCGAGCATCTTTCTGGAATCCTGGACAAGAGTCAACTTGGTCCAAGTGCTGGCGGCTTAGTCCACTCGATTCACGAACTCTACGGACATATTACGGCCGGAAAGCTGCTTAGTATTATGGGTCGACTTTTGACGCGAGTTCTGAATGAGCGCGCATGGTCTTGCGGAATGGACGACCTGTATTTGACCAAAGAGGGCGACGACTTGCGTCGGAAGGAGTTGATCAGGGGTAAACGCCTTGGTCTTGAGACCTCGGCGGAGTATGTCACCCTGGACAAGGACAAAATCGACCAAGAAAACCCTCAACTCCTTAATAGACTGGAGAATGTCCTTCGAAACGACGAGCAGCTCAATGGACTGGATCAGCTCTACAAGGCCAAGGTCAAATCAATCACAGACAATGTTTCAAAGAGTTGTCTGCCAGCTGGTCTTCGAAAACCCTTCCCCAGAAATCAGATGCAAGCAATGACAATCTCTGGAGCCAAGGGATCGAGTGTCAATGCAAATTTGATCTCGTGTAACCTGGGACAGCAGGTTTTGGAAGGTAGACGAGTACCTACTATGGTCAGTGGGAAGACTTTACCGTCATTCCGCGCTTTCGAGACCGACCCGGTAGCTGGTGGATATGTTTCGGGGCGATTTTTGACAGGTATCAAGCCTCAAGAATACTTTTTCCATGCCATGTCCGGAAGAGAAGGCTTGATCGACACTGCAGTCAAGACATCCAAGTCAGGCTACCTTCAACGGTGTATCGTTAAAGGTCTTGAAGGCGCACGTACCGAGTACGATACTTCCGTCCGTGAAACCTCAAACGGCAACGTGCTCCAATTTCTGTACGGCGAGGACGGGTTGGAAGTCACCAAGCAAAAGCACCTCCGGGAATTTACGTTTCTAGCTGAGAACAGCCAGTCCGTTGCCACGCTCATGAAAGCGGAAGAAGTGCTAGAAAGATTACCAAACGAAGGGTTAGCCGAAGAACAGAAAGGGATTCTGAAATCGGTGAGAAAGAACAAGCCTCGGGATCCCTTGACAAGTCTTTTCAGTCCTGCAAGCAATTTCGGCAGCACATCTGAGTCGTTCGCAACAGAACTGAGCGCTTACATCAAAGAGAACCCCGACAAGCTGATCAGGGATAAGAAGACGAACCCCGGGGGCATTATCAGCAAGAAAACATTCCAGTCAATCATGGACTTGAAATACATGCGGTCGATAGTGGAGCCCGGTGAAGCAGTCGGTGTGGTTGCAGCTCAGTCTGTTGGTGAACCCTCCACGCAGATGACCTTGAACACCTTCCATTTAGCTGGTCATTCCGCCAAAAACGTGACTCTCGGTATACCTCGACTTCGAGAAATCATCATGACTGCGTCGGCCAAGATTATGACCCCAACCATGACCCTTAATCCAATCGAAGAGATGACAGTCGCCGATGGTGAAACGTTCGCAAAGAGCATCAGTCGACTCCCTCTTGCCCATGTGATTGACAAGCTCTTGGTGACTGAGAAACCCGGGACCGGATCTGGACACGAGCACGAAAGACTTTACGATATTCGGATTGAGCTTTATGAGCCAGAGGAGTACGAGACCGAATACGCGATCAAGCGGGAGGATGTGCGACGTTGCCTGGAAAAGAGATTTTTGCCCCGTTTGGACAAAATGATCAAGGATGAGTTCAAGAAGAAGGCGCGGGAAGCATCCCTCTCAGAGACGACTGCCGCTGTCCCCGCTGTTGGTGTCTCTGTAGGTGTCGTTGAAGAAGCTCGACCGATGAGAACAAGAATCACGGATCGAGAAGGCGGTGAAGACGACATAGATGAAGACGCAGATCCTGATGATGCAAAAGACGCCGCGGCACGGAGAAGAAGGGAGGATACTTATGACGAACCCGATGATGACGAACAAGACATCGCCGACGAATCGGACGACGAATCCATGGCCAGCGATGACGAAACACATGGGGATGAGGCGCCCTCGAAGAATTCACGCAAACAGAAGCAGTCCCAAACGCTGCGAGAACAAAATCCGGACGAGAGCGATCCTGATGATGCGGTAGATTCGGAAGACGAGGCGAGACAGGATCAACTCAAAGCCAGCATACCTCACCTTACACGCTTCAATTTCGCCAAAAGTGGAGGTAAATCATGCCGCATCATCTTGAGCTACGACACCAACACCCCCAAGCTTCTGCTTCTTCCGATGCTGGAAAGATGCGCACATCTCGCGGTCATCCAATCTATTCCAGGTCTGGGCGTGTGCTCGCAGTTCATGGAAGAGGTCCACGGCCCTGATGGTAAGCCTGTCAAACAAGTCAACCCCGAGACTGGCAAAGAGGATATCAAGAAGGAGCCTGTTATTACCACAGAGGGCGTCAATCTCCTTGCCATGCGTGATTATCAAGATCAGATTATGCCACACTCGCTGTACACGAACTCAGTCCACGATATGCTGAAGTATTATGGCGTGGAGGCTGCTCGGATGACCATTATCAAAGAAATAGACGGTGTTTTCAAGGGCCACGGCATTTCAGTTGATTCTCGACACTTGAATCTGATCGCAGATGCCATGACGCAATCTGGTTCATATCAACCATTCAGTCGACATGGACTTGTCAAGGAGGGAGGCAGTGTGCTGGCCAAGATGAGTTTCGAGACAGTCATGGGTTTCCTGAAAGACGCGGTTTTGTTTGGCGAAAACGATCCATTGCTTGGACCCAGTGCGAGAATTGTTGCTGGCCGTAGAGGAAACATTGGTACTGGATCGTTTGATGTTGTCATGCCAGTTCATTAGGGATGGAATGGAATAGGCGCCTTAGGCAGTGGGACTTGGAAAGAATCTTTTGGCGGCATGTAAATACAGCGGGCGGGCGTTCCGAGAATGAATTGATGAAGACCCAAGTCCGTAGTTTCCTCAAATTCCAGCCATTAATTCCCCATACGAGCAACTTGAGACCTGGAGGGTTGGACAGAGTAAGCTCTGGATCCCAGTGACGAGAGTGGTGCACTTCGAACCAATTTGTGGTTTGCATCGCTCAGATCTCGGGACTCAAGGACATTCATGTACTGCTCCCCAATCTCCATGTCTGTCCATTAGTCGCGAAGCACCATCGGTGTTAAATTAGTCATTGGAATGTGTGAGACTCACTAAAGCAGAAAAGACATTCCTGCGCCTCCAGGAGAACAGACGCTGCAAGATCCAAGACTGATCTAGCGCGTGCCTGGTCTATCACAAAGTAAAGGTCCACTTTATTGTACAATTTCCTGCCGAATTCGGATGCCATGCGAAAGGAGACACGAATCAGGCCTAGTGTAGTCCGTAGTTACTGTTTTATCAGGCGAGACTGGAATGGATGCGCGACGAGGTCTCTTCAGTGGCATTTTTGCATTTACTTCCCCTGGGCATATAAGCCATCATGACATCCACAGTCAGTATTGAATGTTTGTTCTTCACAGACGGTGAAGTTATCTTGCGCTGCAACCAGACCCAAAGATCTACCAATCACGGACGCACAGTGCCAGCATGCCTCAGCGGATGACCATCGGTCTTGCGCAATCACACACTCTCTCCTCGCTCAGCCTGACCTTGTCAGCCCTCCGGGACACCACGAAACGTGCCGTAGCAAAGGGCGTTTCTATTCTGCTTTTCCCCGAAGCCTACCTCGGTGGCTATCCACGAACCTGCTCGTTCGGGACTCTTGTGGGCTCGAGGTCGGATACCGGTCGAGACCAATTCCTCGCATATGCGAAATCCGCGGTTGATCTCGGTGACACACCCAACGGAGCAGGCGACGCCTGGATCGAAAACAAGCTACCCGTAGACGAGGTCCTGGGCCAGCGTGGCGATGGCACGCGCGAGTACCTCGAGAAAGTCGCTCGCGAAACCGGAGTGTTCATTATCACTGGTGTCGTGGAGAAAGCAGGCGGTAGCCTGTATTGTGCAGCTCTTTACGTCGACCCTGAGCGTGGCGTTATAGGGAAGCGGCGCAAGCTTATGCCGACAGGTTCGGAGCGACTGGTCTGGGGTCAAGGGGCTGCATCCACCTTGAAAGCCGTCACTACAACGATAAATGGCATCAGAGTGGTCATAGGCTGCGCCATTTGCTGGGAAAACTATATGCCTCTACTTCGATACAGTCTCTACAGTCAGGGCGTGAATTTGTGGTTGGCGCCGACAGCAGACCCGCGTCCTACTTGGCAGTCGCTGATGCAGACGATAGCATTCGAAGGACGCTGTTTCGTGCTAGGCGCAAACCAATGTGTGAAGAAGAAGAACTTGCCTAGGTGGATCGCAGGGACACGGCCTGTTGTTGAAGATCAAAAGTCCCGGACACTCGCCAACGGCTTGCTATTCGATATCAAGACGGAAGAAACCCATAAGACTGTTGGGAATGACGATAATAACATCCCGACTTGGAGGCAGACGGATGATTCAGCGGGCGACGGCGAGCAATTCGTGTCAATTGGCGGCTCATGCATCGTCAACCCGTTCGGTGAGACGATCGCTGGGCCAATCTGGGAGCGGGAAGACGACCTTTTGTACGTCGAGGTCGATTTTGACGACTGCGACCGAGGTCATCTGGACTTCGATGTCACAGGACACTATTCACGACCTGACGCCTTCAAATTGACAGTCGAAGGATTAGATCTGAATCCTCTCTGGTAGATAGACAATGTGACATGCCCGGGGCTCTATACTGTGCAGCTGTGCTAGTCCTCGAAGCAATGTCGCCATGCCGACTTGGCTGTCTCTAAGCAAGTCCCGGGACCGCTCTGGCCAGTCCCGGGCAAGCCTGACAAAGGCCTGGTAGTGGTTGAAAGATTGGCGAGAATGGCTTAGGCTGTCTGGCTGTGAAGCTTAAGTAGGTGGATTTTATAAGGGTCCCACACCCCACCCCATCTCTCTCTCTCGATCGTGGAATCGTCTTCGTGCCTTGCCATTGCTCGTTGTTACATTTTGCTGTTCAGCGTTTCGGACTTTCCATCGAACAACAGACTATATCATGCCCAGAGCATTCCGCGTACGATTTTCCAAACAAGGCAGATCAGTCGACCCGAGCCTTCACATTGACGCTGCTTCCGATCCAGCTCTTGCTGAGGCGCGCCCCCGCCAGAAAAGTCGCTACGGGTGCCTAGAATGCAAGAAGGGCAAAGTGAAGTGCGACGAGGCGCATCCGAGCTGCAACAGATGCCAACGGCGAGGGATCAAATGCACCGTGACCGCTAGGCTATCTCGATGGCGCCTGGAGAAGCCGGGGTTTGATTGGCCCCCGTCATGCCCGGCACCGTCTTGCTCGCTGCGCATCGACGCCCGCCTCCTACAATGGTGGATGGATGCGACCTGCAAGATACTGGTCCTGGACCTGCACCTCAACCCTCTTTCCTTGCCGCTCATCGAGCATCTCGGAGTCTCCCCGGCGTTGTGCCTCGCCCTGGAGAGTTTCAGCCTGGGGCACAGGGGCTGTTGGGCCACCAAGTCCAGGGTGGAGTTCTTCGAGAAACGGAGCCACGCCTTGGGTCTGTGTCGCGAGGAATTGACCTCCAAGGCCGTACCACTCGAGACCAGCTTCTACACCGTCATGCTACTGGGTCTCACCACGCCGTTTATGGAAGACATTGACGACTACGGCAAAGAGCATCTGATCGGCGCGCGCACCATCTTGGAAATCCTCCTCCGACAGAATGATTCGACGCGCGACCCCAAGATCGAACAACTCCTCGCCTACTACACCTGGTGGGACATGTCGTGCTCCTTTTCCGTCGACCCGCGAGAGATACCGGCCCTGAGTACTTCGGAGGTCCTGTCGGTCACCAGCCGCGGCGACGCCGGGCCCGTCGGGGCTCGATTCGCAGGGTGCATGGTGGAGATCTACCACTTGTTGGGACTCTTGTTGCGTTACTGTATGCAGGTCCTGCGAGGAGGTGCCCGCGACCCCGAGCACGAGCGGACCCTGGAACTAGCGCTGACGAGTCGGTATCGTCCCGATCGAATCCGAGACGAAGACGTGCTCTTCGCCGAGGCCTTTCGGAACCACGGCCTCATCATCCTGTACCGCGTCTGTCGAATTCGAAGAACGACCGACGTCCAAGGAGGAATGCCCTGGACCGACAATTCGTCGGTGGCGAGCCGCATACACGGATATGCCCTCAAGATCATTTCCCTGGTGTTGCCGACTCAAATCGGAACCCCCTTCTGGAACTCTCTGGCCATTCCGCTGTTGACGGCAGGGTCGGAACTCACCGTCGATGACCAAGTGCTGAGGAACAACGTCAGGGAGGCATTTTCTTCCGTCTTGAACCAGTGTCGGACCAACACGGTGGCGCGAGCCAAAGACCTGCTCGAGGAAGTTTGGATCAGACGTGACAACGGAATCGAAATATCGTATCTAGAATTGGCGCTACAGAAGGGATGGAATTTCTCCTTGGTATGAAGATTTAGGGAACCTTTATCTTGCTGATGCTCATGTCATTGTTGTCTTCTCGAAGGGGAGAGAATGCTTGAAAACACTGTTCATCTCTAGTCAATGTCTAGTCAACGTATAGCAAGCATTTCGGAGTTGCGTCTTTATTGATATGAGGATCGTCGTTGACGCTCACTACAACTCGAAAGCTATTTAAAGACGAGCCCCTTCCAACCCTCGCGTATTGAAGACTCTATGAACTCGCGGTACGGGCGCAGGCCGGGAAAGAAGAAGCGGGTGGCGAAGACCTTGCCGGCCACGTTGGCCCCGAAGATCCAGGACGAGGTCTTCTTGAAGAGACTGCCCTCGACGCCGACCTCGCACCGTCGGGCCCAGTCGGATTCGGCCTCGGGGGTAGGCTCGACCACCCCGGCGTGCTGCCCGTGCCCAGAGGAGGTCTTCTTTCCAAGTGTCTCGGACCTTTCGATGACGGCCATGATCAGTTCCACCTGCGTCTCGATGACGGGCGGATTGTTGGCGAAAGGCGACTGGGGGCCCAGGACCATGAAGAAGTTTGGGAACCCGGACACCATGACTCCACCGAAGCTGGTGACCGACCGAGACCAGTGGTCCTTGATCGTCTCCCCCCGACGGCCCCTGATGTGAAGGCGGGTGTAGTTGCCGTCGAGGGCGTCGAAGCCCGTCGCCAGGATGATGGCGTCGAACTCACGCTCGACCCCGTCCGCGGTGGTGATGCCGCGACCCGTGACGGCGGTGATGGGGTTCTCCTTCACGTCCACGACGTGTACGTTGTCCCGGTTGAACTGCTCGTAGTAAGAGTTTCCGCAGATGGGCCGGCGGGCGTAGTAGTCGTGGGGCGTCAGGACGCGCGCCTTTTCCGGGTCCCGGACGATCTCGTGGATCTTTCGCCTGACAAAGTCGGCGGCAAACGCGTTGGCTTCCGGGTTGGTGGCGATGTCGTTGAAGCCGCCCAGCATGAACCAGAACCCGTTCCCGTCGTCCCACAGCTTTTCAAAGACTCGCTCCCTCTCCTCCGGCGTCGCGGACGCAAAGGATCGCGTGCTCTCTTCGAATCCGAATGCGACCATGGATCGGTTGACATTGTCCCAGTACGCCGAGAAGTTGGAATTGATTTCGTCTCTCTGTTTGGCCGGGAACTCTCGGTAGCCCGCAGGCACTACGTACTGCGGATGGCGGATGAAGCACGAAAGAGAGCCCACCTCCGACGCAATCTTAGTGGTCACTTGAACACCTGTAGAGCCGGTCCCGATCAGTGCAACTCTCTTGTCGCGGAGGTCGAGATCTTGTTTCCATGTAGCGGTATGCACCAGGGTACCTTTGAAGTCGTGCAAGCCAGGGATGTCCGGATAGACAGGTTGCGACAAGAGCCCCATGGCCGAAATGAGGTATCGCACGACGAAAACGTGGCCAGTGTGCACCGTGACTCGCCAGCGGTTGGATCCTTCTTCAAAGACGGCCGATCTCATCTCACTGTTGAATTGGATATACTTTCGAAGGTCGTGCCGCTCCACCACGTGCTCCAGGTAGCTAAGGATCTCCGCCTGATAAAGGTAGTTGTGCGTAAATGGGTAGTTTTTGTAGTCCTCTTCGTCGAAGGAGAACCTGTACAAGTGGCTGTGTGTATCACTCATCGCCCCAGGATATCGATTCCAGTACCATGTTCCTCCGACGTCTCCCGCCTTTTCGATACAGGCGAAGTTCAAGCCAAGCTTGCGAAGTGAAAAGCAGGCATAGATACCACCAAATCCGCTGCCGACGACCAGGGCATCGAGTTCTGTTTCGACATCCGAATTTTGCATGTTGGATTACCTCCTGGACTTCAGAAAATGTACTTTCACGCTGAGTTCAAGGTACTTCGATAAACTCCAGGATGTCTTATAAGTCGGTAACGAGAAGAAATAACTGGAGCCCTCCACCCATCTACTGTACCTCGAAAATGTGTGCCATCTTATGCTTTGAAGCTGTCTCTAAAACTTCCCTTTCCTGGTAATAATGCGATATTGAGCCTCGACCATGGGAATTTTTGACATTCCAGAGGCAGAAGGTGGATCTTCATGTTGATGGGCCGACAAGATGCGTAGATGTGTGATCCAAGGATCAGGAGATTCCTGACTCGCATACGCTGCTCCCTGTAGAATGCGAGGGAGGCGTTGGAAATTTAAAATGGGGATAGATTTGAAGAACGACCGCATCCCGACCGATCTAGGCATGAGTGACAAAGCCGCGAACTTCGCTGTTTCATTTCGTAGAGGTCATTGATAACGACGCTCGCCAACGCTAGCTGCTGGCATTTGGATCGGACCGAGTCCAAAAAGGGAAAGAGTTGGTGAGCCCGAGCCCAAGCGTCAGCGACCCCCTTCGGCGTATTTCCCACACGGCCCATGCTTGACGCTTGGCCAGTCCTTGTAGGCTAAAGCAATGATCGAGAGGTACGATTCGTTACGATGCTCCTGTCAAACTTGGCCGGTCCGAAGACGAGGAGTGTCCATGGAACACTTGGGGGATTCAACGCGGTTCCGGACCATATATATATACTCGAAAACCAGTCTAAAAATCAATGATAGATACAGTATAGTAGCAGGGAAATTATGTACCTAAGATATCTTGTCCGATGACAAGTACACTCCAGTAATTCCAACCCTGTCAGAAGGCGAGGGCTAGCAGTGGCGCCTGATTTTCCACTTTCGTTTTAATCAGACGCCAGGTTGACATCCGCAAGGGTGTAGTGCTTGCGACCATAGACGATCCAGAATATCGTAGCATAGAGGAAGACAATCACCACCATGACAGACACATAATTGAAGGTATCCGCAGCAACAGGCAAGAAATATGGGAGGCTGTAGACGACGAGCGTGAAGATGGACCATACGATGACGACCACATTAGCCACAGGTCCGAACTTTGGCCAGAAGAAGGGTCCGCGGTTGAAATTACTACGACCGTGGAGGAGTAAGAGAGTTGTTGGTGTGGCATAGGTAATGTACTGGAGAATAACACCTCCGGATACGAAGGAGCTGAAAGCCGTTGCAGATGCGAGGTAGAGGAACCCGCAAAGACCTACGCAACAAGCACCCCAGAGAGTGGCCCAGAGGGGTGTGTAGAAAGGAGCCGGCGCCAGTGTGCTCATGTAAGAGTGGAAAGGGGTACCTTTGTCGCGACTTAGAGACCAAGTGATCCGTGCCTGCCAGGCGTGCCCGCTGGCCAGTGCATTCAAAAGGCACAAGAGCAGCAGGGCCCCAAAAACGTAAGCGCAGGTAGGGTTGTTGTCGTAGATATTGTTCAGGAGTGAAATGATGCTGGTGGTCGTTTCCAGATCAAAGGCCGCAAAATAGATGGCAAGGGACATCATGACGCCGATCAAAAGTGCCATGCCAGCGACAGACAGCAATGCAATCGGAATATCCTTGCGAGGGTGTTGGATCTCCTCAGACAAGTGAGTTGCCGCATCGAGGCAGGAGAAGCACCAGTTTACCCCATTCATGCCGATAAGGAAGGCGATACCGTCCGGCCATCCGGAAAGGTTGAAGTATTTGCCGCTGGCGCCGAATACGACCGCTGCAGACTGTTTAGGACTTGACGGCGCCAGCAAGCAGACAAATATGGCCGTTGTGACCGCGACAACATAGAACAAGGCGCCCTTGGATATCTTGGGGAGCAAGAATTCGTAGATTGTGAGAGAGGCGGCCAGAATGTTGAAACCTTCCATGACCAGGAAGCCCATCCATCTTTGGTAGACAAAATCCGGTCGGGCCAAGCTGACAATTTGGAAGGTCACAAGGCCCGCAGCTTGGGCGCTCGACGCGCAGACACAAATGACGGATGCCCAGGACAGGATGGCCGTTAGATAGGAGAAAAATCGACGATACTTCTCAGGAGACAATTGGGCAGCCCAGAAGTACTGGCCGCCAGCGTGAGGGTAGGCAGAAACAAGTTCGCCTAGTGTGACGGCGACGCAGAAGGTGACGGCGGCGATAAGGATCGTTGAGTAGAAAAACAGAGGTCCTGCGCCGAAGGAGGTGTTGCCAACCACAAGCACCATTGATGCGCCAGTGTTGGTGATGTTGAACCCCAAGGACAAGGCAGACCATACTGTGAAGGGCTTCTTCGGCGTTGAAATCTGGCCCACGCTTGTGCCTGTGACTGAGCTATCATAGAGAGAAGATTCTTTGTTGATTTGCTGATGATTGGACGTTGCATCAGTCTTCTCGTCGGCGCTGCAGCTCTGTATTGACATCTTTGCAAGTCGTGGTAGATGCCTTGCGTAATCGCAAAATGTACCCAGGTCACTGAATGAGACGGTCGCAAAATGTTCATGCGAGTTCTTCTGACCTCGAGAGAAGCTTGGAGCGAAAGCAGGGAGAGACGCTCAAGATAACTCTCTTTCTGCCTCCCCATCCCGTCAATCAATCACATTGTCTAGACAAGCGGGAAGACTTTGATGGGTAGGGAGGCTGTTGACCAAAAGGTCAAGAAATATAGTAACTTTCCTATTTTGGGGCTCTACCCGACGTGGGATCCACAAGAAAGTCTGACTCGGCAAGCGAATGTATTATTGTTAAATACCACTGGATGTTGCCCTGAATTCCTACTGAATTCGGATGCAACCCGGGCTTGACGGTTCTGACAAGACTGATATCGGTTTCGTTATCTATCGCTTTCATTGGCTACTTTGAAACATGAGTTTATTATGATAGTTTGAGTCATATTCAAGTTCGACTACGTCTTCAATTCTTGCCAACCTCGGATATAACCCGAGATTCAGAATTCTTAACAAACCAATTCGACTTCTTCCATCGACTACTGTGCGTAAAAGGCTTGTACAAGGCCCTTAAGTCCTACTGAATCGAAGGGGTAGAAGTTCCCGATAAGCTAATGTTGGTTGCTTTCACTTGGAACTCCTTGCTAGCCGCCTCGAATGCAATGTGCACGCACGGTATCATGCAGTCGAGATACTGGTATAGGAAGGTTTTTCATGTCGACCACCCGAAGCTTGCGTCAGCGGTCATGTACGGGCAACTTCTAGGCCTAGCGAGTCTTGAACATCCGAAAATATCCCAGGGGCAGGGCCTTCATCCTGGTTAATGTGCCGAAGCATCATTATCGCTATACGTGAGTATAATACCCGAGTCTCGATCCAGCAAGACTTGAGATACGCACACACTTCCCCTTGTTCTGCCAACTGAACATAGACATTATTTCACTCTGGTACTTCCTTCGAACCTCATACCCATTGCTCCTCTGAATACATTCCCATGGCTTCACTGCGTAACAAAGTTGTATGTGATTCTGCGGCTCATCAGAAGTCCAATTTATGAGATCTAACGCTCCTCGCAGATCGCCATCACTGGCGCAGCCTCGGGTATGGGAGCTTGTATAGCTCGATTGGTCGCTAGCCGAGGAGCGATCCTGTCGCTGGCTGACGTGAACGAGCAAGGTCTTCAAGAAACCCTCAGTTCACTGGCCGTAAATGAAGCTGCAAGTCATATCTACACCTTGGTCGATGTGCGCGATGCCACTGCCATAGAAAGGTGGATGGACCGCACCGTCAAAGAGTTTGGTCGATTGGATGCCGCGGCCAATTTCGCAGGAGTTCTGTCTTGGGAACGGTGCAACAAGATACAGGACGAAACAGAAGCGAATTGGGACTTCCACATGAATGTCAATGCAAAGGGGATGTTTTTGTGTCTGGGATCTGAGGTCCGCCGTATGAAAGCTGGTGGAAGCATTGTGAGTTCGACCCCCAAACTTCAGAATCTCCTTTGCTGATCATGGCTGAACAGGTAAACGCGGCCAGCGGAGCAGGACTGATCGGATTCGCGAGTATGGGACCCTATGTTGCCAGTAAACACGCTGTCATCGGCATGACGAGGAGCGCCGCAAAGGAGAACCCGCACATTAGATTCAATTGTGTAGCACCAGGTATGTTCACTCTTGATGTTCACTCTTGAAATCGTTGCGATGTCTCTGATATATGTTCCAGGGGCAATCGAAACAGCCATGATGCCCTCAGATGAAACAATTAGGGCCGCCGAGATCAGCGGGGCGATCTTAAAGCGCATTGCAGATCCAGTCGAAGTTGCCAACGTCGTTGCATTTCTTCTCAGTGACGAAGCATCATTCGTCACTGGTGCGGTCTACACGGTTGATGGTGGCTGGACAGCATGATACCGTGAGATATCGTCATCCTGCGGCTCTGTGCAAATACCAGTTGTTGTCGAGAAATCTTCAAGCACCATAGGAAGAGCATAGAGACTGCGGACGACGTGGCTTACCACAGTGTAAACGCTTGGCAAGCTCAACCATCTTTTGTTTTTGCCTAAACAATGTTCGAGCTGATTCATTGTGACAGAAGTAACTAAATGTTGCCTCATAGACCGATCTAAGACCGTGAGATCAGATAATCAGGTGCTTGTTTGAAGACTATTTCTTCTTCTAGTGGAACGGCAAGGTCTTTGGCATGACCTCATAGTGTTTGCCCAGTCTTTACTCCACATCCACTAGTTGAGGAAGTCGTTCTTCCTCCCATCATAGTGATGCTTCGCCTCAAGTGCGAAAATCTTGTCTGTCGAGGGCAACGGTTACAGCTTCCTCCTTCGAGGTATTGGAAATTCTGTTACTTGTCTCGCAAACTTCCGAAGATTGGCTTGGCTTTGCAACACTTCTTCAGTCAATTCGTGTCGCAACTCCCGATCCCGGTTGAGCTTGGACCTCTTTGCCTCTACCCAGTACATGGGGAGGGAGGGCTTGGAAAATGAAAACCCTGGGAGTTCCCGGTCCCTATCCATGTTACGTGACCAGTCACCGGCGAACTGACCTCTCCAGGACCGGATGGCTGCCTTTGATTTTGGAGAACTATGACAGGAAGGTTGTTCTAGTCTTCCCTTTTGCTTCACAAATCAACGCCACAAATGACCTCTATAATGCTCGCCGAGTCTTTTAGATCAAGTTTGACTTACTCCAAATGCTCGGCAATGCGCTCCAGAGTCCAGAGTCCAGACGCCATCTCCCACCCTCCCATTACCCCAGATTGTGCTGCATCTTCGCTTCGCGAATTTACAAACTAGACCGGGAAATGCCCCATGTTCTGTTCCTGGGACCCTCTTGGGCTTTCTACTTTTACTGTTTCGACCCCAGGAGGTTCTCCTTTGACACTGGCAACATTGCCGGCACGAAGCGACAGGCTTCCCACAATTTCTTACCCAGGCCTCGTTGCGTGGTGGCATCTTCCACTTCTCAAACACTCGATCAGTTGTCAGGGTATGCTGTGAACTTTGAACATCTGTGCGGCGCATCTGCCGCATCGACAACATGGGTTTGGAGCGTGGCATGCAAGCTGTGGTGACGGCCGCAGTGTTCAATGCTCTGGCATTTCTTTTCATTGTTGTTCGTTGTATATCCCGATTCGTCATCATCAAGCAGGCTGGCACTGAAGACTACCTCATTCTCTTCGCTTTGGCTCTTTCCATCGGTCTTACCGTGATAATCGTCCTGCGTAGGTCTAGGCCTTTCAGTTACTTGTCTGAAGCCGACTGACCTGTCTGAATTGCAGAGAAGAACAATGGCTTGGGTCGGCATGCAGATACCGTCAGTACAGAAGACAATGAGACTCTTTCCAAGGTATCATAACTACCACCAAGGACATTGACGATAGCCGTCGCTGACTGCGTGACAGCTGCTCTACGCCAGTATCATCGTGTACAACCTGGCATTGTTCTTGGTTAAGGACTCGATCTTGTACCAATATCTGCGATTTTTTGTACAGAGAAGTTATCGCATCGCGGCTTGGTGCCTGATTGGTATCATCGGTGTTGGAGGTTGCGCTTTCATTCTGACCTCGTGCTTTTCATGCTGGCCGGTCGCGTATTACTGGGACAAGACCACCATCAAGAATGGACACTGCGTCAACATGCTTGCATTTTGGTTCAGCTTCTCGGCCTTCAACATCGCCACCGATCTGGCGGTCTGGTTCCTCCCGATGCCTGTGCTGTGGAGACTGAGACTTCCTCGGAAGCAGAAAATCAGTTTGATTGCAGTTTTCGCTCTTGGTGGATTGTAAGAAGCGACACCCCCGACGCTCTCTTAGCTTGCAATGTCCCTCTGGCTGACTTGGAGTCATAGTGCCTGCATTACCTCGATCCTCCGACTTCATGCCCTCTACATCACGAGTATATCGACTGATATTACCTATGACAATGTTCCCGCCGCGACGTGGTCGGCCGCCGAACTGAACGTCGGTATCATGTGCGCATGCATCCCAGCCATACGGCCGGTCGTCAGTCTGATGTTCCCACGTCTCCTGACGAGCAGCACTCGACGCAGTCGCACATCCGATGCCTACCCGCGTAGAGCGTCATGTTACCGCAATGACAGTGTGGTCGGGTTATCGCGGGCCACCAAGATGCCGCGCAGTGATTCTGCGAGTCAAGAGGAGCGGATCAGTCTCGATAACACAATTCATGTGAAGCAAGAGTGGTCGATATCAGAGCGGCAAGGATCTTTGGCTGCCCAGAACCCTGGAGTATAGACCGTGGCTGGTACAACAGTGGCGATGGGCGATGGGTTTTGCGACACCGAGAATTCTCGATACAGTACACAATACAAGAAACATGAGACCATGAATCTGCAGGCAGTTGGGGGATTGGGAGTGAATCACCGTGTATTGTGGATTTTTTCTATCACCAAAAGCAGGCAAGATCAATGCGTAGTTTGATCAAAGGGAAGCAATCCGATTCTGTGCGTGTACAATTGGTGTGGCACCGTTTCTAAATAGCTTTAGAGTATTCCATATAGTATCTGGCCCTTGGCTCACAGGTGGCTTTATCGAACACCGAGTCCAATTCAGAATGAGTTTCATACGTGTAGTCAACAAGAACCAGTTGCCAGATGTCCAATATGGTACCACGAGGAAACTAGTGAAAAAACAAGTGGACACATCTGATCTCTGCTTCTAGAAGATAACGGTACAGCATGGTTGCCCATATGAGAGGGTCTAGGCATCATTTGTTGGACCAGTCGATCAAATTGAAATCCATGGTCCCGTCCTACTGTACTGTATCTTTCCATTTCCAAGCAGGCATGGAGCCATTTGGTGGTGTGGTACAGTGTACAAACTGAACGGAGCCTGTTTTCCTGCGCGGGCATTATTTCTCCCACACAAAACGTTTGTTTGTGCTCCGTCTAACCCACCCTCCACCACCCCGTCATGTGTCGAGACGAACCATCTCCCCACGCAAAAGATGATCAGCTGCTCTCTCATGGTTCCCTCCTCCGAACAAGGGTCTTGTCCCTGTGGGAAACCCATGAATCTCTCGGTACTTGTCCAACCCGGATCTGAATAATGCCATTAATTACGAGTCACGGCTATCTCCAGCCAAGGGGGCAGCGTCCCGTGTGATTGATCCACATCTACAGGCATTTGAGCAGTTTGAGATAATTTTGTCCAGGTGAAATTCAATTGAAATGGGCTGGCTGGAATAACACTGACGCTTAGCAAGTCATTACTGTAGACGTTCTTCATTCGAGAGCCTCAAGAATCAAACGTACGACGTTCTACGGAGTACAAACAAAACAAAACTCTAAAGGATTCAATTTCGACAATGTCTTCGGCTGGACCACTCGAGGTGATCGAGGGCGGCAAGGCGTGGCTCAAATGTGGCAACGGCATGAACTTGGGGGAAGCTCCGATCTACCGGGCCAGCGACTCGACCCTGCACTGGGTGGATTGCCTGTGCGAGCCGGCCGAGTTGCAAATCGTCCAGGTCGACGCCGACACTGGCGACGCGGTCGGCGAGACGAGGGTGGTGAAGCTCGAGGACAGCGTGACGGTGGCCTTTTTCCGCAAGAACAGACCCGGAAGTTACATCTGCGCTTACTTCCAGGGCGTGGCGTTCATGGACGAGGCGACGGGTAAACTCGAGGTGGTCAAGGAGATCATCCCGACGAGCGACAGAGGTATCAGGCGGTTCAACGACGGTGGTGTCGACGCGAAAGGTCGGTTTTGGCTGGCGGAGATCGACCGTGTGGCCATGGCGTATGGTCCCAACAAATGTCCTGTCAGCCACGGCGAACCCATAGGTCGGTTATGGAGATACGATCCTGATGGGAGCCTACATCTCATGGAAAAGGGAGTCATTTGTGGAAACGGCCTGGCTTGGAGTCCGGATAATAAGACGAGTGAGTTTTTGAAGTTCTACGATGACCCGGCCGGTCGGCTGTGTGGTATCTCTCGGAGGAAAAGAGAATGTGTGGTGCAGATGCTAACGAAAGGTGATGCGGGCAGTGTACTTTAACGATTCGGTCGCGATGTTGGTATGGGCTTACGATTTTGACCTGGAGAGTGGAAGTATTTCGAACAAGAGATTGTTTATCGATCGGCGGTCCTCGTTTGGGGAGCCTGATGGGATGGTTGTCGAGTGAGTTACTGACCCACCTTGTCTGCCAAGTGCTTTGAGAATACAGACACACACACGGTGTGATCTGTGATCAGTGGAGCGAGTGATCAGACCGGCTAATACGAGCTTGATAGTACTGAGGGAAATCTATGGATCGCCATGTTTGCATCATACAGAGTCATGGTGTTCAGCCCAAAGGGCGAGCATTTGAAGGATATTGTCTTTTCGGCCAACAACATGGCTTGTACGACGTGGGGAGGAAAGAACCTTGATATTTTGTATATCGCCACGGGAAGGGATAAGAGTCCTAATGCAAAGCCTGACGACGAGGGAGGTCATATGTTTAGATACAAGGCCGTGGGAGTGAGAGGGTGGCAGAAGTATGAGTTTGATGGATGAGGCTTGGTGGTTGATAGTACTTTCTGGCACATGAACAACGCATCGTTGGGTACAATTAGGCGAATCTCTTTGATAGAATTGCTTGCATACAAATGGCCACTAATGAAGTGAGAATCCAACAACTGCCTTGCTGTTTGACAAGAGTGTAGTCACTTGAATAGTAGCTGAGGTACCTACATGTTGACTAACCAGGAGTACCGAGTGTCAGTGCTGGCCCCAGGCATTGGACCCCTAGAACGAACCCCCAAAGGCCCCCAAAGACTCCTCTCGAACCCCCAAAAGTCTTGTCTTGGGCGGAATTATAGGCTTTTACCCAGGTGCGACTGGCGCCAAGCCCATGTGGTCAATGAGACCCCCGAATCTGGAACCTCGATCGACCCAAAGAATTATCCACTTGTTATCATTCTCCTTCTCTTTCTCACACTATCGCATACAATGCTATTGTTACTTCGGCCATTACTTTGACCTATCTTGAAATCTATTATGGCTGGTCAATGATATTCGGTACATATGCGCATCATAATCCTCTGGCCCAATCATTTCCTGTTCATCAATGTCCAGCAGACATGTCTGCCCCGTTCAGGGCTGTGGGAAGACTTTCAAACGGCCCGAACACCTGAGTCGCCATCGTCTAAATCGTAAGTTCTCTGGGGTCTGACGAGCCCAAATCGCTAATGATGCAACTAGATCGACCAAAAAAGATTTACAGCTGTGGAACATGTCACAAGGATTTCGTCAGGCTTGATCTGTTGCAGAGACATCAAAGACGCCATGAGCGTGGCATGTCATATCGAAATTCTGGCGGATACGTACCTGATACGCCCTCTTCGCCTTCTGCTGCTACATCTCAGCCCGTCCATGCACCGGCCGCCCAAGTAGAGATGGTCATTCAACACACAGAAGTTGCCTCGCAACATCAGCACATCGACGCCGTCGATCCCGCTCTTTCAGCTCCATCCAACTCAGCGCCCATGACCTTCGATACCATTGACTACCCGGACTTCCTACAGGTTCCGGAGATTGGAAACAACCACCACGTCATCTTTGACGCATCGGACGGCGCCCAAGGTCTCGTGGAAGATCTGGACTGGCTGTTCGGAAACGTGCCGTTCCCGGAGGACTTTCCAATGGATCCATCTCTGGACATGACTATCCCCAACGATGTCTCCTTCGCTTCTCCGAACAGCACGATATCTCAACAACTCAGTACAGACACACCATCGCTCGGGAGTAGCCCTTGGCTCAATGTTCGTGCGCGACTTCTGGAAGCTCTACGCACACTACCGCAAGACCTACTGGATGCCCCGTTCTTCGAACCGGTCAACCTCAAGTCCTTCTTCGACATCTACTTTTCCAACTATGATTCTCATTTTCCAATCCTACACCAAGCTTCATTTGCACTAGACGACACCCCGCCACTTCTCCTCGTTGCACTGCTCACTCTGGGTGCTACCCTATCACCCGACTCTTCTCACTATCGAACCGCCGAAAGAATCCACGAGAGCTTACGATGGCTCATTTTCAGCAGTGGAAGTTTTCAGCCACCGGCACCACTGTGGTGTCTGCAAGCATTGCTCCTTGTTCAAGCGTACGAGAAGATGTTCTCCACACGGAGACACCACGAGATGGCGCATATATTCCACGGTGCCGTCATCACACTCATGCGTAGAGGTGGTTCATATTCCTCAGACTCGGCCGATGACGCCACCAAAGCATCCTCGGCAGAGAGAGCGTGGCACTCATGGATTGAACAAGAGTCATTTAAACGCGTCGCCTATTTCGCTTTCATCATGGATGCACAGCACTCGTCCATCTTCGGCCACACGCCTGCACTTTCCGTTAGCGACGTAAGGCTGGCTCTACCATGTGCGGACGAGGTGTGGGATAGCTCAACTCCATCGTCCTGGAAGAAGAGGCTTTCCGAGTCGGCGCCGGCCGTACAATTCCTCTCTACACTGCGGGCTCTACTGTCTCGTCGTCCGATTACTTCGAGCTGCAGTCCCTTTGCCCGGTTCATTTTACTCCACGGACTGTTCAACGTGACCAAACATATGCAGGGGCGTGATCTGATGGCTTCGGACATCGAGACCGGAAGGACCCCTGATCACGGCGCCGAGTCTACACCACCGTCGACCATCGGCGACGACAATTGGAAGGAAATTCTGGACCGAGCCATCGACACCTGGTCATTCTCTCTGATGTCCCAACAACCTTCACTCTGCCTCGAAGCGGCACGACCTCTACATCGGATGGCGCATGTCACGATATACGTGAACTTGATCGACTTCCATACTTTCGCGGGTGCGCCGTCTCTCACCGGCAGCACCACCAGACACGAGTACGCCAAGGCAAAGCGCAGAATCCAATTCTGGTGTGAGAGGCCGTCGGCCAAACGGACGTTGTCCCATTGCATACTCCTCATCCAGGAGACCATGTTCACTCGCAGACGATACCGTGCGTCCGAAGACAACATTGCCGTCCGACCTTGGTGTCTGTATCACGCCACCTTGATACTGTGGGCGTTTGGTATCCTGACAGAGGGCAAATCGGCCGAGAGGGTCAGCGCCGAAGATTATCTCGTGCACATGTTGAGTGGTCTCATGGACCACCATCATCAGCTCAAAGGTACCAATCGGACGCTTGGACTTTTGACCGTGGTCAAGGAGTCCTTGTCTGATTGTCGGTGGGAACTGTTGCAAGAAGCGTGTACAACACTGGGCAAGCTTATCGAAGTTTCTGCACCTTGATATACCTGCTGTAAGTTTTAATATACTGATCTAGGGTTGGTTAGGGCGTCGCTGACGAAATAACGCACACACCGGGGGGGCAGTCGCATGATGAGATCAATGATGAGTTACAACTTTGTTTTTTAACTTTTCTAATGTCAATATCAATATCAAAATTGGTATCAGTGCTTGGGCCAATGGGATAAAATTTAATGTGTGTCAAACGAACGACGTGTCTTTTGTCGGTGCTACTTCAAAGCCCTCGTCAAACTCTCACACAGAATGGTAATGGCCGTTCGTCCGGCCTCGAGGACGGCATCCATGGCCAAGAACGGATGGGGCATTCCCTGCATGACATGTACGTTCGCGGGGACGCCGGCCTCCCTCAACTTCCGGGCGTAGTCCTCACCTTCGAACTTGAGCACGTCGAGCTCGCCGACCAAGACCTCGGCGGGTGGGAGTTTGGCAAAGTTCTCGGCCGGGTACAACAGCGGCGACGCCTCCGGGTTGGTCCAGTCCTTTTCGTGGGGCAGGTAGTGCCGTCTGTACCAGAGCATCTTTTCTGCCGGGAGGGCCGCGGTGAACTCGTTGCTCTTGTAGGTCGGGTTCGACTCCACGCTGGCCGTGTTGTCCGTGACCGGGACGATGAGGAGTTGGGTGGTGAAGTTGATTTTCAGGTCCGGGCGCGACAAGGCCTTGTGGGTCATGATGGCGGCCAGGTTCCCGCCGGCGGACGAACCACCGATGGCCACGTTCGACAGGTCCAGAGACAGGGCCGACTTGCCCCGCCCAAACACCCACAGGACCGTCTCCCAGGAGTCGTGGACGGCGGCGGGCCAAGGGTGTTCGGGAGCCAGGCGGTAGTCGGTGGTGACGACCACGTACCTCGACCGGCTGCATATGTTGGTGCACACGGTGTTCTCGGTGTTGATGTTGCCCAGCACCCAACCGCCGCCGTGGTAGTAGATCATGACGGGCCAGCCGGCGGCCGGGGGTTCACCTTCGGGGGTGAAACATCGGATCTGGACGTCGTCGGTGCCCGGAGTCTGCTGACGTTTGAGCCCGATGTCTTGGGTCTTGCCGACGGGGAGGGGATCTCCGCCACCCGGGATGAGTTTGCCCCCGACGCGCGAAGCCGAGACCGGTTGCAGATGAACCTGTTGGGCGTTGATGATGTGTTCGTTGTAGAATTCGACGTACTCCGGGTGAAGGCGGTCCTTGACCGAGTCGTGGAGGGGGTATGGTGGTTGTGTGTTTGTCAAAGACATGATTGATGATAAGATCGGGATCGGGACTAGATGAGATCGGATCAGATGCGTATGCGTTATGCGTTCAGTCAAGCGATTTGTCTCTCTCTGTGTAGTGCGTGTTCGCTTATTTGGATTGATGTGGTTGTACCTTTCGGTGGAGGTGAGCAGCAATAGGCCCAAATCACACAGTGTATGCGAAACGAATAAAGAGGAGATTGTCGGTTTCGGTTGATGTTGAATGGTTTCGTTACTAAATGCAAGTGTTCCAAAGGGGAGTTTTAAATGCCTGTGTTGAGTATATGGGGAACCAAAATATGCATGAGTCTTTTTTAACGAATGCAACCTCGTGTGTCTTGTCGTTGGGAGCACCGAGAGGTTTGGTCGAGACTACCTGGTAGGTACAGTATAGTTATGCATGGGATGAGGGGGGGTTCTGGCCTGGCGGCTTTGTCTCCGCGGATATCGCTACAAGGGTCTTTGGGCTGCCGTCGCTGGTCTGTGTGGAGTAAGCGACGAGATAGGACGGGATGGGATAGGTATGGGACAACGGTTCATCACAATCCCCCGGGTGGCTTAACAGTTTGGGTTGGTTACCATAGTCAGTTCTTACGTGGGATACAGATGTACTTGACCTGGAGGGGGGGTCACAAGGGGGGGACGTGGAAAATGCCCGCCTACTCTAGTGAGGGATGTGTTGGTCAAACGTGGGATTTGGAACCGAAACCTCCCAGCATCATCATGTCAGCAAGCTTCAGTAGCGCCCAGCAGTAGTCCTACCGTCCTTGTAAGCACTCTAACACCACTGCAATCGACCACAGTAAACGACAGAAGCCTCAGAACAGACTACAGACACGGGGCAAGGGACACGCGCAACCAACACCCAACACACCTATTCGTTTTTCACCAAAATCAGAAACCGACCAAAACAATGTCAAGAACACCAGTCACCACCGAAAACGCCCCCAAGGCACTTCCGGGAATCTACAGCCAGGCCATCGTGGCCAATGGCTTCGTCTATTGTTCGGGATGTGTGCCCATGGACCCCAAGACGATGAAATTGATCGATGGCGATATTCAAGCTCATACTGTAAGTACTAAGGCAAACACCCTTCATATTGATCATGACACCACTTGGCCTCGTCGTCTCGATCTTGACCATCGCCTTTTATGGTGGCTCTGAATTGATTTTGATCCTAAAGCTAACAATTCCAATAGCACCAATGTATCAAGAACCTAGGTGCTGTCCTTGAAGCCGCCGGATCAAGTTTGGAACATGTCGTCGAAGTCAACGTCTTCCTGGCCAACATGGATGACTTTGCCAAGATGAATGAAGTGTATACTACTTACTGGGGTGACGTGAAGCCTGCCAGAACGTGAGTTCCTTCTTCTTCATTTTGGGTCTTGTAGAACGAGTGCTGACGCATGACCGAAAACAGATGTGTTGCCGTCAAGACACTTCCCCTCAATACGGATGTTGAGATCAAGTGTGTTGGTGTCGTGAAGAAGTGAACTGAAAATTCAATTGTTCCCTTTTGAGATAGATAGACAGCGTTGGCCCCCAATACATGGCAGTGAGGATTTAGGAAGGTATTAAAGTAATAGCTTGCCTATCCGAATAAAACCTACTTTACACATCACATATGACACACATGTTCAATTTCCATACCCTAGCTCCATACATGACGGTAAATGGTACAAAAGAGACTATATAATATCCACAAATCGTCTTTCTTTGGCAGACTTGTAAATCCCATCCAAGACCTTCATGAGCTTCACCTGGTTCTCGACTCCCGCACAGTCTGTATTGACGACGACGCCCTTGACGACACGGTCAAGGAACAAATCAATCTGTTTCTGGTAATACCCGACCTGATTCGTCACGCCCTCGGGTTTCTGTGTGGCCATCTTGGTCACACCCGCGGCGTACTTGCCACGGCCCTCTCGCAACGTGACCTCGCACTTGGGAGGGTTCAACACCCCGTGGAAAGCCCCGTTGGTGCCGTAGATGTTGATGCCCCAGTCGGCGCACCAGTCGGTGGGTTCCCAGGCCGTGAAGTCGGCGACGACGTTGTGCGAGTCGTACTCTAGAATGACGCTGCCAATGTCCTCGTAAGGTAACTCTCCCACGGCGAATCGCGTCGTCTTTGGGTCCAGCTCTCCTTTGTGCATGTCGTACCAGCAGCTGACGATCGGGTGTGGGCCCTCCTTCGCGGGAGGTAATTTGCGAACACTGGCCGACACGGCCTTTGGTAGTCCAAAAACATCCACGATGGCCTCGAGGGTGTGACTGGCGTCCATGTACAAGAATCCTCCCAGAGTGTCCTTTTGTCGTTGCCAGATCTCCATCGCGCCACCCGAGGGAGTACCGCCGTGCCAATGCGACGTGGTGATTTGTCCCAGTGCCTCGGTATGGACGAGATCACGGACAAGGTCCATCGCTTCCGCGTAATGCATTTCCCACCCCCATTCGACCACACAGTCCGGATAGGATTTGAGTGACTCGACCAGCGAGAATAAGTGCTCAGGGTACGTGGCGCCCGGTTTCTCGAGGAGTAATCCCTTGGCGCCGTGGGACGCCGCGAGGAGCGCCAGGCGAGGGTTGTCGTGGTCCAGAGGGTGCACAAAGGCAATATCGAAATCTTGCTTGACTAGGTCATGCTCGGATTCAAACCGAGGAATTGAATTTTGTCCAGCGAGCTTGCCGGCAAGTACGCCGTCTTCCTCCCAGAATCCCACGATCTGAGTGTCTGTTCGCGCTTGAAGTATCTTGGCTCGGATGTAAAAGTGAGGATGGTGAGCACCCAAAAGGATCACTCGTGTTGTTGGTGTTGTGGACGGCGACATGTTTTTTCCTGTTTTGTGGTGTCTCCTACCTTTCTCGAAATGTTTTGTCTCTTTAGACACCTATGTTGCTCTTCTGGCCGTAGATCGTGATTCGCCTGTTGAATCCATACTTCATGGGATGTCGTTGTGAATCACATGACTGGGATGTTGGTCTCCTGGATGTGGATCTGCCTGTATGCAGGCCTTTTCGCAAACATGGAGTTCAATCATGATGGAACATGCCATCCCGCGGGCATACGTGGGGCACTTACTAGCACAGCGCGGGCAATGCCCTCGTGAGCATCTGTGGGCTCTCTTCACCTTACTCAATAATTGGCCTCTCAATGGGGTGGGCATATCTAGTGGGCACATGTGGGTTCGTGCTCACGATGCAAAGTCAATCTTTGCCGTGCCTGACTCTAGCCTCGTCTCTTCATCTCCTCAGTTCCAACCGTTTGGGGGGCCTAGGATGATAGTATTCTTGATAACTTGACCAGCTTATCGGAACCCTCGAATCTGGGGTTGCTGCACAGCACCTGAGTGTAGTGTCTGTCCCGTTCCCGTCCTCCCCCGGATACCAATCTAAGAAAGGGATGAAGGGCTTCTGGACCTTGCTCGTACGTGGGTCTATGATACCTCCCTCTCTCTCTCAGGTGACTGGATCAATCCGACAGAGAACGACATATATGCGGTGTGATCGCCGCAGCAACGGCAGCTTGAGGAGGAGGTAACATAATCCTATATTTTCCAAGAGCACACACACACATACACATATCTTGCCGTCGCCCAAGCCTATAACTTGCAAGGCCTGGCGCACACCCAACACAGTGACACACAGTCATGGTGCAACCTCAGGACATCAGTACGGGAAAGGAATATCCAAACACTCACGAGACCGGTACAATGGCAGACGTCGAGAGCGCCTCCCTACACAGCGCCACCCACGGCGTCGTGGCCAAGGGATACAAGTTCGGTCCCATCACGTTGCCGGCGTACAGGTCGCCGCTTGCTCAAACCATCATCATCGGCTTTGTCTGTTTCCTTGTTGTCGGTGAGTGTTGATAGATGGCGTGCCGGTGGTATCCCTTTGATGATGATGCTAACTGCTTGACAATTAGGCATGTTCAACGTCCTGGCGTCTCTCGGTGGTGGTGGACAGCTCACCGCTGATCTATCCAACAAGGCCAACATGATCCTGTACTCCATCTTCGCTGGTCTGGCTCTCATTTCGGGCTCGGTGTGCAACTACCTTGGGCCCAAAATCACACTCGCCATCGGTGGCGTGGGATATGCTCTGTATGCCGCATCCTTTTGGAGTTACAACCACACCGGGAACGACGGGTTTGTGCTCTTTGCTGGCGCCGCCTGCGGGTTTTCTGCTGCTTTTCTTTGGTAAGAGCGCCCCTGTAAAGTGACGCGAGAAGAGACGTTTCGGTAGACTGACATTCGAACCCAAACTATAGGACCGCAGAAGGTACCATGTTGATGTCGTACCCGACGGAGGACCAAAAGGGGCGCTACATCAGTCTCTTTTGGACCATCTGGAGTATGGGTGCAGTCATTGGTAGCATCATCCCAACGGTACAAAACTGGTCAAACACGTCCGCAGGCAGAGTCAACGACGGCACTTACATCGCTCTCTTCATCCTGATGTTGTCGGGTTCCATCCTCGCCATGTGTCTCGTTCATCCGAGCAAGATCGTCCGAGACGATGGCACAAGAGTTTACGTGGTCAAGCACGCATCCTTGACGACCGAGCTGAAGAACGTCGTCAGGTCGGTGAAGGTCGAGCCTTGGATCATCCTCTTCTTCCCTTACGCCTTTGCCGGCCTCTGGTACGGCGTTTACCAGAGCAACGACTACAACGCTTACTTCTTCGATGTCCGGACTCGTTCGTTCAACTCCATCTGGTACAACGTCGCCCAGATGGTCTCGGCGGGTCTGCTGGGTCTCTTCTTGGACATTAAGTACTTTACCAGAAGGACGAGAGCGTTGCTGGTAAGTCACACACATATACTCTCCCTAAAAAAAGTCATCTGTCGTGAGCAGAGTACTAATCTTGGTGTTCCTCTCACAGGGATGGGTGATTATGTTCGTCTGCTTCAATGCAGTGTTAATCGGTGGTATTTTTCCTCTCCGGAAATCAAGTCGTTCCCATCCTGTCGAGAAGGTTCTCGATGTCAAAGACAGCGAGGCTGGAGGATACATTGCTCTCTACTTCTTTTATGGCTTCCTGGACGGCGCCTGGTAAGTTTTTTTTAAACAAAAAAAAACAAAAAGCCAGTCACTAATTTTTACAGGCAATGCTACGCTTATTGGATCATGGGTACATTATCGAACGACCCCCTCGTGCTCAGCATGTACGGTGCCTTTTACAAGGTCTTTGGCGCCGCAGGAAGCGCCATCGTCGCCGCTCTGGACGAGCAAAAGAAATCTTACGTTACCATGTTCGGATCGTACTGGGGACTCACGGCAGGGTCACTTGTGGTCTTGCTGCCTCTGGTGCTCAAGCGTGTCACAAACACCAGTTACACCACAGAAGCGGCAAGCTCGGCGAAGATGGTGGGTGCTGGTGGGATGCAAGCTGGCGTGGCTGTAGGCGTCGATATGGAAATCGAGGGCGAGGAGAAGGAAATGCATGCGATCAAATAAAAGCAGTGCCCATGTATGCCCTGACATGGTTACGTATCGTGGGGACATTGTGTAAGAACAAGAGAACGAGTCGTCACTTTTTCGCGGTGATCGGCGCCAGCATCTGAGGATGTATATAACCATAAAGTAATGAATGTCATCGAAAGAGAGGGACTGATTTTCTTCTTCGTTCTTTGAGCCGTAAAGCCCATGTGCAGTTGTCTCAAGCCAGAGGGCCATTCGATCCAGGGAACACTAGGGATGTAAATCAGGCTGACGAAGTATTGCCTTGGATTCGCTTGACAATGTTTGTATTCTAGGATTTCATGATAGAGAGCCTTCCCAGTGTGCAACTTGTGATGCATGCTATTGTCGAGCTCGGCTCCGAATCGCGCTATGAGTATGACCTTGACCACAGGTCAAGCCTCAGATCCAGGCTCTACAATGGTCCGAGCGCAGGCTTACAGACCCCAACAGTGTTCCACTCTTCGCTTTGAACATTCGCGACCGAGTTCGATCTCACAACTGAGGTTGAGAATCTAATCCGCCAGAAGGAGTTTGAGCAGATCTCGTTATCAACTATGAGAGTACTCGTGAAGGATATCAGCACCCTTAAATTTTGTTTCTGGGACTTAAAGGACAGCCAATCTTGTTTTGGGACCTGGTTATATTTCAGTAGAAATAGAGTCTGAGGCATATGTGCGTGCGCCGGCATTTGTGATTGTATCTCATTGATAGCGGAGGTGAAAGGGGCGAAATCGACTGAAAACTGGTCCCACTTTGGAGAGAATGAATTCCAGCCCAAAGCATAGAACATACACTGAGCGCGCACCTCAATGTTGATCCCACCAACATCGCAGTCTCAGTAACAGACAATCTCAACCCGCAGGAGGCCGAGTCGGGCTCACAAAGGCTGAAGAAGGCTTGGTCTTCAGCATCCCATGAATCTACTGGCCAAGCACTGAAGATAGTGATTCCAGGTGGCAGCAGGATCTGAATGATGTGCTGCTGAACGATGGAAATGACCTGGTTTGCATGACCGCAACCAAGAAGTCGAGTCAGGAGATATACCGAGGTCTCCGGAGACGCGTAAGTGCCGTTCCCATCTTCTTCTTCTTCGAAGAGCTGATAAGGGTCTGCTCTGACGAAAAATGCAGGTTCATATGTTCGCAAATGTATGCCTACCGATCTCACTGAATTCCCGATCCAGGCGAGTGCAGTATATAACGGGAGCCACGGGTCTCCGGAATTGGTTTTGAGAGCAACCTGGTTTCCAGCCTTATCCCATTGTGGTAGATTGAAAATGCTAAGGCTGCGATGTTTGAAAGTTGTGAAAAGGCCGAGCAAGTGAGGAAATCGCGTGGCCTTTCAGCCAGAACGCCACAATAGCCCCGTCCAGGGCCTCTCTGATTTTTTCTTTCATCGGACCTTGTCCAAGCAAAAATGCTGAGGTCCGTGGTGTATTTCAGGATCTCTTCTTGAAGTCTTGGAAAGGCCTGTCCTTCTTCGCCATACATGAGTGGCATATTGATGTCAAATATCCCAAACAAACAATATGCCATGTCTTCAAACCGGGTCGTCTCTCTGCCTGCTGCCCATGACATCTTCTGGGCAATCGAGATGGATTTTACTCGTCATTCCCCAAAGTATGTGAAAGAATGGCGTATGTCGGAATGTTCTCGCCGATGAACTCCTCAAAGGAAAGAGTGCCGGTATTGATCAATCGCATTGTGATCGGATACTGTGATCGTCTATCATCAGATCTTGTCGGAACGCCTTCTGTCGAAGATACCAACAGCGTTGATAAAAGTGATATCGCAATGTCAACCGATCTGATCACAAAGTTTTGGGCCTTGTAGTTGAGGCTGACAACCTGTATCAGGCTGAGGCAACCGCTTCGAAGTCATCTCGACAGACCACGTGCTGCCGAGCACTCGCTTGCTGTGCCACCAATCAAGTTGTAACACGATGGTAAGTCACACAACAGCCTCGGCTTGGATCAAAGGACCTTCCTGTTTGTACAGTGATCTGAAAGGGGACAATCAATGGGAGATGGACCATATGGGCCGGAAACAGATGTCCGAACTGCGTGAAGCCGAGTAGAAGCAAGCACGAGTACAGTTTAAATAAAGCCTCAGCCTCGTTCAGCCTCGTCATTATTCCAGGCATCGACCGAAGTTCTGCCGGACCCTACTGCAATTTTCCGCTCGTGTCTGCGCCTGGCCAGGGTTGTTTTGATTGTACACAATAAGAAGCAACGTTAAAGCCGCAATCTAGTCTCACGGAAGACCTCAGTGGTCCTTCATCATGGCAGATAATCAGCGTGAGACTGCTACATCACATCCTCCGACGCCTGGTACTGACAGGAAAGAGCAAGATACATCCCGTGGAGAAGGCCGCAGACGAAGCCGATCGCCGCCTCGCAGAGACCGTGATAGACGAGAGGATCGACCTCGGCGCAAAGACACAGGATTTAAATGGAAAGAAAAGCGCCGCGACGATGGTGATGATGGCCGACGAGACCGCGATTCAGGCTTACAACGGGGTTACCGAGACCATTACCGCCCTCGGTCCAGATCCAGATCCAGATCACCGCCCCCTCGACGGTCATCGCCTAGGAGGGAAGATCGAGATCGTTACCGAGATAGCGACCACAAAGAGCGTTTAGGCGAGGATAGGGACAAGAAGGAAAAGAAGGAGAGGAGAGAAAAGAAGGAGAAGAAACCTGCACCTGCGGCACCTACACAGCCTATGATCATAGTCTATGTGAACGATCGGCTGGGAACCAAGAAAGCAATACCATGCTATCCAACAGATCCAATAAGTAAGTCTTCTACATGAATGAATCGAATATAGACTGATGTACGTGTGATAGAGGACTTCAAAGTCATTGTCGCATCGATGATCGGACGACAGCCGCATGAGATTCTCCTCAAAAGACAAGGCGAACGACCCTTCAAAGACCAATTGACGCTACAAGACTATGGAGTCAGTAACAATGTGCAATTGGATCTGGAAGTTGATACGGGCGACTGAGGGACTACAAGGAGCAATTGGCAGAAGTCTGGTTGTTAGCAAGTGTGCTGAATGTGTGTTGAGCTACATGATAGTATTTTGTTCAGTATGCACCACACAGTGTTACGTGAGGCAGTCTCGTTTATCGTCTACCTTGGGAATATTCGATTGAGACATGGCGCGGGTAATCGTATCTAGTCAATGGGAACACAAGGCTGTGAATCGCAGTGACGCAATTTCATCGTTCACGTACCTGACAGCCTTGGTGTCCCAAAGTAGAAAGTGGGGCGAGACAAAAAGTTCTCTGGTGCAAACAGCCTGCGATCTAGTAGTTTTCGTTTTCATTTTGAGCATGTCGACAACGACTCAATTGAATTCTTGCCCGTTCAAGGCGCGGTCTCTCTGTTGTTGGAGAATATGATATAGACTCTGTATCTTGAGTCTCATTCGCCATCACCGCACCACGTTGTCGACCCTCTTTGCCCTCTCCTCCCCTCCCTCCCTCTCAACCACCATTACTCCTACCGACTCGTCTCTCACCGACACGATGGTCCGAAACATCGTGGTCCTCGGCGGCTCGTCCCACCCAGTACTGACTGACACTATATGCGAGATCCTCGGTATCGAACAAGGCCAAGCTCTCTTCTCGAAATTCTCAGTCGGAGAAACCCGAGTTGAGATCGGTGAGTCAGTCAGAGGAAAAGATGTATATATCATACAGTCGGGTGGTGGCAAAGTGAATGACCATTTTGTCGAACTGCTGATCGCCATCTCGGCATGCAAGACCGCCTCGGCCAAGAAGGTCACCGCTGTCCTTCCTCTCTTTCCTTATTCTCGACAATCGGATGTTCCCTACAACAAGAGTGGTGCACCATTGGTAAAAGCTGCAAAGTTGGATCACAAGCTTGTCCAGGATGGAAACGGCTACTCATTCGACAGCGTTCCACCCACGCCTCATCCGGACAAGGGTGAAAGCCATGGTTTGACGAATGGATATTCCTTCCAGAAAGCCGCTTCTAAATCACAACTAGATGATGGCGATGGCAGTCCTGCACATCAAGCTCGTTTCAGCCATTACCGAGATCAAAATTCGCAGACCAAGTCGGGTTCCGAGTATTTCCCAAGTTCGCGAAGGCGAAGCGAATCGAGTGCATCCACGACCAATGGTGTTGTCAATCATGATTTCGCGGCAACTCCGAGCAAGACGGAGAACAAGACAGAGGTCCTGGAAAGCTTCAAACCTCGTCCGGGTTATCGACAATGGGTGGCCCAGGCTGGAACTCTCGTGGCAGATCTTCTTACTTGTGCCGGTGCCGATCACATTATCACCATGGATTTGCACGACCCGCAATACCAGGGCTTTTTCGACATTCCCGTCGACAATCTTTATGGGCGACCATTGCTCAAGAAATACATCCAGCAAAACATCCCAGACTATAAAAATGGTGTTGTTGTCAGTCCTGACGCTGGCGGTGCTAAACGTGCTACTGCCATTGCCGATGCCTTAGGCATTGAGTTTGCTCTCATTCACAAGGAGAGAAGGCCCACCAAGATCAACGATCGCCAGAATGCCACCATGATGCTTGTCGGAGATGTCACTGGCAAGGTGGCCGTCCTCATCGACGATTTGGCTGATACTAGCAACACCATTACCCGAGCAGCTAAGCTCTTGAAGAAAGAAGGAGCCAGCAAGATCTACGCTTTGGTAACTCATGGTGTTTTGAGTGGCGATGCGATTGATAGAATCAACGCCAGTGCCCTCGACAAGGTCATTGTCACGAATACGGTTGACCAACAAGAGCATTGCAAGCGGTGCCCGAAACTTGAAGTGCTTGAGGTGGGACATGTTTTTGCCGAGGTGAGCATCCATCCAAACCAATTTGTTTTGCTCGTTGATTCGTTGGCTAACCGAATTACAGGCTATCCGACGGGTCCATTACGGCGAGAGTATCAGTGTGCTGTTTCAGTATGACTAGTCGCAAGATTACAAAAAGAGTCAACACGAAGCTACCCAGTCAATGTGGTTACAGAGATGCGTCTCTAAACCACGTTGCAAGCGATACACGAGCATACTTTGCCAGCTACCACTTTTTCCAAGTTCATCACTGATTTTAGGTGGAAATGAGGCCATCAGGGAAACCACAAAACACCAAAAACAGTATCAAAATACCCAGATAACACCATAAAGAAGTGCCTTGGACCAAGTGCTGGAGAGGTCTTCCAACAACAAGTGGCGTTAAAGGATGGACAATGATTGTATTTGCAATTGTGGAAAGGGTTGTATCCAGGGCGGAGAGATCTGAGTTTTGAGTGTACTCTCCATAGCAATATGCCTTCCCATTCAACCTTGTATTCTCTAGGTCAATGCCGCAGCCTTCAAAGGGTATGGGTGAGTAGATGAGAATACCAAACAGCCGCCAGATTTTCTCTTTGTTTGTGGTGCTTGCACCAACTCCTGAGCTGAGGAAGTGCTGTGATCGGCTCTTGCTAAGCTTGCGTGGTGATCGAGACCAAGTTCTCCTGCACTGCTCCATACATTTCAGTTTCCAATGGTCGAGGTCGATCGATGGCTCATCGAAAAAGAAGTCCAGCCCGGCCGGCCACGATATGAGCGGGCCTCTGCCTGAAATTCGCTGTCGCCTGTCCAACTGCCGGATCCTTGAAAGTGTCTGGTTTTAGGACATAGGAAAAAACATGGCCACGTGCACCATTTACCCTCTTGAATCCTTCCACTTAGGTACGGATCAATGGTAACGCATGATTTGCACAAGAGATGGATCAGATTTGGAGTTTCCAGCACCAACCATGCCCTTTCCCTTACTTAATATCGATAGCACAACCGCCGTGTCTTGGTGCTCATTATGTCTCGGACAGTAATGTTGCGTGAAAGCGGTTCATAAGTTAACACATCATCGAGAGAAGCAAAGGATTCGCCCAAAGCCGCCGAATCACTCTGCTTGTGTTCTCGGGATGGATTTGGGCCGTGGTACTCGTACAGTCGTCGTTCCGGGTCCTTTTGCTGCCACATCCACCACAGTCGATCGATCTGTGTATGGTGGAGGTAGAAGACGGGATCTGTGAAGGAGCACGTTTTTGTTTGTTAGTTGATATGTTCACTACTTGGAGAAGCAGAGTTTTGCAATCTCAAAGGACGAACATACCGTTTGGTGCGGTCAGCAACATGAAATCCCCTCCGACCCCGTGTGGTATAGCATCGTGGGGGCCGTCTTCGACGGCGGTGACAAAAATCCCAGAAATCCTCTTGGGCCAGAGCATCGTTCAGCACGTCCGGGTGGAGCTTCTCGCCGCTGAAGTTGTGGAATGGCGGGAGTCGACCAAATCCACGCGACAGGCAGTGCGGTTGCGTCGCCCAACCCGTGTTGCGGACTTGGTAATTGGAAAAAGGTCCATCGCGGACGCAGGTGGCGTTGGGAGGCATGTTGGTCGGAGGTAGCGAAAGGTCACCGTCGCCTCCGAATCCTATTCGGGAATCCCATATCGGAGATGAGGCTGGATCTTGCCAATCAAGCGACCAGTCCCAGTAGCTGGTCGGGTCATTCGATCGTCAGTATTGTTCTTCCCTCAGCCACGCAGAAGAGAAACAGAATGGAAACTGTCCTACACATACACTAAACCTTTATTCCAGCCACAGAAATCTCTGAGGGCCTCTTCATACAGATGAATGAACCAACGATGCCATGAGAGAAAGCCGACCGTGTTGTGATCTTTGATTGAGACATAATCACGTGTTAGTGTTTGAAAATGTTTTACCAGGTGTCCAACACATATACCATGACAAGGCGGGCGACCAGGACCGACTCACTTGGGCTTCCAACATGAAAATGCAACCATGGAAAATCGTCAGAGAGTTTTGCTTCCGGGTCGAGTCGAGAAGGAGTTTCATGTAGACAACTGATGGCTCCGATATATTGCATCTTCTCGCCGTCCGAGAGATCCCTCCACTCCCGTCGAATTGACGGATCCTCACATTGTCCTGATGAGACAGCGTTGCTACCGGCACTGCCATCACCACGACGAGGATATGGAAGGTGCGTCGCCGACGTTATGATGGCTGGAGCAAATATGACAAACGCCACAGACAGCAAGACCCATGTCTTCTTGACAGAAGAAGTGTCATTGTGTCGTTTTGCAGGAGACAGAAGATCTGTGTCTCGTCGGCCCGGGTCCTGTTCATTCTGCTCTGCCTCGACATCAAGGTCAGCAAGAGCCTTGTACTGCCCACGCTTAGGTCCGTTGAAATTCAACATCTATGACCTGAGCCGCAGCTCCAAAGGAATTTTACTTTGCTGAAAAGAACGACCTGTCACACAGGTCGAACGGCGGGCTATCGTGTAAGAAAATTAACAAATCCATCAGAAGTTATACTGCTCACTGCGTCCTATCGGGCATATGACCCACGGTTCTTCACTTGCACCCCACGGAGACCACCCCAAAGACATACAGGATATCGTACTCCGGACCAGCCGAAAGAGACAATTGAAGCGAACAAATGCGCACTACGTTCCATCCCTCTTGAAGATCTCCACCTCAATAGGTGTATGTACATGACTCGTACGTAAAGGAAGCCGGACTCGACGGGTTAAAATGTGGGACCCCTGTGCCAGGACGGCGCTAAGCCTAGCGTTTGGGTTGTGGCCTGAATAGATGTCCATCCCTCTTCATTGCCGATGCAGCCTTTTGTTGTCGAGGTAGTGACGTTCTTCCGTGGCTACAGATCCCTTTGGACTTGCATCCAAGGGAGCCAAGCCTCACATTAGACGAAGCACTTCTAGCAAGATCGTCGTCTACGAATCAAGCTTCCGAGGCGAAGTCCTGGTGGTTGTGGTGTAAACACACCTTTTGGGAAGTCGTGAAGGTTGATAATGATGCTTGCAGACAAGTACCATCCCATAGGTGCAAATGAGACCATCCTGCATGATGTCTAACAGGTCCTTGAACATATGTGCCCTGTTGTCCTCTATGCACCTTTACTCCCCTTGAATTCACCGCTGCCACTACTTTAAAAATATGGTTCAAGCCTTTATGTGCAAATACTCGACTGAACAGGCCCTGCTCTCATAAGATAGAAGGATCCCAAGGAAAGATGAACTCTCCGGGACTCGGATAGATGAGCTTATACCCCGGAATCGCCTTCTTCTCTGCCCATTCCACCATGGCCCAGGGGTCCTTGCACTGTTTCTGCATGGAGAAGTCGGGATAAGGGTCGATCTACCCTCGACCCAGAAATGGGTGACTATGCCAGGGTCGGCATTGCACATGATGAATTGTCGCATCATATCGATACAGTGATCTAAGTGACAAAGTAATGTCAGTCAGCCACTCGTGGAGTTGTGGGCAGAAAGAAAAGTTCTGTTAGATAGGTAATCACCCGAGAGCCTTCCTTACCAATGTGAACACGCAACACGTGAGGAGGATTCCCAAACGCTTCTTCGTCTTGTTTCTCCATGTAGTAATCGAAATAAGTGTATTTCCTCACCAGGTCCTAAGGAGGTAATGAGTCAATTGACACGGATGCGAAGTAGCATGGGAGGTTTTGTAAAAAGAATGACCTAGGAGTAATACTCACAAGACAGTGCATCTGGTGAGCAAAATCCATGACTCCTATTGCTCCGTCTCCGTACTGGTCACGATGTTGTGGCGGGACTCGAACGACCTTTTCGGGGTCTTTGCCCATTTTCTTCACTTCGTCGTCGGTCACCGGGATCCATACATCTGCTATTGCACTCAGTCTTTCTCTTTTGGTTCTTTTGACGAAAAGCTAAAGGACTTGGTTGGAATCTCTCCATACTCACCTTTGATGATACTCTGCCATTGCTCGTCTCTAGCGTCATTTGGAGTTCCTGCCCACTTCTCTTTGAAGTTGAGCGTTCCGTTGAGGTTGACTGTGCTATACTTATCAAGAACACCAGAATTGAGAATGGGTGCTAGATGTGCAAGATGTGTTAGCTTGGTCAAGCTACAGGGGCAGAAACTCGGTGTTATGAAAGGAGATCTCTCACAAGGAGTATGTAGCTCTCGAACACACCGAGAGTGGAATGATCTCTTGTCGAGATAGAAATGAATGGCAAGAAGAAGTGATAATATGGCAATAATGTATGGCCGTAGCCTCGACAACAGCGTCACCAACCTCGAGGACCAGCTCTTTGGTTTCAAAGGTCTGAGGTCTGTGTCTGAAAGCCCGTCGACTGAGGTCCGATCCTCAGGACCTGAAAGTAGAGGCTTGTAATTCTCGGATGCCATTTTTGATATGCTCTCAGGAAACCTCTTGATTAGAAATCAGATCGCTGTTGATGTGGCTTTTGTCTGGTCTCCTTATATCTGAGTTGACGGCTCAAGCACAAGCAGAGGTAGAAGACTTTGAAGGTTGGGCTGAAGAGAATATGCTGCACCAGGGGGGCATGTTGTGGGCTGACTGTGTACTAGCCCACAGTTCTATACACCCAGTGGACTTTGTTGGCGTTTCTCGGTCCTAGACAGGTGGTATGGTGCGCGATCATCTGCGCCGGAATCCCAGACGATGCACAAAAGTGCAGAAGGCTACAATTACCCGTAACTGCTGCAGGTCAGAAGAATCAACGCTACATCAATCGCTTACGTTGGCCAATTGCCAATAAAGGACAAAGGTCTCTGGCAATGAACATGATCCATCACCGAAGCAGTGACTCCTCCTTCGGAACTTTCTCTTGAAACAGAGAATGATCATCCCCTCCTCGAGTATAATGCTAACGTAGCCAAGAATTAAGGGGATCTTTAGTGACATGCTGAAGATATGTCTCTCTACGATAGGTATTGGTTTGAAGTCGGCTTCAGGCCACCAAATTGGGGTGGATTCAAGTGACAAAGTGTTAGGCAACTCGAAACTTTGGCCCCAGTGGGTTTCTCCAATGCGACACAAGTACATGAGTAGTGTATGTATGTGGTAAATAGCCATAGGGTCTCAATGGACTTTTCAATGGGACTTTCATGAAGCTAGGCACAAGAGTGGAAGTCTAGATTAAGTAGTCCGTGACCTCGGTCTCGCTTATTCTGATAAACATCGGGTAAATGATATATTACGATACGAGGCAACAAGTCGCTAAAGCTACGGAGACAACAGGAGAACATGAGGCCCGAGACGGACTAGGCTTGGTATATGTGGATACGTACGGGGTATTCGTTAACTTCAACGACACCCGAATACAGACACACAACCTGAACCAGAGCCATCCCTGTCGGTTTGATTTCTCCGTGATATATCCTCTTCCGGCGTATTCACTCTTGCATATCCCCTTTGTCTTCCTGGGCCGGACAGTTAGAGAATTCTAATAATAGTCCTTTTCTCACTTACCTTGGCGACTCCCCAGAAGACCTTGCTCTAGTCGGTGGTCTCGGGATCAACCTCTTCAGCGACATCGTCCTGGTAGTACATGGTCATGCGTTTGGCTTTGTCGGTGTCCTCCGCCATACGTGGGGCAAGGGCAGAGGCAGGATTTGCAACAGGCGCTGCCCATGCTCCAAGTGCCGAGCTAAGGGCAAGAAGACCAAGAGCGTAGATTGATCTCATCCTGCCTGACTGAGGATATTTATGAGAGAAGAGTAGTTTGAAGTCAAGTTGCAGTTGATCAGCCGGAGATTTTGGGTTGAAGCGAGCCTCTACTAAAGTTTGACAAGGCAGCATCTGTGTTTTTATATTCCAGCTTGAAGCTAGCCAGCTATAGTATCACCAGCGGGTACTGCCAGCCACTTGGTCGTCAGTCATCCCGACTCATGACCACCCGTTACATTTCGAAATGGGATCGCAAGGTTCGTGTCTCCTTGCTCCATAACCACTGCTCGACACCTCGTCCATCTGGCTAGTTGAATGCTGCATGCAACCAACCAGGTTTTGAATGCTTCGGCTCCTCGTTCATGCCTCATCAAGGACGATGACTGGTCACAAAGTATGAAGTTCATATGCAAGGCGACCAAGGTAGTGACATGAAATAGACATGCTCGATCCACATCGCTTACCTCTTAGCAGTCCTTGTTTTCCTTTTCCGAACACTCCGGGTCAGAAAGAAGTCAAGCTGTCGGAAGGAGGGAGTTAATCTAGAAGTCTAGTCGAACGGGGGCGCCGTGTCAACCGCGCATTCCCAACCTAGACTCTTACAATCCTGCCTTGAAAGCAATGACCCAAAAGGACGAGAGCACCGAAAGTCTCTTGAGCTCCAGGTCAAATTATTTCCAATCTCCCAGAGGACATGAACAAGACCTCGAGGCTTTGCGGGATCATCGAAACATTTTCACCCAGGCTGTGTGGTGGAAGTACACACACTGGATCGTCCATGCTGTGTCGATATCTCTGATCTCATTGCTTGTACTCGGCGCGTCACGGTCGACTTGTTTGGAAAATGGATATTCACGGCTCGAAAGTCACTTGACACCTTGTCATTGTGCCCTGTCGAGATTGTGAGGATGTGGTCTGACTGTGCAGCAGCTCCCCCAGTCGATGCAATGAGATACAGATCTGTCAAATTCAACGGCTCTATCGACTTCAGGTCGGCATGGAAAGGATCACCTCGGCCTGAACTCGACGCCCTTTGGAACAGTGTCACTCACAACAGTCAGTGTTTTTCAACATCGAGTATCTCAAGACTAACGTGCATTTCAAGTTACATACTTTGCCATCTCAGAGGATGATCTTAAGCAAAATGGAAGAGGGGGCTTCACCGAGGAGACTGTCAGGTTTCCAACACAAATAGGACACGGATACATTGCAGGGTTGGAAGTTTTTCACCATTTACATTGCTTGGTATGGACGTTGATATCCAGTCTACATGACTTCCAACTGACAGTAACAGAATATGCTTCGCAAAGTCTCATACGCAGAGTACTACAAGGACCAAGACATACTCTGGACAGACAAACCACAGGTTTTTCGAGATCATGTCGGTGAGTTGTCCAGACTCGTTCTGCACATGTTATTGAGCTTCTCCTGCTAAATTCTTACTACAGATCATTGTATTGATATGCTTCGTCAACAAATCATGTGCACGGCAGATACTGGCCTGACGACGTACGTCTGGGTAGACGGGTACCAACTCCCATATCCCGACTTCAGCACGTATCACCAATGTCGAGACTTTGAACGAATCAAGGGCTGGGTGGTGGAGAATCAGTCGCCTATAAATGTTCGAAAATATCGAAAGCCGCCGGGTGTGAGGCAGCTTGACAAGCCTCCCTATCCGTAGTTAAGAAGATGTTTATGTCAATTACCGACTAGAGTATATGACCATGAGCACCATGTAGTTATTTGTTCCATTGGTTCGTTCAATAAAGAGGGGCTTCTTCAATGGAGTAGTAGCTAGTAAAGATGTAGGCAACCTGATGTGGTCGTCTGTTGTCTGCTGCAACGATTAATACTAGTCCAACCCACTCCACATGGGACCTATCGATAAAGCGTGTGGAGCGCAGACCGGCTTGGCAATCATCGCCCATGAGGAGTCTGTCGTTGCGACCATATCTGGCCCAGGACATGGACACACCTGCTCGCTATGCACGGTGAAAGTAAATGGCCCCCCGAGAGCTGACGTGAGAGCCAGTTCTGAGCGCTGCATAAAACATGGACAGGTATGGACCACTTTGGCCATGTATGCAGCTATGTGACATTTGACTCACACCAATGCACATCAAGATGAAGTAGTGGGGTTTCCTGGCCATCCCTTCCAACAACCCGTATCGTCAATGCAGAAGGGTGTGTCGTGGTATCTTGACGAACTGTGAGTTATCGGCCATTGGAGACTTGATTCCCTTCGACATCCTTTTCTTTACGAAGACATGTTCGATTTCCTACCATGGGAGATTCGTCAGTTACGGCCATTGTGACCCCAAGTCATCATCTGATACAGATTCTGAGGCTCTACTTCTCAGGCCTCGGATCAAAAAAGGATGCCTCAACCAAGAAAGACGAAGAAGAACAGCAACCATTCATGGAGGGCATAAAGTCTTCCTCCTCATGGCCGAACAGAGATGAAGGAATGCTTGTTCAGCGATCGAACAACTCCTGCCAGAGAACATTCGGCACTGCGTTAACAATCATCAATGTCGTTCTATTCTGCCTCACTACTGCCTTTCTCGTCCTCATCAACAGATCTCGACGGATCTCTTCCTCATCTTCTGTCAACACATCTCCCTATCAAAAGCCGGAATTCAACTCGGCTCTCAAACAACTCTCAAGCTATTGTAAGTAAAGAAAGACGTCCACTATTTGGTATCCTTCTTTAAATAATCGTACACTTGTTTACTGCGTATGACTCTTTACATGACATGATATGTATGACACCGACTTACTCCCTCTCTCACAGCACCAATCTTCGACGCTCTGGACCTGGGAAGCAAAACGGTCCAATTCGACGGACGATTCTACAACGACACGTCCATCTACCGTGGCGACCCATCTCCCGAGGTGGATAAAGCCTGGCAATTCCTCGACCACGACATCTGGACCGTGTCGGAGGACACGGTCAGGCGCGTGCACAAGGACCCGTCCCGCGCCATCAAGGTCGACTCCAAATGGGGCATGGGCGACGACGCGTACATTGCGACGTACGACTTCGTCCACCAGATCCACTGCCTAAACACGCTGCGCAAGGAGATCCATTACGGCCGGTACTGGAACTCGACGCCGCCGTCCGAGATGCACCTGGCGCACCGCAACCACTGCCTGCACATGCTCCTCCAGGCCATCGTGTGCCACGCCGACGTGGACGTCATCACGTACGAGTGGGTGTACGTGGACGATCCGGAGACTGGGGCACGGTCGTACACCCCGTGGCCGGATTTCAACTCGGTCAAAAAGTGTCGAGATTTCGATACCTTGTACACGTGGATGGAGGACCATGTGCCGAAACAGTCAAAGGCGTTGTATGAGAATATCGAGAAACCTGCTGACGCGCCGGCGAGGTCGATTTATGATACATAGTCCTGCACTCGGTGACGAGATGAGGCATCTTCCATGTCCCAGGATGAGGACGGGCACGAGCAATGAACCACGAGGCTGATCCGATCAGGGGGGTTGATCTGTGTTTCCCCGGACACGTCACACCGCGTGAGTACACAGGGTACCGTATCCAGCCAGGGTGCAATTAATCCAGCTCGTGAGATGTTTAAGTTACTTGCCCCTAGGAATGAAGAACTGTCCACTCTGTGCATAGACACAGCAAGGTGGACGAAGGTGTGTCTGACTCCGCCTTTTGGTGGCTGATGCTGGCAGCTGGAGCCATGCTTGTCCCGAAGTCAGTACTCGTACTGAGATACTTGGGCATTCAGTGAACCAGTAGTTAATCTCTTCCCTCGATAGCCAGCTCGAAACCATAGCGTTATGATTGTACCTTTGGACGCCCCCCGAGGTATCCGTATTCGTGCCGAGAGAGCAAACGCCACAGAGGCAAGCCCCACACGAGTTCAATCCCCTAGTACCCCAAACCCCCTCCAGCAGTCGCCAGTTCAAGTTTCCTTCTACAACAATATCGTGAACGGTGTAGATCTGAAGTAGGCAAATACCCCTTCCAGTCTCTTTGATCAATCTTTCTTGACTCGGAGCAGAACTGTAAAGATATGGCTGCATCAAAAGATTGGGCGCAAAGAGTATTATTTACCTAGTAAACAGTACTTTTTCCTAACTAAAGTACAGACAAAACGAGGTTCCCGTTTTGGCGGGGTAATTCCTAGACCCAATTCAAGTAATTAAATCTACCATATGATACGGAGTAAGTAAAAAAGAACTAGAGCTCTCTCTCTCTCTCTCTCTCTCTCTACCCGAGTAGTTTGTCGTCTGATAAGCCTCCGTGCGTGCCTGGGGGGAGGCTCACTCTCGTACTCCATACTTAGCTAAGTTAGGCAAGGTAGATGTGGTACCTTGGCCACTTGAAGTAACTGGCTGGGTATTTACCGACTCTCCAACTTTGGGCCAAGAATCGTGTCATCCCTAATCCTTCTTTCTACCGAAAAGTAACACGAGTACGAGATGCTCGACTCAGCACGCCTTACCTTACCTTACCTTACCCTTACGCTTGGCCCTTTTCTTTGTATTTCCTCTTTTCGAGTTTCATCTTCTTCTTAAGCTGGCAGATTACTCTTTTTGCGTCGTTCCTTCAAAAACATAAAATACATCTATACACACACATATATATTCTCTTGACCCTAAAGATAGAGGTGTCGACTGATAAGCATTTAGAGGGGAACGGTTATACCTTTATCAACCTCGTCCAAGAACGAACACTCTAACACACTCAACATGGGTTCAATCTCACCATCGACCAAACGTGCCATCACGGCCTCGGACATTGACAATCTCCAAACCCTGCTGAAAGATACGTCCGCCAAGGTCCTCGCGCCGACGGACGAGGGCTACGAGAAGAGTATCCACCGCTGGTCCCGCGCCGCAGAGAAACCGGCGGGGGCCGTCTTGACCCCGACGTCCGCGCAAGAAGTCAGCGTCGCGCTCAAGTACGCGAGCGAGAAGGGCATCGACGTCGCCGTCAAGGGAGGCGGGCACAGCACGGCGGGCGTGAGCAGCACCGACGGCGGACTGCTGGTCGACCTCAACGCCAAGATGCGCGGGGTCAGCGTCGCGGATTGGGAAGGCGGAGTCAAGGCGTTCAAGGTCCAGGGCGGAGCGACGTGGGGGGACGTCGACCAGGAAGGGGTCAAGTTTGGCCTCGCGACTGTGGGAGGTACGGTCGCAGATACGTGAGTCTTTTTTTTTTGCCTATTTCATTTTTTTCTGCTTCTTCTTATTGCTCCTTTTTTCTCATTTTGCTGACACTGATCCTTCTTGCGAATTTAGTGGCGTAGGTGGTCTCGTACTTGGCGGCGGTTATGGATGGCTCACGGGGCAACATGGTCTCTCGATCGATTGTATGCTCGAATGCACCGTGGTCCTTGCAAACGGTGACATCGTCAAGGCGAACCCCAAGGAGAACGCAGATCTCTTCTGGGCTCTGCAGGGCGCGGGCCAGAACTTTGGAGCCGTCACCGAGTTCGTACTGAAGGCTTTCGAGCAGGGCGACGTCTGGGCTGGACTCCTGATCTTCCCACCGACACCTGAAATCATAACGAAGGTTGTCGACGCCACCAACAGGCTCTACACTCCGGACGCGAACGGAAAGACAAAAGTTGCCGGCAGGGGCACCGGAGGTATCGCCATCGCCAGGCCTCCACCCGCGGGCGGACAGGTCATGATCCTGGTGAGTGTCATATACTTCGGCACGGAGCAGGAGGCCAAGACCATGTACAAGGAGCTTTATGATCTGGGGGCGCCGGTCGACACGACGGCCATGGTCCCATACCCGACCGTCAACACCCTCTTGGCGCCGCCGATCGGGATGCGTGCGAGCATGAAGGGAGCGGCGTTCAGCATGCCAGTCCGCACCGACTTTGTGCTGGAGATGCTCGAGAACTATGTCGCCTTCACGGACCCCGATCCGGATACGCACGTGAGCATCATCTTGTGGGAGATTTTCGACCCCCTGAAGGTGGTCCAGGAGAAGAACGTTGGCAGCTTTGCGAATAGAGGTTGGCACTTGAACGGCCTGATTTTACCCATGTGGAACAAACAAGAGAACGACGCCAAGTGTAGACAGTGGGCTCGGGATGTCAACGAAAAGTTCAAGGCCGAACTGGAGAGACAGGGGAAAGAGACGGGCAAAGGTGTCGAGGGTGGTGTTGGATTGAGAGGTGACAAAGGGGCCGTGTTGCTCTATGGAAATTATGATCGTAAGTCTTTTTGTCCTTTTGCTAGTGATTGCCTCAACGGCAACGACTGTTCTGTGTGTTTAAAGTGGTCATCATGACTGACTGACAAATTTCCAAAAAAAAAACAGAATATGATGAGAGATCCAGGGATATCTTTGGAGAGAATTATGCAAAACTTCAAGGGTTGAAGGCGAAATATGATCCTGGAAGCACATTCAATAAACTCTTTGCTATCGCTCCTCAGTCTTGAAGGCAGGGAGAAACTAGGCTGCCGCCATCAGTCCAAGTAGAATATAAATGATACATTGTCCAAGTCGTCTTCAGAATTAAAATGGTGGTGCCTGGTGAAGCTCGGTCATATAACGTAACCAGATATCCGTGGCCAGGACACCAACACCGAATCACCTTCGGCCCTAACAGGCTTTTGGTAGGCGCACGTTGAATTATTCAGTATTGATAGATCGAGCTTTTGACTTTTCACCTCCCTCGTATGATGGGTATTGGTGGGTTATGATGTCTTGTTCTTTTCCACGGGCTCCGGGAAAATCCACGGCGATGCACTTCGGCCATAGCGCTTCATGGCCCACACCGCTGCATGTATAAAGTGATTGATTGATGCGCACTTGGTGATAGAGTCGGTTGTCACATTGTCCCTCATCATCGTATTTCGCAACATTCCAAGAGTGGTTATTTATAACATGGAATCGATCATCACACAAATCACGTCGCTGGCGGAGGCCGCCGACGAGGCTGGCCGACAAACGATACTGACCAGTCTTCAACAGCTTCAGTCTCAGCTTGAAAGTCCGATGGACACGTTGATGAAGTTGTATAACTCGGTACATGATCATTCGAAAGTACAATCAGATTCCAGGCTGATCTTATAATTGGCATCTAGCAAATCCAAATCAGCGTGTTATATGTTGGGGTCCAGTTGGGCCTGTTCAAGCACCTTGCTGAAAATGCTTCGTCGCCTGTGAGCGTGGCACAGCTCGCTGAGAGGTCGGGCGCAAGTCCTGAACTGCTCCGTACGTGTTTTTCAACATATCCGGATTTGTCACTCGCTGGATCATCGGCTCACATCAACCTAGGACGACTACTTCGATATCTTGCCTCCTTGGGATTCGTCTTGAACCCATCCCCAGATCACTATCAAGCTAATAAGCTCACACGTTTTCTTGCCAGCCCTCAGATTGATGCTGGTATGGTTCACGGGTAGGTTCACCCTCTAGGCCTTTTGGGCGCTGAACGAATGCGCCGTCCTCAACTTGAAACAGATTCGACACCTGCGGACCGGCCGCCAGCGCACTGCCTGCCTTTCTTGAGGAAACATCATACGCAGACATCTCATCGAACACCAAGACTCCGTTCCAGAAAGGACACAGCACCGAGCTCGGTGGGTTCGACTGGCTCAAGCAGCACCCGAAAAACTTCAACGCCCTTCAAGTTTCCATGACGGCAATTCAGAACTCGGATTGGCTCAAAGGCCTGAATGTGCTCGACCAGGCGGCCCGGCAGGTCACGCAAGGCTCTGAGAAACCGTTCTTTGTGGACGTTGGTGGTGGCCACGGTCACCAGTGCAAGCAACTTCTCGAAAAGTATCCCAATCTTCACGGCACAATTGTCCTGCAAGATCTTCCTCAGGCTGTGAGTGGATTGCCGCCGATCGAGGGCGTAAAGGTCACGACGCAGAACTTCTTCGAAAAGCAGTCTGTTCAGGGTAAGCAGTCCCCAGCAAGGCACACTTGAACCTACGTGGGAGAATGTTAACCAAAGTGCTAGGGTCAAGGTTCTACTACCTCCGTCGTATCATGCATGATTGGCCAGATGATGACTGTGTGTCCATTCTGTCCAGATTGGCGGAGGCAATGGGTAGCGATTCGCAGATACTGGCGGATGAAGTGTTCATGCCCGATACCAATGTGCCATGGCAAGCGTCGCTGCAGGATGTCTGGATGAATGTCTTGTTCGCAGGAAAGGAACGCACACGGACGGAATGGGAACATTTGATTGAGAGGTCAGGCTTGAAGCTGGTCGATGTTCGGACGTACAATGCATCCTCATGTTCTTCGGTGCTTGTGTTGGAGAAGGCGTGAGCATGTCTGAGTGGTTGCTAGAAAACATACCGCCTAGCTGGTTAGTACTTGCCTACCTGTATATAAATAAATGACACCCGCCTCAAGTGATATCCCGCAGTGGTCCTCACATTGAAGAATCGGAAGTGGTGTTGAGTGCAGGTATTCTGGCGCAGCGCAGTCTCTTGCCTCACAGCGATAAAACACGCTACTTGTTGTTACACGTGATTTTGAGTCAATAACTGGTACGCGTCTGGAAAATTGTTAAGTTACAGGGGGCTTCACACTGGAGCCAATGCGCCTATTAGGGACCAAGTAAGGCCCCTGAACCCTTGTAATTGGTGCCTGGGCGAAGATGTTTAGGGCTGGCGCGTCACGTTCCGCTGCCGAGTGGCACACACTTACTGTACTGTACGGTTAGAAACGAGTTTGGCCCGTCCGTCTGGCTCCCGCCCTTGTGCCGCTTGCTGCGCGTGTCCGTTCATCATCTGTGTATGTTCTACATCTTTGTCCTGCAGCGAATCGTGCATTGACGACCGATCCCCTTTCCAGGAGCCTATCGAACGAGGTTTGACATTTGGCTGCAGACGTAAACATCCGCGACTGCGACAATCCCCTGCACCACCATCCCATTGACCCAAGATTCACTGTCTGCGACCGCAACTTGTCCTCTGTTTACCACCCGCGCGGCCGGGTCGATCTATTCGACACTGATGCTTTCCTCCTGGCCCGATTGACAATTTTCCTCGGGTTTTGAACATGGCGTGCGTCTTGATACTCTGTTCAATATATACGCCAGATCCCCGCTAACAACTGATCCCAGTTCCAACTCAGCCAGCGGAGGAGGGGGCAACAACATCAAAGGTATTGTCAACCTATACGACTTTGACTGGCCCGGCTAACACGATTCCCAGTTGTTGCCCGATTCCGTCCGCAGAACAAAGTCGAAATCGGAAATGGAGGTCAACCAATTGTCCACTTTACTGGCGAGGACACCTGCCAGGTCCAGGTTTGTTGTCCTGTCGCAGAAAGCAGTAGACCAGACACTCATGTCGTATAGTCCGCCGAAACGAATGCTCCCTTCACGTTCGACCGAGTTTTTGATATGTCCTCCCAACAAGCCGACATCTTCGACTTCTCCATCAGATCAACTGTAGAAGATGTCATGAATGGTTATAATGGAACGGTCTTTGCTTATGGCCAGACTGGCGCAGGAAAGTCTTATACGATGATGGGAGATATGGATGATTCACACAAAAAAGGTATAATCCCGCGAATCACTGAGCAGATATTCGATGCCATTCTCGTGCATGGTTCGGCTCAGATCGAATACACCGTGGGCATCTCATACCTGGAAATCTACATGGAACGAATACGAGACCTGTTGAACCCGGTTATGGACAACTTGCCCATCAACGAAGGCCCGAAGGGTCCATATGTGAAAGGCTTACGAGAGATATACGTGAATACGGTTGATGAAGTGTACACAGCCATGCATCTGGGTCAACGAGCAAGAGTTACAGCATCTACAAACATGAATTTGGAATCTTCGCGGTCACACTCGATATTTTTGGTCACGATAAATCAAAAGGACGTCAATACTGGTTCACAAAAGAGTGGTATGCTTTATCTGGTTGATTTGGCAGGTTCAGAAAAGGTGGGCAAGACAGGCGCCAGTGGACAAACGTTAGAGGAGGCAAAGAAGATCAACAAGAGTTTGAGCGCTCTCGGAATGGTCATCAACGCCTTGACCGATGGCAAATCCACTCACGTCCCTTATCGAGACTCGAAATTGACGAGAATTCTCCAAGAAAGTTTGGGAGGTAATTCAAGAACGACTTTGATCATCAATTGTTCTCCCAGCAGTTACAACGATGCAGAGACTGTCAGCACCTTGCGCTTCGGAATGAGAGCAAAGACGATCAAGAACAAGGCCAAGATCAATGCCGAATTGAGTCCTGCGGAACTGAAACGCCAATTGAAGATCATCCAAAACCAAGTGATAACTTTCGAAAAGTATATAGCTTCTGTGGACGCGGAACTGTCGTTATGGCGGAGGGGAGAGACAGTTCCAAAAGAAAAATGGGCTCCTCCGATGGGAGGCACAAAATCAGAATCGAGGGCCAGGCCAGATACGCCCTCTCGTGCTCCTTCGGATCTGCTAAGGTCAGAAACTCCAAGTCGGCCAGATTCTCGAATGGGCGAGAGATCCAGCACACCCAGTATCATTCTGGAAAAGGACGAGAGAGAGGAGTTCCTACGCCGAGAGAATGAACTGCAAGACCAGCTGACGGAGAAAGAGACTCAAGCAGCTAATGCCGAACGCAGTTTGCAGGAACTGCGAGAAGAATTGAAGTCGTATAAAGAAGGAGCACTTCGGACGACGAAAGACAACGAGGTCATGGCTGATAAACTCAACAAGACCGAACTGGAATTGCAGAAATTGAGCTATCAGGGCAAAGAAGATGCAATCACCATGGAAGGCTTGAAAGACGCGAACACCGAGCTAGAGACCGAGTTGGTATCTGTCAAACAACAACTTCTAGAACTCAAGATGAGTGCCAAGGAGACCACGGCAGCTCTCGACGAGAAGGATCGCAAGAAAAAGGAGAAAATGGCTAAAATGATGGCAGGGTTCGACTTGGGAGACAATGCGTTTTCCGAGAACGAGGCACGTATGCGCGATATGCTCGATCAGGTCGAGTCACTCCATGCTGCCAGTCTGAACGGGGAGCAAGTCTCATCGGATGTCCTAGATGACTTGAGAAACAAATTGCTTGAATCTCGAGACCTAGCTCGACAAGCAGAGACGTCCCTGAATGTTCGTGCAGAAAGCGAGCATGAGGAGCGAACACTTGCCCTAGAAGAGAGACTAGCTTCAGTTCAACAAGATTATGAGGATTTACTGACACGCAACTTGAGCCCCGAAGATGTGGAAGATGTCAAGAACAGATTGGAGCAGCTCTACTCGGATCGAAGAGAGGCACAGACTGAGCTGGTGCATGATCTGCGAGACCAGCTGACTCACAAGTCTCAGGAGATTGAAAAGCTTCAGAAGTCCATGTCCGATTTGCAAGGCCGTGGCGCCGCAAACGGAGCACCCAATGGAACACCCAACAAGAGCGTACAGCAGCAGATGGCCGAGTTCGATCAAATGAAGAAGAACCTGATGAGAGATCTTCAGAACCGATGCGAGCGTGTTGTTGAACTCGAAATCTCACTCGATGAGACAAGAGAACAGTACAACAATGTTCTGAGGTCGAGCAACAATCGCCAGCAACAGAAGAAGATGGCCTTCTTGGAGCGCAACTTGGAACAACTTACCGTGGTGCAGAGACAGCTCGTGGACCAAAACACCAGCCTGAAGAAGGAAGTGGCAATTGCAGAGCGCAAGCTGATTGCAAGAAATGAACGGATTCTGAGTCTGGAAAGTCTGCTGAGCGATAGCCAGGAGAAACTCACCGCAGCGAACCATCGGTATGTATTTCTGATTTGCTCAAATCATGATAGGAGACGCTAACCAGTCCGAAATAGTTTCGAACAACAACTGGCCGCAGTCAAGGAACGTCTTGAAGCCGCCAAAGTGTCGTCAAGGAACATGGCCGCTGGTGGCCCTGGCGCAGCAGGTGGATTCAATAGTCTCATGAACGCCGGAGCCAGAATCGCAAAACCACTTCGCGGAGGAGGCGGTGCTCCTCCTTCCAACCTGGACGGAGCCAACGCTAATGGAGCAGCTTCCTTGCCCATTATCTCAAGTTTGGCTGGGTCGGACGGGGGGAATAAACGAAGCAGCTGGTTCTTCAACACGGGTCGATGATTAACATTCCATTGACTTCATCCATGGTTTATGACCGTCTGGTTTGGTGTCGAAACATAAAGACAGAGTCAACATTGGCCACGATCTGTGGTTGTTCTCGTCTTTGTCCTTGATCTCAGGCGTCCTTTGTGAATTTCAGTCGGCGACATATTAGATCTCTGAAGTTTCTCCGGAGTAATCAATTCTGCATTCTAGACTGGAGCATTGTCGCGAAAGGGGGAGAGATGGATAAAGAGTTGTTTTGATGAATCTCTCCTTGGTTGTTGACCTTTTCGAGCAGAACGACAGAAGAACTGTCAGGATCTTTTTTATGCATAACGAGCCATGGGATGTTTCATGTACCTACCTACCTTTACTTACCTACCTGACCTAGCTGAACCTACCTAGCCTAGACATGGGGTGTCCTTTTTCCTTTCTTCTTTGTGTTCAATCTCATAACGAATCAGCTACGAATTGATGGAGGGGAAGAGAGAGAATGGAGGCGGGGACCGAATTGAATAGCAGACAAGACAGACAGACAGACAGACCAAAAACCAGAAACGTGATTCAAAAGACTCTTCTTCACGACCGATTGAGAGATATAGGAGTTAAACCTTGACGGAGTATCTTTGCAGATCCTGAAGGCGATATCATTATGCCCGAAATCATGTGGATGTGACTACCAAAATGATGATGTAGCTGCTTGCACTGCACCGGTTCAGTGATGGGCCGAAGACCGTGAAAAGATTGATTGGCCTGATCATCAGAATTGCCTCGTTTTATCCGGTAACATACTCTGTCAAAGTGTTCGAAAGGATATTCTATCCAGTTGAGGAAGAATTGAAGGTCGGGAAAATGGTTCACTTGTGAGCCGACTCCCAGAGCGCGCAAGACTAACCCGTTTTCGTATCGAAACAGGACCCAAATACCAATCAGAATCAAAGGCGGAGTCAAACCCTCTTCTGTCCAATCGGACATAACGAGAATATGCCTCCCAACTTACTTCCGGGGCCTGGCATTGCTTCTGGGATGGGGAGGAAATTCAAGGTATATAGTTGTGACGTTCCGAAGGCTTTGGCGAGGAGGGAGAGGACAATTCAAGCATAAGAAAAGACTTCTGAACCATACAAGCAGAACTTCGACAAGTATCGTACGAATACCTAAGTATTACCACCATGGCACCACAACAATACGCCAAAGATCAGCCACAAGGCTTCAAGAATAGGATTGAGAACATCGCGATCGTCGGTGTAAGTTGAATCAACCACACAAAGCCACTCGTATCGACGGGAGAAGGGAACATACACTGACGGTGGTGTCTAACCTAGGCTGGCGGACAAATCGGTGGTTACCTTGCAAAACACCTTCTCGCGACCGGCAAGCACAATGTCACGGCCATCACGCGGGCCGACAGCGTCAGCAAGTTGCCCCGAGGGATCAAAGTGGCCAAGGTCGACTACGGCGACCCTTCCACGATAGTCGACGCCCTTCGGGGCCAAGACGCTCTCCTCATCACCCTGAGCGTCTTCGTGCCTCCGGACACGCAAGCCACGCTGATCAACGCCGCCATCGAAGCCGGTGTTCCCTGGATCATGCCCAACGACTGGGGTACGGACTCGACCGACGACAGACTCGCCAAGGACACCATGCTCACCGACGCGCGCTGGCAGGCCCGAGACCTCATCGAAAAGGCAGGGCTGGGCCGCGTGTCCTTGGTGTGTGGGTTCTGGTACGAGTACAGCCTCGCGGGGGCGGCGGTGCGGTACGGGTTCGACTTCAAGAACCGGAGCGTGGTGTTTTATGACGACGGCAACACCAAGATCAACACCAGCACCTGGGACCAGGCCGGGCGGGCCGTGGCCAAGTTGATGAGCATGAAGATCCTGCCGGAGGACGCGGCGGACGACGGCAGTACGACGCTGTCCCGGTTCCGGAACCAGTTCGTCTACGTCTCGTCCTTCCTCATCAGCCAAAAGGACATTTTCGCCTCGGTGTTGCGGGTGACGGGGACAACGGAGAAAGATTGGACCGTCACGTACGAGGACGCCCACGAGCGCTACAAGGCCGGCGTGTCCGAGTTGCAGAGTGGCAACATGGACGGGTTCCCGAAACTGTTGTACGCCAGGGTGTTTTGGCGTGGCGGAGGCGGGGATTTCGAGTCGGTCAAGGGGACCAGCAACGACCTTCTCGGGCTGCCCAAGGAGGACCTCGACGACAGGACCAAGGCCGCCATCGAGATGGCCACCGAAGGCTCGAGAATGACGAGGACTCGCGACCCCTGAGAGGGTTGAAGATCTCATGTCCAAACTCGTGGCAATCGTATGTAGTTTTGAAAATGACATGAAATTAAAATCTCATTGTTAGTTCATGGTACTCGTAGATTGTACTCCACATGCTGAACCCATGTCGTGTCGTTGAAATTTGGGTCATGCTTGTTCCGGGCCTGCCCTAGCTTCTCTCCTTTCTGTCAGTACCCGTCGGTGCTCTTGCTTACGCCGCAATCGCTCCAGCCTTCTCTCTGCGTCCCACTTCGACTGTAGGTCATTGACGGCAGTTTCGAGCCTCATGTAGAGCTCCGAGCCTCCGGCTGTGGTGTCCTGCATGTCTCGCAGCGTTTCCAGCCATTCTTCGAGTTGTTTCTGAGAGACGGGTTTTGCAAACGTCGTGGTCCTGTTGAGATCGAATTCCGCTATTCTTTTCCTTTCGTCCACGATGGCGAATAGGTCCGTGGCGAAGACGTTCACGCAGACAAAGCCCACCGTCGCAACAAAGCTGATGAAGATGTTTCGAAAGTCATTTCGGCCTCCGTCGGAATCGACGTGATATACCCACGCAAACAACAAGTACATGCCGAATCCGATCGTGTACAGCAGAACGGCGAGATTGAGCAGCACTTTTGGCATCGAAAACTGTTTCAGGGCCGCCACGGAGCTTTCCAGCGGTAGGAGATGGAAGGGTGGTCGATAGTGAGTCTGTTCCGTTTCAGCCTTGCCCCGGCTGAGCCACAGCCGGATGTCAAACGCCTTGTTGAGCACGGAGATGTGTTGTTGCAATGACGCCGCACGCACGACAGACAGGACTCCAAGCATCATGGAACAGGAGAGGAGAGCTCGTGCACTCCAATGGGTAGAATCCATGTCTGGCAATTGAAGGGCGGTCAAGCCGACACTGGCGAAGATGGCACCCTTGAGACCTTTTCATCAGTGTCTGACCCATAGTCTGATTCTTCACTCGCGTAAAACACTCACGGCCACTTGTATGGCAGTACAATTTGAGATGTAGGACTGCTTCCATGCCATGACCTCGTCGTCAGTCCAAGTGTTGATGTTCCAATGCAATTGTCTGACCGCATCTGTGTCGACAAGCCTGGTGATTCCAAAGAAACGACCCCATGAGCCCCATCTCTGTTCCTCGTACTCAGGATTGCGGCCAACGACAATATCGACGAGAGTGTTCAACTTTGACATGAGGGCGATCGCCGTGGCCAAGATACTAATAGGATCGGCCATTGTTACTACCACGGGAACAATTGGCGCCTTATGCGAAACTTGGTCCCCGAGATAGACAGGTTTCCCAGCTAATAAATGGAACGGTCATGCCTTGATGAGACAACCTGGTGAGATGCTCGGAAGAGAAACGTTTCTCAGCCTCAGCAGCCTTGACAGAAGAGCTCAGCGCATCCAGCCTTCTTTCTAAGCGAGAATCTGTGTCACATGACTGTCGCCGAGTTTCACACCAATCTCATTCGTGCCAATTTTCACCTTGTGGTACATCGAATCCTCCATTGATGCCTGCTTCTCGTTGTTGTGTATGATGGATCATGATCTCTCTGCTGAAGAATGGACGGAAGATACATCATCTCCTTCCCCAGTGCCGCGAACAGCCAAGACTTTCCTGGTGTACGGGACAAAGCACGGATTGATTTACCTTTAGCAAAGATTCTAAGATGAACTGTGATGCTCCGAGAATGTATCAAGGTTCCTACAAGTATCGCCTCGTCACCGTCGAGATCGAATGTGTCTATCATCGTGACCTCGGCAGCCAGGAACTGCACCACAGGTAGGGGATTGAAAATGCTACCAGACTCCTTATCCTTTCATGACACGGCCCATGGCATCCCTCATCCGAGAAACCCGGGCAAATTCCGCCGCATATGGCACTACAGACGAAGTACCACTACTGGAACGTTGTATTGAGACAAATAGCATCGTCCTTCATCGCAATACCTAATGGCTACATTGGAGACGCGACCAAGTACGGGCAGTTGAAGTCAGTATCCTGAACAACAGCGTCTAAACTGGTCGATTTCTGAACCTACTCTTGAGCGGCCACAATGTCTCCTCAAGCGAATGGCGACACGGGACTTTCAAGCACAATTCCCAATAAATTAGCACAACAACATGAATACATGCCTGGTCTGCCACCAAAGTCTCTCAATACCCCTGTCGAGGTCACTCCATCACCAGAGGAGAAGGCTGCTGGTCGCTTTGACGATGCCAACATCAAGCTCTTTCTCTCGGGGATGCACCGCGATGGTGTGGTCATACTCAAAGATATGATTGACCCGGCCCATCTGGACGTCATCAACGAGTTCATGGTCGAGGACACAAAACGTGAATTGAACAAAAAGGACCTGCACCGCAATTTCGGGGCAGAGAACCTCCAACAGGGCCCTCCGTTGACGCCGTCGAAATACTTTTTCGACGATGTCTATCTCAACAAACTTCTTTTTCATGCCGTCAACCTCTACCTCGGGCCCAACGCGAAGTGGAACATGGTCACGGGAAACAACGCCTTGCCTCACGGAGTCCAACGTCAGCCAGTCCATTCAGACGCCATGTGCGCCCATCCTCCTGCTCCATTCTACGTGGTCGCCAACGTCTACACGACCGACGCCAGTGCCGCGAACGGTTCTACCGAGATCTGGCTCGGAACTCACCACTTCAACACGGAAGCTCAGACTCCTCCGGGACCACATGGCGAGACGCACATCACTGATGAATACGTCGAGGAGCGGAAGACGTCTCTTCGTCCCGGATTTCAGCCCACGGTGAAGAAGGGATCTATCCTCTTCCGAGACATGCGCCTGTGGCACGCCGGAGTCTGCAACAAGTCGGACGCGACCCGCTACATGATTGCTCTGGGATTCTCGGCCAGCTGGTGGCACGGCACGGCTCGCTTCAGAATCCCCGCGGGCACAGGTGTCTACGAGCGACTGATGCATGGAACCAAGAACCACAACATAACCCCACTAATGGTCGAGCTGCCACAGGAAGAGTACGAGAAGCTGCGAAACGCACATGACTTTAGCGATGTAGAGAAGATGACGTATGAAGGAGAGATATTCTGAACTTGGCAACGAATGTTGACCCATCTGGTAACCAGAGTCGAGTCGAGTCGATCGAATTCTACACAAATATCTCGTTGTCGACAGTGCATGCGACATCCTGCGGTCTGCTTGCTTCATTACCCTATCAAAAAGGACAACCTCCTTTCCCAAACTTCGAAAAGGCAGTTGTCGAATGCCGAATGCGCAGGCGACACTGTACGTCGTCCGCGGGATTCTGTAATGCACCAAGTCATGGAAAAAGACTGATGTCCGAATCCAGCAAATATCTTGTTGTGACACGGAACCCTTGTGCAAAGCAGCCGTTTGTCTCGGTCCTCTCGCGGATTGGATTGGACTTTTGCTCCCTACAGTACCCCTGCCATGACCAGCGCCCTCTCCATGGCCGTTAGTGTCTCTTGATCGAAGCTAAGCTACGAGATGTCAGGTGAGAAGATTGGTTATTGGCTTCATCCCTCTCGCTTCTATCCGTGGCTACGTACAGACTTCTGTCATTAAGCGTTTACTCCATATGGTAAAGGTACGACATGAAGATTCTACCGTACCTAGTTGATTGGAACAGTATCTAACACGAACCCCCAGACCAAGCAGGACGCAAGGTGGCAGCCTAATGTCCTGCATGGTCTTCGTTATTCGTACCCATCAATCACCTGCCTCACGCCAGCTCGCCTACATCTTCCACCCTTGCCAACATTTCAAGCCTCGTCGGCTCTGGTCTGTCGGACTTTCTAGTCTTCCCGACCGTCCCATCACTTCTGTCCTTTTCTTTTTCTACCCTGCTAGCCTGGTGAACCTTTCTCATGATGGGGAAATGTTTATGGAATCCTCTGATCATCCTTTTCAGCCTCACGGTCATACCCCGAGGCCACAAACCGGACTGGCAACAGCAACGGATGGGTGAATTCAAAAGTTGTGGCTTTTTCGTCTTCGAAGGAGAAGAAGAAGAAGCTTTCCAGCACAATCCAAAAAAGGTCCATTGTACGGAACAAGTGTACTTCTCATCCGTGTCCAAGATCCATAACACCTACCTAACCTGGTAAGTTACCCCCCAAAAAGAACCAACGAGAGGATCCACAGCGGGACCCTGTCGTCAACCGGGTGAGGCCGACAGCGTCACTGTGTAGTACGTATAACACCACCACTACTACTGTGTTGCCTTGTTTCCTTGTCGCACTGTTGCAGCACTCCTGGATTGTCACCGCTGTACTAAACTCTCGTCTACTATCTCCTGGGCCGGTAGGTAGTACATTGAAAGGACTCACATATCGGATCTCCCTTACGGACTGTACCCGGACGACCTCGATTCATGAAGCACGATTCACTTTACTCCAAGGATCTTGATCAGTAATGGCACATCCCGAGGCTTCTTGACTCTTGAGGCGCCCCCCCTCTCAAAGGCCTGCCTTATTGACCATCGTGGGGGCGAAGACATATATTCTAACACGTCGACAACACTGTTGAATTGTCACACTGTCTGTCACGAGAGTCAGAGGTCAGTAATAGCTACCCGTACACGGTACTCGCACGGTTCTCAGTGATGGGATCAATCACACTTTCTCGTTCTCCTCCTCCGCCGTCGCCCATCGTTCACATCGTCCATTTCCGCTTCTACCCGACCGTCAGCGACGAAAAACGCGCCGCCATATCCAAAAAGTTTTTGTCGCTGCAATCCGCCTGTCTCTCCCCCGTCACACAAAGACCGTACATACGTTCCTTCACGGGTGGGCGGGACATCAGCATCGAGAGTCTGCAAAAGGGGTACAGCCATGTGTTCATGCTCGAGTTCGAAAACGAGCACGACCGCGACTGGTACGTCAACGGGGATCCCGTACACAAGAGGTTCGGGGTGGACGATTTGACGGGCGTGGTGGAGGATGTCATGGTCGTGGATTTCAAACGAGGACAGGTCTGAAAGAAAAAGCATTGAATCGACACAAGAACACTAGAACCGTCGACCCGTCAGACGACAACGACAGCAGCGAAGAGCTTAGCTTTATAAAAAAATCAAGAACAAAGAGGCCTCCTGTCAGCAAAGCGAGGCTATCGAAGTGATGTACCAGAATTCCCAACCTGGTACATTAAACAGTAAAAAGACCGAGGAGTGATAACCAAACAAGCAAGCAAGCAACAAGTTCCAAAGACCAAACAAGCAACCGATGCTTCTGTCCAGATATCATTGTTCTGGTGCGCATGTTGGAAGAAAAGGGTGTATGTTGTGGGGAAGGACCTCGAGTCCCTGCATGATTCAGATATGACTGGCAATCTGGTCTCGAAAGTATAGCAGCATTCCACACAATGGAGCCGGAGTCACCCGGACCAGGAGGTACTCATGGTTCAAATGAAATTCCCATGGCCTCAAGCTTCAACTTCCCGAGAATCCATAATCTTGTAATCTTTGAACATCCTCGGTGGGACTCGCGCTTCAAACATGTAATCCAACTCCTCGAACGTCCTGCCCTTCGTTTCTGGCAGTCGAAAATAGCACCACACGGTCGCCAGGGCGCTGATGCCCCCGAAAAAGAAGCCGGTCTTGCCTCTCCAGTTGCCCGACGAAGCGTTGAGCATGTAGGGGATCACCACGGTCATGATGATCTGGGCGATCGACCCGCTGCTCGTGGCCAGGGCGACGGTCTGGGATCGTAACCGGGTTGCGCCGATTTCTGCAAAGATGACAAAATTGACGGGTCCCACGGTGCCTTGAAACACAAACGTGAGGACGTCGAGCAATGCCGCCTGAGCCCAAGCGAACCCCGGACGGGAGTCGTATTTGGGTGCGCAGTCCAGACCACCGATGATGAAAAGAGCGACACACATGCCCGCCACGCCGTACATGAAGATGGTGCGTCGGCCAAAGTACGACATGAAGACCCAAGAGGAACAGGTCGCCACGAACCCGATCGCCGTGTTGCCCACTCCCATGTCGAAAGCCGCAGATACTGGGAGCCCAGCCAGTTCGAAAAAGTAGGTTGCGTACCCGATCAATGATATCCCAGTGATGACCTGCCAGATCTGCACCATGATGGCCACTTCGGTACGTCGGCGGTTCGAGTCTCGAAAACATTCAATGTACGTCGTGTCCTTTTCCACCTCGATTTCGTGCATGGTGGTCTCTTGGATGTTGGCCAGGGTCGCCTTGACGTCGACTTTCGGGGAGTCTCGAGCCAGACGTTTCAGGACCGCCTCGGCTTCTTCGACACGACCTTTACGGACCAGCCTGCAATCAATTTCGTCAGAAGATACAAAATGTCGGGGCAAGTGACTCATTGAGAATCAGATAAAAGCATCAAGAATCTGGAATGGACGCCTTGGGTTGAAGGAGTTGACAAAAAAATACCGATCACGTACCACCAGGGACTCTCGGGAGCGAAGAAGAGGCCACCAGCGAGGAATGGGATCCATATCCATTGGACAGCAAACTGAAGCTTTCGTCAGGACGTTGACATAACGGGGTAATGGTACCAAAACAGAACTACCACACAAAGTCATGTACACAAAGCCTGTGACAACTTACAGGGATTCGGTAAGCCCATTGATCCGTCCTGGTCGCGACACCTTTGCCTACACCTGCTGCCACGAACTGACCAATAACATATGCCTGAGAACAGAACAAGTCAATACGAGCGTGGTAGACATAGACTATGGGCCGGAGGTATGTAGAAACGTACCAGATTCATACCAGCATTGAGAATGCCACGAAGTGCCAACGGGCAAACCTCTGATGCATAGGTTGGGGCCAAGACAACATACGTTCCATACATGATGCCGGCCAGGAATTCCCCGGCGGCCAAAGTATGGATGTTGTTTGCGAACATTTGCAGAAAGATCCAGGCCGTGGTGAAGAACAGGGACGCCCAAAAGACCTTCTTCCGACCCCACCGTTCCATGGGCCAGGACGCAGTGAAAGCACCGAGGAACTGGCCGACCGGAGTTCCCATCCCGAGGACGTTTTGCCATTTTGCAGACACTTCGTAGCCGATGTCTGGACCGTAGTAGGTGCCGTACTTTTTGACAAAGGCGGGAAGAGCATAGAAGCTGTAGATTATACCCGAATCATACCCAACCATGACGAGAGACCAGGCGAAGAGCGTGGCCCAGAGGACGGCCATGGGATAAAGCTTGACGGCTTCGATCACCCCTAGAGAGTGTTCAATGTCCGTGGCCACTTTCGACCGCTCCCGGATGTCGCCACTGTGATCCTCACTGAAGCCTTTGGTGGCGTCTATCTTCGTGTCCGCCATGTTGCTAGCTTGACTTTGTCTGCGGACGTGCTATAATACGGAGCATGCGCATAGGATAGTTTGACTGTCTCGACCGTCGTGAGATCTCCGGACACTCCAACCTCTGGTGGATTATGGGGCGGATCTCGTCCTCATGTAACAACTGACGAAAGCACATATATCTGTGTTACCGGCTCCCCGTCGGCCATGATAAGGCCATAGAACCATGGTAACGGTAAGTGACCTTGGTTATCTTGGGATGCAGATGTTCCAAGACGTTGATAGCAGTATTGTGTGAGGCTATTCCGTACATTCAGCGGTAGATGTTTTGAAAGCGAGAATCAGTGCAAATACGACAAGGATGTTGCATTCCGTGTCAAAGACAGCAGCGTAAGCGATAGCTTTGCAGGGTATTAGTCTCTGGGCACAAGAAAGGGAAGCATCGCCTTGGGTCAATTGGCTGACAAAGGATGCTTCGAGAGAAATAAGGGGGAAATGCCCCATGTTAAACGGGCGCCGTTGGATGTGGAGAGCCTTATGGGTCCATTGGATTGGGTTCCCTCTTTTGCTGAAGTAATGATCTGACCAGGTAAGACCTAAGACCTTCATATCTCGACTGCTAGTGGCCGCCATCCAAGCAACATTGGTTGGATGGATCTCAATAATGAGAGAAGTTTTCGCGACCGCAAATCGCACGAGTGCTATCCCAAAGTTGCCACCTCAGTCAATCATGGACGCCTGAATGCTGCTGCTGGTTCAGAGGAGAAAGTCAGATCACCAACATCAGGCAGGATATCAGTCATAGTGGCCCTTCCTGCGTGTGCTTCGAGGATTTTGATGTTTAACAGCCCGACACTCTAAATTTCCACTGATCATGTTCTGTGCGTGTACAAGATCTGGAAGGATCACTCATGGCTTCCGAAGGATCTCAGGCACTTCATCAGCATCAATTCTCCATCCATGATGGTCGATCCGGCGCAGCGAAACGACCTCCACTGGCGCAGGTAGGCAGGGACCCTCGCATCAAGACAGCATGTACGGAGTGTAAACGGCGGAAAGTGAAATGCGACGGCAGTCATCCGTGCTATTCTTGCCAGTGGTACAAACAACCCGAACGTTGCAAATATCCATTCACCCAGCCTGCACTAGGTGTCAATCGCAAGAATTTCGACTATGTGCGCAAAAGGCTCGAAACAACCACTAATATCTTGACGAAGCTGTTGCCCTCGGAATCTATCGATGCTCTCGAGGGATTATCTAGTCAACAGCTTGTGGAGCGTGTTATTGCAACAATCACCTCACGTGAGGCTGAGCAAAGTCCCAATCTTCCTTCGTCCCAGCAGAAAAGAACGGGCAAGAGATCCGTCGTGTCGCATGAAACGAATGTGAACGTTCCCGCCGCGGTAGCCCTCGCAGCTTCACAAGGATCCAAGGAGCATCAAGGACAGCCAGAGAACTCTCCAAGTGAGAGCGATGGTCATCACGAATCCGCCGATGACAATGTATCAGATACTGGTGACGACGTGAATGCAGTATCGACGACTGATTCTCACGCTTCCTCATATGTCGGGCCTTCATCGACTATGCAAATGTTTCGCACAATTCTTCGGATCGCACCAGACTCTCTGGAGAAAAGCGCTCAATACCAGAGTCCTCCACGCAGTGTTCCTAACTCTTCCTCCGGTTCTTCATCCCGCCACGCTCCAATGCCGCTGACCGATCGGATGACAGCGCTGATCGACGCGTATTTTCATTGGGTCCATCCTACTACAGCCATAATCGACGAAGCAACGTTTCGAGAAACGGCATTATCTGGCCATCGAACTGATCCTCCATGGTTGTGTCTCTTGAATACAGTCTTGGCCCTGGGCTCACTAGGCTGCACAAAGACCGAGTCTAAAGAGCACATGACATATTACAATGTTGCCAAATCTTACCTTGACCTCGAAGCCCTCGGGCACAAGAGTGTGGAGTTTCTGCAAGCATTGATGTTGATGGCTGGGTGGTATTGCCACTATCGAAACCGTCCGAATCTTGCTTCCGCGCTTCTCGGGGTTGCATTCCGTATGGCATATGCCTTGGGTGTTCACAAGGAGACCCCAATCCCAGGACAAACAGATGTGAGCCAGGAGCTGAGACGCACCATTTGGTGGAATCTAGTGGTCCTAGATGCAGCCGAAGCAGTAACCCTTGGACGCAACCTGGACGGAAGCATCTTCGATAGTGAGGTAAGGCATCCCGGAGGCATGCTGCAAGAGGTAAGTCCGGGCATTGTGCTTCCCAGAGATGACACTGATATCAATTTTTCTTTAGCCAAACCGGACTTATGACAAACCTTTGTGTTTGGCATCGCTACTGGGCATCACCATCGCCTTCTCCCGGATCATGACTGAAACCCAGGCTAGATTGGCCACACCGACGCCCTTATCCTTTGCTGAGCTCCTCGGCCTGGACGCGCATCTCGTCGACTGGTACGAAGGACTACCGGGAGAGTTTCATGGTTTAGCAGGAGGCGTACCCGCATTCAAACACACTTTTACTGGACGTACAGAGCCATCTATATCCCATGCGTTTGTACAGCCATGTGTAACAATACGATGGCGATACCTCATTCTTCGCATAACGCTGTACCGGCCAGTCCTTATGGAGGCTGTTTTGCGTAGAACTCCGTACCATCAACTAACGCCGGACCAACGATTGTGCATTCGGAAGTGCCTGACGTTGGCAGGCGAATTGATCGAATCAGCCCGATCGCGGACCGTGGAGACTCCTAATCAATACATTGCTTGGCCGGCAACCTGGAACCTACTACAGGTCTGCATGGTGCCTTTGGTCTGTCTGTATACTTTCCGCGAGGATCCTGAAACTGCCTCAGCATTTCACCGAGGCCACGGGCAGTTTCGTGCCCCGGCACAGGCGATAGACCAGGTTCGACAAGTTCGCGAAGAGTGCCACCGACAAGTCCAAACGACGTTAAATCTGATGCAGGAAATGCAACCATGGGGGATTGCATCAGATCGCATGTATGAACTGATCAACATGTTGTATGAAGCACGACATCAACCACTGCGAGTGTGGAATAATGATGAAAACAGTCCTCTGGTCGTACTACCACCGACCCCTGTACTAAGAGCCGCGAGTTCTTCCAGACGGTGTGGTTGGGGGGCCACAGGTGCACGCATCGAAAACAACGAGCAATATTGTCCAAGGCAAGAGAATGAGAACATTGAAGCGATAGCCTTCCAGGGATCAATGAATCCACCAACGGGCGTTTCAGCAGAAGGCGCGGCAGACATGCCAATGTACAACACAATTGGATGGCCAAGTGTAACATGGGAAAGTCTTTTCGAGCTTCCAAACGATTTTCAGTGGCCGGATCCTGAGACTACATACGATATGGGATGACACTTTTTCCTGCGGTGGTCAAGGAAGAACCCGAGGCAAAGTACGGGACCTTGTCCTCTTTAGAGGTCCACCCTGCCGTGTTGCGGTCTGGTTCTGTCGAGTGTCTCAACATATGCATAGCTAGGCCGCTCCTGCAACGAAGCCTGCAATGGCGTCAGCCTCGAGGCTAAGGATGAGAGGGCATGCCGTTTCAAGCAAGGAGCAGATGAGGACGCCCTGGACCCTGAATGAGAATGCAGACAGCTTAGTCAACGTCGTCAGGCGAGAGCCCAAACACTGTAAGTTGAACTTGAGCAAAGCGTCGTTTGCGCTACGAGTATCCATTGGTCCAAATAGGCTGGGGACGTGTACGTCCGAGCAATGCCGCAGTAGGCTTCCCCAAAGGGAGATGTTGATGCCGTTGGAGTGGTGTCCATCGTTCATGACGGCAAGTGAAAAAGCTGTCTTGAGCAAGTCGGAATCGTCTCAGACTCAAACTCCACGGCACGAGAGCCGAAGAACGCCCTGGTTCCTGGTGGTTTTCTACATGAGTTGTAATCGTCGACCGATTTTGAATTGCAAGTACTTCTGATTCAGCCTCGTCATGTGATCAGGCCGAGGTTCGTTTTTATCTTGTGATTCTTTCTTGACTTTGCTTGTTCCATCTACATCTATATCAAGGATGGAGTACCCATGCGCAGGACAACCTCCGTAGCTCTTCCACTCACCGGCACCACATGTCCAATATCACGTCAATTTCCATTCATGTCCGCAGTGGTTAGGGATGAGGAGAGGCCCATACCCGCCGCCGACATTCTCTTCCTCGGCAGTCCTGGCGTTGGCAAAACCACATTCTTGTCGTAGGGACTTTCTTTGACCTTCCGTTCATGCCTATACAGCCCTCCCCTGTACACGAAGGAATAACAACTAACCCTTCCATCTGTCACCGCTATAGCCGGCTTGAGCACGTCCGCAATGGCAAGCTCGATCTATCCGCCCCTTCTAGACCCGTGGTCGTGCCGCCGTTGGCATTCGACGTGACGTTGTTCAACCGGCCATACAGGTTCCGCATTCACCCATCCACATCCACTTTGTTCATCGATGCGTTTCCTGCGAAACCCGCATTCACAATCATCGCCTTCTCCATCTCCTCGCGCGAATCGCTCCACAATGCGCAATACTACTGGCGCAAGCAACTGTCGATGCACTACGACGAGCTCGAGCACGAGATGCCGGTCATGCTGTTAGGTCTGAAAAGGGACGAACGAACCGAGGATCGTCTGGAGGATGGCACGTTTGAGAGTGTGATGCCGCAAGAGGGTCTGCGTGCCGCTCAAGAGATGCGCTGCGACCGGTACGCCGAGTGCAGTGCCGTCACGGGAGAATTGATGTGGGAGGTCCTGGAGGACATTACACGCACAGCAGCGAGGACGACTACGGAGAACGGTGGGCTGAGTCAACAGGGTGATTGCTGTGTGATGTGAGCACGAAGGCCCCACCCGAGGGTTTACCGACACCGAGACGATGATATAAACTCGAATTATCGGAAGCACAGTACAGGTAGGGATGTATGACTTCTGGATGAACACGCTTAATGAAGAATGAGTCACGAGTTCTTTTTCAGTTGTCGTACACGCTGTTTGTCGTGGACATGAGACTATCTTGCCAGGTTGAATATCATCGTACAATGTAGTAACTTTGAAGTGGTCCGTATATATGGCTCTGAAGCCAGACTCCTCGTACCTATGCTGATCGAGGCTATCAAGGCTACTATCGGGTCAAACCGGGAGCAAGATGCACTCAATTGAAATTCAATATATTCCAGTGGTTATGTATACAGTATAACAACAACAAAGCCAAATCCCAGAAGACCAAGCCATCCCATATCCTCGCTATGCACCAAAGCACAATCTTCATCAAGCACGTTAGGATATCAAGCACATGTTGGCGTGAGCTGAAACCGGGCATTTGACATTCCCGCTATCACCCCACCACGACACGGCATCGAGTTCGAGTATTCTGTGAATCCGCCAAAACGCATGAAACCGAGACGTACAGTTCGACTCTTTAAAACAGACAATCCAAGCAGCAACAACACGCCAATCCAGCCAACAGACCGGCGCAGATGCCGCCGCCGCCCATTCCCCTGTCGCGCTCATACACCACGTTTGGCTGTTGTTGGTAACCGTAGCCATATCCCGGTCCGCTCTGAGGCGGTCCTCCGCCGTAACCCTGCTGTCCCCCGTAGCCATAGTTGGGGTTAGGTCCTTGTTGTCCGTAATAACCCTGTTGCTGTCCTCCATATTGATCTTGGCCGTAGACCATGCCACCCGGTGGGGGCGACTGGAAGCCTTGATTTTGACCTTGTCCGTATGACGGCGCAGGATATGAAGGTGGAGGGTATTTTGGGTCGGCCATTGGTTTTTTTTTTTAAAAAAAGCTTTTGAAATCTTTTCGTTCCGAGCGGAATTCGTGCACTCGTACAGGCGACAAAGCAACGGAAGCGATGCGCGTGAAAGGGTTTGGGGGGTGTTGTTGTTGGTTCCTCTAGTGGTTTGTTCGGATGCGCAACGACTTTGGACTCAGGATTGATGTCTTCTTTTTAACTGTCACGAATCGAGGTCAAGGGAAATCGTAAAGGCGAGAGATGAGGTTGAATGTGGCAAGGACTATCGAAAATACAGTGCCACCCAAACGTGCACGGATTCCGCTAAGAGTCTGAAACCGGCGCAGAACAGTACCAGAGGTATCGAAATAAGAGCCTTTGAACGGTTCTCACAGGTTGAAATGAAACGGACAAGAAGGTAAATGAGAGGTACAAACCGTTTCAAACTCAAGGAATCTTCTATACTCTTGCACGCCCAGCCAGAGAGTGAGTCTGACCTCTATCGTTGGGCGTTCCCGTACGTACGCGTAATGGTCCATCTTGGAAGCCTCGGGGCGCAGAAAAAAAAGGCTTGGTACGGGAGAATATTCACTCGATCACCCGTTCTCGCAAGCTGTGCCTCATTACCGAGTACATCCAGACTCGATTATGGTGATTCTAAATTTGTCGAACGCAACTCTGGACGAAACGGTTACAACTGCAATATTGTCACGGTATCAATGACCTAGAGCCTCGTATGTCAAATTCTCTACACTATCGTCCTAAAAAAACAACCAACACCAGCCAATGTACGGAGTACGAGTACTCTGTACTCCGTATCTCGTATTGAGACAATACTGACCAACGGTCTCTCTGAAAATCTCGCTTGCGACCTCTTAGAGAAGAGATCCATCTCCATCTCCGCGTTAATCTAGCAGTTCGAGGCGAGAAAATCAGTGCTGCCCAGAGTCTTCGAACGTGACGTGGCGCTCGCTGATGACACGGTTTCAATTGTGGCTTCACAAAAATGAGCTTTGTCTGTGATTGTGGCTTAGCAGTCTTCTGCGACAAAACTAGGTACGTACCTTTTTTTTTCTTCCTCAATGTGGAGCAGACCCTCAACTCCTCTTCGCGACACGCTCGACTAGTTCTCATCCAGTGTTGTGTTGTTGGCCCGAGCACAGGCTACAGCTTTGAGGTCCCAAAGGCAAAACGTCAAAGCATCCAGACCGCAGCTCCATGCGACGCCTTGACCACCAACTGGCACTTGTCCTCCTCCTACGCAACGTACACTGCACAGCTGACATGTTCCCTCAGAGCCTCACACAGGGGCCCTCTCACACAGACCGCCTGGTGTTCTTTCCAACCTAGAACCTGATCTTGTAGATCGGCCCCCCTTATACCCGTCAACTAGCGAATCTTGCATGGCACTGGGACGAAGTACCTCATAACTACAATTTCCATGTGAGGAGTACATCATTGGGAAAAGAGGAGCCTCGAGCTTTGACCTCCTCAAGGGAGTGGAAATATATCTTTCCCCCCTACTATTGCTTGAGACACGCCAATGGGCCCCGGGAGCCGTGGTGCTAACGGGCTACCATCATTGGCCGCTCGACAACAGTTCAACACTGGTGCTTGCAGCTCCGGATATCGACGGAGGTGCCGCTCGACTATGGTCTTTGTACAGAATATATTGGCACGAGCGAAACCCAACCAGAGATGCGATGAGGCATTCTGGATCACAATACATGATGACGTACCCGGTCTCATATGGAGAAAGGAGTTCATTATGGTGGGTTGTGTTGCTCCGGATGTCGTCTGCCTGCCAGGACTCGTACACTCGTACGATGTGAGTGACAAGTTTGAATGAGCACTTGGTGATCAGGACGCATTTTTGACACCAACGCCCACGACCGTGCCCGTTGAAGAATTTCAGGGTAAAGTATCACCGCAGCACTGAGCTGTTTGATGCTCCTGCTTCTTTCCACGAGCTTTCGTATCTGTGGTTTCCGGAAAGTGACACGCTGGCCTCTATTTATTGTGACTTGGTGTCCGTGCATCCAGCTTGCTGATTGTTCTGAGGTACCTGGGTACAGACTTTCTACGAGTACTCACTATTCTCCGACTCTCTGCCCGGAGACCATACCCTCGCTTCACGTGACCTATATTTAAGAAGTCGCTTTGTACCACGTGACAGGCACTTGGTCGCCCTCTGCTCCTCAGTAGTAACTTTATTTTTGGACGTTATGATCCACACTATCAATCGTCGATTACAGTACACAATCCCAAGGCCAAGTGTATGTTTCTATCCCAAGACGACAGCAAGACGACAGCTCCTGAAGGATTCGGATAAATCAATTTGACGCAGCATGATTGGGTCTACGAAATGCCATCATGCATGCCCCCGTGTCCGCGAGCGTATCGTGTTTCCGTGACTTCATGGCCCAGCCAACTACCTTCTCACTCGACAAAAGTTGGTGAGTTGTTGAGGCATTTTTGCCATGTGTTGATGAATTGCCGGGTGAGGATCAGGCTGGCGGGCAAGGCATGGGAGAAGAGCGGTTTGGTAGGTTCGAGGGAGACAGAAAACGTTCCCTAACCACGGCTGGAGGTACGAAGTCACGAGTTCATTCGACTTTGGCACCTACTTGTACGTATAGGGAGACGAAGTACACACCCTTTCGCCGAGATAAAGACGAACTAGTGACGGAAGTCAATGATTCAACAAAAGCAAGGGGGGAAAAGGCACGCTTCGGATGACAAAAGCGGAAGAACAACCGCGAGGAAGACTTGAGAGTACGAGTTATGAGTCCCCCCGCCCCGGATGTCGTCGTCTGAGGGAACGTTTCTTGGACGCTCATTGGGCAGTTTTTGTGACATGCACACCCACCCTCTTTCTTCGACGTTTTGAACCTGTGCTATTGAAAACAATGAAAATAATTACGAGGAGGAAGGGAGAGGGGGGGGGGACAGAGTGACCTGACAGGTGACTTCGCTGACTTCTTGACTTACCGCCCATCTTCTCGCGACCGCCGCCTCGTACTCGCACGAGTTTTGGCCATCTGCTTTTTGACTCAAGTTCAACCTCGTATTTTTGTATTTGTGTACGTTGTTGTGCAGGACGGCGGAACGTGACACATGTCCAGTTGACACACCCCGTCGTCATTGGGGTTGTAGACCTGAAAATGTGGAGTCATCCTGCCTCGCACGAAGTACCTTGTGAGATATTGACCCTTCGGTTAGAAGAATGATATGCTTCAGGGATTGGGTTGACAGGTGGACTGGATTGCTTTCTTGGTGTCTTGCTTTTTCCTCGTATTTTGCTGGGTCTCGACCTTTTTGGATGGTTGAGGCGGGGGGGAAAGAAAGAAGGTTGCCTTCGATCGCGTTGCTGACTACCGATCACAATGCGTTTTTTACGGATATCGAGAAGGGGAAAAAAAAGTTAATCGATCATCATCGGAAGTTTTTTTCAGAGTCGCAAGCAGACGTTTACGAGTCAGTACTGATGCTTCTCTGGCGAGAAGGTGCCGAGTACTCGTAATCGTACTCGTATAGTAACGAGGACTTTCACAATGTTAGGAGTAGTCGTCAGCAGAGCTCCAAAGTGTCAAAGTGGTGACGGGGGATGATGAACCCAAGTTCGAAACAACGATAGCAACGCCCGTCTTGGGCTTGCTTGGGTGATCGTAAGAGCAAGTAGTGGGCAAGGGTGGTTACTGGTTAGGTTGACGGATACTGTATCCTTTGGCTGCCCTGTGTACCTTCAACCTTGCTCTGTCAATGCTTTGAAAGATGAACACCATTTCGCATTCCTGTGCGGAGTACTACAAGGTTGGACACGCAGCAGGAAATAGGCTTATCAGATAAACCCACCACCCGTTGGAGAAACAAGACGGGATTAAAGGTGACGAAAAGAGGGAGGGGGGTGTGAGGGTGACACAAGCTGCATCATCATCATCGAATAATGTGTGTGCGTGTGTGCGTGCGTGTGTGTGTGTGTGTGTGTGTGAGTGTGAGAGTGTGTGTATTGGGCAACCATTCTATCTGCTTATCAGGAAAGGCAGAAAAGCTGCCAAAAGGATGTCAGCTGCCGGCACTTGTGTCTGACGAATGAAAAAGGTTCATCAAGACAGCGCGCGGGACAGGCGGTACTGTACGAGTGGTTGGCTGTGTAGTACAGCAGCTTTTTGCTCACCATTCTCTTCTTTCTGTCTCGTTGCCTCCATGTCGGACAGGGATGGAGAGAGAGGGAAGGACAGCCCGGGTCTGTATGCTCTGCGCCCATCTTGTGTGTTGCCCGTGTCTGGTCTGCGTTAGGACGAATGACCAATCGTACTCCCGTACTCTAGTATCTGTGCCAGTCTCTTCTTTTTTTTTCTAACCCCCGCCCTCCCCCTGCACGCCAGGAGGGAAATCCCTCCTTGTGATCGATGCAAATCCATCCATCATTGCCTTACTCGATTGAGGAACGTGCAATCCGGACTAGCCACCAGTACCCAACCAAACTTCCACCTGCCGTGACTTCCAGAGTCCATCACATTTTCTCCGTGGTAAAACTTGCGCAATCACCTGCATAAGCCTCCCGTCACTGATGGGAGAGCGACGTGCAACAAGTGTCAGAGAAGTACCTGTCTGGTTCGCATTTGCGGACCGTATGTACATGGCTATAGTAGGTCAAGTCCTGGTGGGTCTGCTTGAAGGACCCAATGATCCAATGACATATTAACTCCCGTCCGGATACGTCGTTAGCGCTCCTTTTGATAAGTGAATGATGGGCGATGGGATAAGATAGAGGGAAGATGGGGAGGAAGGGGAGGGGCCTTGGGTTGGGCTGGGACTGCATCCCGAGTGTGATGTGTTGTTCTGTAGCCGAGGAATTCTTAGTCGCCTTGTAGCCGTACTGGAGAATATCAGCCCCCCTCCCCTCCTTCCCTTCCCACAAGGAAGGAACAAGGAAGCGGGATCCAAGGGATGGAAAGTTCTACAAGGCTGTTGTCAGCAAATCAGGACCATCTGCGCGAGCGTAGGCGAGCTGGGGGAAGAAGTTGACAGACGTGCACACACTCCTTCCGTGCATGCAGTAGCGCCGTGGCGAAAACAAAAAAGAGATTCAAGACCTTTTGGCAAAACACGTTACTGCGCAAACAGGCCAGCTATACTGATAACAGTCGCACTAGCTTGTGGCCCCAGTCGAAAAAAGGTCTAGAGGAGGGACAAAAACAAAATAAGGCAGGCCAATGCATCATGCATCCTCTAGACACCCCTGGAACTGATAGAGTCCAATCCAAATGCCCAGTACGAGACAAGCAAGCGGGGGGCTGACGCATGTGCGCTGTCAAGAAAGAAAAAAGTCCCTTGGACGGGCTGGGCTGGATCGCATGCGTCCAAAACTCCGTAACCTTGTCTTCTCGCTCGAAAGAGACAAGGAGCGACAGGGGGGGTGGTTTGTGGCAAAAAAGAAGAAAGAGGCTTGCATTAGTTTCTGCTATTACTGCCGGGGGCGGCAACCAACAAGAGTTCTACAATAATAGTTTCTGTCTGGTGAAGTACAGACGGCAACCAGAAACAGAGTGTGGCAAAGACAGGAAGATCCTCGATCCATCCCTCCTGATCCTCCTTCAAGCTCCTCCTCCTGGAGCCCCCCCCTCCGTCCCGTCCAAAAAGTCTTGGGGGGTCAACCTTACCTAGTATGGTAGGTAGATCGTAGAATAGTGGTGGCAGTGACAGTCCAGCACAGCAAAGGTACAGTCGCCACTCATGATAGCCGCTTCACCCATCCTTTGCGAATATTTACTATTGATGGGTAGTTGAGAGAAGCGAACAGAAAGTACGGATTTAGACCTGAATCTTATTGTTTTCGTCTCTTCTCGAACTCATCTATCTACAAGATAAACAGACAATCCGACTGAGGACTAGACAAACATGGCCCCGTGAGAGCCCTTAAGTCAACTCCAATTCGAGAGCCTTGAAAGATGTTTCCCTCGGTTGGTCATACAAGATAACTTATTTGATGTCTCGAGACACCCATGTAAACATAGCAAAAGGAAAATAATAAATCGACGACTTCCTCTCCAAATCCCATGTCACCTCTCGCCAGCACTTGGTTTGAGGGACAATCAATCAACAACAAAGCATCCCACTTCTTGCGCCATTTTCTGCCTCTGAGTTGTTTTTCCCTCTTTCAAAATTCCCAACCTTCAGAACGCTGACATAACAAATCTCCTTCGGCGTCATCCTCGCGCACATTCAACAGTCAACACGGAAACATGCCCTCCCTCCATCGTCTAGGTGAAACTCCTCAAACACGCTCAAGTCCAGTGCGGTCAAATAGAACACACAAATTTTGTTCCTAGTTTTTTTTTCCGGTAATAAAAAGGATCCAGATGAACTTTCCAGTCATGTGGTAATTGGTCAAAGTCTCGTAAACCGCCTGGGTATCCAGATGAAAACAGTTTTGGAAAAACAAAAACTCCAATCGATCATAAATGCCGTGAATGTCGTAAGAGAACATCAAAGCGGTCGCTGCTGAACGTATAATCGTTCGCGTAGTCACCAAAAAAGGATATTAATAGGTTGCGACTGCTGGGCTGAATCCGGGTGGAGAAAAAGGATGATAGGTTGTAGGCTTGTCGGTTTCGTTGTTCAACGGAATAACATTGCCGTAGAAATTGAAAACCGGAGGTGGTTGCATATACTGGCCAGCGTCGTTGAAAAGACTTTCGGATTCGTACCCGGAATCCGTGGAAACAGAAGAACAAGATGAACCTGACTTGGACGTCGTGCCAAACAGAGACCATTCCGAGGGTTGTGTGTGGAATGGTGGTTGAGGACAAGGCGATGCAGGTGGTGACGGTGGCAGAGCCATGTTGGCACAATCCACGGGATCAACGTACGCATATGGAGATGCGGCAGGTGACGGAGGCAGAGTGTTGTAGGAGTTAATGGTCAACCTGGGACAGTTGATGATCAACTCCCGGAGTTCCTGGAGACTAACCCTCTTGTGTGGTTCACACTCGAAGATCCGGCGCAAGATCACGTTGAGTTCGACAGATATGGGCAAGATCGAGCTCAAAAACTTGGGATCCTGGAGGAATGCTCTGAACGTGGAATCCTCGGGAGAGGCCTTTTTCCATGGATTGCGACCACAGGTCAAGTTCACCAGGATTACACCAAGGCTCCAAACATCATTGGGCGCGGCAGCGTAGCGAGCATATGGCCTTGATGGAGTTTGTTGACATTCTGTACACGCAAGAGCGTTAGCAATTGTTCATCAGGGACAAGGACGGCGGACACATACCTGGTGACATGTAAAAGGTAGAACCGCATCCAAAGTCGGATGTGACTGCATCGGTGGTGGCGAGTCCAAAATCGGCCAACTTGACCGTACTTCCATTGTTGGTGACCAGGATGTTCTCGGGTTTCAGATCGCGATGGTAAATCCCAACGGAATGGCAGTACTGGACGGCATCCAAGATCTGCAGGAACGTATGTTTAACCAGCTGGTCATCGCCCACGAAATGGCCGTGTTCGGTGATGTTGGAGAAAAGGTCGCCTTCCGGGCAAAATTCAATCACGACAAAGGTGCAGTCCGGGCTGTCCAAGATGCGCAACAAGGAAACAACATTGGGATGCTGGCTTGCTTGATGGTGTAGAGCGATCTCTCGTCGTTGAAACCGCCGCTGTCTGGCATCTAGTCCGGATTTGGGAAGAGCCTTCACAGCATAGGGAATATTGGTCAAGATGTCGACAGCACGGTAGACGACTCCATAGGCACCCACTCCAAGGACAGAGACGAGTTCCAATCGGCCGGCAAGTACACACCCCAATCTGTCCTCTGGCGCAAGAGAGGTCGTGAGTTCAGGAGACGGTGGTGGTGTCAAGAGCATTATTGGGAGAACCCAAAAGTACCGAGTACTTGCTTTAGGAAAAAGGAGTAGTCGTTAAAGACCAAATAAGAGAACAACCGGCTCAGAACATGGGTCCAAACAAAACACTCCCGGATGTTTATGTGGTTGAGAGAAAGAATAGGAAATAGAGTATGGCCTTTGGGTTCCTTCCGGGTATTATGGATGGTCAAGGATGGTTGTAGGATCGATGTCGAGTTGTGTTGATGAGAGTAAAGGAAGGACTCGAAAGTAAATAGATATAACAGAAGATGTGAGATATAGGAAGAGGGAAGTCCGTGGAGAGAGGAAGGTTGGTTGTTTAGTGGCGATGCTAGTTGTGATATCGAAGAGGTTCTTGTGAGGTGTAGAGGCAATATAATGTCCTTTTAGGTATGACGGTGGATGGAGACATCCCAAACCACTAACAAGGACAGCAAGCGTCGACGCACGGTCGGACATCCTTCAATGCCCACCCATGGTACCCATGTCAGTGGGGCAGAACGCTGTCAGAACCTGGTTAGAGAGATGCTGCGAATAGAACGCCAGAACAAGAGAGATCCGCTCCAGTGCATCAAAGTTCGCAAACCCTGGCTGTGGTCTGACGCTGGATGACGAGTCGGCCACCAACGGTTTCGATGCGAAGTGGGCCAGACACCGCACGACGAGGCGGGCACGGCCTGGTAGCAGGAGACTGGTGGGTTGCATACCATCCTGACACCAAGGACATAACAAGGGAAGGATGGACGGATCACCAGGTGGCTGGGCGCATTTTTCGTCACGACAGATCAGCGTTCCTTGCGAAACCGAACGCCAGCGCTAACCGTCGACCAGTCGTCAACGAGCTCACCGGACCAGAAGGGCCTCTAGCGTGTCCATCACTACTCACACCAAAGTAAAATGTAGAACCTGTCCTGCCCAGGAGGAGCCCTGGAAATTCGAGGTGGTCATGATCCTGGCAGGGCGAGTAGTGCTGTAGGTCTGCAGGTCTGGTGTAGTTGGGCTGGTCAGTCCGCCGCCTCGCCGTTACTCAATTCGCCATTGTTCTTCGGTTGTAGGCTTTGGCGCCAATGGCGCTGTGCAGGCGAAATTTCCTCCTGTTACGCCACCGGTCACAGGCAGGAACCCTCAGCCGTCTGCTGTGTCTCTTGGGAGGCCCATGGTCCCAAATAACCCTCTCAGACTATGGGCGAGTTTGCCGGCGCACGGCCACGACTATTGGTTGCTGCTGCCGCCAGCACAGACGGCACTGCACATGCCTGATGAGACGAGCACATTGATCGACTGTCAAGCGTCGGTCGGGCAGTGTTACCAGCGGCGAACCTGCTCAGGGTAAGTCCGTGTTGCTTTTTGCGCCGCCTAGACGCCTCAGGCCTGGCAGGTGTGTAATGCTGGTCCCGGCAAGGTAGCCTGCCGTTGCTATTCGCCCGTGTTTCAGGAAAGCCGGTGGGTAGACGACTGGATGACTAGACAGCGAAAATGGCAGGGCACAGGGTTGCTCCAGCGTGTCAGTCTGAGAAGTACGCTGACGCCTGGGTGAGGCACTAACCTTGATCTCACGATGGATTCTGCGCGCTGGAATCCCTCGCTCCAATTAGACGCTGTGCCCCAATCAGAGGGCCTGTGTCACAGCCCCTTCTCGATGCGAGAGGTGTGGTTGAAGCCTGCCAGCAGTCCATCCATGCCCATCCTTCCTGCATGCTCATGTTTCTGCCCAAACGATCGTGCTCAGAATTGCAGATTGCAGCGCCGACGCTGGTCTTCCGCCCGCTTCCTCGTACATCCCCATGTCCATCACAAGGCTCTCCTCTCCTTATGGAGACTTCTATCTTTGACGAAGGCCACAGCGTGGTCAGCGCTATTATGCGGGCATGCTTCAGGGAGAACAAGTCCACACTTCTGTCACCTCAGTCGGAGCTGAAAGATCGTGGCAGGCGGGACACACCCTTGCACGAGGGCCAGCAGAACTGGCTTTGGAAAATACGACTCCTCAGCCACCGAACAGAGTGTCAACGGCGGGCAAGGCAACTTCGCCCATGGATCAGGCGAACTGCAAGTCCCCAGCCAGCAGCAGGCTGTATCACTCTAGCATTCTGCCCCTTTGCAGTAGTGTTAGTGCTGGTGTGGTGTGCCTTTCCTGCTCGTCTGCACCAAATTTGCCCCCCCAGGATTAGGATTATGGTCGCGTTGTGCCAGCCTCGGCGGAAGTGTCGGCTACCAATTTTGGTGTGGCTTGCAAAATTATTGCACTCTCTGACACAGCATTGATTCGCCACAGACACTGGGCAGCAAGCGGGCCGCACTGTTTCAGCGACGGCCATGAGATGCTTGACTGCAAAACGATCCGCAAGACAATTTGGCGTCGTCCACTTTCGTGTTGCGCATGTGACCCCGCTTCATCTCGTGGCGCCATGCAAATCGAAGGTCAGGAGCAGTTCCCATTGCCAGCCAATAAGGGCAAATAGTGCATTGGATAGCGCAAACACCACGAGCCCTGCCGAAATTGATAATGCTCAGTAGTCTGTGAGCTACCGGGAACTCAGAAACGGCGATGCGCGTGTCTCAAAAAGTCGCCATCCTTGATCGTGACCCAGTCTTCGATTGTCTTGCGTGGGAGTTTTGGGTCTCTGGCGGTCCCTGGACTCATGATCCCTGAACCTACAGTACTATCGGGCAACAGCCAAGGAGGGGTTTCGTGATGGATGATGACAGGGGTAGCATCGCCCTGTAGTGCGTGAGTGCTAGACAGATTTGCAAGTCTAGTCGAGTTCCTCGCCTCGACGTGACACGAGATTACGTAGGAGATTACCCCCTGTACGAGAATTTGCCTTCTCAATGGAAAGCTGACCCTCACTTGACAACTTCGAGCCACGTTGTCTGGCGAATCACCATGAGCAGAGCCAGCCAAGGGCCCAGTCGAGGCCGGTCTTGTCTTTTGACGCGTCGGATAAGCAGGTTGGTCGAACAGACGGACGATCACGAGGCGGTTAGCGCTGGTCGTGATGTTAGTCCGTGAATCTGGCCACGATGATCTGCAGGTCAAAATTTGCCTCCGAATCTGAGGCGAGGGTGAGGCATGTAAATCCACTGCCATCGACAAGCGTTGACAAGCGGTGTGATGGTTTTTCCTGCCATTTCGTAAATCAGTGGTAGAGGGGCAAAACTACCGCCGAGCCCAATAGCACTTCACCGTATCCATCTGCCACTTGCTGTTTGAATGCTTCACACGAGAGTTCGGGATGGAATATGGTTTCACCGAACAGATCTCTAGCCTCGATATCACGTGTCCATAATGTCTGCTTCGAATTCGCTCAACCACTGCTCAGAGATAAGTTGAAGATCTCAGATGTTGCAAGTTTCAGAATCTTCAGCGAAAACAACTGCCGGTGGTGGAAGACGATTGTCTTTGGTGCCGGCATAGCAGAAAGTTCAAACTCCGAATATTCGGCTCTCACCGAACTGTTGTGGGAAGCCGTCATGAGACCGGTGTGTTGATTGTTCAACTTACCATGGCGATGTTTCTCATCGCTACGATTCCCGCAATCCAGAGATCTTGACTTACACTGACAATCTGGCAAACATTCGTTACCCAAGATTCCGCTTTCCTCTCGGAACAATTGGCATTTCACAAGGGTTCTGTCAGTTCAACGGTAACGAGCCTCGGGCGACACTTGGTTCGGAACAATGACCCATGTTTCCCTCGTAGGTCTCACCACATCTGTCGGGAAGCCGCGATTCTTGCAAGTTTCAGGATTGGTTACCGACCTCGAATGGAAACTCGCCGGTGTTCTTTCTTGGCCCTCACGATTGAGTCTTTTCTCGGATCTCGCCACGGCCTGCCTGAATTGCATCTTGCAGGATACCCGCCGCTCTGTCACAGGGTTCCAGATGGACTCACGTTGTGAGGTGATACAACAACGGTTGTGTGAGGTGTCTTCTGACGGCTTGAGTTTGAGTATCGGCGTGGAGCGGAGCAGGGGAAGTTTCTGCCTCCGTATAATCTTCTCGCGTGCTCACGTGACCATCTCAGGTCGATGAATCATTTCCTGCCTACGAACCTTCAGGCCTTCCACAGTGCCTGAAATCCTGTTCCAGTGTGACGATTGGATGACTCTTCGACAAGTGTACTGGTCGTGGAACGCTTCTAGAATGGCTGGTGAGACTGCTTGGACCCCTAGGGACCCTGACCGGTGCTGGGTGTTCTAAGCCCAAAGCAGTTTGCTCGGGTTTCCTATATGTCTGCTAAATGCAAGCCATATCAGACTTTTGGAGGTCGACGTGCAATTTCAGTAACCTCCAGCATAGACAGCGGTCGAGACTACGCCACGTTATCGTATGAACGTTGCACTTGTTACAAGCGTCTCGGGTCATTGGCATATGCCGTGCGACTAACACTTGTTGTACTATTGTATGGCCGTTGAGCAGTTCGCGTCTTGATGGAAGGTTTAAGTGTTGACCACCGTACTCCAGCTGTGTATCAGTCAAAGGGCTGGATCGTTCCAAAACCCTGATCTCCCTGCCAGCTGTTGTGTCGCTCAGCACGAGCTTTCTTGGGTCATAATTTGGTGGCTGCAGAACGACTCGACCAGACTACGCCTTCGGTCCATGTACTACTTCTTCTCCCTGTCTTTGGATCCAACTCGCAAAGCCGACGCAGAGAAAGCAAGTCTCAGGTCATCCATCTACTCTCCAGGTCAACCTCAGATGCACTGCACTGCAATGGCAATCTTCTAGTGATTTGTGGTGTACATTCTGAAATCTATGTTTGATCGTGCTGGTGATGCTATCCATTTCTTGTTATGGCGCCGAGTATGAGTACCATCTCTACCAGTGTTTGTACGGACTAGCTGTACTGTACTCGATACATGGTGTATCTAATCAGATAAATTGCCCACTGTTCAATCTCCTTCCTTTCATGGTTGATTCTACGCTGATCTTCTCGAAGATTGTCCGATCAAGTCTCACCTCCTCCTCACCAGATTATGTTCTCCATCCGTTTCCCAGCCTCCCTACAAAGTCCACCGCTAGTCTACGAGACACCATGCCGACTGTAAGTCCGAGTTTCAAAGAAGGGGAACATTTTTGACCCCGTACTGGTTCGTAAATGATATCTCAATTCTGAAGACGAGGTAGACGAGGGGGAGTCTGATATTACCTCGGTGGAAAAAACAAGGTACATCGAATTAATGCGCCCCAGCAATTGTATCCTCTTCATTTGTACAGCCGCGCTCGTCGCATCAGCGACGTTTCAATATCCTCGTCTAGTTACCGTCGTGCTCGGTCGAGACGTTCGAGATTGACGAAGTGCTAACTCCGCACACGAAAGCCAGATTGAAACGCGAGATCGAGAAGAAACCTCGCACGATTCAGCAGCGAATATAATTTTACAGAGCGTCAAGAAATCCGCTGAACATTAATACTCATCCTTGTTCACATAAAAACCACCATGACTCGACGAAAGGTCACGTTTCAACCTGATCCTACCTCCAGCACTACGACGACGAGGACCAATACTTCCACCGATACTCATACACGAAACGTCTCCCACGCTCCTCCCGCCGACGGCCACCACCACCACAATGCTTCAGCAACGATCCCGATCCCGTCACAACCCTCGGACGAGTCCAAAGTCCACCTCATCAGCACCTCCCTGCTCATCCCAGGCCGTGGGGAGCCTCGACGAGACATGACGGTCATGATCCGCGACGGAGTCATCCACGCGATCCACCCGACATCGTCGCCCCCGGCATTCCTGCGACACCACTCCCTCCCGGCGACCCGCGTGCCCGTCCTCCTCCCGGGCCTCTGGGACTGCCACACGCACTTCCTGGGGACCAAGTCGCTGAACCTCTCGGAGGTCGTGACGACGCACCCGGCGGTCGCGGGGGCCCGCCTCGCCCGGAACGCGCGCGACATCTTGCTGTCGGGCTTCACGTCGGTTCGGGACCTCGGCGGCTACGCGATCGAGCTGGCGCGGGCCATCTCCGACTCCGGACTGCCCGGGCCCCACGTCTACTCGGCGGGCGCCGCCATCTCCCAGACGTCGGGCCACGGCGACCTCTTCGACCTGCCCGTGGACGTGGTGCACTCGAGGCTGTCGACGACGGCGCCCACCAACCCGGCGTCGTACCCGCTGGTGCTCGCCGACGGGGCCGACGCCTGCCGCCTGGCCGTCCGGCTCGTCACGCGCAGGGGCGCCCGGTGCGTCAAGGTGTTCACGTCGGGGGGCGTGCTCAGCATCCTGGACGACCCGATGCGTGGCCAGTACAGCGCGGGCGAGCTTGAGGCCATCGTGGACGAGGCCACCCGGGCGGGACTCGCCGTGGCGGCCCACTGCCACGGGAAACCGGGCATCCTCGCGGCCCTGCGCGCCGGCTGCCACACCATCGAGCACGGCACCTACCTGGACCGGGAATGCGTCGACCTCATGCTGGCCAAAGAGGCCGTCTTCGTGCCCACGCGCACCGTCGTCAAGGTCGGCGTCGACCACCCGGAGCTCATGTCGCCCGAGAGCTACGCCAAGATGCTCGAGACGGCCAAGCACCACCGGGCCGCCTACCGCCTCGCCGTCCGCTCCGGGGTCAAGGTCGCGTTGGGCACCGACCTGGGCGTGTCGGCGCCCGTCGAGAACCCCATGGCCCTGGGCCGGAGCGGCGGGGAGCTCGCCTACGCCGTCACCGACGGCGGCATGACCCCGCTGCAGGCCATCGAGGCCGCCACGGCCACGGGGCCCGAAACCCTCGGTCACCTCGGCGCCGCCCCTAAGAGCGGACAGATTCGGGAGGGTTACGATGCGGATTTGATTGCCATGTGCGCGAATCCTCTCGAAGACGACGTCGATCTCGACGATAGTGGTGGTGGTGAGGCCGGTGGGATGGACCTGTTTAAAAACCCCAAAAACATAACGCACGTGTGGAAGGGTGGAGTGTGTTATAAGAAACCTTGAATGCACATCTTAGATGGTACGATGCTTGGGTATAGTAACGGCATTCGAAAGGAAGCGATTCATATGATATCCATCAGGGCCATCAATTCATCCATATTTGTGTATCTTTCTCAAGCTCTATGACCGTTTGCCATATCTCTATTCTAGTCTTGGTCGTCACAGTCATTATTCTCATCGTTTGTCGTCGTTGATATCAAAGCCCATCATCGTAATACCATTCCGGCATTCAGCTCCGTTCAGATCATTTCAGTTCAGTCCAGCTCAGCTCAAAACCACACCCATCATGTCGCTCATCGATCTTCTTTCGCGCCGAGGACACTTCATTCAACGTTTGGGTCTTCAAAATTGGAGTGTTCATATCATTGAACCTCCCTCACTGTGGCAATGTCCTTTCGTGCTTTTCTTCAGGCCAAACCGTCCACCCCACGACGATCAACATTTTCAACGCAGCAGCCGACCACAAAGCCCCCGCCATGCCCGCCTGGGACTTGTACATTAATCCGCCCGTTATGCCACCCAAAAAAAGCGCCACAATGCAGAGGAACCTCTGTCCCTGTCTCTTCTGATGTACGTTCACAAAGTTCCAGAGTGACGTGCTTCTCTTCCATGAACTCTGAAGCGAGTACATATCGGCGGTGAAGTCAAAGTACAGCGCACTCAACACGATCGTAGGCATGTCCAGGACGGCGAGGAGTCTCGAAAGGGTCGTCTGCCCTGCGGCCTGGAACGAAAGTAGAGCGACCGGACACAAGTCGAGAAAGTTGGTCAAGGTATCCACGGCATCGTTACTGCCAGATGAGAAAGAGCCAGGGACAAAAGGTTGGTTGGAGACCAGGTCCAGTGTCACGAGAAGCGACGGTACGGCGATGAGGACCGTCTGTATAGAGAAGGAAACAACGAAGATGGAACGACGTCGTGAGGATGGTTGCTCTGAAAGCCCAGTGGGGAAACGGTGAAGGGCACTGAAGAATAGTGTTCCCACGCAGAAGGATCCAATTGCCGTGAGTGACTTGTAGTATTGTCGACGGTGACTCGCTTTGGGTTGACCATCCAGACCGAGGGCGGCGAATATGGTGTTACCTGGTGGCACGTTATTTAGTATAGATCAGAGTCTCAATGTCAGAGACTGAAAGGAGAGAATCACCAACCAGTCTGCATATTGACAAAACAACTCCACGAGTTAAAGGCGACGCTGTCGATCATGCCAGACACAAAGAAACAAACCATGATCACGAAACTCATGTACGTGGCATCGAGTTCATGGCAAGAGTATCGATGAATCACCCCGTTCGCACGAAATGCATCATCGACTTGACCCATATTTGCACGCTTCTGCCTCTCTAGACTCGCTGTTCTCGAGGAAGGGACTGATGACTGTGGACTAGGATAAGTTGAGGTGTAGGTGAGAGTGAGCGAAGAATCTACTCGACGAAGTGGGTTATCAACGCCATCAGGGAACGAAATGGTCGGCATGTTGGTGAAGAAGAAGAGTGAGGTGAGGAAAGAACGGAACGAGATGGGAGGATCAAGGTGAAGGTGAAGATGTTAATAAGGTAACACACTTCGGCGGGATTTTGTTTCTTGGTTGTTTTCAAACACAAGAGCCACACGCAAGGGAAGTGGCATATGGATGTTAGATTGTGGACGCCGGTTCTCATTTCTATGCGCCGTATGCGTCTCTTCCAAGACAGGAACGCTGGAGCATTTGCTTTCGGCCAGAGGCACCGTGTCCAGGGGCGTACAAGCCAAGCATACCCAAGGTATATTGAAGCATCCACCCTAGAGTTTTGGTGACAGTGTCACGGTGGTCCATGGAGATCTAGGGATACGTACATTGTAGGGCCAGGACGAGGCTGGATAGAGTCTTGAGTGATGTGGTCAATTCATACCTTTCTCTTGGATCGTGATCCCTCCCGAGCGGTCAAAAGTCTGGTACCGTGTAGAGAAAGACAAAGCCTCCTTCATTGAGCCTTCGATCTCGGCAATCTCAGTACAATAAGCAGTGTTGTAAGACTATCTCATCGTCTAGGAGATGGCCATGAGCCAAACCATCGAGTATTGGCCAAGTCTAAGCTTAGACATTCTGGGACAGATGATGGTAAGCGCCTGACTACGTTGAGAGATTCAGACACTGCATTGCGCCAGGTCCAAGAGCCTCTTATCGTCTTGAGTAGGACAAGATGTCGTAGATCCGTCTGGGCAAGGCTGGGCATGTCGATTACATCTTCGAACCGGAGTCGATCAGGCCCTGTCAAGTATAGTGGCATACTTTAAGTCGACTATCAACTGGCCTTGACCAATCCACTTTGTCCGTCGCCAAGCACGAGGCTGTGCTACCTTCATCCCTTCGACAGAACACTCGACATGGTGGACCTAGTGGAGGACGTCAGCATTTCATCAATATTCTCAGAATACACATGCAAACGTGGCCAAGCAATAGCCGGGACTTTGAGGAGATTGGCGAAACAATGTTCCTGCACGCCGCCGTCTTCCGTCGGTGTCGCTCAAGGCCATGAAACTTCCAAGAACTGATCCCAGTTCTGACGTAATATCACAATTGAGAATCATGGTCAGATAAGAGACTTCACATGCTATCACAGCTGGATCATATTTTGGTAGTTGAGGTTGCGTCTATGTACGACTTTGTGAGAGTTGGTGGTTGTGAGGCTGACGCTTGTCATGAAATATGAAGATGAACAATATTCGCCGATACTCAGGTCTTAACATCCGGTTCAGTTCGGCCGATAAATTTTTGAAGCTGTAGCAAGTTGAGAGCAAGACCCACTGCACCCTTGAGATACGTCTGTGTGTCCTCTTCGACCTTGCTCTTCTCCTGCTCGAGCTTTTCGACATATAGACGGATGGTGGCGCCGCTGCTGCCCGTGCCTGACAAACGCACTACCACTCTGGTGCCGTCATCGAACTTGAAATAGATACCTTGGTTCTTGGACACAGAGCCGTCGAGGTCTGTATACGAGAAGTTGCCGGCTTCGGTGATCTTGCGATCAGAGAGATCGGAACCAATGGTGCCCTTGTCGGCGATCTTATCCTCAAGAGACTTGATCATATCTGCCGCTCCCTCACTGCTGACATTTTCATAGTCGTACCGAGTAAAGTACACCCTTCCATACTCTTGCCAGAACTCCTTTTGAATTTCCCCGATCGATGGGAACACACCCGTCTCCATGCCCACGCCTGCAATGATGTTCAGCCAAGCAGTAATAGCCCACACACCATCCTTCTCTCGAATGTGGTTCGAACCAGTACCGAAGGACTCTTCACCGCAGATAGACATCTTGTTTGCATCGAACAAAGCGCAGAAGAATTTCCATCCGGTTGGCACGACGTAAAGTGACAAGTTCTGCTTCTTAGCCACTAGGTCCAAGGCCGCCGAGGTGGGAAAGGACCGAGCCAGACCGTAGACGCCCTGTTTCTTAAAGTATGGGATGTACTTCTTGGCATAGTGGGCAATGATGGCCAGGGAGTCACCAGGTGAGACAAAAGCATTCTTGCCGTAGATCATGTTCCTGTCGCCGTCACCGTCCGAGGCAGCACCAAAGTGTATGCCTTCCTTGTCTACTCTTGCCACCAAATCATGTGCGTAGGTCAAGTTGGGATCCGGGTGGCCACCATTGAAATCTGGGCTTGGTGAGCAATTCTGTGTGCTGTCCGGTCCCAAGCCAAGCTCTTTCTGGAATATGGCAACCCCGTAGGGACCTGTGACACCAGACATTCCATCAAACAAGACCTTGAAGTTGGGCTGGGCTTTGAAGAATGAGCGGATGAGGTCAAAGTCAAAGATGTCTTTCAGCATAGCAATGTAATCGGCTGTGGAATCAATAATCTCGACTTCCAGGTCTCCATACTTCTTGGTGCCAATTGTAGAGATGTCAATGTCAGGGATATCCGCAATCTTGTATGAGCTTAGGGCCTTGGACTTTTCGAAGATCTTGTTCGTCACGGATTCCGGTGCTGGAGCTCCGTTGGAGAGGTTGTACTTCATGCCAAAGTCGGCCTTGGGTCCTGCTGTGAATTAGAACGGACCTTGGTGTGGGGAGATTGGTCTAACTCACCACCCGGGTTGTGACTGGCAGTCAGGAGTATGCCTCCAGTGGCCTTGCGTATGCGGATAACATGGCTGGCCGCAGGGGTACTGAGAATGCCATTTTGGCCGATCACAAGCTTCTTGACTCCATATGCTGCACCAATCTTTGCAATCAACTGCACCACCTCAGGGTTCCAAAATCTGCCGTCACCGCCAATGACTAGGAAAGCACCGTCTGCACCTTCGGGTATGGACAAGAGGATGGAGGTGATGAAGGATTCACTGTAGTGTGGTTGCTGGAAGACGGTGACCTTCTTACGAAGACCCGAAGTACCCGGTCTATTGAGGGAGTTAGAAAGTAAGGGTCAAGAGTGGATGATGTGGACATACTTCTGGTCGGTGAACGACTTGAACTGGACTTCCTTGACACTGGACATTGTGAAGAGGGTGTGGAGAAGAACAGTCACCAAGAATGATTCCAAAAAAGTACAGCAGTCTCCTTCCTTGAATGAAATTTAGGACAGAATGAAGCTCTAGAGGGAAGATTAAAAGGACCAACGATGGGAAGAAAAAGTGTAGCTGCAGAATGAATCTAACGCGGGGCAAAGAAGCTGTGAGGGCGAAAGACACCGACAAAGCGCATATCATGATTGATTATGATGGAACCGCAGTCAACAATACGTCATGGCACGGTCATTCTATCTGTCACGCTGATTGGTTCGTGTTGCTCAGCTAAGCATTTCACATGTGTGTATGCTGCTTTTCACCCTCAGACCACTGCTTGGGCATTGTCCATTTTTGTCGTTTGTTATCAGCCGGGAAGCTGTTCCAGATGTCTGGCCATTCAGCGGTGTATACGGTGAACTGTTTCTTCCACAGTACATCGACAGCAGATGGACGCCGACATCCGTCAGGCATGGTCCGAGAGCCCAGACGAACAAGACAGTGAACCAGACAAGAGCTTTGCCAAATCTGCCAATAGTGACCATGCAGCATTCTGGTGGCGACAGTGACAAGACCCTCATCCTCCTATCCGTTTGAGAGAAGGGGTGCCCTATGTTGCAGGATTGGAGCACTTGAAGAAGGTAGGGGTGGATGAAGGATGTGCCGTGACCAGGCGGACACTTTCCATTGATACTTGATACAGAGCACCTGCACCTCGCGACACTGTAGCATAGAAGTCTGATGGCTCAGGGTGACCCATGACTGTACTGGTGTTCCTCCGTATCACTATTCTCAGTCGACAAATGTGGCGTTGCGCCTCTTCAACCTCAATCACAATTTCTCACTTCACAAATGGACCGTAGTCAGAGACGCTAACCATGGGCCGGACCAGGCATACAATTCAAACCTCCTCTTGAAAGACATACAGTAGAGTAGAGTCCTGCATCAGAAGGAACGAGGATGGTGGTGCATAGATAGAGTCGTCGATCCCGAAAGCAGGTGAATATGACTCCTTAGCGTTCGATTTGATCATGGGAAAAGCACTGAATTGACCACCAAAGCGTTGTCTGGAGTTAGCAGCATTCGTTCTCAATTCCCATGGCCCGTGTTCAGGGCGGGTGATGGACTGACTCCTCTCGATCTCCCTTCTCCGCAAAAGAAAGTCGCCGTGCAGTCCGAAGAATGCGTGGCCCAAAAGGGTTTGGTGTCGTTGTGACATCGCTTGGCGCCAGTCACGTACTCTCGGTCTGCAGTCTGCCGCCTCGTGGACCATAGCAGGGCCTCGTTGATTTCATTTGCAACATTTCACCACATGAATTCCCTCGACATCACTCCTCTGGCGACTCTTCGTTCGCTTTGAGATCACCGCCACGCGTCAGTCCGTCAGTTCTTGTTGTTAGCGAGTTGCCCTGATCCGTCCTTGACACGAATGCTTTGTCTCAATCACCAACTCCGTCTTGCCGACAGCTCACCGTTCCCCGACTTTGTCTATCCACCTGTCCCCATTTCCTGCACCAACCTGATCAAATTTTTATGACCGCCGCCCTCTAACTCTCCTTGCGTGTAGGCTGTCCGTGGTCACTGTCAGTCAGAAAGAGACGGGTACGGAAACACTCAACGCCAGTCGCAGAGCGTGGCCCTCATCTCGGAGACTCTCTCCGCATCTGCCTCTGCGTAAGTGCAGAGAGCGGAGAATCCCATATCGACAAGTCACCATTTCGGATTTATCTTGTCACCATGCCTTGTTTCAAAGGGCTCGCTGTGAGCATACACACGCCGAATGGACCTATTCCGGAGTATTCGGTGCAAAAAGCCTCTCGACTCTCCAGGATCAGCTCGTACATCCCCGTGCCACCCGCCAAAATTCCTGATGACTCGACGACGGGCAAACCTGAACAGTCTACCTTCGCCATCTCGATTACACTCCTCACTCCCGGCCAAGAAGTTCCTTACTCCACCCCGAAAGCCACGTCTGATCATCCGAGCCCGAAACCAAAGTTGGTAGGCGATTTCCCAGGCCACCCTGGTGCACGTGGAAGAAACGCTGGCACAATTGGACCGTATGTTCCTCTGACAACCTCACCCAACGAGACCATCGCAGCCTACATCTACTTCGACGGTCGAGCAAAGGAAGAGGTTGCGACACTGCTACGAAAGGGCGAGGAAACTTGGGTTAACAGTCGTTGGGTCAGTGTGCCGGAAAAAGAAGGCGGGGGCCTTGCCGAGCGAGAATTCCTGTTCCGGGAAGTAGGTCTCGAGCGCTGGCTCAATGGCTTGGATCTTGACGGCAAGGATGCGGCTGCGACCATTGAGCGGCGAAGACAAAAGTTGGAGAAGAAGATGGAAAAGAGGAGACGCAAGAGGAAAGATGCCACCGGTAGCGACGATGAGGCCAACGGAAGTTCCAAAGGGGCACGACGAAAGAGCACACTCCGATACGGTGAGAATGGCGAATTGCAAGATGTTTCAGATGACGGCGGCTCTCTGAGTGACAGCGCATCGTCCGAAGAAGACGACGATCCTATCCCAGAAGCCGCAGGTCAAATCAAGGTTGCGCTCTTCCGAGTGCTGGCGTCTGGAGAGATCAAGCGCGGAGAGTATTCTCCTCAATTCGATGCTCACGATGATTCGGAAGGGTCAGGCACCGAAGCAGCAACGAATGGTGAAGACAAGAGCCGAGCCGACGTTGATCATACCACCAGTTTTGCGAAACCGAAAACGTTAGATCCCAAAACAATCTCGACACAGACCGTCACTGGTATTGATCCTACCGATAAACCCTATGCCGTCTTCACATTCCTGTACCGAGGTGAACGTCAATTACAGAAAATGGGCATCTTACAGGCGCCAAAGTCAGACAAAACGCCGTCAAGTGCAAAGAGACGTAGCATAGCGGTCGAGTTACCCAAGTTGGGCCCTCTGAAGAAAGAAGGTACTGCTGGATTCTCTGGATTCCGAGATACCGAAGCACGACGAACCCGGAAAGGCAAACGAGGCAGTGATGACGAGATGGATAGCGACAGTGAGGATGAAGGTGGCATCGTCGGCAAGATGGAAGACATTAACGATGCGGATGTCAAGCGAGAGCCAGGGCTGCTTGCGCCCGAGGATGCCGAGCGCACGGGACAGGTGGCGGAGGGAATTCGCAAGATGAAGGTAAGAGACCCTTCCCCCTTGAAATTTCGGCACGGGCTAAGGTATCATCAGCTCAAGAGGCAGCACTCGGCGGAACCGTTGAATAGTAACGGGACTACTGAAGCCCGCAAGAGCTCCAAATCCGGTAGTCCCTCAACGGCGTCAACCCCTAAAATTGGAACCGACGAGCTGGGCACCTCTCCTGGCACCTCTACTTTGGGCAACGGAGCAGGCCAAAGCCTAAAGTCAGAAGACGAAAGCTTCATGGTTGGAAGTCCGATGAAGAGACAACGAGCTAGTGTCGCAGAATTCGACGCTGATATTCAAGGTCGACTGATGGGTGGCGTCCCAGCATCTGCGGCTACGATTGGTGAAGCACTGGGCTCTTCTGGCGCAGCTCAAGCCGCGAGCGAGGGCTCCAATCCCTCTGGTCTGCAATTTGGCGGCGCATTGCAGAAACCTTCCGCTATGGACGAAGACGAAGAATTGTAATGGAGTCAGGGGGCATTTTGGGACCACCTTGTTGCATACCGGCCGGTATACATGGAGCCCTCTCTGCATTTACGTCAGCCGTCCTTCTTGACCCGGGTTACCGATACTGAAAATGGAGACTGGCCACATGCCTTGCATAAATGGAGTTTGGAAAACCATGCATGCCAACTTATTTTCACAGAAGCACAAACGGCGCTCATTGTTTAGTGCCAGTGCTTGTCAGATATGGACCTACGGAATGGCCGATTGATCCAAGTTTTTTCTTTGTTGAAACGAAACCAGAAACACAAAGCTAGAAGACCCGCGTTGCATAGACACGGGGTGGCATGCTGCTTTTACGACCAGCCATGGCAAGAGTGCAGGAGGGCGAGCGATCCGAAGGCCGAACTGCTTCGAGTCGAGGAGGTGGCATGTATGAGACGAGATTCCAGCTGCCGATGACTGGAGCGATCGCAGCAGAGGGCTTCACTGTACCTATTTTCACACGCTCTACGCTCGATGCGATTATGAATCGAGATTCGAAACAATACAAGAAATCATTGAACATGTCATGTAGTTGTCCAGAACAGAGTGACGATCGTCGTCCTCGTAGATAGATTGATTGATGGTCGTAGAGAGTCGGGAGTTTGTCAACACCAGAAATCCCTGCCAAGCTGTTATGTGATTGGCTGGGAACGAACGTCCTCGCACTAACCCATTTTGGGTGTTTTTCCTCAATGGAAGCTGCCTCTGCCCATCATCACGTCGTCATCGTCATTTTCCTCTCGTATGTATTTGCTGCTTCTATTTCCAGATGGTCATATATCTCGATCTTCTCGCGCTCAGCCTCATCCACATCGTTCATTGATAATTCAGCCAGACATTCATCCCTGACCCGTCCCCTCAACCAGTCCACTTTATTCGTCTGAGGAGCGGTAATGACTCTGCGACGCACCTTTCGATTCTCCTTGAAATGATCAAACATGTCTCATATTCCGTCGAGTATGTTACTTTGGTAGGCTGAGACGAGAGGTCAATATTTTAAAGACATCAACAATACTCGCCTCGCCATCAAATTTCTTTATTTTACTTTTTTTCAATCCTTGGGCCTTGCGACTTTAGTGAACTCTCATGTCCCTGAGCTTTCATATCGGCTCAAAAGAGAACCACCGTCGGTGCCAGTTTATTACTATTTCATGGGACCCTGAAACGACACTGTAGTCAACATCTGGACCTGACCGGGGTCAGGGACAGCGTGCAATGGCGTTGACACGATCAACGGATCCCCTGGTGTGGATCGACTGCGAGGTAGGTACCCGGAGAATGTGGGCAGCCTCAATCCACGTGAGCCATGTGTATGATGTATATACTACGGTTCAGCTCTACATACTCTTTCAAATGATCTTCACCCTCCGCCTTCAGGACTCTTTGCCTCGCTGGTACTAACGGCGTCCTGGAATATAGATGACGGGACTCGACCCTGCGACGGACACCATCATGAGCGTCTCTTGTGTCCTCACCAACTCTGATCTGGTCCCACTCGACAACGAAGGATTCGACGCCGTGATCCAACACACGCCTTCCCAACTCTCCACCATGTCGGAATGGTGCGTCCGAACCCACGGCGCGTCCGGCCTGACTCGAGCGTGCATCGAGTCCACCACGACCGCGCCCGTGGCCGCACGGGCTTTGCTCCAGTACGTCCGACGGTACGTGCCCGAACCTCGACGTGCCCTCCTGGCCGGCAACAGCGTCCACGCCGACAAGATGTTCCTGATGGCCCCGCCCTGGAACGTGATCTTGGACCACCTGCATTACCGCCTGTTCGACGTCAGTGCCACGAAGGAAATGATCCGGCGCTGGGCGTCACCCGCCGTCCTGGAGGACGCCCCGGTCAAACAACTCATGCACACGGCCCGAGAGGACATTCGCGAAAGTCTGACCGAGGCCCGATACTATAAACGACTGATCGAGGGTCTGTTACCCGTGTCGGGACACGACGTTCTCGGGGTCAATTCTGGTGGTGACGTCAACATGACCACTACACGAGCAGCGGCACCTGAACCCTCGCCGGCTTCAAATCATACGATGTTGAATCCAGCGGCTGGTTCAATCCCCGGTGGAGGATTCGTATCAGGTACCACGGCTGGTCCGATATCATCGTCGTCATATGCAAGTGCCTCTGCCTCAGTCGTTGGCCCAACTACCGCACAAGATGAATGGGACATGCAAAAACTAAACAACGCGAGCGTCGGCGGCACAACTACCATGTACGACGGTTTCAGGACGGATGTACCATGACACGCAAGGTTCAATTGAAGCCGGCACTCTCACTACTCAAATTCCTTTTTTGGACAATCAAAACATCAACCACCGCCATCCATAAAACCCTGTGACACGATACGATACGATACGATACGCAAAGAACGAGGAACCCACTTTTACAACGTACTTTTCGCGGCTTGCCCAAGTCAAAAGACTCTTGAGAAAGCTCAAAGCACAAACCAAAGAACCCGACATTGATCACCCCGATCATCCGAGTCGGACTTTTTCAAATGTACAACACTTGCAGTACAGTACGTCACATATCCCCCCCGCAAGGGCTTTTGTCGTCTACACCTGTTCTCCACCGAACACTTGTCGAGATCCGTCACGACTACTGCCACCACCGCCACCACCGTCCCGCCAAGAAGACACTTGTGACGACGACGAGATCAATGGAACGTGTCTGAACTTCGGCCAGCGCAAATAGTGGTCGGGGTTTCCATTCCTCGCCTCGCTCTGACAGTGTCCTTTTCTCACTCGTGAAATTACTCACAAACGTTCCAACGTCTGTCCAAGTATCAAAAGATCTTGGTCAGCCATGTAAACACGGCGAGTTTGGTGTTATAATGGGCATACATATAATCGTGATTTCTTTTGACAAAAAATATTTAAAAGTGAACGATGATCTCGCATCAGATAAAATCCATGATCTTTCCGCCTCATACTCGGTGGAAGTTTTGAGGAGCTACTGGTATAAATATATACATAATCAATCTCCAAAAACAATCGGTGACGGAAAAAATGTCTTTTTGAAATTATGGTATGCTCAATCATCATACCCGCAGTTCAAAAACACTGCTTCATATGATTGACACTGCTATTGAATTGACGACTCCGTAATTTCCCCTTCAAAAGGGACAAAAAAAAAGGCGGATAGTCCGATACGGCAGCCTGCCCACGCATCCCGAACCAGTCACCAAATGCTTTATGATGAAACGAGACCAGGAAAACCTCGAGCCGGAATTGCTAATCAAACACGCAACCCTTCAAATGAGAGAAGGAGTAGGACAAGCAAACACACAGTCACACACACACACAGCCTTCGTGATCACAACAAGTTTTTCCCCATTGTTGAGCATACAACAACCAGGCGGTAACAAAACGAGCCGCCTCTTAATTCGCTGACATGCTTCGCCGAAGTCCCAACGGCACGGCCTGCGCATGGACGCGTCGCTCATCACTATGAGGCTGAGCTTTGGTCCTTGGTGGAGTCAGCCACTAGAAACTCCTGCCCGGCGGTCCGAAACTGCTTGTGCCAATGCCCCCGAACGGACTCGTTTGGATATGTTGACTGTGTCCCATGACAGGGCTTCCAATTTCTCCAACACTGCCTCTGTGTGGGCCGGGCGCATCTTCCACAAATTTGATAACTTGTCCTCTGGATTTGTCGATGACGACTTCGAACGAACCTCCACCATTTTGAGGGTTCCCTTCTGTGTCGCAAATACCCAGCATTTCGTCCATGGAAACAAGCGGTTCACCGGGAGCCTTGATCATTTCCAACTGTCGAAGGACTGCTTGCGCGGGGTGATAGCCGTCGGCACTGGATCCAGGAGTTTGTGACAACTGTCGGCATGCCTGAACAAGCATCAATCGGACAGCAATCGGCCGAGGAAAATGCGACCTTGATATAGGTTGAGGCACACCACCGAGGGCGCCAAATGGAGGTTGAGACCAGCCAGGGCTAGGTCGTTGCGTTCCTGGAGCTCCCCAATTAGCTGCGGGAGATACACCAGAATGGAAGCCGCCCCATCCGTGGTTGATGGGTGCAAAAGGCTCCTGTTTGAGCTCCGAAAAGCTACTTGCGAACGGCATTCTCGTCGACGGAGGAGGACCGACAGGCGCAAGGCCGATTCGTGACTCCGCGTTCTCCAGGAATGGCTCATCGGTATCATCCAGCAGTGCTTTACTTCCTAGTTGTGTCGCGAGATGCTCCACATCAGCGTCGGGCGATCTTTGTATCGGTTTCTGCTTGTCAGGCGTTGTGCTGGAGGGTCGGGCAATTGGGCCTGGTCGTGATATCGGCGTCGGTTGTGAACTGGTGTCTGTCGAAGGTTGCCTGGAATGGCCAACGGGCTTCGGCACAGTCTGTTGATTCGCCACGGGGGGGACCTGTCCAGGAGCCTGTGGCACAAATGGCATCTGTTGACCTGGCTGGAATGGCCTAGCAATCCCAGGAGGATACTGCATGCCGTTCATGGCGAAACGTTGTTGATTGCCCACGGGAGGGCCCTGGTAATTCGGCATAGGAGGTATCATGCCTGGCATCATCCCTGGTCCACCCATGGCTGGTCCATTGACGCCCACAGGGGGAATCCCATTCACATTGAAGGGATACTGTCCACGCCCCGGATTGTTCAGCGGGGATCTTGGTGCGGAAGGCTGTGGATGATGCAGCACAGGTTGTTGACCTTGGGCCTTCGGGTGCTGTCCGGGTGCTGGTGTCTGTGGCATAGCCACTGTAGCAGGCGATATGGAACTGCCAGAGACATCGGTGCTTGCTTTTTGGGACTTTGGAGAAGACCCGTGAGAGTATTGGCTCGGCTGTGATGGTTGTCGGTTTCGAGCAGGTGTAGGGACCTTAGGAGGAACGACCGGTGTGGCAACCTGAAAATGCGGCGAGTGAATGCTTGAACCTCGTGAAGGAGGATGTAGACCAGGCGGCAGAGCTACGGGTTGTTGCTTCGCAGAGGATTGATGTGCTCTCTGCGCTGCGTCTTTCTCTTTCTTCGCTTGCTCGTCCTTGGCCTTTCTCTCCTGGTCCTCTTTCGCTTTGCGTTCCCTCGCCTCCTTTTCTTTCAGCTCTCGTTCTTCGCGCTCTTTCTTCTTCATCTCCTCGCGTTTCAGCCGTTCTCGTTCCTTGGCTTCACGTTGTTTGCGTTCGAGCTCGAGCTGTCGTTCACGCTGCTCCTGCTGCTTTCGGTGTTTCTCGGCCTCTTTCCGCAGGCGTTCCTCCTCGGCAGCTTTCTTTTCAGCCTCCCGCTTCTTTCTTTGCTCCTCGCGTCGTTTACGCTGATCTTCCTGGCGCTTCTCTTCCAGTTCGCGGGCCGCTGCTTCTTGCGCCGCCTTCTCAGCCTCTTTCTTAGCCCTCTCTTCATCCTTGGCCATCTTCTGCAATTTCTTCTTCTCCTTCTTCTTGGCCGCTTCTCTAGCCTTCTTGGCTTCTCGTTGACTGTCGAGACGTGACTCTTCATCGAGTTCTTCGAGAAGCTTCTTCTGGCGTTCTGCTGCCACTTTCTCTCGATATGCCGTCAGAACGCGCTGTTCGAACATCCGAGCTGCGAATATCTGAAACATTCGTCGGCCTTCTTCCATCCGTTGTTCTTCAGTCATGGAGTCCTAAACAATGTGTTAGATCTGTGCTGGTCTTTGGCTGAATCTTTAACAGACCATTTCGTCCCCTTCGAAATCATCCTCCTCCTGACTATCATAGTCCTCATCATCTTCCTCGTCGTCATAGTCATCGTCATCATCTATAGGAGGATGATTGTGACCTTGATGATAATCTCGATGAGCATATGAAGAACTGGGGTAGTGAATGTCTTCCTCACGTTGCATGCGTCTCTCCGCCAGCTGCTCCATCATGTCTATGAAATGCTTCCCATCGTTCTTCAGCAGATCATCTGCAACGGTGAGTATGCCATCTATCAAGATTGTCAGCTTTCCCAGCCAAGACCCCGGAAATTGTTCACTCAGACCCTTGACAGTCAAACTGTTGCCAAATTGGAAGAAGTCAGGCGGACCAGGCGGAAGCCCATGATCATCGTAATCATCTTCGTCACTATACGCCTCATCGTCCTCCTCGTCATACTCGTCTTCATCCTCCAGGTCTTCATCGTCCTCGTCGACCTCGTGTACACGACCTCGAGAAGGAAATGAGCCTGCCATCGGATGTGTGACTCTTCTGAACGGTGGGCGAGGTGGGGCCATCATCTGCGGTACGCTGGACAGGTCCGTGTTGTGGTTGGCGAATTGCTCGAGTTCCTCATAGTACGCATCGTAGAGAACCTCCAACTCTTCCTCGATTGCTGTCCGCTTCCGTCCACACACCGAACAGCTGCATGAATGTTTCTGCTGCTCCTTCATTTTGCGCAAAACAGCCTCTTTCTCCACTTTTACTAGCGAGCGGCGTTCTTCCTCCCCCAGTTCCAGCCAGAATTGTTTGATATTTTCTCGTTCGGCCTGCGTCGAGGTGTTCCAGATATGGTCGCTACTGGACAGTTTCTGGGATGCTCGCATAGCTGCATTGGACAAGGGTGGGATGTGTGACCTCGACAGCATGGTGGAAGACCGTGATAAGGATTCGGTGTCTGGTAGATGCGACTTTCCACCTTTGGACTTTTTCCGCTTGCTCGTATTCAGCCATGAGCTGTCGTGCATGCCTTCCGCACCGTCGGCATAGTGGGGATCCTCGTCACCACTGTAAAAGGCTTCTTCGGGACTTCCGATATCAGCATAGGACGGATCAGAAGGATCCGGATAATCTGGTTCTTCGGTGAAGTAGCCCTTTACCGGGCCTCGCCCTTGCTTGACTGGAGGCAGTTGTCCATGTGGCTTCGGGATTGAATAGACATCACCATTGGGTTGCTTTTGTTCCGCGGCTCGTTTCGCTGCCTCCTTCTCCCGTCTTTTTTGCTTTTTTCGGTTTACTGCCGGAGTCGGTGTGGGTTCCCCTGCTGACTCTGTGGTATCGCCTGTCTTGGAATCGTTGTCTCCTTTGCTGGCAGGCTTTTGTCCGTTGATCAGCGTGGCCGAGTGTGCGACAGGGTCGGACTTTTGGAGTGTCGAGGGAGGTGTTGGCGCATTCTTTAGGGAGTCGTTGGAAGGCTGTGGTTTCGCTGCATGGACGTGGGTTGTTGCTTTCTTCTTTGACGGCATCGTGAAGCACAATTTGCTCTAATACAGGGTCTGATCAGAGGCTTCACGCCGTTGCGAGATCTGATCAGCTTGACATCTAAGGTGTCGGATTCGTTTCGCAGCCGGCGGGGTATGACAAATCTAAGGGCTCCGAAGATTGATTGTTGCGAGATAGATCGATCGAGGACAAAGGAGGCGAGATCCGGTGCCAGCAAGACAAATCGGTCGCAATGTTGTGGTGATTTGAACAGATGTAAGGAAGGCGGTTGTGCTGGATTGAAGGGAAGTTCGATGCCAGTTACAGTGCAGGCGAGTTTCGTGGGGCGGCGGCGTTTTGCCCAAGGCCTCTGCAAAGGCCCTGGCATAGGCGCACCAGGCGTTAAGACTGCGCTTCAAGTCCCTAAACCGTGCCTGAGAAATTGCACTATGGGGTCGGTGTGGTCGGCAGTACGTGGAAATGGCTACTGTCGAGCATACAGGCTGCGCGAGGGTCACTGAGGCGTGCGCAATGCAACTCAATGCACCAATTCGCTTCAACTCCAGCATCACACCCATCGCCATCACCTTTTCCTCCTCACCTGCCCGTTTCTTCTACAACTTTCAATTCTTTTCCTCGTCTTGTTTCTGGCCGACCTAAAAATACCTCTTCAGCAGTCACCTGTCTCATTTCTTGATCGCTGTCACTCGCCGACGTCTCCCCACTGCCTGCACGATCCGTATTACCGCTGCGCCTCTTTCTTGCCGGTCTCCGTCGTCGTTGACCTCTCGCTGTTGGACCCCACGACGCAACAATCCACCACTACCTTGCAAGCTAGTCTCAGATACAAAAGAAGTTCTCGCATCGCACCGCTGTCGAACGACCTCCACACGGCCTGTAGTTGAAACCGCGAGGAACGTGCAGTTGCATCTCACAATCCTTCGCTTCATGCGACTATCCGTTGCTCTTGATTTCATCCAGTTACACGACTAAATCAACCACGCTCAGCTCGGCCCAGCCAATCCGCAACAGATCGACATACTTCTTTTCTCCTTCTAATTTTCTTCTCTTCTTCACCGCTTCCCAGTTTCCGTCCTCTTATTTTCAGCCTTCCCCGGACCAGCCTCTTGTCGCAGTTCCCGATCCTTCAACTTGTATCCTTGGCAGAGTCGTCGTCCGTCTACTACGTGGACGGGTCGACAAGAAAGACATAACCATGGCTCAAACTCAGGCTCAGTCAAATGTTATGAGAAGGTCAGTCCCACCTCGCCGGTTAGGCTCTAGACTTGGAGAACAAGACTGACACAATTGCAGGAAGCTCGTTATCATCGGAGACGGTGCTTGCGGCAAAACATCGCTATTATCGGTCTTCACGCTGGGCTATTTTCCGACTCATTATGTTCCCACCGTATTTGAGAACTACGTTACGGACTGCCGAGTAGATGGAAGATCGGTACAACTGGCACTATGGGATACCGCGGGGCAAGAAGACTATGAGCGATTAAGGCCACTCGCATACGCAAAATCACATGTAATCCTGATCGGATTCAGCGTGGACAGCCCAGACAGTTTAGAGAACGTTCGGCATAAATGGATTGAAGAAGCGAGAGAACGGTGCCCGGACGTGCCCATCATTCTGGTTGGCTTGAAAAAGGATCTTAGAGAGGACCCTCTGGCAATCGAGGAAATGCGGAAAAAGAGCTTGAAGTTCGTAACGCCACGAGAAGGAGCAGAAATGGCCCAGCAATGCGGAGCTCGAAAATACCTCGAATGCTCGAGTCTGACGGGCGAAGGGGTCGACGATGTCTTTGAAGCAGCCACCAGAGCAGCCCTGTTAACGTTTAATGGCAAGCAAGGCGGAGGCGGATGCTGTGTCATTTTGTGAACCTACTGGGACGAATGAATCTCTTTCTAAAAGAGTTACCATCACAGCCAAAACGGTCGACACGTCGAATGATTCTACGAAATGCCGGGCGCTTCTCCCCCGACTTTGGGATGTGAGGCATTTGGAGTTGGGGCATGTGTCCAAAACCAATACAAGGCTTTTGACGCAGTATCCTAGGATATTCCACATCTTGGTAATTGGGAATTGGATGAGCATTTTCTCCGGAGTCGAGATGGGAAAACAAAAAAAACCTTTTTTTTAAAGGTGGGCATCTAGCCGGGGACATGACTGGCGCCTTCTTCCAAAACACACCACCGCCTGACACAGGTGTGTGTGTGTGGTGTGTATGTGTATTGTTTGAAACATTTAATGGCCTTTAGCGAATTAGCACAATGATGGGATTTTCTTTTTCTCTTTTCTCTAGACTGTCCGGTAGTAAAAACTGCTTCCATTTTTCTGTAACTCGAGGGAAGGACGAGGTGGTGAGATGAGGCCTCTTCTTCTTCTTCTTCTTCTTCCTCCTCCTCCTCCTGATTCACGTACTGTACAGTGCCTGAACGTACTCTGCGACTCCATCCTGTCATGCGTCAAGAGTTACGTAGTACTCTGTACCTCTCTGTCTATTTTGAAGGGGCTGTACGTAGGTATGGAGTTTTAACATCCAGCACGGACACTCCTTTTTTGGGGGCGGACGGCCAAACCTCGTCACCCGTCTGTAGGTACAGTACTTGTGTTCCCTACTCCCTCCGTAGGTGTGTCCTTGGATCAAACCCCGTCTGGAGTTGCTTCACATCATTTACTCGTCCACTGCTCGGATGGGTTCAAATGGACGAGGACACTTTGCGGAGTAGAGGACACGCCGTACAAACAAGACCCCGTCCCCGTTGGAACCCCCGGTGATTCATTCTTTTCACAGGGCGACGATCGAAATGGATGTGCTCTCTTATCGTCATCGAGACATTCTTGAGAGCCGGTTTTCTCTTTAAATTTTGACATGCATTTATAATGGTACTCCGTAGTGGTGGTGTAGTGATACATTTCGATTTACAGATTCATCTTGATCGCCAACCCGATTTCCTTACCTGTTGGGCCAGAAATCCAACGGCTTTAGTTACAGACTGCATTTTTGCCTTTGACCTCTTGCCAATCCTTCGACAGTGACGGGAAAAGGTCCGGTCGTCAGAAGGGTGATAACCTGCTCAAACGGTCCCAGCTGTTGACCATGTCAATCGCCGGTAGCGTCGATCAAGAAAGTTGAAGCACCGGGTCGGTTCGAGCACGATCATCGTCGAGCCAACAACGCTCTTGGATTGCTGCCAAACAATAGTTTCTCCTCTGTCGTGATGTCCAGAGGCAACACCTCACAACTCAAAAAGTTTCCTTTTTGATTGATCTTGAACCCAACGTCCTTTTCTTCCTCCTTGTCACAGCGACCTGGATCCCGTACCACCACCGCCGCCTCCATCTCCCATTGTTTTCTGTCTATGGCGAACTAGCGAGCGAGCAAGCAAGCACCAAGCCACTCTACCGCTTCCACTCGCTATCCCAGACCTTGGCCTTTGCGCCGAGCCCCGTCCCTCCACTGCCCAGGCCTCCAGTGCTCCCCATGTAGTCGACCAGGCTGCGTGCGTACTCGATCGGGACACCGCCTCCTCGTTCCGGTATGCTCCACACGCCGGTCTTCATTTGGGCCTTGCGGAAAAGCCGACCGCCGTCGCCCGCCCCGACGCGCAGTTCCTCGTTCGCCTCGCGCATGGCGTTGTACTGTCGTTCCAGCTCCAATTGGCGTGCCTGTCGGACTTTCGCACGGTACAGTTGCCAGGCCCGGTGGATCGTCCAGTGGCGCAGGTATCGGTTGCGAGAGAATCGGAGAGGCCTCGGGGTGAGCGTGGTGGGATGGTAGAGGAAGAAACGGATCAAAGCTGGAGAGTGAGGGAGAAAAGGATGTGTTAGCAGTCGAATTCTAGTTCGAAATCGACAAGACATCAAACGGGGGGGGGGGGGCCGGTCCATACTAATTCTTCGATCGAGTCTCTCTTTTCCTCCCTTTTTCGCAGCCCGAACTGCGCTCGTCGAGAATGCCGATTTCCAAGTTCGAGGGGTGCTGGGTGTTGAATTTGATGAGCTCGAAGTCGATGCCGCGGCAGGATTGGCGACGGCATTGCGCAGGCTCGGCCTCAGTGGGATCTGAAAGACCTTTGCCAGAGCGGCACGTACGGAAGAGCCGTGCATGGCGGCGTGGGAAGTGGGCAGGAAGCAGCGTCGAGACACAGGTTGTCAAGGTCTGGTACGGAAAAGATGACCTTACGGGGAGAATGAACTGAGATTGCAAGCGACGTCCGGAAGAGAGCAAGTTTGGCGAGGCCAGGCTGAAGATGTGCTTGGCAAGGCTGGGTCACTAACGCCGATTCCGCGAATCAAGATGTCTGAATTGGTCTACTCCGTAAACGTACTACTGTATACTCGGATACCTTTGAGCCCATGCATGGATGCGCAGGCAGAGGAGAAACATTCCTTCGAAATAGGAGGTATCAAGCGATTAAAATATCATTAATGGGTATCTATCATGGACTGAAGACTACCTTGCATCTTCTCCTCCCGCATGGCCATAAACCCTGTGATATCCCCCACCACTGTCTTCTCATATTGAGTATTTTTGAGTCTTCTTGTCATAGTTCATGATGCGTCTTGACTTGTGACTTTGCGCCAGCCTCCATCTGCAGTATAAGATCAAGGCGTCTTTGAGAACAACAAACAAACATCCTCCAAGGACGCTTCTACCCCATTTGGTGCGAAGCAGTCCGGATCGTCCATTTAAGGTATTGGCACTGCTCAGCCACGATGTTGGAAGAGCAAATTTCAGCAGCGAACCCATGCTGGCCGCCACAGCTGGAAAGGCCAGTGCACCCATTACCGTCTGGCCGATTGAGGACGTGCCATCGATCCATTGATCTCCACGCTCTCCGAGGATGTGGTGAACATTGTTTCCCTGCTGGTTCTCCGGCCCTATTTGCACTTCGAGAACGACCTCTCCCTCCTCGGCCATTTCTTGCATTCCATCTCCAAGATCGTTTCCATTATCATCGTCATTAACAACAATGCCTCCTCTCTGTGGGGCCATTTCGTCGTCGCCTTGTGCTTCTTCCTCTTGCTGTCCATATCTGGGACGAATCTCCTCCAGCCATTTCTTGTTCAGATTACAGAAGGTCTTGTGGTATAACCACCCATACATCGACCTCATTGCGGGTAAGCATGCAAAAACAGTGCTTGGTCGCGGCGGCCAGACTGTCATGTCAATTTCGAATCTGTCGCTTAGTTGAGTGGAAAGGAGAAATAGTGTGCCTCCCGGAAGCACAAAGTCGGCATACTGGGTTCGGGAGAAGATGAGGTTGATGGGTATCAGAGCATAAGCAAAGACTCGACTGGGTTTTCTCGATGCGCGTTGAAAGATTTGAATTGCATCTTCGTAGCCGAAGACCAGATAGACTGATTCGAAGCCATGAACCCAAAAGGCGGTTGTCACCATACCTAGAGCCCCGAGCCCAAGGCCTGGCAAGACGAGTTTCCCTAGGGCGCGATCTAATGATCGATAACCATCCACAACGAAGCTCCTCGGTCTTGAGATCTTGATCTCACTCTTGCAACTTGGACACTGGATCTGAGATTTCTTTTTCTTGTTATTCTTGGGGTGTTCCAACTCTGCTACCCAATCCAACAGACAAGACTCGTGTGCTGTAAGGCTGCATTTACACGGCGACCGCCACACAGGTGGGTTGTTGGGATCATCTTCGGATGCATCACTCATACATATCCAGCATTTCTTGCCATACGTGGAGGAGCGTGAGAGGGGAGGAGGCCGTGTTTCGGTTTCAATAGCGGCTTCGAGATCATGCGGAGGAGATGGGTGTTGTGGTTCATTCACTAAGATACCATCAGATCCATCCTCGGAGTCCATCTTGTAGTCCAATTCGGAGTGTTATGGAGGGTGGAGAGATCGGAGATGGCAGTCTAAATAGAGGCTGGCTGTATCTGTGAAGGACCGTAGAACAAGATGGGAGTACTAGTCCGTAGGAAATCGCATGGCCGATGAGAAAGCCTCACTTGCTGAAGTCGTGTCGACACGAACACGTTGGAGTGGTCTCGTGTCTGTAGGGAGCACAGAGTTAGGCAATCGCAAACACTGATAGACAAGGCAGACTACAGACTCGTATCGAACTCCGTAAAGCTGGGCGAATGACGCACCTCCACCACCATCTCCGGCAATGACGTTTTTCCGCTCCGGAAGCAACATAAACCCACCCTCGAGTACCTCGAATGCCACTGGTGCCACTTATTCACAGTAGCATTGAGATTGAGAAAGAAAGGACACAAAGTCTTTTCACTTCTTCGTCTTTCGATATCGTCGCTATTTGCTCAATTTCTTCCATATCGATACGAGCATTGAGCTGGAGTGCATGCACAGATTTGATCCGAATCGGGGCGAGGTCGCAAAACCATACTCCGGAAAGTGCACGGCATTCGTTCCAGGGTTCCATCAATACGAAAGGTCCTTGTAGGACCAATCTACCGTCGACACTATGAGCAAGCCGGTACCAAAAGTCAACAGCTTGGACGATGTCTACGTTGGAGCCTCGGCAGGGGACTCTGTGCCAGCTGAACTCCGCCATCGCTTCGAGAACTTAGTCACCTCTTTTCAGAGCAAATATAGCGCCAAACCAGATTTTGTCTCAAGGAGTCCAGGTCGCGTCAACATCATTGGCGAACACATTGACTACTCGCTATATGATTGTTTACCAACGGCCGTGACAGTTGATGTACTGATTGCGACACGCGTGGTGAAGGACGAGACCTCCGGAGCGACCATCAAGATCGCGAACATCAATTCGACAAAGTATCCTTCTAAAACATACACGATACCAAAATCTGGTACAGTTGAGATTGATAAAGCAAACCATGCTTGGAGCAACTACTTCCTGGCCGGTCTGAAAGGCAGCTTGCCATATTTACGCGAGAAACTTGGCGAATCATTCCAACCCCAAAGCATGGAGATTCTGGTGGATGGAAATGTACCAAGTGGCGGTGGTCTCTCAAGCAGTGCTGCATTTGTTTGTGCATCTGCGCTGGCGGTTATGGCTGCCAACAACTACGACATTTGCAAGCAAGATTTGTTGGACCTCTGCATCGTGTCCGAACGAGCTGTGGGCGTGTTCTCTGGAGGCATGGACCAAGCTGCATCGATCTTTTCCGAGAGGGGTTATTTGCTGTACTGCCATTTCTTCCCAAAGTTTTCTGCTGAACACGTCCCGGTGCCGGTTTCGGATCCCGAGGTGACCTTCCTGATCGCACAATCTTTCGTCACATCCGACAAGGCAGTCACAGCCCCCATCCATTACAACCTGAGGGTCGTCGAGGTGACTCTTGCCACCGTTGTACTGGCAAAATTGCACGACATTGCCTTAAATCCAGATGATTCGTCCTTGGGTTTCTGTCTGCGCAACTTCCAAGAAGAGGTCATGAAGAAAGAGGGTCGCAGGGACGCACCGATGGCGGATCAAATAAAGTCAGTGATTGACATCATCAACACGAAACTTGACAAGGACAGTTATACCCTGGACGACATTGCTCAGATCCTGGGCATATCAGTCAGCCAGCTGGAGAAGCAGTACTTATCCAAATTCCCTATTCGAGCCGACTCATTCAAGCTAAGACAACGAGCATTGCACGTCTTGGAGGAGGCTGAGCGTGTCCATCAATTTAAAGAAATACTGTCAACCTCTGGCAAACTTGACCAGGAGAAGCTTTTGCAACTGGGTGATCTCATGAACAGGACACAGATCTCTTGCAGGGACGTTTATGAATGCTCGTGTCCGGAGGTTGATGACATTTGCTCCATTGCACGCAAGGCTGGAACGTATGGTAGTCGCTTGACAGGGGCCGGATGGGGCGGGTGCACTGTGCATCTCGTCCCCCAGAAGAACGTCGCCGCCGTCACTGAAGCTCTGAAGAAGGAGTATTATTTCAAAAAGTTTCCTGATATCAGCGAGGAGAAACTTCGGGAGGCGCTTGTAATTTCAAAACCGAGTCAGGGGTCATCGTTGATTGTCGGGTCTGCACTTGAATTTTGAATGAAGTTGCCGGTACTTGTTGTAGCGATCTTTATGGAGTCCATGTAACTTCACTTAGTTATATGGGCCATTATACTGTACAGTACAGTTCTCTCGCTTTGACAACGGCATTCATCCGCACACGTGATATAATACCAACTCGGTACAGTAGTTTCGAGTAATGATTACTTTCCACAGCAGCTGATTACCTGGCTGACTACTTTTGGATCCCGGAACGATATCTACCTACAGTAAGGCATCGATGAAGGAACAACTACCTTATCCTTTCCCATGATAGGCGATATTCGCTATCTCTCTTGGGCAGGTACTCCGTTAGTTGCAAGTGGCCACCAACAGCCCATTTGTTTAGCCGCGTCCATCAATCTTCCTTTCAAGTTTTGCCCGATTAGACAATGGCTTCTTCTTTTTTATGCCATCTTATGAGGTACCAGAGTAACCATCCCTTTCGGACCTTTTGGCCTCATCAACTCTCGACACAATGAATGTGCTGCCTACGGAGTACAATATTCCGTCAGTAACAGTGATCTATTTTTCGCGACTCCACCTTCCCCTTTCTCGCCAGCATGTACTCCGTTCTCCATTTTTCACATAATAAGCTGACATCGACCACACATCTCAGTCTAAGACCAACAAGAGTACGAGCACCACTGTTGCCCTGGCTAGTCTCGTCCACAAACATACCGCTATCCGTCCCATTGCCTTGCCATCTGGACTTGTAGTGAGTTGTGGAACGGTCAGGGCCCAATTGGTTCATTCGATGCGACACAAAGACGATGCCACCGCCGCCGCCGCCGCCAACACCATCACCGCGACGGCCACGATGGAGCTGAGCTCTTCTATCGTTCCATGTGGGTAATGATACTCCAGGTACTCTGGTTTGTCATGCATGCCCTGTCTCGCGTTCCCGGGATCTGCAATGGTCTCTTTTCCTATCTGCCAGCCTCGCCATCTTATCCCATAACTTGCAAGTACTATTTAGATGCTGACGAAATGGAACTCGTATCGCCCCCCCTCCAACCACGCCACAGCGGTACAATCCAAGCGTGCCCAGGTAAGGATGGCGAACCTACCACAAGAGGTATATAAGCACTGGTCCGGCCATCATCATCAGCTCTCATGATATCCTACCTAGCACTTCACAGGCAGCTTAGCTAGCTCTGTGGGGCCCAAGAACAAAAAGAGAACAATGTCTCCTAGAATCTTTCGTTCCTCCCTCCCTCCCATTGACCCCATCAAGGCCGACCTCCTTACGCACTTGTTCTCCAACCCGAGAAACACACCGGATGACAAACCAATCTACATCGACGCCGTGACGGGTGCGGTGCGAACGTACGGGGCCATCATCCAGCGGACGCGCTCTCTGGCACACGGCCTGCGCTCTCTCGGCGTCGCACCACGAGACGTCGTGGCCGTCTTCAGCCCCAACAGCATCGACTATGCCATCATATGCTATGCCATCCTGGGGTGCGGCGCGACCGTCTCGCCCGTCAGCGCAGCTTACACGGCGCAAGAACTTTCGTCACAGCTCAAAACGTGTGGCGCGAAACACTTGATCGCACACTCGTCTCTCATCGACACGGCAAAGCGTGCGACCGCCACACTTGACTCGCCCATCATCATCATCCAAGCCGATGGCGACAAAAACTCCACTGGTACTCCTCCCACCGCCGAGGCTCTCGCGACCACGTGCCCGGCCAGCCCTCTCGTGTCGATTTCTCCGTCCGAAGCCTCGGAACGTCTCTCGTTCATGTGTTTCTCGTCCGGCACGACGGGAACTGCCAAGGGCGTCATGACGACTCACCTCAACATCGTCGCCAACACGCAACAGTGGATGGTCCACATTCCCGAAGACGTGACGGGCGACATCACCACGGTGGCGTTTTTGCCCTTATCCCACATATATGGCCTCGTCAGCATCCTGATCATGAACATGCTCGTGGGCAACACCACGGTGCTCCTCCCCCGGTTCGAACCAGAGCTCTTCTTGTCTAGTCTGGTCAAATATCGCCCGGAGACCATCCAGGTCGTGCCACCCATTATGTTGTTGCTGGCAAAGCACCCGCACCTCGAGCGCCACGACCTCAGTAGCCTGAAAAGGATCACTTCGGCGGCGGCCCCTCTCAGCGTCGAACTACGCGAAGCCGTCGAGCGACGGTTTCTGAAACTGTACGGCACGACGCTTGTCGCCCGTCAGGCTTGGGGCATGACCGAGACCAGCCCTCTGGGTGCAATCGTGCCCATCGACCGACTCGACAAACGACACACGGTCGGGAACGTCACTTCGAGCATGGAGTTTCGAGTGGTCGACCCGGAGACGATGCTCGACGTCGACGAAGCCACGAAACCGGGCGAGTTGTGGTGTCGAGGACCAAACGTGACACCTGGGTATTACCGTAATGAGGAGGCCACAAAAAGTGGGTTTGCTCTTCGAGATCCGCCGGGTCCGAACGAAGAAGCGAAACTGTGGTTCCGTACGGGTGACGTTGGATTCTTTGACGAGGACGGTTTCATCACCATCGTCGACCGCATCAAAGAAATGATCAAGTACAAAGGTCTCCAGGTGATTCCTAGCGAGTTGGAAGGTAAACTGTTGGAACACCCCCTCGTCGAGGACGCTTGCGTGGTGGGGGTTTGGGTCGACCAAGAAGCCACCGAGTTGCCAGCGGGGTTTGTAGTTGTGAATGATTCGGCCAGAAGAAAAAAGGGGAGAGACAATCAGGAAACTATTGATGAGATCAATGGTTGGTTGAATGCAAGAGTCGCAAACCACAAGAAATTGAGAGGTGGCTTGTTCATTGTCGATGCCATCCCAAAGTCTCCCAGTGGGAAGATTTTGAGGAGGCAGTTGAAGGACATGTTGGTCAAGAAGGTGAAGAAGAGTGGATCGAAGTTGTAGAGAGCCCAGAGTCTAGTTCAACCATGGTTTGATGGATAGGATGTAAGTGATTCGGGATTTTCATGACAGCCAACATAGAATTGGTGTCATATAGAATAGGATATTATATACCACTTCATCAGTGTCAGTATCGGGGACAGGACAGATCAGATCAAGGGTAATCCGTCCGATTTCGACCTTTTGGATTCTTTTCTTTTTTCAATTTTTCTAATTTTTCTTTTTCTTTTGATACGTACCTACCTAAGGTAGATGATAATTTGGTATCTGCCCCAATATCTTTGTGTCGTAAGGAAACGCCGTGCGGTTGTGCAAAATGCCTTTCCCTTCCATGGTCCCCCCCTCCCGCAAAATAAATGCCATCCCCCCCCTACCCCCCGAACGCCCGCTCTTTCTTTTCAAAAACAATAGTATATCTCTTGTTCTAGACATGCAAAAAAGTCATTTCATCGTCGTTAACATCAATGGTTTTCCTAGGCTGTAGGTAGGTCAACCCATAAAATCCTTTTTCCGACACGCAAAGTCAGACAGCAACATATCAGCCCATGACGCCGTCCGTCTTAAACATCAAAGTATGTTGTCAACAACACGTCATCCCGTGGCGCCCTCCTTGTATTTGGTATCAAGGTAGACACCATGTCAATTCCCACGTGTGTCCTCTTCCGTCACATCGAGGAAAGACATCGTGTTGAATCCACCACCCACGTACGTCCCTTCTTCACACCTTCTCGCCCTCCTTCTCCCTCTCGGCCTTCCTGGCGGCCTTGTTCCGTCTCTTCTTCGCGTCCACGGCCTTCCTCCACCCCTCTCCCCAGACGGTGACGGCCCACAGGGCGACGGCGCTGAGGACCATGAAGCCGGCCGAGATGGTACTGAACCAACCCACGCCCATGGCCTCGATGGCCGGGAGGCAGACGGCGCTGCCCGCGGCGGCGAACACGTACCGGATCATGTAGTTGCCGGCCACGACCTCGGCGCTCAGGCCCTTGGACTGCATGACGTCCAGGCAGTAGGTGTTGAGGCTCGGGAAGCAGAACAGCTGCGCGACGCCCTGGGCGAACATGGCGACCACGGGCACGGGCACGCCCCCGACCTCCCGGTCGACGGTCCAGCCGTAGACGAGCATCGACGCCGGGATGACGCCGCCGACGAAGACGTAGCAGCTCCTCAGCCGGTCCTCGGGCACCCGCCGGCCCCTCCGCGCGACCCACTTCTTGACGACGTGGTCGGCGAAGCGGCCCCCGACGAAGGTGCCCAGGAGGTAGCCGCCGCCGGGGGCGATGTAGAACAGGCCCGACAGCATGGGGCTGGTGAGGTGGAAGCGCGGGTTGAGCACGTACCGGATGGGCGTGAGGAGCGAGTACATGTTCCACACGAGGCTGCTGCTCGCGACCCCGGCGACGATGAGGTTGGGGTAGCTGAACAGCAGCGAGGCCACGCGCAGCGGGCTGACCCAGTGCGCGATCCTCCTGGCCCTCTGGGACCGGGGCAGGTCCCGCAGGTCGTCGATCTTCTTGGTCGGGATCGTCTCGGGCAGGACGAGCAGGACGAGCGCGGCGGCCACGCCGCCCAGGGCCGCCTGCAGCCAGAAGATGACCCGCCACGACCGGTAGGTGACGATGATGCCGCCGACGAACGGCCCGAGCGCGGGGCCGATCAGCGTGCCGCTGAGGAACCAGCCCAGGGCGGTCGCGCGGGCGGTGGGCGTGTAGATGTCGCCGAGGCAGCTCGTGCCCACGATCAGGAAGCTCGTCCCCTGGTAGGCCGTGAGCATGCGGAAGACGAAGTAGCTGGCGAGGTTGGGCGAGAGGGCGGTGCCGATGCTGAAGGCGAAGAAGAGCCAGGCCGTCGTGACGCAGATCCACCGCCGGCCGTAGATGTTCGAGAGCGGGCCCCAGAGGCACGGGCTCAGGCCCATGAAGATCAGGTAGACGGCGTTGGAGACGTTGATGACGCTCCCGCTGGTGTGGAACGTCTCGGCGATCTCGGGGATGGCCGACAGGATGGTCGTGCTGGATATGGGCGCCAGGAACCCGCAGAGAGACAGGACCATCGTGATCAGGATCTTCCGGCCGGGCGAGAAGCGTTCGTACTGCGCGGCGTTGAGCTCGACGAACGAGGACGTCTCGGACGGCACGGAGTGGATGTCGTGGTGGGAAGCGTGGGAGTGAATACGCGCCAGAGCCCTGGACGCTCGATCCTCTTCTTCTTCTTCCTCCTCGTCGTCGTCTGCTTTCGAGCTCGAGTCATCTTGAAAACGGTCGTGCTCGTCGGGGGTCGTGGTGGTTCCAGGTGCCTTTTCCAAACCAGGTCGTGCAGGGGAAGCCGTGCTCGGCCGTTGATGTGTAGAGCCGACCTTTCCTTCTGCGTGGTCGCGGGCGACGACGTTCTCGACATCGTGGTGCGATTCGCCCGTCATGATTGCGTCGTGGAATGAAGGGGACGCAGAGTGTGTGGCATTCCTGAGGTGTGCAAGGTAACAAAGGTCCAAACCTCAAGATCCCGTCGAGTCGAAGAACTTTTCAACTTCGGCGAGGAAGAAAAGAGCGGGACGTGTATGGTATTTATGGAATATATATATATATGTATATATATCGAGGCAGCAAGGAGTGGCCAGGGTAACGAACTGAAAGGATGGAATCTGGAAAGGATACTCTAGGCAGATGAGTATGGATGGCCAGGTAACAAACTGGAGGGATGAAAGTCTTGAAAAGATACTCTAGGCAGGTTAGAACGATCCTTCAACCGCGTAAAACATGTCTGATATGGACGCCATCCTTAGTGGTCGGAGGCTGTCCATTTCCCCTGATTAGAGCTGGATAGAACCATGTCATCACACTTTTGTTGCCCGATCTCGGGATCTGTCCGTTTATGTTACTCGGGAGCTGTGATTGGCCACAGCCCTTGCCGAGTGCCGTGTGTACCAATCATTTCTTTCATCAAAACTTTTTTTCGGCAGCGCCCTGTGTCGACGATCATTCTCAGCCGACGGAACGTACTTACCGACGGCCCGGAGAATTCGGAGGAGGTCCGATTACAAGTATTTAACGTCGACATTGGATTCGTTTGATAACCATGTCTGACGTGGCAGCTCGAAGATCTTGAGGAGAAATTCATCCATTGTGCCATTTGTGAGTCAGCGAGGAAATACGTGGAGATACGAGTACGCATTGCACGCAACATGGTCTGCCTCCTTTATCACATCTACCGAGGTAAGAGGACAGCTTCACCTAGAGGTTGGTTGACACAAGTTAAATATTACGAAAGAAATAGACAATCAGATGCAGGGCTGACAAAATGCTCAACGTTGGTTTTCAGGCTGATCAAAACGACGCTATGTACCCCGTAGACTGACTGTGGGATCATATCATGTATGGTCCCATGCGACAGCCGTTTCAAAATCACACTCCTGCCAAACTTTTTGTGCACTTTTCTTCTTCCAACATAATAGTCGGATTCTTCAAAGAGAGCCTGGTTCTGCACTGGAATTGTGCAATGTCTCAAGCTTCTGCGAAATCATGAATGCGTACGTCGCCTATACAGATCGTCCTCCTAGATTGGGGTATTCAACGGAAAATTATGGTGATTATGCTGCTCAATGACCGGATCTCTGCTTCATGAGAGCTCTTCGCTCCTTTTCTTTGGCTATCAACATTGTTAGTAGATCCTCAAGGGCAATCACTCTACTGGAATCATACCTTCATCATAAACCAAAAATTCGTGGAGAGCCTTGCCAGCAGGCACCATGGGCAGGACAGGCACCTTCTTGTCAGTAACGACTTCGAGAAGAGCTGGTCCGTCGCCACTTCCGCTGATCAACCATTCAAGGCTTGCTTCAACATCGGCAGGCTTGATGCATCGTCGGGCCTGGACACCCATCGCCTCGGCGAGCTTGACAAAGTCGGGGTTCTTCTGGTGCGTGTGGGCGAATCGATCCTCGTAGAACAAGCTCTGCCATTGAGTGACCATACCCTGTTCTTCATTGTTCAAGACAATGACCTTGACACCGATATTGAACTGGTTAGCGGTGCTCAGTTCGGTCAAAGTCATGTTGAACGAAGCGTCTCCGTCGATATCAACCACGAGGGCATCTGGTCGGGCAACCTTGGCGCCAATGGCAGCAGGAAGACCGAAGCCCATAGTGCCCAGACCACCAGAGGTAATCATGGTTCGAGGGTATCGCCATCGGAAGTGTTGAGCGGCCCACATTTGATGTTGTCCGACACCAGTTGCGATGATAGTCTCATGTTTCCTGTTGGCCGTCATGTCGGACAACTTTTCAATCAATTCTTGCGGCTTGATCAAGCCGTCGGGTGTGCCCTTCTCGTATGCGCTCAAGGGAAATCGCTTCTTCCAGTCATTGATTTGAGCGAACCACTCAGGTCGATCTTTTACGGCCTTGACCTTGGGGATGAGCTCGGCCAGGTTGGTGGTGACATCTCCCTCTACGGCTTCGGTGGCCTGTACGACCTTGTTGATGTTCTTGGGCATGATTTCGAAGTGAACAATGCCACCCCGCTTCTCAGCTGCGGCAGCCTTGGCTTGAGGGGCGAATTTGGCGATGTTGAGAGTCACACGGTCGTCAAACCGAGCGCCCAAGGCGATGATCAGATCGGCTTCCTGCATCGCCATGTTGGCGTATGCGGCGCCATGCATTCCAAGCATGTGTAATGACTTGGGGTCAAGTTCATCATAACCGCCCAGCCCTTGCAGAGTCGTTGTTACGGGAATAGACGCCTTGTCCGACAGCTCTCTGAGGAGACCTGGCCCTTCGGGGCTACCCAAAACACCATTTCCAGCATAAATGATAGGCTTCTTGGCAATGTTGACCAAGTCTGCCACGCGGGAGATGGTACCTTCCAACTGTTTTCTCGACATTTCTCTCGCCGCCAGAGTGGCAGCGGAAGGATGCGAGGGTAAAGTGGATTGCATGGGAATTGGCCGTCTAAGGATGCCAGCAGTCACATCCTTGGGCAAGTCAACAAGGACAGGACCCGGTCGTCCTGACGTGGCAATCTCGAATGCCTCCTTGATACGTTTTGGTAGTTCTGCAACGTTCTTGACCATGACGTTCCACTTGGTGCAGGCTCTTGAGATCCCCACAACGTCGGCTTCTTGGAAGGCGTCTGTGCCAATGGCAGTGGTGGGCACTTGACCACAGAATACGACCATGGGAGTTCCATCAGAGAGCGCATCTTGCATCGGAGTAATGACATTCGTGGCACCTGGGCCAGAAGTCACCAAGACCACACCAGGTTTTCCAGATGCTCTTGCATAGCCCTCTGCCATGTGGCCTGCACCTTGTTCGTGTTTCGGGAGGACGAATTCGAAGTGTTTTGAATTGTAGATGGCATCGAAGACTGGCAGAATGGCACCACCAGGGTAGCCGAACATATGCTTGACGCCTAATCGGAGCATCATCTCGTGGAAGATTTCTCCTCCACTGAGACCAACGAATGAATCATCGAGCTCGGGTTGTTGGCGATTGACCAACGGGGAGGGCTCGGTACGTCGAAAGTCATTGTTGAAGGCTGGACTGGGGAGAGGTCGGGTTGATCTAGTTGGGTGTTAGCTTTTGACTGTGAATTTTTTCAATCTCTCTCATGATCAGAAACACTCGTACTGTGCTTGAGCTGCCGCAGTGGTGGCAGGTCTTCTTTTTTGGTCGGATGTGGTTTTTTGTGATTTTCGGTAGGGTGAAAGAGCTGCGGTGGGAGCGGTGGTGGAAAATTGTTGTGAGCACGAGGGTCTCCGTCTCGAGATGGAGCGAATGGCACTGGAGCCAGGCCTCATGGGCATGATTTTGGTCGCCATGGTGGTTTGGCGAGAAGGTCAGGAATGGGAAGGGCCCAGTGGGAGAGGAAACAATTAAGAAAGTCGAGGTTGAAGAATTATGAGTCAAGGCATTGGAAGCGGGCGGTTGGTGGTGTGGTTCGCTCTTTCCCGTGGTCTTGTGGCAAGATATGGCGGGAAGAGGGCGAGAATGAGTGGCAGACGCCGGTGCAGGGAGATTTTTGCGGAGAAGCCTATAAGACGCGTCTGATTGGTTGACTGGATGCATCTAGGGCCAACGGGAGCCACTCGTCCGGCCGAAATCGCTCTTGGCAGCTTAAATAATGACTGACTTGCATCGTGTACGGTAGAGTTCAAAGACCCGGAAGCGATTGTCCGAGGCGGGAAAGTCTGAAGATGCCGAGTACAACACCAGCCAGCCAGGCCCAGAACCTCACCCCATCATCCAACCATCATCCAACCATCATCCACTCTTTGCCGAGCTGGCTGGCCATCACGGTCATTTCACTTTGATGCTACCGACTACACAGAGTATCTATCGTCCACATCCAGAACAATTCACGGATCTTTCACCCATCTAACCTTCAACTCCTCTGGATGATTCATTCTCATCGCCAGCACCATGTCCGAATCCATCACCACGCGTTGAATCCTTCCCCTTGCATGTTCCTCGGTTTCGCCAGGCAGCACGACAGGATGTACCCGATGATGATGGAACAGCACGGCTAAGGCAGCAGTATGTTCCACCTGAGAGAATTTCTTACCGGGGCAGACTCGTGGTCCACTCGACCAGGGCAGGTAGCTGTTCTCCGCCAGCTGGACAGGAAACTCGCCTGGAGTCGAGGCGAGCGATGACGGTGATGATGGCTCACGAAGCCAGCGGGACGGGTTCCACTCGAGTCTGTCAGGACCCCAATACTGCTCGTCCATCTGAACGGCGGCGTTGTTGACAAAGACGAAGGTGTTTCCTGGGATGATGTACGTGTCCGACCCTAGGGCGAGCGTCTTTGGCGTCGACCCTGTATAACGAGGAATCCCGTTCAGGGGTGCGTAGAGGCGCAGTGTCTCATACTGCAAACATTCCGCACCGTCAGCTTTTTGTTTGCTGTTTCTCTCTCTCAAGATGACCTGACCACAAGAACATTTCTTACCATTATCGCCAGGCACCGTTTTAAGCGCGGAAAGGCAGTCTCGTATTCATCCTCCGTCACCTCTCTCTCACCAAACACCTCGTCGAGCTCACACTTGATCCAATCTTGCCATCGAGGGTTGCAAGCAAGAAGGCCCATTGCATACGCCAAAGTGGCCGCTGTCGTGTCATGTCCGGCAACGTTGAAGATGAAGAGATTCCCCAAGAATTCTTCATCGGTGAGTGCATTGCGCGACTTTCCAGAAGCGGTGCGCGCTTCACTCTCGGAGGCGCGCACAAGACTCGACATGAGATTCGTCGCCAATGTGGTGTTGTTGGCGGAGCCTCCACCACCCTGGGAGTATGATGAACGCTCCTTGTCCACCAGCTCGCGCATGTACATTTTCAATTCGACGATGGCTCGGTGGACGCGTTTGCCGCTCGAAGGGAGAAGGACGGACAGTCGGCCCAGCTTTGCGATGGCGTAGGTGACAAAGATGTTGGCCATGGCACCCCAGAGGGCATCGCGATAGCTCATGGTGTGGCCCGGGTCCGGCACCGTCAGGGGGCTGTCGAAGTCGTAGCTCCTCCCGAAGCCTGCGCCGGTGAGCACGTGGAGCGCCGCCATGTACGAGTCCTCGGCCGTGCTGGTCACGACGTCTCTCTTGGTCAGCCAGCCCGCCAGCATCTGCCTGCTCTGCCTGACGGCCTCGACCCAGACGAGGTAGTTGTTGCGTTCGCTGAAAGCCACGGCCGTGATCTTGCGTTGTCGCTGCCACGCGTCGCCCTCGTCGGTGGCCACGCTGGGACCGAAGGTCTTGAGCGGCTCGTTGAACGCCGGGTTCTTCCCCCACGTGTGAATGGATCTGAGGATCTCAGTGCCCGCGCTGGCGTCGGCCACGACCAACTGATTCAGTCCGGGCGTCACTATCATGTAAGCCCCTCCGTGGACCTCGTGCAGACGACCCTGGTCCCGCCACATGAAGCCCAGATGGTTGTACTCTGTGAAGGCTCCCAGGCCAAAAGGTAAGCGAGCCAGCAATGGGTTGATGTAGGGCCGCAAGAGCATCCAGAAGGGATTGAATGGGTCAATGGGACATATCAGGACAGGAAGCTTGGCCGACCTAGCAGTCCTATAGTTTTGGACGAGGGACACCAAGGTCCACAACAATGGCAAGGCGATCAATGTGAGTGTGGTGATGATGAGGTAGGAGGAGGACATTATTGATAGAAGAACCAAGACCGACAACAATGACTAGACAAGTAAACAAAATGGGTGGATAGCTTTTTTGCCTGGGTTGCTTGCTTGTACGACGAGAATTGTTAGAAATTGTTGGCGCAAAAGTACCTACGTATGTCTTTCTATAGCTTTTTCATATTCAATTCTTCATATTCATACCTACGAAACAATATCCATCCTGCCTTAAGGCCACCGATTCTACTGATGTTGCGTAATGTCGGGTACGGTGGTAGTCCAATCGCAAGGATTGGGCCTGCTCGAAGCGAACGGCTGAACTCCGAATGCCTTGTTGGGTAGGGGTATGCAATTCGAGTCGCGTTCCGCGTTGGGTGATGTCTCTTCCGCCCGTACTGTACAGACCACGTCGAGATCCATTCGACGAGACGTATTGTTTGCGTACCTATGCACGACTAAAACCACCTTAGGGTAGGAACTTACCCCTTTAGCCCATGAACGGGTGCTTTCACGGACGGTGTGCGTCGCGCATCTTCCACTCTACAGTCCGACCAGACTTGCTGGCGTCGGAGGAGATGCCACCTCTCTTACGAGGACGATATCTGCAGACCTTGGATCGACTGGGTTTTATTGTCCATTCTCGCACCAGTAAGACGACGCACGGTAGTACTGTTACAAGAATCTTTGTACAGGGTAAAGGGGGTTGCTTTTGAACTATTTACATTTAGTAGTGACATTCCCCTCGAGACCCAAGATGAGCGTGTAGGTCACGACACCATAGTCTATGCCCTTCTCCCAAAAACGCGTATCCTCTTCACGCCCCCGTCAGGGATGATGGTCATCTTGACGTGCGTCCAGACACGACCTTCTGGGGCGTCCGTGGCCAGGAGAGCTCCATCTTCGAAGATGTGTTCGAGGTCGGCTTTACAAGGCTGCTCGCCCGAGATCAACGGGACCCAATTGGCATCGTCGGCCTTGGGGTCCGCTTCGGTTCCCAGAGCTGCTTTGGCGGCTTCCATCCACAGACCTTCCACCTTGACGGCCCTGGGGAAGTTGCCACGGAAGTCTTTCGTGTCGACGACCACCTTTTCAATCTTCTTGCCCTTCAAACCCAGCCGGACGATGACCCAGTCGACGTGGCCCTTGGTCCTGCTCCTCTTGGTCTCCCACCCGTCGCCCATGTCCTTGCCTCGACCGGGTAGGATGAGGTAAGCCTTTCCGCCGAAATGTTGATCGGAGCACTCGATCGCGACGCCACCGTTCAACGCACTCGCCAGGTCCTCCACCGGTCTCTCGCCGCCACCGGCCGCACTGACAGGTAACGGCGGGGGCACGACTTTGCCGTACACTCTCAGTCTCGCGATACCACCGTCCGGATACTGCTTCAACCTCAGGTGGGTGAATTGTTGACCCGTGACGCCGGGCCCAGAGACCTTCCAGGCCTGACGTTGGCTGGGGCCGCATTTGGAAGGGGGCAGCACTTCCTTCCAGCTCCGAAAGCCTTCCTTTTCTACACCGCTGCCCTCCTCTTGCTCGGGCGTGAGGAAACAGCCGTCCAGACCCGCATACGGTGCCTCGTTGCCGTTGAAGTGAGCGGTGTCCACCTCCACGGCGTCTATCACACCGACGCAGCCCAGCTTTATCACCACCCAGTCATACTCTTTGGGGTTGTGTCTTCGCGTCTCCCAGCCATCGTACCACGCTCCCGTGTGCACAAAGAAGCCTGGTTTGCGGACCGGCGGACCTGCGGTCAGGAGGTTCTCGGCGGACGCGAACCATTCGTCGGAGAATGAGAGGACTTTCGCACCGAGGACGGTTGTGCTTAGGTTCGTCGAGGAGGAGAAGGTAGTGTCGATCAAGGACGCAGGAATGGGTACGGTGGTGATATCTGGGTTGGCCGCTGCCGGTGGGCCTTCCTTGTTCACAGAAGCGTCGGAAATGACCTGTGGTACGATGTTGACTTCCATGATGAGTGTCTGGCTCTTCTGAAACCCAGATATGTCAGAGTCCTCAGGGAAGGGCTACTCCTGCGTGATCGCAGTGCAAGTGTTAGGAGGACAAGAGAATATCAGGGATGTACGTGGTTCGAAGATAGGGAGTGCGAATGGATTCGAGAGGTGTATCCAGTCGAGAAGCTATAGATCTCGTCCGCTTGTCAAATATATGTTAAATCTCCTTGTGGCTTTGGCTTAGGACTACTTGCTCGCACAGGAACCCGATGGCGGAGGACGCCGATGGCAGAATATGCCATGCCTATTGAGGCAATTTGTTAGTGTAGTAGTTTGTTACCCCTCAGGCTCCCCGCTCTGCACGTGACCAGCCTAGTCCCAGCGAAAGTCCCCAAGTGTCAACGCAGAGGGTCCGTTTCCTTCCCTCATGCGCATCATATACTGTACAGAGAAGATCCTTGATCGACTTCTCCATATCCCATATGTCGCTGAAGGTCAAGGTCGGTCTCACAACTTGGCATTTTTAGCTCCAAGACCTAGTTCCCTCTTCGCCCGATCCCGGAGCTCTCTTCTCAACAACTTGCCAATAGCGTTCTTGGGAATCTCATTCACAAACACCACTCCCCCGCGGAGCTGCTTGTACGGTGCCAGCCGTTGCCTGACGTATTCCTTGACCTCATCCTCGCTTATCTCCTTGGGATCGGCGACGATATATGCTCGTGGAAGGTCGGTCCCGGGGTCGTCTGGCATGTTGACTCCGACGACAGCTGCCTCCTGGATTTTTGGGTGCGTGATCAGGAGGTTCTCGATCTCGGCCGGGGCGACTTGGAGACCTTTGTATTTCAATAGTTCCTACGATGACAAAGGGGGTTAGTTTTAGCTGAAGAGTCTGACCTACCTATACCTATGCGGATACATAGACTGGACTTAGGAGACGACTGTGTACATACCTTCTTCCTATCGACAATGTAAAACTTGCCGTTACGCAATACGGCAATATCGCCCGTGCAGAACCACCCATCGTGGAATGCGGCCTTGGTAGCTTCGGGGTTGTTGAAGTAGCCTTGTGTCACGAGCGGACTGCGGACGAGTAACTCGCCTTCTTGTCCTGGTTCGACGTCGTTGAAGTCTTCATCGACCATTCTGGAACTCACCATGTCAGCCACATATACAAGCCAACAAACACGCATCCGAGGCAGAGTCTTACCTCAGCTCCACGTTCTGCAAAATCGGACTGATACTCCCCGTGACGTCGCTCTGACCTCTAGGCATCATGGTAACGGCTCCCGTGGTCTCACTGAGTCCCCAAGTCTGGCCTATGAAGGTCTCTCCCGTGCCCAGCTTCGAATTCGCATGACTCTGTAATTCCCCATCCATTGGAGCAGCCCCAGTAGACGCGGCGTCGACGCTCTTGAAATGGTCCCGTACGTCTGGAGACTTGGATATCCGAAGGTAGATGGATGGAACCGTGTAGAATGCCGTAATCTCAAACTGTTTCACGTACTGCAGGAGTTTCGACCATTCGTACTTGCGCATCCAGACGACAGAGCCACCAGAGTAGAAGGGGAGGATGAGGTATCCGAACAGACCTGCGATGTGGCTGATGGGAAGGTGTGCCAGGGTGCGGTACGGTTTGAGTTCCTTGCCTGCTTCGACTTGCTTCACTGCCCATTCGCGTCCCGGTAATGAGACAAGGTAGGCTTCTTGTACCAGGTTCTCATGAGATAACATCACGCCTGGTGTTTACAGCATCAGAATGAGCAATACGGGGGGTTCAGGGGGTCAAGAGCCGCCGGATGCGAGGTGATTCCATACCTTTAGGTAGACCCGTCGTTCCAGAAGACCACAAGATAGTGATCAGACTCTTTTTCAATGATTCGGGGTCTGTGATCTTCTCCCAATTGAGAGTCTGATCGGATAGAGCATTGACTGTGCTGTCTAAGCTCTGTAGTTTCCGCGATGGACTTGACTCGAGGACCAGGATGCGGTCAACGGGGATATCGCACTCCTTGGCAGCTTGGGCGGCAAGGTCTTTGAATTCTGCGCTGCATATGATGGTACGACTCTTACCGATCTTGATTTGTCGGGCGAGATCTGAGACGGTCGACGACGGACTTGCTGCAGAGTATACACCACCTGCTGCGATGACACCGAAGAATGCGGCGGGCACTAATACCTGACCATAGCTGATCACCGTCACAACATCCTTGCTTGGTCCACTGGCTCCGATTCCGTACCGGTGTCGTAGTCCGTGAGCGATTTTTCCGACGAGACTGCGAAGCTCGGCCTTGGTGAGCTGGTTGGAGGGCTTGTCTGCTTCCAGGTGAAGTATGGTATCATCTTGTGCTACACTGTGTTCGGAGTCTAGATGTTCTTGTGTGAGATTGACACTCCAAGGTGGAAGGATGAGCTTACCAAATAGAAATGTCAGCAAGTCCAGCCTAGGCACGTCGACAAAGGGCTGTGGGCTGGTATTCATATAGATTCTAGCCATTGTATCTGTATTTCTTAGGTCTAAGATCTCCGTTCACGTGGTCCGCCAGATGAAGCAGGCATAAAGGATGTCCGTCAATGAGAGCGGTGAAAACATTCTGATTTGAAGTACCTCCCGGCCCCCATGCGAGTCATGTAGTCCTGACTACTCCATACTCCGTACCTTGTACCCAGTTCCTCGACAGCCGAACTGTGTGGGGTTGAGATGCCAGAGACCGAGGATCTTTCCAGGGCCAATCACGTCGAAGAGGGCGCTCGGCCGTTTTGTTAATAGCTCGTGTGCTGAACCGTGTCTGTGTTCTATTGCCATTCTGTATGAGGGTGACATTTCCATTCAGGAGTTTCCGTAAACAGTTTCTCAATGACAGCAACTTCCGTCTTTCTAAAATGTCTGAACCGGCGTTCAAAGTATTAGCACAACTCGTTCGAAAGCTCATCAATTACCTCAGAACGATGGGCGATGGCCGAGACAAACGCATATCGCGCTCCATCGTCTACGCCATTCTGACTGATGACGAAACTGATCCCCGAAGACGCATCCGAATATGGCGGAATATACTCAAATTTTTCAGACTCTACGGCCTCACTCTTGTTAGACTGCGTCCGGAACTGTTTCGAAAGCTGCGTACGGAGACCTGGGGTCTTTCCACCGATGAATACAAGTCCAGCTTTGTGGACGCTGACTCCCTGGTACCAAAGGGAGACATGGGATATTCCGGCTCTGTAGGGCCCTTCCAGACCACATTCATCATCACGTCTAACTGACACAATACTCCGGCGATAGACATTCTTCACAACGACTGACAACAAATACCTCCTAAAATCCATCCCACGTCAATTCGAGCATTCCTTTTTCCGCGACGACCTGCTCGAACCATATGTCACACACATGCAGACGCACCCCAGGTCCCTCCTGGTCCGAATCACAGATTTCCTCGGCTGGCGGTATAGCAGTATCGGTGGGATTTTGCGACTCGCACCAGCCTACCACCTCGTCATGGAAAACTTGTTGCACGGCCAAGCCGACGACTCCAACTGGCAGACCTTTGACCTGAAACCGATGTCGTATTTCTTTCCAGAGCGCGACATTGCGGGCGGCAGGCTAGCGAGCCAAGCGACAAAGTCCAAACTCGCAGATGATTTCAATGACAAACTCGTCCTCAGCAGGGAACAAGCAGACTCTTTCTTTCAAGCTCTCGAAGCAGACACGGAGCTCCTCGCCAAGCACAACGCCGTGGACTATAGCCTCATGCTCGTTCGGATCCCACGAGATTCGTCGACTCCGATACAGGATGACCCCTTCAGTGATCCGCCGAGTTGGCGAACGGGCGTACCTTCGCAGGATCACAAGTGGCTTCTTCGGGCAGTCATCCTGGACTTCTTCTGGGCAAAGCACAAAGTCCACGCGAAGGCTATGACGTTCTTGATCAAGGCGTGGAACCTGATTGATCGAAAAGGTCCGATGAGTATCACGACTGACGCACCAGAGTATCGAGGGCGCTTTTTGGAGATGTGTAGGGAAATGGTGGAGATCAAGGAGAACGCAGTGGTTGGTGCCTGAGACAAGTACTTCCCACACCGCGGGTCAGTGTGCACTTTGTGTGTGACCGGAAAGCAAATGGGATGGGTTTCGGTGTTTCGATGGAAGAACCCGCCCCTCTCTGGATTTTATATGTTCAGTTTATTAGCAAGCAAGTGCAAAGGCGCAATTCATGCATGGTACATAGCAAAGAGATACCCCTGGGAAGGATTGTTTGTCGTCTGTAGCCTTTTCAAATCAAGTCGTCAATCCCAGAATGTCCAACACGCTCGGGAGCAGATTGTTCTACCATAGACAGACACCGATAGATGAGAGGCCCGCCTCGAAACATCGCGTCAAGCTACACGGGTGAGAATCAACGTGGGAAAACTTGGTTCACCGTACAATTGTGTCGTATGCATAGTACGGTTCAGTGTTCAACTCAAATGCGCAATACATGCCTCTCCGTATCTATCCACCAACCTGGACACCTTGCCATCACTATGACTATTGACCGTGTCTGTAATAATGGTATCGAGATCATCTCGCTACCATCACCGACCAGAGGTCGAGTATTTTTTCCTGAGAAGATCTTCGACGGCTCTCTTTTCCTGAACGCTCATCCCAGCCACACCGCTCTCGATTTGTGATGCATCCGAATTCGATGGTTCAGTTGTTGTTATTGTGGATGGATCCATGCTCGACTCTTGCTGTTGTTCATCGACATGACTATTGATTCCTCGATTTTGGTCCGTCGCCAATTGTTGAGGGCCATTCGACCGTCGGTCATCCGCGGACTGTTTAGACTCTTCTCCAGCCCCGGCACCTATCCCATTCACCAACCCTCGATCCGTCACACCTTCACCAGTCCGGCTGGATCTAGTATTGTCAGGTCTCAAGCCTTCATGGTACGGCTTGTTGAACCGTCCGTCCCGCCACTCTTCGAGACGAAACTTCCAAGCAGCAACCGTGTCCGCCGGGTCGATGGTCTGACCTATCTTCCTTCCTAGTTCCTCGGCGACCTCGTCCCGTTGTCCCGCCTCATAAAAGAGACGCTTCCAATGTTTACCGTCTTCGTCCACCTTCTGCATCTCTCGCTGTCCATTTTCAAGCCTCGACTTGGCGTCAGCTGCACCCTGCATGTCGCCCCTGAGAAGGGCCTCGCGGACTCCTCGCCACGCAAGACGAGACTCCCACGGGTCCTGATCTTCAAGCGGTTCCGTGACCAGCGGAGTCGTCTTCGCCGAGCGAACGTCAAACTTTTCAACCTCCACATCTCTCTTGACGTCGCGGATCACAAATTCCCCATCCCAGTGGCCCGTCACACTGTACAGTGGCTTTTTCTCTTCGTCTCCTTCGCGGTACACTTTTGCGTCGAAGCTGTGTTTCTTGTCCGAACTGGAGAACAACCCTTTACTTGCAAACTCGATGGTCGACGTGTACCCGCTGGTGCAGGGGATGTGGTAAGTTCCCTGTAACTCGGGGTACGGGTTTCCCGTCAGAATTCCCCTGACTTTGACATTGGGTAGCGGAATGAGATAAGTTTCATCGTGTCGAGACAGGTGGAGGGTCGCATGACCAATCTGTTGAATGTTGACGGTTCCATTGAAGGTAATTTCCTGTCTGGTATATCCCTCCGCCTGGACGGTGACCGACGGTGAGCATGTGACGTTCGATCCTTTTGTTTTGGAGGCTGGGAAACCTCGGCGAGTCGAGTCAAACCAAAACACTCACCGAAACGCCATGTTCTTCATTCCATACTCGACAAGCCGTGACCGGAGGATGGTGACTTAAAATTTGTGAGTTCAGCGAGTGTACAAAGGGGTGGGTCATGACCGTACCTGACTTGCTCACTGACCAACCTCGTCGTCCCAACTTCATCTTGCCACTTTGCGAGAAACACTTCTCCCAGGAACGCGTTCAAGGGTTTCTTGACCCCTTCATCCTCGGAGCGACCCGCGTACTGCTGATTCCGTAGGGCCGCAATGAACCACCTCAAGACCAAAAGGGCACGCTCCGCGGGGTCCTCTGATGCGGCGGGCGCCACAAACACCGACGGTCGTTCGGCCCAGAATGCGGGCAATTCAACCGTGGATTTGGTGTCGAGAACGAACGGCGGTGCGGTGATGTTGGACAAGTCTCCTCGGATGACGGAGATGGACTAACACCACGGTACCGACACGTGAGTGACGATGACGACTATTGGGACATCGACGGGAGGAGTTTCGTCGTACTTACGGCTATGAATTCTTTCAATTTCGACCGATTCTCAGGGAGACTGGTTTCTTCCGCCATGGCGTGTTGTTGTTTGAGGACGGTTTGAACTTGGCAGGTTCACCACCGTACACGAGTGCCGGTGGACTCACAAGTTTACGACGAGAGTATTGACGTTTGTACACAAAGGAGATATCAGAGGAAGACAGTCTTCAAGTACACAGGAGGCCCCCAAAGAACGGGAAATCTAGATATATTGTAACTCGTGTTGGGCCTAAAACATCTTTGTCTTTTCGATGTCTAGGATGTCATACTTGTTGTAACATTTCCCCAGGTAAACCATAATACTCGCAAATTCGCACTTCCCAACGAATGGGACAATGCCTCTATGTAACTAGGTATCTACTGCGTGGTCCTGGGTATCTAGGCATTTTGCGTACTTCCGTACCGAAGAACGCAAGGCCGTACCTATTTAGGTGCCCGGGATGATATCATGATGTCGTCAACTCTTTTCACGCCCGAGATCGATCTAATACAATGCCGCCGCAGCACAGCCCGATACACGAAACAATACTCCGTGTCAAATCGTTCTCGCCAGATCGATTCCTTATTGCTCTCCGGTTTCTTGCGAGATGGGCTCGTACGAGATACGAGTACACTTTTCTTTGGGTTGGCGATTACTTTGTCTCGTTCTCGTAATTGGGAAAATATCTATTCTCATCGACCTTCTTTTCTATATTCTCGATGTCATCTTCTATATGCGTCACTGCATCTCGGCCAGCTTTCGTTCTTGCGTACCTTTTTCTCTGTTTCTTTTCGTTCTTCATTCTTCGTAGATCGATGGTGACTCTATATACGTCGTCCAGACACCACCGGTAGAGCGCTCTACCTTACCATGCTATCCTGGCCCAAAATCCCTTTGGGTACCTCCTGACCAACATCTTTCTCAACTCGTCCAGACACAAAAGCCCGATTCCGAAGGTCATGGGTAAGAACCAATGTTCCACGGGGACCTTGTCGCAGCCCAGGTCCGTCAGGCCGGGGACCAGGGTGAAGATCAGGGCGACGACGAGCGCGAACAGCAACGCCGGGAACAGCAACCAGTTTTGTGTGACCTTGTTGAACAACGGCGGGTGCTGGAAGATCGACAGGTGTCTCGTGCGCAGGGCCATGACGTTGAACCACTGCATGACGACCAGGGTGACAAAGTAGACCGAGCTCGCGACGGTGAGGTGGTAGGAGACGTCGTCGGTCGTCATGCCGGCGGGGGTCGGGATGTTTCCAAAGGCGAACCACAAGGACCCAAAAGAGAGACCGTTGCGGGCCAGGTACCAGTAACTCATGGCGAAGGCACTGACGGTCTCGAGGATCCCGACGAGTCCGTAAGCCTGGAGGAGCAGGCGCCAGTCGACGAGACGGTCGGAGTGGACGTCGCGGGGAGGGCGGAGCATGACGTCGGCCTCGGGCGTCTCGTACGCCAGCATCGTCGCCGTCACGCAATCCGTGAAACAACAGATGATGATCATGAGGAAACTGGACAGCACTTGGGGCAGGCCAAACACCACGCTCGTCATGACGGGCCAGAACTCGGCGAACGAGCCGGCAGGCAGCAGGTAGGCAATGGTCTTCTTCAGATTGTCAAACACGACGCGCCCGTACAGCACGGCTTCTGGGATGGCCGAGAACGAGTCCAACAAGACCATATCCGAGGCCTCGATGGCGATGTCGGACCCGGACGACGGCGCGATGCCAATGTCGGCTTGTTTCAGGCTGGGTGCGTCGTTGACGCCGTCGCCCGTCATGGCCACGACGAACCGCCGCGACTGGAATTCGCGCACGATGCGCAGCTTCTGGTCCGGCGTGGTCCGCGAGAAGACAATCTCGGTGTACAGTGTCGTCAGGGCGTGCCATTGGTGCGGGAGTAGCGTTATGAGCTCAGGACCGGTGAGGACGATGGCCTTCTTCTCGGCCGGCAGGAGAGTCGTCTTCGTCGGCGCTCGGGACATGGAGAATCTCGACGACAGAGGCAACTTGGTGCTGCTTTCGACTTCTTGCGGCGGGAAACGAGGTAGGTTTGCCACCGTGTGGACCTGGGCGTCGGGGACGGTGATGATCCCGCACGATCTGGCGATGGCTTGGGCTGTGAGCTTAAAGTCTCCCGTGACCATCATCGTTCGGATCCCTGCTCTGCGGAGCGTTTCGATGACACTGGGTACTTCGTCGCGCGGCGGGTCGACTATGCCGACCAGAGAGATGAGGGTAAGTCCTGAACGAGAGTGCTGGATCGCCTCGGCTTCGAAGTCGTTGCTACTAGGATCCGTTTTGACCATGTCACCATGAAGAGGCTTTCGAGCGATGAGCAGAACACGCTTGCCCTGGCTCGACCACGCATCCTTGGTTGCCTCGATCGAGGCGCGGACGCCTTCATCGAGCTCGTGAACTTCGCCATCCTCCCCAACATATGTAGAACACCGAGGCAAGAGGATGTCTGGGGCACCTTTGATCATCAAGAGCATATCACGCTCAATATTAAAAGCCGCGTTTTCGTCGGTGCCCATGGCCATTGCCGCTGCAGCCACGGAAACGGCAGAAGATACTCGTAAGGCAAATTTGTTTTTCGAATTGAATGCAAGATCGAACCTCTTCCGCCACATGTCTCGAGATTCTGTAACACGGCCTAGGCTTTCTGACAATCTCAAGATAGCCTGGTCGGTGGCATCTGCGATTATCCTCTGTTGAGCGAGAGGGAGGTGAAGTGTAGTCGGGTCGAATTCGCCAGCGTTACACACAGCCGACACAATTCTGAGTTGGTCGAGGGCTTTTTTGCGGCAACCCTCGGATTTTTCGTCAAGGACTTCGTTCACGGCTTCAGTCGCCGTCAGCGTGCTGAAGCCAACCAGGCAGTCTGTGACGACCATCAGATTCTTCGTAAGCGTGCCTGTCTTGTCGGAGAGAAGAACAGAGACCGAGCCGAGGGTCTCTACTGTCTTGAGTGATTTGCAGAGGATATTGTTCTTCTTCATGATATTGGCCGTGATGGTCAGCGATGCTGTCAGAGCAATGGGAAGGCCTTCCGGAACGAATGCGATGGCGACACTGACAATGTCGACAATCAGTGTTGGGACATTGATAAAGTTTGGATGGGCGTGTCGGATGTAGCCAGCCCAGACGGCAATGACTATGATGTTCATTGCGACCATCAGAGAGACAATGATGATGACGAAGCGGAGAACCTCCTTCTGGAGTGTAGTCCGTCCTGTGGATGGCTGACTGGTCAATTTGGCGATATGGCCGAAGACTGTGTTGTCTCCCGTACTGACGACGACGCCGACACCACTTCCAGAAGTACAGTGCGTACCCTGCATACCGATGCATCGAGTCTCCAGGTAATTCTGCTCGGAAGAATCGACAACGGCAGGTAGTGGGAGTGATTCTCCTGTCAAAATACTTCGATCGAATTTGGCGTCTGAAGAAACCTCGACGAAACGGACATCTGCAGGGAGCTTGTTGCCAGCTTTGAAGAAGAGGATATCTCCAGGAACAACCTCTGGGGCTTGGATAGTGTGCCTGCCTCCATCACGCAAGACATTACAGTCCTCTGGCAACATGCCGGTGATGCTGTTCATGACTCGCGATGATGAGAAGTCCTGCCATGCGTTGAATGCGGCCTGGATTGCGAAGACTGCAAACAGTACAATACCGAGTGCCAGGTTTGCTGGTGCAGGTGGTTGGCCTAGAGGTTTCCACGAGATCATGACGAGGATACCGCCAATGAGCAGAATGGACCCGAAGCCGCCAAAGAAGTAGCCAAATATCTTTTGTGCCAATCTTGACGGTGGTGGAGATGGGACATTGCGACCAAATTCAGTCATTTTTTCTTTGACTTCAAAGGCAGATAGGCCAGACTGCAGAGATGTCTTCAGTCGCTTGCAGACCTCTTCAGTGTTGACCATGTGCCACTCAAGACCTTCGATATCTACCTCTTGTTAGCAGGCTGTTGTATCTGGCGCATGGTATCACTGTACCGATGGCAGCTTTCTCTCGCGCATCCTTTGTTTTGGCAGCGGCAGCTTCGTCTGCATTGGCGATCGTATAGCTCAAGGTCCGATATTGAACGGGGAGGGCAAGGGAAGGGTCAATCGTGCGACCACTTCGCACGCTCGATAACGAGTGCACAGAGAATGTGGAATCTCGCCTTCGGAGTTGGCGAGAGGGGCCAGCAGCGCCCATTGCTTCTTCATCGTCGTCGATGTATCGAATGCGACGACTTGCAGCGAGATCGGGAGGAAGGCCCTCATCATCGATTTCTTTGGGAGAGATGATGGCAAAATCCTTCTCCGGGCCACCTTCGAATTCATCTACGACCACCATTTTGACAGCGGTGGGTTGGGAGGGGGAGAGACGCAGAATCAAAGAGTGGGAGACGCCTGTGGAAAGGAGATCAAGGAAGTGATTTTTTCAGGAGCAGCAAGGGGCATCGACTCGCCTTGATATATGGTTACTTAGCCAGCACGTGGGATACTTACTATTTTTGCCATTAACCCTGTCCTGAAGGGCGTCCTCACAGCCATGTATGTGCGTAAATTCTCCTTTCTGGACAAAAGGTACACTCATGAAGCTCCACCACGCCAAAGGAAAACTCGCGTGGGCATGAGGGTTGAAGTCACACTGAGGCCTGCCTGGCCATGCGACGACCAAGTTCGCCCGGACCAGTTGGCAGCAAACAAGCCACCATGAGATTGGATTACGCACAGACTAGCAAGTCTGTTGAACTTGAAACATAGATCAGAAGAGACAATGGGGAAAGGACTCGTACCTCCACAATGGGCAGCATGGAAAATGCCTCAATCTTGACTTCAATTGGAAGGTCAAGGCAAGTAGGTACAGTCGATCAGGCGTGGGATGCGCAGGAGAAGTGCCAGTGGAAGATTGTGGCTATGGCGAGCGACAACATCGATTTCTTTCGCATTTGACTTCAGTAAAATAAAGTCCTGGGGTCCTAGCTTCCGTGGGTCTGAGCAAAATGTCCACGATTGGTGTTTGTCCTGGAAAATCACGCTTACTTCTGCGTATAGCTTTGTGCGAGGCAGATGGGATATCCAGATAAAGGTCGCAGAGATATGACCGACCACCCTGTCGTCCTGCAAGTGGTCCCTTGTTTGTGGAGCGATTTTCGCTTATGCTTGACTCTCGGTATATACTTATTCGAATGGTCTCAAGCAAACTCGGAGGATAGCAGCATGCTCCCTTCTTTCAGTCCTCTCCCTAATCAAGCGCTGCACAGTAAATCCCACATGTTGGCAGCAATGCGCAACCAGTAGGCTATGTTTGGTTACTATGAGGCATTTATCGCGCGGACGTGGGGAGTTCTTGGGAAGGAGTGGCTTTCACCAGCACATCCTATCCACAAGGAGCAATCTTGATGGCCATAAGCTCTTCTCCTGTTGACGGTCTCCAGAACAAGGTGATTGACTGAAAAGCTTGGAGCTAAGATACCTGGGTAATGCAGTCTGTACCCATCCATGAACACCGGTAAGACGGAACCGTGAAAGCTGTGGGGGGGGGGGCACGTCTCTGTCCCCATATTATACAGCTCGTAGGTGCAAAACTTGCAGCGCCGCTATCCAGATCTGGGTGGCAGCGCTGGTGCGGTGAAGAATGAGAATTTCGCCCAGTGTTATATAGTGAGATGGCTGAGCTTTTTTTCTGGTCGAGTTCGCAAGCTACCTGCCTCGGCTCAACCCTGAGGGACTTCTGCTACTGGTCGTCATAAGCACATGGCAGACTGGGAAATACGCCTGTTAAGAACAACAGTATAGCCTTCATCTGGCAAGGAATGCTTTGCCAGCCTCAAAAAGTTGACAAAAGAAATGACACAACCTTGTGGCTTTGAAGCGTAAGTTAGGTAGTTTTGCCAGCAAGACCTCAACCAAGCCATCACGTGACAAGCCCGAAACCAGTCGAGCGAATGGAGGGTTTGATTTGACTTCGGGCTCATCTGAATAGGCGCACCGCTGCATCTCCAGTTTCTCAATCGATATCGGCACGTATATAGACACTCTTGCGCCATATCCAGAGCGGACAACTAGGATTTACATTATCACGAGAAGACTCACAAGCCAGTTTACCCCAAGATACGCCCAAGATGTCAATCACCGATTGATTACCTTGGCGGAGAACAATCCCTTGTTGTTCGTTCATGGCACTCGATAACAATGTACATAGCAGGTTCAACCCCTGCTTCGCCACTCACATGGCAAGCTTGGTCAAGATTGATCAACAACACATAGTATGCGTGTGCCAACGATTTTCTCACGACTTCAGCTCCATGCCCTCCAAGTAATGAAACGAAGGCAGCACCCAGATGGATGGATCCTAACACTGCTCCGAGAAGAATGAAACGATGTTAGCCGATATGTTAGTGGATGAGACTGCTGCAATCACCCTTAGTATAAGGAATCTCTCCTTGGAATTGAAGAGCAGCATGCGCCAAAAACCACGACGAAATGCCAAAGAAAGAGTCCTGGCAGACTTTAGATTCTCGGCCAGGATCGCATGGCAACTCTGAAGTCGAAGGAGCGATCCCGTCCTCTGGTGTGGAACAAGATGCTCAGCCTTCAGGCACACGAAAGCCATGCAAGTATCGGCTGCGTAAAATTAACAATGGTATGCGCTTCAACGGGTCTTTGGGGGAAAAGAAAGGATCAGGGTGTTGCTTGGCGTGTCAAAAGTACAATCTAAAGCCCTACATTGTCTTGCCAGACCTTTACCGCAAGCCTTGGATGGTGAGACTTCCCGAAGCGCAATAGGTGCAATACGGATGCTGGTAAGACTTTGAGAGACCTGTACAGTACGAGGATCAAAGCTGAATGCAAACACGCGGGGACGCGGAAACGCGTCAGGAACCACTGGCTGGGCGTTGCAAGGCTTGTTCGTCAGCCGGTGAAGATCATCTGTGACCCGGACAACTAGGCCGAGCCTCCGTTCGGCTGAACGTGTCGACTTTTTCTCCGCTTGAGAGGTGTGGACAATGAGGAAGGAAACGACAAGTACTGTTCGGAGTAGGGCTCAAAGAGTGGTGTGTACTCGTATCTGGACATGGCGTACGCATGATAAGCATCGTTGGCGAGATCCAGTTTGTACAACCTGGTCGGTCTCGTGAACTGGAGGTCCGATCACCCAGTGGCAAACATGTACAAGGATGTTGTGCAGGGAGTACTTCCGAGGCCCATCACAGCTGAAATTCCCAAGCTCCCAGGTGAAGAGAGATGAGATCTTGATGAAGATTAATTATGGCACTCATGGACAGACTGTCTACACACTTGTGTTCGGGAATCTCTGCATAGTCAGTAGATTTCAACGGGTAGTACCGTAATAGGGTGTTTCAAGATTCTCTTTCCGATGTTTGGTAGGCTGCTCAGGCGCATCAGGCTGCTGGGGCAATGAACCTTGGCGCCCGTGTACTCCGTCAACACGAAACAGATGGCTAGAGCCGGGCGTAAAGGATGATGTGCAGCAGCGGGAAAGACGCGTGGCACCATTTCTGCCGCCCCAGCGTCAGACCAACCGAGCCGTCCTGCACATATGCTGAAATCGCTGGGAGGATGGAGACAATGAGGTCGACAATTGTTGGAGGGAGGGGAGTATGAGGTTAAGACGATGATACGCCGTACTCGGTCACAGATAGGTATGGAGGAAAATCGACGATGCTTAGTAGGGTATGCCGTACACGGCGACGCCTTTGCGTGTATTCCGTACATAAAGCGCCAATCGACGGAGACCAAGAGAAAGCGCGGGTTGTCAGGTCAGAGAGATAAGGACTGTAGGCAACAGTGTGGATGATGGACAGATCAATAATGCAGGGCGAAGGGCGGTCAAGGAGGTGATAAAATACTCTGCAGGTCTATCAGGGTCTATCAAGATACCTAAAAACACGCCTGAGTAGCCTGGAGTAACGCCTAATGCTACGTAGACCCTGGCATTACGAGGGCCTAGCAGCCCATGTGGCCCCCCAACAAGGCCGTTGCTCGGGGCAAGAATTGGCGTTCGCCTTGAGCCTGTTTCGTCTGCGCTGTTGTGTGCCCTGATTCGGCTGTCTCTAATGCGCATGCCACTCACTCACTCATCATTCACTCACCTCTGCGCAGTTGTTCAATCATCCATCCTTTCCCTTCAACAACTCTGACCGACTTCATAATACCTCATCTCGACTTTCGATTCTCATCTTTTAAATACACTTGACTTCGATCCTCCCTCGAGTCTACCTTCAAACTGTGCGTCCAGATCCTTTTCTTCCCTTCGTCTATTACAAGCACGAGAGTCTCAGACCCCCGTGGACGTCTTAGCTAAATCCACATTTAATTGCCCCGAAAAGGCCCTTTTCCTGACCATCATCCCTCAACCTCTTTACACCTTCTCGTCTTTCCATCCATCTACGCGCCCTATCATCGACTTCACCCATCCCCAACCTTGCGAAATCCAAGGTTTCCTTGACTTGACCGTGGTTATTGTTATTACCTAGATTTCTTATCTGACCAATACACCAGCAGCCGCCATGGCTGAGATCCGTCGCAAGCTTGTTATCGTTGGTGATGGTGCCTGCGGAAAGACATGTTTGTTGATGTGAGTATCTATCTTCCTTCTGCAACCCATTCGATCGTATCACTGACCAAGATCTCGATAGTGTCTTCTCCAAGGGAACATTCCCTGAGGTACGCGGCCCTTCCTCCATCCTAATCACCTCACCGGCTCGACGCTCTCTCAGAGATGGCTCAAGAGTCGGTCAATGAACACGATACTGATAAAAGCTTTCAATAGGTCTACGTTCCAACTGTCTTCGAGAACTACGTTGCCGATGTCGAGGTTGATGGAAAACACGTTGAATTGGCCTTATGGGATACGGCTGGTCAGGAAGATTACGATCGTCTTCGACCTTTGTCATACCCTGATTCCCATGTCATCCTGATCTGCTTTGCCATCGACTCTCCTGATTCCCTCGACAACGTTCAAGAGAAGGTACATGATGCTACATTGATAAGTGAATCAACCAAAGCTGACATATCGAAACCCAGTGGATCTCCGAAGTCCTCCATTTCTGCCAGGGCCTTCCCATCATCCTTGTCGGCTGCAAGTGCGATCTGCGACACGACCCCAAGACCATTGAAGAATTGGCCAAGACGTCTCAAAAACCCGTCACACCCGAGCAGGTATGCTATTTCCGTCGTCAGTATGATCCCGTTCACTCGCTAACCATGATGATAGGGTGAGGAAGTTCGTAAGAAGATTGGTGCCTACAAATACCTCGAATGCTCGGCCAAGACAAACCAAGGTGTCCGCGAAGTCTTTGAGTCTGCGACCCGTGCCGCCTTGTTGACCAGAGGAAGGGGCAAGTCCAAGAAGTGCTTGATCTTGTAAACAACCATTGAATAACCTGTGACAAAATCTTGATGGACCCAGTGAGCTCCCCCAAGCTCTATACCAGGATATCACCAACGGGTGCTGTTATCCATCCAACACCACACCTCCCCCTTGTTCTTGCTTCGACCCGGGCCAGGATCGGTGGCTTGATTGTGCTGCTTTGTCGGCGCTGATACATTAGTTTTGTTTTCCTTATCGAGCGAAGGATGGGTTGATGGTTGATTGCAATCACTACGGAGAATTGCACAGAGGCTAAACAATGGGCAATCTCGGATGGTACTACTAGCATGACGGCGTTTCACAGTCGAGACATGTCGAGTCATCATCGAAATAGGAAATCCATACACGGCGTTGTGTCCTGAGGCTTTAGGTTCCGTCTATTCTATGAGCACTAATCTCAATACTCCCGACCACCTGGTACTACACAATTCCTCCCAATAAGCAATGAAAGGGTTTAGACCACCGCTGTATGCTTGCCTGGCCGAGTAGGACCTCATATTGAACCCGAACCAATGACGAAGAGTACGTGCAACTTCTTCAGCTTGACATCATTCACAAGACAAGGCCATTCGGGCTTATGTCCACCAACGGTTGGGAGATTTCAATGCTACCACGCTCCGAATGGCAGTCAGTGTGCCGATTTGATCACTTACGAGTAGCCTTCATCGCGTCTCACGAACACTCGCTGCAGTTTACATGTAGCATTTCACCTCTCATTAGAGCAGCACGTGCCTGTTTCCGCGAGGCTGAGATTCGGCACGTCATGTCACGTGGGCTTGCAGCCTCGTCATGACTGCGAGGAAAGCGATATCCATCCACTCGTTGCAAAGCGATCCTCGTCATGCGCCTGCCGTCCGTGTCGCCGTCAAGAGCGAAGAAGACGCAAGTTACAATTATTCCACGCCCCAGAGATGCCTTTTGAGTCCAGCATGCGTCTCCATCGACACCGTCCTCGATGATGTCTACCCACAGCGGCACGCACCGTGTGATTCCAGCTCAATTGTCTTACCTTGCCATTTACAACCCATCCCTCGGGCCTACCGATGATACCCTTCATGACCAGATCGCCTTTTACTATTCTCGAGAGCCTGAAGAGAGACCTGGCCGCCAGCAGAAGGAAGGAACTGTAGCACAAGAGGATCAGCGTCATGAAGGAGAAGGACAAAACGAAAGGCTACGGCAAGTTGGCCTGGCGCAGGGAATGGTGAATTTTGTGAAGTAGGTAGGCAGCAGCTCAATCATATTCTTCGCCCTCGAGGAGTTCAGAAGTCCTTCCTACCTCAAGGCCGCAATTGTGACAAGCACGTCTGATTTTCGTTTGTGGCAGAAACTTCTCGAGCGAGACACCATTAGAGTCCATAGAGACTGAAAAGGCGCGGGTCGTCCTCAAAGAAGTCGAACCTCAATGGTGGATCCTTGCTTCGATTGATCTCACAAGATTGCCAACAGCTGCAGCTACCCAAAGCATCAGGAAAACGTCGAATCTGGGCAACGATGGAAGATCAAATGAGACCGGAGCTACAGCTCCTATTGAGTATTCGTCGCGAGAGGTAGCCCCATCCCACCTACTTGTCGCTCAGCTAGTTCAAGCATATCGTGGCTTTCTTTTGCACCATGCATCCTCTTTATCCGAACTATGGAAAAAACATGAGAATAACAGACGGCTCTTTTGTGATCAGTTGGACCGATACTGGACTCGGTTTTTCTGGAATTGGGATGTCCTGTTGCATGGGAACCCAGCCGCGGATCTTTACGATGCAGTCAAGCTTTCCGGAGGAGGAGAACTTGGGATGGGAGTGGGCGAGGAAGAATGGGGTAGCGGCGAAAGGGAGGTCCTGGAAGGTTTCGCTAGTCGCACTGAGGGCCTTCTAGATCTCATCGTTGGGCGGTACGGGGATGCTCCTGTCGCAGAACTTGCCGAGCAGGAAGATAATGGGACACAAGCGAAACTTGCAACCACTGATCCTGCACCTTGGCTTGGGAACGATGAAAACCCAAGAGCCCAAGATGGGATCATATTCTCTGGGATCGGCGGTCTTTCGAAACGGTCACTGATCACCGTGTCAAAATGGATGGAGTCTATTTATATGCATGGCGAAGGGGCGTATGGAGTAGGTGACAATCCCACGTCCCGATCAAGGCGCCGGAGAAAGACAAGAAAAGCAAGAAGTAAATCTTCTCAGAATCCAAATCGGAGTCACCAACAGCAAAAAGAAGAAGTCCATCCAAAAATTGCATCACCCAAGTACAAGGCTCCTGATCTCAGACGGAAGGCTATAGAAAACAACGCAGCGCCTCCGGGTATACCGCCGCCTCTGGTCAGTGCGGTGGAACGTTCTTTGAATGAAGCGACCACGAAAGCCAGTGAAATTTCCCAAGAACCAAGTAATCAACACACTGAAAGTTCAAACCAGAACCAAGCGGAATCAGGGTCTTTATTCGGCACAGAAAACATGATAAAGTACCTGAGTCTCGGATATGGGTCAAGCTGGACTTTGAACCCAAAGGGGTTCGGCGCTGGGAAGGACACGGGAGGAGCGACCACTGATACCGAAGATGACACTTCAAAATCGCAAGTCCACCTGGAGGAGCAGCTGCAGGAGGTTGACCCTACTCCTGAAGTCAGCGATGAGGAAACCCCTTTTGTTCAGAGATTGGAACAATCAATCGGAAAATTTCTTGTCGGCCTGTCTGGTGATCTCGAGAACGCTGAGTTTGAAGATGATGGCTCCGCAAGACCCTCCGGACAAGATCAGGACACTGAGCAAGTACCTGCTTCGCCTTCATGGAACAAGTCGAACCGCATCTTCCTGCGAACATTGACAATGGAGATGTCTTCTTTGCGAATTACGCAGTTGATGCATGCAGAAGCAGACCGACCTTCATCAAGACGTAGCAGCACGAACGTCAAGTCGGATTCTGCGGAAGGCAAGACCAGTGCCGCTGCTTCAGTCGACGGTGCACAGCGATCGCCTGTCACACATGAAAAGGTCCAGGTCGCGGTCTACGTCCACCAACCGTTCATTTTTGTTTTCTTGTTCCAGCTACGCACACCAAACCTTACCGTCCCAGGGTTCTATCGGGCGATTCATCATACCTTGGGACCACTTCAAAAAAGCCTCTTACGGAGCACTGATCCTGAAAGATGGAAGGAGCGCGTCAGAGAAGCACTACTACCTCCCTCCGAGTCTTCGGCCCCAGAACAAGCACAGAATGAACCGCCGGAAATTTACGATTTGATCTATGATCCAGCCAAGATGACCTTGCGCTTGTCCATACCGAACATCCCCGTCCCCGGCAGTCTTGCAGCAGAAGGCTTGCACCGCACAAAAGGTAGATCTATCACTGTTTCGGGCTCATGGTACACGCTCGGGATCCCAATCGGGTCATCCACGAGTAATTCAGAGAAGGCAACTTCAGCACTAGTCAAAAGTGATTGGACGCGTGTGGAATCCCTGAACGTGCATACACACATTCTGAATCTTTGGGCTGCCACTCGTTCGGTTCAAGGTACTCGAGGCCAGGGTGCTGATGCCGATGACCTGGAACGTACCGTCAAGACAGCCAGAGGGTGGTGGGTTATGTGGATGAAATGTCGCACTTCCACCGATGTGACATCTGTGGAGGCCAGCTTGGACAAGGAGGCTGTCTTGGTGAGGAGATCACAAGAACGTGGTGGAGGTAGAGACACATCCAGGGCACAATCAGCAGGTAGCGGATCATCAGGGAGATGGCTTCTTCGTGACCAGCCTCGTGCTCGTGACACCGGCGGATCGAGTCAGCATGGGCAAGGACATAGTAGCAGCGGCGGCATCGGCGCGACCAACGCAAAGGGTGTGAGTGAAGGTGTTGGTGTTGATGCGAAGAGATGGGTGGAAGGGTTGATCAAGTTGAATATGTGATTAGCGTGTACGGATATTTGTGGATTGGCTGTGATCAGAACGTTCGACGAGGTCAGTCTCGGTTGATGGACGACAGCATCATTACCTCAAGGGCGTGTTCGAAGCATATCTATCTATGAGCGTATATATTATGATTATGAGTTACCCTCTGGGGTCGTGTCAATCGGTGCGTTTGATGTCGAACATCCAATCGGACTTGGCCACCACGTATGATGATGTAGCTATGCTGCTTACAGTACTTTATTCGATGTCAATCCGTTCTCGGGGACATGCGTATTTGATTTTTTGATCCCCGATGGTGCCGCAAGAGTCAGTCCCTCATCCCCGATGACCGCCCTGCGAGTATTGGGGGCCTTGTATTGTGCTCCGTAACGAGTTCCTGTTTACCGAGATTCTCTCCAAGCGACTTGGCGGGAAAGAAAGTGCGGAGTAATGGAAGTCGGTGAATGTGGTGAATGTGAGAAGAGGAGGGGTTGACGGATGGATGGTGGATAAGAGATCGACCCAGTCGGTTCTGATAAGTACTGTAGATGATCATCCCTCTCGATGACAGAGAGAAAGGGAGAAGAACGTTCGAGAAATACAGGACGTTGTCTGAACATCTGGCTCGATCTTTTTTGTTGACCGTAACTCTTTCACACTCACACACACACATATTTGTATCATCGTATACCTGTTTACATACTTCCAGTACACACAAACACACACACACATCATATCATCAAACAGCACACAATCAATCGCCCGACCCCGAAATTTTTTCAAGGCTAGACATTTCTCAAGAAACAAGAAAGCCGCGCGCCCCAAAAAATGTCAACCACAAGAGGAAGTTGTATGTGTGGTGGTATCAAGTATGAATTCACCGGTGAACCTGCAGTGACTGCCTTGTGTCACTGTATCGATTGTCAAAAGGTAAATCAAGCCCTTATTTTTTTTCGATGTTGATGCCACGGTACTTTTCCTTTTTTTTTGGTAGTATACCATCAAACTCAGAGTCCATTCGTACCCATCATGCCTTGATGGTGACGCTCAGAGTCGATGATGATGGAAATGCTGATTGTTGGGATGAATAAAACAGTGGACAGGAGGAGCATTCACCTCCAACGCCGTCGTACCCAGGACCTCGTTCAAGGTCACCCAAGGTACCCCGTCGTCCTACGACGCCACGGGGGCGTCGGGCAAGATCAACAAACACTTCTTCTGTCCGACTTGCGGGTCGAGCCTGTACACCGAGCTCGAGGTCATGCCGGACGTGACCTGCGTCAAGGCGGGCGGGTTGGACGACGGGAAGGCGGAGTTGGGCAACAAGGTCGACATTGAGTTCTACTGCAAGGACCGGGTCAAGTACCAGAAGGAGGTTTCGAACGCGAAGCAGGAACCCGTCTTCGGTTGAGAGATCCTGGGGGTGTATGACCAGAAGCCAGAGGAAATGTAGCTCCGGATGATTACCATGTCATAGCATACCGCACCACCATACAGCATCACTTGGCAACTCGACAATGCTTCAAGATATTGAGTTGACAAGTAAATTTTCGTCCATGTTCAATCACCCTCTGGGAAGGTGATTCAAACAGGTTCAAGCTCGGATCCATCTTCCAAGTCAGTCGATGAGGTCAAGCTCGTCGTGTAGATTACGCAATTCCGATCCGAGAACTGCCCGTGACCAAGGGAATCGGTGTATCAGAGTGTAAAACTCTCGAAATGTCGTGACGATCCTCGTGGACCGGAGAGTCGTCGAAAGTAACACCGCAAATTCACGGCGGAGGTCGTCGAATAGCGTGACGGAACATGCTGCGGCCGTGAGGATCCAGATCAATGTCGCAACGTCTTCGGCGTCGTCACTGTCGGACCACGACGAGAGCAGGTTCGGTGATGACCCAAGAAGACTGTAAAGCTTGGTGCCGTGGAGCATTGCGGTGCCAGGTTCCGGGTCGAGCTTGTAGCGGATATTGCAGACGTACAGAATGGCCCCCAATCGCAAACACTCACCTCGTCGGAGAAGGGGAGAGTCGTGTCTTGTTGCGCGAGGCAACGACAGGAGTTCATACAACAAAGGTTGGATGGTGTAAACCCAAGAAAAGGAGTCGAGCCAGAAGGAGGTCGTCGTCGTCGTCTCCTGGACAGAAGGGGACTCCTTGTCGACCGTCTCGGTGAGTTGTCGTAACCGGTCAAAGATGGCTTTTGTTATCGCATTCGCGTTGCAACTATGCTGCTGCTGCATGTCACCAATGACCTTGTCGTTGGTCGAGAGTCGCGACAAGTCGGTGAAGATCGGGTTGAGCTTGGTTCTGCCGACGAGAAGATGGTATGGGAGAGGGTAGATTGGTATCGAGTCTTGTTTGAACCGTCCGTTGGTTTCAATCCTACATGCATGATGATCGAGAACTGTTCAGTGTTCGATGAAAACACCGTGGATGGGTAGCTCGAACTTACCAGAATAATCCCAGCCTCAGAGCCGGACATGCATCCAAGGTCTGCTCACCACCTCTGTGTTGCAGGATATGGGAGAGTCCATCCATGTGAGTCTGGAAGAGTACGGCATCTTTGATGAGATTCTGAACAATAACAACAAAAAAGAGGGTCAGTTACCAGCATGATCCGGGCCGAGTGGTGCACACTGCGTGTGTGTTTGAACTCTTACCGCATATGCTGCAGCCGCAAGAACAGCTGTCACGACATCATCGCTCGTACCGGTGACTATATCGTTCAACTTTCGCTGTAGAGCTTGGTTCGAGATCAACGAATACTTTGCGTCGTCGCCCGTGTCGTCTTCACATCTTAGAAAGTGAACCAAATGCCACGCCGAGGCCGACAGCATTTGAGACAGGGCGGTGCTCTCACGGACGAGGTCGATGAAACCAATCGCAATGAGAGCCCGAAACTTTTGGCATGTGCCATCGTAGACTATATGTACAGGTAGCGGTACAACTGATCAGCATCGACCTTCCACATCGGGTAAAACCTGAAGTTGGAACTCGCTTTGCCTACCGTGATCCCAGAGCTGGTGGGCGCGTCGCCCTCCTTGTAGGGCGAAGGTCTCAAAGGGGTCCGTTCGACTCGCGTCAAGGATCGTGGCGGGGCTAGGATGTTGCCGATGCTGAGTGAGCTCAGCATGCGTCGAATCTCGCCTTAAGGGGGGTGCCACGTTCAATTCTACCGTGTTCTGGTGCTTCCGTCTCGAGGTACGTCGTCGGTAATTGGCCTGTGCATGACTATGGACTCGCCTCTGTGTCTCACGGTCCACCCTTCCTGTTCTACTTGATTGAGAGATGAAGGCGAGTAGTGGTTGAACTGACGATTCATGACTGATTGAAGGAGGTTCCGGCATCTTTCCTGGAAAATCTCAATGTTCACTTAAAAGCCCCACGTTGTGATTCTCTGCCCGTCGGTGTCAACACCTTTTGACTATACTTTAGCAAAAACGGCGGATGACCCTGTCAAAGTATATCAGAGGAAAATTCAATACAAAGTATAGCGTAGCACTCCGACGAAGCCAACTGCGTGTGATGACATACATTGTGTCATCTCGCGGTGGTCGATGTTGTCTAGGTACAACCCGGGGGGTGAGAGCAGCACGTCGATGTGACCATAGAACCATTCCTACCATGTACCTGACCAGGAGATGATGTCGCAACAAGGTGTGTTTTACGAGCATGAAGAGCCTGGTCTCTCAAGTCTGACTAATCTGGGCCGCATCCATGTTACAGAAGCGGCAACATTGATTGAAAGAAGCAGGTCACTAGAATAGTTCAGGGAAAGTAAGCGCCTCGTTCTGTAGCTATTGTAGCTTCATGTAAAGCGGCGACGTTGTTGGAGCGGCGAGGAGGATTAAAACAGCTCCCAGGGTCGGACGGATATGCACGTGCAGGGTTGAGATGTTCCTGTTTATGGCTTAGTCCGTCAATTCCATTATATCAGCAGTCTTCCAGTGGCAAGCTGTGTGCCGTTGAGGATAACAGTTGGGTACTAAACGCTGGGCGATGACAAGGAAATAACAAACCTTGAGAAGTTCGATAAGATGCATAAATACCTGATGGATACTTCTAGAGGTGGCGAGAGAACTCTCATCAGAAGAGCAACCACATCTTCATACCATCGCCTTACCACAGAATCCCACCACCAGAGGAACCTCAAAAGTCGACCATCAAGTATAAGAATACTACAGCAACCATGTCATCAATGATGGAAGCCATTGTCATCCCTAAGTTTGGAGGTCCAGAAGTTCTCGAATTTCAACAAGTCTCAAAGCCAGAACCTGCAGTCGGTGAGGTGCTCATCACTGTGAAAGCGTTCGGGATCAACCACGCTGAGATGCACATGCGCAAAGGAGAATGGGACGAATGGAATCCCATCACAGGTCTTGAATGCGTCGGCATCGTCGAAGCCTGTCCCGGAAACGAAATTCCGGTTGGGAGCAAAGTCATCGCACTCATGGGTGGGATGGGCAGAGAACGTCCCGGATCGTATGGTGAATTGGTTACTGTGCCAGTCACTAATGTTACCTCCGTCAAGACAAATTTGCCGTGGGGAGAGCTTGCTGCAATACCAGAGGTGTATTCGACCGCCTATTCGTGTCTTTTCACCGTCTTAGATCTGAAGGCGGGAGAATCGATTCTGATCCGCGGAGCAACATCGACCATTGGCCAAGGAGCCGTCAACCTAGCTGTCAACGCCGGGGCGAAGGTGACAGGAACGACGAGAAGAGAAGGAAGGTTCAAGATGCTGAAAGACATGGGTGTGATGAATGTTGTCCTTGAGCATGATAACCTAGCGAGCGAGTTTCCCGATGGAACCATGTTCGACAAGGTTCTCAATTTGATTGGCAACAGGGTGCTGGTGGAGTCGATAGAGTTTACTCGAGCTGATGGGAGAATGCTTCAAGCTGGATGGCTGGGAGGTTTGGCACCAGTGAAGGACTTCAACCCCATGGTGGAAATGAAGCCAGGGGTGCATTTCAGTCTATTCCACAGCAAGGTTCTGGGGACAGCTGAATTCCCACTTTCAGGAGTTCCACTGCAAGACATCGTGGACAAGATTGAAGCCGAAGCTTGGGTTGCCAAACCCACCTACGTGTTTGACTGGAAGGATATCCGGAAAGCGCATGAGTTACTAGACTCTCACAACGCTGGTGGCAAGATCGTGGCCATACACTGAGACATTGGAGTCGTAGGATAGAACGGAAGTTAGGAGAAAGAATGCCAAGGCGGAAGCAGCACTGCTTCACTACAGCGATAAGTGTTCGAACAGTATTTAATCATTAGTTGAAACGAAATGAGTCGTTCATATGTAGTTCTATGTGACGACAAGGCTGAACAAGGCTGAAGATGTTCTCACGTGCCTCCAATCACGCTGGAATACGAGGGTGCGTTTACTAAGCCCTAAACAGAATAGCGTCACGTCTCGGATCTGCAACAAAGTCGCCCCGAATCTTGCTCGAAACGTTGCGCGTCTCAGAAACAACAGGACGACTGCGTCTCACACAAGTTGGTCTTCTCTTTCGACGACGTCCATAGGTCGGCGGCTGCGAACCAACACTGTATCCCCTTCTCTTTGTTTCCGTTGGCAGCTGTCGAGCTCATCCTGCGGCATCTAGTGTCTTATCATGGCGATCGGACTGAACGAACAGTGAGATCCGGGGGCAATACCATACCCAATATGGGCTCAGGTCACAGCCATAACATGGGACAAGGAGAAAAACCTTCACCTTGCAAGAGCTTATCAGAAGACAAGAATTGTTGTCGATCAGACCATGCCGTCGCTGGCCGTATCCGGGTTCTCTCCCGTCGGGTCATATCAGTCGCAAGAATGCACCCACACGAGACGATGCTAACTTGATCTGCCGCCAACAGTGGCGGCTCTGCTCCTAGTTCTCACTGTTGCTACGAGCTAGAGGATGAGGCTGAATCTTATCACCTGTTATCACTACGGAGTCCGCTTTTCCGGGACAAGACCTAGCAACTCGGGCGTCACCCTGATGCAACATACAGGCATTATCTGAATTTGGGTCGTTCCTCTTCGCCAATCTCTTATCCTATCCCTTGGTTTTCTCTTCTCCAAAGTCGTTCCCCAGGTAGTCTGGCACGTCGTTCTCTTCTTATGTTTGTCGTTCATTTACAATATACAAGGCGGACCGACCACTTCCATTCTTTCGACTGCGAACTTTCACCCTCATTCTACTTTCTCGACGGCGCTGGCGCTGCGCGCTGGACGCTGCCATACCTTCTTTTCTTGCCTACTGTGTTTCCGTCCTTCGTTGGACTTGACATTTCAATTGTTGATCTGCTGGCACCCCTCTGTGCCAGTCGACTCAGAACCTCTCTCTCTACAAGACCAATTCCCACAAGACAAGCCCCAAGCCCAAGTACGACAGATCCGGAGAGCTTATAGCCTCTCAGGATGCGGACAAGAGCAGTTCAAGTGCTCCTCCTTGTTCTCACACTAGTCCTGGCAATATTTCTGCTAGTCGCCGCATCCAAATATGCAGCTTGGAGTCATGTTATGGTCCCGACGAATAGAAGTTGGCTGTAAGTTGACAGTCACCCTCTGCACATTTGGTCTGTCTGAAGACATCTTACCAACTTGTATTGGTGAAGGCCTCTGGTATTCTACGTCGCCTCCATACCACTAGTTTCTCTCCTCTATGCTGTTGTGCATCTCGCCACACTGCAGTTTAACGCGCTTCCTGTCCCCGCGCTTTCTGGTCAACGCAGCAGCATCGACCCCTCGTACGATGCTCAGTACACCGCCAGCACCACATTGTTCATCCTGGCCATTTCGGTTCTGCACTTTCTCGCATGGCTTGCCCAGGCCTCACTATGTACCGGGTGTGAACTTGCACCAATCCTTGCTGGTACTGAGGGCCGAGTCCCACGCTGGTGTCCACAGTCCCGTTTCAGAGACTCTGGTGATCCCAACTTGGCCAATATGCTCGGAACTCTGGCAACTGTCAAGGACTTTATGCAGTGGGTCATGGTCCTCCTTACAATCATGCTGATTGAAAGCGCGAGGCGGGAATACCGCAGTGCTGAGCGTATACGAAGAGAAATGACCCGGCGGGCAGGGACGGGAGTTGATTTTGGAGGGCCAAGGGGAGCTGTCAAGGGCTCGAACTCAATATCACTGACTGCCATCGGCAACAGTATCAGTGGACCTAGGATTCTCACGGCTGCTGAGATCGCTGCCCAACGGAGGATGCAGCAAGAAGAGGAAGATCGGAAGAAAAATCAAGCTGAGCAACAACTTAAACAGGTACAGCTACAGAACGGTCCTGGTGTCCCGAACAACAAGCCTGACAATTATTATGGTAACGGCATGGGCAATGGGCTGAAGAGGACGAAAACGCTCAATCATATGTACGATACGCGGACATAGTGCTGGTTGCTCAGCCTAGTGATTGGACCTGTGGCTGTCAAAGAAGTGTCCTATGTGCTTCGAAATCAGACTTGACTGGGCATTGGCGGCAATGTTCCAGGGTAGAGAAAGTTCCACCTCAAACATTGACGTATTCAGGCATTCATGTCATGACCAGTTGCAGCAAGTTATATCCAAGGTTAGCAGAAATGATGGGCCAAGGCAGACAGAACCTACACAGAACCTTTCATAGCTACCAACACGATGTATAAGGCCCTCGCGTATTTTCAGTCTTCCAATGGGGGACTTGGGTTTTCAATGCTTGAGCGGACAACTGCGCATACATGGGAGGGGTTTGAAAAAACCCCATCAGTGAATACCTTTTATGTCGCCAAACTTCGACTTGAATAACGGGGATTTCACAGTATTCCCTTTCCGTCTTGTTGGATGCGCTCAGACGATCATTCTATTCGTGACCATGGGTTCGGTTGAGGGTATGTCACAAAGGCCAAAGGTTCACCTCAACCAAGGCACAATACTCGGCATTATACAACCAGGGTCGTATCCAGACCCGATCGAAGCATTTCTCGGCATTCCCTACGCTCAGCCGCCGGTAGAAGACCTTCGATTCCGACCACCTGTGAGAATAGAAGCGTCTTCTCAGACATTTGAAGCATCTCGTTATGGCCCGGCCGCACCGGCAAAGCAACTTTTGCAGACCACTGGTCCAGCGCTGGAATACAGTGAGGATTGCCTGACTGTCAATGTCTTCCGTCAGAAGATCCCTCACGTCACGAACGGCCGCTCCCTCCTTCCCGTGGCCGTCTACGTCCACGGAGGCGCTTTCAATCGAGGTACTTCGGCCATGCACAACACTGCCTCCATGGTGGGATGGTCGGAGCAGCCGTTCATCGCCGTCTCATTCAACTATCGAGTCGGCGCCCTTGGCTTCCTCCCGTCCTCGCTCTCCGCGAAAGAGGGGGCTTTAAACCTTGGTCTGAAAGATCAAATCCTATTGTTCCAGTGGGTTCAAGACAACATTGAACATTTTGGAGGTGACAAGAATGATATTACACTCATTGGGCTTTCTGCTGGAGCTCATTCGGTACTTGTGTCCTTTAATCGCTTCGCGCTGACTTTCATGCTAAGACTCGATAGATCGGTCGCCATCTGATGCGACACAACAAACAAAACCCCGGACCTTTTCACCGCGTAATAATAGAATCCGGAGCACCAACGTCCAGAGCAGTAAGGGCATTCGATGCAGAGATCCACGAGGATCAGTTTCGAGAGTTCCTAAAGGAGGTCGGCTGTCCCAATGACTGTCCTGAAAATGAGATTTTCCCCTTTTTACGATCTTTGCCTCTCTCCGTCATATCCGGGGCGCAAAACAAGGTGTTTGATCGCTACAACCCTTCGTTACGTTGGGCTTTTCAACCCGTCGTCGACGGCGAAGTCATCCCCAGTCCACCGATCGAGAGTTGGCGCTCAGGAAATTACTGCAAGGTTCCCATCATGACCGGGTTCAACGGGAATGAAGGTTCGTTATATGTAAACCAAAAAATGTCCAGTGGGAAGCAATTTACGCGGTTCTTCCGGACGCTGCTTCCCGGTCTGACGGACGCCGACATCGAGACGATCTCGACAAAGTTGTACCCAGATCCCGACACTTCTGCGGATCAGACTTTTCAAGAAACGCGACAGAACCTACGAGTTGGCTCACAATACAAACGTCTCGAAGCCGCCTACGGACAGTACGCCTACGTGGCACCAGTGCGGCAGACTGCCCACTTTGCCTCTGATTTTCAAACAGAACCTGTCTTTTTGTACCACTGGGCGTTGCCTACCACCGTCGTGGGAGGTGCAAGTCACGCCGACAACATGCGTTACGAGACCTACGATCCCCAGGTGACGAGCCTGTCCGAGTCCCAGAACGAGATATCGGGATTTTTGCACGCATACGTTACCAGTTTCGTTTGTAATAAAGGAGACCCGAACGCTCTAAGGGGTAGGTTCGCGAGGAGACCAAAGTGGGAGCCGTATCAATCTGGAAAGCAAGACCTCCCCAAAACTATGGTCTTTGGCCGGAATATCAAAGAACTTGTTGGCGGTGCAAACGATGGCCAGGTGGCAGAGTTCTTGTATGATGACTGGGCATTGGAACAGTGTCGGTTCTGGTGGGACAGAGTAGAATTGACTCAACAGTGAATTCGGTGAAGTGGAAATTGCACGGTAGATTTGATCTCAAAGACCCATTGAAAGTCATTGTTGCTCGGCAAGTTCCGCCATGGCTTATTCTTTCCAGACATGTAGAATCGCACGTCGGAGCCAACCAACTCAGTGAAAGTCATTCTTGAACATATCCAACCCGGCCAAGATCTGTTCTCTCCTCCCGGCATCTCTGACCTTGAACTCGGCCCTGAACTGATTCGGACCAAACATGTTGGTCGCTGGGAAATCCCACAGGTCATACTCCAGTGGCTCGCCGGTGGTTTGGTCGATGGGCGCCTTGACGTCGAAAGCCCAAAGCAGCCTCGCGGTAAGTATGAACAACGAATTCTCCGCCAAGTTGTACCCTGCACAGACACGTCGCCCGGCGCCAAAACCCCAGTGGTCGCGGTTTCGGGGGTTTTGCACGTTGATGCACTCGCCAGCCGTCATGTCGTTGGCCGCGGTGCCCAAATATCGATCGGGGTTGAAACGATGAGGCTCCGGGAACATGACCGGGTCAAAGTTCAACGCCCACACGTTGCAGACGATGGCTGTGCCCGAGGGGATAAAGTAGTCTTTGTAGATGACGTCGCCCTATTTTAAACATCGCCATCGACTTACTTAGTATACGAAAGAATCATGATAACAGGCAGAAAGAAGGTGAAATAACTCACAGTACTCAAGTGTTGGAAATGATCATTCGAAGCAGTACGCCATCTCAGTACCTCTTTGACCATGGCACGGATATAAGGGAGACGGTCAAAGTCGTCGAATGTCGGCATCCGGTCACCCACAACTTGATCCAGTTCCTTGTGGGCCTTTTCCACCGTTTCGGGAAACGCGACGAGGCCCAGAATCAAACTGTTGAGAGTAAGTTGGGTGGTATCTAAAGACTGGAATTAGCGAATTTCCAAGTCACAAACGACAAGAGCCGAAAGTCATTGCAGAGCAGGCATACCACTCCCAGCCTCGATCATGGTCCCAGCGACGTACGCCGCCTGGTTCTCAGAGACACCCATCTTTGGGTAATCGACCTCCATGAACTTTTCCGCGAAACAGCCAGTGCGGATGCCCTTGGCCATTTGGTTTTGTAGGTCTTTCCATAACCCGAGCCAAAGTTGTAATTCCTTTTGGTGATACGGCTCGTATTTCCAGCGCCACCATTGCAAAGGTCTCGGCAATCCTTCGAGGACAGGGTACTTGTCGACCATGTGTACTTGTCCGAAGCACTCCGCGAAGATTCCGGTCTCGGTGTAAACGTCATTGAGGACCGGGTCGTCGACGGTGACGATACGTCTGCCGTACGTCGCGTACATGATGACGCTCGTTGAGTACCGTTTGACGTGGTTCCAAAAATTGGCGGGCTCGGTCAACAAGTCGTAGAGGTAACGTCGAGACTCGAGGTCTTGTGAGGGTTTCATGCCGTCTGCCGACTTGACGTTCAAGCAGCGATGCACGATGGCACGAATGTCACGCCACTGTTTTCCGTACGGCTTCGCAGACGACATGTGTGAGCAGTCATCGCGAGGGTGGGGGGGGTTGAGTGCCCTGAACATACCATGAACAGCATACGGTAACCGCCAGATAAAACACCCATGGCGACACGATTGACATTTCTACTTGATGTCAGGGTGCCTTGCCTATCAAAGATTTCCTGGGGAATCTCATTAGCTGTGTTTGCAGCCGGCCTTGGGACCAGACATTGCTCACTTTGACGGCTTCAGGAGAGCTGAGGACTACCCAGCGCTGGGTTCCCATCTGGATCTGGTAGATCTCACCCAACTCCTCAGCCCATTTTACCAGTTGTGACTCGCTCGGGTTGCTCGTCACTTGACCATTGTAGATATGAGAATGACCGCTGAAGAGTCTCGCTCCAGGTGGAGAAGGCGGCGGCCGCAAGCCTTTGGGTATCCTCGACCTTTCTCCTGCAAAGACATGGTAGAGAACGGCAACAACTCCGAGAGAGAACACGAGACTTGAAGCGTAAAACAATGTATGGATGTTATCAGTGGTAGTCCACGTGGAAGCCATGGTGCAAGGAACAGCAAGCAGCTGTACTATCAGGCAAATTCGGTGCCTTGCTCACTCGTGAGGTATTGAGGTACAGTCGGAAGGTCGACAATGATCCCCAATGACACTTACACATTGAGGAGTCGCGAGATCTGAAGCGGCCCACGACCTCGGATCTCCAAAGTCCCAAGCCTCCACTCCAGACTACTCGGTTTGGCGTTTGGAGGTAGTTGACGTTGCTTGTGTTACTGTGAGTTCGAAAACAGTAGCCTGACCCCACATTATACAGAATGGCCAGTTTGTAAGCACAGAGCAAGTGAGGACGGCACGAGTAGTGGGGCTGGCGTTATTTGAGGAGAGGGATGAATAGTAATGTTCACCAGTTGTCCTTCTCGAGAGTCTTGTCGTATATCTCCACGCCATTAGCGAGATGGATCGGGGTAAGAGTCTGGGGAAAGTAGAGGGGAGCCTCAACGTAGGCCTCCTTCAATCCGTCCTTTGTAAGCTCTACCCCGAATTCCCACATCGACCCATCTCCTTCACTCGACTACTAATATGGTTTGATGGGCGGCGGATTGTCATTTAAGCATTCACCCAAGAAGACTTTAAGACTTTCCAAGACTCGTCAGTAACCTTAGATACCTTAGGCAGGTAATTGGCGAAGGCCGAATCCATTTTCATCCCACACGAGTCCCAAGCCACCGGAAGAGTAATGGGTTTTGGCGTCTTGGAACCTTCCTCTACGGAGGTGGTGCAGGGCAGCATTCACCTCTTCGATGACCCGAACGCCTCTGCCGAAAACACCACTCACCTCAAACACAGCAAGGACGGCAAGATCGTTCTAGCTCCTCAGCCATCGGACTCGCCCAATGACATCCTGAACCTACCCCTGTGGCGACGCGATTTGATGTACTGGGTCATCATCATCGGCACCGTCTTCTCTGGCATTCACGGACCCATACTCACTCCCATCACTCTCGAACTTGCAGCCAAATGGGACAAGACCGTCAACGACATCGCCCAGCTGTCGTCGTACCTCCTGCTCGTCATAGGCGCCTGTATCATCTTTTATGGACCGCTGGCCATCAAATATGGCAAACGCATCATATACATATTTGGGACCATCACGCTCGTCGCGGCAGACATCTGGGCCGCCCGCGCAACTACGTACAACAGCATGATGGGTGCGCGGTGCCTGTCTGGCATCGGCCAAGGAGCGTACGAAGCCTTGTCCCTGGCCATGATCCCTGATCTCTTCTTCGTACACGAACGCGGCAGCCGAGTGACGCTGTTCCTCTTGTGCTTGCAGACTGGCGTGTTCTTGGGGGTACCCATCGGAACACAGATCGTCCTGCATTCGGGCATAGAGTGGTGCTTCGGAGGCCTCGCGATCGGGGAGGCAATCATCCTGGTCGCACTGATTTTCTTCGTGCGCGAGCCTGGATTTGGACGGCATCACATTGACCCCCTGGCGCACGTGACTGAAGATGCAATTCTGGACAAGGTGCATGAGGTAGAGTACACCCATGAAGAAGAGAAGGTCAGCAGCAGCCCTGAGGAGCAACAGCAGCGGCCGGCGGAGGCACAGCTGACACGAGGAGGACCGGGTGCCGACGAGGCTCCCAAGACGTACATGCAATGGGTGAATCCGTGGCAAGGGGTCATCGGACACGAAAACATTCTCAAGTCGACCATCCGCACCTTCGCCTTGTCCTTGCATCCGACGATCCTGTGGGCGTCGATCGCAGCTCTGCCCATGGCCTGGTCGGTCGGCATTTCCTTCACGTTGGCCCTGGAGTTGTCACCACCGCCGTACAACTTCAGTCCGACCGGCCTTGCGAACCTGTACATCGCCGCCTGGATTGGCATCACCATCGCCGTGTGTATCGGCATTGCCACCATCGATCCAATCTCCAAATTCATGGCGAGACGCAACCGAAACATCTTCGAACCCGAGTTCCGACTGGTCATGCTCTTCCCCGCCCTCATCATCGCCGGGGTCGGCTTCATCGGCTGGGGTTGGGCGTACACGACGCACGTCCACTGGATCGGCCTGGCGATCTTGTTGCTTCTCGCCAATTGTGGTGCCGTGCTCGGGAACGCCGCCATCATCGGATACGTGGTCGACGCCCACCGCAGCTGGGCAAACGAGTCGCAGGTCGTCTTGTTCGCCTGGAAGAATTTCTACCCATTCACCATGGGTTATTGGTTCGTCCCCTGGTTCATCAAGGACGGCCCCAAAAAGACGTGGGCTGCTGTCGGGGGCATCATTGTCGGCTTGTACTCGCTCGGAGTCATCTTTTATGTTTTTGGTAAAAGGATGAGGGCTTTTTGGCAAAAGAGATCATTCTTGGGTTTCGCCGCGAACTAAAGTCTGAGGTCGTGTGTGACATGTGTGTTGGTAGTACTCGAAAAGGGCAAGGACTGTAACAAATCAGGATGAGAAAACCAGTTCCGAGGCCACTTGCTCGGTCAGGAGGGACTTGGACCATGTGACAAATAAGAATGTTTCCAAAAGGAGCACACGTGGAAATTATAGCCTTGTATCGTATTCAAAGCTGTATCAGTGATGATGAGCCAGTGCCACGGTTGAATACGAGTACAAGGCTAGAATCAGATAGGGGGCACGAAGCGTGGAGCACACCCATTGCTCATTGTCCGTGGCACTTTATCTCACCACGGTTATCAACTTGTCTTGGAAATAGCCCTACAGAATCGTCCAGTCAGGTTGGCCTTCCGGCTACATACCTAGGTACGGAACCGTAACATTGGGACGTTGGCTTGGACGTGGGGTTACTTCCAAAGACAACAAGATAAGGGGGGGAGGAATATCCCGGGGAATTGTAGCTGATGTGACCTTCCCTTTTAGATGTGGCCCATCACCTTACAAACATACACGTTGTGATTAATTATGTTTGTAGCATTTCAATTACGATCTTGCATGCTATGAGTGAATATTTGGACTAATCCAACCAAACCCAATCCCGTCCATAACGCAAAATTCGGGTCTGATATACTTTTGAAATGTCGTTAACCTCAAGTTCATCCTTGTAGTGAATATCCCACATCCCCCGACTTGTTTGCCAAATCAATCAACCGCCGACGCATTCCTTCAGCACGACCACGTTTCGAGTTCGGCACCTTTGAGAAGTCGCACTGATCGATCCAGTCTCGCAGTCCGTGCTGGAGGACGTTCCTCGCACGAAGACTTCCACCCTTGACATGACCGACGCTTCCGTGCAACGTCATACGCTCCTTGTCACCGTCGTACGCGCCGCGATGGAGGATGTTGTTGTTGTAAAAGACAACGTCTCCGGGGCTCATCTGCACACGCAGTTCCCCCGGGAGACCTTTCTCGTAAGGGTCGGCGACACGTTCGGTCTCCGTACGAGCACGTCTGTGAGAACCGGGGACGACGATGAGGCTGTTGTCGTCGTAAAGGGCGAGGTTCCACTGCGTGTGCCATGCCGGTTTGGCAAGTCTCGCGAGCTCCTCTTCGGGGGTGGCCTTGTCTGAAATGTCGTCGCGGTGCCAGCGGAGCTCAAAGTCGTGGTCGGGTCGGACGAGCAGGTTGAACAGCTCCATCACGAGATCGTCGTCTCCGCACTGCAATAGGTCCTTGGTCGGGTTGATGAGGGCGTCGGAGAAGTAAGTGGCCGTGAACAATTCGTGCTCGAGCATCGCCGGATGCATGAGGCCTTGCACGCCCCAGATACCTGCCTCGGCGGGGTTCTGGCCTTCTTTGACGTTCCACGGTGGGAATTGTTTGGGGAGCGTTCGTACATTCGGCCACTGACCTTGTCGAGCGAGGGTGGTCACCCGGTGGCAGGCGTTGCGCAATTTCTCAATCTCTTCAGGTGTCAAGGTTGATCTGATGACTACGAAACCATCACGCTCCAAGGCTTCAACATTGGGAGATTTTGCCATTTCACAGTGACCAAAAATTTTGATGCGGTTCGGGCGTGATAACAAGATAAACGTTGAAGATATATCTTGACGTGGAAGTGTTCCTGAATAAAAGTCACCTCTTACAAAAAGTATTCAGCTTCTCATGTTGCATATGTTGGAGGTATCAATGTGACATTGATGCTCGACGGAAAAGCGCGTTGCCAGATTACGCCTGATGTAACGTCGCAGTTGTAGATCTCAACCGCCGATCAATGACCTATGAAGGTTCAACGAGAACTGTTACGTCTCCATTGTTGGGTTTACCATTCTCATAAATGATATCCTTAGGCGTTGATGCTAGACTTGTTACAGTCGGAAACCACAGCCAAAGCTTATATGTTCATGATCGTGAGCGTAATGGGTGATCAAGCCATTGATGCCATATATGTACATGTAATGGAACAATGGATGATGACCACTTGGAGATAACGATGCAGCAGTGTCCGGGCTGATATCGTTGATATCATGCGCCTCGTTCGAACCAAGCCGTCAAAAGGAGAAGGCAACAGCTCACCGATGTTTCTGTCTTTGGCTCGAATGAGACCTGATAATGCTTGTGAACCCAGCCCAGTATGGTTGAGACAAGTTTGCCTCTACTGATTGTTGGGCCATGACCATTGTTGTTTCCAGTTGCTATCTACGCAACAAAGATTAAGGTCCGGAGTCGACCGAAGTGCTTGAAGCCTCTCCTCCACTTCTGTATCAGCCTCGATGATAGGAATCCTTGGACTCTTCGAAGTAATGCGACATCTCTGTGCCCGAGTTGTGGTAATTGCACTTGACGTAGAAAGGTTCTTTCTCAGGACTGCAATCCAGGATGGTCTTGTAGCAGCCAACATTCTTGGCGACGGAGTCGAGAGATGCCAGCAGTTTCTGGCCCAAGTGTTTCCCTTGATGCTCCTTGGCTATCGAGATCTCCTCAATATGGCCGCACATGCCACGATTGTGAATACTGCGCGTGTATCTTGTTAGATGATGGCAGGGACCTACGTCTCGGGCCCCGAATCGGAAAGGCAGGCTTATCGTCCCAGACTTACAATTTCTTCTCGACAATCAGACTCCCTGTGCCGACAATACGGCCTTCATACTCGATGACAATAAGATAGTAAGTACCTTTCCCTTGCGTGTTCATCTCATCGTATCGCTCATAGAATTCATCCTCCGTAAGATCACCAACCCACGTTAAAACACGTAAACAGTCCAAGAAGCCCTTGGCAAAGTCGGTCCTCTCCAGCGACCGGGCAACATAGCCTTCTGGAAAGGATGTCTTGATATCGTCTGAAATTAACGTGCTGGAAAAGAGACCCTTTGAAGCAGCCATGTTGTCCTTTTCTCATCATGTACCTTAAGGAGGGAGCAAGTTGATCGGGATGCGAGATGAGTGCCGGACGGCTTAAGCGGTCAAGGTGTATAAAAATTGGTAGGTTTGCCGGACGGAACGGCGCTATATTTCCCCGATCCCAGTCAAAACGTCCAGATTTCATGATCGTTTTACTCTGCACAGACAACATGATATATTCGACTATGAGATAAATGTTTCGGGCTGAACGTGTCCTCAGTTGTGGATTTCTTGTACAGAACGTCTCTCGAGATGGCAGACCCTTTGTATGAGCTGTTGAGGCCTCATATTCCCACAACCTCTCCCACCGCAACAAATTCACCAACCTCCAACCCAGAGATATCGAGATACTTGTCGCGTCTGGTGTCTTTACGGTTGAATGACTTGACCACGACCGAGCCTCAGTCCCTGGCTCAGTCGGCTCAGTCGAACCTCGTTTCCATCCAGGCGCTTAGTTCACGCTCACACCGCACCACAACCACCTCATCAGACCAGCTGTCCACACTCCGCACATCACTACCGACATTGACCTCGTCGGTCGACGCCCTCAAAGGCGAAATTCCAGAACTCGACTCGAGCGCGGTCAAGTTCGCTACATTGTACACCCGGTCCAAGGACGAGACAGCGGGTGTCAACAATGCCCTCCTCACTCGTCGACGGGAATCGGCCCTGCTGGCACGCCAAGCCGACAAGGCCCAAGACATTCTCGAATTGCCCTCTTTACTGTCGGCAGCGATCGCATCGGCGAGCGGCAACGCCAACGCCACATCCACCTCCGGTGGTGGTGGTGGTGGTGGTGGTGCAAATTACACCCAGGCACTCGACCTCTTCGCCCACATCAAGCGTCTCCAGATCCTTTACCCAGAATCAGAACTCGTCAAGGGGGTGGTCGCCGACGCCCAAGTCGCCATGAAGGACATGACGAGTAACCTCATCGCCAGTCTCCGGACACAAAACATCCGCCTCGCCGCCGCGATCCGCATGATAGGTTGGCTACGCCGCGTTGCCCCGGAACTCAACACGTCTAACCTCCAAAGAACACATCCCTCCTCCTCCTCCTTCTCCTCCAGGGGGCCAGGCACGACACAGTTCAGCAGCAGCATGTCCTCGTCGCATCAACCTCAATCGACCAACACCGCCACATCCCAAGACGAAGGTCACTTTGGTGCGCTGTTCCTCTGCGCCCGACTCGCCACCTTTCTCGGCATGACTGAAGCTCTCGCCCCGCTTCGCGAACTCGCCGACCAAGAAACACGAGCGAGAAAGCTCGCAAACACATCCACCTCCGCGTCCGCGACGACAAGGGCGGCCGCATCACGTCCTGACCTTAAGACGCGTAAATCGTCCAATTCTGGTGGCGGCTCATACAACCCTCTCGCCGGCCAACAGACCGAGCGTTATCTCAAGCGATACATTGAGATATTCCGTGAACAGTCCTTCGCCACGATGAGTATGTATCGCAACGTCTTTCCAGAAGATGAAGGCGGTGTTGGTGGTGGTGGTGGTGATGAAAACACCAAAACCCCTTCCCCAACCGACAAGGACTCGAGATCTTTGTCACTCTCACTCCCTCCGGCATTACAGTCTTTCCCTCTACACCTGGTGGAAATATTCATGTCAACATTAAAAGAATACCTTCCCAACATTACGGACCCTGCCGTGAGGGAATCTTTGCTCATGCAGGTTCTCTACGCCGCCAACAGCCTTGGTAGATTAGGTGCGGATTTTAGTCTTATGATTGCCACGCTTTATGAGGATGAGGATGAATATGATGAGGAGGAAGACGAAGACGAAGAGGTCGAGCATAAGCAGGAGGAGAATGTCAACGTTTCACCTGTGACCGGAGACGAAGAAGAAGATAAAGAGAGATCCGACCTTCCACATGACAGCAAAACAAAAGACGATGATCCCCAACACGAAGAAGAAGAGAGTGACGAGAATCCAAATCAGACAGACACAAAAGAAGAAGGGAAGTCGTCCGTTCCACCACCGCCACCGGAACCAGAATGGATCGCCGTGATCAAGAAACACCGGGTCCAAGCGGCTAGATTGGAGGCTCTCGCCGCGGGCCAAGATCGGGTCGTGGTGCAAAGGCGAGAGTCGAGCGATGTCGCGGTTCGATGACACACAACAGACCGCGAAGACGACAACTGAAAGGACGAGGGTTTTTCTTTTTCCAATAACGGAAATACTTCAAGATATCTATCTACCTACCTTAGAGTACCCTCAAATATATGCCTAGGTACATGTGTCAAGATTGAATGAGAAATAGAAAGTGTAGAGGCATCTCTCAGATCTCGTGTAGATGATCAGTCAAAAATACTGTACTCGTACGGAGTACCATTATTTGGATTATACCTCTTCGTATCTCCGTCAGCAATGGGTATTCTTGCTGAGACCGATAGAATATGCTGGGAGGGTCATGCCTGTTTACAGTGTCATTATACCTCAGCAAACAAAACTAAACCTGCTCCATTAGCCACGCCATGTGAACCCATACTATCAACACGCTTTGAATGAACACTGCACCAACAGAAAAGTAAGATCTTTGCTTCGTTCCTCCAACACGTTCTTCCTCGCAGGAGTACGGACAACCATGTGTCACTAACCATATGACATGCATGGGATGGTGTGGCGGAAACCTGGCCCTCTACTCGACTACAATCCAAATTTATGCTTCTTGATGCGCGGGAGAACACCAGCCAAGACCAGGATACTCGCGACGATGACGGCCCACAACTTGATATGGAGAGCGTTCTTGTTGAAAGCGGTCTGCGTGGCAGCAGCGATGACGGCCAACATGTAGACTTGCAAGATATATCCTGCTATTCTGTATGCGTTCCGTGGTTGTCAGCATTTCTCTCAGATGTCGACAAAATTTGCCCCCAAACGGCTGGCGAGCAAGGTCATTCTTTCTTACCTGTGGTACTTGTACATTGCCTTTGCATTGTCGACTCCACCAAAGAGCTGGGGAGTATAAAATTGCGCAAACCCAAAAAGCCATTGGATGAAGATGTAAATGTAAGCGACCAGGCCCATCTTGCCGTGGATACTGGTGAATCTGGTCTCTGGGTGCGAGGCCTTGTTCATTTCGATAATCACCAATCCAGCGATCAAACCTGTTGTTGTTGTCGACTCATGTATCAGCAACACAACACGCACGCCCGCGAGATATCCCCTTGACCTCTTTTGCTGGCGAGTACGCCCAACGTTGAAGAAAAAATAAACGTACCTGCTACACCCAACGTGTTGAATACAGAATGTGCATATGATCCACGCATCTTATCTTTCTGTGACGCGGTCGGCTGAAGCACGAGTGTGCCCTGGACGAAGAGGAGGGTGGCCGCCGAGTTCAGCAGAGGATGGTAGGAGAAGAAGATGAAGTCGTTTTGGAAGATGGCGGCCCACACGAGGGCGGCGAGAATCCATATGCCTGCTTGAGCGAGGATTGCTGTAACACCACACACACGCCAAAACGTCAGTCTGTGTTTGTTCATTGCGTTCGTCGGTGCTACCGAGAATAGGTGTGCTTGTAATAATCCCCAGGGTGTCGTCTACGCTTACCGGTGCCCGTGACCAGATTGAACTGTAGCCCTTGTCCTGGCCTTTGCGTGACATCACCTGGACGTCCGAGGAGAGGTTCCTCCTCTTGTAACGCAGGGTTCTGCTCTGGAACTCCGGTTGCCGAAGCCATTTTGTGTTTGATTCCTGTGGTCGTTTTAACAGAGAAGAGTACAAGTACGGGAACGAAGTCCTCGGAGGAGTGAAAGAGGCGAGGAGAGGTGGGAGGCCGAAGAGGTGAGAGAAGAGGAGGAGGATGAGGACGAGGGAGAAGGAACAAGTCGGTATATTATCAGATTATCGTGATCATCGTTTTGGGCCCTTGCAAATCGTCGACATCAATTGCTCGAGACTGCGGAGATGATGCCGCTAGACATGCATGTTGGAGGTCTTCATGGTACTCGTACTGTTTATTAGCTGACCAACATCTGCCGGGGATTGGTTAAAGAAGGCGGCAAGGGAGAAGCTCATGACGCCATCTACGCGCTTTCTTTTATCACCGCTTGAGGCCGATGAGATGCTTACGAATACATATCAATCAATCCACTAATTATCGGGGCTGTTCAGTATATCAACGTGATTTCTCCTGTATATTTTTGGGTAGTCACAATGTCACCATTAGGCTTCATGCCATACTATGGAATCCTCACAGGTCTCTCAAATCGCAGCAGGCACATAATGATGCCAGCAAAAGCGGCTGCCACGGAAACAAAGTCATAAGGCAGGCCTAACCATGCCCCTCCGCCGTGCTCCAAGCCAATGTTAAATAACATGGCGGTGACAGGGTAGGCCATCATAGTGCTGAGAGTTTCTGCCACAGCCATGACGGAGAAGACAGTCCCCTTGTCCTGGTTGCTGACCAAAGCCGCAGCGAGAGCTCGCATGGTCGCAGGAAGACCGGTCGAGAGCGTTTCGATAAACATGCCGATGACCATGATGATCGGGTTTGGTGCAAGCCCTGTAACTGCATAAGCCAGTGCGAGTACGAACAACGATGCCCTGGTCATGACCACATTCTTCTGTAGGACACTGATTGAGAAGCGGCTGTCGATATAGTTGGACATCAGAGGGAGGATCGTCAACAGCATCACGGTTGTCGCCGCCGCCTGAATAGAGTAAAGGAGGGTAGCGTTGGCCAGAGTCCAGCCGTATCTGTCGGACACGTATCGCTGGACCAGGTCGTTCAAGGCGTAGTATATGATCTTGAACGGCAATGTCAATGCCACAAACACCAACCGCCAGTCACTCCAAATCTTCAACACTCTACGGATAGACATTTGCGAATCAGCAAAGGAAAATCCACCCCTCTTTGGCGGTGCTGGTGGTGTTGTCGTCGTCTGCGGCCCTTCTTCATGTTCCGACGTCGTCTCTTCCGCCTCGTCGTTGTGATTTTGCAAGTGCAGTGTCTCCGGTAACGACAAGACCACAATTATGGTGAACCCCAGGATTCCGAGACCCAGGTACACGGGATACCACGGACTCCATCGCATCAAGATGCCTGCGACGAAAGGGCCCAGCATCCTCCCGAGATAGGAAAAGGATGTCGCTCGAAAGAATGCATCTGCGAGTCGGCCTTCGGGACTGATGTCTGACAGAATGCAAACGAAGAGCATCTCCGTGACTATCGTACCTCCAGTGAAGAGGCCAAATGCACCCGATAGCCAGACAGTCCGAAGAGGGAACCGACCGTCTAGCCAGGTGACCGCCGTAATCCATACTTGCATCAAGAAAATGGACGACGCGTTCGCTATGAAAATGTGCCGCCGGCCAATCCTGTCTGCAAGGACCCCAATGGGTATGCTCAATAGTAGGCCAGGGACAGCCTGGGAGACCTCCAACCATCCTTTCAGCGACGACACTTGGGTTTGAACGGGACTGATCTTGCAGAAGGACTCCGGGACCGGGCCATGGGCGGGCAGGTCCGGCCTGGGATGTTTATGGTACCACTGTTTACAGTAGATGTTTTCAAAGACCTCTGTTTGAGCAGGTATCAAGATCTGGAATGCAATGTTGATACAGAACACCAGTGCGTAGAGTTTCCAAAATATCGTCCTCGACGGCGGTGGTTTGTGTGCCGTGTTTTCTGGAGTTGGCTCTTGAAGCAACGGCTGGCTTTCTGTTGATTGCTGCTGCTGCCGTGGTTGTTCATCTTCGGAAATTGTCATGTTGCTGGTTACTTAGGGTGAACAAAAGAAAAAAAAAGTCACATACAAGGGAGAACATTATATGAGTCGAACGCGTTCCATGCTGATAACGTCAGTATATATATATATGTACAAGCTTGGAGTTAGTTGTTGATGAAAAAGTAAGATAACAGGTCGAAATAACGGATGCCTGGCTGATCGAGCTATCTCAGGGTCCTTGAGTTCTGGATGATGGAAGTCGAGGAACCCGAGGACCCCGTCACAGTCAAGCCCCTGGTTTGGTAGCGCGTTAGGCAACACTGTTACAGGTGCTGGGACCAGTCGTATGCCCCGGGGAGGGCTCTCTAGGTGGGGCGGCTTCTGGCATGACTTTATTAACTTGCTACTACATAAGGCCTGAGGGCGTACAATATACGCGCTCTGTACGCATGCCCATTTTCCCTACCTACCTATAGATTGATAAGGCAGTAGTTAGCTAACCACGAAGGATATTCTACCCATTATCTGAGTGCAAACTTGTATCTGCTGAAACTCGAGATCAATTCCTCAAGAAGGACGACAGTGCAGCTCTTCATTGGCACAACACACCTGAACAACCACACATCAGCCCACGTATTGCTAACCTGACTCTCTGAATTGTTACTGTTTGACTACTCGACCTCAAGTTCAAACTCAAGGGCGTTTTGTTCCCTTTGATCCTGAGCAACCCACGTACTATATTTACCCCAGATATTGTGGTGTGTTCCATGCTGACATTCTCATATCTACAATGGTCAAGTAACGAGCAACCCGAGCGAGTCACAACTGGTAAATGGGGCTGAGGAGTTGGGTGAGATCTACCAGATCCAGATGGGAACCCAGCGTTGGGTTGTCCTCAGCTCTCCTGAAGCCGTCAAAGTGAGCAATAACGGAAGTCGGCCGTTCCATCCCACCTGGAAAACTCATTTGCGCGTCAACCCAAACCTCCCCGAGATGGGGCTTCCAGATCTTTTGCGTGCACGACCCCGACGGTGTCTGTGTCGAGTTCTGCGACGTGGTCGCCCAAGAGGCCAGCGGTCCCGGTTCGACACCGCTGGTGCCACTCATGGTGGCGCCGCATACCGCCCGACTTGACAAGAACTTACGGTTCTTCACCGACGTGGTCGGCCTCGACTTCATGTGCGGCGTCCAATCACCCGGACAGGTGTTGAACGCGTGGGAGCCGAGTTCAAGCAATAAACAAACTATCCGCGTGGTGGCACCGGTTCAAAGGTATTTACTAAGAGCATGAAATGGAAGTCCCTTGTATGATTATGCCCTCGTCCGTCTATTTCTGGTCCGAATTCGGGTTGGGCGGACCAATAATTATTCCGAGGGATACGCTACGAGACTCAACAAAGGAACCACATAATTTGACAGCCTCGTTCTCCATTGACAAGAAAAGACCGGATCAGAATCTGACGGCCAACGGTCATGAGCGTGATTCCGATCAATAAAAGACCATTTCGCTCCTACCATTTTTTTTTGAAGTCGGGCTTCTGACGAGTTTGGCCTCTTGTGTCTTTGACTGCTTCCTGATCCCTGGCCACCACCACCTCATGCGACACCCAACTTTTGCTTTTGTTCCAGAAGCCAATCTTTGGCGATACTCTCGTGGGTCGAGAACGACACGCTATCCCCGAACCCTTTCAACCACATGATGAACCGCTCCGACATTCCTATGATGTGGGCGAGGCCAGAAGTGTCCGGGTGCATCAGAATCGGAAAGATGAAGTCCGCAGAGGCGCCTCCTTCGGATGAGTTCTCCCACAGCCACATGAACTTGTCCTTCCACATCTGCTCGACCACGCGAGTCGACACGTAGCCCATGCTGTTCGCCAGGTGGGGCAGGTACTGCAGAGGCATCATGTCCTCGTTGTACCATCCGCACGGGATTTCCACCAGAGGATGCTCGTCGCCCTCGGGATACGACCGCGGCGAGATCTGGGTCGGGTGGAGCCACGAGGAAGCCGGCTTGGAGAAGTCGATGGTCTTGATCGGCGGGTCGCTGGGCGTGAAGTAGGGTTGCGAGTCGTGGTGCATGAGCGACGTGTCGTAGAGGAACTCGTGTTCGCGGAGCAGCTTGACCGTGGTCTCCCGGATGGTGTACATGGGCGCCCGGTAGCCCCGTGGCTTTTTGCCGCCGCACAACTTTGTCGCGACGTCGATGCACTTGAGCAGGACGTCCTTCTCTTGCTCCGCCGTCATCTGATAGATGCCTTCGTGAGAATAACCGTGAAGCCCAATTTCCGCTCCGGATTCGACCACCCGCTGGACTGTCTGCGGAAACGTCTCTATGGTGTGGCCCGGGATGAACCACGTCACCTGGTCTGCAATTCCACACTTCTTGAGCATGTCGAGTAACCGGAGAGCTCCAACCTGACCCGCAAAGATCCCGGAGCTGTAGTCGGCCATGTTGTTGTCCGGGTGGCACCCGGTGCCCAGCCAATGTGACACCGCATCGAAATCGAACGACAAGGCCACTTTGACACGTCGGCGACGGATTTCCACCGGTGGTGGCGGCGTGGGTGGAATTTGCTCGAGGCCCCCTGTCTCCGAAACCAAATATTCGCAATCTGTTGGCATACCAGCATTGACAGGAGCCATGTCTTGAGGACAAGCGCTCGTGACGATGATGAGATCCGTCTGTGCCTCCAAGGTCACATACTGGCCCTTTTCAGAGGTTGGATTTTTGATGTCCAACGCGCCACGGTGATCTATAGCCACATTCATGAACAAGTTCAGGGGGTCAGGGACCCAGTCGTCCGCGATGTCAAAATGTGGAAAGTTATCTTTCAAAGCCTGGTGCATGTTGTCAGTGCAGTTGTCGTGGTATCCATCGAAGCCTTGCATGCGATATCGTTCAGCGTCGCAGGCCGACCAGATGATGTCGTGGACGCCTTTCGTGGTGTCCTCTGTCAAGACGAGCATGGGCTTCCTCCTTGTGCTGTACAACGTGTCCCCCTGAGAAAGTGACACCTTGAGCAAGATGGTCCTTGTATGGACCATGGACAGGAAGTCATTCGCATCCTTGGGGTTAAACGCCCAGAAATCCACCACTTGTTTGCCATGAGTGTTGACAACTTTCACTTGCTGACCCCTCTTGACGGAGAAGGCGACAGCTTTGCGTGCTGGTATGATCCCCATGTTGTTTCAATATCCTGACACTATTATGGTGACGGCTAGAGGCTACAGGCAAAATGCCCAAGAGCCTGAAGTCTGGTTCTTATTTATCATGCCTTTTAGTGCTCACTCAACACCCTCCCAGTCGACCATGCTGCGGACATGAGCGCTTGGGAGTATGCTTTCGTAGATGCGGGGGCCCGTAGTTCCAGCAAAATGGAAATCTTTACATTCCTCGCCGGTTCATGATAAAGCAGGGATACTGTTATCCGTGGAAGAACTCCTGGGTGGAAAAGGTCGATTGAGGTCATCGGATTTGCAAATCGTCAAAATACGGAGTTCACCGTGATCCAGTTCGAGAAAGAGCAGGACTCTGTTTAGTGCTTTGGACTGCCGTACTAAAAGGCGAACGATGACCAGTAGGGGTTTCTGTTGACTAGCCGCCTGAAATCAGGTTATCTCCTTCTGAGGCCTACAAGATCATTGCGGGCCTACGACTCTTTGGCTGAAGCCGCGACCAGCGCGAGGTCATGAGCCTGCCTTCTTTGAAGACCGCCAACAAATGTTTATCAGGCCTGTCCAATACCGTGATGTCTTCCAATGGATTCTCATTGAGTATGAGAAGATCGGCAATGAAACCCGGAGCAACTCGGCCCAACGAATCGTGGTGCTTCATCATGCGCGCTGCGTTCACAGTGGCGCTCTGAAGAATCTCAAGTGGTGTCTGCACAGATCGTCTTAGCACAAACTCTTTCGTTTGTGCAAAATGCATCGGCCCAAGAAGATCAGTGCCAAAGCAAATGGTGACGCCGGCTTCTTTCGCGATCTTTATTGCCTCGAGGCCTCTTTCCAGACTACTCCGAAGTTTCTTTCTCGAACTCTCACTGACGAAACCATGAAACTCCGGCATAGATGCGGCCGCGGACGTCGCCAGGGTAGGAGTCAGATATACTCCTTTCTGTGCCATCATTTGGGCGGTGGCCTTGTCCAGATAATTGCCGTGCTCGATTCCCAAAACGCCATTGCGTATTGCGTGCTGGATGACTTGAGGGGTATATGCATGTGCGGTTGTGAAGGTTCCCGCATTCGATGTCACCGTTGTGATGGCTCTGATTTCCTCGTCCGTAAAGTCGATATCCCCCAACGACCCTCTAGGACTTGAGATAGCGCCTCCTCCCATGATTTTTATAAAGTCTGCCCCAAGTCGTAACTCCTCTCGAGAGAATTTCAAGCACTCTGGTACACCGTCTACGGTCCGACAAGCCAGCTGCCTGCCGCCTCCGCAGCAATCGCTATCATCTCTCCGAGGTCGGTGATCACCAGAGCCTCCGGACTGAGTAAGTTGACGACCCGCGAGGAAAAGACGAGGTCCAGGATGTATCCCGGCCTCAAATGCTTCCTTTAGTGGCAGCAAAGCTCCACCACAGTCTCTGACAGTCGTGAAACCTCGGTCAATCATGGCTTGCCCTACTTCTGGCTGCCTGAGAAGACCTGTCGGCGCCGGATACTGCAGGATCTCATCAAGACTCATGCTTCCTTGCACAGCTGCCAAATGTACGTGGCAGTCCCAGAGGCCGGGCAAAATGTACTTGCCACTCAGATCGACTTCTTCTGCATCCTCTTCAGCGCTCTTCGCATCGGACACTGGCTCTGCAACGGATACGACCAGACCGCCGCTAAGTCGGACTGTGACATTACGCTGAACACTTCCGTCTGAGGGATCAATGACATTTGCTCTCGTCAAGACGTAGGTAGTTTGGCTGGGCAGCTTCCAGGGTGTCACGATGCTTTCCAGATCGAGTGGAACATCATCTTCGACTGCCATCGAGTCCATCTTATCGAAGTGGTGCCTCTGCCTGGTGATACAGGAGAACGTCAAACAATTTCTATCATAGATATCACGAGCTCCAGCGAGGCCTAGTTTCTGGTCACCAGACCTCGCGAAGAGCAATCGCTTCAGAGGAGTGTTCTTGCGTAGGGGAGCTTGAAGGTAGCCTGAATTGCTACGTAAATGCTAGTCAAATACGGTAGAGTATGGCCACCGGACCAGTTGCGCCGTGCTGGACCGTAGAGCCTGGTACAGTTCAGCCTTGCGATCCTCCATTAGCAATGCCCACGTTATAACCACCCCTCTGGGTTCATTCGAAATGACACTTCGACTTCAAGTTCATCTCATGGACTGTCATTAGACATTGGATTGTTCTCGAGGCTCAGGTCTGCTAGCTTATCCTGAGCATTTGAGATCTAGAATCTACTCCATTTGCTCCGCATTCTAATACGCTTGCCAAAAATGAAGAAGAAGAAGGGCACTGGGATTAGTGCCACGGAGAAGAAGGCGAATATGCTGGTGCCCCAAGGAATACCCACATTGGCGTATAAAGGCGAAATGATGAGAGGAAACCTGTGATGAGAATATCAACGTCAGTCCTCTAGAACGTGTCTTCATACACTTACGCTGCTGCAAAACATGACCGCAAGAAGGCTATACCTCGAGTTAGCGCATTTCCCGTTAAAGATCCGGGGAACTAACTATTCGCTGCTACTGCACTGGCAGCATATCTCTGAAAGGTATCGACTAGGTAATTGAGTGCTGCCTGGAAGATGGTAAAGAATCCAACGCCAGTCATGGTGAGGCCGATAACCGGAGCAATCCAGTGGATTCTGATGCAATGTGTCAACAATCGAAATTGAATAGGGTCCTAGATGCTTACTTTGGATCCGCAGTCCAGCCTGTCACAAACATGCCTATCCCAGATCAGTGACCTCTGTTCGGAGTTAGAGTCGGCCGATAAGACTTACCGGCGCTGAAAAGAAACGAGCCAAACATCATCGGCGGTAGACGCAGTTCTGGTGAAGTCTTGCCACCTGATTTACGATTGTAAACAAGCTGGTTGTAGACATTGATACCTGCACCAGTGACTGCGCCCACAAGTATAGCCAAAAAGGGCAACTCTGAAGGGACCTCTTTCCAGTGTCGATGTTGTTCGAAGATGATTGGAATGGCACCTTCATATCTGTAAGTACAATATTTCATCATGAAAGATCATTGCCATGGCACTTACCGAGCTGCATGTACAAGATCCCGTAGCAAAAACTTGCATATAGCGCAACAAGAGCACAAATTGGCGTCAGTAAAAGCTGAAAAGGTCGAACCAAGAACTAGACATGTGAGTATACATTGCGCCATCATAGATTTATGGCCAAGCAACTTACCTTTCTACCTAGCTCTTTGATTGATACATCCCATTCTTCGAACTTGGCATGCAAAGCCCAATTTCCACTCTGGTGGCGCAGTCGGCGCGCTTTGTAGACAAGGAGACGTGGCGGATATGATTCATCCAAGAATATCATGTCAATGACCAAGATGGAAAGCATCATTATACCTGTCAGATATTCTGTCCATCGCCAACCAAGACTCGGCTGAACCACCAAAGCAGCACCAACGATCGGTCCAAAGACTGGTCCTATGACGACAGCCATGGCGTACGATGCTATGGCGATACCTCGTTGAGTCGGAGGGAACAGGTCGCTCAAAACGCCTCCTGTATTGGTGACCGGAGCAGAGGCGAAGAAGCCACAGAAGAACCTGGTGATCATGATGGTCTGAAGGTCCTTGGCCGTTGCGGTGGCAAACGCAAAGCATGCGGCCACAAACATGGGCGGCAGGACAGCATGCTTCCTACCAAAAACCTCGGACAAGGGCGCCCACAATAAAGGGCCAATGCCGAAAGCGAACAGAAACAATGTCGTACCCAAGGTAGCGGTTTGTGTACCAACATTATACTCATCAGCCACCTGCCTCGTGCCGGGACTGTACGCAGCACTGGACCAGGTCGCTGTCATCGTGGTGAGACCATAGAGTCCCGTAGTGATGACTTTTTTCTTCAGTGCCCAGTTGACTGGTCTATATGGGTCATCTGGACCGTCAAAATCCACAAGATCCTCCACGGTCGTTTTCTGATGCTCTAGCGGATGACTAAAATTTCCTATCGGTTGTCGCGTCCGAATCCTGGACAAGATGGTCTCACGTCTAGTGATTGTCCGTGTTAGATTCATGTCGCGCCCTGTGACTCGAGACGGTGAAGCATCTGTGGAGGTCTTTTCACTCCGGCCATCTTCTTCCGGATCTGGGCCGAGGTCACCATATTCAGAGTTTGTGGTCTGGCGAGACAGTTCGCGAGAAAGATTGGCAGAGTCTCGAGTGTCGGTCGGTGACAGTGTCTGTCGACTCTGCACTACCTGGTTTGTTGTGTTGACGTCTGCCATTGTGAATTTTTCGTTATCGAGACATTGTCATGACATTGTTGTTGGAGCCGAAGGAGCGTGTTTATCAATAGGAAAAGGCATCCGATCTCGCCAAAGGTCACTGCGCATCCCGGACGACCTAAAGCCGAAATCCCTCAGTCTGACAGAGTTTGCGAGCGGGTGGATTAGCGCTCACAGCCACAACCCGGAAACCGTCAGACAAAACAAAGAGTCATTTGATGCTCATGTGTCTCGGCAAACGAACCATGTCTTCGCTTCGACGCCTCGCTTTTATTTGCCGGTCTAACCGGCCAACATGCAAAAATCACGGTCTCCTACTCGTACTGGAACATTCCGTATGCGACTGCTCAGAAGAAACGTCTCAATGGTTGATATCGGTTTCTGAAACAAGCTTTTCTAGATTCATGTACGATCAACAGGTCTCAAGCCTTTCCCCAGGTCTGTAGCATCCACAACATGACAGGGACTTGGCCGATGCCGGAGTTTGAACGCCAGCGGCTCCAGTCACAGCAGAGTTCCAATCAATGAAACGAACGCGAATGGTCATCATGGACGCTACACATCCTTGTGCTCTTGTAGGATACTGACGTGGCCTGGCAGCAGTTCCTTGTGAAGATAAGAGATTGACTTCAGGAGATAATGACTGTTTAATCCCTCATTTGCGTGGATGTGCTCCTCAAAAGTTCCATCAGGGTAGCTTGGAGATATCCATGTCGTAAAGCCGACCTCCAAAGCCAATTCCGATGTCATGTGAACGAGGTTGGTAGGATGGTAGGTCGACGATGCTTCAAAGACGAAGAGAAGAGAGACGTTTCGCGCTCCTCGAGGCAAATATTACGACCCCAAGCTTCCCTCTCATCGCATAGGAGCCCAGGTTAAGCTCGCATCTCTGAAAAGGGCAGCACCTCCTGTAGAACACCTGGCCTCAGATTTGCCATACCGTAACTAGCCACAGTAGTTGAAATCTTGCTTTGGTAAAGCTCGATTGATCGTATATAAGGAGAAACACGATGCAAGGCTGAACTGAGCAGCGAATCGTATCGTGAGGCTGCCGATGTCTCATTTCGATTGGGTAATGCGCACATCTTGTCTTGGCCGGCAACCTCCGACTTCGCCTCCACGAGCTTGCAGCGACGTCCTCGAAAGTCATCCAGGTCTTGTTTCAGTTGGTGAAATTGTGCTTGAGAAACAGTTGGTCCCGACAAACGCTCGCTCTGCGTCTCAACACTAAAGTACAAGAATAGAGGAGCGGTTTCGAAAATCGAGAAGGAAGAAAAATGAAGACACGCACAGCCGGTATCCTTGCTCAAGTGGCACGTACAAGCCTTGGTCGAAGCAGAGCACACGAGGCGAAGTGCTTTGCTTCCCAGAGGCACATTTCGGGATCGCGATCGGATCTACCCAGAACCTCGCACGCCGGACAGAGAGCGAAGCTGCGCGATACGAGCGCACAGGCACAGTCTCACTCTCACCCAGTGACCACATGGCACTCACAACGACGACAACGCCACATGTCCAGCACTTCGGGCGTACCACAGGTGCTCGTCAACGACATGGCGAATCAAGAGGTTCTGGTCGACTTTGACGGAACGGCCATGCGTTTCCCCTCCTTCTGGCTCCGCGACCACTGCCCCTGCGCCGACTGCCAACACCCGAGCACTCACCAGCGACAACTCGACACCTTCACCATCGACCCGGAGATCAAAGTGTCCAACGTCGAGCCCACTCCCGAAGGGCTCCAAGTTACGTGGCCCGCCGAACACAAGAGTCTCTACCCGTGGTCGTGGCTCGAGACACACCCTCCCTTCACGCAGTCGTCGTCCAAGTCGTCGTCATCCGCAAGCGCAAAAACTTCCAAACGCGCACCCTCCCGACACTGGACCCCCGTCCTCCCCACGACTTCACCAATGCCAAAGGTCGACTACGGTGCCATCATGTCGTCGTCGAGCCCTCGAGGTCTCGAATCGTTCCTCTCGGCCATCCACGACACGGGTCTCTGTTTCATCCCCGGGACTCCGGCGGATCCGGCGTCGACACAGTCCCTGATCGAGCGCATTGCCCACATCCGAGCCACCCACTACGGAGGCTTCTGGGATTTCACGAGCGAGGTCAACCCGATCGACACGGCCTACACCAACGACCCTTTACCTCCCCACACCGACACGACCTACTTCACCGACCCGGCGGGCCTGCAGCTGTTCCACCTCCTCTCGCACACGTCCATCGCCGACCCCTCCAAGCCGGGCACGGGAGGCGAGTCCACCTTTGTCGACGGCTTCGCCGCCGCCGCCCACCTGTACGACAAATTCCCCCAGCACTACCACTCGCTCGCCACCTACCCCATCAAGTCGGCCGCCCTCGGCGCCCCAGAAGGCTCCTTTTACAACACCGCCTCCAACCTCCAGGGGTACCCCGTCTTTTGTCATTCTTCGCCGAACCCGTCCATTACGTCTCCGTCTCCCTCGACACTGTAGGTACCCGAATTTCCTCCTTCCTGTCATCCTCCCCCCTTTGATTTCCATCCCTTGATGTTCCTTCCATGCTTCCCAAAAACCAAAAGGCACAGGGCCACCAACTAACACATTTCTTTCCGTCATTTAGCGTCCAGATTCGTTGGAATAACCTAGACCGCGACACCCCAACAACACCGACATTTCCAAACCACACGGCCCTGAAGAACTGGTATACCGCGGCGCGCGAGTGGGCCCGCATCCTCGAATCTCCCGAGTTTCTAATCACTGTAAAATTACAGCCTGGTGAACCAGTCATCTTTGATAACTGGCGCGTCTTGCACGGTAGGTTGGGCTTCGAAGGAAAACGCAGAGTCTGCGGCGCGTACGTAGGCATGGACGATTTCAGAGCAAAGTGTAGGAGTCTTGGAATTGAAGCTTGAGTCTATGAATTCCATTTTCGTACGAAGTAGCAACATTTCACTGGCCGTTTAGTCACAAGATTCCTTCTGGTCTACTCTCCATTAATCGACCTTGTTTGACTTGTGACGGCATGTTAGCACTGGCCAATTGTTGCTCAATCCACTCTAGAGAATCTGAGATCCAGGATCTGGTCGCAGCCGTCGATTTCCAAGCTGCCACTCACGCCCAACTTCGTTCCAAGTGCACTTTTTCCATCCAAGATCTTGACAGTGGCCTATCGCAGCAGAGAACGAGCCCTCTAGGTGTCTGACTCTTTCTAGGAGAACGATTTGTACCACTCAACATGCTTGATGTGGTTGAGATACATGTGGTAGACCGTGCACTCCAAGCCCTGATTCTTGTCCAGCTCAGCTCTCTGGTCGGCAATGCTTTGAATTTGCTCGTGGTGGAATGCAACGACGTGGGCATCTAAAGGATCTATTGTTAGCAGGAGTCCACACGTGAAACACGTCAAATGGGTTGTAGCACTTACAACTATTGCGACAATCGTGGAGAGTTGCCAGTTCTTTCTGCAACACAACAAACAACTCAGGGTCATCGCGATCAAGTCGCTTGTCCTCGCTCAATTGTCCTTCCAATTCCTGCAAGTCATTGTTGAGCTGTCTGACGATACGACGGATCCGATCAAGCTGGCCAAGGTGGCGGTTGAGTTGGCCTTCGAGATGCCTCTTGCCCTTGATGTAATCCTGAGTCTCGTCTGCACTACGCTGGCTCTGACGACTTTGAGGACGCGAAGCTAGCACAACATTAGTGATCAGTTCCATGTTCTCGGCGCGTAATCGACTCGCAAGTACCATTTTTTTCTTGTCCGGGTGCGACTGCTGTGTCTGAGTTTGGCTCGCTCCAGGTTGACATCGCCATTTGTGCAGGCTCTTTCGCAGTTTTGTGCTGTCTCATTTTGGATGGAGGGATTGCCTGAGCGAATCGAACTCTTCTCTTTTCCTTCGGTGTACCTGAATTCGATGGTGCGTCCTGAGGAGCAACTTCAGACGATGTTGTAATCGAAGTCGAATTGGCGGTCTCTTGAGGCTCCTGTTGAGGCTCCGAGGTTGGTGAAGGTTCCTGAGTAGTGGTAGGAGGAGAGGAGAGATCCTGTTGTTCTGCTGGAACGTCCCGTGAATGATTGCTCTGCCACTTAGATGTCAGCCGTGAATTCGCCGGTGAGGCGGTATTCACCATCACCGACTGTGCTCTCATCCTCCTCATAGATTGTCGCCAAGAACGGCCTTCTAGGGGCAGCTCCTCTTCTGGTGCTTCGACGTCTCCAGCGGAAGAGGTTGGTTCTTTCATGGTGCCGAGTTGATTTGTTCTTGTCATTCTTTCGAAAGGAGGGCCAGTTCTTTGGATTAAGGAAGTGGACAACAGCTTCCAAGCAGCCGCAGTCAATGGGACACTTGTTGGGTCTCATTCTCCACGGTATAGTGAGCAGTGACTTTCTTTCATGTACCAAAAGATGCAGTCGGTTGTTGATTGTTAGGTACTAATTCCAAGACCAAGATAGCAAACGTCAATGATGAGATGAAAGAAAGAGATAAATTTACAATAGGTACTTCATTCAATTCATGCCACGGCTCGGCACAAATGTGAGGTCAATTGAACCCATCGCCATGGCGATGAAAGCGACAACAGAAAGCGCCGCCGCCTGTGCATCGAAGGAAGCTGAGATTCTGTCTGTCAAACAATCGGCAAGAACATCTCTGAAGACGACGTTATCAAGCCCAACCAGCCAAAGTCCAGCTAGTTCTCTCGGTGCTTTTCGCAGTGGTGAGCCGTTGGGAAGTGACCGAAGAATCCAGGTCTCGATGAGCTCCTGCCAGACCCTGCGAAAGAAACTTCTCTCTTTCGATCTCGACAAATGACTTTGCCTTCAAGCTTGCTACCAGACTTGCGCCAGTCCAGGCTCCCAGAGAGCTCACCTCCCGCACGGTTATAGGCACAGCAGTCGACGCATCCCTAGACTTTTGTTTTGAGAGCCGCTCCTCCACAAAGTCCCCTGCTACCGGAATAGTGATATCGTGTCGAGCCTCCGCCATTACAGCTCGACCCTGAGCAAGCTCTGTGAGTCCACTCCTCTTAGCATCAAAGTGCTTGCCCCTGACAGCCGTCCAGCCATGTTGAGAAATGGTGGATTGGGCTTCGTGCAATATCAGTCCAGACAGTCCTGCGATCCTGGCCCCGCGGCCGACGAAGATAATCCTCGGTAGACATATGGCGCGTACATCTGGAGGTAAATCGAGGAGTGTTCGATACAAGACTTGGCTGATTGACTGTTCATGGTCGTCCGGACAATCTTCATTCTGTTGACCTATCAGACTTTCCACACACGCCTGGTGAAGTGCTGCACAAGATATGGATACACGGCGATGGGATGAGCTTGTAGGCCAATCGATGACGATGTTATCTCCTCCTGCTTTTGGTGCCGGTTGTTCTACCAAACCAAGACCTGCAATTCCCTCAGTCAATTCGTCTTCAGTGGCTCGAACCAAGGCATGACAGCTGCCAGCACGGTCGATGAAGTCTTCTACAAAGTCAAAGTCAAACACCAAATCGTCTTGTGCCGAATGCTTTTGTCCTTTTCTGACACCGTCCAACACTGTCGCAATTCTGCAAGTCAGAGCTTTCATAGCCCGTACAGTCCGCCGCATGTGAATTTCTCGATATTCATAAATTGCCGTTACAACCGTTTCCTCCCAGCCAATCTCAACGACCAGACCTGAGCGCAGGCCCGAGCCAGCGATCGTCATTGTGGGGGTGGGCAGGAGGGTGATGGACGAGTACTTCCAGCGCTCAAATAGTAATGTCAAGATGGTGGAAAGAACTGGATGCGGTACCAGAGAGGGCAAAACAAGGATCATCCTCGCGCTTCCAGCATCAACCAGTAGATGTTTTGTGTATGCCTCTCTAACTGCTCGTTCCAGCTTATCATCCAGCAAACCCAAGTTCACATCCTTCACGTCGCTTGTCCATAACTCGTAGTCCTTGCATCGAGCTTGTATATTTTCCTCTCTTCTCTTGTAGCTCGTCAAATGCGTGCGATAATCCCCTAAACGTCTGGAGTTCTGAGGGGTAAATGCGATTGTGCATTGAGGGCCGCTCTCTCCTTGAAAACCTGCGCTGAGTTCCCGTGGATTGAGTTCGATGATGATAGGGTCTTCCTCGGCTCGAAAAAATGAGGAACCGGGGGAGGATTGGACCGAGGAGATGTAACGGCTTGGAGTGTGAGGTGAGCCGGATTGTTGTCTTTCGCGCAGGCCAGGTCGAATGGCGGAGGCGACTGTAGATGCCATGGCTCTCCTCTCCGTCTCTCTCTTGTCTTTGCTCTGCCTCCGTCGCCTCCACCAATCGTACTCACTTGCTGATCGTCTTGAGCACTCTTTACCCAGCAGAAGGCATGGTGAGTGCGTTGGACAAAGAAACCAGAGAGTCTTTTAGGGGATACTATCTATTCTCGAAGTCGTCTCTAGAGTCACGTGTAAGGCTACTGATCGGGCCATGGAAAATCAATGATCATTGGTTCCCTCACAAGAGTCTCCAAAACAAACCCCGGAACGTCAGGCCATGTTACGGATACCCAATATTTCAATCCTACCGGTCCTAAATACTACGTTCTTCGTTGTCAATTTATTCTTTTTCTTTTCCGTAACCTAAGCAACACTCAAACCGACATGGACAAAATCATTCTCAAGAATCTCAAATTCGACCTGGCGGTAGGCTTTGATGCCTGGCGCCGGTACGGTAAACCACAGCCTGTTTCTGTCAATCTCGAGATTCACCCGAGGTCAAACTTCGAAGCTGCTGCGGCTCAGGACGACGTCAGTCTGTCTCTGGACTATGGCAAGCTATACAAGAGTATCGCTGCAACCCTGGCAAATTCAGGACCCCATCAGACCATCCACGTCCTGATCGACCAACTGGCTCAACTCATGCCTGAGTACGCATTTCTCGACATCGACATCCTGTTTCCCAAGGCACTCTTACAAGTGAACGGAGGACTCTTGTACCGCCTCCAGGTCGACAACTCCACACTCGGAGTCATGACACCTAGCTTGACACTTGATGTCAAGGGTATCGCGTGCAGCTGCATCATTGGTGTCAATCCTCATGAACGACTCTACAAGCAATCATTGTCCATGGATATAAGCTTCCCAGTGATAACAACCGCTCTTGGTCCCGAGCCAACTGAAACGCATTACACTGCTGAGCTACACGACATGGTCGATGAAATCATTGAGGTATATTCCAATACGCTACGCCACATTCCAATTCGCTAACACATGCATCCACAGCGGGTAAAAGGGTCATCGTATCATACAATCGAGGCTCTTGCATCTGCAGTAGCACAAGTTGTTACCCTGAATTACGGCCACACAGTTGCCAAAGTCCGCATTGAGAAACCTAGTGCCATTGCCACAATCGAGGCTGCCGCCGTAGAGATCACCAGAAGCAAAACCTTCTTCGAGAATAAGGATTTTTGGAAGGTCAAGAGACCTTGATCAGGACCATCAGGGGTCAATTTCCAATCAGGTCCACTATGCTCACTCGTCTCCGCCGTGCTTGCGATGAGTTAAGTCCACCTTTCGGGCTTGGTTCGCCATCGACTTCCCTCCACGTCCCAGGAAGACTGTCTCGAGGCAAAGCCTGGACGTGTCTAGCCGAAAAGCTCGTGTTGAGGCCAGTTGTGAGCTCGGGAGGTATGTGAATTGCACTATTCCCCGCAATACTTGTCAAAGCACTAGCTGAAGTCTGCTTGGCCTGGTTTGCAGTTATATAAGGCGCGAAGAAACTTTCGATCGACCGCTTGGGACTTGTAGGGATGCCGTCCTCTGAATCTTCGTTTGGATTGAGCACCTTTTCGGTGCAGAGTCTTTGTTCTCGTCTCCTCCTGTTCCTCTTTATTACCGATTCCGACTTACCTTCGGGATGTGGAAGGCTTAAGTCTCCAGCGGGTTGCTTTTCCGTACTCTCTTTACTCGGCTGCATAGAAGAAGATTTCAGGGCAACACGTTCATCGACAGCTTTCTTCCGCGATGGAGTGTTCGGGATGTTTCTGAGAGGATTGGCTGGAACATCCAATTGGTGGTTACTCTTGTTGACCTTGAAAAAGTCATGCATGGTCGGTGGACTAGCTAGCAGTCTCTGGCTAGGTATCAACTTCGGCGGCGGTGAGAGGCCTGTGGTTGTGTCACCACTGTCCTGGCCACGAAGAGAAGAAGCACCAAGTCTCGTGTTTCTTGATGTTACTGGCTGGCTGCATGGTTTCGAAGCAGACATGTAATTCAGAATTGCCCCCGTTGGCATGACACTTGCTGCTTTCGACTTAGTCTCATTTTTTTTCTTGCATTTCCGAGCCGCAAACTTCTTGGGATCGTTCGCAGCTTCTTCTTGTAACCGACGCCATTCTTGCAGATGATCTCGAGCGCCGGCATCTACTATCATTTCGGCAATCCAGACCTTCTCTGGTGCATCTGGTAGCCAAGGCGGCACTTTTCTCTTCTTTGATGGACTTGGTGGAGCTGCCTCGGCCTCTTCATCATTGTCAACTTCGAGTAAGCCCTGGCCTTCATCATCTGCGGTCAGACTTTCAAGATACTCCGGACTGTCTTTCTCCGCACCCAGGTCGATCCCGACAACCTCTGATGGGATCATAGTTACTCTGAGCTCGGGAATTCCATCGGTTATGAAATGTTTCCTGCGCTCGGTGATCTGATCCGCTGAGTGAATCCCACTTTGTTGCGTGCGTAGTAATCTGTTTGCAAGGAGCGCCGGTGCTATTACCCTCACAAATTTCCAGGCTCCTGGCTTGAAATCCCATTCGAACATCTCTCGGACATATTCTCGCATAGCTAGAATATCAACTTCGGATTCCCATGCCTGCTGCCACTTTCTTTCCAGGTTCAGCAATTCGGCCTCGGGCGTCACAGCAGGGTTTAGATAGTAATTCAGTATTCTGCGGTTGGGAAACGTCTCTGGGATCTTGACCAACTTCCTTTTCATCTTGAAGTAGCCACTCTCATTCGTTTCAAGCTCGTATTGAAGACGTTCCCGCCATTCCTTGACACCATCCTCATCAGCCTTGCGCACCAAGTCGAGGAGGTCGCCTCCAAAGCCAGCCCGTGCAATCTCACATGCCAAAGTCGAACCAACTCCGGCGACACCAGCTTCATCATAGTCACCACCACTCAATAAAGCCACCAAGATCATCCCGTCAGGATCCAAACCAGAAAGAGATTTAATCCTGAGATGGTCAAGGACACTGACATGCGTAGGCGACTTGTTATGCTTGGAAGCCTCCTTCGACCAGTCTCTCAACGTTAGAGTTGAGCCAAACATGATTGCATCCACATCCTGGCTCATGACGGCGTCAACTAGACCTTTGCTCTGTAGCATTGCACACTCAGCTTCAGCTTCACCCGGAGCAGTGTGGTATGGAAATCGGAACGCTTGGATCAACTTCTTCGACATTTCGTTCGAGATGCATGTGCCATATCGAGATACTGTTCGTCCCCGCTTAGTGAGGGGCTTGTTCTTGCCATCATAGACAAACACTGGGTCGATGGGGAGAGCAAGTAGTTTAACAAGCCGGTAGAAAAGGGTCCTCAAGGCAGGATTCTTCCCGCCTTGGCCGGATTGAGTCTGGAAATTCCATATTGCTGCATCAATGGCTATTCGAAGTGGTCGCTTCGATTTCTCAAGATGCTCAATGGCGAGCTTCGCTAATGCAATTCGCTCGCCCTTGCCGATCTCCTTGAAGATGCTGCGAAACAGTCAGCAGTGGTTCGATCGAAAGTCAAAATAATTCTCTTGACTTGCCCTGGGATCCCCATCGGTTACTATATCATCATTGTCCTCAGTCAGGATCTGACCATCATTAACGCAGCTTCGCCACTGTTCTGTAACAGTCCAGTGTTTTGTTGACGCGCTGAGGAATGTGTCGGCGGAACTTCGGTGAAATGGGAAGTCGCGAGGTCACGTGCCAAGAACGATCATTCCATCTCCGGAGAGCATCTTTGGCTGATCTGTTCCCTCCGGATTGCTCATCAAATCTAACATTCAGGAACTGCTTGAAAACGACATGGATCCTGACAGTGAAGGCCACAAGGACGGAGGAGCATCGGCAAAAGGGTAAAAATGCTACTACATTGAACGTTATAATTGTCTCTGACGTGGACAGAACTCAGTCGAGGACTTCTCCTAAACCAGCTCCGACCAGGTTCTATCTGCCTTTGAACATTGCTTTCTATCTATGCTTCGCTTCTCATCTGCTGGCGGCCCTCTATGCACCCATTCAAGACTGCGATGAGACGTTCAATTATTGGGAGCCTCTACACTACCTGACTCATGGCTACGGCCTCCAAACATGGGAGTACTCTCCGGAGTTCAGTATACGAAGCTGGGCGTATATTGTCATTCATGCTATCCCGGCGAAGATAGCAGGCTTCGTCGGACGAGGCAAGACTTTCGAGTTCTATGCTCTGCGGGTCGTTCTAGCCTTTGTCTGTGCGGCGACTGAAGTCAGATTGTACTCAGCCATATCCCGCGTCCTCAACCCGAGAATAGGGGTTATCTTCTTGATGATCGTCGCCTTCAGCCCAGGCTTCTTCTATGCCTCATCTGCATTCGTGCCTTCGAGCTTTGCTATGTACACCTCTGCTCTTGGCCTCACCTCCTTCATGGACTGGCATGGTGGGCCAAGAACCGCATCTGGCATTATGTGGTTTGGCATTGGTGCCTTGCTAGGATGGCCTTTTGCGGGTGCCCTCATCATACCTTTTGTGATCGAGGAATGGGTGACCACTTTGGTCAGTCAAGCAGATGTCTTTGAAACATTCCGGCGATATCTTGATGGGATTGTTCGCTGTCTGATCGCCCTGGCTCTTCAAGTCGGCATTGATGCTTTCTTCTTCCACAGCCCTGTCATCGTGCCATGGCGTATTGTGGCGTACAACGTCTTTGGCGGTAAAGACCGTGGGCCAGATATCTTTGGGACAGAACCTTGGGACTACTACTTTCGCAACCTTCTCCTTAACTTCAACTTGTGGTTTCTACTTGCACTCGTCGCAGGACCTCTGCACTTGGTGCAATGTCTTATATTCAAGCAACAGATAACGAACCAACCACTCATTCGGACACTCACCTTTCTCTCACCTTTTTATCTGTGGCTCAGCATCTTCACACTGCAGCCCCACAAAGAAGAGAGATTCATGTTCCCAGCATACCCCTTCCTTGCTCTAAACGCAGCTATAGCCTTTCATTCATTGTTGATATGGGTTGGATCGCCAAACTCAATCATCTTTGGGAGAATTCCAGCCAAAATCAAGCTTGCTGCGGTGCTGCCGTTCGTGTTCCTGGCCATCAATATCGGCCTTTTACGTATCATTGGAACTGTCACAGCATACCGTGCACCCCTCCAGGTATATGATCCTCTTCAACGATCCACTGTAACACAAAACGGGAGCACAGTATGTTTCGGCAAGGAGTGGTACCGCCTCCCATCTTCACACTTTCTACCCGATCCTATCCACGCAAAATTCATCAAGAGTGAATTTGATGGACTTCTGCCTGGCGAGTATCACGAGGGCAAGGTTGGCTTTGGCCTATTCCCTGGAACCTGGCTGATGCCATCCGGCATGAACGATCGCAACGAAGAAGATATGGGCAAATATATCGATGTTCAACATTGTACCTACTTGGTCGACTCATACATGCCGGGGATGAAAGTGACGGAACATGAACCATTGTATGCTTTGGATGGGAATTGGGAGCGCGTCATATGTCTGCCGTTCCTAGATGCATCCCGCACTGGCTTAATAGCTCGAACAATCTGGCTACCCGATCTTCCGTTGATTCCTGAAAGATATCGACGGCATTGGGGAGAACACTGTCTTCTTAGACGAAAAGACGCCTAAATCTGTGTAACAGAGAAGCAACAAAAGCGGGAATAGAAGTTGACCACGAACTGAGTCACCAAGGTTCTTACGTCGTCCTATTAGAAGGGCTTATCTATGGAAGAGCCCTGAATCGTCTCCCGTGTTCATCCTCGCGGTGACTTTCCACCAGCATTTGCGGAGAAATCCCCACGCCATTCTCAATGGGGCAAATCTGTCCCAGCGACGCTTGACAACGATGATTGGACTATCTCGAACGACGCTGTGCATCAGTGGTCGATGATAAGAGATGCAGGGCCCATTGCGATAACAGGATCCGAGCTGGAACGTCCAAGCCCAGCATGAACATTCCCTGTTGTTCGGTAAATTTGCGAGTTTGAATACAGACATCAAATCCTGGACAGTTCCATATAACCGGCACTATCCTCGCCGCTGTCCCTTCCAGAGTTCTTATTGAACAAGTCCATTCATTCAGACAGTCCTGTCCGCCATAATGGACCCACGAACGCTCAAGCGGTCATTAGCAGACCTCGTCGCCCGGTCTCAACCATATATCCAAAAAGTTAACAGTCATGTCCAAGCATCACGGCATCATTGCTCATCCTTCTCCAAATCCGCCCAGCATCAAGTCGAAAAGCTTCTCGAGGAATTTCGTGGCAAGGAAATCCTTCCTGCCGTCCTTCTACTTATTTTCCTCGTACTCGGCCTATCTTCGTACCTTCGTAGCCGACGCAAGCGCAATAACACACGTCCATCAACACCTACCATTGAAAAAGCGTCCTCACCTTTCGCCAAACCCACCCGCAAGCCGGGAACATGGGAACCCTCCTCCTTCACCCGCCCAACTCCTCCCCCCTACCCAAACTGGTCCATAACAGAAACGAAGCCCCTACCCTATCGGCCATTCAGATACGGCCCCAAGTACTTTGTGACCATGGGGCTTCGCAACGTCAATTACGACGATTGGATCGAGCTCGACAACCACTACCCGCGCTTCCACGACGACAAGGCACGGCGCATCATCGAACGCGGTCCCAAATGCTGCAGGACCTCTCCAGAAGCCCTCCCCGCGGCTCTCGAACTTCTCGACGAGCTGGCTTCGTACCTGCCCGCGCGCTACCCGACCCTGTATAAACGCACGGAGACGGGGATCTTGAACCTCTGGTCGAACGAACACATCGACACCACGTCCCGGCCGCTGCCAGAAGACCCGATGCAGTCCTGCGCCCGACTCACCCAGGACGACCTGGCCATCATGATCGAGCGCCCCGACGGCCAATACTACCTCCTCGCCGGCGCCATCCTGCTCGCCGGGTTCTGGAGGCTCGAGGACAAGATAGGCATGCCCCTGTCCGAGATCCACACGTCGGGCGACGTGCCCCAGTTCCGCGAGAAGCTCGAAAAGGGCATGATGAACTTCTTCCGCCGGCTGAAGCCGGAGGAGCTCGTCGCGCGCAACAACTACTTCCTCCAGGTCGACGACGAGCTCGCGTGGAGCCACTCGATCGGCTCCGAGGACAGCGACGGCATCAGCTGGAACACGGCCGAGAAGAACCGGGCCATCGAGCACCACTTCTTCCGGTCCGAGCGGCAGACGCTGCGCCGCCTGCCCAAGTCCGGCGGCGTCGTCTTCACCATCCGCACCTACTTCCACCCCGTCACCGAGATCGCCGGCGAGGACTACGTGCCCGGCCGGCTCGCCAGCGCCGTCCGGAGCTGGGGCTCCGACGTGTCGCGGTACAAGGGCAAGGAAAAGTACGCCGACGTCCTGCTGGAGTACCTGGACGGGAAGCACAAGGAGCAACTCGACAGGGGGTTGAAGTTGGAGGAGGAAGACGACAAGAGAAGTTACCCTTGGTGATCACATGTGCATGCAATGCTTCGCTTTGACTTGGATCACCATTGGTTAGGGGCTAGCTTTCCATAAGTGTCCCCCCACAAGATTGTATTTACCATTACCATCAGCGTCGTTGATTTCATCAAACGCACTTTACTCAACTACTACGAGTACGGCACAGCTTTATACATAGTATCTACACGTAGGATATGGACTTGCTCAATCCTTCGAAGCTTCTTGATACTAAACTTCACACTACAAATGAGATTATGCATGCCAAAATATGTGCTCATCAGGTCGTTATCTCTCTCTCTCTCTCTCTAATCTATTTACTTCTGAATGGTTCTCTGTAGATGACGAGGGGTCTCACACCCTACTTCTCTTCGTCCCGGTATCCATTCCTTCCAGTCCGGCGACCTCCCTCATCTTGCGCCTCTCCTCGGCGTCCCTGACGGCAAGTTGATCGCGTTCGTGGATCCAGGCGCAATCGTCTCGAAATTCGCAGATGCGACACTTCCACGCGTCGCGAGGCTGCACGCCCTTCGGGGCACGTTCGCCTCGCCAGAAGGCCAGGGCGTCGTAGAGGTACGACCGCAAGAAATTCGGGTTGAAGATGATGGATCTGGTACCGAGGAGCTCGGGGCCGCCGTCGTCGGTCTCTCGGGTCGCCGAGACGTATCTGGCCGTCAGGAGCGGCGAAAGTCGCGTCGGCAGAGATGGCGACGCCGCGGCGAGTTGTGAGATCGACTGTGGTGTCGAAGAAGGTACTTCCATTTCCTGAGTGTCTGCGCTGGCACCGAACGTGGCGGCGGCGGCATCGAAGTTTGATCCTGGTACCACAAAAGTCTCTCGGAACTGCCACATCATGAAATTCCACAACCTTTCGAGGTTGTTGTGATGGATCAAAATCTCCACAGAGTCTTGAGTCGACGGACCAATGTCTTCTTCATTCTCCAGTGCTCCTCGTTGTTGAGAACCGGGCAACTCATAAATGTCGTGGTTGAGGTTGCCAATCTGCGCAATGAAATCGTCGGAAAAGGTCGCGTGGATGTCCAGTTCATATCGTGTTGCGACCTCGTCGAGTTTAAACACCCCTTTTGCCAGATTGTCGACCATGTGGTGGTACATGTGCAGCTGGACAATGGTGGGCCGGATGCTTGAACCAGTGGGCAAACTCGACGTCCCTCTCGTCTTGACATCTGTAATGTATATTCGCTTTTGATCTTCTCGCGGTCGCTGTGACCTTTTGCTCTGCAGAGAAGACTGTGTATTGCCGCCGCCGCCACCACCGCCGTCATCATCACACAGTGCCGATTCTATGGACCGGCCTTGCTCCCTGGTGGTCTTCTCGCTCGTAACGAGATAGTCCCTGATACTGGCCTGGTATTCGGGGGGGACCGGTCCAGACTCCTGATTCAGGGAAAATTTTAAGCTCTGCTCTTCGAGTTTCGGGTCCGGGCAATCGAAGCTCAATTCATCAATGACACCATTGACGAACTCGCCACCCACGGATCCCCAGACCTCCATCTCCCTCGTCCGACCGGTTTCACGCAAGGTGCGCAACCCTTGTATGACATTCCACAGACGCAGGCCCCAGCTGTCTTCTTTCGTGACTACCCTGACGGGCACGGTGACGTGGACTTCATCTTCGAGCGCCTGGTGGACCGCACTCCCTTGTTTCATGGCCGGGGTCCTCCTCTTGCGCCCATGCTTGCTCAGCACGTAAAAGTATTGTAGTTCACACCAAGCAGGAGATACCAGGTCGGTGACGGAGAGCGGCTTCTTCGGTGGCTTCCTGAACCGTTCGATGGGAGCCCTGGTGTCGGGGGCCTCGGGAGGCTCCGCGACAGCAGGTGTGACTTCTTCGCCTCTCCGGGCTTCGATCTCTTCTACATTATTCGCGGGTCTCTGTTCAGCTAGTCGCTAGTCAGCTTGTCAGTAAAAGAAGAGAAAAAGGCCGCCGGGTTGCCTTCTTTCGTTGTTGTTACTCACCACTCTCGTCGCGTACGTCCTGATCGAACTGGAATTGGACTTGGGCAGAAGCTGTAGTCTGATCGTGCCATTGAAGAGTGGCTGCCTCGAGACCAAGGGCTTTGGGCAGATAGATACCAGGAGGTGCTTCATAGTCTTCGATGTCCGTCACGAGCAGCGGCGCGATCACATCTGTTGATCTCTGCTTCGCGTCAACTTCGAGGAGAAGCTGGTCGATTATCTCGAGTTCCTCTGGATCTTCTGCAAAGTCGCTGTATTCGTCTGCATTCTGTTCCGAGTCGTCTGCATTTTCACGATGAACTGGATTTAATTGCATGTGTCCATGACCAATTTGCGTATTGTTGTTGGTATAGGGCATCATCGAGGAGACATCGAGGTTTGTTGTTGGTGGCGTTGCAAGCGTCATGATATCAACGCTCGACCACGAAAGCGCTCAACGCATAGATGGAGTCTGAGAGTATCGTTTCGCACATCCTCAGGGTGTGCAGCAAAGTATATGCTGTCGTTCATGGCTTCTGTTTACATGGTGCCTTGAAGATGCCGTGATTTAGGCTTCTTCTGCCTAATCCTGGCAGTAATTCTAGACGTGTCGCGGGGCTCTAGTCACGCCTGGATGAAGTAATAGCGTGTCGCCTGACGGACGAACGAGGTCCAATACGTACAAACAAAATCCTTTCTGCCCTTCTCTATGACATGGTCTAATATCTACGTGTGTCTCTTTCTGCCTGGACAGTCTCGCCTCTATTCGTTGTAGACGCAACACAATTCCAGGGCTTTCCAGGTGTGGCCCGAACATCGATCCAATGGCCTGGACATGAGGATTCTCTATTCATCTAGTTCCCACAGATAACGTGCTCTTGGATTCCCCTTGTCGACGTATTCTCGACTGAAGATGCAAATACTCATGCAGTTGTGATTTGGTCCTGTAAATCCTCTTTTCACAGTCGATGTTGTTGGACCAAAGGCTTCAGCTCGCTTCAAGACTCTCGGGCACCACAGGCCTGGCCAGCGTATCTGTCGCCAGCTCGATTTTTTCTTCCTTTCTGTTCAAAAAGCTGAGATATGTCTGCCACGCGATGGCAAATATTCCGCTGAACATGAATCTGTAATTCGGCGCAATGAAGTAGAAACTGAATGCGGTGACCGCCGGCCAGAGCTTCAAGGAATTGACGATACTCGTCGGCACCGTTGCTTGCACTCTTGTGATGACGCCGTGTATGGTCTCACCTGTCAGGAAAGCCTGCATTCCGAAGAAGTAGGTGTTGAAGATAGGGGTGAAAACTGCCTGGTTCACAGCAACCTTGGTGGCAATAGATACGATCTTTGACTGAAAGTTGAAATTGCGCCCAAGGAACAGAAACCTGACGTCCAACATTAGCCATCATTGTTTCACCCTGTCCATCCAATCCGCTGCGTTTCTCGAAATGTTGTCAAGAGAGCAGACATACCATTTATATCCAGGGATACTGGCAATCGCTCCGATCGTAAGCATGCGCAGCGTCCTATTTCCATCGTATGCTTCACCCCCAATCTCTTGAGCTGCCATATCACCGCACAGGTATGTGATCAACGTAGTACAGACCTGCACCGTATACGGTCTTTTCATCTGGCTGCGGTGAAACCAATTGAAGAATGTCGACACTGGACCGAGTCGGTGGTACCATAATTGAATAGGGATGTCAACTGGGTCCGCCTTCGTGCTCTCGACGGTCACTTCATTTGGATTGTGTGGAGGCAGTTGGCCCTCGTTGAGAGGCTTCGACTGTTTGGACGTGGACGAGTTGGTAGACTTGCGATTATGGATATGCTGATACCGCGCTCGTGGAGGCCGCACCCATGATGTACTGGCACCAAACCTCGTTGATGCCCTGTGCAAGTTTATCATCTTCGTAAGTCTGTCATTTTGGTCTTCTGCAACATCTTCTCAGAAATGTTAACTCATTTGTGTCCACGCGGCTGCCGATGATAGATAAGTCTGAGCCGAGAATCGGGGAATTGTGCGCATAGCCGAAGGAGAGATCCTCTCTCGGCTGTCGGGAGTTTTAGGCATCCCGACACCTAAGATTAGCACCTGGCAGGCCCCGAGGCTGCAGGTCCAGGCACCACTAAAATCAGGGACGCAGAATGACGCCTATTCCTAGGCGCTAGGTCATTGTTTACAAGCCTAAATTAGGCTATACACAGGCCAAAAACACACTTGAAAGTCGATGGAACAAGAAATCGAATCTGACGTTTGCGACGTGATTTATTCAGCGTCTATCTTGTGTTGCGCTTTCTGCTATCCTCATGTCATGTCTCAATGACTGGAGTGATGTATGATGTACAAGCAGAAAAAGCAAAACGCCCCATGTCACCATGATGTGTTCTTGTAAACACTACAACCCATAAAATATCATTCCGTTTCGCCGGTGCAACACTCATGAAAACCCCCCATAAGCACATTCATTTCAACCCAACTTCCCAAGGTGTAGAATAGTCATAGTGACTGCAGATTGCTGGTAAAGTCGAGCAGTCATGTCATCATCTAGGATCGTTCGCCACGGAGACGACGAGCCAATTGAATGTCCTTGGACTGGATGGTGACACGCTTGGCGTGGATGGCGCAAAGGTTGGTATCCTCGAACAGGGAGACGAGGTAAGCCTCAACGGACTCTTGGAGAGCACCGATGGCAGATGACTGGAAGCGGAGGTCGGACTTGAAATCTTGAGCGATTTCACGGACCAGACGCTGGAAGGGGAGCTTGCTGTGAGGGTTGTTAATCTTTTGTTCATGATGGGATGACGATGATGTGTTACTAACCGGATCAAGAGCTCAGTCGATTTCTGGTAGCGACGGATCTCACGGAGAGCGACGGTACCAGGCTTGTAGCGGTGAGGCTTCTTGACACCTCCAGTGGATGGTGCGGACTTGCGAGCGGCCTTGGAGGCGAGCTGCTTTCTTGGGGCCTTGCCACCTAGGATGCGAGTCAGCAATGAGGCCAAGCGGTGATGAGATGATGTTGTGATGTCTTACCAGTGGACTTGCGAGCGGTTTGCTTGGTACGAGCCATTGCGATGGATGAATTGATGAAAGTTGTGGTGTTGATTGATGAAGAGATAAGAAGATGGTGAGTGAGGCTGATGGATGGAGGAAGGTAAGTGGTGGAGGTGGGGGAAGTGCAGGTATTTGTAGGAAGTGAGAAAGAAAGGCGCGGCTTGGCGGTTGATCCGAGGGCGCAGGGGAATCAGGCAAATGACTCAATGGTCGAATGATGCGAATGGCACTTGTCAATCAACCTGAAAATAATCGTCTCGGATCAAGCCTGCGAAATGATCATTTTTGCCAGGTGCGTTTTGGCTGTGATCTCGAATGCCACCCAAAATTGACTTGGCGCTTCCCGTGATCCGGTGCCTTGGCGCTACCACCTCAAAGATCGCCGAGGCCCTGGAATACCATCAACCCCCCGGAATCACATATTCACCACCCTCGATAATTTTTACAGTTGTTTTAGAAATGATCGCAGGCTCAACTTGTCTATTCTTTGTTCAGGATCAATTTTTCCGATGAGGTTTGGTGGCGAGATCACCAAATCAGTGGCGTCCTGGAGTTCGTGATCCAGCACTAAGCGTTGGCCCTTCCTGAATTCTGATTGGCTCTGATCTAACAAGCCCAAGTTGATCTGGCAGGCACTGCCGGGGTGCATAAGTCTCGCTCCCCGCCGCATCTCCCCAATCAAGTTTCCATTCCATCCACCATCCATCTCAACATCTTCATACCACTTCATCTCTTTCAAACACACTTCTTCAACCCCAATCAATCAACATGACTGGACGCGGCAAAGGCGGAAAGGGTCTCGGAAAGGGTGGTGCTAAGCGCCACCGAAAGATTCTTCGTGACAACATCCAGGGTATCACCAAGCCCGCCATCCGACGTCTCGCTCGCCGTGGTGGTGTCAAGCGTATCTCAGCCATGATCTACGAAGAGACCCGTGGTGTCTTGAAGACCTTCCTTGAGGGTGTCATCCGTGATGCTGTCACATACACTGAGCAGTACGTTCTCCATTGGCTTCGCATCGTTTCATCTACTGACCTTTCTTCCAGCGCCAAGCGAAAGACTGTCACATCTCTCGACGTTGTCTACGCTCTGAAGAGACAAGGCCGTACCCTCTATGGTTCGTGGTCACCCATATTTCTCTGTCAGGCCTTTTCACTAACATGGCCCAGGTTTCGGTGGTTAAATGCCTTCTTCAGCTCAATATCACGACATCACTTTTTCGGCATACTGTGTCTGTCATCATCTATGGCATGGTTGCCTAATCCTTTTTTGCTTTGAGTTACGGAGTGGTTGGTCATGCAAATGGGTTCTCAACTGGGGTTGCAAAGGGTCATGGTTATGATGGGATGGCAAATCCACACGATGTGCTTTGATGTATCAATACAGGCACAGCATGAATACAGCCTGGATCGGCGTTGACAGATGGGCTGGACCATGATCGAATGGACCAGTACCAAGATGAAATAACATTTCAAAGCAAGCCTTTCAAGTTTCCTTCCAATCGTAGTTCGGTCGTGATTGTTTTGCTTTTGGCGCGTTTTTGCCTGTTGAGACGCGTTGCGTGATTTTCAACCCGTTGCCTTGGAGTGTTTTTGGTCGCGTGTGCTCCGTAGCTAGCCTCAATATCCATGATTCTCACGTGTCGGGGAGACTTGACAGCCATAGGCAAAAGTACCCTGAGCAAGTCATCGGTTTGGATTGTCTGCGAGTACACATAACAGGCCCCTCTCTACCTTAATCTCTGCTGACAACTTTGGTGCTAGGATGTACGGGAAACCCTTATTTAGGCTGCTCGCATTCGTATTGGTTATCGTCGTGTATTCAAATTGCCCCGTGAAGCATTCTTGGGCTCGGTATCTCAGAGAGCCAGCTACGTGATGTTTTGAACGTGTATTCGAGTTAATCCCGATGAACAACAGGGTCGATGGCTCTCTCTTATTCCTAATGCTCCATATCTAGTGATTGTGAGATGGACTACTCGCCAGCGGATCTAATTAATTCACCTGGGTACAGTTTGGCCTCTGCTACATGTATTGTTGTCGACATTGATTTTACGGTCCATGATGCCCTTTTTTAAAAGTCCGGCATTGTAACGTATAATTTGCGAGTATTTTGTATGTGATGATACGCATAGAAGAAATCTTGTGGTGTGTCGGGTTGCGAATACGTTCTGTGTTGGTGATCGTTGGGAACTTGGTGTTGATGCCGAATATATTTTTGTATTTATTCTCGGCAAGTCCAAGTAATGATTCATCCAAATATTAACCCATCCTCACCCACTGACTTGTCTAACCCCCTCCCTTGGATCACCAGAGGTAACCTCTTCTCTTTCCTTCCTGCATTCAACGGTAGCTATTCATCGCAGTCTTCCCATCATCATTCCACGAACAGGCCAGGGATCAAACGCTGCCTACGGGTGCTCTGATTACATGGCCCGATTGGGACTGACCCAGATCAGGATTAGCGGGTTCGCTGGGGTACAGGATAACTTCTCGCATTACCCAATCAAGTTAGTATCATTTGCACATAGTCAGTCCATCGAACTCCTCCGTAGTTTATGTCTTTTGAACGAGAGTCTCCCTAATGATTTGAGACCATGAAGAACCCGAACTCCTATGACGAACATGGCCAGGTAAAAGGCCAAGACATACACTCGAACCGACAAAAAGACCCAGAGAGTAGGTCACATAGAATTCGACGAGGGACGAATCTCTATCGGGTATATGCAAGAACTACCTTGAGAGTTATATCGTCGCCAAATCTCTAGGTATCGCTCCCAGTGCCAGCCACGTCCAAATCTCGTCATACTAGCAGAAAGCCACCCCATGGAAATCTTCATGCCGCACGAGATTACTAGCGTAACCTCTTTCCTTCCCTGTTTTGTTGGATGGCCTGCAGCGATCCCTACACAGGTAAATTCGCAAAGGGCTCTTCACCTCACTGGCCACCGCCCCTAGAGCTCTCACAGGATAACTGTGTAGAACACAAAACATGGTCCGAGCATGGCACAGGGAGTGCCTTGTTCCGGTGTCATAAAATGCCCAAGACGCTGTCTTTCTCTGCAAATTCTGGTCATTTTAACACCAAATACCAAGGCAGTGTGCGTGGGATCCGGCCTGTGTCTATGGATGCGCTGTGATCGAATCGCTTCATTTACCAGCCTGCCCAAACCCGGATCGCATGATCATCCTGAATATCTCCAAATCCTTTGCAGCATCAGCGACCGTCGTCTTGACAAGTTTCCCCTCCACGATCAGTTTGTATAGTTCTTTCATCTCCAAAGTGTAGGGGTCCTCGTATGTCTTCCGGATAGTGGTTTCGTGGTAGGCTCCATCGACATTTTCCACAATATGCATCGTCACGGGTAGACCTTTGATATATGGAGTGTCATACTGAACGCGGATGACCTTGGAGCTAGAGTAAATCTCCAAGTGCGCGTCAAAGCGTGGGATGTTGTCTATTCCTGATTCGTAGACGACCGCAAAGCCGGGGTATTCGAATAAGACGCTGTGGGAAATAGACTGTGATCAGCACCGTAATCCGGCCCAACACCCGCATAGGCACCTGATGGAATGCTCACCTCCACATTGGAAAATTCAAATGAGAACCAAGGACTTTGGTGGGAACCCCCAAAGCTTCTCGCATAACAGAAAGATCATGCGAGCCGAGACCTCCTAGTACCCGCCACATTCGCGCGCTTTCTGGAGTCACTGGCACGTTGCATTCCTGTCTCAGGGCTTGTTCTGATATTTCAGCGGCTCTGGATGCTTTATCCTGACTATCCTCGGGAGTAAAGTCGTCGAATCGTTTTGGAAATGTTGCAGACTGGGAGACGAAAGTGCTGTTGGGTCCAATGATATCTGGGGATATCCACGAGGTCAGCAAGCTCTTCCTCTGGATAAGGACAATGCTTCCTCAGTCTTACCACGAACACGGGCATACGTAATCTTTTCTAATCCACCAATCTCTTTTAATGCATCGGTAAAGGCTGCAGCGTACCTCCTCATGTAGCCGACCATCACTTTCCCGGGTGCATTTTGTTCGGCCTTGATCAAAGTCTCCACATCGCGCTGCGTGAGAGCCATCGGCTTTTCAACAAAGACAAACTTGCCAGCTTCAAGCGCCAGGATAGCGTGGGAAACATGATACTCGTCGGAGTTGACTACTAGGACAACATCGACCTCAGTTGAGGCACAAAGCACGGCCGGATCAGTGGTTGTTTTAGGAACATGGTTGTTGACTTTTTGTGAGCAAAATTGGAGCGCTGCCTTCGAGATGTCGCAAAGGTAGGTGATTCGAAAGAGATCGGAGAGGTGGCCGAGCGTGGGAATGTGAACAACCTGTGTCACTTCACCACAACCGATGATGCCGACATTGACGATGGGGGTTGGGTTGTCTATCATTATGACCTGGGCAAGTATGAAAAAAGATTGCGATAGAAAGTACAAGACAGTGTCTAAACAGGAGATGACGAGAAAACAATATATACGGATACAGACACAAAGCGGAATAATGAACTGAGATGTACCTACCTACATACCTGGTACGGAGTAAGTCTTCAGGCTGGAAATGGCCGTCCGGGGAAGATAATGTGTCAGTGAGGGGGGAACTGCCACCCGCTACTCCCCGGCCAGATTTGGCTCTAACTGTATCTGTGCCGCAGGTTGGAGTCTGGAGTGCATGCATTATTTAATGGTCCGCCACTCCCCGGTTCCCATCTCTCCCCTTCATTCTCAATCCCTCTAGTCAGAGCAGCATGGAGTCGACAGTTAGCGAATCTACAGCACCGATCGTTTAGAAGACGACCATCAAAAAGTGCCACAGTGCAGTAATTCTGCTGATGTGGTACTGACATGGCCAAATTTTGATGGTCTCTTCAGTCCGGACTTTCTGAACTCAACGTTGCTTGCTGACGAGGATGTCGAGGCTGGAAAGAACCTCCAAAACGTCGGGCAGCGGACAGAGTTGACAAGCGGCCGAGCGGTCAACTATGAAGACGCCCCTGTTTTGGTGGACCGGTTTCTGGCTTTTGTTCATACCAAAAATCCTATTCTGAATGTCCCGGAAGTACGAATATATGCCAGACGCTTGGCAGAAGAAGGGCCATTATGGGATGCACCCTCATGTCTCGTAGTAAGTGTGGATTTATCGCGCCGACCTATAATGCCTGGTGATCTCACCTACTGGTTCATACTGCTATATCATTTCAAGCTAACTCTCATCAGCTGCTGGCGTGCGCTTTAGGATCTCTTGGGCAGCCATTTGAAGCAATATATACTCAAGAGTCAGGCTACGCTGGTACAACGCTGGTACACCGCAGACTATAGGACCAGATGAGGCGAACATCCAAGTGGCTGAGCGATACTACGAAATAGCACGTCGGAGATTCGGCCTTCTCCGGCAGACACTTATCACTGTCCAGTGCTATGTTCTTTCCGGGATCTACTTGATGTATACACTCCAACCATTCAAGGGTTGGAATGAGTTTCTCCAAGCCTTCATCAACCTCGACATGTACCTCAGCCGGCAGAAAGCCGCAGCACACGGTTCGAACAACTCTCAAAGAAGTGATACCACGCGCGTCGAGCAACGGCTCTACTGGACATTTTTTAAATCAGAATGGTGAGTAGCTAGGAACGTAGCCAAGGTCACACCTAACTTTTGGAACAGTGAGATTCGACAAGAGATACATGTGCCCGAATCTGGACTGTCGAACATTACCTATCCATACCTATTTCCTTCACCCCCCACGCCTAGTAGCCCGGTGATAAATGCACAGACTGTCTCTAGTTTTACGTCGATGCAAGCCTCGCCAAACTCGACTGTCAGTGGCCCGCAAATAATTGGCTTCTCGGAGCAACAGTCATGGTTCTACTATTTGACCGAAATTACCCTCGCCCGTATCGACAACCGCATCCTCAAAGCTTTTTACCAAAGTGATCACATGGGCTGGGCAACTCTGGTTTTACCGGATGCTGTGCAAATGGCGGAACATTTTGAACACGAAATCACCGAGATATATAACAACATGCCCGAGGCCATTTCTTTTGACTGTGACTCGGATGATCAATCTTTGATCGAGTTGAGACATATGGTCAAGGGCCGGTGTAACAACGTTCGATTACATCTTTACCTTCCATTCCTTTACTACATGATTCACCATGGTCACGAGACTAGCTTGGAGATTCAATCAATGCTCCAACCCTGGGTAGACCGAGGATTACGGCACTTGATCGAGTCAAGCTCTCTCGAAGGATACACTCACCGCCACCACGGTACTTGGTATGTATGCAGGAACCAAGCCACAGGGGCACTGGTTGCCGCCAAGAAAAGTGGGCACATCTCTATGCCTGAGCATTGGAAAGATGCGATTTTTAACGCGCTTAAAAATGCTCGAGTACTGGGAGACTCAAAGTCCCGATATTGCCAAGGTCAAGGTGGTCATTCAGGTTGCTTCCTTGTGATAATATCCAACACTATATCTGGAATCTACACGAATTGGACGATCCCGTTCTACAGTTCTTGGCTGTCCTGAGGATAGCACACACCACCAGTCCGTCTAATACTGTCAAACGTATGCCCCATTCTCAAGGTTAAGTTCCAACGGTACATGCAACGATACCTGCGGACGATTCAGAGCGTCGAAGACAATGTCGGTCGCATGCTCGACTGGTTAGACGAAGAAGGTCTCGCGGAAAACACCGTCGTTGTTTATAAGTCTGACCGAGGGTTTTTTCTCGGAGAGAACGGCTGGTGCGACAAACGCTTTATGTACGAAGAGAGTTTCAGATGCCTTTCCTGATCCGATATCCAAAGATGATCCGACTTGGGTCCGTGAATCTCAAGGACATCATCTGCAACGTCGATTTCGCGCCGACTTTTTGCGACCTGGCCGGCTTGAAGGTGCCATCTTACATGCAAGGCGTCTCGTTCCGACCGCTGTTGCAAGGGCAAACACCCAGCGGTTGGCAACAGGTGGCCTAACACCGCTACTGGATGCACAACGACGTGTGCCACAACGCCTAGAGGCATTACGGTGTCCGCAATCAACGGCACAAGCTGATATATTAGTACAACGATGATCTCGGCATCGAAGGCGCCATCCCTGGTGGCACGGAGCCCTGGTGGGAGTTGTTCGACTGCGACGAGGACCCGCTGGAACTTCTCAACATCTACCACGACCCCAAATATAAGGATGTTGTCAAGGAGATGACGGAGCTACTGGAGACGAAGATGATGGAGATTGGTGATGTAACACTCCATCCGAGATTCCAGTAAGCTCAAGGGGGCGGTAATGGTAGAAGCATATCTAGATACGAGTAATGCGGCATGAAACCTCAAGCAGGAAAAAGTTGCATGTGTGAGGAGAAATTTCCAGCGATACTAGCGACAGACCCATGTCTGTGATTTAGGATGACATCTGGAGCCCTCGTAAGAAGTATAAGATGTCTTTGGAAATTCATTGCATCGTCCACGATCACTAGAGCGAGGCAGAGATGATAGATCCAACTATCGCATTGATGCAGACTCGCCGCAACTGGAGCATGTTGACCACATGACCAAGGTACAGTCAATGGTCAACAGGCCTACTTACTGTACATGACGCCGAGCACTGCGACAGTAAACAAAATGAAGCTGGAGCATTCCAATATAGTAGCCAATGCGACATGACTTCTCTCACCTGATTGGCAAACAATCGAACAGTTCATCACCCGTGCACTGCAGAAAAAACAAGTTCTTGGAACAACAACCCAAGTCATGGCGTAGCTGTGACCAGATCAGATGTGCAAGGTGGCTGACTGTCAACCGAAGCGATGCGATTGTGTGGGCTGAACATGGCCCGAGAGAAATCAAGAACAGCTCATGATGAAGCAGATCGGCGAAAACCCCGTACGCAACCGACCTGCTCAGTCCTGCACGTTGCTCTCGGTCCAGCTGAATTGAGGTCGTCCTGGAACAATCGTACTCGTGTAAGTATGTCAAGGTATTGATTGCACAGGGCTGTGGCATTTTGGGCTGGACTTTCTCCTTACGGCAGCGAGCGGGTCAAGGATAATGTCAAACCCAAGTTTTCTCAAAGTACGGAAGAGAAAAAAAAAATTGGCACTCCACCAAAATAGAAGTGCGGGGGGTTGATCCGATGCACCCACATGGCCAACCAAGGTATGCGGCGGAGTAACCCGAGTCAACAAAATTCTAACCACAGTACTCCGTACGAGTACTCGTAACTCGTACGAGTACAGTGGTCGGCTCGGTCGCGACCCGAGAAATGGGCTATTCCGGACATCAGCTCAGCCCCGAGATGATCACACGAGCACAGGACAGATCGTGGCAGAAGGACGAGTGAATGAGTGTACGCAAGACACAGCTCGTTGCGACCCAGCGTAGTTTGAGACAGATGTGGCGGTGCAGCTGGGAAGATCGCCCACCAACGCGCAATCCTTGTCCAAGCGAAAGACCATACCAGGCGCATATCATTCCCGAACAAATACCAAAGGGTGAAACGTGTCGACAATTAGCTCGCTCTAGACAACACTCACATGTCCATCAAAGTCGTACAAAGTACAGAAGCGCAGAGTGTCAATTAGCCGGAGTGCAGCCTTCTTCTACCTTGACTCGTACTCGTGCGACCAATCAGTCACCAATGCGGAACTGCCGATATGCAATGCCAGAAAAATCTGAACAGCCATGCTCAGATGTTAAAAGGTACAGATCCCAGCCAAAACATGTATGACCAGAATACGAGGTTTCTCCGCTGTCAACATGGGCTTCAATGACTTATTCATTGCCAGGTTTAACCTTGGTTACATGCTTCCGCCAGGTAAAAGATTCAAATCCTTGTGGTCCTTTTGCCCAATCGAGCCGTGTAGGCGTAGGCATGCCCCATCCGGCTAGACAACCGCCTACAGTACCTCCAAGAACTCCTTTCAAAGTACCAAGGATGATCTGCAGAGACCCAACGACTGGAACACCGCGCGGTGCCCCGATAATAACCGAATCCTGCTGGCCTAGGGGAGTCGGCAGTCCAATCATTTGGGTGGGCGGCCCCAACAAAGTTTTCTTCAGCTGCACGTCGACGCCTAGACTCATGGTACCCGGGCGAGTTATGGGCACCAAGTAGCTACACATCTCAGCCCTAACCAATGTACAGTATCCATTGGACTAACGCAGCCTCCAATGCAACGGCAACCTCGGCACGTTCCTGCATTTTAGCCCAAGAGTCCAGAAAAAAATTTGGACCTTCTAGAAGTCTTCCACGCAATTAATCCTTGTCTGTCTGACTGACTGACCGACGGACTGAAACAACATTCCGCCTAAAATGCGACAATCACTCACCCGTCTGAGACCTTGGTCTGATCGTGGCTGCGACAATGCCTCATTCGATACGAGGATTTGCTGGCCGATCTTGCACCGAAATCAGGGAATTTAGGCAGTAGTCATTTGTAAATCAAGACAAATTTTTCCAAGACCAAGGTAAGGTTAGAGGTCGGTTATGTCAGATCGACAAACACCCTCAAGAGACGAGGCTGCCGCATAAGCATCGTGGCCGTGCATTATTACGAGTACTCGTTACTGTGCTCGTACTCGGAGTCGATGCGAGCAACCCCCAACATGACTCAGCTGATTGAAATGTACGAGGATAGAGAGATAGGCGAGGCCAGGCTAGGATGATACTTTGCAATGCAAGGAGCGATCCAAGCTTGGATCTCGGGCGATGAGCCAGCCGATGCAAACTGCCGGACTTTCCATGTCGATACAAGTTTGTACTACAGTAGGCAAATAGTTTTACGAGTATTGTCCAAAAACCACGGGATCTTGCAGGGACCATCTACTAGAATCTAGAATACTCGTATTGCTAGGCTGAGGCATATTCCGGTATACACTAGGGTACTTGGTAATAATTCGACCTGGTTCTGGCTCGTACAAGAACCGGCCGGATTGTCGGGTGGACTCGGCTGGCTCCCACCACTGTCGTCAGACCAGAGCAGTCATTGGCTGGAATTGGCACAGCCACAGATTTCATGGCTGATGATTCGCGGTATGAGTAACGCCAAGACTGAGATGATGAGAGGGAAAATCCGATCTGCGTCAACCTGAGCCGCTCTCTGTTTTTCCTCGCACGTACGCATTCAAGATGGAGGGGGGGAGGGAGACATGCACCAGCGCAAGGACGGTCTGTGGTCAGTGAAAAAAAAACACTGTCTGGAACGGTCACTCCGGCCCAATAGTTCGATCCAGCCAACAAGTTTTGAACGCCGGGTCGTGGGCATTGCTGCTGAACTGGACAGTCACAGACTTTCAAAGCCAGATGCAATCTGCAATCCACCGAAGTCACCCTGGTCAAGCGCAAACCAGTCACTGCTGCTCACTTCTCGTACGAAGTACAAATATTACCACTTGGTACAGAAATCATTGTTGTACTGGGGAAAAAAAGGCCGCAAGAACACCCAAGTCGTCGCCATTCCTCCGTTTCGGTCCAGCGTCAGACAGCGAAACGTATTGCCGAGCGAAGCCTAAAAAAGACAGGCCACCATAATCCCTGTCACCACGACGTCATCATCGCTGACCCTCGCATGCAGGGTCTCCCCCCCGGTCTTCCTCAACATCTCGAACACCCATCCAACGCAACATTCGGACAATCCACACCCGCTGCTACCGCCGCTTTCTGGCATTACCACGGCGCTGCATTAAGATCGAAACAGAGACGAAAAAATTCAAAAGAGCAAAGGCCGGGATTGGTGTCAAAAGGAGAAACCCCCAGGCCTAGTAGTCCGCCCATTACGAGCACCAGCGATTACCTCCGTCCTTGCTTCCCAATCGCCAGTTTGTCATTCCACTACCTTCCACAGGCTCGAGTCCGATTGTAATCAGTGCCCGTCGCTCTCCGGATCTCTCAAATACCTTTTCCCACCTTATCTTAATATACTGTTTGCCACCTGCACCTTACTGAACATACTCTCTCCGCTATACTATACACCAACTCGTCCGAGATACTCCCAACCCTCTTCGTTACCTAAGACACAACAAAACCACGCAATCGATCGTACCTGAGGTTCATACAAGAGTAACGTTTCTTGCCTCACCTCCGCTTCAACCTCAAACAACATACACACCACTTCATCTCGACCGTACTTGATGAACAGTCGGCCGAACACACAATCCAACAACCCTTCCGTGCGCATTCAACACTCGAGCCCTGCGCCCACGACGTCTACAACACAACCACCCATGATCGCCCAGAGTGCGCTGGTCGGAGGGTGGAACGACGCTTTCAACTCTGCAGGTTACTTGAGTGCGCTGCCAAAGACGTTTCAAGACGCAAAGTACCACAAGCGTGCATCGTCGGGGTCTTCGGTGACATCCCTGGGGCCTCCGTCGCCTCTCAATCAAAACAACATATATCCACACATTGTCGCCACCACCGACTCAAATTTTCCTTCTTCCTACGACTTCGATTACTCTCAGACTCCCCACACGGCCAAGTCGGATTCTGCCATGATCTACCCCCAGAATTTCAGCGCGGTTGACATGAGGAGGATACAGTCACAAGGCGCCGACGAGCGTGCGTCATTCAGCAACTTGTCCGCGCCGCAGTCCGTCTCGACGATGAGTCACAATTCTCCTGCGACGCCGCATACAAGTTATGAGCCAGAGTACGACGAGAAACATGTCTATGGTGAGGATCCTAGCGACGAAGACAACATGTTCGAGTACTTACAGTTTGAAGCAGGATTTCCAACTCCGGCATACCAGCAGTCGTTGCAAGATGTTTTCCCCGACCAACATTTCCCCATGCCCTATACTCAACCGCAGCAGAACCTGCAGAGGATGAACCTCCAACCTCACCGACAAAATGTGATGGCGGACAGACTGCAAGCGGCGACGCAAGATCATCTCAGGACGAACTCACCGACGTCCGACCCGCGGGACAATTCTCCGTTCCGTCAGAACTCTCCCTACAGCATGCCTGCGCCCTCACAGCGGCCACGACCTCCGCCAGTCCTACAGAAGGAGCGGACGTCGATCTCTCCCAAAGAGTTGATGTTGGATGAGCACGACGTCGACGATCACGCTGCGCCGCTCTTTGGCGCAGATCAATCCAACTCGACAAACTTTGGCAACGCGAGAACCATGGCAAACATGCCGGCCTTCTACGCGCAGATGTCGCACGAGGCTTCTATGCCAATCCCTCAACAATATCCCTTCTCCCTCAATGCGTCTGGCCGGCAAAGCACGGGAATGCAGGATATTACACCGGAATTCCCAGCACACATGCTCTCGATGGAGTCGACCAACGAGGAAGGGCCATCGGAGCCTTCCAGCCAACAGTCGCAGAAGCCAGTGGCCCAGCAACAGCCACGATCTGCGCCTCAGCAACAGAGCGTCCAGCGCCCGACGGACACGTCATCAGATGCGGGAACTTATTCTTGCACATACCATGGCTGTCATTTACGGTTTGACACGCCTGCGAAGCTCCAGAAACACAAACGGGACGGTCATCGACAGTCCTCTCCCGGGACGTCATCGTCGTCACCCAATTTGGCCTTGCGAAACTCTCAAGCAGGCCCGCACCGATGCGACCGTATCAACCCTAGCACGGGCAAGCCTTGCAATTCGATCTTTTCCCGACCCTACGACCTTACCAGACACGAAGACACGATACACAATGCACGGAAGCAAAAGGTCCGGTGCCATCTGTGTACGGAAGAAAAGACCTTCTCCCGTAACGATGCGCTTACTAGACACATGCGCGTTGTACATCCTGACGTGGACTGGGTGGGTAAGCAGAAGCGCAAGAGCCATAAGTGAGGTTGATTATCCCGACACTGGAGGGCTATACATGGCCCTGGATTACTGTGTATGACTATGGAGTATTTTTCTCTTTCGACTTGACGGCAATTTTGGGTCGCTTGTTACACAAGGCCTTGGCTTAGCATACGATGATGACGAAATGAACCAACAAAGCAAATGATATGAAGTGAGGCTTTTTTTGATTGGGGAACCAGCGCAGAGCGAAGGATGATGGAGCAAACCGCATTTGCATTTTCAATGGCGCCGATGGGGAATTTCTTGGTTTCCTTCCAGAGAGAGTGTTGTACGGTAGAATGGAAATTGTTTTCGAGGCACTTACAGGTGATTTGTTTTACGTTATACTGGGAAGGTGGTTTTTCCTTTTTTTTTAAAACTGGACCTGGCACACGGAATACACAAAAAACAAAGTGATGATAGTTGATGGGATGATGACAATTTTTCTTTCTTGTTAACAATCATTTTGTGGTCACGACACTTTTTTTTGGTTGAGCGATAGACTGTACTTTTACCATTTGGGCAATTGGGATCATTGGATTGCAATGTTGCATTTTTGGGGGGTGGAAGGAAATGGGCAGCGATGGCATGATCTTTCAATCGATAGGAGATGAATTGGCATGGAGATCGAGAAAGTGTCTTGATGATACCACCAACTCCTTAGCCTTGTATAGTTATTTATTGGTATTTAAATTGAGAAGAACAAAATGGTAAATCGATCGAGATATAAATTGGAATTGACTTTCATGATCAAGATTGGGGGTTTTTTCCCCTTTACCGATGGAGGGTGGACTGTTTGGTCAGGAGAGAGAGAGAGAGAGAGATCATCACACTTGTGGTAATGTGTCGTGTGTCAACATCTTTTGTGTGAATGGTCCTTTTTTTTTCGCGTGTGTCGTGTCGTTCCGTGTCAATGTCGTGATATCGAATTGTAAAGGTAAGGCCTGGGGTCGCGTGGATAGATCACGAGTGTAAAAGGTGGTATGAGGAAAGGGGGGGGATGGTGGGAACGATTGTTTGAGATCTGGGTTTTTTGGGGGTTGTTTTTCGCGCGCTCCGTCGGGACATCCGAAGAAAGAGAGAAGGGGATTGGGAGATTGGGCTCAGCAGGTACGAACGAGTACGAGTGGTAAGTAGAAGACATCATCATTACTACTACATGGAAATTAGCTTGAATTTCCATTTCTCACAGCAACATTTAGTCGTTTTTGGGGGGGGGGGGGGGGCCTTCCCGTGAAGTAATAATGATGCAAATGAAAGAAAAAAAATGGAATCGTAACATGGATCATGACTTTTGTAACGAGTTACGGATGGTAGATGCGGGGGGGAGATTTGGATACCGTAGATACAGTGGGTATTTCTTGATATCATCATGGGGTTGTCTTTATGGGAGGGAAACCCATCCTCATCGGATCAGTTTCTTCCATCATGATGACGATGGTGAACACACCCCTTGGGTGAATATAGTTTATGATGATACGGAGTACTTGGGAGGCAACTCGTACGAGATGGCTTTCTCAAGATCTCGATCGAAGAGAGATCAAAACAAAAAAAAAGAGGATTGGTAGTACTACTCATACTCGTAATCGTACGAACTCTTCACAAATCTCGTTCGAGCTTGATTGATGGTATTGTACAGTATCAAGATCCCCTTTTATTTGATGAATGATGAATGAGGCTGAAGAAAAGATTGGGGATAGTTTCGAGACCCCCCCAGCATTTATTTTTGTTCGATTGGCGCGGCCCCCCCACACAACCCAACACAACGTCCGACCATACTCACAGCACATACATGGCAAACATCAATATAAGATATGTTCACGACTGTTGATCAGCGACCAGAAAAACAACCAACGTGGATGAATGAACACCCATGGTCACATGTGCATACTCGTCCAGCGTAGAATAGGTGCTGATTTGCTGAATGACCCGGTCCCCGATGACCGCAACAACGAACTTGGAACCAACCCGGCAGAATCGTTCACCTCAAAGAGTATGGAAACGCGCGCGTATGAGAACTGTGCCTGATGAGTTAGTTCTCGGTCATCACAACGATGGGCAACATGTAGAGCCCACTCAACCATGTAACAATGGTCTCGTGAACAATCCTTCATCGACCCCCCCTCAACAGCTTGGACCCAGCAAGGCTTCGGCGCGGACAACGAGCCAGGACCGTTAGCATCGCAACAAACAGGTCACACGCCCAGGAGCAACGTGCAGGCAGACATGAACCTCCTTCTCCGTCTGCTCAGCCACGACATCGAATCTCATGGTGACTGATGGAAATGTTGAGGTGGCCAAATTGTCTGTCGCGTGAAAAGTCGAGATGCCATTCGGATCGGGCGGACGTTATTTACCTCGAATGGAACCTACCTGTAGGATCTAGAGCAAGCTTTTTTCCCTTTCGGTCTCTTCGGATCCCTCGAGATAATGTTGCCTACCAGGCAGACGAAGACGAAACGATGGCGCAAGTCACAATAATGGACTGCGTTGTCTGCGTGTGGCGAAAATTCGTGCAAAAGCATTCCTATTACCTCTTCCGGCCTGGACGGGGCTTTCTCTGGGAGAGCAATGGGGGTGTGCAAAAGCAGCGGCAGCGAACGACGACGAAACAACATGGATGATTTCAAATCCAACCTCTTCACCGTCCCCCCTGGATAGGGTTTAGACCTGCGATCGCCATTGCCTTCCGTGTTCGTACCGTTGTCGACCGCAGGGCGAGGGCATGATCAGTAAGTGATATCAAAATAAAAAACCCGCCGACAAAAAACCGCAACATCCACTCCCGGAATTTGTGTTTGGGGTTGTACAGGTATTGTACCAGTGCTCGCGTATCCGTATCATCCCAGCTCCATCCCCCCTTCAGTGTCCTTCGGTCGCCGATTACCTCGCTTCTCGCAACCGGCATTCCCGTATATCCGGCGGATCTTTGGGGATAATCAGTCGAGTCCGACGAAAAGAATCTGGGCCCAAGGTCCAGCTTACGACCACAATCCTTTTTGGGTTATTCGTAGGGGTCCAATTGTAAGTCCGCTGCGGCCGCAAAAGATCCCCCCCCGACGTCTTCCGTTGTAGCAGTTTAATTGCGGAGGACGGATAAGGGAAATCATCGTGCTCGTACCTCCGTTAAGGAAAGGCTGGGATGATGTCATGATTGCGGCTTTTGATACTCGTAACTGTGGACGTACTAACCGTATTTGTACTGGTGTACGAAACCGACAGCTTGTGGCTGAGAAATACCTCGTATTCGTAACGGTGTCTGTAATACCAACTCGTCCGAATTGATTTCCATTGCCCATTGCCCGGGCGCAATGGGACCGCCGGATCGTAACTCGCAGAGGATTCCCAAATTCTGTCTGATCGTCAATGTTCTTCTCTCATCGTGCTCGACCTTGAGCTCGTAGCGACTGCCGAGTTTGGCGACGAATGCGAACGCCCCCTAAGCCCCATTGATTTGCGGCTGCCTGAGATATTTTGCCGGCCTGAAGGTGCGAGCTCGGTCAGTTTTCTCGTACGAATGCGGCACTTCGCGCTCACCAAGCCACGAAGTCTTCAGAATTGAACCATTCAGTATGCCAAGGGAGGGCATCCAGGCGGCAGATTTCCCGCACGTCATTTTACCGCCGAAGTGACTGTAACTCGTGCCAGAGACAATGATGCACAGTCAGTCTTGGTGGGCAGTGACTGTATCTTCGTTTGGATGCCCTGATCAAGGATGAAATTTTTTTAAGGTTGGAGATTAAGTTGCTGCAAAGCATCTGCATCTGACCATGACATACGTCAAACCCGATCTACGGTTCACTGCTGACCCAAATTGGTATCAACATCTTTGCCATTTGTATCTTATTCAAGACCATGAGATGAATCACTATTCTTGGGCCGAGTTCCCAGGTCTTCGAGTGACGACAACACAAGACATCACTGCATTTACAGACATAGTAGGTACGGCACACGCCCTTTCTGGTCCGTTCGCCATCGGACAACTCCCAAGACCAATGTTGTCTCACCCGGTACATTATTGACTGTAGTCAATAATGTCACCTCCATCACTCTTGTCAAAACCTCTGTGATCCTGTTCCGAAGATCTTTTTACTCGGTCGGGCCGGTCTTTTGTGCTTTGCTAAGATCCCCGGACCTCAGCTGCTCCGGACGACCTCGACCGGGGCACTCCATCCTCTTCCCCCCCAGCACCCTTTGCCGTTTTCTATCAAGGCGACTCCGGTACAGGCGCTGATGTTGACGAAAATGAAGCGCACGTTATCGAATCCGGGGTTGTTGGAACCTTTCGACAAATCACGACAAACTCCGAGATTCGGCATTCGGTACACAAGCCTTGGCCTGGCATAGCTGACGGAACAAGTCACGCCTTGTGCCTGGGCTTAAGTATGCTCGAGAGAACTCGATGAAAACATCCCACTGAGTTTGTTCACTGCATTCCAGATACTTTTCTTGAAACAGACCAAAGCTATCAATCTCCACCCAGAATCTTTGAGGAGAATGGGTGCCCCAGATATCAAGGCGGATGCGAGAAGGGTGGTAGATGTGCTGAAAGCTGGGGGAATTGCTATCATTCCTTCGACCATGGGTTATGCACTTGCCAGCTCTACCACTGCTTCACTGGAAAAGATGTTCTCAACCAAAAAGAGAGGTACACACAAACGACACGCCATGGGCGGAAACTATGCCCTCCATAAAGCCCTTCACATCATGAAGCCCGAAGATGAAGAGATCGTTCGATGTTTGACCCAGGACTTCGACCTACCTCTAGCCGTTATCGCCAAATACGACTCATCAAACCCCATGTTCAAGGATCTCGACCCATCCACTCTGGAGGCACTGACTGTCGATGGTACACTTGCCATGTTGATCAATGCTGGATCGCTCCAGGATGAGATTGCCAGCCTCATGATGGAGGCTAAGCTCCCCTTGTTGGGCAGTTCGGCGAATATCTCAGGCACAGGTACACTTTACCCGGTATCTCCATCTCGACCACCACAAGACTAACTTACTGCACTAGGGACCAAGTACGTCGCCGACGACATTCCCAAGGAGATTCTTGATATTGCAGATGTTGTGATCGATTATGGGCTTGTCAAATTTGGATACCACGGGAGGAGTTCGACGATGATCGATTTCAGTGGGCCAAAGCCAGAAATCGTACGGATCGGAGTTTGCTACGATGTGATCAAGGACCATATGAAGCGCTTTTGGAACATTGATATTCCCAACGATCCAGGGAAGGAGGCACTCCCCCATGGACATCTTAAGAACCTCCCACCGTTGGCCTCGCTGGAAAGACTAGTGGCGAGCTAGACAATGATGGGGTTCGAACTATGGCTCATGCTCCAATATCAAACTAGACCTTTTGTGGTCAGATAAATGTCATCCATTCTCCGATGTGTCGTCTCGTTATCTCTCCGTATCACTGTCGATACACAGAATAAGTCCAGTCTCCTGCCCTGCAAATCTCTCGATATTGACGGCCGTTACTTGTTCGACCTAGTATTCAACACGATATCTTGAAAACTTGGGAGTGTCCCAATCTATGAGTCGCAGAACAAGTTGGTTAAAGCAGCCCGGGAGATATTGCAATGAGCCGCTGCGGACATGGAAGACTGTTCGAGACCAAGTCACCTTACCTTTCCGTTGGAACCTCGATCCCGCCAAAGATGCAACCAAGAGAGTGAGTATCAGTACGGTGAACAACACTTCACTCGAGGGTCCACAGACGAACAACAAGTTGCCCTGGCAATTAGATCAGTGATTCTTCGTGTCAAATCAATCACCAAGACCCCTGTAGCGAGGGTCTCACGGCCCTTTACTGAATACCTAGGGACCTCGTGGCCATAAAATCGGAGACTTTAATCATATTGGAATAACGAATTACTATGTTGCACATTCACAGAGAGTCAAGTAGGCACCCCTGAAGCCAGTGCCCAGATTGCCGCCTCTTGAAACACATTCGCCTCCGCAATGCCGATATTTCGGACTTGAAGCCAGCTTACATAGGTTACTGTTCAGGGCCATCCACCCAAGTGCCGATTTCTGGACTTTACAGTGGTCCGGGCTCCCCAAAGTTTCCCCACAAGGAAACCCCATACCAGGGACTTTGGACTTCTTCCAGCCATCCTGGACCTCGTGGGTTGCCGATTTCCTGGAAAAATTCGACAGCGTAATCACAATCAGGAGTGGTATGACCCAGGATGGGCGACAACTATAAGACCAGATGGGAACCCCCCGTCCATGCACACCCCAGGCGAAACAACTTCACGACACGATGGAATCTATCCCAAGAGACATCAGTGCTACTCCTTCGCAGAAGGAAGGCGCCATCGAGGCCGAATCTGTCCACAAGGAGGTGGAAGTTTCAGATGCGACACAGCATAAGAGCAAAAAGGAGAAGAGCCTCTTGTTAAAGCAGGACCTCTCAATTGTCTTGCTGCTCTTTGGCTGCTACTGGTTTGCCTACCTCGTACGTTCTCCATGGCTCGTCAATATGTTCAATGGCTAACTGGACGTTCCCTCTCAAAGGACCGCGGTGCTCTCGGAAATGCTCGAATCATGGGATTTCAGTCCGACCTTCACTTGTCCGGCAGCCAGTTCTATAACTGCTTGATGATGTTTTGTAGGTGCACTCCCGCGCAGGGTGCCTTCTCCCCCAGCTGGACCGACCACTAACACAAGTCCAGTTGTTGGATATCTGGTGTTCGAGCTCCCCGCGGCACTAGCGCTACGTCTCTTTCCTCCAAATTGGGTCTATGGTGTTGCAGTCATCATGTTCGGTGTCCTTGCGACCTCCATGACAGCCGTCAGAACCTACGCACCCATCATGGTCATTCGACTTCTCCTTGGGCTTTCTGAAGCCACCATACAGACTGGTTTCCTCTTTCTCACTCTGTGGTATCGACGAGAGGAGGTCACAACCCGCGCCGGTACCTATCCTATGACCTCAGGTCCTTCGCCTCAGCTAATTGAGCCTAGCCTTTTACTTTCTCGCGACACCTGTGGCCGGAGCCACCAGCGGACTGATTGCGTACGGAGTGCAACGAAATCTGGACAACAAGCTCGGAAGAACTTCATGGGAATGGTTTTTTTTGATCGAGGGTGTCCTCACCATCGCTTGGGGAATCCTTGTCCTCTCATTCTTGCCCAAACTTCCAGAGACGGTGGCACACAAAGGCAGCATTCTCTTCCGAGATCCGCAAGAACGACAACTCATCCTCGACCGAACGATTGCTGCTCGTAACACGCCGGATGCCAAACCGCGCATGTTCCAAGCGTGGTGGGCGCTGAAAGATCCGAAGACCTGGCTCTTTGCGCTGGCCCTTGCCGCTGCGTCTCTCGATGTCGCTGCCTTTGGATCTTTCCTACCCACATTTATCCGTCAATTCGGTTTCTCTCCATGTAAGTTTTTAATCCCTTCAAGAGTCCCTCATCAAGCGCTGACAGTGTGACAGTGGACACCCAGCTGTATAGCATCATTCCTTATGCCTTTGCCACGGTCACGGTGCCGACCGTCTCTATTTTGGCTGATCGCAGAAACAAGAGAGCTATACCCTTCCTGATCTGCATGAGCACAACACTGATTGGATTCGTTGTTGTATTGGCCACCACCAACAAGGTCGCCCTCGTCGTCGGCTGTTCTTTGATTGCTGCAGGATGTTATCCGGCCATTGTAGTCTGCGCCACCTGGGCTTTGAACAGCCACGGCGGCTACACCAAGAAAAGCACCGCTTGGGCAGTCGCCCAGGTATTTACGCAATGCTACAGCATCATCGCGACCCAAATCTACGACAACCCACCACGCTACTTCAAAGGTCATGGCATTTTACTGGGCCTTAACTTTCTGGGTGTCATTGCAGCTGTGGTCGCCTATCTCATGATGAAGAGGGAGAATAGGAGGCGAGATCTACTCGCTCAAGACTTTCTCGCACGGGGCGAGCATAATCCTGATTCCGACAAGGCTTACGAAGAGCTATGCGATTATCATCCCGATTTTCGATATCCTTTGTAGTATTCGGCCAGTACTGGTAGACATAGCATAGGCAGAATCTTTCTAGGACGTTGTGCGAACGGGTATCGTGGGATGACCAGTAGTATTACCTAGGACTGGTAATCAGCTGGTCATCAAGTTGAATTGGCAGGGAACCAATGTAGTTTGAGGGAAATAAGACTAGGAATGCTTCAAGCAACTCTCCTCAGTCATTGGCGATTCTGCGCCGAGACCTTCAGGCACTAATTGCCCCTCCATAATTACTAGTATATAAAGACCTTGTTCCACCCCCACAGAATTCCAAATCCTCCTTCATCCCAAAACCCCCGACTTCACATTACTCGAAGTCTCCCATCATGCTTACTCACCTGCCGACGAAGTCCTGATGCATCACTTGGTGGGCTAGCGCTTGGCCAGTAAGTCCCAGACTATGGCCGAGGGCTTGGGGAGAGTGCGATCATGTACCGAATGTCGGATCCAGAAGGTGTGAATGAATTGGCTTTTTGTGATTTGCAAGATACCGTACTAACAAGTTGATCCTCGTGGCAGCTTAAATGCGATGCGCGGGATGATTACCTGAGACCATGCACACGCTGCAGAAAGAAGAATCTCTCTTGTGAGTTTTCTCGTGGCATCCAGAGGAGCCAACGAAAAACGTACGTCTTGTTGCCTCGATGAGGCCGATCCTTTCCAATGTGTTCATCACTCAATCGCCCAACAGAAAAGCACAGCTGGTTCGAGAAAATGCAAGCCTTCAGGAGCAGCTACGGACCAGCACTCACCCTGCCTCTTTCTCGACTGAAAACAGTGCCGTGACCGTCTCTCCGCAAACCCAAGGAGGCGCTGCTCCGGTGTCGCATTTGCATTCCGGCTCTCAAACGGGTCGTGACGGCGGCGCTCCGGTCTCACATCCTCCCATGTTAAGCAACCCGGGGGACGGTCACATAGCACAACTGATCGATCTACCGAGTGTCCCGAGATCAGTAACGAACGGGTTTCAAGTGACTACGCCTACATTGCAACTGGAACAAATTCACACACGCAAAATTCATGATTGTTTCAGACTGTGAGTATTCTCCCGCGATTCACCACGGGCGCTGTTTGGCCAACACGGAGCAGCTTTTTCCTACATTATGAGCCCTTCATCCCGGGCTTGTTCGATCCCAACGTATCACCCGAGGAATACTACGAACAATCTCCCTTTCTTTTCTGGTCAATCGTGGCAACGGGGGCTCGCAGATACACTCAAGATCCAACGCTCTTTCAGCGAGTGGTGTCGCAAGTCCTACAGATTGCTCTGGGGACGCTCTTTTCCCATACAAACTCGATTCCGTCGATTGAAGCCGTCTTGATTCTATGCTTGTGGCCAATCCCCCAAAACACAATGTTCCATGATTCCTCACATCCGCTCGCCGGGATCGCCATGCAACTCGCGGTACAGAATGGCCTCCACATATTTGGCCGCGAGCAAGACTACTCGCGTCAAAACATCAACGCTGCAGACAGTAAGGTGTCTTTGCGCTTTCGTCTGTGGGTTCACTGTGTCATCGTTTTCCAGAAGTAAGTTCTACACCTGGTACTTGAAGTGCGAGTCGTGCCTGTGTCAAGTTAACATCTTTGCCTTCTTAGCACGAATCTGATCAAGGGCTTTCCCTGCTGGTCCGTCGCCGAATACAACAACACCGTTGACTCCAATCTGCTCCTCGAGCACAATCTATCGTCTTCGTTACTCTATCGTTACAAACTTCATAAAGTACAGACTGACGCAATCCGAACCATCGCCCAAAGCACCCAACTCTTGGACCCAGATTGCGGACGACCATTGAACTCTCTCATCGACATTTTTGATACACAGGTCAGAGAACTAGTCCCTACCGCCGACGTAGGGCTTGGTACGTCGACTCGACTGCTTTTGATGTGTCAGGATTAGTGGTACTGTTGCTGATGATTTCTCCAGATGTTATTGTGCAGATTTGCACCCGATTGGCCATCAGAGCATTTCACTTTTTTGCGGCACCGGACACGGCACGGACGGCAGGACTCGTCCAGCTTTACACTCTGTCCTGCAACGTGCTCGACATGATACACGAGTTTGACCTTGTCAACGAATTCATTCTCTATTCGACCCACTGGCTCTACATGATGGTTCTTATGGCGGCAATGAGCATCCTCAGGATCACACGGAGCGAACTTCGGACTCATGTGGATCCGGCGCATGGTGAAAACGCCTACTTCAAAGCCATCAAGTTTTGCAAAAAGCGGTCCGCTGAAAACAACGATCTGGATTCAAGAGGTACCATCATCTTGTCTCAGCTCTGGGCAAATGATGGCATGTTCCGCAAAAATGATGGGACAATGGTAGGAGATCGGTTGCGACTGAGAAGTCGACTGGTGAGTCTGACTGAGATTTTTGTACATCATCACATACGGAGTACTGGCGGGAGCACGTATATGACTGACAGTTCTTGGCTGCTTTTGACTAGTTTACGAGCGTTGTCTTCGATACACTGTGGCACTGGAGAGCAACTTTCGGTCACTGGAAAGCGAACCCATACAAGGCTGACGACGATGAAACAGCGATACAATCCACAGCAGACCAGCCGCCGCCCGTTGGCTTATCATGGACACCCGCCTCACTCTTCACAAACCTTCCACCCGGTGGTCTTCAACCAGACTTTTCAGCAACTCCTTCGGCGCGCAATATCTCAACGCTCCAGCCCGCGATGCTCGACGTCGATCCCTTTGACGTGTTTCCAGACTGGGAATGGGCCGCCGAGTTGCCTTTGGACGATACTGTCGATCTAGATTCTGCACGCTGAGGCCGTACTGACCAGAGATTGATTAGTGTAGTACCAACGGTCAATACACCAGGGGCATCGAGAGCCGAAGCTCTGGCAGGAGTACTCCGCCGGTACTGCAGTATGCGCACACTTTGGCAACCAAGGTGAGAAATCTTCCTTTCGGCACTCGTCGACCTTCAGTGAACAACACGACGATCTCTGGCAGAGGTATTTGCCAATGGTATTAATCGGTACCAATACTATATGTATATATATATATCGCGGCATGACCTCGAAACCACATATTCATGCAAATCTGACAGATCACTCCGCATGGTGCATAACTATATCACACTCGACAATGTCACGATCAAACCGATCAGCCAGACACTGTGCGACCGACAGCAGGACGTGCGCCATTTTGCGCGTCGTTTCAACAAGATACACCTCTTCATCACGCAGCAGGGAGGCGATATTGCTTCATGTCAAGGTCCTCCTAAACTACCTTCTGTCACAGGAGCTGGAATTTACCCTCACCAGGAGGAGGCCTCTCGTGACCTATGGCGCGAGCTCGTCATGTCGCCGGACCCTTGGCGCGGTGGTGTCACTCCCCATGGGCTGCGGAAAGACCCCTGGCCGTGATCCTTCTGATGAACGCGATTGTCACCAACATGCGGCGGGAACAACAACCTTCTTCTCGATGCTACAGATCAAAAAAGCTGTTGGCCGTGATTGTCTGCCCGGCATCTCTGCTAGACTGTCCAATTGGGTCCGAGAGTTTCGCCCGTTGGAATCCCCCTGGACTGAGAAGGCTGAAGGTCGAGATCCTGGGACACTCGGTCCTGGCCACGACACCGTCGAGAATAGGGAGGAGAATGGCGGAGTTTTGCTTGTGAGCCACGAGAGACATCGACAGTCGCTGAAAGGGTCCCGCAACGATGAGCTGAACCATTGTTGAATGAAATCGCAAAGAAGAATAGCAGATGCAAGGTTTTAGGACGATGGCACGACCAGATACTGGTCACTCGGAACTCATCAGACACCCCAGCAAAAGGCATCATTTTTCATCTACGATGGGACAGTGGACCTACTGGACGACGCCTCTATCGGCGCCAATTTTATTCCAAAAGAGGATCATCATCGCCGATATTGGGACTGTCCCGCCCAAACGGTAGACACACTTTCCCTCTCGAAATTCCCATAACAAAGCGCGAAGATCGATACGACAAGTCGGCCTTCATGACTGGATCTGATTGATGTGCCCGGCAGGCTTTTTGCGAAATCATCAGAACAATTGGGATCTCCTTTTGCTCGGAGACACCTAATTGGTATACATATTATATATACCACACTCTAATTCCAGCGATATGTGTGATCTCGGTGCATGCCAGCCAGTCAACCAGAGTATTGGGACTTCCTGGTGCCCTAGAGGGCAAAAACTCCTATTTGATATTAACGAAGACTTTGGGCTACTCTCCACCCTGCAACCAGCACCACCAGGTGAGTTTCTCTCCAACCCTCTCTCTCACAATGACATTCACTGAGCGTCAAAAGATGCCTTTCTTGAGCTACTTTATATGACCAAGGCAGGCGCCAAGGCTTGTTCGCTTTGACGGGGAATGATCCATACTTACTCCTCTGCATCTTTCAGCCCTGCATCTTCCGGGACCTGAATCTTCTGGATCTAAGTATCATCGCATAGTATATGCTAGACATAACGGGCGATCATGTCTCTCCAAAGACGTGTGTGTGTGTGTGTTTAAGCGACTTTTATGTTCCCAGAGGCATGCATGCATGACCTGGTTCTCTCTACTAACGGAACGGCGAATATCATACAGCGAGCACCACATGGAACGTTCTCGTGGAAACGACGACCACAGAGGCAGGAAGGGAATTATCTTCTGCCATCTCTGGTCAAACGTTCAAAGGTGATGCATCCGACATATGGTGTTAATCAAGTGGAACTGGTTCTACCCTCGAGGATCCAAAGTCTTGCAACAACAAAATTATGATCATATACGCACAACGAAGCACTTGCACCGAGATATGGCGGCATAACCCCGAAATGAGGCACTGGAGAAAAGGAATGAGAAATGCCCAACTAAAAATCATCCGGCGGGAATGGGAGGCCCGGAAATACCGAGGCACCTAGCCCGTCCACCTCTAACATCTGAATCGGATCTCCGCTGAAAAGACCTCCGCAGAATTGACCTCAGCGGAACGGACCTCCGCTGAACGGACATCCACTGAATTGACCTCAGCGGAACAAACATCAGCTGAACAAACGGACATCCGCAGAATAGACCTCCACTGAACAACCCTCTGCAGAAGAGATCTTTCACCCACATACTTTATCTCAGTCGACGCGGTCGAAAAATGGATCTGACACGAAACGATGCAGCCTATTTTCCTCGGTACAATATCATCGAGAGACCCTCTGCTTTATTTCTCCACTCCTCGAGTTCTTGGAGACTACATTCGGCGACCAAGAGAAAGTCTACGTTGGACCATATTTGATATCCTGTGCAGGGGGCTTTTTTTCCCCTGAAGCCTTTCCTATCGCCACAGCGTCCTTACCTTGTCTGAGATTCTGTCGAACTCGGGCTTCTTCTTCTCCTCCTCTTGACCGAGAACTCTCAAATACCCGAACCAGGGAGACCGGACTATGCATACGTGCTCACACAATACCGTGCTCGATCCCATCGGCGGTCTCGTTCGAATTCGATATTCTCAGCGTCCGAATGAGAACACACCATCCGAGATGTGTATACCTGCCGAAAGGTATCTTTCTCGAGACCACGATACTAATAAAATAACAAAAAGAAAATTGTCTAGGCTCACCGGGTGTGCTGGTCTTCACCAGAAATGCCACCCGGGGTGGGGCGCTTTGAAACATTCGAAGAACAAAATGAAGAAACCAAAGTGCGATTTCGATCTATTGTTATATATATATTTAAATATCGTTACCCGGCAGACGACCCGGGTCGTTCCACAGCGGCACTCGACCGATTAAAACTCAGAGGAAAGGCACATTTTCGAGAACAACAAGATCGGATTGTGGGTATCTGCGCAGCTTGGGCGTCATTACGTCTCAAGATGTCTCTATATCCGATCATGAAACAAGCAAGTACAGATATCTATCTACACCTGCGCCAATTAAAAAGAAGGCTGTTCAGAAGGAACTGAGGAAAGAGCGCCCGCTAAAAGCTGTCATCTCTTCCTTAAGAGTAAGAAATGAGATTTGAGCCTATGGATGACGACTGAGTTTGCCCGCGCCGTCTATATTGCCGCGTGTTATCATCTCATTAAGGCTGACAGCCCAGCATTCTTATGTCGCGACCTATATATAACCCTGTGATAAGAGGGTTAGATAGGGAGACTTTACCGTTAAGAATGTGATCTGAGCGTTGTGGGTTTATCACCGCACATTTGGAGGGAAGGCAAATCTTCATCATACGGCAAAAAACCAACAATCACAGTGCGATACCTACTTATTAGTGATATTAATAGCGGCACAGCCCGCAAACATCGCAAAAGACATGAAGGAATTCAGAGAGATAGCGGCTATATTCAGCAAACAACCGCAAAGCACGAGTATATATATATCGCTCAGAATCACTATCCTCTCGATAATGTGCAGAACATTGCAGAAGATCTGATTTCAGCGGCCAGCGTCTTATCCGACGAAGATACCTTTACCAATATCGAACAAGAACAAGAAACAGCATTTGAATCAGGCCTGCAGGATTCTTTGACCATTTCGGAAAGTACGCCTTTGATTAGACCTTTTTCGACAATGATTACTGGGTCATTTATTGATCTCCTCGTGAACCTCTCGATACCATGCCTCCGCACTCTATCAGCTCCGCTGTTTGGGCCTTAAGCTCGGTATATCATTCATCATCAAATCACTCAATTAATTGAGCTAAAGAGAGCATTGAAGGAACTAAATCGAACTGACAATCTGATAACGAAAGACCCACGAGAGATCAGGTATGGATTCACACATGGATCTACATGGTCACAGTACTGAAGCACAAGCCCCCCACGCTCAAGAAAAAAAGAACCCCTAGAGGCTCCAAGGATCAAGATTCTTTGATTTCTCTCCTGTCGCTTTTCGCTACTCTCACTAGCAGCTGCTTCCGTCCAGCCAAACAAGCCGTCTGCACCATATCCCGTACTCAGGTGCGTTCTGAGCGCCCCTGTCTATACGTACACATGCCTCCAGCAAGAAAATCTCAGTAAGGTGTTCCCCCTGTTCAGGTACACGAAGTCGTCTTCAGGTCCGCGGACAGAGCTACAGCAAATTTTCAGATCGCGAATTTGAAGCTTCGAAGATAAAGTCTCCGATGCAACATGAGATGACCTGTCGAGTCGAGCTTCATGAGCACCCAAGCGTGGAGGGTCCTGGCTGGATCTTTGGTTCTTGATGAGCCTAGAGGCATGCCAGGCCAGACCGCCCCTCGACTACGCCGTCACCTCTTCAGAGCTAAAGCGCTTTGGAAAAAGCTAGGTGCAAAAAGAGGGACTTTAATTTGCTCACTTAGATGAATCTCCTGTCAAGACACATTAGATGGCTTTGTCGGAGTTTAATAACGCGGCACTAGAATTGCCCGATCCGGGAATCTACAAATCGTCGCCCAATGACATTTGGATTCATCAAAAGGGGGCGGCTCTCTTCTGGGTTCTTGTTGCGCGCGACGAACTCCCTCCGGCTTCAGTTATGCCAGTGATTTTGCTGGCGGGATGCTTTCCCGCTGCTTCGTGATGGCATTTCGGATTGGTCCTCTATATGATCCAGAGATCACAGTCGAGAAACGGGTGTCACACGCACGAAGTCTAGAAACAGGTCATCGAATCTGATTCCGACTTGTCTGATGCCCGACGGGCTAAAAAGAACTGGGCTCGTCAAGAAAATAAAGACGAATCCGAATTCAAGTACCCTCGGAGGATCGGGATTTAGCTTGAGCTCGTCATAACGATCGGGTGGATTTCGCTGTCTCGAGTCGGATGGAACGCTGACCCGTAATCTGCGTTTTCTCATCTATTATTAACCTCAGAGACACTCATGAGTTATGGAAGGTAGTCGATACGCTTCTGGAATTCTGCACCGAGTTTGTCGAGCTCAAAAAGCGTGGATTCGACGTCCCAGAATGTAAGGGGTAGGCCTGGAAAAGGCAGGCAAACCTGCACCGCATGGAAAAACATCGACACTCGGTCGAGTTTGAACCTCGACGACGACTTGCTTTGGCAGCTCCAAGGGCGAAGCGAGATCAAATGCAAAAATCTTCCTCCCCTTAAAGAAGGCCCGATACAGGACACTTATTCATCTTAATCAAGAAGAGACAGAGACGATAGTATCAGTGAGGCCATATCAAACTACTTCGTCGACCCCAGTATACAACTTCATGGCTGAATGCCCTTCTTACCTAAGATCAGAGTTGTCTTCTACACTTTAACACCTCGCCTGTTGGTCAGATATATTAAAGACTCTCGAGGATCTCAGAAAATATTTGTTACCCACCCAATCTTCAAATATTGGAATCGAAACCACCAAAAAGTCACAGCAAACTACACATGGACCGATTCGGGGCGCAGCAACATCCTTAATCACTTCTTTTTCCGCCGACTACACAAGACCGGTACCGACCAAGACAGACATTTATGACTATGACAGTATGAAAGGCTCAGAAGTTAACAGTGATTGAATACAAAGATAATTACAACCAGCCCCCCCCAAAGCCTTTTCAAAGATTTGTCAACGGATACGAGGCTGAAACACCCCTCGAACGCCGACGCCACGAAAGCGATCAGCGTCATCTCCAATCCTTTCTCCTCGAGACCGGGGCAAACGTGTTGTGAGAGATACAGACCGACCTAGATCCTATGTATATACACCGTACACGGTGGAGAAGATAACACTGGCCCGCCGGGCGTCTTGTTCTTGCATCAGATCGAGTCACAGCAGGCGAAGGGTGTCGCTTGCACTTAAATAATCGAGCGATCATCCTTCTAAACAAAATGGGGTTGACATACGAACAATTCATCTCTCGCAGGGCAGAGAAAACGCCATTGTCACACACGAAACATGAATGAGGACGGCAACACAAGCTTACAATTATATATGTGGTCAATGAATGGCCCACCTTTAGGCTTCTTAATGAGGCGATGAGTATCTCAGATCGTGCCTCGAAGAAGGTAATACGATCGAATACCGGATTGCCATATATACACCCTATTCTGAGTTGGACGAAAATTGACCGCGTCGATAGAGCATATGCGGATGATATTAGGTACCATCATGTCAAGAGTGTTACTTACGACTCATGGATGTGATTTTGGTGGTATATTCTATCGAATGAGCCACGCAGTGAAGCGCTGAATACCAACAGATTCTTTTTCCCTTCATCGATGCACCAGTGGATAAATCGTCGACACTTTTGAGAACTCGGGACCATGCTACTGTATTTTTGCAGACCAACCAGGTTTCTTTCTTACAAGAAACAGCATCAAGAACCCAGAATGCCGAGAGCCTCTGCGGTTCCATGAGACGGACTCTGTTTCAAAACCCATCCCATCCTGGCAATATGTGCCTAGGAACTCTGATGCCTCCGTTGACCATGGGCAAAAATGCTGTATTTGAGGCCTGGGGGTTTGAACAACCTCACAACACACAACACTCTCGATGGGCAGACACCGTGACGGAGAGAAAAACGTAGCAGTTGAAGTTTGCAAATCAATATTGCATCCATCACGATTTCCACCATCCTTCCACGAAGAACGCGTGACACATGTGGTAGCAATGCTTCCGGCAAGGTCCTAGAAAGTCGATTGATCTTCTGCAGTTTAGATGAGCGTGACGTGTCGCTCGCCCAAGGTCTCGATTATCCTCACGTATTCCCGAGCATCCATATTCTTACCATTTCTTCTTACATCTCCTGCCGGGTTCCACACAGGCTTTCCTCCATCCCGTTGTATCTTGACACGAAATTCTTCGATCAAGGTCCCAGCCATGAATTCCATCATTCCGTGGATATAACAATCACCCAACAGGACATAGTGGTGTCTTCCAGCAATTGGTCGTAGCACAACGGGCATATCGTATCCTTTCACGATCGCCACAACATCATTAACTTTGACGATGCCGGGTACCAGGCAGAAATATCCTCGCTCCGAGACCCCGAATTGCTTCAATCTGAATGTGTCCATGTTGTCGAGAGCGTCATTGTATTTGGGTGCCCTACTCAGATCCGCTCCATCTGACAGCCACAAACGCCATTGAGACGCGCCATCAACCGCATACCGTGTATCGGCCAGTGTATCTTCGTCCGTAGTATTGGCTATGAGAGTCTTGTTCAGTGCGTCCAGAACGCCCTCGGAAGTTATGTATTCTGACGACGGGAGAGCATTGATGAATGACTGTGTCCTGGCATCGATGTCTGCCACGTCTTGACGTAGCTCTTGAATGTCGTTGGGCCGCTTCAACTTTGGTATGGTGCCACCGAGAAACACGCACGCATCCATCATGAGCACAGTGACCTGTAAGCTATAGCTTACCGAGTGCCTCACCTGTCCCTCCTCCCAGAGCAGATGTTCAAGAAGCCCGCGCCGTTTTTTAGGTATTCTTTCAGCCTTTGCAGTAAACCCTTTCCCGCCAGCGCACCATTCGATGTGGTTGATGTACTGCGTCCAGGGCTATTCTCTCCAGTCTATCGTCCAAGAAGGAAGTCCGCAATCTGTCCCTTGCTGGCACACCCCGGACCACCCAAGGACTTCTGGGTTGCCCCTCTCTGCCATCCGCATGGCAAAATCCACATACAGTTCCTGCCATGGAGTTGTGTAGTCAGGCTGTGGTGCCCAGTCATCGGCTTGGAGGTCGGACGCGATATTGCGCATGGCGAAAATCTTGTCCCTGGGGTCGAAGCACCTTTGACGCCACGCCACGCGCATCGCATCTGTCAATGACAGGACAAAGCGTGACGGAGCATTGCTGTCCACCAACATCTGTCGAACCCGAAACTTCTGAATGCCGGTCACAGCAAAGAGATTGGGCTCCAGCACGTCATAGCCCTGGTCTGGTAGGAACCAATCCGGCCATGCCATGGTGACTTTCGGCTGGAAGATCCACGCCAGGGCGAATATCTGCGCCCATGGTATCTCGTCTTCTCCACACGCCACTACCGGCACAGGACTCATGGCTGCCTCTTGCTCTGTCCAGACACGGGTGAACCACGGTCTGAGAAGGAATTCGGCGCAAGCATTGATTGTGGTCTCCTTCTGCGGATGTGCGTCAAACATGTCGAGGACGAACGACTTGGTCTCGTGATAAAAGCTGTAGCCAAATTGCGTAACGTACGGCATGTATTCGTCCAAGAATGTCTGGGCTTTGAGGCTTCTTGCATACGTGATGGCGGTGCGTGAGCTGTCGTCGGACGGTCCCATCCAGACCATCGTCTTTGATGCATTCTGGTATACCTTGTACATTAGACTCACCTCACGGGCTTTTTCGAGAGGGTCGTCCTGGTCGATACACGCGACATCAATCCACAGAGATACTGTTTCCTCGATTGAGCGAAAACGGCGAAGCACCTCATCAGCGTTCTTGTAAATACCTAGTCGGGTACCCGAAATAAGGACGTAATGATCCGAACGGCTGTCATTGCCACATACATACGAAGTTGCGGTGTAAGCCCGCGAAGTGTCAAGGAGGTCGTGGACGACAAGTTTTCCCGAGAGTTGCTCGGACTGATTGCCAGGGAAGAGTTCAAGAAGGCGGATGAAGTCGCCCTCTTGTGGGAGTTTGACATAGACCGAGGCCCTTGTTGTAGTCATATTCTCGCTTCTTGTTTAGCCAACAGACGTGGAGGTGGGTTCAGCGGGTTGTACTTTGTTTCATATTAGGTCCGAGACTTTCGAGGGAACACAGCAGTACAACTTCTGGATGAGATAGTTTGGTCGCTTATGCCTCGCGCGAAAACAGAGCTTTGTTTACGATGCAATCCACACCAATGAGTACATGGCGGAATATCGCTTATTAGGGCCAACGCATATGCATATACTCCGACTCCTTATCTGCATGCCTAATGTACACGCAGTAAGCCCAGCACTGCAGAGAACAGTAGGTCAGTCTCATGGTCTCCCCAATAGTCCTTCTATTCTGTATTGTTGCCGCAGGAGATGCTTTGGTCTCGGCCCTTGTCCTTTGGCCCTGATACTTGACCAATATACAGCACGTTTGGGGGCGTTCTCCGTTAGCAGAATCAGCGCAGTTGACTTGGAGTCCCTCGGGAGGTGTTTCTTGGCTCTGAAGGGATCAAGGTGCTAAGAGCTAAGTTTTGCTGATACAGTATCTCACCCTCGACAGATTGATGATCTCGGGTTCAATAGCAGGTATGTATTGAAGACGAGTTATCCATCTGCATAAACCGCGGACGTATGGAAGGGCTGCACAGAGCGGTTCTGGAGCTACCAATTAGGCTGACCTCGGCTAGCAAAAGCTCAGGGCGTCAAGGCTCAGGCTGTTCGCCGGAGTGCAGGTGGGTAGCTCCGCCAAACTTATCGCTAGAGGCTTACTTTAGGTATTACTTAGGCGTCCAAAATGGATGTTCGATTCTTCCAAACGCATTTTTCAACCAAGTCTACCTTTTATAACCCTGGACCTTTGTATGATCGCATTTCCCCTCGAAGTCTTCGACAATCCCCTTTGTTACGGACGACCGACGGAGTTCTCGGACATGTCGTGACTGCGAAGTCCGTCAAGCGCCATGGCTTTAGCCCTCTCACTCAGGACGACTCCGAATGCCTGACAAGCCTACAACGGTAGTCGCCTACGCGGCGGGTGCTTCACTTGCTGCCATTGCTGCCTTTTATGTCTTTGGGCCGACCTTCTTTATCGATGGCGAAAACTCCTACCATACCAACGACGGGCGCAAACGGACCATCATCGGCCTGTCGAACCCCGCGAATGACTGTTTTATAAATTCCGTGCTGCAAGCCCTAGCCGGCCTAGGTGACCTACGGTTATACCTCATAAAAGAGCTACATCGGAGACAGCTGGATGGCCCAGAGATATACGAGTCGGCGCCTTCGCTTCTGCGAAAGGGCGAGAAAGCAGATAAAGTGGTGAATTTGCAAAAGGGCCCGATTACAAAGGCCCTGAAAGAGATGCTGGATGCACTAAACGAACGCCCAATATACAAGAAGACAATCAGCGCACGGCCAATGATAGAAGCATTGGAAAGAGCATTTCAGACCAGGATCAGTCGAAACCAGCAAGATGCACAAGAGTTTCTCCAAATTGTCCTTGAGCGGCTTTGTGATGAATATCATGCAGCACAACGAGCGCGCTCGAGAAATCTGCATCCTGAACAAGCTGAAGACGGCGAGCCTCTGGAACGTAAAACAACAGGCCTGGCACCGGCACTATCTGAAGTTTCAGTCGGCACAAACGAGGGATTCCCATTCGAAGGGCGTATGGAGTCCCAAATCCAGTGTATGCGCTGTGGCTTCAGGACGAAACCGAGTGTGACCACCTTCGTTTCCTTGACACTGAATGTTCCGATGAAAAGTACTACATCTCTCGATAATTGTTTCGACGGCCTCCTCAAGAGCGAGGAAATTGACGACTTCAAGTGCGACAAATGTCGGCTAAAACATGCATTGGAATGGAAGAATAATAAAATAAAATCGGCAACGACTGAAAAAGAGCGCACAGAATTGGAAAAGGAAGGGGAAAGAATCCAGCAGGCTCTTGATGAAGACCCTGAGCAAGCCCCAGAAGGAGTCACGCTCCCCGATTCCAGTCTCGCCCCTAAATGTAAGATTAAGAAATCAACCCGCATCACCATGTTTCCAAAGGTCATTGCGATCCACCTGTCGAGATCGATGTTTGACCGTGAGAGTTACTCGACGAAGAACATGGCCAAGGTCTCATATACCCAGCGACTACGTCTGGGTGGGCTATTAAATGAGAAATGGTACAAGTTACTGGGTGTTGTCTGTCATAAGGGAAGCCATCACAGTGGACACTACGAATCATTCCGGCGCAATCATCTCTACCCTCCCTTTTCTACCCCTGATGCATTCAGCGCCTATGCAACCCGCAATCCGAGTACTGTTCCGTCTGCGACACCAAGTCCAAGCATCAAGGCTATTCAAACCAATGGCGCGAGCACGGCAGCTGGTCCGTCGGAGACACAATCGAGTTCGTCCTCGGCGATCTCGTTACTGGCGAGCAACAGCAGACCGACATCCAAAAAGGATGAGGTGAAAGGTGATTCTTCCTCGACCAAATCGACGAACAATGATGCACAGACAGAGACGTCGCCCTTGCAGAAGACTGAAACCCAAACTTCTAGACCTCAGATAAGAACGCAAGAAGCATCTGCGAGCAAGTTCCGCCGACGCAAGAAGTCAAATGATCGCTGGTGGCGTATCTCTGATGATAAGATCAAAGAGGCCCGAACATCAGACGTTTTGTCTATGCAACGTGAGGTGTATCTGCTCTTCTACGAACTCGAGAGACCAGGTGACGATGCAGCGTCCTGAACTTGCTTCTGTTCTTCGCTTGTTGCAGTAGGTAGATTTGGAGCAAGCATGGTGTGATCTCTGACGGTTTTATCACACGGTACCAAGCTAGCCTTGGATAGCACAGCATCACTTGAACCATGTGTACATATGGCAGTAAACATAAACAACTCCGATGACCCCCTTCTCCCGCTGTTTACATGGACTAATATGACCGAAGTCGTGGAAGACCATTGCCTTGCGGAGTGGGACATTCGTGGGGACCCCCGTTTCCGTGATTTCCCGCTGTACAGGGTGTTTTCAACAGAGAAAGGCGAACTGTCTGACGGGCAACCTCCAGCTGCCATAGTGGCACGAAGTTCATAATAGTCAGTCCATCGTGAGCGCGGGACGTTGAAGTTTCTGCAGTTGTGATACGATGCACAGCATAGTCGTGGTGGTCTGTTGACCGCAGCATTCGTAGCCAAACACCCCTCCCAATGCTCCGGCTTCCTGAAAGAAATGTTGAAACCAAATGCCGGACTCAGTTCTTGGTTCCCACGTCAGACCCCCGTTTTTCCGACCATTGACGGCGACGAAAAAACAAGGGAGAAACCGGCGGAGCAATTGTAGTCGCTGTATCGGACAATTCTGAAAAAGCCTTTGCCCCTCCATAGACGAATCTCTCCAATTCCATCCCACGGGCAACCATTTGCTCAAGAATCAACCGTTCAACCGTTTTTCGTTTGATTTCGTACTCTTCTTTTCCTACATCTCTAACTCGTACTCGAGAATCTCGTTTTCTACAACCGTTGTTTGAGCTCCTACAGCTGTATCAGTCTCCTCCAAGCCTAGGTACACATCCGAAGCCCCACCAAACAATCGTCAACATGGGTGTCAAGGACGTTTTGTCTCGCAAGGAAGGTGTCATCGTTGGTGATGATGTCCTGGCCTTGTTCAAGCATGCTCAAGAGAACAATTATGCTGTTCCCGCCATCGTGAGTGCTGTCGAGTCTGTAGGTCAACTATGCCTCGATACTGACCTTAGAATTCCTAGAACGTGACCTCTTCCTCCACGGTCGTTGCGGCTCTCGAAGCTGCTCGAGATGCGAATGCTCCAATCATCCTCCAGACTTCCCAAGGAGGTGCTGCCTACTTTGCTGGCAAGGTGCGTGGACTGATCAGATACAAGAGCATGGACTAAATTTGCACAGGGGGTCAAGAATGACAAGCAGCAAGCTTCGATCGCCGGTGCTGTCGCCGCAGCTCACTACATCCGAAGTGTTGCTCCCGCATATGGCATTCCAGTTGTCCTGCACACCGACCACTGTGCCAAGAAGCTGCTGCCATGGTTGGACGGCATGATGGACGCCGATGAGGCCTACTTCAAGCAACACGGAGAACCTCTGTTCTCCTCTCACATGATCGACTTGTCTGAAGAGGCAGTCGACTGGAACATCGAAACCACCGCCAAATACCTCAAGCGGGCAGCTCCCATGAAGCAATGGCTCGAGATGGTAAGGACGAGGCCATCCGCACATACAGCAAAGTTGCTAATTTGATCCTAGGAAATCGGCATCACTGGTGGTGAAGAAGATGGTGTCAACAACGAGGACGTTGACAACAACTCCTTGTACACTCAACCCGAGGACATTCACATGATCTACACCACTCTGAAGAAGATCTCGCCATACTTCTCCATCGCTGCCGGCTTCGGTAATGTCCATGGTGTCTACAAGCCAGGTAATGTTCGCCTTCACCCTGAACTGCTGGACAAGCACCAGAAATACGTCAAGGCAAAGGAGAGCACCCCGACCGACAAGCCCGTGTTCCTTGTCTTCCACGGTGGCTCTGGTTCAAGCAAGAAGGAGTACACGGATGCCATCAGCTACGGCATTGTCAAGGTCAACCTCGATACTGACTTGCAGTGGGCCTACCTCACCGGTATCCGCGACTACGTTATCAACAAGCACGAGTACATCAAGACGCAAGTCGGTAACCCCGAGGGTGAGGACAAGCCCAACAAGAAATACTACGATCCACGTGTGTGGGTTCGTGAGGGAGAAAAGACCATGAGTGCCCGTGTCGCCGAGGCATTGAAAGACTTCAACACGGCCAACCAGTTGTAGAAAGTGATCACTCGTAACGGACTGGAAAAAGTTTGGCTGTTGTTGAGAAGATGGGCAAGCGCCTTAAGGGTCTTTGGGAGAGCCGATGGTTGTTGGCCTTTATTTCTACGATGAAGCGTAGTCTTATGCCTTGAATACCACGATGGGCGAGTATTAGCAGCACAGAAGTAGCAAATTTACCCATGTGAAAAGCCAAACCTACCTAATCGTCACTAATTGTCTGACACTGAAAAGTACTCGAATGTGTGCGAGTGCGAGTACAAGAACGGGAGTATTTTGTAGCACAACAAATTCCTGTGGCAAGAAAAGGACCAGCTGCCCCCGCACTTTGCGAACACGCCAAAACAGAAGGTGGCTCGATTCGGCAGTACGTCACTGATTGACGAAATTTGGAGACTGCGCCTTCCGCCAACCAAGTTGTAGTCAAATCATGGACATGTCGGTGCCGTCAACTTGCAATGATGTTGTTGCTTCTCGCGTGCCATTTCGTTCGTTATAATAAATACTTAGTCTTCCCTTGTCGCACTCTTAGACTTTTGTAGTCGCAAACCCATTCCACGACCGCGCCAGCACCTATCAATCTCCATCGCCCGTCCGTGCGCACGCATCACGAGTCAACATGCCCGAGGTCGAGGGCGGCGCAGTACCGACGCAGAGCAAAGGTTCATGGTCTTCATTCCTCAAGGTCAGTTATATCTGTGACAGATGATGACCGCAGCATATCCCAACTGACTTATGTAGTCGATTGCCTCGTTCAATGGCGATCTTTCCTCCTTGACTGCCCCTGCCTTCATACTTTCTACCCAGTCTCTCGTCGAGTTCTCTGCGTACTGGGCTGAAAACACTTCGTTGTTCGTCGCGCCGACCCAAGAGCAGGATCCAGCCAAGCGGGCCTTGTTGGTGGTGAAATGGCTGCTCAATACGCTCAAACAACAGTATTGTTCAAGATCAGAAAAGTTGGGATCTGAGAAGAAACCATTGAACCCATTCCTGGGCGAGTTGTTTCTGGGTTCCTGGGACGATGAATTCGGCCAAACACGACTTGTGTCCGAACAAGTCAGCCACCACCCTCCTGTCACTGCCTACTGCATCACCAACGACAAGTACCGCATCCGACTACAGGGCTATAACGGGCAAAAGGCCAGCTTTAGTAGAACAATACACGTCAAGCAAATTGGACATGCTTTGTTAACCCTCTACCCACCCGGCAGCGACATTCCCGAGACCTATTTGATCACCTTACCTGCGCTTCATATCGAGAACCTCATCTACGGTGCACCGTTCGTCGAATTAGGCAAGTTTATACACATTGCCTCGACCAGTGGCTACGTAGCCAAGATTGACTTTTCCGGGAGAGGCTGGTTATCAGGCAAGAAGAACACCTTCACAGCTTCGTTGTGGAAGGATGGTGAAGGATCTGAAAAGAGCCCCATCTTCACCGGAGACGGACAATGGTCGGAATCCTTCACATTAAAGGAAGGGGAGGGCAAGAGGGCGAAAGAGATTATTACGTTCGCACCAAAGGATGCTAACTTGGCCAAACTTAATGTCGCTCCGGTCGACCAGCAAGACCTTTTTGAAAGTCGAAGGGCTTGGAGTAATGTGGCGCAGAGTATCGAGAAAGGTGATATGGATGCTGCTTCCCACTTCAAATCGAGGATCGAGAACGCGCAACGAGCTCTTCGCAAAAAGGAACAGGAGGAAGGTCGCAAGTGGGAAAGAGTTTTCTTCTCTCAAGCCGACCCCAACGACAATCTCGAAGTGGCGTTCCAGAAACTAGTACAGACAATCACAAACCAGGGTCTCAGCAGCTGGGAAGGTGTTGCTCCCGACAAGACTGCTGGCGTTTGGAGATATGATGACAAGAGGGCTGCTGTTGCAAAGAAACCCTTCCATGCTGAAGGATTGCTGGCGCTGGGAGAAAATCCAGACGGTACATCTGCACCAGTGAGTAGAACGACGACGAACCAAAGTGCAACTAAAGCTGGATGAGGTAGATATGATAGAGGTGGTTCGTTTTGATCATAGACAGGAAAGACAGGAAAGACAGGACTGTCGCCAGGAGGAGGTTCGGAAGTGTAACTTGGCTGTATCATTAGCTTCTGCTCGATTAGATGCAATGTTTTCGATGAGAACTCATCCTTTCGAGCATCCCGCGCCTTTGTGTTCTCAACTTACAGTACAAGTATGTCAACGTATGCGACCAACATAACCTCTGGCTGATGTCACCTGATGAATGGTACTTCTGTGTCGAAGCTCACCAGGCTGGGGCTGGTGTATTAATGCTAGTCGGAATCGGGCACAACGGTTGGCCGAGGCGCTTTGTCAGCTGCATCGAGCTTCACTCGGCCGATAAAATGTGACCAGTTTAACACTCCTTTTTCCTCCGTACCTGGAAGACGGAATGGACATGCCCAATCTCACTTGAAGTTTGGCCGAGTTCAGGCCAGCCCTGCGAGGTTCTCGGGCGCGTCACGGAGATAAGCAGATGTTGTCCAACCCTAAACTGCTCTCGCGCGTTCATATTACGCCCCGTAACACTCAAGGGGGGTAGTCTTCGGTCTCTGGCATCGTTTTCCCCTTGCACGCACGAAGGCTTGACGAAAACTCGAGGGCTTTGTTGGGAATGGGGAGCGTTCGGGCGGCAGCAGAGCAGGTTCGAGGAGCCATGGTTGGGATCGATAGAGCTGCTTCTCGTCAGGTTCAAAGTCTAGCTTACGAAGCAGTATTGTTTCGACCGAGACATGGAACGACATGCTGGGCGTGCGCGGGACCTGCTTTTCGATTCCGGAAAGGTATAATAAGGTCTGGCGGGGTCGCCTTGGGTCTGATGAATCGGCGTTCTGTCTCGACTACTGCTACTACCTCGTCGTCCTTTTCGGTACCCCATACACTTACGAATACGGGTCATCATACGCATCCTCACTCACGGCCTTGTTTTGTGCTTACCCGCGTAGCAGCACCACGACCACAGCCACAACAGTCCCAGAAACGATACCTTCGACTTGCACCTGGTCCAGGACAGAAATCGGACAGACCCAAAATGGCACCACCTTTCAATGATCTGAAATACTATACTGCCGCGACACCGGTACGTTTTTGGTCCTTTTGTCTTTTCTCTTTTCTCTCCGCTAGCATCCTAGCTCTTACAACAGCCTATTCGCATCTGCATTTCTAATAGCGAGCCCATGAGTTGGTCAAATATTTGATGTCCAGGACAACGTTGCCTTGCAGTGTCAACTCGTCACCCTTGCTGACGCTTGTGATTGAATAGAACGGTCTCAAGCCGGCCATTCTTTTGGAGGAACTCGGATTGAAGTATGAGACCAAGAGTATCGATTTCAGGTATGTCATGTTAACCCCGATCTCACCGTCGGGGGGTTTTCCTGTTTGACTACAGGGTGCCGTGTGAGGGGAGATGGGTGGAAGTGCTAACTCGCAGACAAACCTACAGGAGCAATGAACAAAAAGAGCCGTGGTTCATCGAGATCAACCCGAACGGAAGGATCCCCGCCCTCAAGGATGGCGAAATGAGGGTCTTTGAGTCGGGCGCCATCATGTTGTACCTGACAGACATGTACGACAAGGGTAAACAATTCACGTATGAGTTGGGTACTGAGGATTACTATGAGATGGTAAGCTTGGCACTCCTTTTTTTTGCACTTTGCTTCTCTTTTCAAAAGAACCACAAAAATGGTAGGTTGATGACTGATTTGGGATGTTTTCAGATGTCTTGGTTGATGTTCCAAATGGGTGGTATCGGTAAGAAGCTTTCAAGATTTCCCATGAGAGAATCAGTGTACCTGATTCATCACAGGTCCTATGATGGGCCAAGCGAACCACTTCCGCGCGATGGCGCCAGTGTACTCGGCCTACGGCATCAAGAGATACATCGACGAGACCAAACGTTTATTTTCGGTCCTGGAAATCCGACTGTCCAAGGCGGACTGGTTGGCCGGCGACAAGTACACCATCGCCGACATGGCCAACTTCTCCTGGGTCAGGGGAGGTCCGATGTTTCTGGACATCGACATGACCGAGTATCCCGGCGTGGACAAGTGGATGAAGAGGATCTCCGAGAGACCGGCCGTGGACAAGGCGAAAAAGGTCGGTGCGGCCCTCTCCGAGGACCAGCTCAAGGAGATGATCACCGGCATGAAGGCCAAGATGGATGCAAAGAAAGGTACGGCCGAAGAGGAAGGATCGTCCAAGGTTTAGACTTAGAGGCGTGTTTCGCTGTGAGTCAGCCTTTCATTTTTCTAGAGCGTGAGAGAGTTTGGAAAAAGAGTGGCTCATACAATGGTTACCTAGATCTAGATGACTCACGAGGAACACTTTTGACTTCTACATCCTGTAGTGTCAATAACTGCATAGACAGCTCACCTAATCAAGGCATCTCTTTCTCTCTCTCTCTCTCTTGGAGTTGTTTTGTTGCTTTTTGATCTTCCTTTTTGCCACATCCGCCTACTACCACCTCGACGATCCTCGACATCCACGCACCACATCTGCATGATTTTGTACTAATTTTTGGGCGAGATATCTTTATCAGGCTGCGATGGCGGTGCGAGGCAGCTCCTCGACACGGGTTAGAAGAATATAATATCCGACAATCATAGGAAATAGGGGCTGAGATTCCCCTTGGCCTCAGCAACGACATGGCACAGCCGAGTCCCGACGACAGTCCCATCGAAAGGTCCGATGGCAGCCTCACGGATAAGCCCAACGACAGTGACGGGGTTGTTGAAAAGTTCGAAAGTGGTGAGAATCAAAAAAGCCCCACGTCATCACCATCACCACAGTATGGACACAACATTCGCAGTGCCCGTGTCACGGACAAGTATGTGTTTTTCTGGAACGGTCCCCTGTCGAACTGGAACGCTGGCCGACCTTTTAGTGGTCGTCGAGCAATGGACCTTTTGATCGACAGACTCGACCGCTCCCAAATCTCTCGTCCGTCCCGTACGGCGTTGTCAACTGTCATGATGGGCCGTCACGAATTCAACTGTGGTGAACAATTCATGATGGCCTGCAAGGGTTGGTTGTTTGAGACGGCCACGATCAGAGGTGCAGACTTGGATACGTCGACGCTTGCAGAAGACAATGTTGAGAGGATTTGTAAAGCGATACTAGGGGATGGAGATGACGGTACCAGAAAACAGGGGCAGGGACAGCGACAGCAACCCGTCGGACATGAACGTGTACAGCAATCTAAGCCAGACCAAAGGAAATCGAACACCACCATCAATAAAAACACCAGGAACAAGAAGTCGTCGTCGTCGTTGTCGTCGTCGTCGACGACGAAAAAAGATCGAAGAGGCATCGATGTTGATGTTGACGTAGAAACCGAGATTGACATCGGAATCGATCATGATGGTATCGCTGGAGGCACTCTCGCTGCTTGCCTCCTCACGCCGGACCCGAGGTTACAAAAGGCCCTGGGCAGACGCACACGCGGGTTCGACGAGAAAGTTTGGAAAAAGGCGAGCAAAGCTGTCGCGGTGGCGGGTAGTATCGCCCGCGCCGAGGCCGACGAGGAACTGCGACACGTGTATTTGGGTGCGGCCGGGGTCGAGTGTAGCAACAGAAACTTTGTAGAAGGGTCACCTATGGACAAAGTCTGGGGCATTGGATTGAGGTGGGACGATCCTTGGGCCGACGACGAGACACATTGGCGTGGCGAGAATAGACTTGGAAAGTGTCATGACGAGGCTGCCGAATGGCTTAGACAGGAGTACAACAAGTGAATTGAAGGAAACGTGGAAAAGTGAAAAATACCAAGTACTATTGTGAGTTTGGCATATCCAAAATCCTAAAAAAACGTTATATCGTCTGGGTATCGTTATGTAATGTGCTGTACTGTACTATAGCATAGACGTCACGTCAGTATCAGTCAGTGTGGGCATAATCATGCCACAGCTGGCGTGACATTAGATTGCAACGTTCTCCGAGATTCGAACCGCCGTATGAGCATAGCTGCCTGTGCCTGTTCAAGTCGTTTCTTCGTATCTGTCTCTTTCCCAGGTGATAGAATTTCAGAGTATTCTGTTTCGGCGACATCGAGAATAAACCGAGCATCGGCTGGATGAGCCTGGTCGAGACAGATTTGTGCCGCGTCGAGTAGGTTCACGAGGAAAATCTTGTGAACTGGATGATTGAGGGATTGTTTGTTCCGCCAGTCCAAGAGGCTACTATACGTCGAGTTGCGGAGTTTGGAACATAGTTCGGTTGCTGAAGGGGATGTCGGATGGTAGAGACGTAGCCAAATATGCTCGATGCCTGAATGGTGCTGAGGTTGGAAAGTAGCAAGTACTTGGTCGAACAGCCCGGCTGGAATGCCGTGGCTCTTGCGCCGCGATCGGATGGCCATGGAAAGTCGTCGTCCGGCCAGTTTCAACGGTCGCATGTTTGGCATGTTCTCTCGGCGGTAGTTCGAGGCCTGAACGTACAGCTCAGCAGCCTCGGATAAAGAGCCTCTGGCTTTGGTCTGTGAGATCATGGTCGCAACGAGCATGTCTTCCGCGATGGAATAGGTTCGCATCCAGGATGCCTCGTTCTTTGAGGCGTACTGCCGCTCATAAAGGTCTCGAAGCCACATCCATACTTCCCCTTCGAGGCCATCGGCGTACATGACTGTCACAAGAGCTTTTAAGTTTTTGTTGTTAGTCCAAAATACGTGTTTGTCCTCCTTATTCATCGTGGTAAACCAGCTCGCGAGTCTGGGCCCGAGTTTCCCATTTCCAGAAATCGTCTCTTTCTTCTCTAAACCTTCGATGTATTGTAGTGTGCAAAACTGGACAATGTGACGATCAAGCCCCTTTCCTGTCAGCGCAGCATCGAAAGTCGCTACCGCTGTGGCCGATAAACTGTGTGGAGGGGGAAGCGAGTTGGATTTCTGCTTTAATAGAGGATGACTTAGTATGCTGTCAAGGTGTGAGTGGGTGGAATGAGCAAGTCGTTGTGCCGGATTAGGGATCGAGTCCCCCTCGCTGCCGTCATCTTTCGAGTCAGCAACTCTAGGTGAAGGATGTACATCGTCCAAGTGTTTCTGGAAGGCCGACTCGAGCACGTTGAGAAGATGCTTTGATTCGCGAGGTGATTGTGGCGGAAAGGGCGGTTGAAAGCGAGCCAGCAGTTTCCGCACTGACAAGGCCGGCGTGAGCCTCATCCTGGTTTCATTGATGCCTCACCCGAGACTCATGTACTTTGTGACACTGGAATTGGCGCAAGTGAGGGCAATGGCAGAGCGAAGTGACCTGATGAGGTGAGCGAGGGTAGTCGCAGACTGGGGGAAAGGCTGGTGAGCGGTCATAGGCTTGGCACCTCTCAGACACCCTAAAGGATTCTTGGGTTTATTGTCTGCGGCCTTCCTAACAAGCCTGCAAACCCATTTCCTCAATGTCAACATAGCCACTCACCGTCTTCTTCTTGCATTCAGCACCTCAACTGTCCTTGGGGAATATCATTCTTCACAAGGACAAGCTCCTATTACTCGCAGGAGCTTTGTTTTGTCCTGAACTCCTCCCTCCCTGTCAACTCAACTCGACTGCCACATCCTCACTACCCAAACAAACTCTCACCTTCACATCAGAACATCAATGGCGGAAGTTCAAGTCCGCGGCAGCGGCACAAGAGGACGAGGCGGATTCAGAGGCGGAAGAGGCGGTTTTAGAGGAGGCAGAAATCCTAGCAGAACACATCACAAAGCCGACAACGAACAAGAAAACATTCCACCCACATCGCTGGAAGATCAGGGCGAAATGGGCGAATTCAAGAGAAAGTTTGGCGATCAAGTACCTCTTTTGCGAGAGATCTGCCCTGGCTGGAGTGATGAAGATCTCGTCTATGCGCTCAACGAAACAGATGGCGATCTGAACGCGGCTGTTGATCGAATTTCCTCTGGTAAGGAGCTTATGTCCTAAATGACTTTGGGGCGCGATCAACTAATCATTTTACAGGCACGATTTCGCAATGGGAAACCAAGAAGAAGCATCCAAAGACCAAGGAAGCGCCTGCTACCGCAACCGAAAGCGGAACTAGAGGTCGTGGTCGAGGCGGCTTCGAGGGTCGCGGAAGGGGTCGAGGCGCAGAACGCGGCGCTAGAGGCGGCCGTGGTGGCAAGTCAGTCGCTCAAACTAATGGTACTAAGGACACCAAAGCGACGGACAGCTGGGATAATGTTGCCTCGACTCAGACCGGCGACGCCTCAGGCTTGGACACGGTGCCTGCGAACGGCGATTCTGCTACAGCAACTGACGACTGGGCACGTGAACCTGGCAAAGACGCATTGACATCTCTGCAGACTGAGGAGCCTAAGCCGGCATCTGCAGCTGCCCCTTCCACTGCCTCTACTGCGAAACCTGGAGGATGGGCGGGTCTGTTTGCAAAGCCACCCCCAGCTCCCAAGCAAGCGCCAGCACCACCACCCTCTGTCCCGAAGCCAGAAGCACAACCTGCCGAACCTGAAATTGTGGTCGGGTCGGAAGCTGCCCAGACAGAGCCGGCTCTGCCTCCTCCGATCGAAGCTGTACCAAGCGAAGGTGGTCCAAGCGAACTGCCTTCCGCGCCTCATTCGGACACGGGAAAAGACTTGACACCAGGAAAGGATGAACTCACTGAAAAGAATCTGGAGAAACTGCCGGACACGTCGCACCCAGTTGCATCTGCCACAGCTGCTAGCACAGTCGCGAGCACTCAAGATCCACTTGCTGCTCATGACGGTGGTAAGCCTGTTCTTCGACCTGGGATGTCGGGTTATGCAGCGACTGCGCTGAAAGCCACGTCTGGAGGTAGCCGATCCGCTAGTTACGCAAGAAAGGTGATGGAGCAACAAGAAGCAGTTGTGATGCCAGGACACCAAGCCGTCGAGAAGGCAGCTGTTCAGTTCGGTAAATTGGGATTGAATGCACCTGACGACGTTGATGTCGACGAAGAGAGAGAAGAGCCCGAGACTAGGACTCAGCTTCCAGACGACTCTCCAGTTGCCCCGCGAGCTTCCTTGCCACCTTCGCTGCCTGAGGCGCAGCAGCAAACTCCCTCGGTTCAGGCTCAAGCTCCCGTTGATACCCAGCCCATCACGCAGCGACAAGCTCCTGGACTACCGCCGGTTCCTCAGCAGCCTCAACAGCCTTCGCCCCAATCTTCATCGGCCTACGCCGATCAGTATAGGTATGGTCAAGGTCAGAAGTACGATCCTTTCGGTCAACAGACACAAAGCGCGCAGGTACAAAGCCAGGAACCGTTCTCTGGCCAAGTTCCAGGACAGCCCGGCGCCACAGCTTCCCAGAACGATTACAGTGCTTACTATGGCCGAGATGCCTACAATTACTACGGTAGTTATGGCCAAGGTCACGATGCTCATCGCGCTGCAAGCACTTTTGGTACTACTGCTCCCGAGTCTCAAGCTCAATATGCCACCTCGCGCCCTCAACAAGCGATGAGTCAGGATGCCCAGGGAAGCGGTCATAACACTCCTGCACCGGGTATGCCCAGCCAGCACAGCCAGCCCTCTGGTCATGTCCCAAGTCAAGGTCATGGCTACCCTGGCTACGGCTACCCCAATGCCTACAGTCAGCAATATCCCCAGTACGGTGCGAACTACATGAATCAAATGAATCACCGTTATGGTTCTAACCGTCCTATGTTTGATGATGCGCGTCGATCCGATAGTGATTACTACAGCAGTCAGTACAATTACGGCCAGAGTCACTATGGAGGCGCATACAATTCCAAGATGTATGGTCAACCACAGCAAGGTTATTCTTACGAACACTCATCATCCCCCGCGAACACCACTGGATTAGGTCGTGAGGCAGGCTATGGACGAGCAGGCTCTGCTCAGCCCGCTGAGGCTCAACCCGGTGCTGCTGGTAGCACGGCATTTGGTGGCGCTCCTGATCCTTTTGGTCGAACTTCTTCTGGTTTTGGACAAGCTCAACAACATGCAGCTCACTCTGGAAATGACGACCCCACCAAGGCAGCTGGACCGAGCCCTTCGATGCAAGGTGGACGTCCCGGCTCCGCGGTCAACAGCCTCCCTGGCCAACAAGGCGGTCTTCCTCCTCCATCTCAACATTCTAATCAACAGGCTTTCGGTAGCTATCCTCAGTATGGCGGCGGGTTTGGTAGTCACCAGAGCACTCATCAAAACACTGGTTATGGCGGTTACGGATCTAACACTGGTTTCGGCACTTACGGCGGGTATGGTGGCGGCAGAGGTTGGAATGGCAGCTACGGTTCGGGTCATTAGCCCATCTCGTACTGATACTCATAGCTTATCACGGCATCACACCTCTCCTCTGTTGTATTAGTGGAGTCGGGAACTTCTCTTCCTCGCACAAAAAGGGGAAATAATGGCGAAAGCAGGGAGCAACAATGCAAAAATGGTTTCTTGTGTGCAAAAACATCTCAATCCCCTTTGAACTGAGGGAAATTGGAGTTTTTCTGATTCTCTCCCTCTCTTTTTCTCTTACTCTTTTCCCTTTTTTGGCTCATCGGGCTTGTACTTGTACCAAAACAACACGAAAAAATGTTAGGCAGGATGGGAAGTTGAGAGACTTGTCAAGGCGGGCTGTTATTTCATAGTCTGGTCAGGGGCTGGCGGACATTGAAAGATGGAATTGATCGGTTGGTATGATGCGATCGAAAAAGTGAACAAAAAGGGACGCTGGGGACGGTAACAACCACTTGCCCTCAAAGGTCAACGTCAGACCTCTGTAGTGATGGGACGGATAGTGGCTCTCTCTCTCTTTCTCTCTGTGTGTCTACGGTTTCTCATCTGGAAGTTGTATCAGTGAGGCAAAAAGAGGGCCGTCTCTTTTCTTTTATTGAACCCTTTAGGTAGATTGAATTGAACCGAGTAATCGAACCGTCAAAATCATTCTTTTCTTTTTGGTCCCAAAGCAGGGTAGAGTAGGTAGTCTTGTGCGTAGGTTGTGCAACGGATGATGGAACAGCGATCCTGTCGACCAATGTAAGGCACTGTCCGCGGACGCATGGGATGGGAAGGGGTCTGTTCATCGCAGGCAAGCCTTGTCATGCCCAACGAAGTACGGGGGCAAGTGGTCTGGTGAGCCACTCCTACACTGTATACCACGTACGGGTCACACGGTACATGAATGCAATGAGTGAAACAGTCTCGATCGAGGAAAGGGGGCGCCTGCTGGTCCTATAAAAACAAACAAACAAAAAAGTCCGGTCCTGTACGTGATGCTTGGGGGAGATCCATGAAAACAAGGGCAAAACACCATGTCCGTCTCGAACCAGGTGTTCTCCATCCGACATGCCATGTCGACCCGTATAGTAAAACGCCTCCTTGGATGTAAAACTGGCCGTCATTTGCACTTGATCGTCATGCGCAAAGTAAAGTAGCGTTTCTGAAGCCCCCCATTTTTCAATCTGTCCAGACACCAAAAAAAGGACCGCCCAATCAGTCCTGCCCTGTTGTTCCCAGCGCCAATCCTCCACAATATAAAAAAACAAAACATGCCATTCATGTGGGGGTGGAGAACGTCATATTCCTCATATAAACTCATCATTCATCATGCTCAGGTCTGGTCCCTCACCAGCGCCAGCTGCATTGGCAAATGCAGTGGCACTCTCTGTCGCTGCTGATACCAGCGACGGAACGGCGTCATCCACAAATCCATCGCTCAAACCCAACATCATAGCGATCGCCCTCCAGATAGCCACGACCACCCGTCCAACGATAGGCAAAAAGGAATTCATGCGAGTCCACCGATATATCATTGTCGGTAGGACGAACGGAAATTCAGGTTCCGGCACGGCAGGCCAGACATAGTGCTCCGCGTACACTGGATGAGCATAGATCTCGGCCATTACACACTCCGTGATATACCAGCTCCATAGGACGATCGTCATCCAGCCCAGCCACGTTGGGCGCGGGATGACCTGTCCCTTGTCTTTGCGCCGGGGATAAAATAACAAAGGTATCGGGATAGTGAATGTCGAATATGTCATCGGAAGAAACGAATGTGTGTTGACCATCTTTCGATGTCGATGGTCGTGCTGTTGATGTTGAACGTCGCCATGATGTCCGCACACGACGCATGGCTGACTTGGGTCTTGCATGATGAGGGCTTGTGATTGTGCTAGTGTCTGCTTGTCCGGCGGAGGTGGTGACGGTGACGTCGAAACCCGTTGCTCAAGACGAGAGATGCCTTTCCTGGCTTCATGTAAATTCGACATGAGTCGTTCCATGCGCGAGGTTAAGTGTCCTATGAATGCCATTTCCGCAGCGGTAGAATCAGTATCGTTGTCGTGCAAAAGACTTATTTGTCGTTGCTTGACAGCCTCATCCTCAGCATTAGTCTTGATAAGACTGGTCAAGTCAGCAGTGATGTCAGCTGCATCAGTTAGGAGATCCTCAAAGGACTGAATCGTGGCATCTCCTAAGTTGAGTGTGTCATCTCGTGTATCGGTGATGTCTTGTGAGACGAGACGCTTCTGTTTAGCTTCATTGAGGACGTTGGTAAGTGCGCTCTGAGGAAGAACTAGAGGTCTTTCAGACGAAGGGTGTGGTTCGGCAATGTTCCCGCTATCCGGTGTCATCTCAGGTTTGATGGGGATCGGCTGTTCTTGGTCGATAGGAGGTTGCTCTGAGGCAGCATCAACGCCGTTTGTCAGCTCTTCAGTGGCTTCTTCGATAGTTTCGGGCATTGAAGGGGCGGGAAACAGCCCGCCGTTTGGCAACGGAGTTTCAATCCAGGCTCCAGCATTCACATGAGGTGTCTGCAAGTGCTTAGGATGTTTCAGGATTGATTTTTGCGTCCGCACCGTGTCCGGCAGTATGGTGTCAGTCCATGCACCTACGATTTTCGGGGTGGCCATGACCTTAGGAGCGTTGGATTGGGATTCCGGAATCTTGTCTACGAAAGACGACTCCGTGGTGGTATCCTCTTCGTCTCCATAAGCAGCAAGGATATCGTCTTGGGTCGTGTTTTCTGGTTCTTCGCCCACGGTTTTCTGAGATGGAGGACTAGCTCTTGGAGTCGTGCTGACAGCTCTGGCAAGCCTTTGAAGGTGATCGAGTGATCTCTGTGACTCGGGTGTAGGTCGTTGTGACCGGCTTGAATGCTCGCTGTTATTACTTGAGGACCTATACACTACGACAGGTGTATCTGGTATTCGTTCTCCCTCTCCAAGATTTTGGCTGTCTTGCTGCCTGTCGTCAGCTGCTCGATCTGGCTGAGATTGTCTTCGTTCTTCAGGGCTGAACGATCGAGATGATTTCCGAACTATGCTGGGGTTCTTAGCGCTCATCTCATTTAATCTGTTGGTCGTTATGTAGCCTTGGGCCAACCTTTGGAGCTCTGTCTTTGTCTTGGTCTGAGACTCATCTGGTTTGGTTTGATTGCGGATGGGCGGGCTGTCTGAGACTTGAAACGAGATTCCAGTAAAATCGTTGTCACCCCAAACTCGGAATCTTTCGACCGAGCGCTGTTTCTGCATCGTCGATTGCAATCTGTCTCGTGGAGGTGTGCCTTGAGGCGTCGAGCTTTCATCGGGAGACGTTAAGCTCTTCTCCACGGACGGTAGAGGAACATCTGCTGCAGCCGCTGCCCAGTCAACTTGCGAGCTGTCGGGTTCAGCATTCAACTTTCTGCTCTCTCCTTCCTGTCGTTTGGCATTTTCGTGACGCCATTTGGAAAGGAATTGTTGAGCAGTTCTGGTTTTATCTAGGGCTGCTGATCTAGGCCTATCCTCGGCATGCAGCGACACATCAGGTATTGGCTCTGATGCCGTGGTGGTGATAGTGTCATTGCGATCTTTCGCTTGCTCTCCGGATCCATTGGCATGGCTTAATTCGACAGGCGGCCGTGAGTGGCCATTCGCACGAGAAAAGGCGAGGTTCGGGCCTTCATCAGTGTTCCAAGGGTTTCCTTCCTGTTGTGAAGGCTCCTTTTTGCGTACAGCTCTGCGGAATGCTATCGCCTTTTCTTTGTCGCGTAATTCGTCGGGAGTGTCGCTCCCATCGTCGGCTTCCTCCCGCCTTACGGCTCTGTTTGAAGCTTTACTGAATGCTTGGGCTCTTTTCTGAGGCGAAGCAACTGAGGTGTCAGAATAAGCCTTTCCTACTCCATTTGCCTTGAAGGGCGGAGCATTCTCAAAACTGATTGGGCCCCGTGCTGCTATCCTTGCAAGATCAAACTGTCGGGGGCCGCCCGCGGAATCGTTCAACTCTTGCTTCGGACCTTGTCCAAAATTGATTGGAACTTTGCTGTGCCGCATTCGATTCAGCCTTTCTCTGTCCTTCGCGGAATTTAGTAGATGCGGCGTCAATTTCGCGGCAAGCGCGCGATCTGATAGCTCATTCTGTACAAAATCCAACGTGGGTGGTGCAGAGAAGCTTCCGGTCTGATCCTCAGCCATATGCTGTTTGGTGTGGTCCAAAGTCTGCTTCACAGGTGTTGACACATCGGATACAACTTGCTGAATGTCGCCAGTGTCATCAGGTGGACCAGACATTAGAGATGATCCCAGAGTATTATCCCCATCGTCCTCGACACCTTCGTCACTGTCGACATCTCTCTCTGTAGCAGCAAGATCCTCCTCATCCGCGATCCTTTGGTACACATCCGTCAAGCCGTGAGGAGGGCTAGAGAATTCGGCCGGGCTCGTCAAGGGAGGACCATCCCGGGATTGCGGAGGAGTGCTTTGACCATTCGTTCGATGCGGGCTTTGACTTTGCCTCCTCGCCACGAGCAAAGGTGGTTGCGGGATTCTGCTCAGCCTGGCACTCGTATACTCGGCAAGTGATGTGCGCTGTGCTCTGTTGCCCGAATCTTTGGCCGTTTGAAGTGCTCTCCCGAGGCCTGCTGCGCGTCTCGCGCGGACGGGCTTGACCTTCTGCGGACTCGGGCTGGGTATGCGCGACTCGTTGCCGATCATGCTATCGGTGAAGAAATCTTCACTCGGTGGGTGCGTGCCCAGCGAGACGGCTGTACCATGGCGTCGGGTGCTCGAGAGTGGATTGTTTTCTTTATTTCGAGACATTGCGGCGCGTGGAGTCGCATGGGATAATGGCGGCGCTGTTGCATGCTATCGCTTGAAACATCGGGGAAATAGGTGTCGCAGCATCGTATATAGTAATCGTCAAGAATGCCTCGCGCTTGGAACGATGAAAAGCACGTCTTGAACAGAGCGCATAACAAACCACCCAAAGTGGAACAGTTCGAATGCAAGTAACAGTATCAACGATGAGATCAGTCACTATTCAAGCCTGCGCCATGCCGCTTTTACCAGGCCTCAACCACGGCCAGAGCCTTCGTTAAAGCAGCTTCAGACGCTTTCAAACGCCAGAATGAATGAAGACGTCTACAAACATGTCTACAATAACACTCCGCTCTCGCGGAGTGCAATACTTCCGACAGAAATCATACCAGAGGCAATGACTTCCCGCTTCTATGCCTAGGCGACCTACCAAACCTGCTAATGTATGACGACCATAAGAGCCGATGCTGCAACACCGAGTCTCAAGGTCTAAGGAGCTAACGAACATTTGCTCTCCGTGTCCGTGACTATCTCCGATATTTGCGTGATGCTGTCTATATATGCTGTCTATAATGTCGAGCAGTGTACTGAATAGCGATGAGTCAAGGTAGGCACAGCATCTGTCTTTCACAATGACTACCATACTTGGTAAAGAAGTTGGTCCCATCGGCTACGGCCTTCTGAACCTCACCCATCCTGCTAGAGGCATCCCGGAAGAACAGAGCATCGCGTCAATGAAGCAAGCCCTGGACAGCGGTGCCAACTTTTGGGAGTAAGCATCAACAGAACCCAGCTCGTTTTGAAGTGGTCGTTAAGCTGGTGTCATAGTGGCGGCGAACATTACGGCACTCCAGACAGGAACTCCTTGCACTTGCTTCGCAACTACTTTGCACGATTTCCCAACGACGCCAGCAAGATCGTCCTCAGCATCAAGGGCTGCTTGAAGCCCGACTTCACACCAGACGGGACGCCAGAAGGTGTACGACGCAGTGTCGAAACTTGTCTTAGGGTCCTTGATGGCAAGAAGAAGATCGACCTGTTTGAATGTTCGCGGGTCGATCGCAACGTCCCAATCGAGACCACAGTGCAGGCTCTGTCCGACTTGGTGAAGGAGGGAAAGATTGGCGGAATTTCATTGAGTGAGGTCAGCGCCAAAACAATCCGGCGAGCCGCCAAAATACACAAAATCTGCGCAGTAGAAGTCGAGGTCTCGTTGTTTTCAGACCATGTCCTGTCCGAGGGCATCGCCGAGGCGTGTGCCGAGTACGACATCCCCATCATCGCCTACTCGCCCGTTGGTCGAGGATTTCTCGCGGGCCAGTGGAAGAGCGTCAAAGACATCCCCCAAGGTGACACACGCCTTATGTTTCCAAGGTTCAGTCCAGAAGTGAGTACTCCCCACCCGATGAAAAAATATCTCTATTTTGCGCAAAAACCTTTTATGACCAGGACTAACCCAGTCCGTGTGCGCACGTAGAACTTCGACAACAACTTGAAGCTTGTCCAAGCTGTGCAACAGATTGCTGATAAGAAAGGCATCACAACCGCCCAACTCGCCATCAATTGGGTCCGCCAGCTTTCTCAAAGAAAAGGGTACCCAGTCTTCATCCCCATCCCAGGTGTATCGACAGAAGGCAGAGTTGTGGAAAATAGTGAAGTCATAGACTTGACTGCAGAAGAACTCTCGGATATCGACAGTATACTGGCATCCTTTGAGACAGCCGGTGCCCGCTATCCGGAAAGGTTCATGGACCAGCTGAACGGTTGAATCCTCATATGTATTATCATCTTCCTTCCACCTTGACCTTCTTGAGAGAGCAAAGACTTCAACCAGCTTGGAGATATCTCCATCGTTCCCTGGCCTCACTCTCCCTCCTCTCTTTTTCTTCTTGGGTGACCATCTCCAAACCCGCGGCGATCCTCTCATCCCTTGACTCCAGCGCCCTTTTGACCTTCCATGCCATCGCAGACGTGAAGGCGTACAAGACGCCACTGAGAAACTGCAGCGCCACCATGGCATCCCACACTTTTGCGTTCCCACCGGTGCCGGAAGGGCATTCGTACCGCTGCACCGACCCACGTCCATGATTGCCCACGCACGCACCCAGGAAGAATATACTGCTGATGAGCATGATCAAGGCCATCGAGACCGAGAACCACAACGCCAACCTCGGGGGGTTGACTCGAGCCAGGACGTGCAAATGCAGCGACGGAATGGCGTTGAAGAACGACAATCCCGGGGCAATGAGCGGCTGTATGACTTGCGCACTAAGAAGTTTCGAATAGGTTATCACGTTAGCAAAATGATTTAATTCAACGGCAACCGATCTCGCATCCTTCTATTTTGTCCCCTCGACCGTTGACTGTGCATAGTATGTCCAGAACACATTACCTTGACTTGATGAAATGGGAATAAAAAACGGCACATCGACCTTTGGGACAGACAGACAAAAGGGGAGTTCTCATCTCAAGAGAGAAAAAAAGAGACCTACAAACTCAAGTCCGTCTTCAGCGACGCAATCCATATCGCACCCAGAGCGATCTCGACCATGCTCAGGATCCCAATGACGAGGACCACCCACGGCGCATAACCCGTCCATTTCGCCGTCCGCGCCCAGCGCAAATCACCCTGGAACGAAGCGTCCTTTAGACCTTCGATGCCGAGCATATCGTTTTCGTTGTCGTCGTCGTCGTCTTCGTCGACCGTCTGGAATAGCCGTTATTGGCAATTCGATCCAGCCCGTACTCGATAACAAAGGGCCGTGACAACCGAGAAAGGAAAAAGGGTCTTGGATCTTTGAGTTCAAGTTTTGATTCAAGTGCTCGACGTCAATGACCTCATGGATCTCCAAAAGGAAGGGGTTTTTGTACTTCTCAACTCGCTCAGGGAAGGTGCCCTCAATAGGATGAGCAATAGAGTGGAAGCCAAGATTGAAAATGGACGGGGATATACAGCCCCGGAAAACTCGAAACTATGTTTGCAGAGGGATACGAGGAAAAGATGATGGGAGATCCCAATTATACGAACACTTCTACTTTCGACTCACCAAAACCCCTCTTATGGCCCCCCGTCACCAAGGTGTAGTGGTAGTATGTACCCAAAAGGGTCTTCATGCAGATCGGTGCTCATACGAGTGCTTCCGTAACAAAAAGCCACCCCAGACTCGTGATGTGTAGGGGGTTGTGGGGTCCATCGGACCTGGAGACGGCAGGAGAAAAAGGGTATAACAAGCGACGGGTCTTGAGATCGTCGCGTATCGTAAGATGGGGATTTGCTGCAGGTGGAAAATGCGGCAACAAAATAATGCTTGGGTGAGCTTGCATACGCTTCGAATTTTATGGTTAATGATGCCGACAGCCGATGCCGCAGGGTTCACACACACCATTACGACATTGAGAAAGGTGTTCCAGGATACTCGGTCCTCGTACTCGTACATATTGGGGGCCAAGATACAATACACCCAACTAAGCCACACTTTATTCAAAATCATACAGATTGTCTCATTTCATCATCGCTGAATGTGACCAGCAGCGTCTGTGTCCTATAATCCAACACATACCAGGCTGAAGGGGCCTGGTCGATTAATCTTTCATATACTCATAAGTCATGATGTTCTGCACAATGTCGACTGTCGGGTGACCTGACGTAGGGGCTTTGTTGCTGTCCATAGCTCTTTAACCCCAGACCTCTGCGATCTTTGCGCTAAGTGCCTTTGCGACTTTTTTCTTCGGAATAGCATTGGCGAGTCGAGAACTGATCATATTCTCCTTTTCCGGGATGGTCTTCATCGTATCGAACGCCTCTGCTAAAGCCCTGGGTGTAGGCCAGATCTTCTGTATCTCGACCGCTTTCTCGCCAGTCACACCTCTTGTGCACATCAGCATTTTGAGGTACACATCTCGCAGTGTCATACTGTCCGATTTATCACACATGGCACCGAAAAGAGAGAATGTCATTCCGTAAGTCTTTTGTGGTGACAAGCTCCTCAGTCGCTCCAATATGGTCGATGCGGCTTCTGCCTCGAAGGTGTCTGTCGGAATAACATGGATATCTTTCCTTTCGTACAAACCCTTGAGGGTCTTCGTCATGCGAGCAAGGTATGAAATTGTGTCGTCCAGTTTCGCAGTCTGCTTTACAAACACATCGTCGACCACTTGCATACTTGCAATAGCACTCTCCACTGCGTCACCATATTTTTCACTCTTCTCTGAGGACAGCGAGTATGCTTCGACCAGGTACACCACGTTTTTTATGCCTGACTTGTGAAGACGGAATTTCTGCTCACGGAAACGCCCGTCTTTGATACTGCCGATCAGGTCGTCGAGACGTTTGCGCTCAAGAATGTGCTCTAATACAATCCATGACTCACCAGGTTTGTCTCTATCCTCCATGCTCAACTGTCTCAGGGTTTCAGCATGGGAAGGATCGACTACTGCCACCCACAGAACATCTCCCAACGGCAATGCAGTGAGGATAGGGTTAACGTCTTGCTTTTTCAACTCGGAAGAGATGTAGTCACGATCAGTCCTCGATCGAATCTCTCTCATATCAAGCACCATTCTCACCTCGAAACTGCCTGCTGGCAGAACGACCGTGTCATTCAAATTGGTGCCCTTGCTGAGTGGTCGAATATCATCATTCAGAGGCCTGAAACCCGAAGTAACCAGCTCTGAGAAGCCTGCACCCGCCTCTGGTGCGGGACTGGAGAGCAAGTCTATGACATTGGAATCGCGTGTCGATGCGTTACGCAGAGGTTTTGCCGTGTCAATACGTTGCCTCGATGGTGATTGTCTGGCAGTGATTGGAAGCCCGACATTTTGCGAAGTCTTGAGTGAAGAAGATCTTGATGGGGACGTTGGACGAGAAGCTGTCTTCTTCGTGTCTGTCGATTTGGATACTGGTATTGTGCACCCTTCCACGGTGGCATTCATCCGTAGTGCCACTTCCCAACCTTCATCAGACAGGTAATACTTTTTAATTGGATGCCCTTTGGTGCAGACCAACTCTTTGCTCTCGAGAAGTTTTATTGATTGCCACGCTGTATAGAACTTGCTCGGATCGGGAGGGACGTCAAATGAAGCATCGCAATGTGGCTGCGCCAGTCTCTTGAGCTCCTCTTTGGAGATTGCTTGGTTGCTTTCTTGGTCTAAGGTAGATAATGCCATGATAAGAGCATATCCGCCCGATCTCAACTTAGGTACATATGGTTGAGCCTTTCTTTTTCGCTTCGGAGATTCTTGTTCTTCCTGCGCAGATTCTTCTCCTTGAGCCTCAGATGGCCGTTTTCTCTGTTTGCCTTTGACAGGCATCGGCATTCCATTTTCCTCGCAATGCGCTTTAAGCTTATCGGCAAGGCGATCGCATAGTTTGGGACCTAGACCATTGAGTTGTTGAGCCTCGGAAGGATGATGAAAGCGCATAGGACAGGCAATCATGGACTGGTAGGCTTTTTTGTAGCTGCGGCTGTCAGCAACATCACGGAAGCCTAAGTGTTGGGCTTACACAGTATATCCCTTGCTATTCTGCTCTTTCGCCTTGTCCATCCACTCCTTGAGCCATTTGGCTAGGAGTGGGTTGGCGCAAGAGTCTGCCATCGTTGGGCGCTGCGAGGACAGTCGAAAGAGAAGGAGAGCCAAAGCCCTCCAGCAGTCACATCTTTGCTTCAAAAGGGTATCATCAGGCAATAATTGTTGTTCTCATGCAAGGAGACTGCCCATCGCACTTCATCTATTTTGTGACCGTGCGTGCACCTCGCGAAAAAAGAAGGAACGCGAAGGCGAACGCGAAGTCACGGGAACAGAACACCAACTGCTTCCTTCCTATTACACCAGTGCCAAAGTATTTATCCTCCTCCCACTCTCACTACACGCTACACAAACTAAGGGTACTCATACGAGTCTACCGCGCTTCACCTCGAGCCTTGTGAGATGCGGTTGATTACTCTCTCTGACATTTCTTGTCGGCGTACGAGTAGTTTGCCACGGTAACTTGGGTCGCAAACTGAGTCTCAGCCAAATGGGCTTCAACGCGTCCACAAAGCACCGGGTCACTCTTCCGTGGATCGTGTTCCTGATCATCCTACTAATCTCGATTTCACGGATATCTACAGTGCTTGCATGACTACATTGCGGATGCGAGATCTTCAATCCACAGTGGAGGAGGAGTATGCCTCTATATTGGTGAGTCAATCGAGTGATGCAAGTACTGACGTCTTAGATTTCAAGTCGACAGGTCCTTAGCACAGTGCAGCCTTGCGCTTCCCTACGTCTTCCTGGTGCCCATCCCGGTAAATTCCTGTGTTGTCACCAGAGATCGATCCACTGCAAACCATTTGACCGTCCTTGTCCCTTGAATGGAGTCTTTCTGTCCCCCCCAGAGCCCGACTGATAATGCGCGCTTATCGTTTCGTCACCACCCCGTATGAAGGGGCCAGCGATGATTTCAAGAGAAGACAAGCATGCTGGTATGCTGTATCTGACGGATTCGTGCTTTCATGACGACACCTCTTGCACTGCGAGGTGTTGTACCGCTATCATGCCATGCTCGAGGAAGCATGACCAGGGTGCGACATAAGCTATATAAACATGCCAGCCCTCGGTTTCTAAGAACAGTGCTTTTGTCTCTCCTTCCATTCGGATCACTATTACAAAACATCCTCTAGGTAACGGCTCATTCAATTATAAGCAATCACCATGTCCGCCCCACAAGACGACTATACGCCCGGCGCTGACAGCATCGAAGGTGCCAGCGGTGCAGACACTACCCAAAATGATTACAAGTCACGAACTGGACAAAGCCACATCCCGGTTCAGAATGATGAAGCTCCTGTCGAAGATCCAATCGACCCCAACAATGCCGATTCGGACGAGCAATTAGGTTAGTTGTTTCCAAGCACTCGTCGGAACTGTGGGCTAACGTTTAACTGTAGCCCGTGACGATACCGATGCCATCGACCAAGGTAACATCGTCGACGAACGTACTCGTGGTGCTACCAAGAACTATCGTGAGCCAGGAGACGAGGAGGGTCTTCCAGGTCCCGAGGACGGAAGCAGCCGTGTTGCCGGTGGTCCCAACTGATCAATGTACCCATGGTGTCGTTTCACCACGACGACGTTGTGTTGATAGCGGCGGATTTCATGTAGAAGAATGATCAGGTACCATTGTGGGCTCCACATGGTGAATCTCATGGCTGCTAAAAGGCCCGTCCTTCCAGAAGCATTGACTTGTACTTCCCGTTGCACAACTCTCCATGACATCGAAATGTCATACTCCGTAGAGTATAGCAACATGTGAAAGTTGACGTGCCTAAATATCTTGCTGGATTACGGATATAACATGCAACACGAACTTGAAGTTGTAAGCATTTGTTGTGAGTGCAAGTCATTTGGGGGCTGGATGTGGTATTGCTATACGGTAGGGGATACGGGAATAGCGTAATGCAACATAACAACCATCTGCTGCCTCCTCTACGTCATCATCGGCTAGGAAATTGAAAATGTCCTTTCGCACCAAATCTACTCCGTAATATGCTTGATTTTATTTTAGGCTTTTGCCTCATCTCTCCTTTCTCCTCCTGGTAGCTAGCTTCGAGGTGGATTTTACGGGGAGGGGGGAGGGAGGCTGGGGCGGCAACCTCACAGCAACCATTGCCCTGGCATGGGTGCAAAAACACTGGGTGTACGCATCACAGGCGCTGGCGCGGGCGCGCGAGACATGCTTCCCTCGAGCTTCCCTGTTTTTTTTTCCCTCTCTATTTGTTCTTCTTTTTTTTTCTTCTTGAATTCCCCCTTTCTTCTCTCCTATCAAGTAAATACTTTGAGTACTCTTGTCATTATTCTGATCCCATTGCTGTTGCGAAGGCCATAATTCGAGTTTCTTCGTCCCGACTTGCGACTGAGACAAGCCAATCGACTCGCTGACGTCACTCGGAAGTTATGCCTTCTGATGAACCCGAGAAAGGAGACAAAGGTACGTGTGATTCCCTACGCGTTTTTCGACCGTACACAGACGAGAATTGCCTTCGTCCACACAGCAGAGATGCCTTGCTGTAAATGCTTGATGCTGAGTGTGTCGGCGTTGAATGTAATGTGAAGTGTCCGGTAGAGCGCATCGTGAACGGGTTTCCAGCCCTCTTGGATTGATGACCAAATGCATGACAAGAACCCCCAATTCGCTGACACAACACTCTGTCGTAGTCTCATGGAACTGGGGTGGAGGCGCACCAGGAGGCACAGTAGCCGAGAAGAAACACGAAGGAGAGGTCTCCATCACGTCCAAGCGTGGCAACAAGATCAAGAAGAATGCGGAACCAAACAACCCGGCTGTCAAGGTCGAGCGATCGGGAAATAACGTGGTCAAGAAGGCGTCCGAACTGAATGTCGAATCCAAGGCGAACGGGTCAGGCGGTGGTGCCGGCGGCGGCGGCGGCGGCAAAGACGAGGACAAGGACAAAAAGGCCGGAGACAAGAGGAAACACGACGAGGCCGAAAAGAACGGCGACAACAAGAACAAAAACAAGGACGGCGGTCTTGATGAGAACGCCGAGGGCAAGACTGTCCGGCCCGGCGGCAAGACAGATAATGCCGCAAAGAAACAGAAGAAGGATGACGGTGACAAGACAAAGGCTGGACGGCCCAAGAAAGGGGAGGGTGCGGCTTCAAAGTCCAAAAAGGACCCTACACCTCGGTCCACCGAGGGTGTTGGGTCGCGGACAAGGAGCCAGAAGAAGTAATGGGACATGGGTTTCTGGTCGATACCTGTAGGATCTTGTCTCGTTTTCCTGTATTAGTTACCCGTGATATGCTCTGTTTCCTCCACATTCGTGTATGGGCGAGGATGGACTCTCCATCGTTTCGATAGCAAGCATCTCCCAAGGAGACCTTGTACATGATCGTCCTCCCGTGAACCTCACGTGTACTTTCGCTTTTTGACTCGTCTGTCCGCCGTCCAAACCTTGGCCTCCATCGCGTCGGGGTCCCTATTCCACCAAAACCATCCAGTCTGCACAGCATCCACGAGGCTCTCAAAACCAAACTCACCGTGGTCATAGTACACTACGGCCTGATCTTCGATGCGCTCCAACTGTACCACGAAGTCAGGTCTGACAGGAGTGTGCGGCCACGTAGCAAGGCCCAAGACCCCGTCCAAACCAGCCAAACAGGTCTCGCGTGCGAATTCGTCCTGAAATGTGGAGGTGGTAAGAGTATCCGGCGTCTCGGTCCTGTTGTCAATCGACTCGTGTTGTTCTTGGTAGACCTCGAATTCCACAGGCACGTAGATGCCTGGCTGGCCCATGAGATCAGTAGCGAGCATCCTTTTGCGGATTTTGAGATCAATCGAAGGGTCATCGTCCTTTTTGTGGAGTATTTGGTACGGTGTGGCGGCGTCGGCGCACTTGACAAGTGTTTCAGTTGGTGAAAGGTCGTACGCACGGTAGAGCAACGTGACACCCCAGGTCTGATGGCATCTGGTCTGCTGGAGGAGTGGTTTGGCGATTGTTTGGACGAATTCGTGGCCTGCAAGGGCAATGAATATTTCATGGGCACTGTACTTGGGGTTCAGAGCAACGTTTCTTGTTTTCCCACTGGGACAGAATGGCGTACTTACGTTTTGAGGTCTTTCAAGGCCATGTACTTTTCGTGAGAGTATGTTGCTGCCGCCATTGTGCACGTGGATGTGGCTCTTGTAGGCAGGCGAGTCGGACGACAATAAGCGTGAGATGGCGATGGGGAAGTCCCCTCTTTGTGAAGAAGACAAACGAATAAACGAACGGACAGTGTCAACACTGAGAAGGAACAATGCGCAGATTCTCATGATGTGCTCCGTAAAGGGGGATCCATTGCACGAGCACAATGGCTCAGGGACTGGGTTTGCTCTTGTGAGAAACCATTGAGAGCCTCTCTGATTACTTCGGACAGAACAATCGAACATGTACTTGCCTTGGATGGGAAACTTGCAGGTAGATAACGTGTACTTACCACTACTAAAAGCACTCTCACCGGTTCAAGGGCTCAAACATACTGTATGGGCGCCATGCAAACCACTCACGGATAAGGACAGAGGTGTCAATGTCACCGTCATACATTGTGGTTCAGAAAATGATTCCTTGTGGCTATACAAGGAAAAACGTGATGATTAAAGATGGTGATTCTCGAGACAATCACCAAACTCGAGGTGAGAAAAAAAAAGTATTTGGCTGTTTGTTTAGAAGTGCCTGATTTGTACAAGTATCGGGTGGCTGTGAAGGATTCAGGAACAATTCGGAGGAAGTGAGCCGAAATAGCTCAGAGTTCTAGGCAAGAAGAGGCCTAGAAGATTCCCCTTGGCGGCCCCCTATAACAAGCCCCCGTTGCCACCATTGGGCACTTGGATGATGCCTAGCGAGGTTGTGACATTGGTGATTGGGGGGCCAAGACCAGTGCCCAACTCGAACGTTTTACCTTACCTGATGTATTGAATGTGCACTGTTCAATGGGTCTCGCTAGCCTCCGCTGTTTCAAAACATCACATGTTTTCACATGTAACAATAGTAACACTACAAAAAAGATAAGAGTTGCTCGGAATCGTCACGGAACTACGGAGTACAGGCATAAATGAAAGACTGGTTTTCTCTTTTGAATAATTGACACCGAAAAATGGACTGAGAACAAACGCTTCTTTGATCTGAAACCATGTCTACAGGGTCTTTCACCTCAACACCACCACATGTGCACATCAAGTCAAGTCGACCGATCACCATTCAATTCTTTTTCTCTCAACATCTACAATCAAAGCACCAATGATCCATGTCATCACCACCAACAGAAGCGTCGAAGCCGAAGCGTCTAATTCCAATTCCAACGATGACATGTTCGATCCCAAAGAGAATCGTAACGTGCCAACGTCCGAACAAGGCCTTGCACGCCTCAAACATCTAACATGGGTCCGTCTTCCATCCTCTCCCTCAACGCGTATTTCCTTGGGCTTCACTTACTCACCCTCCATATACAGGCATGGTTCACATTCCCCATGGCGACAGGCGGTCTCGCCCTTCTCGTCGCCCCGGATAATCAACCTCACTCGTTCACCGGTCTCCTCACCATCGGCAAGATCCTCTTCATCTTCGACCTGGTCATCTTCACCCTGATCGCCGGGTCAATCACGTACCGCTTCATCCACTGGCCCGGCACTTTAAAAGCCAGTCTGGCCCATCCCACAGAGTCTCTCTTCTTCGGCACATCCTTCCTCAGCCTGGCGAGCATCATCACCTGCCTGGCGCACTACGCCATCCCTTCCTGCGGACCGTGGCTCGTCACCACCTACCGCGTCCTCTTCTGGACGTACTTTGCCACCACCTACGTGATCGCCGTGTGCGCCTACCTCGTCCTCTTCACCAACCCTCGCCTGCGCATCCAAGACATGACCCCGGCCTGGGATCTGCCCATGTTCCCCTTCATGCTGTGCGGCACCATCGCCAGCGCCGGCATCCCCACCCAACCGGCCAAGTACGCCATGCCGATGCTCTTTGGAGGGCTGACGGCCCAAGGTCTCGGGATGCTCGTGTCCATGGGCATGTACGCCAGCTACGTGCGCCGCATGATCATGTACGGGTTGCCTTCTCCCGCGAGCCGCCCCGCCATGTTCATCGCCGTCGGCCCCCCCAGTTTCACGGCCCTCGCCATCATCGAGCTGGCCAGGCACTACCCGGCCGCCGCCGGCTACGACTATTTCGGCCCGGACGCCGTCACCGCGCAGATCGTGCAGGTGCTGTCCCTCATGGTCGCCGTGTTCGTGTGGAGCCTTTCGTTCTGGTTCTTCTGCCTCGGCGTCATCAGTTGCGTCGCCGCCAGGGGCAAGTTCAGGTTCCATCTCAACTGGTGGGCCTTTGTCTTCCCCAACACCGGCTTCGCCCTGGCCACCATCAACATCGGCCGAAGCCTGAAAAGTCAAGGGGTACTGTGGGTCGGGTCGGCCATGACGATTTGTTTGGCCCTGACCTACCTATTCGTTTTGTACCACCACGTGCGCGCCGTTTGGAGAAAGGACGTCCTGTTTCTGGGCAAGGACGAGGACAATTATCATCCGGAAAGGATGGCAAAGGTGGAATCCAGGGGAGAAGATCCAGAAAAGTGCGTTTGCGTCAGTGGGGGTTGAGTCTTGACCTCGACATAATAATGAGTTATATATAGATTTACTTGAGAGGTATAGAATTCGTTTCTTCTCGGCCTGATTTCACAACATACTCTTCGCCCTTGCGACCTTGACGTTACTTCGAGGATAGTGGATGCGAACACTGACTCCGTTTTTTGTTTTCGTCACGATGGTGACCTTTTCGGCCGTCAGTCCCACCAACTCTCCAGTATCCTTGTTCTGGAACCCACTAGGTAAGTCGGTCGTGTAAAGATCGACCTCGACACCTTTTTCGTTTTGGAGATTTGTAGGATCCCACCGAACCATTTGTAGGGTTTCTTCTTCCCAAAACTCAGCCTCTTCGATCATTTTGACTGCTTGGTCCTCGTCAATTTTACGTATCGGATACAGAGGAAAACGACCCGATGAGGAGTTGTCCGGATGACTTGTTGTCTTTTGTTTCTTTTTATCTTCAACAGCCTCATTGATCCTCTTGACCCAAGCCACGACCCTAGCATTTTGATTTTGATCCAACAATTCTGGGTAAGCATTCTTCATACTACCTTTTCCTTGACCTCTGTACAACCAATCGAATACCCAACCGACATGTACATCAGCCAGGCCGGGCCTCTGTCGGTCGTCAACGGTCCCCAAAAACTGTCTACCGTCACTCAACATACCGTCCAAAATCTCGAGTGTGATTCTGGTTGACGTCTGAGCATCTGGGATTTTTCCAGCCATGCCTTCTTTCGTGGTCGTCCACCCGGTGAGCTGTTTTCGATCCTCGATGAACTCTCGACTTTGAGCGACAAAATAATCGTAGGTGACCAGCGAGCCTGTCCTCAAGAACAAAACCTCCAACGCCCAAGTTTCCAGAACTCGTTCGATCGCGGCTTCGTAAGGGTGTGCCGTCGGATCTGCCCCTAGCCGTGGAATGGTGGTACCGGCGGTACCGGTGTATCTCTCTTCCAACATTCGTATGATGCATCGCGAATCGCAATACACGTCACGACCGACGGCCAGGATCGGTATTCGACGGTACCTCACCCCCAACCGTCCGAGGACCGGACGTGGCATCACGTTGTCGACCTGACAGAGGTAAAACGGGACACCACGGATGGTGAGGTACCAGTCCAGACGTCGACCTATGACCGTCGTACTAGAGTTGAAAAGTATTATCGGTGGCATTTTGCTTGTACTGGTTGTGACCGTAGTAGATGATGCCATGAACTGGAAACTGATGGTGATGGTAGGGGTATTGTTCCGTCTTTCTCTCTCTCTTGATGAGATCAACGTTCGTATGACCACAGTCAAAGTGAAGTCTTGAAACCAGTATCACTTACAGGACTTGCCGTCCGGACACCATGGGAGGGGCGAGTGGTCTGTATACACACACGACTCCTTGGATTTAGCAAAACGTCAATCAACATACTGTAACCCAAGCCCAGACTTACCCCTCAAGTCAAGAAAATCAGAAGATTAGCGAGTCAAAGAGTCAGGCCTCCCCAAGCCAACGCATGCTAATAGTTCCTACCTGGGTACTCGCACTCGTGTAGTGTACAATTCGACGCACAGTTTGGGGTCAAAAGTGGTACCAAGTACGGACTAGGTAAGCCGTTGGTGGTCGTGGCGTCTATCCTCCGCCACCAAAATATACAAGTCCCTTGGAGATGAGATGGAGATGTAGTACTGTAGATGGTTCTGGCCCTCCGTACCGTACAGAGCAATTCCATCCCTTCAAGCTCCTTTAAAGACATTAGGTAGGTACTCCGTACGTATCAACAATGGTTGATCTCCCAATCCTGGATTCTCCGACTTCGCCTTGTTAAAAAATGGCCACAAATACTCGAGCTCGTACGAAAACCAAGCAACAACTCCGTACGCAGTACACCTCTTTGCAATCAAGCCCTTGTCGTATGACATATTCATCGCTAGATATATATAAACATACACATACACATAGTATAATACAACAAGTCATCGTTGGAGGGCCAAAATCATGTTCCTTCAACCTTGGACGTTGATGGTCCTCGTACATTTCCTGACTTCATTGATCCATACCTAACCGAAGGTGATCTGGGGACCAGTAGCCCTCTCCTGAAATAGTCAGAAACATTCAGTGCTCCATGCCTGTCCATAAAGCGCTGTCGCTTCTTGTTGAGGCCTGGGTACGGCGAAAGTAACCAGGAATGGAAGGCCACAGGAATATTCAATTCTGTTTCAATGTCATCTGATGACAAACCCCAACTTTTCGCCAACGCCGTGGCCCATGCAAGGAGGTCGTCAAGCTCGGTGCGTGTTTCGCTGGAAAGTTCATGCTCGGCCTCCTTTTCTGCTAGCGCTGCGTTCACTAAGATCTGCAGAGTATGCAAATCAGGTACAACGACCGGATTGGTTTGGAATCCACTCGCCGATGTGGCGTCGTTCCCAGAAGACACAAATGGAACCTCGCTCCTGTCGTTCTCAATTCCTAAGCCTGTTGGCAATGACAATTCTGCATTTTGCTGGCCCGCTTGAGGATCGCTAAAGCCAGAGTCAACCTCAATAGTCTCGTCACGTGGGACCTCGTCGGACGTCGACAGAGGTAGTCCAGACCAGTCGTCGGCCGGGGAGTTGGTGGATAGAGTCGATGATAGTTCAGCTGGCTCTGCGCTATCTTCGAACTCGGAAGGTTGAACATGATCCTTCGTATTGTCATTGCTGGGCGACACCCAACCATTAGGTGTGCAAAATATCTCCCATATCCGTCGACCTTCCAAAGCGCCTTTTACTTCGACAATCGCAGAAAATATGACATTGAAAGTTGCCCTGGTCAATTGTGGAAGATTGCCGACAGGATACTTGTCCAGATAAGGCGCGACGAGATCTCCGAGGCTGCTGTCTGGAATAGCTTGTAGCACATGGAGGAGTGATTTGACTTGTTGCCTGAAGAACTTTCTTTGGAGCACAGTAAAGTCAGATGCCGGACCATTGAAACGACCAGACAATATATCAACCAATAACTCCTCAGCCTGCAAAAGGTCCTGAGTAGCACCGTCTCTTTGTTGAATCGTCGACTCAACCTCGAGCTGCAAGATTGAGGCTGCGAGATTGGCAACGATACTCGGGCTGTAACCGCCTGTTTCTGAGGATTTGAGTTGTCTTAGAAGGAATGAGACGTCGTCCCACGCACAAAAATGGATTTGCGCATTGACCAGAGCTCTGAGTAGGTTGACGGTCGGTTTCCTGTCCGACCTCGCGGACTGCTCGATTACAGACCTCAACAAGAACAAATCGTCCTTCGCGATTGCGTGTCGGCTCAAGCCACTTGCAATGGATGGACGTCCACGTACTTCCACAGGTATTAGCGGGCCATCGACGTCTGAAGAGTGTAGAAGCCAGTCACTCAAGCCAAATAATTTGGCGCTGGTCACCAGGTTGATGATCAATAACAGCTTGTATTCGGGAATTTGGCCATGAGAATCGATATACTCTGTATGGCGCTTGGCTGGTCTGGATGTAAAGAAGCCATCTTGGGAACGCCCAACACCAGACATGAACTCGCCGATTGCTTCGAGTTTGCTTGTATCCACAAGCTGTTGAATGCGAGTAAGAACATCAACAGCTTTTGTCGCACGGTGAGATTCAATGTAGGCCTGTAAAACCTGGTGCCAAAAGCCTGCTTGGAACAATGTATGCTGTAGTATGTAATCATACGATAGGCTGGGCTTCTGGAATGGCCGATCTTTCATGGTCCGGAGCGAATGCAAATGTGAAACCGTCAGCGCCCAGTTTTCCAGTCCATGTGGACCGGTCCTCAAGCCAAAGTTCTCCGTCTGAAGGAGGCGTACAGCTAGGTAGTCAAAATAAGCTGGTGCCAAACAATGTGGTTCAAGGAAGGAGAGGACATCGCTGATCTTTTTCTCAATGCCAGTAGTCGAGCGGAAACTAAAAGAATCGACACTGTTGATCAGGCAGTCGGTCAGTGCCAGGACCACCTCAGCACTGATTGTCCTAGGTTGCATTTGAACAAAAGGGTCCTCCCGGCTGTAAGCTTCAAAGCCACCAACCGTTCCACCTGGCCGTCGCCTGACCCGATCCCAGTCGATTGAAGGGGTCGATTTTTCCGTGTTTTGCCCACTTGTTGTCCAGTGTACTGCAGACCAGGGGTACTCGGTGTCTCTATGAAGAGACCGTATGATACGAGCTCCTGCAGATGGATACCCTCCTTCAACACAACACCAGAGAATGAACTCGATCCAGACTTCTGGACCAAGTTCCCGGAGCTTGAGGCGAAAGCGGCCGCCCGGTAGTGCCTCATCGTAGGTCAGATCTTGTCGGGAAGAATCCCCAGCAGCCGCTCGAGCGAGTTCATCCTCTTGCTGCGCCTGCCAAACTGCATCCGACAGAGTAGAGAGAATTCTTGAATTCAACAGACTCAATATTGGCGACTGCTGTATATTCGTTGGTGCCTTTGGCATAGCATAGGTGTACACGGCCGAAGGGATCAAGTCAACATGATGGATTTTGGCGAGGATCAGGAGCACCGTGTGCATGATTCGTTTGGCATCTTCCGGGGATTGTCGAATTGAAGCAATGATAAGTTCGGCCAAGGATTGCCAGAGGAGAGGCATGACTCTTTCATAGCCCGTCTCGCCAACGTTGCTGTCCCAGTTCAGGTGAGCATTCGACATAGACTGCCTTTTCACATGACTGGCCGCATCGAGCTCTATTGGCTGCTTGACGAGTTTTGAGAATGAGAACTGCGGCCAGGCGATATTAGAAGGCAACGTCTGCTCCACAGAAGAGCCCGGTAGTGACTCCGCTGGCTTCAACAAGATTTCTACCAGACACACAACGGCCTTGTGTCGACCTTGACCAAGAACCATAAATGCGAGAAGATCAACTCCTGTGAAAGACTTTGCATCTTGTAGGATCTTGAGCACATCATCAAAGTCCTTTCGTTCGTCGAAGTCGGTTCGAGCGTCGCCCCGGAAAGAGAGGCCCACGTCTTTGGAAAGAAAGCTCTCCAACAAGGAGATCCAGTATTCAGGCTTCTTCTTCTGGGCTTTTGTCACTCTCGTGTATCCTCTTGAAAACCCCCATGCCCATCTCTGTGTCTGAGCAGACTGCACTCCGAGGTCCCTTGATGTCGCAGGTAAGGCATGCGGCTTTGGCAGCCGCACCGGGGATAACGGCCGAGTACGGAAGGTCGAGACATGAGATGGAGATGGTGTATTTGACGGCAGGTATATGTCAGAGTGCGAGACCGGCTTCGGAGGGTATTCTGATCTACGAGCGAAGCAGTGCAGATGTCTTCTGAACCGGCTCTGCTCAAACCATCTGCGCATGACCTGGGGTTCTTGAACGAGAATGCATTTGGGCTGCCTGTTTACACGACAAGAGTCTGGCAGAGAATGCACACTTTAAAAGAGCAGTACAAAGTTCGCCATAAATATAGACCTCAAAGTCCAATATAACCGCCGCAAGCAGTGTCGATGATGTCTACACTTTTTTTTTCGGACTCGACGCGCGACAAAGAATAGAAGAGCGTTTCCTGGTTCTGTGGTGGGCCGGGGTAATATACGGTGAAGCATTTGATTATGAGGGATTACTTTTTCCTGCCCGTCTATCGCTCCAAGATCTGCCACTTCCGGACCTGTGCCTAATGTTACATCTTACTTTGTAGTATCAAAAACGGTTTGCGAAGAGACTTCTTCCACAGGATGTGTATCCAAGCTCTCGTAGAGCTGCAGATAGCTGCCGATCAAGAAAGCCCAAGATCCCCTGCACCGTGCCGTTAGTCAGATATGCACTCGCTTCACTGGAGTAGCAAATGTACTTACCAGAATGTTGATAGTGAAGCTTGGTACTGTGCTCCAGAATTGCCGTAGGCCATTCCAAGTGCTCCGCAAAGAGTAAAGCCGATGGCTCCAATAAAATTCCAAAATCCGATGTGCCAGCCGAGAATATGAAATGCTGGCTTCCACCACTTCTGTTGCGTCTCGAGCATGTATAGTGAACTGCTCACAATGAACCCACTGCCGCCAATGACCTGTGGAATCCAGTATGCGCCATTCAAGACGCGTTGAGGCTCCAGATGGTTGTTGATCCCCGGTAACGCAGTGAAACCCGATATTCCAAAGATTGTTGCACCGAACAGTTGAGCTGCTCCTGCAAGGAAGCCCAACTCGTGAATATAGTGTGTACGGAGGTCGTGCCATGATGGGAACCATCGCCAACTTGGGCCGTCCTTGGACTTTTGTGCAGCTAATTGTGCCTCCTCGGCGAGAGTGCGAGATGGCTTTCCGATGAAATTGCGACGATTCTGATGATGATGTCGACAATGATGGCGGCTCGCGCGAAAGCGGTACATGGGTTTTCCAGAAGCACCTTGGTTGTCCTCGAGAAGTCGTTCGACTGCCCAACCGAAACAGCCTGAGTTGTTTGAATTGACGGCTTCGATGATTAGGAGAATGGATCCTGTCTCGAAGAAGATAATGGCCCCGATGAATGCAGTCACACCTCCACCTATGTAGCTCTCATTGTGAAATTCGGTAGATGGCGCCACGAGGGGCAGCCAGGCAAAAAAGCCCTGTAGTAAGCTAATTAGTACACATATCACAGGTGGGAGGATTTCCTCTACTGCGTACATTGATAACCCAAACCACACTCCCCAAGGTGAATATGAGCGCCACAAGCCACGAGATATCCCACACGGGGAAATACGTAAAGGTCAATTTGATGTTTTTAAAGACTTCTTTATAATGAGTCGTTCGTCGAGGAGTTAAATACCGCGTCTCCTCCCCGGGTCGTGGCTTCTGAACAAGGAGGGCGTGTCGACCCTTGCGATTGTCGCGCGCCCGCCAGAGGAAGCGGACATTCTCTGCTGGAACATCCTCGTCCTTTTGATGCTGGTCATGACGCTCCTTTCCAATGTCTTCGCTTCCTTCACTGTCGCCGGGTTCTGTGGAAGCGGCCGCGTCTGACGGAACAGCACCGTCTAGTTGAAAGCGAGCTCGTGTCGGGTTGAGGAATCCCAGAGGGGCGGTAGCATGCTCTAGTTGATATTTTTCATGCTCAAAAGGTTCGTGCAAGCGAAAGTGATGACTAGTTTTCGACATGTTTGGCTGACGTAGAATTGTTATTGAGATGCCTTACGATGTCGTCGTCTGCAATACATCCTCTAGGGGAGATACGGCAAGATAGATGGAGTCAGAGTGATTCAGATTCGACTTTTACTGTAACGAAAGAAAACGTGGTGTCAGGGATGATGGTACGAATACAAACAGGAATTGGTTGGTTGGTTGGTGGTGACGAAACAAAAACAAGCACAGGGATCATCATTCGCCATATTTTTAGCGGGCCAAACACGGGGGCGTCGTAAGCGAGCCGAGATGCTTATAATTTGAGCCTAATCAGCTTGTCATGCCCTCCTTTTAGGGACAACACACCTCATGTTGCGATTACGGAGCTTTCCTTGGTGCTGACTTGATGCATCCCAGTCATTTTCTTGTCTCAGGCATCACTCAGTCTGATTCAGTCAACTTCTACAATGACGACCAAACTACCTCAATAAATAATCCCAACTACCATGATCAAGCATAATAGGCTCGAAGATCATACGTTCATGACTGCCAAATGGTCGAATTGACCTATCGTCCTATCGTCCTCAGAGACTTTATCTTCACGATCCTGCCGTCCTCTTTGCCCTTGCATGTTGAGTTATCAATCAGATCCTAAAGGGACTGTTCAGATTGAACTGGAACCCACAGCTCAACTGTGGTATCTGTGAGTAGTTTTCCTGCAACAACGCCCTCGCATTTTGCAGAATCTGTGGCCACTTCAGTTCATGTCTTTCAAATAATCGCGACAACATACCTGAATGTAAGAGATATTCCAATAATAATCAGTCTTCATCGTCTCCAAGAACGCCCAGGACATGGCGCCTGATCACACGTTAATGTATTGATCCAACGTGGTCTCGAACCACTTCATGTTGTTGCAAACTTACCAACGTGTCGCCCATTGATAAATGCATCAGCGCTGGTCTGCTCGTCTTTACACCCCGAGAACATGAACACACTCTTCCCCTCCCGTGCCCAGTCGTCGTAATCGTTGTTTTCTTGTAGGCCTTCTTGATAGTCTCCATCGTATTCATGCTTCAGTGATCGAAAGAAACTCGTGGCTCCCGCCAGCAAATGCCTCGCTTCTCCCTCTGAGTCGTATGAGAAGTCACCTCGAATCAGGTGGCTTGCCTGAGTTGACTGTCAGTTCTATATTGCTTCGTGCCTTTCACCGGTTCCCAGGGCAAAATCCAGGGGCTAGGACAATACCTACCTCCCCGATCAACTCAGCTCCTTGTTTTAAGTTGTCCATCAAGTTGACGTTGCCATCGTCATCCGTCCTATACACGAATGGCAGCTCGACTGCTGAACCACTATTATCGATTCGTTAGCGTATCCTGCCAATGCCTTGGTCTCGATGCCGTGTCTAGGCATCTTGTGAAAGTGATGCTCCAAACAATGTTTTCGGACTGGATTCCTTGTGACAGTACGGAGTACCGTGAGTCCGCATGTCGTGCCGTTCTCTCTCGAGTCTTTTCTTGACCCCCTTCCTCGCAGCAGGCGCATATCGGCCGAGCATGATGCAAAAAGTAACCCAGTTAGAACTTACCTGTGACAACAATCAAACACAATACTCAAAACACAGCCGTTCGCCAACCCACTCACCAACTCCCGGTGCAACACCCCACTCGGAATCTGTCCATTCCTTTCAAAGTCCACCGGGACAATCGTATCATCGAAGCCACTCGAGCTCCTCCTATCCCCATTATCAGGCACCTGCCCTCCATGTCCACTGTAGTGTAAAAAGCACAAACATCCAGGCTCACTCACGAGCCACCGCATCGCCGCCATGATGTTGTGGCCTGTCGGAAAGTACGGGCCCCTCGGATCACTATTGTCCGTGAGGACGACCATGTCTCTCGGATGAGTGCTGTAGTTGCGTGACAGCAGGAACTCCTGTACGTTGCGCACGTCGTCGATACAGCCTTCCAGTTGGTGTCCTGAGCCAAAGTAGTTAATACCGATGAGGAGCGCCTTGCGACGCGGTTGATTCATCATCGCCATCTCAGTCGGCCTTCGGAGGAATCATCCAGGTTCACGGTAACAAGGGGTGATCAAGAGCCGATGGGAGGTGTGTGTACTGTCGATGTACTTATAACACTTCAGGGAGGGATGGGGCAAACAGGAGGACCATCGGAAGCAACAGTGAAGGAGGCAAGCTATCACTAGTAGAGCTGTGAGTGAAAGCGGTCAATATGCTAGAACGTGCGGTGTTGTCGCCAACGAGTGGGATTTCTTCAGCTTAGGGGCTCTAGGTGCCGGTTGACGGCAGAAGTGGTTATGTCAAAGGGGGATGAACAACAGTAAAAATAGCGTCTACGCGCTCGAACAGCTGAAAGTCTTGCTGAGAGCAATTTCAATTTTGCCCTTTGGAAAAGGAAGAAGGTTGCCCCGGACTCGGGCAGACGCGCGGCCACATCGACGTAAACAAGAGCCTCACTATCTATGTCCCTTATGTGCAGCTGTAAACGCATTTGCATGAGATCAAGGTCATGTGGGAAAAACTTTTCAGCAAGTGTTAAATGCAAAATCGCATCCAACGCCATTTCAACATCAATACGAGTTGCTATCATCTCGTAGTCTCGCTCTTTTCCTCCATGACCAACTTGTGCAATTTTGATGCTAGTCCAGAAACTACCCAATTTGCAGAATGTCGAGATCGTTTGAAGGGAAAGGTCAATTGAATCGATGCTCTGAGCATCGTAAATGCCACTATTGTTATATATATCACTGCAGGCGAAATTGCCAAACCGCATATTCACCCAAAGCCTTCCCGCCCCAAAATAAGGAACCTATATCTACCAATACTGCTAATTTCCATCTGTTGTTATTTGCAATTCCGTTTTCCCTGAGGACAAAACTTAACCTTCCAATATTGATTCCAATAGACGCCCACAGGATCCCGAGAGTTGCTGTGATATCCTGATACCCCGACACCAGACAGTAGACATTTTTTAAAAACGGCCCGCACTCGTCACATCATAAACACATAATGAAAGAAGGGTTTTTGCGTTTCTTGCTGCAAGCTCATACACTGAACCACTCGCATATGCAATTGGAGTTCAGCTGTTGTGTGGCGTCTGTTCCGCGGCGAATGGCCCATCTCGCTGGTGAGGTCGATGATGGTGCGAACTCGCTCTCTTCAATTGCAATTGTCGCTATCGTGGGAATAGGCATAATTTGCCAGTTGTTGAGAACTTGCATTTGTTGACAATATGGCTGTATGTTGTTGTCAGGTTTACGCTTCTGTACCATTTTGACCAACTTGGGAAAATCTGTCGAAGCGCCTCTTCGTCGGAGTCTTCTCCTCATTCCATCCCAATAGCCATCCGACGTTGTCTGGGCCGGAGCTGAGCCGGTCTGACTGGCAGGACCTGTGTACGATTGTGTTGCTTCCGAGTTAGGCAGAGAATAGTGGCCAGCATAGCCAGAAAAAGCAGAACCATCCGGGGGACCTGTCGGCATGCTGGATGGAGCAGCTGTGGTGGCGGCGCTCTGGTTATCCATGTTCTGAGTTAAAAATATCCAAACTTCACTGATGGTAGAGTTCCAAAAACAAAACCATGGCTGGTCTCCGATCTTAAGATAAGTGGCCATCCAGTCAGGATCATAGCCGGGGGCATTTGGGTTATTGTCTCCTCCACCTCTTTTCAGGACCTCCGACATTGGAACCGACCTCTTCATTTTAGAGCCCGGAGGGTCGAGTGCGTCGCTAGGTACTGAATGCGTATGTTAGTTAGACGGAAACTGGTGCGATGTCACGTATGGTACTCACAAATGACAATCTTATCAAACAGCGTACTGAAGAACAAGGCAACACCTAGTTGATCATCATCCTTGTCGATGAATGGTTTTAAGCCATAAGAGCTGCCGTTGAAATCAGGCGGTTGTGGGCCGTATCTAAACAGCTGTGGAAGAACGGAATAATCGTCAAAGGTCACCGACAACGGAGGACCTGAATCGTCGTCGGTTTCGATAATACTGACTCCAAGCTTGGCATTGTTCATGCAGTCCCAAACACCGGGAAGTCCAGGGTCGACCACGCAAGTGTCGATCTGATCTGTTTGGTTTAACGGTATCGTCCAATGCCCAGTCGGGCAAGAGGGCGTCGAGGGCCCTGTTGAGGCTGGATCGGCATCGAGCCATACCGTCGTAGTCGCACTAGCACCAGACCTGAGTCAATATCAGCTCACAAGAATGAAGGGAAGCATGTTAAGACCAAACATACGCAGCTGCTCGTTGAGCCCCTTTCTGATTTCCTACCACCCCTCCAATCACACCTCCCAAAACCCCCGCCAGCACAATAACCACAAACAGTATGATCCATGCCCATAACGGCAAACCGCAACACGTTCGCCGCATTTTCTGTTTTACAAAGCCTTCCTTCCGCGCTTCTTCATCTGCAGAAGTTCCGGCTCCAACTGCCGTCAGTTCGACATCTGATGCAGAAGTGGCAGCTGCGGGTGGTACAAGGGTACTCGTTCCGGACTCTTGGCCAGGGCTCACTGCCTCGTGCTCTAGTCTCGCCATGTCGCCCTTTGCAATGACATTATCGGCATACCGACTGTATGGAGGTAGTTGTTCGACATGTCCATCAGTGCCTATGATATCGCCCACCTCGTCTCCTGATGAGTTCGAACCAAGCACCGGGAAGCCCATTGGCACGTTTGTCTCTGCATTGTCCTCTTCAGGTACCGTGTTCTGAATGTACATGCCATATGGATGCTCGGGACCGCCATTGGGTAAGGGCCGCTCCAGTGGTCTTATCGTTGATTCACTCGCGATGCTAGATGCACGGGTCATCTGAGGATACATGCCATAAGGTTGGCTAGGAGCAGTAGGTCCACGATAAGGACTTTGACTGCGAGGTATGGAAAATCTTGAGGATGTGGATAGTCGATTGTCTGCCATCGACCGGGACAAGGTAGAGGTAGTACGATGGGAATCGGCGGGTTGTTCGGCGTCGGGTTTTCTGTCAAGTGGAAAGGAAGAATTCAAACTGGGACGATATGAAGGGAGACTCGGAGGAAGGTATTCTCGTAGGTTACTTCGTGGGTTGCTCGTGCGGTCTACGTTTAGCTCTTCGGGCCGGTTGTCGATTGAATCGATCGGACTGAGGTCGGGTGAGGAGTCGCTGGGATCGATGGCGTAATCGTCACTGAAGATGTTTGGATTTTGTCTCTCGTTTGAAGACCTCCTCGATGCGTTTTCCTGTCCCATTGAAGAAGATTCGATCAAACTGGGAGGCCGTCGCGCCATTGAGGCGCAGCGCCACCCCTTTCAATTTGAGTTGCCAAAAGTGGTGTTCAAGGATCAGTAGAAAAGGTTGACGATGGAACCACGTCGAGATAACCAGATTTGGGCGTCGAGAGAGGTGAGGAGGATATCGAAGAGGGAGTGCAGGAGGTTGAAGTCTCTTCTGGCGGAAAGGTGATGATGGGTGGTTCGGTTTAGCCTCGAAGGGTCATTAGCGGTTAGTGTCTGGTTTCCTTGCGAGGCCTGATTCATTTCGACCTCTGGGCTCTGAAACCCGCCGCTTCACGGGCTTGGCAGCAGAATGAGCTAGCCCTGATCGGGTGGCTCTGACACCGCGTCCAGGGACGATCTTTTGCTCCGTACAAGAACCTTGCGACCCATCATCTGCCAGGCTGCCCGATCCATCTTGCAGCGCTTGATGCATATTAGTTTCCCCGGCCGCCTTCAGTATATGCCTTATGGCGACTGGTTGTGCTATTCTCCTAGGCAATGGCAGCAGCAGCAGAAGTGCAGGCCTTGCTGCGCTTCCTGACGAAAGATGCCAAACTTCCTTTGGCTGAGGCCATGTCAAAGATCAATGGTCTACGAAAAGAACAATTGAATACTCCGGAGAACATCTCCAGAGCCAATGAAGCCACTCTTAAATCTATCTTTACTGATGAAAAAGTTCTAAAGCAGGTTCTCAATGCAGCTAAGAGAGTTTCGAATCCTAAGAAACGTTCTTCTACCCAGGCGGATTCATCTGCTCCGAAGCGGGTCAAAGCAGAACCAGGTGTTGCAAACGAGGAGTCCTCACTTGAATTTCCAAAAACTGCGTTGACACTTGAGGAAATTGAAAGCCTCACAATCGAGACGAACCGAGCTCCTCTCTTTCTTGCCTTCACCATCGCAATGCTCTCATATACCCACTCAGAGCAACCTTTGTCCAGTCGCTGGAGCCTCGCCCAGGCCGTTGTTAGTGCAGGAGCTCAGAGCAAGGCCAAATACTTGGGACTTACATCTGGCCCGACAGCAGAAGAAGATGGATGGGCTCAAGGTCAGCCGAAAATCAAGATCATGGGTAGAGAAATTGCTGTTATGAGAAGACACGTCGTAGCACAGTCCGATGACCACAACAGTCCAAGTACGGCATTCTGGGGGTTGGATCTCGAAGCCCTTCGCAGGTCAAATGGACCATTGATTGGTCCTAGAGATGGGCATAGACAAAACGGCCCCCCTATTCACCAGCCTTCTGCGCCTCGAAATTATTTGTTGAAGTCGATGGTGGTGATTGAATCGGATGACGCACAGACTGAGGAAGGAAAAACACAGAAACAAGGCAACAAGCCGTCACCAAAGAGCATGGCTGGCAAGAAAGAAGAGGCTGCTGCAATTATGCTTAAAGCCATCGACGCCGTCTGTCAAAGTTGGGCCTCCACTCTCAGCGACGAAGACCTTGACCGAAGAGCTCAAGCGTGGTACATGCTGGTCAGACCTGAGGTAGAGCAAGGGCAGGCTGGCTGGGGACAGAGGGGCAAAGTGCATCTCAAAGATATACTGAAGTTGAAGAATGGATGACCGAGCAAGTGAGGTTATTTATATTGAACCAGCTACGGGATGATCATGCTCAAGAAGACGGTATAACAATCCAGTTCCCGACAACGCCAAATACCGATTCAGCGACGAGCGCAAGGTGGTGTTACAACAGTGAAGGACGCATCCTGCAACGGATAGCACATCTACTGTCCTCCCGCAGCATTCTGGTCTGATGAATTCCCGGCTGATTTAGGCCCAACATCACCTACGTTGATCAGCCATGCCAACACTGAGGTCGATCTGGACTTACCTTGCCAAAACTTTTTGTCTACCTTGTTATCCTCCTCTGCAAGTTGATTGACAGATCGCTCATGTCTTTGCTCCATCTCCTCGTTGTGCTTTCTCACTTCAGGATTGTCTTTCTCCGCGGCTGACTCGGGACGGTGGATAGCTGGACTTCCACGGTCGCTTCCAGTGTCAGATTTTTCCGTTGACTGTGCTTGGGATGAGCCCGATGAGGATGCAGTTCCCATATTGGCTGGGGCTTCGGGTCCAGGATGCTCTAGATGGGATTTTGGGTTCTTCTGGTCCCGGCCCTGCTCCATTCCAGACTGTTCGCTGCCATAATCTTGGTGTGCGAGTCTTCGTGGTTGCGCAGCATAGAAGACGCCCGCTTGACGAAGGACGTGTGGTGTCCTCGGTGTTCGCGATGCTAGACGAAGAATTGGCTGCATTTTGGGAATTGGTTCATCGATCAATATGTTACGATGATCAAGAGTACTGTAATGATTTCCTGAGGACAAATATCTATAGTATCCTAGTCTACAAGTAGGAGGGGTTGATTACATGGCTGAGCAAAAAATGTCATGGATGCGACTTCTCGATGCGTGGAATTGCCATGACCTCATTGAATGCCCAGCCTCTAATACTCACTAGCACAACTTCCGTTATTCTTCACATGTACGGAGTACGCAGTGCTCAGTACACAGAGGGCCTCTTTTGTATCTTTTTTTGTCTAGCACAGCAATTATGTCTATCTCATGGCGCGAAGGTTGTCTCTGCCTACCTCTATATGCCATGATATGGCCTGGACTTGAATATTGCGGGCTGTAGACTTCTTCACACTGCCTGGGAGAAAGACACCGTCAGGAAGACTCCTTCCGTTGCCATGACGTAGAATGTAAATTTCCAGGCGTGTTTTCACCCCGCAAATCGTCACAACGTCGCGCAACAAGGCAACGAGTTACAACAACCAGCATCATCATTGTGACCATGACTACTGTTCGTCGCTATGTTTCGTGCGGATTTGATCTCCGGACAGTGACTGGCTTTTACTCATACGAGTAGGGAGAAGTTCACGAGTTACTCTCATTGTGAGGTGAACCTGAACCCGAGTTTGTAAAGGTACTCGATTTATATCGGAGCTTGGAGCTTTGGGCTCTTCTTGTTGCTCATGGCAGTAGTCTAGCGTAAAGCAGTGGCCATACAAGTCCTCGTACTGTACTCGTGTCCATTGACTGCTCCTCGTTGCCTTGGGTGCCTGTCTAGTAGCGCCACATCCTGTCACAAAAGGCCAGTTCTCCATCATCATCAGATTCAACGGTGAAGACAGTCTGACGTCAAGGTCTCGACACGCTCACACACTCCGGCCCTTCTCTTTCCTTCTCTTGACTTGTTTGCTCCCATCATATTTCTCTCCATCAAACTCTTCTCTCTTCTCCTGCTTCCCTAACCATTTGCACAGAGAATCATCATCCACCATGAAGTTCTCTCTGTCAAAACTCCTCGTCGTTGCTCTGGCTTCTACCGAAGTTGCTGTTGCCAGCACTTGGTTCGGCAAGACTGGTAAGCTCAATTTGATCCTGGCATCTCTAGACTTCTCAGCTGAAGCTGACTCCAACGCAGTTTACAACAAGTGGCATGAGACTGAGCTCGAACGTTGGTTGTCTGACCACGATATTCCCTACCCAACTCCCGCAGACCGAAAGGATCTTGAGAATCTAGTCAAGGAGAATTGGCAAGCCAAGGTTGTAGAGCCAGTTGTCGCGACCGGTGACAAGGCCAATGACCACTATGGCAGTGTCAAAGATTGGATCTTCGACAGGTTAGCTGCGCACATACTCTTGACCACCCTGTCCCCTTTTACTGACTTGGAAACAGCTGGTCTGAATCTTCTCTCAAGTCTTTCCTCGATCATCACGGTATTCCCGCCCCTCAGCCACGAACCAGAGACAGTCTTCTGGCCACAGCTCGTCACAACTACGAAGCGGTTGCCAAGAAAGCTGGCCAATACTATCACTACCCGGGTGACTGGTTATACGCATCTTGGTCTGAATCCGATCTGAAGGAATTCCTCGATGAACGTGGCATCCCGGTTCCTCAGCCCACAACTCGTGATAAGCTCATTGCCCATGTCCGACGCAACGCCCGCTTGGCTTCTCTCAAGAGCTCTGCGGCTGCTTCATCTGCCAGTGCCTCCTTCTCGAGCGGTGTCGCAGCAGCCAGCAAGTCAGCTGCAAGTGCTCAGGCTAGCCTTACTGACGCTCTCTTCGACGCATGGTCTGACAGCAAGTTGAAGGAGTTTTTGGACAGCCATGGCGTTCCTGTTCCACAAGGCAGCAAGAAGAACGAATTGATTGCTTTGGCACGCAAGCACCGTGCTGAACTGGAGAACAAGGCCTCTTCAGCTTCCGGGTCGGCGGCTTCTGCATATGGTGCAGCCACTTCATCTGCTGGCAATGAGTTCGCTAAAGCCACTGATGATGCATCTCTTATCGCCGACGAAGCCTTTGACAATGCCATCAACACTTGGTCTGAGTCTCGTCTCAAGGCTTACCTTGACTCTCGTGGCGTCCCAGTTCCCCAAGGTAGCAAGCGTGATCAACTCTTGGCCCAGGTCAGACTGAACAAGCACAAGGCTGCCACTGGCTGGTCCGCCTGGACTTTTGATACCTGGACCGTCGATAATCTGCGCAAGTATCTCGAAGCACATGGAAAGAAGGCCAAGAAGTATGCCAACGCCAACCGAGATGAACTCCTCAAGCAAGCTCAAGACTCGTACACTTCAGCCTCCAAGTCTGGTGGTACTAGTTACGCGTCGGTGACTAGCTATCTTGCCCAACAAACCAACGCCGCCAAAGACTCCGCCTTTGATACCTGGTCCGACAGTGAGCTGAAGTCATATCTCGACAGCTATGGCATCCCGAATTATCAGGGCTCCACCACCAATGAACTTCGAGCGATGGTCAAGAAACAAGCCAACTACTTCCGATATGGAACCACCTCCCCCTCAGGAACCATCTTTGAACGCCTTAAGAGCAGTTTGCAATGGCTCCTGGGTCAAGCGCAAGGAACTGCTGCATCTGTCTCTGCAGAAGCTGCTGCTACTGGTAGCTCTGCTGCCAGTGTTGCATCCAAGAGTGCAACCTCTGGTGCCTCTAGCGCAAGTTCGGCAGCCAGCGCTGCATCTAAAAGTGCTTCCAAGAGCGCTTCGAGCGCCAAGAACGAGTTGTAGACAATCAAACAAAGGTTGGCTCTCACGGAGTGGTGGAAACAATAATGCGTCATTACTACGATACCCCCCGAATACGTACGGTGAGGTTATGTCAGGTGCATGCCGGAGTATCGAAGGCCCGAGGGTGTTAGTTACCAAGTCTATAACACCTAGGTTTGGGGTTTACGGCATGAGAATTGAATCGACACTCGTCACGGTTCTTATGCACTTTGTACTTGTATGTTTTAGAGGTTCCATAGCTACGAATAGCAACAAGACATGACAAATTTAGAGATTTGTTTGATATTGTTCATATGAGTACATGTAGTATAACCTTTCTTTTTCCTGGCATCCTGTGTCCCTAGGGGAGTCGAATCATGTAGTTTGTTCAATGGAAATCCGTCTTTTTGAAAGGCAACAATTTTCCCACGACAAGGTACTTTTTTCAGAACGATTCATGTCAGTAAGGGGTATGATGTTATCTGGGTGTGACGTTTTGAAGGATGTGATGATGTCCCCCCGAGTGTGACATTTGTGGGTTTGGGTTTGGGTGTGTGTGTGTGTGTGTTTGTGTGTATGCTCCGTGGCACGTACCTTTTCATCGAACCTCTCGATCCAACCCTGTAGGTTCTCACGCTGTTCGGCGGTGAGGTCCTCGCAGGGGTCCAACGGACCGTCGAGGTCCTTGGTCAACATTTCCTCGTCGAAACTCTGGCAGGCCAGTCCGCGGGTGGCGTCACGGCCGGCGAAGTTTTCGTAGGGACCCCCGGGGCCGTAGAAGTTGCGGCCGGCGGTCACGTCGTAGACCTTTCCCCGGACGGCCAGGTAGACCGGCATGTCCTTGGTCCCGTTGTACTTGAGGAGGGTCCTCGGGGTGTAGGTCTGAAAGACGACCGGGGATGGGCCCTTGGGGAGGGTCGGGGGGGAAGAAGGTCGGAGTCGCCAGTAAGCCAGGCTCAGCAAGACCAACAGGAGGGTGAGGTTGAGGGGGGTGGCCAGGGCGGTGCTGTGACGGAGTAAATGTCAGCAGAGCAGCGAGGGGGAGAGAGGAGAGAGAGAGAGGTGTGGTGGTGAGGACGGGGCACACGAGATGTGACACGGTGAGTCGAGTTCGAGGCCGGACTTTGATCGATCAAAAAAAAAAAGAGAGGACTCACATTGACTCTCGAACCAGTTGATTGTGCGCTTCAATCTCTGAATCAACGATAGAAGTGGGATACGATTAGCCCGTGAAACCAACATCAACAATGCAGCGGAAGAGGATGGGGGTCGAGGGTGCGGCCTGTGGTTCAACAAAGGTTGTCTTTTACTCGTACATACCAGGTGGGATCCCCGACATGTTGGGCGGCGAGATGTGAGTGACGAATCTTTGTTTTGGAAAAAAAAGAGAGAGGGAAAAAATGAGTGGTTGTTGGACTCTTGAATGAGTTACAGTACAAGACACCAATCTCGCTACGTACAAAGTACAAAAAGGTTGCGCAGTCAGATGGTGGGATGATGGAATGAGGAGGAATGATGGAGACAGAGGAAAACAATAATGTGGGGGGCATTTTTGTTGGTTGGAGGGGTGTTTGCTTTTCAATTCCCCCGGCCTCGTAGTACGGAATACATGGAGCCCAGGCTGCAACTAATAAAGATATACGGAGTACTGAAGAACTGATCATGATCATCAGGAACAAAAGCCATGTGTCCCAATATACTAAGATCCTATCTAACTATCCGTCATTGCTCTTGAAGAAAATTGTAGTCATCCAACGCTGCATCTGCTAGGTATATGTCTATCCCCCTATATCGCAAAATATGACAGTAAAACGCCGAGATGGCGATCAGCTCAAGATCTTAAGATCTATCTTACCTTGTTTAACAAACCTCGAACACCCTCCAAAGTTCGCTTGACCACCTGAACCAACACGTCTCTAGTATTCTTCGCACCATTCCGTGCGGTGAAAACAGCTCCCCAAAGCGCCATGATGACACCAACCAGCTTCAAGATACGTCCGAGTTGAAGCTTGAGAAGACCCTTGCGAGTATATTTGGCGTCCCAGTGACGCCATTGGGGGAACATACATCGCAAGGTAAAGTCGATCTGGGTACGTGGGTAGACGGTCGAATTCCAACCATCTTCAGTCACGTACCAGGATCTGCATCCGCCAGACAAGAACACGGAATTCTTGAGTTGGGATTGCAAGTCTGACGTCCACTTGCGCTCAGCAGACTCTTTGACCTCCCAGGTGTCCACGTCGCCACGAAGGATGGGGTCGATGAATTTGAGTGAGTAATTCACCATGTTCTCCGAGGCAAGAATAACGCTGCTGTGGCCAGTAGCTGTGTTGGGACCAAAGATCATGAAGAAGTTGGGGAAGCCATCCATTGCCGTGCCCATGTACGCCTGGGCACCTCCTCGGTCAGCCCAGGTCTTGTAAAGCGACCGACCATCACGGCCGGTCACATCAAGAGGGTGAAGCCACTGGTTCGTCTCGTAACCATTGGCCATGATGATCACATCTGCGGGGACGGTGCGAGCTTCGGTCGGCACCTTGGAATCAGTCTTCGACATGGGCGGGTAGTATCGTCCAGGACCGAGGGTCACAGAATGAGGCTGTATGGAGGTGATGGGCAAGCTCGTGATCTCCACATTGGGTTCCTGCAAGCACTTGAACCATCCTTCGTCCACCACGCGTCGTTTGCAAAACACTTCATAGTCAGGCGTCATGATCTCGTGGTATTCTTCGGGGACTATCGAGCGGAGATAGGCAAGGAGTTCTTCACCCTTCTTGCTCCGTCGGTGCCGCGCACCTTCGGTCGGAGAGAACAGGCTGATGAACTCGGCTTCAATGGCGGTGAAGAACAACTTGCGAAAGCTGTTCTGGAAGCCTGGAACATGCTGACACAACCAGGGAATCCATTTTAGGTAAAATTCCTTCGCTTCTGGCGGCATGAACGGGACCGCCCAGGGTGGAGAACGCATAAGCTGAGTGACAGTCTTCGCTCCGTATTCAGGTTTGATAAGTTGAGGCATCACTTGTCCAGCGCTGCAACCGGTACCAATGACAATCACGTCCTTTCCTTGCAGATTCAGGTCGGCCTTCCACCTGGCCGTGTGCACAATCTCGCCCTCGAATGTCTCCTTGCCGGGCACATCCAGAGGTGGTTTTGGCTCCACGAGACCTCCCACGGCGCTGACCACGACCTTTGCGCGGACAGTCTCTGTGTAGAGGACCGACGAGCCCACTCCCTTCTCTGCTTCAAATGCGTTTCTTTCATAGGTGGCCATGTCCCCGACGCCAGGCGCGAGATGTTCCAGAACGACTTCCCACTCTTCTGCATCGTCCATCCAGCGCACGCTTTTGACGGATGTATCGAACTGGATCTTGTCAAGGATCTGGTACTTTTCGCATGTATCATACAGGTAACGAACGATTTCCTTGCCCGAGGGGAAGAGGGTGGTCCAGTATGGGTTCTGATTGAAGGAGAAGGAGTATAGAATGGCTGGGCTGGCGCACAGGGTGTCGTGTCAGTCACTGTCATGAAGTGAACGAGAGCTACGTATACATACATGTCGCATGCTATCCCAGGGTATCTGTTTGAATACCACGTCCCACCAAGGTCAGACTGTCGTTCGAAGATGCGGAATTGGTCGAAGCCCAGGACCGAACGTAATCTGCAACCCATGGCAATGCCAGACTCGCCAGCACCGATGATGAGGACGGGATAGTAGTTATATCCTGATTTGCTGCCCTCGCCGACATGGCGGATGTGATTGATTCTCTGCGCCATCATGTCCTTGCAGGTTGCTATGTGACACACCGTCTTTGCGGGGTAGTGAGGCTAGAAGTGAGGGTGGTTGGCAGAGGAATGGTGAAGTAGAGGAAATACGTCAAGATGCTAGAGTATAAGAAGTGAAGCGAAGGTGGTGTAGAGGAAAGATGGATGCATCCATCTAAAGGGCGAAGATGGGAGGGAATAAATTAATGTTAGATGATTGAAGGCCTGACTCGAATGCATAGTATCGCCTGTAGGACACGTCGGGCGTCTAGTCCAGTCCGACGTCACTTGGTAAATAGTCTTAGAGGGAAAGGACAGTACATAGGTATGAGTAGGTATGAGTAGGTGCCTAGGTCGTTGCGGAGTACAGATACTCCGGGTACCCATAGGCCTATTGTCCTTTTACCGATGAAAAATGGCAGCTCGCCGCTTTAGGCACTCTCCTCTCCTGAGAGATTCCTGAACTCCTTGTCCTTTCTTTCTGCCGCATCATTCCTCCACTACACCAACTTTCATCAACGGAGCTTGTATGAGATTCATATGTCCTCAAACTGCTTAGTTGGACGCCTCATATGTTACTCTCTTACCTTGTAATGATCGCTCAACCTAGACAAGGACACTGGCTCCGTGGATACGTCCTCATAATTTCGACTCCTTCACAGATCTGGCAGACTCTACTTGTGATTCATGATTCATCCAGCCATCCATATCCTTCAGATCACGAGTCTTTCCGTCACCACCCCATCGTTGGTCACGACTTGTCTGATCTGGCCGCCATCTCCATGACTCCTTCAACATTGGATCCAAAGATCTCCCTTCTACCAGATCTGAGATGTATTTTCCAATCACAGGAAGCATCTTGAATGCATTGCCTGAATCTCCCGTTGCGACGATCAGACGTGGATGCTTTGGGTGTACATCAAGCAGCCAGTTTCGGTCACGCGTATCAGTGCACCAACACACTTTCTCTGTCACGAATGGCCTGTCCTTGAACCGTGGCACAGTCTTGGCTAGAAGATTTCTGATCTCTTTTCGTGACTGATGCGGAATTGTGTCCCCTGGGTTTTGGGCGTTCGATCGTGGCTCGCTCGTTTTACGCCCGTCGTCTAACGTCACCTTGTGAGTGAAACCAGGGAACTCGTTGCAGAATTTGATCTGCCCGTCCTCGCTGGGCTCGAAAAAGAAACCTGGGAAACCCTGCGTCAGGTCTGGCCTTCCTTGACCTCTTGGATCGACTTACCTTCTTCTAGGTTCATCACCACCGGGATATCCTTAAACGCTGCACACTCTTCCGGAGAGAGTTGTATGTGGGCCAGTGTCCAACACTTTGCCTCTAGTTGGCCTTCTGTATCGAGCAGAGCATCGCTCCAGGCACCTGTGCAGAGAACCATCCGGTCGGCAATCCAGCGGGTGCCGTCTTCGGCAATGATGCCAGTGGCTCTGCCTTGGCCGTCCAGCAACAGAGACTTCATCGTGGCTGACTTCCCGCTTGCAAACTTGACTCCTAATTTCGCAGCCTCATTGCCCATTATCCGCAATGCCTCCTTTGCATATGCCCAACCTGCTCTCCTGTGATAGAAACCACGCCAGTTCGGCAGCGAGCCGTCTCGAAGCTGAGGGACGAGTTTATGGAAGTCCTTCTCCGACTCGAGCCATTGCACATTGTCACCTTCGCCACAATCGATCCAGCTCTGGTAAGCACGACTACAGTAATCAGTTGCCTCGTCGTTTGTGCCTGCTGTGATCAAGCCGACTTCGTGCCATACTGATTCGAACAATGGCTCCTGCCAGCCAGCCAACGCTTCTCGACTCAGTCGTGCCGTCAGAGCTGTGTCATTTCGCATTCCGATGATCTTGTTGATGTCGTACCCGGCCGAATCGGGCGAGGGGTATGGGAATCGGTCTAGACATTGAATGTTGGTGTAACCCCGTCTAGCCAAGTGGACTGCCGTGCTGAGGCCAAAAGTCCCTGTGCCTACAATCAAGATGGACGATGACTTTGGGAGGTATGCCATGGTGCCTTGTTCTTCAAAGAGTCGCTACCCGTTTATCAATACTGCCAGCAACACGCCTAAACGACGATCAGTTGGCAGGACGTTTTTATTGTTACCAGATCAATAATGTTTGATATTTTTTCCTTGTCTTAGCCTCCATGCAAGGCCATCCCCCGCCTTCCGACAATGCCACTCACACGTGAGGAGCGAAATGAAAATACAGTGAAGAGCATGCGAAACTGATGCCGACTGGCAACGGGATGTAGTGGATCAGCCCAGGAGAAAAAGATTAATTCCCTTACCGTTGATCGCAAGGGTCAACGAGCAGACTCTCGGACCGTATCATAGGCAAACCTGCTCATGTCAGTCCCCATCGAACTCGCTTGAGCGATCCCTCGTCAAAGTCGTTGGGTGCGTGACCTCGCAATGACACCGGGCACCGAGAAACAGCCATGTGGAGGGCGGGACATGATTGAGGTTCTCCACTTCATGCTTATCACGGCACATACGCTGCTACAAGTACTCGGGATGACTTGCCTGTCCATCACCATCCACTCTCGTTACCATTATGCTGATCCGTTTTTGAATTAGTCACAACCTCGGTCCCCATCCCTCGTCGATTTTGTTTGTCTGTGTGGGAAGGTCCACGCGTAGGATTCCAACTTCTGGCAAGTGTTGGTAGAATCAGGGTGGTGGCGTTACGAGTCGGTGAAAAGGCCCGACAGGAAGTTAGTCATAGCGCTCGCGTTGACTGGCAAGACCTGACCGAGATGTTTCCCAGGAGGCTGGACATTTGAAGGGGAAGGTTTACGGAACGAGTGATACCTGGTCCCAAGACGTTTGACACCCAAAGTTGCAAGCACTCAGCCCAGCGGACACCGACACCACGAGGCCTGAGAGAGAGGGAGAGACGCGGATTCACGATATCGAATTGTTTCCCAGGCCTGGAAACCCACAGAATCTTCCAATCCATCCTTTTCGCTCGGGTGAACGTCTGCCTTGTCGTGGAGGGTGATAATGCTCAACGTGTGCCTGATTGGCGCCGGCGGCGTGGGAACCATCGCAGCATACGTCCTGGAAAAGTCTCAGAGGTGTCGTGTCACGGCGGTATTACGATCCAACTACACCGTGGTTCGAGATCATGGCTTCGATATAGATTCGGTTGATCATGGTCAAATCCGAGGATGGAAACCACATCGAGGTAAGCAAGCCAGAACTAATCATCACGGCCATCTTCTTGTCCTTTCTTTCTCAGACCTTTTCCATGAAGCTTCGTACGGAGTACCATTCGTGCTAATTTAGTATCGTCAACAGTAATACCTTTTCTTTCTTCCGCACCGACAGACCAACCGTACGACTTTATAGTCATCACCACCAAATCCATCCCTGATCTGGTGGCCGCACTCATCCCCGACCTGAAACCACTCATCACTCCAGGCAAAACCAGTCTCGTCCTCATCCAGAATGGTTTGGACATTGAACATTCATTTGCCTCTGCCTTTCCCGAGATCCCTGTACTTTCGGGGTTGAGCATGATAGGTTCCAGAACGACATCCCCTCGCGCGGTTTTCCACGAGGATCCCGACCAACTCAGGATAGGCCCTTACTATCACCACGTCGACGACCCTCTCCCACGCTCCACCCAACTCGAAGCCGCACGTACGTTTGTTGAGGTTTACAATGCCGGTCTCTCGGATGCGAGGACAATCCAAAAGTCTGGTGCTGAATGTGTTTTGGCCGAAGACATCGTCGCCGCTCGTTGGCGCAAGTTGTTGTGGAACGGTTCTTACAACACAATCTGTGCCGTACTCAGAATGTCCGTGGGGGAAGTCCTCTCGAGTCCAGGCAGGAAAACACTTTTGGAGCCTGCCATGCGTGAGATGGCCGCCATCGGTACAGCAGCGGGATACGGAGAAACGGTAACGGAAGACGTCGTACAGTTTTTGTTGAAAGACACCCCAGACACCAGCCCATTCAGACCGAGCATGTTGGTTCACCTGGAAAAGGGTCAGCCCTTGGAATTGGAGGTCATTTTGGGCGCGCCGTTGAGGGTGGCAAGGGCCAAAGGCGTGAAGACGCCTGTGCTTGATCAGATTTACGAACTTTTGAAGGTCGTTCAGTGGCATTTATTGCGGCAACAGTCCTGAGGGGAAAGGAACGAGGAGCGGTCGGATCAGAGAGTTGATAATGAGAAAGATAACCCCTATATAGGATTTGTACAAGGAAAACCATTTTTAACTCGTTCTATTATCCTGATACATTGTATCTTATATGTATGTGTCTGGTAAGACTAGTATCTCTCAAACAAAAGAACCTTGTATCATACCATGCATATGTGTTTGTTAGTACCTCTAGAGCCACTGTTTGCCCATGAAAGTAGTTGCGACACCTTCACGCCCTTCGTTTGGGACACACACACACAAGGCACGTAAAGTTCAATAAATCGTAGCTACATATATCGCTATATACATCGTAAGATACTCCATCGCCAAGAAAGAACGTCAGTTGATCGTTCACGCCCAACCATACTCCCTGTCACTGTCTCACTGAGCCGTGAGTACCTATGAACGTACCCGTGGACGTTCTGGTAAACTAATCACTGGTCGAGACATAACTCCAAATCCTCCTCCACATAGGCTGACTATAATAATGGTCCAAGAACTTCTCCTGCTCCTCGGTCAGAGGTTGGTGTCCCGTGACCAAGTCGATCTCGCTCGCCCGCCTGATGCTGGTCCGTCGAACGATCTTGTACCCGATAGTGGCGACCAAGATGAGAGGCACTCCCAGGTATGTCATGAAGAAGTCGTAGGCGCTCAGAGGGGTGCCACCGACGGGATACAACGCGTCGGCGAAGAGACCGACCAGGACCAAAAAGGCACCGACGCCCAAGAAGATGGGCGCGACGGGCCAGAATCGGGCCTTGTACATGTACTTGCCTTCGAGGATGGTGCTTTTCTGAGCGCGAATGGCGGCGTGGAAGCGGATACTGCAGATGGCGAGCACGACCCACGCCGTCATGAAGATGGTGGAGGCGACGCTGGAAAACCTGTTGGAAACAAAAAGAAAGAAAAGTTAGCCAGAAGTTGATTCCCAGGAGCTTTGCTAAAACGCAAGGGCCATTGAGCAGCCAAAAGGAAAACTTACCAGGCGAAAATCGTAGCACCCGTGTTGGAACAGTTGATGTAGGTGAAGGTAATGGTGAAGAGTGCCGTGACAAACAGTGACCACGTAGGACGACCCTTGTTGTCAACCTGGGCAAGCTTCTTTGGAAGCATGCCGGAGAGTGCCATGTGTCGCATGACGCGAGACGCGATGTAAAGAGGTTCCAGACCACCGGTCGCGGAGATGACCAGGAACGAAGCATTAAGGAGCTCGGGAATGCCTCGGATTCCGGCGTCATTGAGAGCAATGACCAGTGGTGAGGCGTTGATGCCTGAGCCACCAAGAAGACGAGGGTCGTTCAGAGGCACAAGGAGAGTGATGAAGATGACGATCAGCATGAAGAAGAAAAAGACTCGAACACCGACACTTTTCACCGCTCGGGGCATACTGTGTCGAGGATTCTTCGTCTCGCCGCCCATGATGCCGACATACACTTGGTCGCCGACTCCCCAGATTGCATAGATGGCGCAGAGGCATGTTCCCTGTCAGACTGTCAGAGCCAAATATTTTTCAAAGCTAGCACCTGGGTACAATGACAGATCATACCTTGACGTTGTGGAGGAAGGCTGGAAGGTCACGCCAGTATTCGCCGTCGTGGACTTTTCCTGTTGGGCCAGCACCCCCAACCATTGCGGCGGAGGTGAAAATAAAGATCAGAAGAACCACGACCTTGAGGACAGAAGTAGCATATTGAACTTCTGCAAAGACCCGGTTGGGGCACGCGTGAATACCAAATGTAATAATCAAGATGATAGTCACTGTATTCGATTGGTTAGCATTGGAACACATTGGCACAAGGATCATTTCCTGTGCGATCAAGGGTCACTGACTCCATACTGCCACAGGAACTGCATCGGTCCAGTACTGTATAATCACATTGAATGCCGCGCCTTCAGCAGCAAGCACAGTTGTCCACGCCAACCACTCTCCAAAGCCTATTCCGAAAGCCAGGGCAGGGTCGATGAACCTGTCGGCGTAGTCGATCAAACTTCCAGAGACTGGGAAAGCGACCGTCAACTCGGTCAGAACTTGAAGTGTAGCCACCACCTGGACAGTCATCAATCAGCACACGATCAGTTTCAAGCATCCCGGTCGGTCATCATACCATGGTCATAACAGTCGTGTACCCGATAATCATGTTTCCAGGGCCAGCGTTTCGAAGCGCTTTACCGGTCGAAATGAATAGCCCTGAGCCAATATTGCTGCCCAATGTAACGATTTGAATGTGACGAGAGCGGAATGAGCGCCGATATTTGCCTGCATATTCCTCACCATAACGATTGAGTGTCTCGCCGACGGGGTTGACTGTCCCAATCTTCTCATCATCCTGCGAAGATATTTCGGTGACGGGTCCAGAAATAATCTCTTTGGATTCCATCATCTTGTTGACCGACCTAGATGAGATCTGCTGGAAAGAGTTGTACTTCCTCACCTGTCCAAGGGGATGTGGTGTGGCGGCGGAGGTACGAGAAGAAGAGGTGTTCTGATTCTGGCGATCAAGACTTGCCCGTGGGGAGTCTCTCTGGGACTTTATAAACCAAGTCATACCCCAGGACCGCCAGGGGTCGAAGCAATCTCAGTCCATTGCCCGTACTGTAGATGCTTCAATTGCCAAGGCCCTTGATGGCCCTCGTCTATGATTTGCCACCGTCCGAGAGTTGCTATGAGACTCACAGGTAAGCTATCCCGAGCTTATCTAGTCCGAAAGGGCCCCCTCTCCTGCTAGCTTCAATCCCTGAAGTGTATACGAACAGTATGTGTTCAAACCTGAGGGAAACGGAGACAGAAATTCTGGGGAAATGGGTTGGCAAGTCATCCCGAGTCCAGGTTCGATGGCGGATGGAAAGTATGCCGACTTTTGCTTGTCTCCGCTGTAACCGACAAGTCTCCATCTTGGTATCTGAACCCTTGCCGTTGAGCCATAGATATTCAGGCGGGCATGTGTTCCGATAAATCAAACAGTGGATTTCGTGGTCCGTTCTCTTGTGGGACGACCTGATAAGGTTGGCCATGTTCATCTCGGCAAGGCTTCGATCACTACTGGAAACGTGAACCTTTTATCGCTTTCAGCTTCCGGGTTGCGCTCTACATACCATGATGCGAGCAGCGACCTGGGCTGGTTGAACATGGACAGGATTGGAACGGGCAGCTTTGCGGCAGGAAAGTGCTCCTCTAAAATCCGAGCACTGCAAAACTTGCCGACGGCATTGGAGAGACTGGTCTGCCAAAGACTAGTCACTGATCTGTCGATGATACGACTATGCGTGTACTTAAGCATGCGAGGTTCTGAGCAACAGTTCTCGGGTGTCGACTTATGACAGATAATAATCTCTGATATTATGGTACATATAGCAGGCAAGCGATTCAGGTGAGAACCAGGGTGACATCCCATTCGCGAACCACGTCCCACCAATTCGAGTTGCGTAGCCTTAGGTCCTGTCTTCGCCAGACCTCAGTCACGACTTGTTCGGCTATCTCGAGGTTTCGTCCGCCATATTGCCTTGCAAGACTCGACCACAAGCGTAGCTTGCCTCGGACCGAGTCTCGAATCGATTCCGAAGCGACCATGAACCATGGCCAAAGAAGGGCGGGTGCGTTGACTCCCGTTCGACCCTTGACTTCCTCCTGCTCGTTGAGATGATCGGCTGCACTCTCTACGTAGTGTTGAAGGACCATCCGGTTGATTGGCCTCACTCTGCGGAAGAACATGACAATGAGAGCATCATGCATTGCTTGGACTAGGTGCGACCCAACCTCAGGATCATAGGGGGTCAAGGGCGGTGTTGGAGATACCTCGTCATTCATAGGATGCCAATTACAGATTTGGTCTTCCAGGAGCTGGCAGCGGGTTCGTAAATTGCAATCACTCGGAGAACTGCCACTTGATATTTCTTCCTCGTCTTCCAGCTCCTTGGCCAGTGCTGAGGCACGAGATATGAGTGTCAGAAGAGACCGTGGTACACCATATATTTTGGCGAAAAGTTGATAATCGTCCTTGTGCTGCGCAAGTGAGTCTAGATCATTCCGTAGTGCCAACGGCCCGACAATGGCCGCAGCGTTGTTTAGTTCGTGACCGTCCTGTACAAGGTCGTCCCTTCCCTGCTCATTTCTCCCCAGCGTTTTGGACACATGCGTACTGCTGTAAATGATCTGCAGGTACGAGTAAATTTGATGCAATGCAGCAATCTTACTGGATTTGAACGATGAGCCATATGAACGGGCAACGAACATCTCGATCAGCTTGTTGGCTCGTTGAAGGTAGAAGTGAGCATTGTCAAGCTTTCCGCTCGTAACACTGATGGTGACCATGCTTAACAAACTCATCAGCAGCTCGCGATAGACTTCTTGGTCCTCGCAACTCTTCTGTTGGATCTGCAAACAAGCCTGTATCTGCGTCGTGGCCATGTTTTGAAATGTGGCTCCTTTTGTCAACCAATAGTTGGTCATTTCTCTCGGGTCACTTGGTGCGTTGGATCCAGATTCCCTTGCGGCGTCTTGAGAACGGCTCTCCAATTGTGTCGACCAAGGGATCTTCGAACCAAGATGATTGGCCGAAATAGATAGTAAAGCATAGAAGAGCGCCATCCGAGCGTTGTTCGTGCTTCCAAACACCAAGAGGTCCGCCATGGTACTCATGGCACAAGGGAAGTGAATGGTCCTCCAAGGTGACTGAGGATTCGGTAAGTGGCACATGAAGTTCACCACCTCAGTGGAGTAGTATTCCAATAGGAAACGGGCTTCAGATGGTATGCGCGAGATGTTTTCCAAGTTGGACAATGACCCTGGAATTCGACTCAAACTGGAGTGTCCACTCCAATGCGGATGGTCCGGGGTACCGGATGCCAACATTCCTTCAGCCCTCGTACGAGCCGCAGGTGGTGTCTGTCTGTCGTAGAACGGCGGTATGATGATATTCATGGCGGCTGCCGCTTGGGTCACATCGTTCAGTGCATAGTGCCGGTAGTCAGTGAAGCTTGGAAGGGGATGGGCTGGATTCTCTGAGCTTAGGTTAAGGAACTGGTCTGCCGCTATTGGACCAGAATTGTCGTTCAATCCATCAAGCCACGGCAGCGCGATATCGTCCAGACCCGCTAGCCAGGGCATAGCGGCCTCTTCAAGATCAACATTTGGACCGTTTCCGTTGTCGAGAAGAAACAATTCTCCCTGTACAAGTTCGGGCGAAGTTGGATTTTCCCCGCCAGCTGAGGATGTCGTGTCCACAGCTGAAGTACTGAAGCCACTGTCATCGATCATACTTTTTTGGGTGGAAGTGTCGAGACCAAAGACCCCAAAAGGGCCAATGTCTTGGGTAGATTGTGGATCATCGCAGAGGTTCTCAGCTAACGTGTCGATCATGTCGATTGCATGATCGATATTGCTGTCGTGGTCGCCGTGTAAGAAATTCCGCTGGACTTCGCAAATCATACTTGCTCGTTCGCGATCTAGGTTGAGTCAGAGAAGAATCAATGCCAAAGAGGTTCGGGCCTACCTGTGAATAAAGGCCGACGACGGATAGAGGGCTCGGATGGACTATTCTTGCGGCCTTTAGATGAACTTTGGCGTCGCTCTGACTTAGGCTTTGCTTCTTTTCTGCTTGGACAACCAGGCTCGTAGGCGAGCCAGGATAGCTTGACCCCGTAACCTTGACATTGAACGCCCAACGCTAGGCATCTTTTACAGGCTGGACGCGTATCGTCACATTTCAACTTGCGTTCACGACAGGTATAGCAACCTGTCAATGTCCTGGTACGCTGCCTCTCGGGTCTTGAAGGTGACATTTGAGTGGAGAGTCCCGGAAGCGATCATGCCGGCTGTGCTCGACTGGGCTAGGGAGGAAACTCGACCCGTAAAGACACACAAAATACTACATGACAGGCACCTACACAGTGAAGCGTCGGGTAAAGTGATTCTGGATGAAGATCATAGGAATGAACGTTGCGAAAGGCAAGAGAACGTGAGTGAGTATGGAATAGACAAGAACGAGAGATGGATTGAGACTAGTCTCGATTTCGTCACCAGCGACTCTTGGCATGGATTCGACTGCCACTTCTACATCGAGACTCTCTTCAGCACATCGGCGACTTCGCTTTCTCAAAGATCATTTCCGAGGACGCGCTTGAATGTTTGTCGCGAGTTTAGAGGACCTGTAGAGATCACTGGGTCATCTTCTCAGAGTAAAGGATGCCAGGCCGGCTTCAATATGCCTCGCCGTCAGACGTTCCAGCCCTTGTGGGAATCTTCGAAAGGGCTTTCGCAAGGGACCGCGCGACCAGGCTGAAAGCAGCCGGGCATCAGGAGCGTCCAAGCTACATTGGTTCCATGATTGAAGCGCCCCTTCGAGATTGGCTGGATCAGCCTCACCGCTGTCGAGTGCTCAAATTGGAGACGGAAGAGTCTCTGAAACCTCTTGGATGGATCTGCTGGGGCTTCTACGGCCTGACAGAATCCAAAGTGGGCTCGTTATGTGCCAGCGCTGAAACCTCTTCGATCGAATGTATACTACGTGCCCGGCCAGGTCAATACTCCCTATCAGCTCTTCCCGAAGACTGTCGGCCTGAGAGCAAAGATCCTGATCGGCCCGCCGACACTCCAAATCAGAGCGTCGCCGACCTCGAGGCGCTCTGCTCAGCCGATTCCAAGCAATGGATGTCGAGACTCATGCCAAAAGGTGGTAGAGGCATGTTTATTGCATCCATCTGTATTGACCCGGAACACCAAGGCCGCGGAATTGGTAGCGAACTCCTACAATGGGGAATTCGCCTGGCAGATTCCGAGCTGCTATCGATCTGGGTTCACTCGTCCGAAGATGGATGGAATCTGTTTGCTAGCAAGGGGTTTGAAGAGATTGGTAGGTTACAGCTTGACCTGGGAGAGTACACCAAGGATGACAGCCTGAATCTGTCAGATCCATATGTCTATCGCTACATGGTTCGAAGACCATTAAATAGCTGACCCGGCGAGCAAGGTCACCTAGTTCGAGTTCGAAAATTTATGTAGCAGTGTGGTTTTTCGTTCTCGAGCAATAGAAGTAGGTGGGCATAGAATGAGCTGATGGGTATTCTTCTCACCGCTGACCTTAGGACGAGAGTCATGCAGAATGATAGACGATAATAATAGTGTAGCGAGAGGTGTCGAATCTATCATAGAATTAGCTTGATATCCCGAAGTCTGGCTTAACGGTACCTCTAGATACGGGGATTAGTCCTCCCCAACGGTGCCTAAAGTGATGCATGCTCTCCACCGCCCATGACGCCTGGAACTTCGGGACATGCTACGCCGGAGCGAATAGGGAATCTTCCATTGTGCCCATACTCCATCCGTAAGCTACTCTCGCTGCCCTACCTTCAAAAAACCAACTATGAGCAATCCGCAACCTTCTCCATACCTCACCACGCCACACGTACGACGAAATACCACCTACGGAGGCCATTGTTCCAGGTTCTGGTACTAGATGACTGTGTCAAATCAATCTGATTCACGATCAAAATAGAACGAAATAGATCAATGCAATGTCTCGCACGACGACCACCGAGCATCAAAGCTCTTCTGAACATCAATATTAACAGCCTCCATGTCTGTCGCCATCAACGTCATCAATTCAGTACTTCCCGCCAACTACTTCAGCAACTGAGACAAGTCCCATTTCTACCATCGTGGACACAAGATGTCTTTGAAAGAGAAGCCTACATCCCTTCCACACCGGCTCGATTACCTCGTTCTGCTGAACACATCCCACCAGCATGTTTGAAATGGTTCATTCACGACAACGACCCTGACTTTGTATTGACGACGTCGACGTCGAAAGCGACAAGCCATGACGGTGGTACCGGTGTCGACGAAATCGTCCACCATCCAACGTCATCAGAACTCCGGACGTCGTTCTGGTCCGACTATGAATCCACCGTCGTCCCGCTGGAAATCACGTCCAAGAATGACCAAAAAGGCAGAGACGAAAACGAAGAGACTTTTGATCGAATCGAGGCTCCGTTGAAGGTTCTGTTGGCTCATCTCTCCCGTCCGACCAGTACAAAGTCCCAAACCCAACAACCAGACCATGATGGACGTTCAATGTCCATATACCTCGCCCAGTGTGACTTGACTTCCTTACCTCCATCTGTGGCCGGAGATATTCCAACACCTTTACCTTTGATCAACCCCAACGGGAGCAGTAGATCCAGTTCAAACTCCACCTCAAGTCGACCCTCTTCATCAACCCCCGGGAGAAGCCATGATCCCAAGAGGACCAGCAAAGGTATCATCAAAGGCGACATTTACGCCTCGTCACTCTGGCTAGGTCGCCCACCCACCTATACGCCACTACACCGCGACCCGAACCCGAACCTGTTTGTCCAACTCGCGGGTCGCAAAGTCATCCGCCTCCTCCCTCCCGAAGTGGGCGGCGCTCTCTTCGAAGACGTCCAACATGGGATCTCCCACTCACGGCGCCCCCACGTTCAAAGCTCGTCGTCGACCATAAGGGGGGAAGAGATGATGGTGGGACCGGAGAAAAGGGCGTTACACGACGCCATCTGGTCAGAAGGTAGTCAATACAGCGATATCATCCCTGCGTACGGACTCGAGACAGAGGTCAAAATGGGTGACGCTCTCTTCATTCCCAAGGGTTGGTGGCACAGCGTCAAGGGCATCGGTCAGGGGGTGACGGCGAGTGCAAATTGGTGGTTTCGATGAAAACAAATCCCCATCATTGTATTGTACTCGAACGGTGTATATATTTCATAATTCAACAGGTCCTTGGACTAGACTTTAGACCACATGTACATACTCCGTACTCATACTCCATACACCATGAATTCATTTCCTCTTCCAAGCTCCTGTGGGTATACTGGTGCCACTACATACTAGCCACAACTACCTTACTTTCCCATCTCATCGAATACTGAGTGACTCGTCTCCATCAACCATTCATATGCCCATTGCCATTGCCGTTCCCGTTTCCATTCCCGTTCCCATTCCCACTGGGCCCACTACCGCTGCCCCCACCTCCACCTAGGCCGTTGCCAAAGAAGAAACCGTCAAACAAATCATATTGCTGCCCATCACTCCAATCATGCTGAAAATCGAGGCCCATGCCGAATCCGAGATCCAACCCATTTGCGTCAAAGTCAAAGTCATCGGCACTCGGGCCTGTAGCATTGTTCAAAAAGTCCATCCCGGGTAAGGACGACATAAAGTCCGGGTTGTAAGTGTTCTGCATATAATATGGCTGTTGAGGATTTGGAGGTCGGCTCTGGTTGAAAAACGTGCTGCTGCCCGCATTGCTCTGCGCACCTACGATGCTGTTAACGTGGGAGCTGACGCTCGACGCGGGGGACATTTGTGGTTGCCGAGGTGACTGTGGTTGAGCCGGTGGTTGCATTGACTGCTGGAATGCTGTTTGCCTTTGGAGGCCCTGTAGTGGTTGAGGGAAGGATTGAGATGGGCGGATGCTGGGTTCGAGGTCTTCCGGGAAGAGTTCTCGGAGGTCCATATCGAATTTGGGCGGTGGCCGCTTTGCAGAGGGCTTTGGTGCAATGGGCGGGAGAGTGTACGAATCAATCTGCATGGGGACCGTAGCAGTCGTGGTTTGCATGCTCGATTGTCGCGAGAGCGATGGTTGAGAATCTTCACGCTCTGTCGAGAATCCAAAGCCTGGCGTGGACATACACATTTGTACAGTGGCTTTGCTCATGCGCTCGAATGCATCGCGGCATGCTTCTGCCGGTGGACATTTTTCCATAAGATCCCCAAGGACCGAAGTAGCTGCGAGGACTGTAAAGTCGAAATCATCAAGAGTCTGCAAGAAAGTCAGTCGGGCATGAACACACGCATATCGCTTTATGGTCGTACCAGTCGGGCTCTCACGGCCGGCGAATGCCAGACGGCGTACAAGAATGAAATGCCAGCCATGAAGAGGTGGTGAGTTGCGAGATAGGTGTAGTTGACGAGGCGCAGGCGATGAAGCTGTCGATAAAGCTTCAGCGTCTTCTGTCCCGCCTCGGCACATTTCAGAAACACGAGGTCCTCGTCTTCCTTTTCTTCAATCCTAACACTTGATGGGCTGGAAACGTCCTCTGTTGGGCTCAGCTCGTTCGCCAACGGTGCCGGGACACTAAGGCTTTGCCGATATAACATGATCACTGCTTGCCAGTAGTTCAGCTCTAAAAACTGAACCGAGAAGCCGACACCAGTGTCAGACATTTCGGGAGCAGACTCTTTCCACTCGTACAAGCGTTGGTCGATGTCGCGTCTCCATGATCGGAACGAGTCGAATCTATTCATAAAGGGCGAAGGGAGTTTGGTGTGCATGAATTGGTTTTGTCGGTTACTGCCATTGCGGCGCGCTTGTTGTGCCTGCTGATATTGTAGAACCTGAAGGATCTCCGACTGTAATAGCCGGAGGCGTAGATAGTGATGAGCCACTCGCTTGTAGGTGGGCTCATTCGGCATCCTTGGGTATGTGAACCCATTTGGCGTTATATACTTGTCGTCCAGCAATGAAGGAAATTCGGTGGTGACGACTTGATCGGTGATGCCAACCGGCCGGCCCACACATACACTAACTAGACGGTCAAATGTGTAGGTGCACCACCACAGGCGTCGGCGTAAATCACGAATCCACTCCCGCCGCCCCTTTTGTTTAGCATCTATCTGTCTGCTGGGTCTGGAGTCAATGGTATTGAATCCATTGCCCATGGCACTTTGCCCTTCGGCGCCTTCATCGAGAGCAGAGCCATCCTCGTAGTGCAGGCCTAGATCGACCGCCAACCTCATCGCCACGCCCACGATATACCACAGACCCGGGGCGACTGGTCTCAGGAGGGCAAATCCACAAAGTAGTAAGACGGCCTGAAGTTCTTCCAAGTCGCCATTCGAGCGTTCGGCTGAGTCTACAGACGAGCTGCCACTCAAAAAGCTTCCGAGGTTGACTATGGCTGAAGCATGGTATTCTTCTGGCTGAGCTTGCTGACTGCTCAACCTCGGTCTTTTCGACATATAGTCTCCTTGGTGTGAATTCGGTTGCTGGTCAGACGAACCCCAAATGATGCCGGCGCCAATGGCGAAGACGATGTTGAGTAGATAGAGTTCGCGGCTGGTTCGTCTTGACGGGTCGGTGGAGTACGTGCGGTCAAACAGGTCCATGAACTCGCCTCGGTGCAGTATAGGGATCTGAGGATTTGCGTGCTCGAAGTAGAGGTTGACAAGCTTGGCTCCTAGTTCTCTATCAGGGAAAGGGGCCTCTTTAATGGTGGGATTCGTTTGAAGGCCAAAGTAAGAGTCTCTCATGGAGCTACCTCCAGACGTGGCGACATTGTTCGGCACTGGACGACTAGGTCGTGTCCCAGTTCTTTCCGAATTGTTGCTTGATACTGAACTCTTGACAGCGGCCAGCACCACCCTGGCAAATGATATACCGGACGTCGAGCCCAAGTATCGTGCATCGGATGCGCCCTGAACTGACACCATTCCAATATTCGACACCAACTTGTTCAGATTTTCAGCATCATCTTGCTTCTTGTCCCATTCTTCTTGTTTGACTGCCTGCGGCGAGTCTTTGGAAGGGGACTGTGGCCCTAGCCATGATGCCTTTGTGCTGGCAGGCGACTGACCGACATCTCCGAGCTCTTTGGACTCCGCCCCATAGACCTCTCCAGCGTTGAACGATACGCCATTGGCCTTAAGCAGTTGCTCGAAGTACGCCAGGCGCGTCTCGAGGTAGTAGACATAGCTTCGAGGAATCTCCCGTTTTGTGATGGGGTCGTAGCCTACACAGCGAACGTGGGCTTTCTCGCAGGTGCTACAGGCGGGCAGGCGCTGGTCGCAGCGATTCTTGCGGACGCGACAGCGATTGCATGCAGAGACGTTTCTGAAGGCAGAAGTTGCCGACACCGAACTATGCGGAGGTGACTTGGTAAGCGCCAGGGAGGGCTCGTCGGCCTGATACGCTCGCTTGAGGCCTGCGCTCGGGGGAGAAGAGGCTGTCGAGGTCATGGATCAGACGATATTGACACTGACATCTTCTGCCAGTGTGTTACAAGCAGCGAGAGACGGCCGGGAGCGGGGCTTATTGCCTTTTGAAGATGCAAGTCAACATCCGAGTAATGGAACGACACTCATTTCTCACGGTCGGTTGATATCACGGCAGCGTTGGTGCGGCGCAGGGGTTTGGATTGAGTAGGAGTATGGTGTAACACCTAGATAGGTGGTGGTGGTGCAGGTACTGTAGTGGTGAGCCCAGAGACACTGCGCAGCCTTCTCGTCCCGTATCGCTGCACAAATACGCAGGCGCACGATGTAACTGGATGAAGACGATAACATGAGTGGCTGAATTACTGGCCCATGCGATAAGAGACGCTGAAGCGGCGAATCAAAGCACAAGCTTGACCTTTGCCAGCATCAGAAGGCCGAGGCTGCCGCTTTATCAAATTATCTTGGCAGAGGTACTCCAAACTCCACGCAGTCTTCAGTAACAACCAAAGTATCCGTCCGTGGTAGATCATTGAGAGAGGTCCTGATAAGGCGACGGGAGTATGAGACATAGGGATTGTCATGGTGAGGTGTATATCGACTAACATACTCAGTACCTCTTCAGGACAGTTCTCGGTGCAGCAACACAAAAACTTTCCGTCTGCGGATTAGGTAGGTACACCTTCGAGTCCCAGGCAGTATTAGGGGTGGGAGGTACCTGAAGTCGCAGGTACAGGTACCTATTTGGCAGGTAGCACTTACACCCCCACCTCGCAGATACTTCAACCGTATGCATCGAATCCCTCTACCAGTGTCCATTGTCCACACAGAGCATGGGTATCTTGAAACGAGCCTCGAACGAAACCTCACTCCTTGGACGAGTGTGTCAAACCCGTATCTCTCACATATCCCGCCCATGATCACCCGAGAGCAGACCACCTCAATATGGCGAGAGCCTGTATGAAAGTGCATGCGACATGGATCCATATTCCCGGTCATGCTTCACATCACAGACAACAAGAGCCATTTGGCCAGACATTCCAGGACTGTCACCAAAGTTTCTCTGGTCACTTTGACGACGGGAGTGTGCTACATCTCGACCGAGTCAACACTTGAATCTATCCCCCACCGATCAATGTATGGCTTCACCAAAAACACCACCACTAAGTAGACTTTGTTCTCATGGCGGGAAGGACATTTTGCCGTAGCGATGTGGGTGAAGAAGCTTCCAAGGTCGTGCCGTCGTAAGCTAGCTACCTAGGTAAGTCTCTGCCATGCTTGATCTGATGCTATCGCCACTAGCCATGCTTCTTACACGACGACTCACCCCTCTGGTTCCGAATAGCTATGGTGTGGCGCGTCTCGACAATCTCCAAGAAAGAAAATGAAGCGTAACATGCAAGGTCACAATACCCTTGCTTCCTGTGGCTGTCAACCGACCGTCAAGCTTTCAGCAAACTTCAAGACAGGGGGGTCAGAATTACGGCTAATAGACCCCACAACTGAAGGATGCCGCTGACCTGGATCGACGGAAATCGCGAAGGTAGCTGATATTCCGGAAATGCATCAAAAAGTTCGGCGAGAACCGAGTAGCAGGCATAGTACTCCACATGCTGGTTGAGACTGCTGATTGAGATAATTGTTGCAACGAACCACAGGTTTATCCGCAAATCCGCTCTGTGATGCTACTCCGTTTTGAAAGAGTAGGAGCTTCGTGATGTGAAGGAGAACATGGCCATGAACATCTCGCTATTTCCGAAGATGTGCATCAAGATTGTTGAGTCCAGCCTCGACGTACGCAGTCACAAAGCAGCTGCGAACGCCTACTTCAGATAGCATTACGACACAGGGACAGCGTCGTATCGAAAACGTGTCAATCGAGTATTCCTCTAATGTTGCTGTACTCGGGCTTATCGGTAGTATGGCTTTGCATCTGCGGCTGATCCTGCCTTGTAGGTGCTGAAGCTTATTCTGATCCTCGGTGACTGACAAGCATGATAGCCCCGGAGATACTTGGGCATGACAACCATGCTGAGCTGTGTGACATTGCCTGTGTTGCCAGGCCGAATTCAACTCTTGAACAAAGAACGGAAATTGCCGAGTTTAGTTGTTTCGGGAAGGTGTCTGTGGAAGTGGCGGTGTTGAACCTGCTCTCTGGCTTCTGGGCGTAGAGTTCCGCCCTGCTGCATTCTCCTGCTGTTGGCATCTGTTGAAGCTGAATATCTGGGCCGCTTGGGGTGGCCCATGTCAACAGGATAGACACTAAGCAGCCTACCTGGTCGGAGTCGCTTCCTGCATTGGCAACTCGCCCGTACCGTCCACTGGAAGATCAAATGAGGGCATCTCCAGTTTGAGATCGCTGGGCATCGTGTTGCCGGTCAACTTCATGCGTAGGCGGGCGTGTCTGACCAATCCGTTGTGACGCGTCAATAAAGGGTTTGAATTCATGTGAAGAGCAGGAACAGTCGCTTGCGGGCCCAGCAGCCTCAGCATCAATAGCCAGCGTTTACTCGCAAAAGGCAATTGTTACCCGTACCACGGTCGGAGGAATTGGCTGTCACTGCTACATCCATCTGGTGCATGATACAGACGCTCACAGCCACGGCTCTCACAGAGCCTTCAATCTTCCTTCTCATGACACAGCACACCGACATTGCTGGACAAGCAAATAGATGTCATCATAGTTACATTTCATGCAAACGTTTTCCCCGCTCATACAGAACGATTTCCGAATATACTGGGAGAATCTCGGATGGCAATGGTGCAGACAATGGTGCACGCAGCGCAGGGATAGCTGTCAATCTTACGAATCTGCAACCTAATCTGACCGCTCCTTCGATCGGTACAAGGTCTTTTCGAACACGTCAGGAGGGAACCCGTGGGCATCAGCTAAGGAGTTGGTGACAGGCGCTAGCCAGGGGGCAGAGTTCCGTGTGTGCGTAATGGTGCCCAACTTACGCCCTCTCTTTACGTTGATTTGACACCATGGCCATTGCGGCTAATGCTGGTGATCACGTTGTCCGGGGTCGAGGGAATGAAAGAAGAAAAACTTGTCGCAGATACAGTAGAGGGGTTGTAAAATGCGGGTTGACGCCTGCAAGGCAGCTTGAGCTGTGGGCGACCGGAGAAACACCATGGCTGCTGTGTAACATGTAGATGCGAAGCTAAACGGGTTACTGACGTGGCTTTGCTTTTGAGGCCCAAATGTCAGCTGCCCACAGATAGAACGGACGTGGTGCGACTTGTGTTGATATTTGGGCATCACCACTACTCGCGATGCGAGTCGTCAATCCATGGCAGCATGTTATCCCGCATGCTCTACGACGACAACATGCATACGTGCCGGAGAGGCCAACCACAACACGATAGACCTTTTTAGCTGCAGGGCATGCAAACAAGGCGCAAATGCAGATGGATGGACCTACCACGGACGATGGTCAGGAGCGGAAATGAGAATCTCCAGTCTGCTCACACCGCATTCGAAGCATCGACGACCGAGAAAAACATGCTGAACGATCTGCACCACAGGAGCAGTGCGAGATCGTGTTGCGGCTTGTTTGAAGGAGACAACACACACAGCAGAGCGATAATAACGGGTGGTGGTTATTCCAAGGTGACGGCCGCGGTGCATCGCGTCTCTTTCTATCACAGAGGCGAAGAGTGCTGGTCACCGCCTGAATCCGACATGGCACGATCCAGGCGTCAAGCCGGCGGAGAAAGCTCCAACGCCTGACGTCTGCGATGAGACTCGGCAATCTCTGCCCATTCAGCTGGGAAAGATGAAGCGCAAGCGTCAAACTAGTCAAGTTGGCCCCAAACACTTTGCCTCAGGATTGACATCCGAAAAGCTGCTAAAAGAAGTGCGGAAGTTGCGTCTGAAACCCATGTCAAAAACATGTCAGCAGTTAGTGTAGCTTATCGAGCTATCCAAGTACCACTCGTGCACGAATGCCTCCATCAGGTTAGGTATGGTCAGGCTCAGAGGGACTCGTACTGCTACCACAGAATCCGCTTCTCGGTACTCGGTACTGCTACTCAGTCGATTAGTTCTCTGCAGGTTCGACGCACAGTCTGGGCACTTTGACATGGGCCAAATAAGACTGTGTCAATCATTTCATGATATCATCCGGCATGGACTGGTCACTTTTCTGAATGAATCAGGGGGGCACACTACTGAGCTCCAGAACCCGGCAGAAGCTGGCTATGCCACCCTTCCGCTGCCCGCGTAATTGATGCTCGGATAGAGTCATTTCAAGGCGTAGGCTAAAAAAACCCTGACCAACCGCCGACCCCTGTTATGTTAGGCTGGAAATCCTGGCCAGGTATCAGGTTTGCCTTATTTTTATGCTGCACTGATCCACTTGGAATGTTCCCGTTAGTGCCCCGTCTGGGATATCCTGTACAGATTGTACGAGTACTCCTTACAGACGCCCAGTAACTTCGCAAGCAAGGGGTTGTTCAGGGATTCAACTGGCCTGGAGAGACACCCCTGATCATGTGGCACGATGACAACTTGCGTTGCTTGAATCTTGCCAGCATGGCCGGTACCAATTACTGGAGCTGGAAGGACAAGAAATTGCAGTTTGTTGTCCGGTACTCGACGGGATCAGCAGGTAAGAAAACCCCTGGCTAGTGAGGGGTTTTCTCGCTCTCGGTCTCGTGTACAATATGTTTGCAACACTCCGTAGGGCCGACGGAGTGGTGGACTCTGTGACCGACCCGTTATTGTCTTCCCCGCGAAAATACCCGGCTCACCATACAACAAACTAGTGGCTGAGAATACAGTGATATCACCATCACCATCAAAGATTTCTATGTTTCCCTTCGATATCACGCTTACGGAAGGGCTGCCAAGGCAGGCCAGCGAACACTCGCAAAAGTAGCTTCGTCTCTGGCACGGATGACTGTATGATGGTCGAGCCCAAGCTCGGATTGTACTAGCTGACCGGGCTGATTGACCGAATACATCCACCCTTGTAACATGGAAACCAGTCCTCTGCAGGAGCAAGGCGCAAGGCGCAGCAGAGTCTCGAGGAAAAGGACAGTGTTACTTCCTGCAGCCGTGAACATCACGCGACCAAGTTTGATGCCCAACTGATGACCGCTATTTTACACCGCCTTGAGAGCTCACCGTTTTCAGCGAAACAATATGGGTGCGATGACGAAGTGAGCGAATGGGAAAAAAGCCACTCGAAATTTTTCCATATGTGCAACATCCACCCTCAGCAGCCAAAGCAGGTCACGAGGGGCAGCTGATGACAGCTGGGGGTCTTTGCTTCTGCCCTCTCTTCAGTAGCCGAGCGAATCCACTAAATCAAATGGCCGCCTCACAATGTAAGTCGCGGACTCGGAAATGACCAAGTAGGGCGAAAAGCGAAGGCTTCTGGAGCCTCAATCCCTGCTTTGGCCACATCCTAACCGCCTCGCATAAAGGTCCAACACTAAACTCGTTATACTTCTCGGTAAGCAAAATCCCCGTTGTTCGGAAGAGCAGGGGTGTGCTTCCTAGCCTGGCACTACCACACTGGTCAGGGGCAAACCGAAGCTCTCAACGAATAGCGCTGTCTATCATTTGCCTCAGAGGGTTGCAAGCCTATCGATCCTGCTACAGCACTGTCCAACGATGCCCCAAGGTACCGCTGTCACGGTTCCTTGGCTAAGGACTCGCTAGGTGTGTTTTCAGGCGAGAATTTCTCACCAAAGGCTCGTTCCTGATCATTGGGTACAGGCTCAAACAAGGGGTTCCCTTGCCCTTTACCCATTTTATGCCCTTTGGGTCCTCGATTTTCGCCATCTTTTCCAGAGCCCTCCATTGACTGATTGACCGGGGCCTGATGGACACTTGCCCTGGAAACTCTGGGCCTTTTGTCATTTCTGATTCTGATGCCCATCTCAGGATCCACCAGCTTCGTGTCTGCATGGCAGCCCTGGGAGCTGAAACCCACCCTACAGTACTCGTACTTTCCGGGTCCAGACAAGGCACACCGCGCTCGTCCTCATGATCGCTTCCATGATGAGTCTCAGGGATGTCCTCTTTCCAGAAACCATGTCAGTCCACTGGCTGAATAGCACTCCATACCTTGTCATCATTTGCGCATTACGAAGGACATCCCACGCCCGGGGGCTTACAAGTCCGGATCGTTTCGTTTTTTCGAGCAAGTTTGCTCAATTATTGAGCCGGCCGCCACCCCCGTCGTCGCGGACCTTAAATTCGGGTGACTTCAATGCTGGTGTGACGGCAGCTCCGGATCCTGGGTCTAGCGTTTTGAACGGGGCTTTCCACGGCTTCCCACTTCGCTTCTGTGGACAGCCGGGTGCGGATGTCAGAGAGTTTCTCGACTACTTGCGCTTCCGCGCTTCCTCCTCCCGTGTCACCGTGGCTCTATTCGGCCACTCGCTGTGAACATGATCTCCATCTTTGGGTGCTGCTTTGCTGCCGTGTTCCTCTGTGGTATCCCAACTGCCCAAACTGTCCACCGCCTCTTTTCCACGCGGCGACGGATAGGCCATTCCGCCAAAATGAGGTACAGAGGGAGCCCCGCTCTCCAGTCTCTGTTCGCTGCTCAATCTTCCTGACTCCTGGAATTCGCCCTCCCTTATTATCCTCTCTCCCTGCGCCGGATGCTGATGCCCTTCTCTTCTTGCTCACCTTCCTCCCGCCCTCACACGACGACAAGACACTGCCTCCCTCACCACCCTCGGCGACCATGCCTACCGTTTTCGCAAGTGTTTTCCTTCGTGAACGTGCTTCCAGCGACGCCCACGACAATTTTCCGAGTAAACAGTTATTCATCCTCGGTACGTCATCTCGCAGCCATCCCAAAATGGTATGCTCTCCCGAAATCTATGTTAGCTAACGCACACCAAACAGCATTATGTCGCCTCTGCGAACCAATAGCTTTCATGTCAACTTTTCCCTATGCTTACCGCATGGTCGAATCATTCAACATTACCCAGGATGAGACGCGCATCTCTGTCTACGCCGGCATGCTCATCACTGCTTTCGCGTTCGCCGAATTCTCGACGGGCACTCTTTGGGGCTCGGTCAGCGACAAGGTCGGCCGAAAGCCAGTACTGATCATGGGCCTCTTTGGGACGGCCCTCAGCATGATCTCGTTTGGCTTTGCCCGGTCACTGCCCGCAGCCATCCTGGCACGAGCCATCGGAGGACTCTTGAACGGCAACTCTGGAGTTCTCCAAACCACGGTGGCTGAATTGGTTACGAAAAAGGAGCATCAGCCTCGCGCGTACTCGATCATGCCATTCGTTTGGAGTGTCGGCTCCATCATTGGCCCAGCCATGGGCGGGGCCTTGGCCATGCCTTGCGAATCTCATTCGTCTCTGTTTCCCCGAGGCAGCCTATGGGATACGTATCCTTTCCTGTTGCCAAACCTCGTGTGCGTCATCATTCTATGCATTGGCATGGTGTTCGGCACGCTGTTCTTGGAAGAGACGCATACGGCGCTGAAGGGGCAACGTGACTGGGGCACGGAGCTCGGACAATGGCTGTTTGGGAAGCGTAGGTCGCACAGCTACACCGCCTACGGCTATGCGGATGCGGAGGAAGATGAAGACCTTTGCGTCATTGAACCTCCGCCTGGATATCGCAGCACGGAACATTCCCCTCTCCTCAAGTCCACGCCCTCAGAGGCGGTGGACTCGGAGTTGGCAATGTTGATGGAAAAGGAGCAACTCGGCATGGTGAAGAAGTACAACAAACATGTGGTCCTGATCATTTTGGGATACGCCATCTTGGCCTAGTAAGTGCTCAGAGGCCTCTGCAAGATATTTGTTACTAACTCGACACAGCCACAGTGTGTCTTTCGACGCCTTGATGCCCACATTTCTCAGCGAAGAAAAAATGCAAACGGCGCCGGTGTTACCTTTCAAATTTTCCGGTGGTTTCGGCCTTTCGACGCAAGCCATTGGTTTCATGCTGGCAGTCCAAGGCTGCTACACCATGTTTGCACAAGTTTGGCTCTTTCCGTTTGTCGTACGACGACTGGGTAATCTTCGCGCCTACCGGCTGGTCATGACGGTGTGGCCGCTGCTTTACCTGGCCGTCCCTTACCTTGTCCTCCTTCCCGAGCACCTGCAGAAAGCAGGCATCTATTTGTGCCTGATGACGAAAATGACGTTTCACGCAATTTCTTTTCCCTCCAACGCCATCCTCTTGGCCAACGCCGTGCCTTCGAAGTCGGTCCTTGGCAGCATCAACGGCTCGGCCGCCTCGGCGGCCTGCTTCGCTCGAGCCTTTGGGCCGATTGTGACCGGGTTGATACACTCAGCTGGACTGAAAGCTGGCTACAACGGGTTCGCCTGGTGGGCTTGCGGCATAGTCTGTGCCATCGGAGCGCTGGAGAGCTTCTGGATGGAAGACTCGGAAGGGCGCATGGATCGCCCGGCAGAGGGGGAGGAGCAAAATAGCTGCGAGCCCCTCCTGCACTCCGCGGCCGTCGAGGCCAACGAGGACTGCGGTGTACGAAACGACAACATCGTCTTGATTGACGAACTGGACCTGACGAAAACAACGACACGGGATGTCGAAGGCGAGACTAAGCAATGATGTTCCGCGTCTCCCCTTTTCTCACTGGGCCTTGCGGAGTTCTGATATGCATGAATCCGCGCGAGCCACGGCTTGGAACAAAACGTCTCATCTCATTGGCGACTTGTCCCGACTACAGTGCCCAAGAACACCGCCTCGGTGTGCATTGGTCATGTGTGGCTCCCCGGCATTGCTGAGCATTTCCTTGGATTTTTTTTCCTTTCCAAAAGAATTTATAAGCAGCGCGAGCTGTGACTGATTGTATTATGAGGTCATTTAGAGACCAACCGCTGCCATGTCATTTGACAAAAGGTCAAAAAAAAAGAAAGGTGTTGGACAGGGATTGGAATGGGATTGGATGGGATGGGATGGCGCAAAACATGTGGGAGGCGATCTCTGGGTTCTTGCTGTATTTTTGTTTCTCCCTCTCTCTCGGGTATGTCGTCTTTTCTCCACTGTTTGGTTCTGCATTTGCCATTTGTCGCTTGTGTGCTTTCTTTTTTTTTGGTTTGGCAAATCATTATTGGGAGGTCATTTGGTCCAAGATACCTCGCGGAGGCTTTGTCCCCGGCTTGTTTTTTTTTGCGCTTGCATGTGTGTTACGCCTGTCAAGAAGATCTGTCATTGGCGGGAGGACCTGGTTTTGTAACTTTTAGTCTGTACAATAGACGAGAGAAATGGCGGGAAAGGGAGTGGGAAAGACTTGAGAACGAGTCAAGAGTTGGGTGCCAAAGTGTTGATGGGAGTGTCAATTGGAGGGGGGGGGAATAGACGAGAAGATAGAAGGCGCAGAATGAAGCGGTCAGTTAGTTGACTGAACAACCCCGATTGCGTGTTCCCAAAAGTTCCTTTTGCGATCTTCTCATTGATGGAAATTCTCCCATGCGCTTGACATGGGTCAGCCTCGTCATCAGCCGTACCGAGTACTTGCCGACCCTCACCTTTCAAGGGTAGGTCGGACTCCGTATACCCTGCAGGAATGGGATCGTCCAGCGGTGGTAAGAGTACGATGTAGAGCGGACCCCTTCCTTTTGGCCACGTTGTTTCCGTCATACCTCCGGAGTCTGTTACAGACGTGTAGGGGGTACCCAAGGGTAGGTATGTAGATAGGGATGTGTGTACGGAGTATGCCTTGTCGATCTATGGAGTACATTACGGACTAATTTTTGCCTTGCCTTGGTTTGCCTTGGGCATTGACTCCGAAAAGAAACAGAAGAGTCACCCTGGAAAATAAGGGAAGTTGATTGGATGAGGCATTCGATTATTGCATGCATTTCGGGGGTTTGTGTTTGGTTTTGCTGCTGGGAAGTCCTTCCTTTTTGGAAACGTCCCTATACAGAGTAGTCATGGGTAAAAGTTGAGTTTTGTGAAAGAGGCGGTGATGGGGGAATTCCAGATTGAGTAATTCTTTTCTTTTTTTGGTTTCTTGTTTACAATAATTAAAAAAAAAGAGAGAGAGAGAAAAGAGGTGTATCTGAATTGCATGGCCGCTGCGCGAACATGTTTCTGTTTCTAGTTGCCTTGTGGTGTTCAGTTGCCTCGTAGTGGGTGACAGAAGAACGAGATCGAAAAGAGAGAGAGAGAGAGAGAGAGAGAGAGATTTGTGTGAATTGCTGGAAAGATGAGGATAATAATTCCATGTCTTGTTATTCACTCGTTACATGTAGCACTACCTACAACTGACCTTTGGAGTCGTACAGTGATACTCTTGAATTTGATAAATAGTATCTAGCCGATACCTGGACAGGTTCATGAATCGCATCTTGCCGACACTCCCTACAGTACCTCTTTTTTAGGTATTAATACATTCTTACGCCTATAAAGTTGGGCGCTTGGCAAGAGGTTGGTACCAGTATTGCTTCGTAGGTGACCCCGAATTTCTCTTTCGGCAAATCCGACCGTCGGCTACTTGAGATACGGAGTAAACTCACCTCTTTCTTTCTTCTATTGGAAAAGATGAAGGATTGAAGAGACAAAACATTTTGTTTATTGTTCTTTTCTTTTTCATCCAGTTCTTCTCCTTTGCCCCCAAAAACGTCATTTGTCAAAACCCCCCCCAAAAATGGCACCAAGCAGAGCGACGGTACTCTTACTACGAGGGGGAAACTGTCAGTCCTTTGTTTCGAGGTCGACGACCAGCGTGCGGAGAAGATGTTTTGCTTCGGCGACCTCAGCAACGACAACGACCAAAGTCGCACCGTTGGAAGGTATACGTGTACTTGACATGACTAGAGTATTGGCAGGAGTGAGTTTGTAACCCTCACACCAAGTTGCAAATGTCCACGTCGATAACTAATGACTATGAATCAGCCATATTGTACTCAAATACTGGGTGACTTGGGGTAAGTACCTACCTCGATACCTTTATCCTGAGACATTCGATTTCTGGAAAGACTATACCTAGGTATACCTACGTATCCCCGTGGTGTCATCGGACGGACGAACTTTATGACGACGAGCAATCATCTCACTGACCACTTTCATCAGAGCCGAAGTGATCAAGATTGAACATCCTACGAGAGGTGATGATACTCGTGCTTGGGGTCCACCTTTTGCAAAGTACAAGGATGGAGGTACGTATGACAGTCATGTCGCCTTGAGATGTGACTGTAATCACAAGCTCACACGTGTCGATGTCTCGCTACAGCAAAAGGAGGCAAGGCAGGAGAATCTGCGTATTTCATCGGCGTAAGTTGTCTCTGTCTACTATTTTCTTACTTTCTCAAGACCACAAACTAAAATCCTTTATGTGTCTTTACGGGGCGTCAGGTCAATCGAAATAAAAAATCAGTCGGTCTTTCATTTCAACATCCAGATGGTGTCAAGATTCTTCATGAATTAGCAAAAACTTCTGATGTTCTCGTGGAGAATTATATTCCAGGTATGAAGCAATGTGTTGTTCTTAATATATGCTGCATACCCACTCTCCATCCCCCGTTCTCTCACTCGTTCGACTGACAGCCCAACCCGATCTTTTTTCTGACCGTATCAATTTAACCGTTTCGTCGTATAGGATCTTTGAAAAAGTACAAACTCGACTATGAATCTCTACGTAAAATCAACCCTCGGTGAGATGCTCGTCCTGTCCCCAAACGCCCCATACACCTCTCGTATCTATCGTGTCTAGTATTCTTCACGTCCTCGTCTAACCCCCGATCAAATAGTTTAATCTACGCCTCCATCACCGGGTACGGCCAAACGGGTCCCCACTCGTCTCGTGCCGGTTACGACGTCATGGTCGAGGCGGAAATGGGCCTGATGCACATCACGGGAGAACGAAACGGATCGCCCGTCAAGGTCGGCGTCGCCGTCACCGACCTCACCACGGGACTGTACACGTGCAACGCCATCATGGCGTCCCTGTTGGCTCGACAACGCACCGACGCCGGCCAGCACCTCGACGTGGCCCTCTCCGACTGCCAGGTGGCGACCCTGGCCAACATCGCCAGCAGCGTCCTGATCAGCGGGCAGCGCGACGGCGGGAGGTGGGGCACGGCGCACCCGTCCATCGTGCCGTACAAGGGCTTCAAGACCCGCGACGGCGACATCATGCTGGGCGGCGGCAACGACCGGCTGTTTGGGATCATCTGCGACAAACTGGGCCGGCCGGAGTGGAAGTCGGACCCTCGCTTCGTGACCAACGACGTGCGGGTCCAGCACCGCGACGTCCTGGAGCGGATGATCGAGGACCTCACCACCGAGAAATCGACGGCCGAGTGGTTGGAGATTCTCGAGGGGAGCGGGATGCCGTACGCCGCCATCAACGACGTCAAGGACACCCTGGACCACCCCCACGTCCGCGCCCGGGGGATGGTGACCGAGGTCGACCACGACGCTTGTGGTCAGATCAAACTCGTCAGTCCGCCCGTCAAGTACTCGGAGAGCAAGACCGGGGTGAGGACCGCGCCGCCCACGTTGGGCCAGCACACGGAGCACGTCTTGACGGAAGTGCTGGGCATGGACGGGCAAGAGGTTGAAAGGTTGAAGGCTTCGGGGGTTGTCGCCTGATGTCACGACAGTGGGGAAATTGGACATTATACATGTACATACATGAGACCAAACACATACACTTATACAACATCCTGATGGCTCTAGGTGAACGCCTGGGATGAATATTGATGGAAAGAAAAACCCAAAATGGCTGCTCTTGCTCCTGCCCCCTGTTCCTGTACTCGGCGGAGCTCTCCGGGTCCCAAGTGTTCTGAGTATTTCCGTTCATCGTTTCCGCTTTTCCCTTTTGTCATTTTGGTCAAACGACATGACAATATGAATGGAGACCAGGCTGAACCTTTGGGGATTGGAATGCAAAAGTTCTTTGGATCCATAAAACCATTTCCCCCCTTGTTCCCTCACGTCAACGCTGCGCCAATGCCACGCCACGGGTTGGAAACGACAACAATCAAATCATGTCCGGTGATGTTGATCAGCCAAACTCGCTTGCTCGACATGCATTCTTGTGTTCCGGTGGACTCCTTTTTCTTTCTAACGTGCCTCGGCATACAAGGACACAGCGGAGGGGATTTTGAGACAGGAAGGGGGTGACCCAAGTACTCAAAGTCGGCCAGTCAGCCGACCAACCAGGGGGAAAAAATGCCGAAATGGCTTTGCGGATGGGGTGCGTATGATCGAGTATTCGACAACGAAACATCTTCTCGTCCTTGGCCGTGCCCCCACGGTCACGACTGGTGTCCCTTCAAAGACGCCATCTTCTCTTCGACCAGTCTCCCGACGATCTTTTCCAGCATCGCCGGCGCCCCTTCCTTCCCCACCGTCCCCTCGAAGTAACCCACTACGCTCTTCTCGACGAGTTTCCCTACAATGTCGATCTCGACGTTGACGCCGTCCCCGGCTTGCTTCTTGGCCATGACCACCCTTTCCTGGGTGTAGGCGATCAACATGACCTCGAACCAACCCTGACCGTCGTCCACCCTGGTTATGGTCAAACTGGCGCCGTCGAGAGTGATGTAACCCTTTTCCACAATGTACCTCAGCACGCTCTTCTCCCTCGGACTCAATCGGAAGGTCAGGGCGTTCCCGTCGGGCGTCACCGACGTCACCGTGGCCACCGTGTCGACGTGACCTTGGACAAAGTGCCCTCCCATCCTCGTGGTCGCGGAGACGGCCCTCTCGAGGTTCACGGGACTCCCCGTGGTGAGGTCCCCCAGGTTCGTCCTCCGGAGTGTCTCGGGGGCCACGCCGACCTTGAAGCTTTGTCCGTCGAACTCGGTGACGGTCAGGCAGGTGCCGTTGACGCTTATGGAGTCGCCCAGGGCCGCGTCGGAGAGGATGGAGGAGCAGTCGGAGATGGTCAGGGAGGTGCCGTTGCCGCCCGAGGTCGAAGGGTCGAGTGTCGTCAGGGACGTGACGGTCCCGACCGTCTCTACTAGACCCGTGAACATTGTGGCGCCGAGGAAAGAAAAGGGGGACGTGGCTCGTAAGATGGGGAGAGATGTCTCGGAGGGAGGAGGGGTCTGTTGCAACGAGATCAAAATGGAACGGGATCGTCCGGTGAGGGCGGAGGAAAGGAAAATGACTTTTTGGACACTTTTGGGTCAAACAAAAGCAAGGCGAAGATATGTCGACGAGAATAATAGAGAAGATTGTGATGGCTTACTGACTCAATCACTAGGTGGTAGATGTGGGATGTGGTGTACATACGAGCGTAATTAATTACCTTGGTTTATTCTCCCCGCGAACCGTCAAGACCCGATCGAGCGGTCGCCGCTTTAAGCAGAAAGATGAACTGGCATACTGACAACTGATCCTATTGAAATAGATACTACAGATTCTTCACTTCCTGCTTATCTTGCCGTACCTGAGTTGCCGACCAGTACAAGATGAGTCTCCTTCGGTATGCACATTATGACCTGGCTTTGACACAACAGACGAAACCCTCCTCCTTGAGCCCCTTATAGCCAGCCTATTGCACCCACAACAAGACCTATTGTAGCTCTCTCTCGGCCAACCATCTTCTCCATTTGGGTGCCGCGTTTCGTCGCCATGCCTTGCCATACATATAAGTCGGGATAGCAGCCAGCATCGAGCACAGCACACAAAGGCCGAAAAACAGGAACGTGTATCCGTAGTTGGTGGCGTTGATGAACGGCTGGACAGAGTACGAGATGGCAAAGTTGATGCACGACGAACAGATGGCCAACACGACGACCAGTTCTCCGGCAATCTACAGAACAAGTGCGTTAGTATGCCCGAACCACACAACAACGCATAGGTCCTCCGACAACTTACCCCGGGGAAACACTCCATGGCATACGCCGTGGCAATCGAGCAGGCCGACACTTGATGCGCAATCATACTACCCACCCCAAAGGCGACCGTCATCCAATGCAAGCCGCCGTTGGCACCCCATCCGTACAGTTGGTAGCCGACCGCGGCGTACACGAAGGAGAAACACAGTGTCCACAGTCTCATTTCCGGTTCTTTGACACCATTGTTCCGGCGAGCCAGGAAAATGACAATGTGGTCACTGAGGACACCTGTCGCCCAGCCGACGAAGTTGCCCACGAGCGCCGCAAGGAAGATCAACCCGGTCGACGTGGTCGACCAGTTGTACGGTGGCTCCGTCATGATTTCCGAGATGGTGTTGAACGACACGATACCCGCCGTACAGCCGAAGGCAAAAATGACACCGGCGATGACGACGTTGGGGAACGTGAACAGCAGGAAAGGTCGGCGGAAGTATTGCCAGTAGCTCGTCCTGTCCTCGGGGAAATAGACCCACGGCTTCAACTTCTGCAGGTAGGTCCGTTTGGGGAATTGAGGCGCCAATGCATTGTCGACTTCTGGCTCGCTCGGGCTTTCGGTCCTTGTCAGGGTGTTCTCGACGTCTTTGGCATTGGCCACGGTCGAAACAGGCTCTCCGGTCCTAGCCACACCGCCGTTGATGCTACCGAACAGAAACCTCGGGAACAAGGTCTCCTCGAATGTGAGGAAGAGGAGGACCAAGACACCCGCATTGATACAGGCCACTATATACTGTGACCATCTCCAATTTAGATTATCGGCGATGCTTCCACCAGTGATCAGACCAAGGATCGAGCCTAGTTGTTGTCCAAACAAGTAGAAGCTCAACATTCGTCCACGTTGATGGGTATAGAACATGTCGAATACGCTCAACTGAATGACGGCTTGGTACGCGGCAGTTCCGACGCCGTTCAGGACCTGGGCAAGCATATAAGATGCCGTGCCGTTGAATTTCCCAAGCCAGATACCTGCACACATGCAGATGGCTGTGGACGCCAGAAAGACAGGTCGGCGACCGATCTTCATGGCGGTGGGTATCCAAAAGATGTTGACAAATCCAAGAAGGAGATAGTTCAACGCCGAACCTCCATTCATGTTCGTCAGAGACACTCCAGTGTCACTAGATACTGTGGTCCACGCAGCACCGAGGGTGTTCTCTCCGTAGGAGAAGGCACAGGCGTACAGAGCGAGCAAGAAGAGTTGATAGTACTTCTTAAAACGGTTCCAGCGCAAAGGATCAGCACCCGCATTGGTAGGTTGAGGTATCAAGACGATGTCACTTGATCCTCCGGCATGGACAGCTTGAAGGTCATGATTGACTGCAGACAGGGTTAGCCATCTAGATGGGTATTCCAGTCAGAGGCACGACCAGAAGGTACATACCATCCACAAGTTGTTCTGTGCCAGGCACATTCAGATCATACACGTCTGCCGTCATTGTTACGCGCCTTTCTCAAAGACAAGGATTGAAGAGGGTGAGAGAAGACACATGGCGATCCAGAGGCACACGAACCCTCTTATATCTCGTCTTTGACGGGAGCCATAGACTCTATCACCGGTGATTGATATCAAATGCGGGGAGTTTCCGGTATTAGACCAAACCCCCCAAGGGGATGATGCTTGACTCGACCCACTTCAACAGAAGGTCGAAGCGTGAACGAATCATATTCCTTGCATGGGCCGATTTCGAACCGTAGTACGGGCTCCTCTGCAACGGACGATTGGTCCGGTTACCCCAATGGTCAGATACGGATGACCACCGGCATGTTCGTTAGGCTTGCTTATCGTGGTGGTGGCAACGGTCTAGAAGTGTTAACACAACGAATGAATTTTGAGGGACGGAGATTAGCGTGTTGCTGCCACCATCCCACAAGTCCATTTCGGTTACTCTTCTCAGTTGTAGTCAAAATCTTTAGGGCTCTTTGTCTTTGGCTTCGTCTTCGTGCTATACTGGTGCGCAATATAGACAATGTTTGGAGTGATTAGCCGAAAGATATTTTGTTGCGCTAGTGGTCGTAAGCTTCTTTGCGAATAAAAAGTATTTTACATAATTTGAAATAACCAGTGGAAGGAGATTTTGTTGCACTGGTGGTCGTCGCCTTCTATGCAAGTGACATGTTACCGCAGAGCGGAGCAACAAAATGCTCCCAATCATTCTTCTGTGTATCCCGCACGTAATCCGAGATATGCTGAAGATCTCTCGCTTGCCAGATCTTTTCGATCACTGCCCGTGTACGGGTGACGTTGGCCATGGAGTCACTAAGCCGCTCCAAAGCATATAGAACAAATGGGCGAGCATATGTTGGTGCAGTGCTGAGATAGTGCGGTTCTCGGAAAGGTCGATCCAGTTCGAGCTGTACAGCGGCGACGAATAATGGCCAGGTTATGCCTGCAACCACTTGGCGTTCTAGCAGGACATCCACCAGGCTCAGTATCTTATCTACTTGAGCCGAAACCCAAGGCATTGAGGGTCCGGCACCATTCAGAAGACACTGTAGATATAATTCTGCAGCTAACCTCTTCAGTTCAGCGGCTTGAGGAAGAACATCGTCATCAATATCCCAGATCTGTTGCTTGAGATTGCTCAGTCGTGTCTCCAATGCGGCAGTCGTGGCATGATATCCGGGCGTGTTGCGAACACTATGATCCTGACGTCCAAGCTCTGTGATCTTGCTCAGCACAGAGACCAACTCTGGAGAGCATCCCAACCACTGATCACACTCAGAATTATCTTCCCAGAAATCGCTTCCGAAGACAGGATCTTCGCCGCATGCCGTACGTCCGATGACATCCTGAAAGGCAAAAAATCGTTCACAAAAGTGGATGATTTGGCTCTCTTCCAGTGTGGAAACGCTCTGAGGCGTTATCTGTCGGCGCAACCGAACCAGATCCCTTGCGCCCTTCAGGTGTATCACCCATCGTTTGTCACTTTCATTTGCAATCTCAAACATGCATAGTAGTACCATGACGACCAAGGTTTCTGCACTCATCGCGACTTGGCTTGGTTCCGAGTCACGGAGCCGAGCCCGAAGGTCCTGAAGGACTCCATGGACAAGCTGTAAAGCCGTTGCTTTATAGCTGCTGTCACTCCTGGATCGATGGCAAGCAGACAATGCCAGTATTGAGTTCATTGTAAGCATAGAGCCACTGATCGCAAATGGAACTAGCAGGGACACCAATGGTGAATCTGAGGTGAGGCTTGCCATGCTCAAAGGGGAGACCTTATGTACGTAGTACGAAAGCAACAAGTTTGTCTCAGTAGGACCGCAGGATCTGACACTCGGAAGGAGATCGAGTGGTGGCGTTATAGAATGGTTTGTCTGTGCAAGTTCTTGGGTGGTAAGCCAAGGACTGAGAGAGGGAGTGCTTGTAGATTCTTCGTGCTCTGTCTCTGCCACTGAGTTTGCCACCTGGGCATCGTGGAGCATCAACTCGAAGTAGTCATCGTAGTCCAGCAATTCCTGTATATTGTCGATGGTAGTGTTGACAAAACTGTATGGAAACACGCGAGGGACGGGTAACCATATGCTCAGGTCATTTGGTAAATCCGTTGTCGAAAGCGAGAATTGGCCAGTCCTCCCACGATCTTTTGACCAAACACCCGCTCGTCCGAAACTGAGGCCCTTGGAGACATATTCGGACTCCCACTTGAGCGCCGTCGCAGTGACACATTCCAAGCCCTTCGCCTTGCATTGCTCACATACGGGCTTCTCCTCTCCGCATTTTATCTTACGGATGCGACAGCTTTGGCAACCAGTCCTTGTTCGACGCTTGATCGGACCTGTAGTCGACTTGCGAGGACGAGGCATTCGGAGTATTCATCCTCGCTATTACCTGTAAACTAGGATGCTCAGTATCTTTGATTGAGCGGTCGTGAGCAGTTTGGGTTGATGCATTGGCAGAAGGTGGAAAGGAAGAGACGATGATGGTTGATGCGATGGATGGAGGAGGGGCAGCATCATGTGACGCGTTCTTGGCACCGACAAGGCTACATTGCAAGGCTGAACTTGCGACATTCGTAACCTGGCAGACTGATTGACAACGAATCCAAAACAATATGATATCAAGTCCATGCCCGATGCAACCTCCCCAATCTGGGCCCGGAAATTATCATCCTGGTGGAAACTGGACATGCAGCCGGGCAGCATGAGTGCCGTACCACCAGGTCCAACTATATTCCTGAGTCAAGACTATTGCCTGAACACATATCACACGAGGTCGTTAAGCACATCAATGGAGAGTGGAAGAATCAAACGCTATTTACTTTGACCGCGGCACCATTTTTCTCAAGCTCAGCACCTTACGACGGGATGCCATCGATGGTAAACGCTTCCTGATCAAGATCGCCGAACTTGATCGCAATCTCTTCCAGCGTCAAACCGCGAGTCTCGATCCAAACGAAGTATATAATCAGAAGGAAGAGAATATCCCAGAATGCATTGATTATATAGAACTTCCACCCGAGATCGCCCATGGCGTACGACATCGCGAACGAAGCCAAAATTCTGCATCAAACTGGTCAGTCAAAAGGCCGATCTCCCCTTCTACTATAACAAAAAACACGTAGAGGGGGGAGAGAGACGGTGGGCCATACCCAAATCCACTGGTCACAAGTCGGAAGAGCGAGAGCCCAGCGGCTCGAATTCGATAAGATACCACCTCCGTCGAGTAGATGGTGTTCAAAGGTGTAAATGAGCCTGCGTAGAAACCCTTGAAGATGAAGATCATGGCTACGGTGCCATAAACGCCGGAGGTATTGCCACCATTTCCGTATACTGAATGTATGTTAGAGCCCGACAACTATACATCATATCATCGTGGGAGAGAAAACCTGCCTTTTGCGAGACCTCCAAAGATGAATAGTGATACGATCATTCCACCAACACCGAGTAGGCCTAATGGTTTACGCCCAATAATATCGATGATGAAGCTACCACCCACAGCAAGGACAAGAATCCAGCAGCTCAAGATTGTATTGATCTGAAGCTTGGTCTTTGCAGAAGTGATGCCAGCTTGAGTCAACATCGCCCCGAGGTAGTATCTTGAGAGGCATAGGTCAGTAGGTGCGGCTCGGTAAGCATGACAAGGGGATCGAGCACCAACGAGATGACAAAATTGCGCATCATTTGTATCATGACGCCAAAGCTCAAGACAAGAATCACGGCATCAATCGTTCAGGCAGCACACGCACAGGCAAAAGTGTTCTTTCATCAATCGGCCGAGGAAAAAGAGAAGGTAGCAAGGAGCAAGTCGAAGTACTTCAACGGCTGGCATTTGCGTCGAGGTGTTGCCTCCAAGTCGATGAATTCCAAGGACAACATCGAACAATTCACCTATTGCTATAATCCCAACTACGGCCCCGAAGTGTAAGACCCCCATGCTTTGTCTGCAGAGGTGAAGGTTTCTCTCCCAGGCGAAGAATTTCCATGGGAGGGCACGACACAAATTGCACCAAATACTGGCAAGAGAACTCGATTTGCCAGAAGAGTACTTCGACAGGCTAGTTACAAGTCCGGAAGGTGCTTTAATCTCGTCCCGCAATCTGGTATTCCCCATGCAGAGAATCATGACTGACATGTGAGTTATGAACGGTGATTCGCCCTTTAACTACTATCCTGGGCTGCCTGAGGACAGCATCACGGCCACCTCCCTCGAAGACGTTGGTCTGGGTGCTCACACCGACATTCAATCCTTCACGATCCTATGGCAGGACATGATCGGAGGTCTACAGGTCCGTCCCAATGACTGATGGTTCATGGGTTAAAGCCCCTCGGATCCCCGGAACCTTTGTTGTCAATATTGGCGATTACCTTATGCATTTGAGCAATGATCGATTCAAGTCCCCCTTCCACCGGGGTTTCATGCGGACGACTTCTGATCGCTATTCCATGCCGTTCTTCATTGGCTTCAACTGCAACGAGGAATTCTCTGTGCTCCCAAGTTACACCAGTGAAGATATGCCGGCAAAGTATGAACCAATATCCTGTGGAGAGGTTAGTCCTGGTTATAGCATCTTCCCTGATCGTCGTATTTAAAAATGCTAACAGTTCCTGTAGTATGTTCGACGCAGGTTAAACTATATCTACGTTCCTCCTAGAGCCCAAGGCGCACATCCGGCAACTTGAAGCCTCTCGGAGTACCCAGATGGGAAGATTACACAGACTAGGAGAACAAATGGCAACAATACCAGAGTCATACTCTTGAAGAGAGGGAAACCTTGCTTGCCGTTAACTACAAAAATGGGTTGTAAGCGTGAAACGAAATCGATTTTATGCCAACGTACACTTAGGCGTGGTGTCTAAGTCATTATAGGAAAAATCAGGATTCTGTAGGCAATAGTACTTCGTTTCCAGGTCCACCCTCACCAGTGCCCAGTTTGAGGGTCTCCTTAAGCTTCTTCGCGAAGTAGATCATATCGAACGTGGAGGAGATCTGGAGAAGGACCACATGAGAGCGATGCTTCAAAGCCTATTCGGCAACGACATCTGATTACCGAGTCCTCAGGGCGGAAACTCTTCAGACCACGTGTATGGCCATGGATACGAAGTGTACGAGGTCAAAGAAGATACTAACTCGGATCCTTTGGGCTGTAGCGTGCATTCTCGCCCCGAAGTGGCTTCTAATCCGAAAAGGGAAAAGAAACGGACGTGTCGAGATAACGGCAACACGGCAACCATGAAGACATTCTCAGACCTCACAAACATACCTAGGAAGAAGATTAATGATTGATCGAAGTGCTTCATAATGCTACTAGCGCTGGACAGAGTCATTGCATGAAATATGTCTATCTGGGATCGGCGAATATTCAAGACACATCAATATTTCCAACACATCCATACCCAGGACCAGCACTAGAACCAGGCACACCTCGACGAGAACCATGACAAACCCCAGGCCAAAGATATGGCTCGATAGTACCATTGGATCGAATCTACTTGCTCAGATCAGCGGCGATCCAGGACTACCACAACCCAAACCCACCGTATCGTCATGGCAGGTGCCGTCTCACCCCGCGGTTGGCAGCGCACAATCCAAAGTGTTACCACGCACCACGGACTTCCTCATCATCGGGTCAGGCATCACGGGTCTCGGTGTCGCCAAAACTCTGTTGGAAGACCCGACTTCGGGATCGAAAACCGTCACCGTGCTGGATGCTCGAGGTTTGTGTAGCGGCGCCACCGGCCGCAACGGGGGCCAGCTCGTCAAACCGTACGCGCTTCGATTTGCGCAACTGGCCGACGACTTTGGTCTCGAAACGGCGACCAAGATTGCCCGTCTGGCTCTGTACACGTTGGAAGAAATGCACCGCCTCGCAGACAGCTACGACGACAACCTGCGTAGGGAGGCGGTCGCGCGACGAGTCACCAAGCGAATCGTCTACATGGACAAGGCATCCTGGGGTCGTGTCCAAGCAGCCGTCGACCTCTACGAGACTCATCTCCCCGAAGAAAAGGGTTCGTTTCAACGGGTGCCCAAGGAGGAAGTAGAATCGGTACGTCTGTCTCAACATCTCATCCGCCTCGCTCCGGGGGGGGGGGGTGTTTCCCCTTTCTCCCACACTTCTTCTAAACTTCCTAGACCCAAACCTCGACGACTGACGACACAAACGAACAGGGGTGGAATGTCAAGGGTGGCTATGGGGGTTACAAGTTCCCCGCCGGAGTCTGTTGGCCGTATCGACTCGTCACCGGCGTGTTCAAGCGCCTCCAGGACAAATACGGCGGCAGTGGCCGACTCAATATCGAAACCCACACTCCCGCGACGGCCATCTTGTACGACGCAGACACCGACCCGGCGCACCCGTACATGGTGGTGACGCCGCGAGGTATCATCCGCACCGCGGCCCTGGTCCACTGCAACAACGGCCACGCCTCACACTTGCTCCCTCACTTACGAGGCAAGATCTGGCCGCTGCGCGGGACCATGTCTTCCCAGGAACCCGGACACAAGTTCCCCGACCTGAGTAGTAAGATGTCTTGGACCTTTTTACGTGACATGCACTACGACAAACCCTCGGGGACCCTCGAGTTGGGATGGTGGTACGCTCTCCAGAACGCACCGGCGGGAGATGTCTGGATCGGCGGCGACCACAAGCGGGTCGAGGAGATTTTTACGGCCGACGACTCACAGGTCGGCGAAGAGAGCGTCGAGACCGTCTCCAACATCCTCCCGCGGGTGTTTACAGAGAAATGGATGCCCCAAAAACCCAAGGTGCAAAGAATCTGGACCGGAGTCATGTCGCGGACAGGAGACACCTTGCCGTTCGTTGGCTGGTTGTGTTCGACCGCCACGGGGCGGCCGGGAAAGGGTGAATGGATCGCGGCCGGGTGGAACAGCTACGGCATGACCAACGGACTCACGAGTGGTAGGGCAGTGGCGCTCATGATGTTGGGCAAGGATCCTCCAGACTGGTTCCCCAGCGCCTATCTGCCGACGGAAGAGAGGTTGAACAAACCCGCGTTCACCGCCGAGGCCGCCACGTTGAGGTTTTTGGACGAGTCTGGTATCGGTGCAACCTTACAGCCGAGCCTTGAAGGAAGACCAAAGCTGTGAAATATTGTTATTTTGTTTGCATGTGGTAAACATACAAGGTCGGCCCATTTGAAGCAAGCAGACAATTCCAGACAATGGAATAAGAATGTCTGTCTCTGATTCGGTCAGACACCACAGAGGAGAAGATAGAAAATTGGGTCGCCCAAATATATGCCCCGAATATGAGATAAACCAAGTAAGAGTGCGTTGGCTGGTCCGATGACCAAAGGGTCATGTTGTCTCTTGAGTTTGCATATCCTCCCGACCCCATGGTATTGAGCAGTGTACCCATAGTGACACAATTCGCTCGTTTAGAAGCAAGCATACATGGGATGAACTTGTACACGAACAAGGTTGAAATAATTAGACTGCCCCTTTTAAAAGAGAAGGGCCCGTCACTCGGTGGATCAATGACTTAAAACCAAAACCGGTTTACCTACCTATTATACTATCCGAACGAAAAGCCACTCACACATCATGATCAGTCGTTCCCGCCTTGTGAGTAGATGAGACAGATGTCAAGCTTCATGTGCGACGCGTAAACCTTTTCCCCTTCCGATTCCCGCCAACTGCAACATTTCACGCCAGAAACCAATCTGCTCTCCGACGAGAGACCTCTCGTGCGCATCCACCGCCGGACGTTCCCAGACGAAGTCCATCTCGGCGGGCTTGACGACTTTGGTGCGCTTGACAATCTTCCAGAACCCGAAAGTGATGGGCGTGAGCAACAAAAGGGTATAGTAGCTGAAGAAGGTGGCATTGTCCCAGGGGAAGACAAAGCTGGTGTATCCGAACGTGAGAAGGACGATGGGGAACCAGACCAGATTGACATAAGCCAGGTACGGTTGACCCCAGCCCTTGAACGGGAGTGTACTTCGATCGATCCCTTGCGCCTTGAGGCCACGGTAGAAGAAGACATAGGTAATGACCATGGTCAGATAATTGATCAAACCACCGGCGGTACCGAGCGAGACGAGCCTGGTTGTTGATTTTCAAGTCAGCTGCCTGACGTTTGTACTTGGTCGAAATCGAAAGCAACAACTTACCAGTAATATACCTGTGCAGAACTGTTGTTCATCTGCAAGAATGCAACAATCGAGAAGAGCATCGTCACAGCAACACAGTAGATCGGGACACCTGCTTTGGTGCACCGTAGGAAGATCTTGGGCGCTTGACCCTGCTTTGCCAAACCGTAAAGGGCACGCGATGAGCTGAAGAGGTAGTTGTTCCCCGCGGAAATGATACTGGTGAGCAGGAGCGCATTGATCAAGCTCGGTAGAACTGCAATCCCCATGTTTCTGGCCGCAATGACATACGGTGATGCGGCACCAGTACCGGCGCCAGGCTCGGTGCCGTTGAGGACGTTGAGCAAAGTTTCGTTGTTGGCAGGCAGAACGATACCGATGCAGAGGGCAGATCCCAGAAAGAAGATGAGAAATCGCCAGAACATGGTCTTGTATGCGTTCTTGATCGAGACTCGAGGATTGATGGCTTCTCCGGCAATGGTGGAGATGTAGTCTGGACCGGTAATGATATAACTGGCTTGGAAATAGCAAGCGAGGAATCCCTCAAACCTACCGAGACTGCCAGTATGGGCGTATTCGAGAAACGCACCCTGTGACAACGAAAGGTTGGTGTCAGCAGACATTGTAGACAGTTGACTGCCAGAGAAACCTTGAATTTGACCGAGAGTCTTACCGGCTTGTTCCAAGTTCGAAATCCATATGCGTCGTGCTGGGGATTTCCACCAACCATGGTTATGAAGGTGAAGCTAAAGCAGATAATGATGAGGAGAACTTTTCCCAACGAGAGCCAGAATTCGGCTTCACCATAATAGTTCACGGCGAAGACGTTGAGGACACTGGGTAGATTTGAGTGTCAGCTAGATGCCTTCCGATTGGCAATGGAAAGCAAGTCATCTTCATGCTTCACCACTCACGCGTATAATACAATCATTACACATATCACCGCTGCGATGGGAATGTCGTCGCGCCAGAACCCTAGGATCAAGCTGGTGCTGACCATCTCGAAAGGTATTCCGAGAGCCATGTAGATGTAAAAGTTCCAGCCGACCATGAAACCAAGAGCTTGGTCGACCCATTTACTGGCGTGTTGGATAAAAGCACCGGAGACCGGCATGAAGGTGTCCATTTCAGCTGAGCAGGTCGCTGTAATGCCTTGAAACCAGATGTGGATGAAGTATCCCAGGAACAAACTACCTGGACCTCCCTTCGCCAGCGCACCACCCATTGCGATGAACAGCGCTCCACCAATGGTACCACCGATGGCGTTCATTTGGATCTGACGATTGTTCATACGACGCTGCACTGAATTGCCAGCGCCAGGGGTGAATGTTTCTGAGACGATGGCACCAACTTTGGGGCCGGACTTCTCATCATGAGAGGAGTTCGATCCCTCAGAGAGGGTGGCTGTAATGGTCTCATCCTTTCTAGGTGATCCGACGCCTTCGTCTTGGGCTCCCATGATGTCGGCTGGTGCAGTAGTATCACCTTGGGGAGGAAAAGGTCCGAGGAACAAGGGCGAGGCGGCTTGAGGTGAAGAATGGCGATGAAACGTATTGCCAACTTCCGATATAGTCAGTGCGATGTCTGGGAATTTGGTTCAGTTTATACAGGTAAAAGTATAGTTTCCGTGTCCTGCTGTTGATCAAGGCCGGTCCTTTTGTTCACAGAGCCACGCGAAACTCTCTCGAAGTCACCACGAAGCGAATTCTCTAAACAGCCAGTTGCTTCGGTAGACAACCCAAATTGTACAAGCAATTCCCATCTCGCTATCCCTTCTATAGCATCTAGTTAGTCTTCGGCACGAGGCAGGGACTTGTGTCATTGGTTAAGGTACCGGATCGACACTGTAAGTCGCTGCCTTCGTATCAGCTGGTCTTATCTTGTGCCGTCCTCGGGGCGAGAGGTGGATCTGTGTCTTCTTGGCCGGTCTACAGCCCGACTATATTGACCTCGGACGGCAGACTCCCAAGGTATTCTGCTGGTTCATGGTGCTTTTATGAGGCAATTCGAACCTTGGGCCGACCGACCATCAATAATAGCTGAATTCACAGCCTGAAGATAGAGGTGTCCTGTATCGTAGCGCAAGAGAGTCGAGTTTTCCCCGCAGAATTTGGTCCAAAACAGGGGCACGGTACCTATCGCAGCCGTGGAGGCACTTGGCAGCTCGGTGAGTGCTAGTGTTAGGCAAAAAGTTCGCCCCGAGAACAGCCTGCCTAGAGGGTTATCTCCCTGAATACTACCGGATCGTAATCTTCTGCTTCTGTAGATGGTCGGCGACACCGTGAAGGCTTACTGTTATAGGACATCACGCAAATTCTGGTCGAACGATAGCTTCCTACCTGTGTACGGTGGGGCAAACTGCCCTCACGTTGCGATAAGCTGAGATGTCCATGGACGAAGTGACTGTACAGTTCTGTGCTTCTCAACAATTCGTCGCGCGTGTAAGGCATGTCGACAGTCGAAAAGGTCGCACATACGTATGGCCAGAGAAGGTAGTGCCAATGCAGTTCGGACAAGATAGAGTGCAGACTGGAGCCGAATACGAACTCGGTACGGAGTACCTGATGCCACGCGCCCGCAGCCTCGTAGCCTCGCCTGCTTAGATAATCGCCAGACCCCAAATTTTTCTGGTTGCTGTACGGAGAATGCGATGAACAAAAAAGGTCGCAGTCCCTTCAAACGGTGTCAAGTAGCTGGGTCAGTGATCGGAAGTATGAATCAGATGCAGGGCACTTTGACGCCATTTCTGTATCCTTGCTTCTTCCAGGCAGCCTCGTCGTCTGTCCGAATACACACACGTCGCATCCCGTCAAGGCTGCGAAGACATGTACTTCATACCACCGCCCGCCAGAACCAACCTTCGCTCGCGGCCGTCAATGCAGCTCGACGTGCCGCAGCCCACGAACCGCCGCCTCCGGTCACCAGCACTCATTTGAACCCTTCACCGGAGGACTACTCCCGCAACGTCTTTGTCGACAAATGTTCCCTGACCGTCCACGCGGGATCAGGGGGCAATGGCTGCGTGTCCTTCCTTCGCGATGCACACATATCCGACGGCCCACCGAACGGCGGTGACGGAGGCTCGGGAGGTAATATCTGGATCCAGGCCGTCGCCGGACAAACGAGTCTACACAAACTGGCGAGACGAGGCATCGTCAAAGCGGGCAGGGGGATAGGTGGTCAAGGCAAGAGTCAAGGAGGCCGCAAAGGAGAGGACATTTGCGTGCAAGTCCCGGTAGGCACCGTGGTCCGCGAGCTCTGGCGCAGCGACCCCCTCGCCGACGAAGAGGCACGCATCAAGGAACTCCGGGCCATGAGCGACGAAGATCCCTACAGCCAACCCGACCACGGCCTCCGCAACAAATGGATTCTCTACGCCGGCGTGTCCAACATGGACGCGAAGCACGTGCTCGCTCACCTCCCGCCTCCTCCGAAATCGAGACGCTCACATCTCGCCGTCCTCGCCCCTCCTGCGCCCATCAAGCTGGACCTCGACAAGCCCATGGAGAAGCCCATCCTCCTGGCGGCCGGTGGCGTCGGTGGCCTGGGAAACCCCCATTTCATGACCAAGGACGACCCCAAGCCGAAATTCGCGACCAAAGGTGAACTCGGCATTCGCCTCAAACTCGAACTCGAGCTCAAACTCCTCGCGGACGTGGGCCTGGTCGGGCTCCCCAACGCCGGCAAGTCCACGCTGACGCGGGCCATCAGCAACTCTCGCACGCGCATCGGAGACTGGGCCTTCACCACGCTTGCTCCCACCATCGGCACCGTCGTGCTGGACAACAACCAAGGTCGTCCCCTGGTCCGCTCCGGCGTCCAAGGTGAAGCTCCCCGCGTGAATTTCACCGTGGCCGATATCCCAGGTCTGATCGAGGACGCGCATCTCGACAAAGGTCTCGGCCTGGAGTTCTTGCGCCACGTCGAGCGCGCCAGGGTCCTCGCATTTGTCATCGACCTGTCCGCCGGCGACGCCGTGCTCGCGCTCAAGAACCTTTGGAAGGAAGTCGGAGAGTACGAGGCCCTCAGGAATCGGGAACTCAACGAGCAAAGCGAGAGCAGACTCGTCAATTGGTCACCTTTTGAGCCTCTGTCGTCGTCGTCGTCGTCATCACCGTCACCATCATCTGAGGACCAACAAGAACCCATGTACGACGAAGAAGGCGAAGCGATCTCGATATTCCCACCCCCACCAGACACGACCCTCGAACCGCTGAAATTACCACCCATCAGCGCAAAGCCTTGGTTCGTCATCGCGACAAAGGCCGACAAGGACGCCCAGGTCACTCGGGACGAGTTCACCAAGCTCGCCGCGTACGTGCACCAGGTTGAGACCCGTCAAGTCCAACATCCCAGCGGGAACGAGAACGGGTGGAGGAACCGTGTCGCCGCCATCCCCGTGTCGGCCATCAACCGTCACGGCATAGACAAGGTCATACGATATACGGCCGGCGTGCTTGATAGTCTGGTCTAAAGGGGGGTAGCTGGGTAGATGTGGCGGAAAAGATGGATGTATGAATGGTATCAAAATATCACAGTAATCCCTGGATAAACCACTGTATAATATCACTGTCATTTTGTACGGAGTAACGGATATCAGATTCCTTCTATGGGGTATGTATATACGGCAAAGGCGAGGCGTCACGCAAGCTAGCAATAAACCATGATAATCGCACGGGATTGCAGAAGACAAACCATGTCATCACATAGTCAGATTTATCCTTTTGATACAATTGACACGACTATCTGGTATCTTTGGTCCAATATCAGATGCTCCCAGGTTTCGGTTTCTGAAGGCCCTTGTTGTTTTCTTCATAAATGGCCTATCCCCTTCTGTACACTCCACAACAAACGCCATGCTTATGAACCCTTTAAAATCCCCGTCCCATAGTGCAATAGACACTATCATTCCCTGCTCTCCCATGACGCCGATCGACTTTGCTGGAAAAAATTTGCTGCAAAAGCCAAGAAACCGTTGGACTGGTACCAACTTGCAAAGAATACGCCGAACAACGTTCCCCTCAGTTTGATTTGTGGTAAGCCGCTTATGGAACACGGCCGCCACTACCAACGTCCATCTTTGCAAGTCTGTAACGTACAGCTTCTCGAACCAGATCACTCCCCCAAACCTCACTCATGAATTCGAGACCGGCGACATCTCCCCTTTCGGGCTCACCAAGGACAACGCTGAGATCGCGCTTCTGTGAAGTGAGCCATTTTTCAGTGGTGTCAATGGGATCTTTGGACATGGCGGTGAAGAACTTCCACCGGGCCTTGGAATGACGGATGGCTTGCACAAGCACAGCAATCTCATCGTTGATTCTGGAAATTTCACGGTTTCGTACGATATTTTCGGGACTGTTCGTGTTCTTGATCATCAATGCTCGGAGTGGGTCTTCGACCATGACCTGTACGTCGTAGACCGTCGGTTCGGGGTTTTGGTGGAATTCTTCGTCGACACGGATCGTATAAGGTAGCTTGATAGGCGGTAGAGGGTGGAGATGGGCGAGGATGCGCTCAGGTACTTGTGGGAAGAAAATGGTGTCTGTGCCGAAAATTTGGCGGAGGTTACTGTCGCATCGAATAGTCCGACGTTCGTCGTCTTCCTGAAGATTGAAGAATTTCACGTACTCCCAGAGTCCCATGACCACTTCAGCTCGGTCTGCTTCTTCCATATCCAAGGCGTCTGCGAGAGCTTTACTCAGCCGGAACCGTTCAGGTTGCTCGTCGCGGGTGAGGCAAATGGTGATATTTTGGTTGTGATCGCCTTTGCGCTTAAAGTACATAGTGTCGGTATCCGCATTGTCGGGCGTCTTTTTCCAGTTCACCGTCACATTCTCATCAGCAGTGTATTCGTGGCTATGTCCTTCGAATTCGACGTGCATGTCCTTCCAGAACCAGCTGAATGCTCGAGACGGTGTTTCGATTAGAGTCTTTGTCTTTGGCTTCTTCGGTGATAATGACTCTCCTTCGACATCATCTTCGTCCTCGTCGTCACTTCTGTAGCTGATATCGTCCTCCTTGTATTCAAGCAGTTGACCATGAACTCTAACTCGATATGAGGGCGTCTTCAGGTCTTCGAGCCTAAAAGTGTCACCGTCAGGCCATTCGGTCTGCCAGAATTGATCTTCTACAGTGTTAGAGATCCAGATGCGCATAGTCTTGAAGTGTTTGGTGTTTCTGCTGGCACTATCCAGGTACTCCAACCGCTTTCGCATCGTGATGGCATCCAGTCGCTTCTCTGCTTCCCGAAGCGCATCGTACTGCTTCACGCCCTCGCCGATGATAATATCCTCGAGATTATCAGGGAGGTCAAGATCGGTGGGCTTTCGCGCAATGCGCTGAGCTCTCTGGTGATCGGCCGCTGCGATTCGCGCTTTTTGCTGGGCTTCGAGAAGGGCTTGTTGTTCACGCTGAGCAGCTTGTTGGGCTGCGTGCATGGGATTTGGGGCACCTCCGGGATAGGCCACTGCACCAAAATCTATTAGCAAACTGTTCTCGGTGGTCATGTTAATTGGCTTCTTGCGGGTTTGACTGGAGAATTCCTAGTCAATTCAAACTCACCAGGTCGTCGAGCCTGCGGCGTTCTACCTTGCGCCTGACCGTATTGGCGGTAATTCATTTGAGAATTCATATTGTACGCAGCTTGGCGATACCGACACCGATGTAGACAAGTGAAGGAGAGATGGGTGTCACCGCTGATATAAGTGATTGGTTTAATTGTATCTGTGTCTTGTAGGAATTTGAGACGGTGACAATGAAGTCGCGCGCATCGCGATTATCAGCCTAGTCTGTATTTGGCGATACGCCTTGGCAGGCGTAATAAAGCAGCGTGTAGAATTGCCAGGCTGGTCAGACACAAAGCAGTGTTCGCTGCGACTATTGCAAAGGCTTGACCTATGCACATTGCTCCTTGGGATAATGGAATAGGTCGTATGATATGGATATGGAGTCCATATTTGTACTACTTATAAGCTTTGTACCATGAGTATTCCTAGGCATTATTGAAAACCTGCTGTGCCGCTAGATGTTACGGAGTATTGGGCAGCACATCTTGTCAGACCAAATCCCGTTGTGCCAACTCACTACTCCGTAACTTCCTTCCTAAACTAACCGCTCCTCGTATCGCTTCTTCACCCCAGCGCCCAAATGTACATAGCGCACGACAACTCGTCTTAAATAATCACAAAATACCCTTGACCGTCTCTTATATCAACAGGTCAATGTCTGGTGCACAACAATGGGCAAACCAAGACTCATAATCCTCATCCGCCATGCACAATCCGAAGGCAACCGTGACAAAAGAATCCATCAGACCACGCCGGATCACAAAGTAGGGCTCACCAGCGAAGGCCACACACAAGCCCTTGAAGCTGGGCAGAAGCTCCGAGCCCTCCTCCGCAACGACGACACTCTCCACTTCTTCATATCCCCTTACCGTCGCACGCGGGAGACCACAGAGGGAATTCTCAGCGGGCTATGTTCCAACGACCCGGTTCCCTCGCCGTTCCAGCGATCCCACATCAAAGTTTATGAAGAGCCCCGGCTCCGCGAACAAGACTTTGGCAACTTCCAGCCGGGGACTGACGAGGTTGAGCGCCTGTGGCGTGAACGTGCCGAGTACGGCCACTTCTTCTACCGGATCCCCAATGGGGAGAGCGGCGCTGACGTCTACGACCGCGTCTCGTCCTTCAACGGATCCCTATGGCGCCGCTTCTCCGAAGATAACATGGCCAGCGTAGCCATCCTCGTCACGCACGGCCTGTGTAGTCGGGTGTTCCTGATGGCGTGGTACCATTACAGCGTCGAGTTCTTCGAGGACCTCCGCAACATCAACCACTGCGAATTCCTGGTCATGAAACTAGGCGCCAACGGGCGGTACGTCCTCCAAAACAGTCTCCGACGCTGGTCCGATCTTAGGAGAGAACGGGCGGCGAGGAAAAGTATCTCCCAGTCTCCTGTGCCAGTGGAGTCGATCCCCGTACGACGTTGGGCTTCGAACCGTGCCGCGGCTCATGATCCCGGTAGTTCCGGTACAGGCAATGTCAACAGCAATAGCAACAGTAACGGCACAAACAGTCACCTGCCTCGTCCCTCGCGGAAGAACACGGCAGACATGTTTCGTGACGAGCGTGAAGATGTCGAGGATAAGCGTCATCAACAACAACATCAGCGTCGAGACAGCGTGAACAGGGCCAGGGACAGAAACCAGAGCCAAAACAAGAGCCACAGCCAGGGTCAAACCCGGGTACAATCGACAAGCAGCACCCTCCGAACCTCCCTCAACAACCTCGCACTTGAGACGTCGTCCAGGAAACCCGGTCTGAGAGCTTATTTGGGTCGTGACGGAGGGGGATCGAGGTCCGGGGCAGCGTCACCTTTTGGATCCGACGACGAAGAAAGTGATGGTACACCACATTCGGAGTTCAAAGTGAAGGGTGGTTTTGACAATAATGATGACCACGGTTACACCCAGAATCAGGGTCATGGCCACGGTCACGGTCACGGTCATGCTGGTCATGGTCACGGCCGTAGAAACAGCCACGTTCAACAAACGCCCAAACTCTCGGCATCGTCACTGGCCCGGGCGTTGAGGGGAGACTTTGACCTCGACGGAAACAATACTGGTCACAGTCGGTCGTTCGATGACAGGACGGCCGTGGCGGACCCGTTAGGTGATCAACCTAGTGACGCTGAGGTCGAAGAAGCGGATTTAGAAATGGGTACGAAGCGACAAGAGGAGTTGGAGATGGAGCATATCCTTGAAGAGGAGAGACACGAGAGAAGTCATGGAGGGAGTGTTTATTGATAGTGTGGGCATGGGCAAGGGTATGAGGAAGAGCATGAGCAAGAGCTTGAATACGACACGAGCCTGAGTATGAACATGGGCATGAGCATGAATATGAACATGATATGAGCATTCATTGTCGGCGTTGGTAGTTATTACAAGCGTGAGGTTATAGAAAACAGAAAAGATGCACATCATACTGAGGTATCTACAACATTGATATATCGATATATCAGATTCGATACGGAGTATATCAGATATGATTACGGTTCGTCAAAAACACGACTCACTCTCTTCCACAAGGTTCTTTTATCAACCACCATTTCCTTGGTAGGGTAGATTCGTAAGTCGGCTTCTCTGGGTACGAATTGAAGTGGTGTCATGTTTCCCCGATGGTCCATTCGGTTCGTGTCCGTGTCCTTTTCTGTGTTGCTGTTGCTGTCGCCGTTGCCGAACAAGTACGACGGGAAATGATTCACACCATTCACACCTGCCACGTTTGGACCTTTGGTTCTTCGGAGCGGTAGGTCTGTGAACCTCCTCAGGCGGTCCGTGAGGTCCAAAAACCGACCGTCTCGAGGATCAGCAGAGATTCCACCTTTCACACTCTCCGCCGTTTCAAGGATCTCACGAAACCTCCAAAACGCAGCGCCCTTGGTGGTTCCCAAGATTTGCATCTTTCGTCCCTTTTCGGTGCCTGAATCGTGTAGGTACCCTCTTGTATTTGTCTTCGTCGTGTCCATGCCCCTCGGTGGTATACCACCTACGACGACACTCTTGGCCCCGAATTTTCCCTCGGTGGCACTCGTAGTGGTACCCGCGCCCTTTCCCTTTCTTGTCGACAAGAGTAATTCCACAAACACTGCGCATGTACTGGCACAAAACCCATCCGTCAAAATCACGACACTTTCCGGTTCAAACACCGGTTCAACAGTACCGAGAAAACCCTCATCCTTTCGTGTGTTGTTGTGTAGCGTGTGTCGTCGTCCTTGAAGACCACGTGGAGCGGTGGCCGTACAATTGATCCTAAAAGGAGACGTCGATTGTTTTTGTCCTCGACATGTAGGTAGCTCATTTGAACCAGAACGGGACTCTGAACCGTAAAATTCATCCCACGACCCCCATGCTTTTCCGTCGATGTCAAGAAGTGATCGAATATCAAACAAGCTGTCGGCTCCAGACCCATTCCCAATCCTAGTGGTACCCGCACTGGCATGAGAATTGTAAGAGTAATGATAGTATCCCTCACTCAAATCTTTCAGTACATCCGACTTGCGCATGTTACCGTAAATTTCATACTCCATGTCTGGAAATATACGTCTCGCCGCGTCAACTCCCAATTCGAGTGTGCCGCCTCCATTCCCAAATAGGTCGATGATCAATTTTGTCTTGCCCAGTGATCTACACGTTTCCAAGAATTGACTCAGTCCAAGTTGAAACTCGGTAGCGTCGTCATAAACAGAAAAATCGAGAATCACTAGGACCGCCACTGAATCGTCGAAATCGTCGACAAAGTAACCCGTCATCCTTCCCTTGGTGTCGGTGAAGATGGGTGAAGGCGGGTAGAATGGTAAATTCTTCATGACAAATTCGGATTCTGGTCTTGTTGTTTCATGCTCATGCTCATGCTCATCCTCTTTCGTGGTATGAGGACTGTTCTCTTTTGCAGTATCTGGTGCATCGGACACCACCACGTCTCCATCCCAGTTGCAGAATTTCTCATACGCGCTTCTCCCATCATAGACTCGGTCGAAATCGGCATGCACCTCTGCAGTGGTTTGGATGCGGATGATTGTACCATTGTCGAAACCAAACACCATCTCCGGGCCGGGATAGAACACCGGGTTCGGAAACGCTCCTTGTGCAGTGGACAGGTCGAACTCAGTCAATTGCGAAATTTCAAAAAACAAATGATTGTATGCGGCGTGTGGGTCATGAAACGGTATCGCGGACTGGTCGAGGCGAGTGACCATGAATTCGTCGACCGGAATGCCGTTAATACTGGTTATCGGCGACGGAGTGTATGCGAGTCTGTCCGCTTCGTCGATCCAAGCAAGTATAGGAATGACATTGTCGTCATCGTCATCGACGATGGTGATCTCGAGCACATCAGACACAAAATATATCTGGATTGGCTTCTTCTCCTTGGGGTCTGTTGAGACCGATACAAGACTTGCACCTGGGATTTTGAACGATCCAATCCCGAATAAATCGGGGATGAAGTTGAAATGAGCGTCGCGTGCCGAGAGGAATATCTTGTAGAGGGCTGTCTGGAAGGTGTATTCGGATTTGTGTCCACCAGAAACAACGTCATCGGCAAGGGATTTTAGAGACGCTTTGACATCGACAGGTGAATGGGCCCAATCGTCAGGAGGGGCGGAGAGATGGTCCAAAGTTGACTGCAGTTCGATATATGGTTCTAATGCGTCAAGGAGGTCTAGAGCGGAGGTTTGATTGAGTGGGATCGACTGTAGACATGAGTGGAAAAGAGCGCCATCCACGATCGCTGTGTCGATTGAGGTCAGTGATTGAGTATAAGAATAAAACCACATATGAAAACACAAGAGCTACAGTACCTGTATCCATCCTTGTACCTGAGGGTTGGGTGGCGAGGTAAGAAGCACCGGAGACGATGGCACTGACTTGGGCACATGGTTCGTAAGACAAAGAGGATTGAAGCGGCGTTGGTTGGGCAAAAAGGGCAGTGGGAAAAGGACATAATGAAACGATATAGGATAAACGCATATGGTATGAGATGAGATGTCAAGGCATCGACGGAGAGTGAAGATCATTGATACAACGCTTGATACAAGGCATCACAGCAGACAGAAAGGGATGCTTTTGTTTTCTTGTGTAGATGAGAGCATGGAGAGTATTGGTCGACGACGGCGACAAGGAGTATGTTGATGGCCATCAATGAGAGTAACAGTAGCAGTAACAGTATGCGGTTAGCATTCGAGTCTTGGACCCTGGCTAGGCAGGGGCCTTTGAACCAGTAGTATCCGTATGAGTACACCCTACGGAGGAGGGAAAGGAAGCCAGTACGGAGTGTTTGACATGTGAGAGTGTTGTGTGTCTGTGAGATAGGGAGAGAGAGAGGTACGGAGTACGTACTTTGCGTGCGTGTACATACAGTACCAGAAGATTGAGTAGTACGTAACTCCGTACTCAACCTCCAGTACGAGGACAGTAGCATCTTGACACCGCCCACCGTGAGAGAGAAGACCCATATGGAGTTCTCCATGTAGAGGACGAGCAATTGAAGTCTGAGCTTTCAATCGTACTCTGGACTCCGTAGATAGACGACTTACCTGTTACGGAGGACAGTACAAGAGACTATCTCCACAGCTTTTGATTCATCAAAGAAATGGTCAGGTTAAAAGACCCACCGGCTTCTGGCCAGACGAACGGGGGATCCATATGTGTTCTCGCATGACTTGAGATTATCATGTCAAAACTCGGCAGTACTCGTATTGTATGTACTCATAGCGAAGGAGACGTCTTTTCAGCTTCGTCGGACACATAGTGTACCCGCATTCCGTATCACATGGTGGTGAACTGTTGCTGAGGCAGGAGTAAGTCGACGTTTTGTATTTTTGAGATACATGGAAGAGCAACGGAGGAGAATCTCTGTATGATGGAGCAATGACCGCGCGTAACGAGCATCCATACAATCCAAGAAATGATCTACTTAAGCGAAGAACAATCAAGAAGAAAATGGTGAAACTCCAAGGGGTGTCGATGTGTCGATGAAGATGCACGCCATGCCAGAATCGGTCATTCCGATCCACATAAGGGGAGGCAGTGCAATGAACCTCTCTGCTCTTCTTGCGAGTATTTCGCGATAAGACCGATGACCGTGATAACCACAAGGAGAAAGCGAGATGAGAATGTAAGGAGTAAAAAGGAGAACGAACGTGCTCACTGCATCAGACACCAATTGCTTGATTTTGTCAGATATCCTTCGTATGCTCATACCGCGTAACTAACTAACTAACTAATGGTACAAAACAAAACATCAAGGTTGGTATCATACAATTGTACCCCTCCCCAGACTTGGGAAATCAGTCTAGTAACTCTCCCATACTTGTTGTCCCATGGCCACAAGCCGATTGAACAGTTCATCTCTCTCACTGAGCGCCATCGCACGATATTTCTTGCCGTCCTTGGTCACAATTTCAATTCCATCTTTGACTTCTCTGCTCGTGGCCCATCCGACCACTATCTTGCCTTTCCAACCAAGACCTCCAATCTTTTTGATCTCAATGATGTCAGGTATCGAAACGGCCCAGTCGGGCTCTCGTGGCATGCTCTCGACGCCTTCGTCTCCATCAAGGTGGGTGGTGAAATACACACATGGCGACGCCGGTCTGTGGCCTTTTGCTGGTGACACCTTACTGTCCACGTACACAGCACCCTTGCGGCCATTGTATCGTCCTTTGAATTCCACCGGCCCTTCAACAGGCTTCTGCTTCATCTCATCTCGTGAAGGCAACACACCCAACTTTTCCTTGGCATGATGAGATCCAAGAGCAGCTCGGGCAGAGTCTGTCGCGAGTTTCGTTTCGACTCCCCCAGCTGTGGTATGTTTGAATGCAGACATGAGCTTGGCCCCGAAACCTCCCTTTTTCTTCTTTTGATCTTCACCCTCCGCGGCTTCTTCTCCGCTCGGCTGATCCACCGTGATAGCATCTTCGATTTCAGATTGTGTGGCGTCGAGTCCACCATCGGTAATTGCATGTTTGTCGACATCGTCTGCTGGCTTGTCGGGAGGGGGTTGCTGAGATTTTGGTGGGGGAGGCAATGGAGCTCGGTTGGCTTCACCAATTCGAAGCAAGGTGACGGTAAGCTGTGCATTGGTCGGTACGCCTTTGAGCAGCGTGTTGCGAATTTCCAGATACTTTGGCCAGTCGGGAATCTTCTCGTTCAAAAGCGCAATACCTCGTTGCATCAATGGATCAGAGAAAAAAGCAAACCCGGTAAAGAACGTGGTGCCCTTGACAACCCACTGTGACTTGACAAACAACGAGAGTAACAGAAGCGGGACGAAGATGGCACCTAGTTGAAGGCGCTTATTCTGCTCAAATGGTGGTGTAGGAGACAAAGCATTGGCTAAACGCTCCCAGCCATCCGAGATATCCCCAATGGCGTGCATGGCAGGACGCATCTTGGCCCAAACAGCTGCCTCCATAGGTTGCTTGGTCTTGTCATGAGCTTTCTCTGGAGTACCACCCTGCGCAGCGGAAGAAGCATCGGCAGCGCTGGTCGCAATCTTTGTCGGGTCAGGCATACCACTGTCCAGAGTCTTGCTGCCACCTTCGTCATCTGGGTTTGATTGATCATGACGACCGGCGGCACTTGAGATGGCCACCGAAGCAATGCCATTGACGAGGTTACTCGCTTCCTGTTCGACAGCTTCGCCTTTGTATTTCTCCGGGGCACCAGTCACACTATCAGTACTTCCTAGTACTCCTGCTTTCGGCTTCTGCACACCGCCTGTTTTGTGGTTCACGAGAGCAATCGGCGCAGGAGGGAAGAGGATGTCGCGTGAGCGTGGCACTGTGATCAGCACGATTAGGGTTGCCAATATAGTGGGAACGATAAAGTCGAAGATCCATGCCAGGAAGTAGATTGCAGCGAAACCAGCCGTTCGACGTGGCTCACGCCATGATCTCAGCCTTGCAATGTGTTTTCCAAAAGCAATGAAGCCAACGATAACTGTCATGTACAGTCGCTCAATGTTGGCGCGCAGTTTGTCAGGGGAGAAATCATCCTCTTCGGCAATGTTCAGATCCAATCCTCCTGGTGGTGCTTCCGGGATGGCTTTCACATGGTACATTTGCTGGCGACGTTGGTTAGCCTAGACTCTGACCATTCTCTTCCTTGCTTGTATTGTACTTGCCTTGTTGAACCTTCTCACCAACGTCCACAAATCTTCATTTGGCAGTCCACCCACCAGAGTCCCTACACCCACAGCGTTGGCTTGCCATCCTAGATTGGTTGTGTGATTTTCCCTACCAGCCTTTTGAGCCGAACCCAATACTTCATGATCACCCGCACCGGTGGCCAATTGGTGGCTTGTAGAAGTGTTTTGGCCCAGAGGAGCCTTGTCCGTTGCCGTTATTGGTTTCGAGGCCTCGTTGATTCGTTTGCGAAATTCAGAGTCTGGGTTCTCTTCTGCAGGCGGAGTGGCCCCTCCGTCGCGGAAGACATAGCCCGGAGCGGGCATGATAAAGGGTCTTTGCAGAGTTTCTGGTGGCTGTGAGGTGTGCAAAGGAAGTAGAAGGAAGGCCAGTATGTGTTTAAGAAGAGTGCTGGACGATATCTCACAAGGACAGAAAATGTTTGCTGCGTACCCAGGTGGTTGTTCTATACAAGCAGCCTGCGCAAAAAGCCGTTAGCGATGGGCGGATGGGTTGACGTCACTTGCGTCCTTTCGCTCGGGGCGTCACTAGGCGTCATTAGGGGCCACTAACAGACGCTTAACGGATTCTCGTAGGCGCCCGTGAGCCCCGTTCGCCCCCCAGAATCCCTATCATCAACCAATCGTCAGCCGTCGCCAATCTGCACTGGGATTTCATCTCTTTGTCTCCTCAGACATTTGTACCCACCACTTCCTTTCCCTGGCCTTCCGTCTTCCCACTTTGATTCACATGCCAGCCAAGTTGGTGGCAGGACGTGCATTGACCAGGCCGTTTGGCTTGCGTAAGTGCTGTTGATATGAATGACGACAAACTCTCCCTTTCTCCCAATCGTCCCATTTCAATACAAGCAAGGGAGGAACAAGAGTTCAAACAACACATCCCAGCCTCATATGGCTCATATCTGTGTTTCATTATGCCAAAAAGCTCCATATCTATCCAGATTCTTACGGGGTATAATCCGCGTGATATGTCTCTCAACCTGTCACTCATATCAAATCATTACCTATCCAACCAAATCCCATCGACATCCCTTGGACATTAACCACATCTATACAGAATAAAATGTTTCGTGAGGCTGCAGTGGGCCTGCTTGTGCCATCGTATATGGTTTTCCATGGACGTATCGGCTTCTCATCGGTTCCTCGTCAATCGCGCAATGGATTTGACCATCTCGACCACGAAACCAGCCCAGACCATAGCGTTTGCCCAGTCCCATCAATCGTTGCTCCATTTGTTTATTGTTCAAAGTCTCGGTATCGATGAAATCGGTGAGCATGTTGCTCGAGTATATGAATGCCAAAATAGCCGCAATGGTGGACGGCTCTCGTGGTAAGAACGGATGGCGTCGTCTCCAGAACACTATTGATGTCGTGCAGATGACAATGACAAGGATCGTCACCGAAAGGATAAGCGAAGCCCAGAACGAGGCGAATGTTTCGTCGCCACTGGAGTCGTCCTTGTCTTTCAGTTTCAAAAAAACCTCCGAATTGACGGAAAACGAACTCACAGTGACGGTGAGAACGTCTAGGAGAAGCGACGAGAACCCTACCAATGCCACGAGATAATGATGGTTCCAGAGAGCTTTGCACGTGATCCAACCATACACTGTTGCTTGGTAATCGAGTGTTAGGCTGTTCTCAGGCCTGGCATTTCCCTTGGAAAGCTGATAGAACGGTTCGATGAGCCTTACATCGGCTTCGAACGTGCTGAAAATCAATTTCAAGGCGGTTGCAACGACAATCGGCAACCACGGTACAGCGTTCGGGACCACTCGGGCTGGCGTCAACGTAATAACGAGCACTGCCACCATGCAGATGACCATGAAGATGAGGAAAGGAATACCAAACTCCAGCCGAAGCATGATGGGGTGCGGACTAGTCAGCTTCTTTTCACTGTCCAGCACAGGGTCACTGGTCGAACTCAATTCACCTTGCCAGATGGATGATTTATAGAGCACATATCGTCTGTGCTGAAGTCGTTTGTGGATCTTGCCTCGTGTGGCCATGTCTAATCCAGAGAAGTCTTGCAAGATATGCGATTTGGTAGCCATGGACGCAATTCCGGCAATTCCTTTCGGATCACTTAGCAGCCCAGACTTCCGCCGGAGCTGGAAGAACAAGACCACAAGAACGAGAGCCACGATCAGGTAGCTTGCCGATAGAAGGCGCGACCATACTGGTTCAACTTGGAGCCAGTAGTGCTTTTCGTCTGAATCACCGCATCCTCCGGAATTGCATTCGGGATTCGGATTGGTCTGCATATTGAGGGAAGGATTCTGGAGCGAGGGGCCGACCATGGATGCGACGATGTTTCCGGTGGTCGAAAATAAGACGGCGTATTGCTTCAGGCGGAAGGCCTTGAAAGGTACAAAGTATTGAAACATGGTGAGATGATCTAAATTAAGACTGGCCGAAGCCAGCGCTCCGCCGGGTCGTGACAACTGATAAAAAGGTTCCAGTCGGCGTATGTCGAAATCCATGATCGAGAACAGAACAGCATAGACGATGCAGACCATGGTTGGCAAGTCTATCGCAGTTAGACACAGTTTGAGGATGGTCAAAAGTGCACTTACACTTCCAGGCGAAGAAATCCCATGTTGAGATCTCAGCCACATGATTGAAAGCAAGGAGCCCGCTGTTCTCCTTTGCGCGCCTCTGGGATTTTTGGCACAGATATTCCTGAATGCCGGCCAAGGCAACTGCAAGGGTCAACAGAAACAGAATGTAAATGCTGCTCATGGAGAAGGGCTTCCAGTTCGGAATATCTGGATCTTCAGGGAAAAAGTAGCTCTTCGTTTTATGTGGCATGATGCTTTGCCGGTCCGATGTCGTGTCAAACGCTCGACTCGCTCGGTTGTCTGGCTGACCGCCTTCCAGTGAGCTCAAGTCGACCGCCTCCTCTATTTCGACGATCATATTTTTCTTTTGTGCGAGGTCCTGACCCAACTGTCGCACGGTCTTAGCTCGATCGACGCCACTGCTTACACCGTCGCCAGAACCTCCTGTTGATCGCCTCACAACTTTAGTCGGGTCGCGTCTCAACTGCACGCCTATGTCTCTCATCCCTTCTCCCACGGATCGACGCTTCTCCACGAAGCTGCGAAAGTCGGGTTTCCGTCCTGTGCTTGTAGGAGAAGTGTATGCCGTGTCTTCTCCGGGGCGTGATACATCTAAATGAGACATATCATTGAGTTCCCAACCCAAGCCTTCGAGAGACGTGATATCCACCGTGCCAGCGGCGATATCGTCCTCGTCGTCAAGTGTCGCATACTGTTGTCCTTTTGATCTTTTTGTAGAACGAAAATGAGGCCGTCCGACAGGCGCATATCTGGTCGTCAATCGTCTTAGCATTGACGAGGCATTGGATGGGCCTGAGCTTAGCCGCCGAGCTTTTGTCGGCGTCGGCGGCTCGATCATTTCATAAGAGCCACCGCTCTCATCAATCGATCCTAATCGCTCCTCCCAAGAATTCCCTCTCGAATGTCGCCCTCTGTAAAATGTTGCCGGCTCTGCGGCAGTAGTGGCAGTTGCCCTCGTATTGGGAGAAACTCTACTTAGGAGCCCGATTCCATCTCCGGACGATGGTCTGGTCCCAGACCTCGCTGTCGAAGCATTGTAGCGGTCGTCCATGACGATAAATCGGGGTTATCGAATGACTTGTGCGCAAAACAAGTCCAGTAGAATCACCTCAAGCTCATGGCCGGATGTTTGACGACATAGTTGAAGTTGAGCATGCTGGTCAAGTCTTGAAATAGATGACCCTCTAGCCTGGGTATAGAAATGCACCTTATCCGAGCGTTTGGGTGCCCCGAGTGCTCCTTTCCCGTTAACAGCAGAATAAAAAGTGCACGACATGTTATGGATGTAGAATGATCAGTTCTCAGATTCGCAGATACAGAAAAGACCTAGAATTGCGACTGCTAAGCGACCTTGTACTCGAGGAGATTAACTCGCGCCTACGGATTCGTAGGGCGGACGCTAAACTTAGTCGTTTTAGGCGATCCAGAGGTTGCTCAGAAGATGATTAGACAAACGGCGATCAAAGATGCATCAGGATTCGGGATGCAGGATTTTGGTAAATTGGGATTGAGTATTCAATAAGAGAGAAACAGCTGCAGTTTGTGGCATTGAGATGAGTTGAAGAGAAACGTGCTTGAGACAGGAAAGGTCGGAGGATTAGCGGACTCGCAACGGACTACTCTACTGTATCTTTTTCAGCTGTTCTAGCTAGCTGCAGCTTATCCGACCCTCCCAGATGTGTAATGCGTCCGGCGCCAACCAAGTTCCACGACCTGTTGTATCCGTCCGTCGTTATTAAGCCCTGTAAGGCGGCTGAACTGAATCTTGGGAACGACAGGGGCCGCTTTTCCCCTCCCAAGACCTTGTTCTCGACCGGGCCTTGACACCGTGATTGGGCCACTGGCAGCCACCTGGCCATTTGACGTGGTGGAAGGCCTAATCTTGAGCGCCCGCAGCCCTACAGAGTACAGCCAGCGATTTCTCGGGACGACTCAAGCCAGTGTTTCGCCATTTCTCCATTTCTTGGTACTCGTACGGAGTAGTATGTCAGCACTCTCGTTCCCTGGCCCGGCGACAAGTCGTTGGTTCCAGTAATCCTCTAAGCTTAATCGTTGTGACCTGATGACCACTGTCTTCCACGATGTATTGCTCAGATCGTTGGGGCCAGGATGCATCGGAGTTGAACAGCGGTTGTCTGCCGGAGACAGAAATACTTTTGATGGGTCATTGACACGCTCCGTTTCTTCCACTTGCACCGTGACACCTTCGTCAACATTGGGATATCAGGCAAAATGTTGGCGACCTTCTCAAGCGTGGCCCAATGTGTCGAGAACCAATTCGACGCGCAGCTGCTGCCATTTTGTACTCGTGCTGGGGTGAATGTCACAGAGAAGCCCTTTTTCGTCCTGCCACGGAAAGCCTATCACGATCAAATGTTATTCTCTTTGCAGAATAACCATCAATCCCATGATGCCCAACATCACACTCTTCAACCATGGATGCTCACTGAGCATAATTGTAACATATCCCACTGCTGGTATATAACCGCGAACACTCCCAATGATATCTTCCTTCCTGTCTAGGTAGCTTTGTCCGCGCGCATAGAGCTCGACGTCATCCGCCACGTTGTTGTCGCCTTTTGTCAGAAGTTTGGGTGAGGACTCAGACATGTAACCACTAAGACAAGTTGTTAGTATTGATCGATCCTATGAAGAAGGTTGCGAGACATGCCTCGTGTCTGCCTCGACTGCGGCTGCTGGAGCGTAACTTCGAACAACGCGATGAACAATTGGGATGTCTTTGCCCTTGACATTGTATACCACAATTTCTCCCACTTCCGCTGTCTTGTCTCGGTTCCAAAGGAAGAGTAGATCACCACGCTGGAAAGCTGGCTCCATAGAACCACTGAGAACTACCACAATTGGCGATGGAGAGTCTGAGACGACCGAGAGGGATTTCCATAGCATAAAGGCCGTGGACAGAACAAGTGCGAAGTTAAGGACTTGTGAGAGGGATTGGCGAGGATTGGAGAGGTAGGGAGCGAGTGATGATAACATGGCTGCAGGTTGCTGTTGATTTTGAGAGTCTATGCAGTTGGATGTCAGGGCCACCGGGTAGTTGATAGCATCACACTTTGTTGTTGTCAGTCTCTAATTCTAATAAAATGCTATAGTATGCACAGCAGCGTGAAAGCCAGGTGGCCGCAGTTTGTAGACACCGCAGCCTTACTAGCAAACAACTGAGGTAGAATCATCCCACCCGACATTTAACCGAAACGCGATAATTTTCGAGGCCACTCTATTGCACCTCAACATCGACACTACAAGTTTGCAAGAGATGTTGATAGCTATTCTCGAAAATATGGACGTGCATAGTACCCTTACGTATATGATGCTCAGAATGCTGGGTGATGCTGGTAGTGGTCAGGATGCACTATGATAAGCCTTCAATGATTGACAAGCAGGCAAGAGAACTGCCTCGATATCGCCTGCTATGGCAAGATAAAAGATGAATTATGATATCACAGCAGTGATTCACAAAGTACGGAGTATAACTACCCGGTAAGGATGGTTTCAAAGCTGGCAAGGGTCTTTTATAAAAGACTTGTATTGAATTGCATACCGAAAAGAAGCATATGAGGGATGCATACTGTAGATCTTCGCGCCCGGGAGCAGCCTTTGGTATTTAAATAGTGGTCTTTTTGGGGGGGCGCTGGCCTATCCTGGGCGCCTATGGTAGGTAAGGTAGGTGTTTCTACGGAGTAGACACGGAGTACGGAGTACCTACAGTAATAATACTCGTACTTGTAGCCAACCTAACTTGCGCAAGTCCCGAGCCTATTGTAAATAAACTGCAATGTCCACTTTTCGCGTTATACCCAAAACCGCTACATGTTTGTCAAGGGCCATTCATTGCCAACTCATCACTACATCACTTCAAGTCGGCTACATTGAGCAACAGTTACTTGGCTCACGACCAAGTCCTCAGTGAGACAGACGACACTAATCTCTATTGACCTACCACACTCTTCCTCCACAATCCACGCTCCCTGCAGAGCTAGCCAGCCCGCCGACTTACAACAGTGCGCAGGAACCGGCAGAACAAATTCTCCTCCACCCATTGTCCAGTGATTGCTACGACGCTCACTTGTTCTCTTGATAGGCTCTGAGGCTCCCGACATAATCAGCAACATCGAGCGAACGAATGATTGACTCGAGAAGGCAAATCCGTCGCTGACTTTGGCTTGTTCTCGTCACCTGTTCTACACAACCTTCCCATCGATTCACTACCTCGCGACAAACCTGGAAAATCTACGCAATTTGTATCACCTTGACCGGAGGTCTTCTGCAAGCTCTTACTTGTGCTGCAGCCGCCTTATCAACCAGGCCAGTCGGATCCCTTGATCTCGCATACGCCGTGGTCTCCTCCATATCTCAATTACGGCCCGATCCCTGACTGCCGACTCTATTCAACGTTCCGAGAGAAAACATGTTGATGGCAATAAAGAGAAGGAGCATAATTGACGAAACACATTGCTAGGTGACAATCTCGTGAGGCCACTCCACGGCGACAATGGTAAAAGCGGATGTGAAGCGTGACTATTATGCGGACTTGGAACTGCCCTCCACCGCCGATGCCGAAGAGATTAAGAAGCAGTTCAGATATCTTGGTATGCAGGACGTTTTCTTCGGCTTTTGATACATGCTGACCTCAACAGCGAAACAGCTCCATCCCGACAGGAACCCCGGGCATGAAGTGGAAGCCGTGCCCAAGTTCCAGGCCGTTCAGGCTGCCCACGAAATCCTAAGCGATCCCGTCGAGAAATCAAAATACGATGCTGCGCGAGCAAAGATCGCCGCAAGGAATGCCGCTGCTGCTGCTGCAAACTACACTGACCCCTATGGATTTGCGAGATCGACCACTACCAAGCAGAATTCGACACCACATTTCCCATTCCCACCTCCTCCAAAGGCTACGCAAAGAGGAGTGCCCCAGACACAAAAGCAACAGGCCTCGAGAGGTGCAGACAAGTTCAATGCCTTTACTCGGAACGCACCTCAGTCCTGGGACAGGGCGAGGTTTGACAACGCAAGAGCAGATGCAGCTCGTGGATTTCCAAACATGAGGACGACACACCCGACTCAGAAGATGCCCCCAACAGCGCCCCGCCAGGCTCCCACTGCACCAAAGCCACAATCTACGTCGGATGTTCCTCACGTCCCCAATGTTCCACCAACAACCTTTCCCGGTCTATCAAGAACTGCAAGCACGAGAAAGCAAGGGTATACACCCGGGACTCATGGCACAGATGACCAACAAGCTCCCCGGTCGGCATATGCCTACGTGAGAGGGACTCGGGGGCCACCACAGACTTCAACTCACATGTACAACCAAGATGGAACTCCCATGCAGTCACCTCCTATGTCAAGAGTTAGGCCTGGTGTCAGCCCCTTGCGACCGACTCGTTCAACCGATTACACTATGAATCAGGATTTTCCAGATGGCTCTCGTCCATCTTCAAGATATGCTGGAGCAGGTGGTGAGAGGACGGATATTCATGGAGACACCATGCATCACAGATCGTCAAGCGTTCGAAATTCCCCAATTGACCGTCATTGGGACGAACCCGGGCCCTTCGGAAGACCGCCTTCCAAGTTTGAACATGTTCCTCGACATCGTAGTGCGAGTCCAGGCATGAGAAACGCGGGGAGACACGCTGAATTTTCTTCCGACACCTCATCCGACGAAGACGACACCTATAATGTGAACGCGAGACCAAAGGCAACACCACGGAGCCGACCTAGACCTCGAACCGCCGCCTTTGCTGACAATCCAGGTCTCACCGGGTCATTCCCTAGTACTAACTACACTAGAATCGTGGATGACAGCAAATACCAGTTTCCCGCCCCCGAATCCCGAGAACCATCTCGCAAGCCATTTGCTGGTGAACCTTTTCCTGCCACCGAAGAGCACAAGATGAGTGATGCACATGTTAATGGTGGGCATGAGGAGGCTTCGGACGGACCCAAGTATGCACGCTCCCGCACCCTTTCTTACCCCTGGTCAACCCGAACAGCAATTGGAGCGAACCCTTCACGTTCTGCCTATCGAGGCCTTTCGTTCAATGGTTTTCCGGCTTGGGCGGTGCCAGCGTCCGTGGTTCCACGGATGAGCCCGTCTGCTAGGAAAGGAACAGGCCCATTTGTTGCTGCGCAGAGCCCTATTGCGAATCGCGTACTTCCCATTTGTAAGGAACAAGCTGACCCGAGTCATAGTCGTGAGGCTCAACCGCCGTCCAAATTTTCTGCTGATGAGTGGCATGACAAGTTGAACGTCGACGACATTTTCCGCCCGACCGATTCACAAATGCGCAAATCACCGTCCAAACTGAATCGTAATGGTAGTAAACCCGGTACTCGTGGGAGAGGGATGTCTAGAGGGGTGGAGCAAGAAAGCAGCTCATCCGCTGATCGTGCTGAGGACTCCAAGGCCAAAGCAGCTGCATTCCAAAAGGGAAAGTTACCACCGGATTGGGCGACCAAAGTGAAGCCAACTCCACCTCCAGGAGAGACACGCACCGCAAGTGATCGGACAAGCCACGGTTCACATTCCACGGATGATTCGAGAGACCAGTATGTGGTAGTCGAGGAAGATATAATGGACGTGGACGATACGCCTCCTGTTAGGACCAATTCCAATACGACTCGCTCGAATCCTACCGAGGCTCACTCTAGCAAAAGACGCTCATCACCTGATGGCGGTGTGAATCTGCGAGATTTCGCACAACAGGCACCCTTTGCTTCTTCTGCAGCTGGATTGAAAGACCTGGACGATCTCGCGGCACACTTGCCATTCGAGTCAAAGTCAGAGGAGAAATATGAGAAGCCGTCGACTAGACTGCGAGCTCTCAATCTGCCGAAGCCACCAAAAGTGGTGGTTCCACCGGCAGCAGACCGGTTGGATCAGGCCAACTTCTTGCAGTACGTGGACAATATGAACGCGTACATGCAAGACTGGAACCATTTCAATGCCAAGATGATCGAACATTTCCGAGGTCGACAAGATCGAGTATGTGGCACCATGTCACATAATTGGATCAGTATGCTTGGAGATGGCCCGGATGCTGACAAGGTAGACGAGAATGGGACACAAAAAGCGGGTTATGCTGCATATCTACAATGGTTGCAGGATGATGCTCAATGCCGACAATGGTGGGATCATGCCAACGAGAAGCACTTACAGTGTATGGAGGACCTGGGACGTATTCGAGAAGTCGCCAGGCGAAAATTCCGTCCGTCATGATGTGGATGATGAGCGGAGGATTGTACTTTTATTCGGATCGCTTCTTCGAGCATCGAGTGGGAGATGAAGATCAAGGTCGACTGTCAGCAAGAAGTGCAACACGAAGCATTTCCATTTGAGCCCATCTTTGTCTTGTCACCCACGAAATGCTTTTTTCTTTCCACTTTTCTCTCTCAATGTCTGATAAACTCTTGCAGAAATGAATTTTATGACCAGCCAGTTGCATTGGAAAGGGACTCGGAGGAAGCAATAGCAGAGAGAAGAGAAGAACGGCCAGATACAGAGGTGATAATGAATAGATCAGATCAAATCAGATCAGCAACATAATATCCATCCTGACTCGGTTTCAACTCCAGACCAGGTACTCCATACTCCGAACTCCATACTAAATGAATGTACTCCATCCTTGGTGTCTTGTAGATGTGACTTTGAAGCACAACGGGCCGACATTGGGCCAATCAACAATCGAGACGCGGATAAATACTCGGTCGACAAGTGTCTTTCTTTGTCTTTGTCCTTGCCACTTCGGTTTGTACAACTTGTTCATCATTTCGACTGAATGGAGATCATGAAGACTTTTATCCACCGTGTGAAGGAAATGTATGTACACTAAGATAACGTGGTGTGGAGTGGCTGCTCTGGCAGGCAGAACCACGATCAATGAGACGCTTTAAATTGTCTGGATATTTCCCAAAGAAATCTCTCCGTTCTCGATGACCATTTCCTTCCTTTTTTCTTTCTTTTTAGACCAGTCTACACGAAATTTACTACTCATCGGGCCTTTTCTTCCTTGAGAAGGATTCGAGATAAAAACGAATAACACAATCGTCATTGCGAGAAGTACCGATAAAATGGCCAATCCTACAGCCGTCAGCATGGTCAAACCACCACTCCGACGCGCGTGGTGGAAAGAAAGCAGCGTCTACCAGATCTATCCCGCCTCGTTCAAATCCGCTTGCTCCATAGTGTCCAAGAGCCGTGACGGCGAGGACGAAATCAAGGGCGACATCCGGGGCATCATCTCACAGGTTCCCTATCTCTCCCGGTTGGGGGTCGACATCGTCTGGCTCTCACCGATCCTCCAGTCCCCCCAGGTCGACATGGGCTACGACATTTCGGATTACCTGTCGATCGACCGGCTCTACGGCATCATGGAGGACCACGACGAGCTCATCTCGGCCCTCCACGCTCGCGGGATGAAGTACGTCATGGACCTGGTGGTGAACCACACCTCGTCGGAGCACGCCTGGTTCTTGGAGTCGCGCTCTTCCAAGACCTCGCCTAAACGGGACTGGTACTTTTGGAGGCCCGCGCGGTACTCGGAGGAGACGGGTGAACGCATGCCTCCCAACAACTGGGAGTCGGCCTTCTCCGGCAGCGCCTGGACGTGGGACGACGAGACGCAAGAGTACTATCTGCATCTCTTCGCCCCCGAGCAACCCGACCTGAACTGGGACAACCCGGAGGTCCGTGAAGCGGTCCACGACGTCGTCCGGTTCTGGCTCGACCGCGGGGTCGACGGGTTTCGCATGGACGTGATCAATTTCATCAGCAAGACCCCCGGGTTACCCGACGCGGACGTCATCAAACCTGGGTTTTTGCAACCGGGGACTCAACACTTCGCCTGTGGCCCTCATCTCCACGAGTACTTGCGGGGTTTGGGTACGATCCTACGACGGTACGACGCCTTCAGCGTGGGGGAGATGCCGGGAGTGTTCGACACGAAAGAGATCATCAAGGCCGTCGGTCAGGACCGGGGGGAATTGGCCATGGTCTTTCAGTTCGAGATTGTACAAATGGACGGGGCTCGGGACAAAGGGTCGAAATGGTACCACCGGGATTTCGAACCCAGCGAATTGAAGAGGGTCGTGGACAAGTGGAACAAGTTCATGATTGAGAATGCCGGTTGGAATGCCGTTTTCATGGAGAATCACGACCAAGGTAGGACCGTTTCGAGGTACGCCGACGAGAGTGACGAGTACAGAGGGAAAAGCGCCAAAATGTTGGCGGCTCACATGGCCCTTCAGAGTGGTACGGTTTTTGTCTACCAAGGTCAAGAATTGGGTCAAGTCAATCTCCCAAAAGACTGGGGGATGGAGGAGTACAAGGATATCGAGGTTCTGAATCATTGGAAGACGGTGTTGGAGGAGTACCCGGACGACCTCGAGATGCAGGAAATGTTCAAGAAGCAGTACCGATTGATCGGTCGAGATAACGCCAGGACCCCCATGCAGTGGGATGACAACGATGAGACGTACGGAGGGTTCTTGTCAGACACCAACAGACCAAGAAAGGGTGTCAAACCATGGATGAGGGTACATGATGATTTCAAAAATTGGAACGCAGCAAAACAGGTGGACGACCAAAACAGTCCTTATCATTATTGGAAAAGAGTCTTGGATTTGAGAAGACAGTACAAGAATTGTTTCGTCTATGGAGATTTTGAAATGTTGGACATGGACCATGATTGTGTCGTCGCGTACGTCAGGACCGACATGGCGATTGAGACGGGAACAACGTCAACGACAAAAACAAAATGTTTGGTCTTGACGAACTTTTCGGGGACAGAAACATGGTGGACCGTCCCATCTTCAGCCACCGAGATCATGATTGATGAACAGACAACAAAACTAAAGGCGAGTGCCGTGGTTGATGATTTACGGAATTACAACGACGCAAAAGACCAGACCAACAAGGTCAAAAAGGACGAAACGAGTGGACAGTGGAGTATACTCCTGAGGCCTTGGGAAGTTGTTGTCGCCATGATATAACATGGCACTCTACAAAGTACGCTGTAGTAGGGGGCGGGAGGGGGGGCTCACACAAAAGGTGCAGGCGACACACACAAAAGTATGTATAGTACCACCTAGTCTATGTATCATGCAATTATGATGCAAGCCACCTATCTAGATCTATATATGCTTTCTATCTTCCCGATCTATGGTCGTTTGAGCCTCCACGGTCTCATCTCTAATCTTGATCGACTCGCCGTCGCCACCACGGGCATCAGCATCCTCCACACAGACGGTGCCCAGAACGTCCTCTTGTCCAGCCTGACTGACCAAACTCCTCAACATGGCCTCTTCGGTCCTGAGGTAGGAGCGTCGACCCTGGACGAACCAAAACCCGAGTGCAATCACCAACATGACCCCAAAGACCGCAATGGCCCAGTTCATGTTGGCGGGTTTCGGGTTGGGGTCGCTCGGGAAAAAGAAAAACACCGTGGTGACGACACAATACACCAGACTGACAATGTTGGCGGCGAGTCCCCATCTACCCAGCCTGAACTCTCCCTGGACGGGTAATTTGTCTCTCCCTTGGATCAACAGTACCGCAATCGGTATGCCGTAAGAGATGGTCAGGGCGATGGTGCTGACGCTCAGGATCGCCTGCAAGACCGTGTTTGCAAACAAATACAAAACCCCGACGATGCCGATCAGGACTCCCTGAGCCCACAGCGCTCGAGTGGGGACCCGCCAGTAATCGCTCACGACGGCGAGTTGTTTGTGCCAGGGTAACCCGCCGTCCCGGGCGAAACCCCAGGTCAATCGGCTGGCCGTGGTCATGATGCTGACGTTTTGTCCGACGCCATTCACGATGAAAAACGCCAACAGGACGGCCGCGCCCGTGAGGCCGATGGTCGAGAGGCACAACTCGACGAACGGCAGGCTCGCACCGGTCAAGCCTTCGACACTCTGGACGCAAAACAGGCAGACCATCATGAACAAGAAACCCGAGACGGCACCGATCAGGACCGAGAGCCAGATGATCCGGGGACCGTTCCTGCCGGGTGCCGGAAGCTCCTCGACCATGTGTATACAGGCGTCAAAGGCCGTCAGGCCGTACGCGGACTGGATCAGGCCCGTGAACCATACCACCCCGCTCGGCCAGGACGTGTTGTTGATCCAGGTCCCAAACACAAACGAGCCGGACTGGTAGGCCATTCCGGCCTTGACGCCGACGGAAATGAGCAGGGCCAAGGCAAACGCCAGGAACAACGCGGTGAACTGGACGCCGACGACGTTGTTGATCCAGGGTAACACGCGGTCCCTACGGCAGGCGACGATGTTGACCACGGTCAACAGCGCCGTGAGGCCGATGTAGATGAGGAACGAGAGCCACGAGTGATGGGCGCCCGCCCAGTCGGGGCTGAACAGCAACTTCATGGCGAGGATAAAGTTGGTCATGAAGGCCGTCTGGGAGGCGGTCAAAGTCCACCACCCGAAGGTATTGATCCAGGCACACATGTAAGAGATGAACCGGCCCGTCGGGGTAGGGAGGATGCGGAAGATCCAGTACGCCTGTCCCAAAGCCGTGGGCATGGCACTGGTCAATTCGCCCAACGAGACAGCCACGCAGAGGTTGCACGCCGTCACCAGAACCAGACCCCAGAGGATGCTGACGGGCCCGCCTGCGGTCAGGCCTGAGGCGAGGTTCTGCGCCAGGGTCGACCAGGTCCCCAGGACCGTGAAGGCGAGCGCCAACATGCTCCATAGGTTGAACTGGCGCGGGAGTTCCTGGGTGTGTCCGAGCGTGGCGAGGACGTCGGCATCTTGAGAGACTTGGGCATCGCGGCGTGATGACGGTTCACCCGACAGTGAAGACCTTCTTCGGTTGTTGTGGCCGTTGACTATTGTCATATCTTTTGTTGTCTGTAGCTGTAGTTGTGGAGGACGGAGGTTTGTAGTCTCATTTGCCAGGAAGTCGAGAATGCAGTGTTTGAGATGTTTGCTCGGAAAGGAGGGTTTGATATTTTTCTTCAGTATTCCTGCCTGTCCTTGGTAGTTGAAAAGGACAGGGTCGTCGACGGTATTTGAATAGTTTTGTGTGCTGCTGCAAGGTGCCTAAGGTCCGGCAACGCAAGGCCGCTCTCTCACTGCGCCTACTTACCCCGGACCTCTCTTCTTTTCTCCGCCCCTCCAAATTCAAATTCCGAACACACGCACGCCTTTGTGCACACTCCCTTTTGACAAGCTTTCGTGTATCCAGTGGGCTCCCGATGGATTGGGTATGTATATTGGAAGCTTGTATCAGAGGGGCGATAATAGGGTGTGATGCAAATTTCGTCCAGGGCCCAGGGCGTATCCGTGGGTAGACTCGGACCATCGTAAAGTGATGTGTTTGGTCAGAGTTCAATGACCGGGCGGAGCAACGCATCAACTTTCCTTTCTCAGCTGCACGGACTCTCCATACGCCTCCATACGTCAGTCAGTTGTTCTCTTTGAATCCAGCCCCCGACACATATCGTTTACCAAATGTCCGAACGTACTCGTATACTTGTTGTCTTTGAGTCAAGCTTTTTGGATTTTCCCAGCTCCTTTGTTATCCGTAATCGCCTTGACATACCTGTCTCGGCTAATGAAAGGATATGGCCGCCGATATTCGGTGGCCATAATGGTCGACGCCTTCGTCGGGGATTTCCTCAATCAACAAACAGGACGTGTAGTATGTTGCTAATCTGATAGAATTGCATAACAGTACCGGAAATCGATCAGTCAAAGATTACGAGGCAGGTCGAAACTGTGATTGCGATTCCGACCGGTGTGGAGTGTTCCAGAACGCTTCCAAAGGACATTGGTGTTGTTGATGCTGGCCTTGCAGAGATAGTCGTAGTAGTTGTAACAGACTTTCACGATATCAATATGCCTAGATCTCAATTATCAGTTGCAAGGTCTTTGAGATGTCTACTGTAATCTTCGTTCATCTTCTCAAGGTGCCGATATTGCAGTTGCGTTTGATCCGACATTTCGAGTCGTCCTTCCTCACCAGTGGCCAACTCGAAACACAATATGTGGATTTGATTCATAATAACAAACTCCCCAGAACCATTCGGATGCATCGATAAGCACTGGTACGTCAAGCAAGATGGAGTTGTCCTTCTCCAGATCAGGAGCAGAACGAGGGAGAAGGCAATACGGCGAATCAGGAGCCTTTCCGATCGACGCTAATCCTTAAACAGCAAGTACAAGCGCTGTGTCCTCGAGCCATACAATCTTCACCTTTTGTCGTCCTCCTCTGTCCGTACTAGATATAAAGCACAGTCAGGGCCACAGGGACACCTTGAACTCCCGACAAATCTCCCTCCTATCTACCTGACCTCCCAGTGAATATCTGTACACCACCACATATACAATCACCATGTCTTTAGATACATTGTCGATACCGGGGTACACGATTCATCGTGATGAGCCCAATGCTTTCAGTGCCCCCGTCGACTATTCACGGTATACTCCGCATCCTCTGGGTAAGTCACATCGATGATCTTTTCCAAGCTCCAAGGTATCAATTATCAACTGACACATCCCATAGACCAACTCTCAGTCCAAGAAATCCCATTTGTGGCCAGACTGATACGGGAATTCGCTGCTCCCAAGCAACTCAAGTTCAACTGCATCACGCTCCGAGAACCACTCAAGAACGAATATGCCGCCTTCAAATCAAAACGAGGACCGCGACCGGCGCGCCGAGCCTTCGCCATCGTTATTGAGCAAGGCGACTCCTGCAATGTCGCCGAGGTCGTCGTGAATCTCACCACCTCCAGAGTCGAGGACTGGAAACCGGTCAGCGAGGTGATGCCAACGCTCACCCTCGAGGACCTGGACGTCATGGAGCGAATCGCCCGCAAGGACTCCCGTGTCATCGAAGCCTGCCGTGGTCTAGGCATCACCGACATGTCCAAAGTCTTCCTCGACGCGTGGGCCATAGGTGTCGATGAGCGCTATGGCTTCGAACGCCGTCTCCAGCAGGGTCTGGCGTACTACCGCAACTCCAAATTCGACAACCAATACGCCCACCCGCTGGACTTCTCGGTCATCGCAGACACGGAGCGAGAAGAAGTGCTCAACGTGGACATCAGACTGGTCAACGGCGAGAGAACCGCCGTCCCTCTCGAAGAGCACAACTACCTCCCCGAGTTCATCCAGAAGGGGTACCGTCCTGACGTCCTCAAGCCCATCAACATCACCCAACCCCAGGGCGTCTCTTTCCACATGAGAGGTAACGAGCTTCACTGGGCCGGATACAAAATGCACATCGGCTTCAACTACCGCGAAGGCATCGTCATCTCGGACGTCAGCATGTTCGATCACCATGAACAACGCGACCGCACGCTCTTCAACCGAATCAGCGTCGTCGAAATGGTCGTCCCGTACGGTTCGCCCGAGAAACCGCACCACAAGAAACACGCCTTTGACGTGGGCGAATACGGCACCGGTCTGATGTCGAACTCCCTCAAACTTGGATGCGACTGTAAGGGAGCGATCCACTACCTCGACGGTGTTGTCAACACGGGCAAGGGTGAGGCCGCCGTGATCAAGAACGCAATCTGCATCCACGAAGAGGACAACGGACTGTTGTACAAGCACACCGATTTCCGCGACGGAACCGTCGTGTCCGCACGGGACCGCAAACTCATCGTGTCCCAGATCATCACTGCCGCGAATTACGAGTACGGCTTCTACCACACCTTCACACTCGACGGAACGTACAAGCTCGAGGTCAAGCTGACCGGCATGTTGAACACGTACTGTATGCACCCCACCGAGCAAGCGGCGCCATGGGGCACCCAGATCGCGCCCAAGCTCAACGCCCAGAACCACCAGCACATCTTCTCGTTGCGTGTCGACCCCGAAGTCGACGGTCCCAACAACTCGGTCGTGCAGAGCGACGCCGTCCCTTCGGACGAGCCCGTCGGGTCCGAGGCCAACTTTTATGGCAACGGCTTCTATTGCAAGAAGACGCCGTTGCGGACCTCCCTCGAGGGCGCAGCAGATTACTGCCACGAGACGAGTCGGGCGTGGGACATCGTCAACCCATCGAGCATCAACCCGGCATGTGGGAAGCCTGTCAGCTACAAGATCATCAACAGCTCGTGTCCCAGGTTGCTGGCGAAGCCGGGTAGCGTGGTATACAATCGTGCGGCCTTCACCAGGAAAACTCTCTGGGTCGTCCCGTACAAGGACTACGAGCTCTTCCCTGCCGGTGATTACGTGTGCCAGTCCACCGGCCAGGAGAATCACCCGTTCAACTCGACCGTCGCAGATTGGGCCGCCAGGAATGAGTCCATCGAGAACACGGACATCGTGTGCTACGTTCAGTTCGGTCTGACGCACTTCCCGAGGACCGAGGATTTCCCCGTCATGCCAGCCGAGCCCGTCAGTGTCATGTTGCGCGCGAGTAATTTCTTCAAGAAGAATCCCGGGCTTTGGGTGGCGCCGTCGGCATTGTGTGTCGACACAGCGTCCAGAGATGCTTTTGATCAGTCATGTTGTGCCGTGAAACAGCTCAAGCTGTGACCTTTGATCTATCTCCCGAGACGAAACGGTAAAGGGGCTGGAAACTGGCGTTTGAGCGTACATATTGTTAAAAACATATCGAGCCCGTAACTATCATGATAACTTGTCACGTCAATGAAGAATGAAAATCTGACCGAAAGTGCCTTTGATCCGAACAAAGGTCTCGCCCGTTCATGGTCAATCATATGCCTTAAAGCCACCGTTGGCTGATATTGCACCGGTCTGACCAAAAGGCTTGGAGATCATCTGCAGAAGCTGCGATGAATGAAGGCATCATAGAGAGAGACAAGCGCCATACGTGACGAGAAGTGTTTCATTTGCACGAATCCTGTATCATTGGATTAGCGCGTTGGTGATCATCTCTTCTCTTCTCGTCTCTTCTCAGTGTCGAGTCTTTTTCCTTCCAACTGTCGAATTTAGAACTTCTGAAACATACCTAGGTAGGTATGTTGGCTTGTCCGGCTCAACTATACAGAGTCGATGTGATGCATGGCAAGCTTGATGTCACTTTTGAACAGCCTATCAACGCCGACTATCGAATAGAATAAAGAAGAGTAAATTTACCTACATACCTAGGACATCAGAAGTCATTCAATGCTATTTTCCGACGTTCATTAGAGAGTCTGTTCTGGCAATGGGTCAGATTCTTATAAGCAAACTGCAAAGACAAGCCAATCGTGCAATTCACACATGATTCCAGATGAATACTCCTCTGACATCCGGGGGGATCTATTCAACACAATCAAAAGCAATCATATCAACCTACCCAAAGTTTTCAAGTCCAACACCCGCCTCGTTGATTACAGGTATTTACCGAGCACACCGCCCCCTCCTAAGCATACTCTTTCGTGACGCGATCGCACCATTCGAACAATTTCGCCGCCTGCCCATCCTCCTTGACCACCTCATCCTCCAAGTCCTTCCTCACCGAAGCACGACGACCCCACGGTGCAATGAAGAGACCTTGATCACCCTTCATGGTCAATTCCTGCGACAAGCCCGCGTACAATTCGGTATAAGCACCAAACACGGCCGGGTACAGTATCAGGTCTATGAGGCGTCGCACGAGCCCGCTGGTATGGCGCTGGAGATCCGACTTGAGGTTTCCGGGATTGTACGACTGTTTGTTCATCAAAGTCATTAATCGGTTTTTCTAGTGTCTTGAAACAAAGTACTCACATTATGCATCACTCCGTCCCTCTCACCGAACCTCTTGGCGAACTCATTCCCCAGGAAATAATTCGCGGCTTTACTGATTCCATAATTGGTCCGGATACCATGTGAGTCGTCCAGTGTCGAGACGCCGTCGGACGCACTCTTCCACGCCATGCCACCCTTGGGGCTGCCCAGGTCCACGGCGAGACTACCAGCCCAACTCACCCGGACTGTTCCCGTTGGCTCGGACTCGGCCGTGCGCTTGAGCACCGGAAGGAGCAACTTGGTCAACAGGAACGGACCCAGGATGTTGGTCTGGAACTGGAGATCCATGCCCTGAGCCCCCTTGGACCCCGCGGGTGGAATCATGACGCCGGCATTGTTGTCCAACCAGTGCAGTTTCGACTCGCGGCGCATGAACTCTTCGGCCGTGCCTTTGATGGTGGTGAGGTCAGAGAGGTTGAGGTGCAGATACTCCAAAGCGCCCTTGGATGAAGGGTGGAGTTTCTTGATCGACGAGATGGCCTCGGTGGCTTTGGACTCCGAGCGCGCCCCGACGTAGACTTTGGCGTTGAGCGAGTACAGGATCGCCGCGACGTGGTAGCCGATGCCCGTGTTGGCGCCGGTAATGATAAAGACTTTGCCGGTCTGGTCCGGGAGGTTCTTCTCCGTCAGCGTCGGTTGAGGGAGGAAGAAGGATTGATTCCAAAAGGCACCGAGGGTATGAAACATTTTGTTTGTCCTTTTGACAGGGATGTGCTTGTCAAGACCTTTTTTATGATGACTTTGTGGTGCGACGTCGGGCGGTAAATGACAATGATATTGCTGGACGGGCGAATGGAAAAAGGTCGAGAGATGATGTTGAGGTCAAAGTAAACAAGGAGTCGTAGTGGTATGAGAAAGCCACGGAAAACGGATCCGGAGTAACGCTTTTGCCGAACCTCGTTTTTACCAGGTTCAGTACAGTAGAATCATGCCTACGTGTATTTATACAAAGTAGTTGCACTCTCCTTCTCCCCCTGATCCGTGCGCAACGACAGGCAGCAGTGTTTTTGGTGATTGCTACGACAAACGGAATATGGCCACGCTGAATGGTTTGATTGTTTTTTTTCTGTGGTAACCAGTTCGATCCCAAAGTCTTTTAGGCTATCATTGTACGGAGTACCTCCGTCAAAAACAACTCCGCAAGTCAGCGACCTGCATTAGCGGTGGCGCCACGCCAGGGCCAACTACCAATTAACATTGTACGGACCACCTCCATCATCTACCTAGGCTGCTTCCGCCAGAGGATGAGATGTTTCTTGCAGCTGTGGCTGACTCAATCCGTGGGCAATAGCTGGATTGATGGCAGCAAAAGTCGGTTCCACCATCATGCATGTCCCCGGGGTTTAGGGACTTGATCTGCCTATCCTCCACTACACTGGTACAAGTAGTCAGCTACGATCACATATTGTATCATCTCGCATCGCGTCGAGGGAGATACGAAACCGATACGAGGGCTCCATACATACTCGGTACCCAGAAAAACAAAAACCTTAGACACCTGTCGCGTCAAGGGAGGAAAGAAACAAAAAAAAACCAAACTTATCAAGAGGAGGTGGTCTTCGCACGGATTTCTAGTCTTGTGAATGTTTCATAGGTCGTCATCAGCACAAATCTAATCATGGCACAAACTACACCATTACCGAGTACTCCGTATATGTACAGTACCTCAACAATCAAACCTCAATCTAATACCAAAGTCTCTCCAATATCCATCAATCCGATCTCTTTACCCCATTTCAGCCCTGCTTCTTCTGCCGCAATCTTCCAATTCCTGGGTGGTGTTCTCACGTCTTCATAGTGCATGGACAACCCACCGCGCACAGTTCCCCAGTGCATTCCTATCGACCTCTTACTTTGTACATCCTGATGGATCCGTATCGAATCCCAAGAATTCGCATGAACACCAGACATGAAATCCCGGGGTTCGCACAGTCCGATGGGCAGTAGAGCCAAATCAAAGGGTCCCAACAACTCCCCGACTTTCTTGAAGGTAGGACACACCGGTTGCGCATCCTCTTCTTCTCTGGTCATGTGTCGGTTGGGAATACTTCGATAAGCCGTGTCTCCCGCAAAGTATACGTTCTTGTTGTCATTGAGATCTTGAATGGCGTACGAACACCACAAGTCGTGGTTCCTATCATTGATCCATCTCGATGAAAAGTGTTGAGTGGGCGTACAAGTGATTCGTACCGTTCCAACATTTTCTTCAGCACCGATCTCGACACCGTCCCACCAATCCAGCTCGATGATGTGGGATGGATCGATACCGAACGAAGTCAGCCATCGAGCGTTGTGCAGACCGACGACAAAACGAACGTCGGAGGATCTCTTCGCGTAGACGGCTTTCAGGGTCGCTTCGTCGGCGTGGTCGTAGTGGTTGTGACTGATCATGACCACGTCGATGGGGACCGATTCCAGGAGCTCCGTCAAAGTGCACGGCGTGGGAGTGTATCTCTTCGGGCCCAACCACGTGAACGGAGACGTCCTCTCCGAAAAGACCGGATCGCACAGGATGTTGATCCCGCGGCTTGTGGCACCACCACCGTCCGGTGGTCGAGACGTCTGTAACAAGAAACTCGCATGACCGATCCACGTCACTTTGAAGGCCGGGTTGGGATTCGTCAAGTCGACTTTCCGGACAGGGACCAGACCCTCTCGATCGTCAGGGACGGGGACGAATTCAGGTCTGTCCCGGCCAAACCGTAGTTTGAAACCACCCATCAAACCGCCGTGGTGAGGGTTGAACGAAGGCCATGGGTTGTGGAATCCCTTTGGGGGGTTTCCTACATGATGGGATTTTGGTTCTTCGGGCGACAGTGACGGCAGTCTCTTCACATTGACCATCCTTCAGAGTATTCTAACAAGTCAAAAACGTCGGACCACGAAATGACTGTTACGACGATAAAAGACTGTGTTGTTGGACAATATAGAAGAAAGAAACTGGTACTCACTACCTACTCAGGTACTTTGATAACATTCTTGACATTAGGCATTAATCAGTCTCATGTACGTACGAAAACTCGGAGTCACATTCGGCCGATGTTTTTTTGTTTTGAATCTGGGACATCCGAGTATCTCCGGACAAGGTAATGAAGTACTTCATGACCTCATGACATGGACCTACGTACGAGTACTCGTATGGTCAAACACGTTGTTACAAAAGAATTCATTAGGATGCGTTTTCTGTCTTGTATCTTCCCCTTTATCATTCTATTCGACATCAAAGTTGGAGGAGGATGTACTCGTAAACCCGCCAACTACCATTCCTGGTATATGTGTCGATTTGTTTACCCCGCGCCCGCGGTCCATCGGCCTCAAAAATGTCCGGGGTATCAACCACTCTACTCCGTTTATACGGATATCTTTGTAGATATAAGAGGTAGGTAGGTTGACTGACGACGACATTCATCTACTCTCATTCAGACTCGTTTGATCTATCCCATCTCTTGTACTAGATTTGAATAGTTGATCAGTGATATTTGTTACACATCAGGCGACCATCTCATAAATCCATGTCCCCTACTCCGTACGTACCTCAGCATCTCGGATACTTCTGTTACACTGCTCAGCGGTATCGCTGGACTCACCACCCCCTCTGCTACTATTAGGGGGCTCTACGTGATATATTTCATCTCCATCTCCAGCCTACCTCACCTCAACCCTAGTATCTTTCCACACAGCCAGAGATAAACAATTGTTTCAACCATGATTCCCCCTCTGATAACCCTAGAAGAACACTTCTTCTCCCGCGCGGCGTCAGCCTCGCCTACCATCTCTTCACAATACTCTGAACAATTCATACACATCCCCAGCTTGTCCGACAAACTGACCGACCTCTCCACCCTTCGTTTGTCTCAGATGGACGCCGGTCGAGTGTCTTTCCAAATCATCTCACACGCTCCGGGCAGCCTTACCCAGTCTGAATGTCGATCCGCCAATGACCAATTGTCCTCCGCGATCAAGGACCACCCTGATCGATTCGCAGGGTTCGCCGTCCTTCCAGTCTCGGACCCTGACCCTGGCGCCTCTTCGGCTGCCGAGCTGGTTCGGTGCGTGACCCAACTTGGTTTCGTAGGTGCCCTCATCGACAACCACACTTCGACGGGGGGTTACTACGACGGCGAGTCCTTTTTTGACCTGTGGAAGGCCGCGTCCGACCTGGACGTTCCGGTCTATCTGCACCCCACCTGGCCGACGCAGACCCATCTCTCGACGTTGTACACCGGCAACTACCCTTCCTCGGCGACGAAATCCATCTCGGCCAGCGCCTTCGGTTGGCATTCCGACGTGGCGACTCACGTCCTCCGACTCGTCGCCAGTGGCCTGTTCGACCGTCTGCCCAACTTGAAAATCGTCATAGGGCACATGGGGGAAATGATCCCGTTCATGTTGAGTCGAATCCAACAGTTGAGCGTCCGGTGGGGGAAACACGCCCGCCCCTTCAGGCAAGTCTGGGATCGTAACATCTGGATCACCACGAGCGGAAATTGGAGTGTGGATCCCATGGCCACGATCCTGAGAAATACAGACCCCAAACACATCTTGTACAGTGTCGACTACCCCTTTGCGAAAAACGAAGACGGTCTCGAGTTCATGAGGGAATTGCAAAAGAGTGGTCTGGTCACCCAAGAACAACTCGAACTGATCGCCTATCGAAACGCAGAGAGCTTGTTTGGCGTCAAGGCCGTCAAGAGGTATGAGTAGTCAAAAAAGAAAACCAATACAATACTCCTGTACAGGGGTTTAAAAAAAAACTCAACCCCAAAGGATCAAGGGGATGATTTACGAAGTACGGTTTCATGATACCGAGGACAGAGTACTGTACGTCGTATGTTGGAATAGTAGTACATCCCTGTGGTAAGTCGAGAGCGCGATGTGCCAGGAAAACGAAAGACAAGATTCGGAGTCTGTATACTTTGTAGAATAACCAGAAATATTCCGTATTCAGGGATCTCCTCCGTACTTGCACACATGATGTAGTGTCATCTGATAGATCAATTTGTTCAACACATCACAACTCAAAAAGGTGTCACCTATGGAGTACCTCGTAAACCAGACCCAACTCCATCGCTCAAAAAAACCCATGCACCAGTGACAACCACATGCATACGGACTAGACATCTTGTACATATACACACAAACACAGACCTCAGTATCAATTTCTCTTGACTACTCATAATACCTCCGTAGCAGACATGACTCATCACCGCCTACTGATCTTCCTTATGGGTCTGCTCCCACCACCAAACTCGGCGGGATCGACCGTCCTGTACCCACTCCTCCCGCTGGGTCCACGTTTCGGCGGTCGTTCAGGACTGTGCTCCTCGATGACTTCGACAATGTCATCATCGGCACTGACACTCGGCTCGACATGTTCCTCGACCACGACGGTCTCTTCGCGCTCCCTGACCACCCTCTCCCGCCTCGGCGAATGATGGTGATGGCTGACTTCGGTCATCGCCCGCGACCGGCTCCGGCTCCGTCGACTCTGGTGATGGTGACGGACGATTTCTTCTTCGACCACCGTCTGCCGGTTGCCGAAGATGCCGAAACGGAACGCGCTCAGCAGGACGTACAGGACGAGTATGAAGCCCGCGATGCTGCCGAGGACGATGCCGGCCAAGGCACCAGGAGCGGGACCCGAGTTCAACCCGGCGTACGTGGTGGGGATGGCGAGGATGACATTTTGTTGTCGTCTGGCGAGACCTTGGTGGTCGCCGCGGGGTCGCAAGAACACGGGCTCCTCGACCAGTTGCGATCGGGGTGTGATGGCGGGAGGGGAGTCGGCGGCGAGGGCACGACTGGACAGCCGTATCGTGCCTCGGATGATGAGGGCGAATACAGACGCCAAGGGGGTGGTGGACTGGGAAGAGGAAGAGGAGCCTCGTGCGGATAAAAAGTTCAAGGTGGACGATGCCGTTCGAGAGACGACGGTCTTGATGTGGTCGCTGGACACTATTCGGCTTGCGACGGTCGGAGGCATTGTGCTCACCGGTGCGCGCCGTGCGTGTAGCAGAGAGTCTGTACTGCGGTCTTGTTTTTTGCTTTTTGTCTAGTTTCAAGATGTACAGTAGAAATGATGTGTCTGTCCTGTCTCCCTTCTCTTTTTTCTTTCTGTGTCTGTGCTTTTTCGGTACTTTTGAGTGGTAGGTGCGTTGGATGGTGGTGGATGTATTGCGGGGGACGGTGACCACTGGGATGTCGGGAGAACGGTGTAGACGAAGAACAAAGTAAGTTTTTGGGGGGTAAACGAATGACTCGAAAGAATTCAAAAAAAGACACAAAACATCGATTTTGTCAAGGACTCTGTTGATGCTCGTAGAGACACACACACACGAAGGGAGAGGGAGAGAACGAGTGAGAGGAATTGAGGTGTGTGTGGTGGTGATGGTGATGCTGCGTCAGTCCCCAAGATCCCCAGCCACGTCGATCGCCCTGTAAGAAAAAAGCTCCCCGCCACCACTATTATTTTATCACTCTCCTCAAAATGCTGGTGGTTGGATTTCACAACAAGGATGTACTCCGTATTCACCTCGTACAACATAATCTCATGATCCTTGATATACGGAGTATGGATATGATTGATCTCACCTTGCTCTGCTCCGTACTGCGTATCCTCTCCAAAAACTCTACCAAATCCTAATTTCCTAGTCACAATGGAGCAATGGTTTTCCAACTATTGTAGCACCTCAAGCGCATTTCGGGCAGTACATACTCCGTACCCCTAGCCCTAGCTACAGAACACTGTCGTCTAGGCGAAATCACCCATATAATTGGGATTGCGAACCTGAAATCACTTGCCTACACGTCGCCTGTATCACTTTCAACGATAATTCAATCACCAAGTCTTTGGTCATTTGCTCGAATTGGCTATCAAACACCTTGCTATTATCTGAATCGCTTGCTCAATCAAGAAAAGAAGCCCTGCTGCGCATCGCTATGCATAGTCAATACAACATAAAAGGTAAGTCGTCCTATAATTCAAAACCCATTGGGGTCTCCCAAATCCCACTTTCTCGTCGTCAATTTGCGTTGCTTCTTGACCGTGGTAGGTGGCTGTTCCTCAACTGTTGCATGAGACACATTGGAACTCCTCAGTGATTGTTTTCTTGGAGAAATCTCAGATGTTCCGTGCATATCACCCTCACTGGATTTCGCCCTGATGGTCAAATCACTATCCCTTGCCTTTAATGAGGCTAAAAAAGGGTTTGTTGCAATGTTGATGTTGGCCGTCTCCTGCAGGATGATACCCTTGACTGGAGATTTGGAACCCCCGCGCGACCTTTTTGTCGGACTTCTTGTCTGTAATTCCTGCTCTAGGGCCCGCAGTTTCGCTCTGAGCGATTCGTTCTCTCGTTCAAGTTCTTCGACCCTGGCCTCAGCCGCGTCTTCATGGATATGGAATTGCGTGGTCTTCTCCAGGATTCCCAGCTTGCCATCCATGAACGCCTCGTTTTGTGTCTTCTCCTGTTCCCAGGCGTCTCTCCATCTTTCCTTTTCCTCTTCAAGATGCTGCTCCATTTCTATCCAGCATTCTTCTCGCACCTGTTGCTCCATATCCATAAGCTGTTCTTCTGCTGCCTCGGCAGCTGCTTCGGCTTCGACTCTCTTCATTTCTTCTTCGGCAAGTCGGACCTCCAAGGCGACGCACTTTTCAGCAAATCGAGTAGCTTCATTTGTTGCTTGTTCTAGCTCTTGAGCAGTCAAATAACTATTGATCATGTCTTGAGGGCTTGTGCGACCCCCATTGGCTCCTTTGCATACGCTGGTGGTGCGAAGGATTGTGCTTGTGGTGCTAGCTATTCTCGAGACCTTGAAATCTCGAGCCAGGGCCGAACATTTCAATATGTGCCTGGTTGCATTGAAGTCTCCAGAAGGATCGGCTGTTACGATCATGACAGCTTTCTGCGGTCGGTAGGTAGCTGCATGGCTTGAGGAGGAAGGGAACGAGTTGGAGAACAAGAGCTCGGTAAGTTTGCACCGTCTGAACGGAATAACCGCCTTGCTGCCTTCACTCTGCATCTCGAGGCACCGCCCTAGGTGCATCAGGCTCACGTTGATCTTCCCGGCTTCGGCCAGGGTGAGCCCTGTGGTTTTCGCATTGTCCATTCGCTCTGTTCCTGCAAGGTCAATGATTGATAGTGTACCACCAGTCCAGGCCGGCGTCACGGAATCAGCGTGCCCCCTCATTGCAATTTTCTTCTTAACTTCAATGCAAAAAAATGCGTGGCTTCTTGAGCTGACATTGTTGCTGCCTGTGGATGCGGTGTTTCTTTCCTTCAGACCCCTCCGAAGCACTCGCATGGCTTCGTCATAGCTTCCACAAACAATCTTTTGAAGTCCCGCCACTACTTTGCGATCTGGCGACATCTTTGTGTTTTTGAACGGCAGACCCTTTTTCTGTTGTTGCGCCGCTCTGGGTCGGGTCGACATAGTAGGTGCGTTTGAAGAGGCTGAGGAGGAAAGGAGGTCTTTGATGTCATTCATATACACCTGGTACATTGACACAAGAACCACGTATTCGTTGGTTGGGTCAACCTCGATCGAGTATGACGAAACGTCTGGCTGCCGTGGGAAAGTGCTCTGGCGTGAGGCCGGGTGGTCTGGAGCAGCATAAGAGTCCTTCACAGTATGTATATTAGCATATGAGTTTTTTGAGCCTTTTAAACGGGTCATGGAGGGAGGGGAGGGCACCGCGATCCCTGTTGGGTGAGGAGGGAAGATCTAGGCATATATCCCAACCTTGGTCTTTGGTCCATCCAGGTATCTGTGCTATAGTTGGGAAAGAATCAATTGCAGACAAGCATGCCGATGTGCTTGTGCCATGATGAGAAGAATAGAAACAAGCCAGGATGATCAAATGTGCGGGGATTTACCATCATGGGTGTTTGTGCTCTCGAAAAAGGCAGCCTCGCATTTGATATCTCTGCCCAATCGCCATCACTATTCGATGTATCGAGAAATGTGGCTGCTGAGAGGATTTTGGCTTCTGAAACATCCGATGCCTTCAAAGCTGATAGAAGAGTTGAGTCCGCTCGCCTGATGTTGTCACCGATTGATGTGAACAACAGATCAAGAGTCATCTGAGTTAAACCTCGTTGTGATTCCGACCCGAGAATGGTATGGCTCTTTCATTCGGTTAGCTTAGAACCTGTCATCTCTCAGACAGATACACACCTTTCCACTCCCTGTGACTCCCAGCGTCGCAATAAGACCATCTTTACCTGTCTGCAAAACGCTTTTGAGTATGTCTATACTTCCTGTCTCTTCGAACACATCTAGCTGCGATGCCACTTCTTCGAAAACTTTGGTGAAACTGAACTGCTCTATCCAGCGTCTGTTGGAATCTCTCGGAGTCTGAAGAGTTACATGCGAAGGAAACGATTTGGTGTTCTCTTCAACAGGAGTGGTGGTAGGTTCAACAATGAGCCACGGGTCGGATTTCTGCTTCGCCAATTGGGGTTGTATGGGTGGCCGCAGGCGCAGGTACACCTGGAAAAGAGGATCTTTTGACGGCGTCTTGGTAGACTTGTCCATATCGGAGAGTCTGATTTTGATAAAGCTGGTACAACGTTGAGGACAGTACTGCAGGTATGTATAAGTTTGAAGCAACGGGCAGCAGTTGCAGATGGCCCGGATCATGCACTGATCATCAAGAGTACATCCTGACTTGTACACAGTTTTTCGAGACCAGGCGTCAATAGTTGGTCGTTGCCAGAGCAACCACCACAAAAGCTCTTACATCACGTGCCTTCAAAATGACTTCTCTTCCTCCCGATATCAAAATCATCCATCAACTTGCTAACAAACAACCTTGCGGTAACTTCCCGTCCCCATGCCCAACTCAACTGACTCCTCTCTGAGGGAAAAACGGATAGATGGTTTCATATTGAATGCCTGCTGATGCAATGAACCGCGACTCCAGCGTGTTTGGCCTATGGAAAGTGCTCTTTGGCGCTGAGGTTTGAAGCCGACGGGTGCTATTTGGTTACTTGTCCTCTCTTGTGCGCTTTTTACCTGAAATTGTAGGTGCGTCTTGACCAAACCAAAGCAAGTAAGTCCTTTCACGAACAAAGACGAACAAAGACCTACAGCATGTCGCCGGACCTGCATCCCCATGGATGTATCTGTCTCTTTCTTCCCAAATCCGATAAATATCGCTTAAAATATCGCCTCCCTATCTTTCTCAACCCCCTAAGCACTCCTCTCCTGAAATCCCACTTGCCTGGTGCTCTGAAACTTTGATCTGAATTTGCTTGACCCTGCTTCCACTTGATCCCAAGACTTTGACATGACCTCCAGCCTTACGGTGTCCGATTACCAAGTTGGATGGATATGCGCTCTTCCCCACGAAATGGCGGCTGCCATGGCTATGCTAGATGAAGAACATGGAGCGCTCGCAGAACAACCCCTGGGAGACCACAATAAGTACGTGTTGGGCCGCATTCATGCGCACAATGTAGTGCTTGCCCAGTCCACGGCTGGCTTGGCTCCCGCGGCCACTGTCGGCAAGGACATGGCGAGGACGTTCCCGGCCCTTCGAGTGGGATTGATGGTTGGCATTGGTGGCGGTATTCCCAACAAGGACAAAGGCATAGACATTCGCCTGGGAGATGTTGTCGTCAGCCACCCACAGTATCCATGGGAAGGAGTAATCCAGCATGATGGAAAATAGATGCTGAACAAGCCACCTGATCTACTACCGCGTACTTTGCGCGCCCTCCATACAAGACACCAGATACGCGACAGTAAGATGCCAGATTACATTGCACATGCGATCAAACGGAATCCTAAGGCAAAAAAGCGCTTCGGTTTACCCCAGGATCCTGATCTCTTTCATTGCAAACCTGCGACAATGATATCGAGAGTGATATAGCTAGCTGTAAAGGACTTCATCACAAACGAGGCCAACGCGAGAATACACATCCAGAGGTTCATTACGGAGTCATTGCGTCAGGAAACCAGGTTGTGGAGGACGCAACATTGCGAGATCGACTGCGAGAAGACGATGGTGCGCTTTGCGTGGAGATGGAAGCAGCAGGGCTGATGAACGACTTCCCATGCGCTGTTATCCGTGGTATATGCGATTACGCCGATTCACACAAGAATGATACATGGCAATCGTATGCAGCTATGACAGCGGCAGCTTATGCGAAAGAGTTGCTGGCAGAAATTTCTCCTGTCGAAGTTGGCAGAGAGAAGGCACTGAAAGATGTAGTAGGTAAGTACCAGATTAAACGCATCCAACAAAGGTCAAGAGATCACGAAACCTATCGTAGAATGATGCTTTCTTCAAAATCCTCTCCAGACCATGAAGAGTTGTTACGATCGGTCTTGGATGCAACCAATTGTCGCAGCATCAATACGGTCTCAGACAGGATAATACCAGGGAGGCAGATCGGGACTCCCCTATGCATTGCGTCAGAACATGGCTATGTGAAGACAGTACAACTACTTCTTGATAAGGGGGCAGATATCAATGCAGCTGGAACGTGGGGATCTGCGCTGCAATCTGCGGCGTTGAACGGTCACGAGACAATAGTACGACTCCTTCTGAGGTACGGAGCAGATGTCAATCTCAAAAGATGGCACAGCAGCGACGACGCCTTTATCGTAGGAATCAACCCGCTGAAAACTGCAGCACTAAATGGGCATGAGGGGGTTGTGCAACTGCTCCTCAACTGCGGCGCAGATGTTGATTATGCAGAAGAAATTAGGGATGATCCAGATGATTCACCAGAGATGTTCGCATCATTCTCTTTGGGAGGACCTGCACTGTACGCTGCAGCAGCCACGAGCAACAGGAAGATTGTCGAGATCCTCCTCAAGCACGGAGCAGATGCCAACGTCGAAGGAGAGGAGCGTGAAGTGGCACTACACGCTGCAGCGTGTGGAGGTTATGACGATATTGTCAAAATCCTCCTCAAGTACGGAGCAGATATCAATGCTGAAGATGGACGATTTGGAACGGCACTACAGAGAGCAGTGTACGAGGGTCACGAGAAGATTGTCGAGATGCTCCTCAAGTACGGAGTAGACGTCAACGCCAAAGAAGGATATTATGGAACCGCACTTCAGTATGCATCGCGCCATGGTTGTGAGAAGATTGTCAAAATCCTTCTCGAGCACGGAGCAGATGTCAACATGAGCGGCGAACGCTTTGGAAGTGCGTTACAGGCTGCAGCATGCAAGGGTCATGAGGAGATTATTGAGATTTTAATTCAGCACGGAGCAGACATCAACGCCGAAGGAGGAGAAGAATATGGAAGTGCACTACATGGTGCAGCATACGGTGGTTATGAGGAGATTGTCCGGAGCCTCCTCGAGCACGGAGCAGATGTCAACGCCAAGGTCAAGGGCAAAACTGCACTCGTGGTGGCACGAGCCCATCGTCGCCAGAAGACTATACAGATACTTCTAGACCATGGAGCAGTCGAGAGCCCCGAAGATCCAAAAGCGATCGAAGAACTCATACAACTAGAACGAGCCAAGACACCGTATATTTTTTTAGACAGCAAAACAGATGGAACGGATAACTCGGCAGGCTCAGCGACAACTCATGAAGCTGGGAAAAAGTAAATGTGCAAGAGATGGTCAAGACTCGGTCTTTGATGGAACAGTTTCAAAACCCTAGATAGACAAAGGGCGGAATGGAACTGATACGAAAGAGCATTAGTTATTGTCGTAGTGTAAAAGATCGAAACACTCCATGAATTTCAGATCCTAGGGAGGGAAATGTCGACATTATAGTAAACTCTTGAGTCTCACACTCTCTCGGACGTACACGGGCTGAACCATACATTCCTTCTTGTGTTATTCGGCATACAAAAGCAAGTATCTGTGTATCGAGATGCTGCCATGCCGTCTTCTTCCCTGCGGGAAGGTTTACTCAGTTGTGTGGACTGGTCGAACGGCTGGCCCATTATCATAACAGATATGATTCCCGAATTTTTCGTCGTTTGCACCCTGATGCATTCGATATCCCACTAGAAGGAGGACATGCCGTAATGATTTAGCGACGATGGGGACATATACAACTAAACATTCTGCTTGGAGTTGGGATGTTTTGGTCGTTGTCACAGGAACAGCACAAGGGACCAGGTTGTGGTCCATGACAAAAAAAGCATTGGAAAGAGGTGAAGCTATCGACGATTCGATTCAATGCCCCGCGACTCCCAAGGAATTGAGTTGATGTGCTTTGTTTCGTTTTGGTTTTGCAGTAATAGTATCTCACCCATATTTACAGTGCGGAACGAGACACGTCGCTCGAATGTACAAGATTCTCAAGGTTTCACAAGGGGTCAACGCAAAAAAAAAAAGGGAAAACAAGGGAAACAACAACACTTTGCTTTTAAACTGGTCAGGATCGTGAAAGAACAAAACAACACACCAAGACACTAGTAGATTTACCAATTTTGATCCCATTGAATCTACCATACGAGTACTGGTATGCAAGAGTCGGAACCTTGGAAAAGATTCCCAACTGTCACTACAAACCTCTGTCCTACTTGAAGAATCAAAACACTTTCCCCACCATTTTCCTATCCCCCAAGATCAGCCTAGAATTCTCTTGGTGTCGACCTCACAAATGTTCTTTCCCCAGGGTTTTCCTTTTTCCCAATCATGAGCATTGGTACTAGCTCATTTTCACCAGAGAGAAATCACATTGTGAAAATCGTGCCGCCGACACGCGTCGCCAGGCCACGCTTTTGGGTCACCCTCTAGAGGATGTTCAAAGTGGTGCATTGGAGGTTGAGAAGACCGCCCTATATGTAGGTTATGGATAGTCAGCAAAAAATTCTTCTTTCTGCAGGGTTCGACTGTAGGTGGACACATACGTTCTGGTCGCCGGTACAGCACGCAGCGACGTTGTTACCGCAGGCGTCGGTGACGGGAACACCAGCACCGAGGACTGTTGACATTTGGTCAGTATTTCATTTTTTTTGGGTGGCAACAGAGAAAAGAAAATCTTACTGCCGAGACCCAATGGGCTGCAAGATCCACCGAGGACACCGTCGAGAAGGCCCCCGAGCCCCAAGAGACCACCGTTGTTGGAGTCGGAGGTCGCCTTGTTGGTGTTGCAGCAGGAGATGACCTGGTCGTTGCCGCAGCTCACGTCGGCAGAGGCGCTCCTGACGTAGAGGTCACGCTTGGCCTGTTCGGTCGGGACGGCCTGGGTCACGGCGGTGAGGGCGGCGATGCCGAAAGCGATGATTGAGGAACGCATGTTGATTGAGTTTGGTGTTTGGTGTTTTTTTTTAAAAAAAAAACGGAGGGACTTGTGTGTGTGAGAGGTTTGAGAGATGTTCTTGCTTTGTTGAAACGAGAGTGATTGATGAGATGCAGAAACAAGAACCGTTCCCTCTGACTTGGACCGGTTTATATACCTTTTTTTCTCGTGGCCATGGCTCTCGACGCCCAGCCTTTTGATCTGTTTGTCTTTTCACAACCGCTTCAATTCCCCAAAGGTCAACAACACTTTGACCCTTCAGGGGCGGTTCATGGCAAGGGACAAAGGAGATTGTTTCCAAGGGTATGACAGTCGATAGCTTGGTTCCAAAAGGAAATCATCTCGAGCATCAACGATGTCCCTTGACGGCAATGAATCCAAAAGCATCACTCGATCAACATCACTCGCGCACTCCTTTCGTCCAGTAGCAGGTCCTGTCTCAGTGTCTGTGCAGATATACGTGCGGAGCTTCTCCTTGCATAAGCGCCACATCAATATTGTCTTGGGCCAAGAGGCGGTTCGAGTCTTCGAGCAAGTGAATGGGCCTGTCAACCATCCGTGCGAGGAAGGCGAAAAGTGTCGCTCAACAAGTTCCAGTAAGTCGGGCGGATTCCGTTAGTTTCTGCAAGGCCAAGGGGGTTTTGAACACTCTCAAGTTCGCCAGCCTTACTCAAGTGATCGACTGACACACACCTCACAGAAACATAGCGGAAACTCTGTACCGTTCTTTTTTCAATGTACGGAGTACAGCAAATCCTGGCCCTGATCCTGCGCTCTTCAAGGTTTGCTTGGTTGATGCATGGTCGTTTTCACAAGACCGTGCTGGAAGTCCTTTCAGCTGAGAAGGAATCGAAATCGCCAACCCAAAGTCGAAGTCGGATGCACGAAAGGCACGAGGCCCCTCCCCCCTGGTGATCTGTTGACACGGTCATCCCCCGAGCCAAGATTGCCACGAATACTCCCTGGGGGAGATCATGCAGTTTGTACCATGCAATTCTTTCAAGTTTTGCGGTCATGTAAATATCGAGAATACTCCTATGAGAATCTCGATTCTCATGGGGGGAGTTGCCAAGTCCAATGATCGTCCTGGACGACGTGAATAGTTGGCCCCTCGACTGACATCTTGGAACCATTCAATTAGTTCTGGAGTAAGCCCGTGACCGTTTTGCTAATGAACCCTCAACATTGGTCCTTTGGACAGGACAGGACGTCCATGTCAGAGCTTTAGGTCAGTCATGTAGATCCTTTTTTTTGTAGATCTTCCGCCTTTGTGGGGTTTCGGCGCTCGCTCGCTCGGACCAGTAGAAGGAGAACGGGGAGGTCGTGCACTAGTCAAAGGAGTATGTACGTACATATTGTAGGGTATCGTCTGGTCGATGGGTTTAGACAGCCGTACTTGTGTCGCAGTCAGTGGACGTACGCTCTCTCTCGCAGCGAAAAGAGCAACATGGTCGACCTTGTCACGAGGAGACCTGCTGCTGTACCGGGTGTGGTTGAAAATGCTACACTCCGAGCACACCGTGGTGACTTCGTCGTTGAGCGACAAAGAAAAAGATCGGTGGAACTCCCTTGCAGCCTTGTGGAAACAAAGAGAGTCTAGTCGTTGAATTAGAAAAGGAATATGACGGGAGATCACTGATCAAACTGAGTTGACACTTTGCGGGTGGCCGAATTGGGGAAGGAATGGCACCTGTCAAGAATCAACCCCTGTTGAGCTGACATCAAATAGTAGTAATAATAATACTCCGTAATGGGGGATGGCAACATAGTACTTCCTCAACACTTCACGATCATATCTGTGGGTGGTTGATGTGGTGGCTGTAGTAATCCGTGGTTCGTAGCAAATTACTCGTCAAGTCGCCCGATGTTGTACAGAAGCAAAACCAAGTTACCAGCAGATACAGTGCTGTATACAAGATGCCCGTCGAAGTCGGCGACGGTATCCACCTGGGCATTCCCGAAATGGGTATACCTTACCTACTCCGTATCTAGGTCAGGGTTATTGGCAAACTAGAGTACGTCTTGACATTTGGACGGTTATAATCCGTACCGTCGATCATCTTTTGACATGTCGTCGGTTTGGGTTTGGGTTTTTTTGCGCCAGAATACCGACTTGACATGATCTAAATCGTGATTACTGCGAGTTTCTAGTTATGACCGTAGGTAGGCAGAAAGACGGGCAGACAGACAGACAGACTCGTTATTACTCTACGGAGTACTCCGTACTTTTTTCAAGTAATGAGTTCATCCTTCTCCTTGAAATTTCCCCTTGTTGACTCAATAATCTTCTCCTCCTTGGTGAGCGGAGTCGAACTCTCTCCCCTATTGTCTCACCTGTTCTTCCGTGTCAAAAACAACGACGGGCGACCTCTAGTTTCCCCCCCACTTGCGCTATATAATCACGGTCACGATCCGAACTTTAGAGACATGTAATCCGTAGGCAGAACAGACGTACATATCTTGAGTTCAGGGGGAGAAAAAGAAGGGGAAAAAACAAGTATGGCCTCCTTTACTGGCGAGAGACGTGGAGTGTGCATCATTTACTGCAGTGAAATTGTCGGTACCCGCCTGGATCACACTCACCTAACGGAGTACCTTGGGTTAGGTACCTAAGTATGGCAAGCACTCCCCCTAACCATCGGTATCTGAGATAGCTACCTCTAGGTAGGTACTACTCGTACTCTACCTTGTACGCGGGAGGCGTTTTTAGTGAGGGCTGGTTACTCCGTGTCGAGAGCGTGTCGAAAGCTTCAAGCTAGGCAGTAGTCCACAAGTTCCACACAAAACACGGGGTACTTCCAGGAGAAGGAGAAATCGACAACATTCTTCCAATTATCAGGCGGCTGTGGATCAGGTAAGGACGGCTCTCTATGAGCATTTACTCATTCACACTTTTGTTCGTTCAGTCACTAACAACGAGACAACAGCTGGGACAGGTCAGTTCTTGAACCAAAGTCTTTCCTATATGCCTTCCGGCTCGATGCAGCAGAGCAAAGTACCGGCCATGCTTGCTTAGCTATCTAGGGCGTTCACGGCTCAAGCGGGAAAAAGTGTGAATCAAGAAATGAAACGACTCTCAAGGAATACCAATGAATTATCAGTATATACTGCGTGCCATGCTCATGCTCCAACTAACTTGACCCAGGGGTAAAAATAAACGCCGTACCCAAGACACACTTCATTAATCCACAATCTTCGCAGCCAAAGCAAGCTCCTCAATCTTGGCCTTTCTCTGTTCACTCCTGATCTTCAATTCAAACTTGAAAGGGAGTGGACCGCCAATGACATTGCTGGTCCTCAACTTCGGGTCGGGCCACTGGAGACTGCCATCAGGATTTTTATTGGGCTTCATCGTGAAAGCCCAAAGGAGAGAACCACACGCGACCAACAACTCGGCTTCGGTGATTTCGATACCAGGACACATGCGTCGGCCGCGACCGAATCCATGGTAACCCAAGAGTCGAGGATAGACTGTGAGAGGTTCTTGGTAGGTCGGGAACTCGGGTTGAAGCCAGCGTGCAGGGTTGTATGAGTTGGCGTCGGGGTAGATTTCCTCGTTGCGGGCCATGGAGATGTCGACCGCGTGCACCACGGCACCCTTGGGGATGTAGTATCCTTCATAGCTGTCGTCTTCGGTCACGAGTCTGGGGACACCGAGTGGGACGGGCGGCAACCAGCGGAGAGTTTCTTTGATGCATGCGCGGAGAATGGGCAAGTTAGGAGAGTCGCTGAGGTCGACAATGCGGTCGTCACCGATGACAGAGTCGACTTCGGCGCGGGCCTTGTCTTGCCATTCTGGGTTCAGGACCATCATCATGAAGAAGCCGTAGAGTGGCCCACCGATGGTGAAGATGGCGACCGTGCACAACATACCAACTGCATATGCTGCTTCGTGCTCGTCGAAACCAAAGTCTTTGCCATCGCCCTCCTCCGAGGCGTCCTTGCGTTCAAAGTATGATCGTGCGAATGAGACTTCGGCTTTACCTGCGTCCATCTCGGTGCGGACTTGTCGCAGGAGACCCTTCCACAAACGCTCTTCCCGTTCCCGTCGTTGTCTGCAAGCGATCTTGGAAGTGTTGATCCATTCGGGAAGACGTCCAAGGAATGGGAAGATGTTGGTCAGAGGTCCACTGGCCGACGGTGAGATCTGTGGGATGAATTCTGCGGCGTTCTTGCAGTGTGCGGCGGCGGAGTTGGGAGACCCGTAGCACATTCTTGCCGAAATTCGTCCACAGAAGCGGTCGGTCTGAGAATAATGATCAAGAGGGTCTTTGACGAGGTTGTACAAGAATCGCTTCGCTTCCAGAGGAACGTAGCCATAGTATTGGTTGTTGTAGGCAATGTTCAATGATGTGTGGGCGAACTTTCTCTGCATACGCCAGTGATCTGTCCTTGGTTAGCTTTGTATCAGTGTTTGGTTCAGACCAGGAACTCACCTCCATATTCCATCAACGGCAGATATTGGGCCATGTTGTGACTTCCAGGCACTGCCGCAACCTCGGGACGTGAAGAATAACGAGAGGCACGCTTGCAGTAGAGTTCCTGTGCGATATCACCGTTTCCGAGCCAGATGTGCATCTCGCCGCACGTCGTCAGTCTGAAGAGACCGTTGTACTCGTCCGCCCATTTCTTCATCGAGTTCCATGGCGCAATGGGATCGATGTCGACCCGACCGATATAAGGAATGGTGCTGGGTGGGCCGGGGACAAGTTTCAATCCTTTGGGTGGTTTATCCTTGAACAGGAGGTACTGTAGGAACCTGATGAAACCAGGAGCGATCAAAAGTAATGTGGTGATGATCCATTTGTACTTGTAAAGGAATGTTACTCCTGGGGAATCGGAGCGGAAGAGTTGCGCCGTGGCATTATTGGGAAAGGAAAGAACGGAGGGGGAAGAATATATCGTTGCCATGGCGGAAAAAAGGCTTTATACTGGCAAAGAATGGAATAAAGAGAGAGTAAACGGAGAGGAGCAGGCGGAGGAGAGGGAGGAGCAAATCCCACTACCCTGTATTCTTGTGGGAGTGAGAATATATATGATGGTAGGTAATAAAAGTCCGTGAGTGTTTTGACGGTGATACGAATAATAAGACTGTACACGGTGTGTCGGGGGGGGGGAAGAAATGGAGCAAACATGGACGCACTTGACTCGCCTTACCAAACTCCGGAGTTGTCACCCAATGGCACTCACCACCGACCTGGGCTGTGGTCGGTAGATCACGCGTTGAACGTGGGCGAATATGGCCCCTTGGACTCGCACAGGACCATCTTGTTCGCCATGGTCTCGGGTCCCGAAAGGCAGTGTCACCCACGAGCCGATAACGAGTACACAAACTGGTCCTGATGGAAAATTTCCAAAATTAGATGGGAGCTAAACCCAAAAGCGTAGCTGGCTCATGGTCGACAGAGACAATTTCCCACGAGGCTGTCAGTGGGGTTCGAGACTCAAAGATCCAAGACAACAAAACACACAACAACATCTCCTCGGTCACGGTGTCTGTTCAACGCCGCAGTACGGAGTACGAGCTTACATATCAGTCATTCCACACAGTCACGGGTTTTTTAAGATTTGATCGAAACCGCCTCACAATATTAAATCTGATGACAACGCGAACCGAAAGGAAAACGGGAAACCCCTGAGTTCCTCCTCCACCTTTTGATTATCCGTATCTGTTCCGATTTTCCACCCCATCGGTAAGCCGTCATCCATGGCATGATACCACAAAATCCCAGGGCCAAGGGCCTCCCGGAGATGGTACCTGACAGCCAAACACGCTAGACTGGCCCATTTTATTACGGACGTTCTCATCATTTGCATTAGTTTTCGGACACTTTCCGTCATTTGTTGAATCATCAAATCTCTGACCTTGCAATCCACGGAGACTGGGGAGCATATTCGACGGTACTCCGTACTCACGCTGGATATTGATTGAGCTCGTTCGCGCTCACTCGTCAACGCATTGCTGTCCTATTGGTTTGCCATTCTCTTTCGATTATTCAAAGACGCATCGTCATGGTGATATTACGTTGCAGTTTCTGAACATCGTTTCTGTCAAATAATCCTTGCGACTTCAAATCAGAAAAAGGTTGGCATGTTCTGTTTCAAATATAGGCATCATCCACCACTGTCAGCATCTCATTTATCTTCTTTGATATCATTGATGTGAAGCCAGACCGATGAGCCATCCCGGTCAATGCATCTTGGGTCTTTCGCCGCCTTCTTCCACACTTCAATCGCCGCCTCGGCCATTGTTGGCGTTATCCCAACCTGCTTCGCCGCGTCGATCCCGAGTCCGATATCCTTGATCATCATCTGAGTCTTGAAACCCAATTTCCAATTGTTACTACTGGGAGCGTGTGCGACAACTCCCGGGACAGGATTGACGTGGTCTCCCATGAAGCTCTGGCCCGAAGAGTTGTGAATGACTTCTTGCAACAACTTTGGGTCGATCCCATTCCTGATACCCATTGCCATCGCTTCCGCAATTACCAACAGGAAAGTGCAGGAGATGTAATTGTTGCTTATCTTTGCTGCGAGGCCCGCCCCAAGTTTCCCACACCAAAAGAGCTTTTCAGGTTTGCCTAGCATGGTCAAAACGTGATTGATACGGGCGGCGACGCTCCCAGCTGATTCAGACTCCGATGGTCGTTCGCTCCCAATCATAAATGAAAGAGTCCCTGCTTCTGCGGCAGGAACACCACCCTGTCAATACACAATCAGTATGATGTGGTCCTCCATCACGGTGTTTGTCGCACTGCACTCACCGATACAGGAGAATCCACATAATGACCATGACCAGATGCTTTCAGTGTCTCTCCAATCTCCCTCGTTGATGCTGATTCTATGGTGCTGCACTCCAGGATCAACCTTTGGGGATTTTTCGGAGCTGCTGAAAGGCCATTTTGTTGGTCTAGGTACACCTGTCGGACATTATCCGCCGTCGGGACGATTGACACGACGACTTCCGACGTGATAGCAAGGTCCTTGACTGAGCCTGTGATGACCACCGGGCCTATCGCCTCGTATTCCGAAACGAATCGTTCGCACGATGGCCGGTGCACGTCATAGATGAACAGAGTCGAAGTTGCAGGTATCTTTTTTCGGATGTTCCCAGCCATGGCGTAACCCATGGCTCCTAGGCCTAGAACAGAACGAATGTCATTAGCATTACACGGCGAAAGGTTAGGTAGCCGGGCGAAAATCGCGCCGACTTCCTTTCCATACTTACCTACAAATCCATAATTGCCGTCCATTTGATTGTTTCTTTCTTACCAACAATCCAAGCGATGCCGAAAAAAAGAGCAAAAGACCACACACTGTCTTGTATTGAAAATATGAAACGCAATGATGTCGACGACAATAATGCGACGATGGTTCGAAGGTGGCTGTACGCGGATATGTGGAGGAGGAAGAGGGATCAATGGCTTGTACCCCACATTATCATCAATATGCACATCTCCTTTTTGTTGTGGGAGAGTTTGGAGTATTGGAGCAACTTTTTGAGACCTTCTCTCCATACAAGGACTGGAGAGTCTGTGACGAGAGTGCTTCGTCCCTACACATTGTTTTCGCTGACATCGACGGATCGAATCAAGAGGAGAAAGAGCGATTGACCCTTGTTCTCGCCCATCATGAATAATAATCATCCTCACAGCCAATTCATCACCCATCCTTCGTCTGGAGAGACCACACATTTTGTTGCTGACTGCCACGCCGATCCTTGGAAACCATGCGAGACGATTCTGTTGCAAGGAGGCTTCGGTCGTCACTCTGCGTTTTTCTACCATTGGGTACCGGCACTCTCGAGGCACTACAATGTCATCCGACGTGACTTACGTGGTCACGGTTTGTCCAGCGCACCATCGATCCGAGAGAAACCGGAAGCGTACACTCTGGAAACCATATTGTCGGAGATCGTCGACACCTTGGATCAACTCAAGATTGACAAAGTTCATTTTTTCGGTGAAAGCACTTCGGGGATATTGGGGGAGATCTTCGCGGCTCGTCACCCAGATCGACTACTCAGTTTGACAATCTGCTCGAGTCCAACGTACCTACCCCAAGCGGCCCTGGACCTTTTCGCCATGGGCCAACCATCTTGGCCAGAGGCGTGTCGCACCCTAGGGTCTCGAGGGTGGGCTCGACGTCTCTCTGAACTTCCGGGGACAATGGCTTCCACCGACCCGGAATACCGAAAATGGTGGCTGGATCAAGTTTCGATAAGCACCGGCGAAGGACTGGGGAGTTATGCGGAATTCCTTTGCACCATCGACTCGAGACCAGTATTGGCAGACATCAAAGTTCCCATGCTGATCCTGGCTCCCACCAACAGTGCCGCGACCACCGTGGCCGCACAAAAGGAGATCCAAAAGCAAGTCGGGAGTAATTGCCGACTTGTAGAGATTGACGGCCCTGGACATGAGATTTACAACGACGTGGCGGATAAATGTACAAGTGCATTTTTGGACTTTATCAAGTCGATCAAAAGATGATTTACTTTTCTACTCTCCATGACATGTAGCAGCAAATTTTGACAATGACGTTAACACGACTCATGAATTTCTTCAAACAACTCCTACCACTGCATCGGATATCAATGTCGTTATCTCACACGTAACCTTGCCTAGTGATGATATTATACCCAGGATCCTCAATCTGAATGTCCGTCTTGACCAAAAACTCCAACGGCATCTCGACCAACATGCCTCTTATCTTTGCCAGTTCCTCCTTGACGGCCGCGACGCCTTCATCACCACCGGCAAAGTTGTCCTTGGCCACATGTCCCCATTGCGCCATGTGCAACCCGTCGGGTCCGGTGAACCTCTTCCAAAACAACATCTGGTACTGGATCCACGTCTTGGCCGTGTCGTCCGGCATGGGCGCAAACACTTTACGAAACGCCAGCGTGTTCGTCGAGGCCACGTCGTCCCAGTACTTCCAGAAGTCATCACTCAAAGGATCAGCGACCATACCGTCTTCTTTCGACCCAAAATCGTACCCGTTGTCTCCCGGCGCGGGAGTGAAATGCCCATCTGGGTTCCTCATGTTTTGTGGCGCCAACAACCCCAAGTGCTTGCGGAACAGATACCTACGAAGACTCGCGGCGAACCGACTCGCTTGGAACTTTTGACCGTTCATCGTCGTCTCGAGCGGCGTCGGGTCTTCAATCACCAAGGCAATCTCCGAATCACGACTGCCCTTCAGCGACCTGTCATTCAAGTTCGCCGATCCACAGAGCACGACTCTGTCATCGGCGATCAACACCTTCGAGTGCACGTACAACTCCTCCGAGACGAACGCGTCGATCTCGTTGACGGTCCCGCCACCTGCCCACGGGACTTGGCGGATGTCCGTCCCTCCCAGCATGTAGCATGAACTCACGCTGTCCCAGCTTGTGTGCCGTGGGCCCGCGGCGGTCTGATACTTTCGGTACGCCTGGTGGTTCGCGGTGACATCGTCACCCTCGAACTCGCCGACCTCTTTCTGGGCTTGGAGACCGAATGGGTCCACGATGTCATCGTGCTCTTCGCTCGCGAGCTTGTACTCGACACCACTGTCCTTTTCGACCTTTTGCATCAAAGCACTCTCGTTGATCCGATCGTATGTCCTGAGGTTGAAGAACCTGATGAACTCCCTTGGCTCAACGCCCGCGCGCCTCAGTTTGTCCATGATGCTGAACCCACCTCGAGAGATCGACTTGTATTGCAGCTTCATTATTGCCCGGGGTGGGTGACCAGTGATCAAAGCTTGGAGGTCTCCTGGAAACGCAGGTACAGAAGGTAATATGACAATAACCTTGTACCGTTTCTTCTCCTGTGCGGCACGCAAGATGCGTTGGACGATCGCTTCGCCGACCCGGTTCCATACTGTCCCGAGCCATGTCCCCGTCGCCGTGATGAAGAATTGCTGCTCAATGTACACGAAATGCTCGCTCTTTTCGATAATATCAATATACGCATCGTAAACGCTGTGTTCGGGCGTCGGACCACCACTCCAGCTGCTCACACTGCGGATGAGTTGACATGACATTTGGCCCGCAGTTTGTTTTGCTGTACCCTGTGCTGCTGAAGAATCGTCCATCGATGGTATGCGTTCATATCTCGAATCCTTTGGTAGGCCGGTATTGTATTTCATACTATGGATAAAGTTCCAGCGTTCGATAAAGTGTTTGCACAGATCAACCACAGCCGGTCCAGCCAGACTGATCGATATATCTTGCCAACCCATCCTTGACGTGGTAAGTCGACTGAGTTTGTTGTGCTCCCAGTTGTCCAGGTTTTTGAAATCCATCACCCGAGCATTATTGTAGTCCTGGCCGGGGAAGACAATGTCGTCGAGGTCGCCAGGATGAGCGTCAGCGATGGCATGTTGAATCGTGTCCCATCGACCATAGGACAAATCGATACCACCCATGAAGACAGTCTGCTGGTCGCAGATGACCAGTTTCTCGTGATGCGCCCACAGCAGCGTCGGTCCACCAGCTAAGGCAAACAGGTTCTGCAGTGACTCGTCGGATATCTTGCCCAAGTTTCCGGCACCGCCTGCCAACGTGCTTTGAAGCAGACTTTTTGTCGATGAGAGAACTCCCTTGGCGCCAGTGTAATGATCCGGGTACCTGAAGACGGCAATGTTGGGGTGTAAAGCTTCCAAAGCTCTCTTTGTATGGTGGGATGAAACTGTTTCCCTCCATGAATCAGAACATGATTGAACGAAGGCGTGAGCAACTATGCCATCTGTTTCATTGCTCGGGGAGGGTGCGGTAGGTATACTTACGGTACATAAATTGAGGAACTTCTTTAAAGACAATAACGTTGACTTTGACTCCTCGCTCTGCGGCAGCAAGAAGCATTCGATCCAGTCGATATTGTTCGTTCTCCGATGGTGGTCGTCTCAGGTATACTTCTGGAGAAACCCACCCTGAGTTAAAATAAGCAATCGCTTGTCAGCCATTTCAACTCGCCTCCAGTTCCAAAGAGAGATAGAAAGAGTGAGAGTGCGCACATCCTAGAATCCAAACGGACTCCTTCACATTCTCCAAGGCCTCAGATACAGCCCAGAAGTAAGCGCACCCGTCGACGTGATACTTGACACTATTGCCCTGCGAGACCGGTGCAGAGCTATTGTATCTGTGTTCAAGGTTGGGGTTCTTGCCATTCACCATGCCGTTGACCGCGTTGGCGATGCTCCCGAGGCCAAACCTGTTGGTGACATTGTCCAAATGAGCTCCGTTGGTGACGGTGCTTTGCGCTCTCTTGGCCGCTTCCGTGGCCTTGTTGAAGAGCGAAGTCATCTTTGTGTGTACAGATCTCTTTGCGAGGGCTTTTCTCTTTGAGATCTACAAAGATTTCATTGTCGCAGAACGTAGTCCTCTGGTCCTCTTTATATCTTGGTCCGTTTAGCCCAAATCCGAAGGTTCAGTCATCGCGGCTGGGGGGGCGGGCTTTTGACCATGTACGTCAGCCTTTACAGCCCAACAAGATATCTCTCATCGCATGCAATGCCTGAAGAGCCAATCCGGCTTCCACGGCGATCTCCTGCCATATTCAAGCTCGAGCATAGTACCTAAAGTTTCAGCCCATACGGCGCCAGTGCACACCAACAACTGGCCACCGTCCTCGCATCTCGACGAGTTCGAGGAACTGAAGAAGATTCCGAGAAATCAAGCACATTGTCCGCTCCGTTCACAGTTCAATAGACACGTCGTTAGACTGATGAGAGGAGGTGTATGTAAAATGCAGTTTATGTGTACGTACATACTTGCATGGACCATGGACGCACGAGGTCTACAGCCACGCTGATCTTTTTCAGCCTTGAGAAAATATCAGCTTCATATCGGAAACGCCAGGATGTATACCTTTAGTGATTGGGCATTGGAAGTCTCTAGCCATGCAAGGAAGAAAAGCGTGCCTTACCTCCAGGAGCTCCAGTGCTCATTGGCTTACCCCATCCTCGATGTGCTGCATGGTTGCCGGCTAGGACCGAGCGACAGCGGATTTACGTACAGACTTTGCAGTCAGAAGGTGGACCATCAAACTAACGGTTTGGCCGACACAACAAGTGAACCCCAAAGATATTCCACGGCTGGCATCCAAAGATGTTCATGTTTGATGCCTTTTCAGTCGAGCTGAAATGGATTATATTAATGGCGCACATGCTGGCTGCGATGGTGCATTGGCAATGCGAAAAGCACTATTGTGCATAGGTCGAAGAAGCAAGACTAGTCTTGTAACACGTCGTATTTTATATACTCTTGCTGCGGCATTGAGAGGTGTTCCCCCCGTACTTTACATCCATCAAACCTCAAGTAGAAGTCCAGATTCTTGCCCTGACCCAGTCATTTTGAGCCTCGGTCCTCGAGGGGTCCTCCGCGCTGAGATACATTCCCATTCGATTGTTATCTGCTTTGCCTGTGTCAGTCCAGTACAATTTTTGATCATAGGACATCATGTTCCGGTCGAAGAAGGTCAACATCAACAGCCACCAGAACAAGAACCCTGACCCAGCCGTCGCCGTCTACCAGCAACTCGACAGCCATGATGCGCCATATGCGCTTACCGAGGACGTACTGCGCTCCGTGATATTTATCCCTGCCGACTTCAATCATGGAAAAGATGGAAAGACACCTGTGATTCTGGTGCCGGGTACTGGCTCATATGGTGGCGAGGCATACGAACACAACTTTGCTAAGCTCCTCCGTGGGACCTCCTTTGCAGACCCTGTTTGGCTGAACATCCCAGGCCGAATGTGTGATGAAGCGCCTAAGAATGCAGAACACGTAGCGTACGCCATCAATTACCTTTCAACGTTATGCGACACTAAAGTCGCAGTCATCGCTTGGTCACAAGGCAACCTGTCAACCCAATGGGCATTGAAGTATTGGCCCAGCACCCGCACACGGGTCAGCAACTTCATCTGCCTGTCGGCAGATTTTCGAGGGACGGTACAAGCATGGGGACTCGCGCCATGTCCATATACTATACCAGGCACACCGGCCGTTTGGAACCAAACACGCAACTCCAAGTTCATTGCGACATTGCGCTCCAATGGCGGAGACTCGGCGTATGTCCCGACCACATCGATATACTCTTCGACCGATGAGGTCGTGCAGCCGCAATTTGGACCATTTGCATCCGCCTTGATGAAGGATGAGAGGAATGTCGGCGTCACGAATTGTGAAATCCAGCGCGCGGCCGTCAAGTCCATGAAGCCTGGGCAGCTGGCATATTCTCACGAAGGGGTTATGCACAGTTCGTTGGCGTGGGCGTTGGCCGAAGACGCTCTGAAGAACGGTGGACCAGGGCGGTTGGATCGAATCAATATGGCTGGAGTGTGTAAAAGTAGGATAGCACCTGGCCTGAGTATCTTGGACGCAACACAGACGCAGGCCCTGAGTGCGTGGTGCCTGAAGAGTATCTTACTGTTTACCCCCAAACCGTGGAACGAGCCAGCTCTCCCTCTCTATGTGGCGTCAGAGAACGTTGACTATGTACCCGAAGAGGTTGTAGAGCCAGTGAAGCAAGAGACGCATGTCGCGGAGGCTGAAGTCGCGGCGCCAGCAGCCGCAGCATAGAAGCTGGGACAAGGTACTGCGGTGGACTGTTATGTACGGATAGGCGTTACCAGGGGCATGGAATCAGGCTCTTTGAATCACATATTTGACCAGTTCGTCTCAGGAGTGGTTTCCAAACATCGTGACTTAGTCTGGAAAGCATCATCATGGAAGTGCCTGGAGCAGGTTGCGCCTGCCAGCACCCTCCGCCTCCACAGGGTTATCGGATTGACGCGTAGAATATCAAAGGGCGGCGACTTGCCGCTGGGACGTGTGCGACAAGATGTTTCGATCGAAGAATGGGCGTCTCGGCAAATTTGTTCTCGGTCCGAAGTACTGTATGCACCTTGAGATCTTAGTGCATGGGCCAATTTCCCTGCACAAGAAAAAGACAGCAAGACCTCTTTCTGGCTGAATCAAAGTCAAGAGTTACCTTGATATATCATCGCTAGGGCACACAAACCAATGAATACAATGAACCAGTATGTCCGTTGATGGATATTTGTTGCTGGATAGAGAGAGTGGGGCATGCGTATCTCACTGGGCATCATCACTCAAGCAAACTCGTACTCGTATCTCAACCGAGATCTTGTGGAAAGTACGAAGATGATTCTCATACACACAGTACAAAGACTGTTCGATCCCTCGGCTTTCCCCTCGTTCTCTCTGGCTTCTACCGAAGTTGATGTACCTCTGGACACGGACACCCCACGGAGAGGAATTGCGGAGGATCCTTTTCAGCCGAAATCCCACTTTCTTTCACTTCCCTTCATGGGGCTGATGGGGAGAGATACAAGTCACCGATATTCCCCTCTAGACATCACAAAGCCCCACGCTCACTCGGCAGGTCCATTCTCCCAATCCAACATAGCCTAATCGCAAAACAGCCAGTGACAGAAATGCAAAGACATGCAATCGCACAAATGCCGAGTCCATTCGTCAGCCAAAGACTTGACTGGGTCGTGCTCTTCCAACCTCGTACGATACGAGGGGTTGAACTGAAACATTCAATATCTTCGTCGTGAGCTGCATTCTTTCTGTTCACAATCACATCAGATCGTGGCGTGAGATCTGAGCAAAGTATCCCTCGGAGTATACTTGTCAGCATACATCAAAGAACCACCAATATGGGTGCCATGGTGCATCTCCAGAATGCGGCCCCGAGTGCCAGCAAGATCGCCATTGGGTTGGCCGTCTTTGGCGTCATCGCCGTGATAGCGGACTATGTTCGCATGCTTATTTTGAGAAGTAAAATGGTGAGTGCCTTAGGGACCAACGAGCCATACGCAGTATGAGTACACGATGGAATGGAATTGACGATTTATGTCTGTGGTAGCCTCCTGGTCCAATGCCTTGGCCGATCATAGGAAACACATTTCAACTACCCGATGTCAAGCCATGGTTCTACTTTGAGGAATTGTCGAAACGATATAAGACACCCATCATCACATACTGGATCGGACGAAACCCAACGGTATGGATCAATGAAGCCACGGCCGCGTCCGAGATCCTAGACAAGCGTGCAGCAATCTACTCGTCCCGTCCTCGAATGGTTGTGTTTGGTGAACTCAGCATGGGCCAGAACAACATTGTGTCAATGTACTACGGTGACCGATGGCGACTGCACCGCAAGTTGACTCACATGGGTGTTGGGCTCCAGCATGTCCGCAGCTACAGTGGTTTCCAGAACAATGAGAGCAAGGTGGTTGCGTATGAAATTCTTCAGAACCCCAAGGACTATGTGATGGCGTTTGAACGATACGCAGCATCCGTCGTCAGCATTATTGGCTTTAATCGCCGTATCAGCAGCAAAGAAGATCCCATCATTACGGAAGTTATTGCTGTGATGCAGAAGGCTGCCGAGCTGAATGTGCCAGGCAAGACTTTTCCAATGCTGATGGAGACATTCCCATGTAAGTATTCGCTCTGAAAGGTCGGGACGTCGTTGATGCTAACGGCAATCAAGGGCTTTCGAAGTTTCCCAACTGGATGGCGCCCTGGAAGCATGGTCTCGGCAGTAGAGGCCGTGGACGAAACTTTTACTATGCTCTTGCTGACGAAGCGGCCAACAAGGAAAACCACGGGAACTGCTATGCGAAGAAGATTTTTGACGAGGCGCCCAAGTACGGTTTGAACGAATTGGAAATTGCTTCGCTCAACGGTAATCTGTTTGGGGCTGGAAGCGATACCTCGAGTTCGACGCTTGTCACGTTTGTGCTCGCATGCTGCGCTTTCCCAGAAGCTCTGCCCAAGGCGTGGGAAGAACTTGATCGCGTGGTTGGTGCCTACCGAAGTCCAGGTCTCGACGATGACTTGCCGTACGTCCGCGCTTTCACAAAGGAAGTATTCAGATGGCGTTCTGTGGCCATCATTGGAGGTCAGCCTCACGCTCCGATCCAAGATGATGTTTACAACGTAAGTTTGACAACAAATATGGTGGTAAATGTGATGGTACTGATCTGTGTGTGATATAAAAGGGATGGTACATTCCCAAAAACACTTGGGTCCAAGGAAACGTGTGGGCCATTCACCGAAACGAGAACAATTTCCCCGAACCAGATCGATTCTGTCCCGAGCGGTTTTTCGAAGATCATCCTCTCCATCGTCCGTTCCCGAACGAGAAGGGTTACATGACTTTTGGGTGGGGTAGAAGAGTCTGCAGTGGTCAAGGGTTGGCTGAGCAAGGAACTTTTTTGACTGTTGCACGCTTGCTGTGGGCTTTCAATATTCAAAAAGCTCTCGACAAGAATGGCAATGAAATCCCAGTGGACATCTTCAAGTATACGTAAGTCTCTTTCCCCTTTGTTTTGAAACATCCCCCGGGAAGCGTGCGTCAAAATAACAAACGGCTGACTTTGTGGATTGGAACAGAAACGGATTGAATTGGCGACCGGAACCCTTTGAATGTCGCATCACTCCTCGAACTCCAGAGATCAAAGAGACGATAGAACGCGAGGGAAAGCAGGCATTGGAGGAGTTGTCGCAGTTTGAAGGGGAGAGCAAGTACCGTATGAGTACGTTTTATTTGCAGAAGTTTTGAGTAAGGATGTGACAACAGGGAACCAACGACGTTCGGAGTTGGATCAAGGGTTCACGATAGTAGTAGTACACAGTACAGTCGACAGATGATTGTATCTTAGACATTGTAGGACGGCTTGCGACACAGGAGCTGAATATTTACAATGTCCAGACCAGTTTTGCCACCAACTCTTGCATATGCTGCAATAAATAACATTTATACAATGACACGGACCTTTCTAGTTATAGTGTTTTCTTTACAACCTTGACCACCCACCAATTTTACGACGGAGGCTCAAAACGTTCTTGGCTGCCATCTTCGCGTCCCCTACCACCCCACGAGCAACACCAAAACCTTTGCGGATTCTGGTAGTAGACATTCGAACTGGAACATGACGACGACGATGACCATCAATACTTTTTCGATATCCGTATGGTGTCGGTGAACGGTATCTTCTTTTCCTCGTCTGCTTCGATCTTGATGTTGAAAGGGCTAGTACAGACGACGAATGTTCTGCCAGCTGAGGGAGGAGCGCTGTATCTTCATCACCATCGTCGGTACTAGTATCAGATGAGGAGTCGTTTTCGATTTCGCTTTCAAATTCGATATGATCTGTCGTTTTCTCACAGTCTTTTTCAGACCCTGAGGCTTGCGACGGTGGCGTGATAATGACAACATCGTCAGTTCGTGTCTTTTCCATCTCCGCCTCTGTCCTTGACGTGGAGTCTCGTGTACTGATAATACCTCCTCCTCGACGAGCAGAGAGCGCTCGAGATATTTTCTTCCCCACGGATTTGATTTTGGAACTTCTGGGTCTGCTGCTTGACATTTCGAGTGGGACATTCTCTCCAGAGACTTTGAGTCCAGAAAATACATGCCTGGTCTTCGATTCCACGGCACCAAATATACTCCTCCGTCCGGCTTTTAATCCAGCAAGAGCATCTTTCGTCTTGACCGACACAGCGGCCAAAACACTCTCGCGCTTCTTCTTTGTTTGTGTCTTTTCAGTCTTCTCGTGCACGTCTGGTTTTGTCACTTCACACTCGACAATCTCCTTCCATGTCTCCTCTTCTCGTTGTACCCGAAGCCCTTGTAACATGATAGCTTCACGTATCTTGTTGACGTATTCCAGTACATGCTCAGAATGTTCTTGTACCTGTAGTTCACAACCATCCATACATGGTGGATCATCTTTGGGTTCGAGTTCGAATTCGCTTTCGATCACGATTTCTTGTACCTCCACTTCAACTCGAGGTCGAGGCAACATCTCAATTGGTTCTTCAGGAATGCTAGCCATGCGCTTCACCCTGGGAGATGAGGCTGCTCGACCGCGGACGCCGGCGTCCTTTTCCTGGATCTTGTCCTTGCGCTCCGGATGGGTTTCGGCCTCTGTTACCATGGCTGATCTTAATTGTTTTTTCCGAATACGGCGTATTTGTTTCGAAAGGATGATTGAGCTAGCCCATGAATTCGATGACTCGAGTCGTGAATATGAATATGCGCTGGTCGGAAAGCATTTTATTGTGTACCTTTCTTGGTTGTCCTTGTTGAATGATATCAATAGCCATCTAAAAAGTTATTCTTGACTTGGACAAACAAAGGTCCTTGTGCTTTGGACAATGAATGTCTGCGAATATAGTAGAGCATGGTTAATCGGTTTTGAGTTTTCTTCGTGGCGATCGTTTAGAAACAAAGAGAAGACCAATCTGGTCATTCTGGGCCCTTTGTTAGAATTTGCTGTCGCTTAGATGGTGTCGGATGTACGTATTGAATAGCACATTCAGATCGATGATCATGTAGAAGGGACCTCCTGTGACATTCATCCGAATGTAAATTGATCAAGAACGTCGGGGTCAGAAAAGCTGTCGTAGGCCGAGAAATCAAAGAACTCGTCGGTTGAGCATTCCAGACCGGTTGACATGGCTTCGTCTTGGGGCCATCCGAGAATGTTCTCCTCTTGATCGAATAGTTTCAATTGCTCCTCTACAGCCTCGTATGCCGCAACAGAGGCGTAATGTTTCATGTTCAATTCCATAAACGCAAAGTCACCATCGTCTGGCAGACAACCACCTCCGACGGGCGATGTAGTGACGCTGTTATCATGTACCTGTAAGTCATGCCCCGAGCTAGGAGATGCCAACTCCGAGTTGCTTTGACTCCTGATCTTGAGAGTGTATACAGCAGGAGTTGACCCGATGATGTCTTTGAATATACCATGAAGGTATCTCGACGAGATGTTGACATTTTGCGCCACTTCCTTAAGCGTCGTGTTGCCTTTGGTCATTGCAATGTATTCACATGCTTTCTTGACGGTTTCTCTCTGTGGCTGCGTGATGGTACTGCCCTCGACGTGATTGCGATCCGGTTTACATCGCTTGCAAGGTCGGAAGCCGGCGAGAGCCGCTTGGACAGGAGTGTCATAAAACTTCACGTTGGCCCTTCGAGCCAGTCGTGCCGGGCATGTTGGTCTGCAGAAGATCTTCGTAGTTATGACGGCGTAAACAAATGCCTGGTCGGCATGCTTGGATCGGGACTGCACGGCCAACCACCGTCGATGATCGATATCAGACATGATTGAATTCGGTTCGGTTCCTGGATCAAAAAAGAGGTTCTTCACTACCTGTGACGTTGAGATGGATTCAACGCAAGTAATACGATAATCAGACTCAAGTCAAGCCTCAGGTTGATGGATTCGAGTGAGATGGATGGTGGAATCGATCGTCCTTTTGTGCTGACGAGCCTGAGATAGGCGAGAAATTACGCTAAGCCATGAATCAGCTAGTCTCTAGATGAGTCAGAGGGGTTGTGCTGCTAAAGTGACCAATTGGAGGCATCAATCGAAAAGTCTTGACTGGGACATCATCGAATTTCTCCCCGGAGGTCAAAAAGCGGCGTGAATGTCACTTTGCGAATTCAGGGAAGTGTCTCTCTATGCCCACATCGTAGACCTACCATACAGGCGAGAGGTAGTCAAATTTTGTGTGATTTTGTCATTGTATTTGATAAACTTCTTCATTGGAAAACCCAGCGCCTTTGGGTGACCCCTTTCCAACTTCAAACAATCAATGAAAGTCATCGTCGAGGAATACAATCCACAATGGGCTATTCAATTTCAGAACATCAAGTCTGAGGTAGAAGACATCCTTCGGGGAGTCCGATATATTAGTATTGAGCATGTGGGCAGTACTTCAGTACCAGGTCTGCCCGCAAAACCAATCATTGACCTATCTGTTGTCAGCGAGGCAGCAGATGTGTCCGCAGCGATCGAAGCCTTGACATCGAATGGAGGCTACACATATATGGGGGAGATGGGAATCCCCGATCGACATGCGTTCCGGAAACCCTCAGTACTTCCGCGTCGGAACTTATATGTCTCTGTCAAAGGCTGCCACTCCATCCGAAACCATCTAGGTGTGCGGGAAGTTTGTCGAAGTGACCCCGAAGTTAGAGAGGCATATGGCCAAGCAAAACTAGCTCTGTCTGAAAGAGAATGGAACAATGTTGATGAGTATTGTGAAGCCAAGAATGAAATTCTCTCTTGGGTTCTGGAGAGAGCGGGTATGAATAGTGAGGACCGCAAGATAGCGAGGCAGCTTAACACGACGACGCAGTGAGTGGATATGATCATGAACATGAGTTACCTCGGATCATGGAATGTGAGGATGTGATAGATCCAAATGTATTGTTCGCCTTTTGATGCCCTTCTCTTTCCAAGATGGTCCGCGAGTGACCTCACATAGCAGCTCATTTTGCAGCCGGACTTGTCCTCCAGGTGCGGGTGAAGGAGTGGAGAGGATGGAGGCGATCGAGATTGTACAATATCTCATGCTACTGTAGGAAGTAAAGTCCAGTGTAGGTTTCACATGCAGAGTTGCATCCTGGAAATCTGTGTGCTTGCTGTCGCATCGTTCGATGGCCTCTCTCGACCCCAGCGACTAAAGCAGGAGTAATAATGTATGTCGCGTGCTATTCTAGGCTGTCGATTGTAAGACATACTCCAAGCAGAAGATACCAGAAACCGAAGCAGTTCGATCTTGATGACGCTGATCGCACCTCGACAGACATGACAGATGGGGTGCGATGGAGAGAGGAAATGAGACATGGCGAATGAATCGACAACAACTCACGTCGATGGATCGGAAAATTATGCGGAATAAAGCAATCCTTCGCTGGTGGGAACGTTGGTGTTCTGATGGGATTTTGTTATTCCCAATGCCAATTGGCTGGCTTTGGCGATTTGAAAAGAACGCAGTGTGAAAGAAAAAGAAGCGAGTGGTGGAAAGAGGGCCTGGATCACTTGGGGGAACCGCCAAAAATCAACGGCTTGGGGTTGAAACGGTGCCGCTAGATTGTAGGCCAATGAAGCCTGGGGAAGCCTGCGCAATGAGTACCGTAGGCTGTAATAGGCTTCTGGCCATGACATGGTCCCCCTTGTCAGTCCCTGCGTTAGCGAATTCTACAGCACGAGCAAAAAGCCTCAAGGATGCCCTCGTCAGAATACCCTGCAACACGTCTTCGTATTTGAAACATATTCCCTTCTTGGTCTCATTCTCCTGTTGTACATACTATTTCAATCTGATCGCAGCATCAACACACCGTTGAATTCTTTTCTTAAATTTCTTTCGACTACTCGTACCCATTGTCACTCGTTAATCCCCTGCTCTCGACCTTTGACCTCGAAATACTTCTTTGTTCTCGACCGGTTGTGTTGTCTTCGATTATCGGGTTGCACGAACAAAACAATATATATCATCACTGTTCCCGGCAGAGGAGAATAGCAACATTAATATGCGGAAGTCTGCATAATTGTCTTTGGCGAAAAGAGTGCAAAGTTACCTAAGAATGTCCGCAGTCAAGGTGCTATCTCCTCGACAAACACCTTCTCCTGTAGACCCCAATCTGTCCACAGGGGAACAGGTGCTTCAGTTGATTTCAAACCCTTTTCAGGCTTCGGTATGTCGCTCGCTCGTGGTGTGACCTGAGTGCACGCTGACTTGCACAGATACAGTACAATGCGTTCTGGGCCTCCCTGGCTACCTCTTTAGGCTTCAGTGCCGCTCTCGCCCTCCTTTTTTGCTTCGTCCGTCCGAGGAATAACATCATCTATGCTCCAAGACTGAAGAATGCGGACAAAGACCATGCTCCTCCACCGCTGGGGCGAGGATTATTCAGTTGGGTCAAGCCCGTGAATAAGGCCAGTGAACCGTTTTTGGTGGAAAAGATTGGGATGGATGCGGTCATTTTCCTAAGATTTAGCAGAATGCTGCGGAACATGTTCTTAATACTTGGCTTGGTGGGAATAGCCATCATGATACCGGTTAACGTCACCCTGGGGAGCAAAGGCGCGTCAAATGGTTCTTCGGCTTTCACCGTCATGACGCCCTTGTTCATCTGGGGTAGTGGTCTCTGGGCCCAAGTGGTGTTGGCTTGGTTTACTGATCTCGTGGTGATATATTTCTTATGGTATAATTATCGACGAGTTCACCAATTGAGGCGAGCATACCTGTCAAGCCCAGAATATCAAAGAAGCATACACGCGCGGACTCTTCTGATTCGGGACATTCCTTCCCAAATGCGGAGCAACGAAGGCATTGCCCATGTTATCGATGAAGTGAACGCAAGTGGCGCTACACCAAGAACGAGGATTGGGAGGAACGTCAAGGTACTGCCTGACCTTGTCGAAGAATACGAAGAGAACGTCAAAGAGCTGGAATCCGTGCTCGCCAAGTACATGAAAAATCCTGACAAGCTACCAGCTCATCGACCAACCATGAAGGCGCCTGCCAAGTACAAAGGGACTACGGCAAACGGGAAAGTTGATGCAATTGAGTATTTGACGGACCGTATACGGACACTCGAGATGAAGATCAATGACATACGCGAGCGTGTGGACAGTCGGGATGCCATGCCCTATGGCTTTGCGACGTATGACCAGATCTCTCAGGCTCACATTACCGCCTTCAAGAGTCGAGGGAAGCGTCCGCAGGGCACCAAAATCCGACTTGCACCACGTCCAAACGACCTTATCTGGAGCAATCTGAAGCTGTCTCGGTCTACACGACGCAGCAAACGCATCATGAACGGCATCTGGATTGCTGTCTTGACTATTATCTGGACGCCTATTAACGCTGGCATTGCTATCTTCTTGTCCAACTTGTCGAACCTGGCTCTCGTCTGGCCAGCTTTCAGGACGTCGCTCAACGCCCACAAAGGAGGCTGGGCGATTGTCCAGGGTATTGCTTCACCAGCCATCACCTCGCTTGTGTACCTTGTTCTTCCAGTCATTTTCAGAAGACTCCAGATTCGAGCAGGAGATGTAACCAAGACAGACCGGGAACGACACGTCCTTCGGAATTTGTACGGCTTCTTCACGTTTAACAACCTGATCATTTTTTCGATCTTTTCGGCTGTCTGGCAATACGTTACTCTCGTGGTTGAATACGACAGACAAGGAAATGATACCTGGACATCTTTGAGAAGGGGCAATCTATTTCTCGTCATCACCACCTCATTGTGTCAAATCTCGCCTTTCTGGGTCACCTGGATTCTTCAGCGCAATCTGGGTGCCGCTATCGACCTAGCTCAGCTCTGGCATTTGACATATGTCTGGTTTGCGAGAACATTCATGGCACCTACTCCGCGACAAAACATCGAATGGACCGCACCTCCAGTCTTTGAATACGCGAGCTACTATAACTATTTCCTCTTCTACACCACCGTCGCTTTATGTTACTCGACCCTTCAGCCGATCGTCCTGGTGGTGACGGCCCTGTATTTCTCCATTGATTGTTTCCTCAAAAAGTATCTCCTTATGTACGTTTTTGTCACGAAAACTGAGTCCGGCGGACAATTCTGGGTCACGATTTTTAACAGGATTGTCTTCGCAGCTATGCTGTCGAACGTAATCATTGCGATCGTGGTCAAGGCACGAGGCACGTGGGCACTTGTCGCGGCAATCGCCCCGCTCTTGGTCATCATGGTCGCCTTCAAATGGTACTGCATGAAGACATTCGATATGGACTTGAAGTACTATGCGCGAGGAGGCATGCAAGACCAGGAAAATCTCGCTGCGACCGACAAGCACCACCCGGCGGAGAAGATCTCGTCCAAATTTGGACATCCAGCATTATACAAACCACTCATGACGCCCATGGTTCACGCCAAGGCAAAGCATCTACTCGGAGAAATTTACCGTGGCAGACTCGACTCTGAGGGCGGCCAATCGACGACCTTTTCAGATATTGCCATGCAACCCATGTCTCCTAACAAACCGCCACCTCCAGACGTTCCGTTCGAAATCGTACCAGAAGCACAGCAAGATTTCCACTTCTACAGAAACAGACCCGAGTTCCGCGATCAAGCCGGCGACACTCTTTCCGAGCGTAGTCAAACACCCATGTCGATGTCTGGCTATGGAAAGGAAAGTTACAACTCCCCGCCGAGCTCCAGACCTATGAGTCCAGCCGTTGGTGCTCGCACTCACACACCGCCGCAAGAGTACCGTGGCGTGCCCCATCGTAAACAATTCGACCAATCTCATGTCCCCAATCAGTTCAGAACGACCAACAATCGTCGATCGGTTGAAGGCGGCGATCTCGGCTTACGGCCACATGGACCATACACTGATCCGTACGGTCAGTACGATGATCGCACAAATCTCCTTCACGGCGTGGGCGACGTCCGAACACCTACTGGCGAGTTCATGTCGATGGACCGGTGGCGGAGTCCTAGCCAAAGCAGAGACAGGACATCTACGCATACTCCAGTCGATGAATTGAACTCGGGCTACGACTATTTCAGAGGAAGACGGTGATTTGTGACATGTTTTGTGCCAAGTTTGAAAATTGGAAAGTTGTGTAAGAAGATTCATCTCGAGGTGATGAGCACGAGTTTGCGTGTTTGCATGTTTCGGGATTAGAAGGACCAAACAAATGGAGATGAAGCGCATTTTACGATGATATGAAAATCCAAAAGCTCAGTAATGATTTGAAGAAAGATAGAATAGAATGTCTTCTCTTTGGTTTCAAGCATTGAAATCAACAATTGCAGTGTCTAGTCTGACCTACCAAAACCAAGCTGAAGTACATATTCGTTCGTTCTAATTAGTCGCCGCTACTCCGTACACTATCGTATCCCGTTAAAAGGCTCCGCTGAGCACGCCGCAAAGATTCCAGCCTTTTTGCTTCCAGCACTGTCGAGATGGTCAGCCACACCGTCCATTCTCATCAATACACCCCAGGAAAACCACAATGCCCCGTCAAATCTTTCCCTTGCATCGTAATGTAATGACACGCTGAAATGAAAGTGAACGATGGCGAGTAATGATCCGTCGGACATCCAAATGAATGGCGATCACATAACCACTGCCAAAGCAAAAGTAGCCCCTGATCTTTGGAAGAAGCATCGAAACAACCTCGTCGAGATTGACCGGGGCGGTATCCCGCCGGTCGTAACGTCCCAGACGAACCATGTGATTGATCCAACCGACGAGCATATTCTTCACGAAGCATTTCGACGCCTTGTCCGGGTACTCTCTAAGATCCAAACCGCTTGTACCTGGCAGTTTGAATGGTCACCCACGATTTCTAATCCTCCCAATCATACGTCGAAGCCCTTGTCGTCGGCGCCGCCCCAAAAGAGATTCGAGAAGAAGACTCCGCCGTTGTGCTTTTTGTGGCCACGTTGTTGCGAAGGTGTAGCACGCTACAGCAGTGTCCCATGAAACGTGTCACATAAGGATCCATTGTTGTTTTGGGCTTAATGTTAGTGTCAGTGTCAGTGAAGTAGCCAGCACTGTTTGGAATGAGTGGAGTCAGAGACGCTTCTAGTGGTCGTAAATGGTGTTGAACTTCGGCAGGCTCGATCCTTATTACATCGTCTCTATTAACAAGGTCGACCTCAAACCGCAGTCGATCTCCTTGAATGTTAGAGTGTGGGCTAAGGTGAAGCTCTAATTGCGAGAAAGATCATATATTGCGAACCAAAAGAGAATATTCACGTTGACGAAGTAGTTCCTGATAGTCCCTGTCATTGTCAAACTTAGTTATTCTGAGCTGAAAAGTTGAGCATAGATTCGAAGGGTGGTAGAGCCTGCATTCGAATTTGCCATAGAAGAACACGCTCATGGACTCGGAAAGGCATGAGAGGAATTGAAGAGAATATTATGTGGTTTTGATACAGAAGCGAAGTGATAATCGTGAACGAAAGTGATAATGGCTGATGGAAGTAAATTCAGGTACGGCGCATCATTTGACTCCGTATGATAATACGGTCAAGTAAATGCGCTTTCAAGCGAGAAACTCTGACTGCACTCATACCTCTTCCTCTCTATTCTACTCGCACCTATGTAACAACGTTCCTCCAGGACGGTGTATACTCAGATCTACTACCGCCTGCGATTCAAGACTCTAACGTATCTCGCGTGGTCAGATCTTCACGTTCGACACATTGTCCTTGTGAGGAGACCTCGGTACGTGCTCGGTTAAGAGGCGACACCCCTGGGACTGCCAGCAGATCCAGGGCCAATTCATGCATCAGTGGCATTGGCACTGTGGAATCCTGGAGCACTCAATGTCAAATCAATTCTCAGCAGTAAACAGTGTCTACCCCGACTCATTTGCCGCGAGAACAGACGAGTTGAAACCACTATTATCCCTTGGTCCGACTTCGGTATAAATGTCTTTCAGTATCAGCTTTCTTCCCCACAACGTCTAGGAATCCTCAAATGATGTATGTCGATCGACATTCATTTACCTTAAAAGGGTTTGTTCTACCGGTATAGCACTGGCTCCTGTCGAACGTCTATCCCTGCTAGCAGCCATGGCATATGCTGATCACCCTGCACGTCTTCGGGGTACACTTCGTCATTGTGTAGCATTTGACGGCCTTTCATGCAAGCGCAGAACGCTGCTCCGATTCAGACAGCTCTTACGGTCATTCGACAGGCCATTATCCGACTGTACCACCGGTACACGTGCAAAACAGGCGAAAGCCATGGCCCCAATCATAGGGCCGAAGCGACTCGTCGGCAAACGACCCTTTCCCCGACAAAGTGGCTACTGCTATTAAAGAAAACCCCAGATCCCCCCGTTCTGTGGCTTTTCCTCCCGGGGTAACTCTTCGTATACGGAGCAACAGTGCGTTCAGACTTACTCGGCGCCATGGAGAAAACAATCCTAGAAAAGCAAGAGCAATATGTCGAACCTGGAGATCCAGTCCATCTAGAGAAGTCTGGACTTGGCGACCATGCAGGTCTCGACGATTCCAATGTAAGTAGAAACTACGGCTGACCTGGCCTCAATTTTCATCCTTGACACCTGGTTAGCTACCTCGATATGACGACAAGGAGACGAAACGTATCCTACGCAAGGTCGACTACCGACTACTGCCTATGCTGACGGTGCTGTACGTCCTCGCTTTCCTGGACCGAGGAAACATTGGAAATGCCAAAGTCGCCGGCATGAACAAAGACCTGAACCTCACCGGAACCCAATATAACATAGCACTGACGGTACACTCTGGCTTCTATCACATCTATCAAACAAAATGCTGACCAGATCAAAAGGTCTTTTTTCTTCCCTACGGCTGTCTAGAAATTCCAAGCAATGTCATTTTGAAACTGATACGACCGTCGCTGTGGATCATGATCATGATGCTCTCCTGGGGACTGGTATGTACAATTTCCGAAACAAGTAATCCAGCTATGACCTGAAGCGATATATCACGCACACCGACCTCTGCATTACGCACAAGGCTATTGATATCGGCGGAGAACCCCCAAATTGTCATTCCTCGGTATCAATATGAGTTAAATGGTAACCGACAAAATACAAATATATCAAGAGACAATCTCAAGGACGGTGAGAATGACGAGCACCGAGACACTAATAGGGACAGTAATATCGACTAAATTATTAGTTACTCAGTCGTGCGGTTTTGAATCAATCGCCTGTAGCGAATGACAATGGGGGCCACTTAAGTATAGCCTTGTGCGTAATGCAGAGATGGGCGTGCGTAATACCTATCGCCTGGCCTGACTAACACTCATACCCAAAGGTCATGACCCTGCAAGGTATTGTTCAGAATTACCACGGCCTCATCATCACCAGAACACTCCTGGGAGTCACCGAGTCCGGCTTCTTTCCTGCTGCGACGTACTTGCTTACAACGTAAGTCTTGCTCACTGAAGCCTGGCTCTACCCGACCAAGCTCTCCACACCCGCACTTGTCAGGCCTGAGAGGACGACGATAAGCTAATTGAACGCTGGCTTTTGATAGATGGTACTGTCGCTTCGAAGTCCAAACACGTCTATCAATATTCTTCTCTGCAGCGTCATTGGCTGGCGCATTTTCCGGCTTGTTGGCGTTCGCTATCGAAAAGATGGATGGCATCGCTGGTCTCGGCGGCTGGCGTTGGATCTTCATCCTCGAAGGCATGGCCACCGTCGTGGTCGGGTGCTCCCTGTACTGGACGCTCCCGGACTCGCCTCAAACGGCGAGCTTCCTCACCCCAGCCGAACGGGACTTTATCATCCGCCGCCTCAGACAGGACGCAGGCACATCGGCCGGCCAAGTTCGCACCGACGATGGTTTCCAGTGGAGATACCTCCGCGCCGCCTTGTCTGACTGGAAGATCTACCTGGCCGTCATCATCTACTGGGGCAACAGCATCTGTTTGTACGGCTTCACGTACTCTGCGCCCACCATCATCCTCGAGCTTGGTTACACGGCCGCAAATGCCCAACTGCTCACGATCCCCATCTACCTCGTCGGGGTGGCCAGCACGATATTCTTTTCGGTGCTCGCCGACAGACACCAGACGCGCTGGCCTTTCATCGTTGGTCCTTACAGCGTTGCGTTGCTCGGATTTGTCGGCCTGCTTTCGATCCCGCATCCAAAATTACCCGGCTTGACGTACGCTTTACTCTTCACCATCCCGGGCGGTGTCTACCCACCCTTGATCGGATGTTTGTCCTGGGTTGGCAACAACATAGCACCTACGTGGAAGAGAGCCATCGGTATGGCCCTTCTGATCAGTATTGGAAATGTAAGTATACCTACTCCTTTGTTCCTACGGTGGTCCCGAGGGGAAGGGGGGGGGAGGGGGGTCCTATACAGGGGGGGCCTATACCCCCGAAGCGAAAACTACGATCTGATGCGTGGTCCTTTTGCGACTACAACCCGATACGTTGACTCCGCGAGAGACAAATATAGCTAACATTTGTTGTCCTTCTCAGCTCGGCGGCGCGGTCGGCTCCAATATCTTTCTGGCAAAACAAGCACCGCATTACTGGCTTGGCTACGGGCTGGCACTCGGCATGATTGCGGCGGCTATTATTTCTACTTTCATCCTCAGAATCGCCTACGGTGTTCTCAACAAGAAGAGAGACCAGATGAACGAGGAAGAAATTCGAGCCAAGTATACCGAAGGTGCGTTTGTACTTTTTTGTCCCACACTAGACGAAAGATGTACTGACTTTCTTTTGTTTTCAGAGGAGTTGCTTGACATGGGGGACAAGTCACCTCTCTATCGATATGTCATTTAGACAGACTCAGAGAGAACCGATGTTTTGTGAAAAGAAATGAAAAAATTGCGGTATGTCTGAGGTGGAGGACCAAAATCCACGACTGACGCATCAATGGCACTGCTCCATACCTATGGTAGCGTTACACATGCAAGCCCTTCTCACCAACAATCATACCACGCGTTCAGAGCAAGACCTGTGTTCTCGTCTGCCCCAAGTCGAAGCCCCTCAGAAACTGTCTGCCACAGTAAAATATGGTCCGGATCGGTCAGGCGGATGTGCACGCACCGTATGGATAGTCTTGGAGTTGTCGTCGGTGCTTCAAGCACTCTTGGCCGAAGCCAGCCCATTCATTTGAGATGTTCTCTGTCGATTTCTTAAAGCACACTAAGCAAAGCCCATGTATGCTGCTTGATTCGAATTTGTTGATTTCGTCCTCGATCAACACGCCCCATTCCACTGAACAAGACTTGCACCCCCAATTTCCGCATGTGACTGACAAGTCGTTCATATGAGTCTGTGCGATCTTTCGAACGATCTCGATGGTAGCTCGCAAAGACTTTTTCGATGCAGTTGACTGATAGTTCTCTCCCGACGGGTCTCCTGGCCATAGTCCGAAGGCCACCAACGAGGAAGTGAACTCTGTTATCCTCGTATCTTGACTCTCACAGTTCTTTCCGACACTTGCACTATACTCGTCGGTACTAATGTAAGCTCGGGTGCTGCTGCTGCCGATACTTCCGTCGTCCTGGAAAAGTCTTCCAATGAAACTCATGCAAAGATCAATGAATCTCCTCGACGTTATATCGAATGCAGTTTCCAGTGCGGCTATAAAATTGTTTGTTAGATCAAGACACAACAAAGACCATAATACTCACCGTAAAGTCGGTCACTCTCTTCTGGGCTGAGCAGGCGTGGGTCGAAGTCTTCCTGAGAAGTAGCCAAATACTCGTGCCCCTTAACATCTGGATCACGTGTGTCATAGCAATGCCAGTTTATGGTTTCAATGGCTGTTTTCGTGCAGTGGTTGAAGGCGTCATGGGCGTCCATCATATAACAAGCACCGATACGACTTGTAAGTCTGCAAAAGTCGGGCTCTTCTTTGATGATGTGCTTTGCTGACAGATAGCCGTGGAACCACAGTCTTATCACTGGACTGCAACAGTACTTGTCGCTCTCCCACGCCAACTGATTGATTTCCGAGTCATGATTGTAGTAACATTTTTGATAGTCGTGAACCGTGGGATCATGGTGGAGTATGCGAAACATGAGCTCCATCGCCTGCGGATCATCTTCCGGCAGGTCTAGGATCGGAGGATCATCGTTACTCAGTATCAGCTGGCCCTCACGAAACGGACCAGTGAGCATCGCCTTGAACACCGGTGAACTGAGGATGAGAATCTTGCTCGAAACCCGCATGAGGAATGGAAATTTGCACATGACAACGATGCGGCTGACAACACCGTCGCTACTGCGCTTTCTCTACTGTGGTAGTTAGACGAAGATCAAAGCGTGGGATTGTCTTGGCCCTTGGAAGTACATGCCTTGTGTCCAGTTTGGTTAGATGTTGCCTTGGTTGAGTCGTTGCTGGTATCTTCTGTGACATCACGACCGGATTCCTGTACTCCAGCAGATTCAAACTCACCTCCAATTCGAAGAATGAGGTCGCCGTCTGGGTCGATGGTGATCATCTCCTCTTGTGGTGATGAAGAAGACGATATGATTCTGACTGTTTCTAGACAAAGGAGCTTCCCCATGACGAGAATACTCGATTCCGTGGAAAGCTAGGAGGAATAATAGAGAGGAAGAACAAAGTTGGGGAGGTTGAGTGCTGGTTATCACTTCGCCGGCCTCAAGGTGAAGACAAAGTGAGAGCATATAACTGCAAGAGGCAACCAAGGGGAGCCCACATAGTGAATGAAGTCGTTGCGATTGTTTGTCACTTGAGGTCTATCGACGCAGAGCACAGGTTTCCTCTCATTACTTCTGTAAATATCATCACTCTCATCTTCCACAACCTTCGAGTGCCTTTTAAAGCATAAACTGCCTTGAAATGTTCTTGATTTAAGCCATAGACACATCATTACTGGAAAATAAATACATAAAGACTGCCTCGGCCTGCGCACACAACACTGCGCCGCGGCAGCAACACCTAGTTTAGCCCTCCTTCGCAATGAATTCTTAACATTTCAAACGCATAGTCGTGACACTCACCATGTATTGGTCGTATGTCTGACTCCTCGAGGTCCATCTGATGGCGGATGTTGCACACTGGTCTGATATAACTCAATTGCTCACTCGTTGAATTGCTACTTGGCCTAAACGTGCCTTGGTGGGTCCGAGCCGACTCTGCAGCCGACCGTGCAGCCGACTACACAGGCGACAGTGCGCTTGGTGCAAAAGGAATGGCATATGGCACTCCAGCCAGCAATTACAATTCTCAAACTTTTGAACGGTGTATAAAAGAGGCACAATGTCTACAAAAAAAGAAGTCTACAAAAAAGTCACCAACTCTACAACACCGAAAGACCATGTCTAACCTCCTCCAAATCGCCGTCTTGATCGGGTCCTCCAGACCTACTCGGATCGGACCACTCGTGGCAGGATGGCTCACCGGCAACCTGGAATCCGACGAAGAACTGCTTGATGCTCGATTCTCAATCGTCGACGTCGCTCGATTCGACCTTCCCAGCTTCAATGAACCCGTCGCGCCCCGGGCGGTCGAGAACTTGGACCAGTTTACTCATGCGGCGACCAGAGCATGGAACAAAGAGATCGCCAGATACGACGGATACATTGTCCTTTCCCCGGAGTACAACCAAGGCATTCCCGGGGCTCTGAAGAACGCACTCGATTTCCTCCACCATGCCTGGGCCGGAAAGCCCGCCATGGTTGTGACTTACGGCACTTTCGGTGGCGGCCAAGCTGGCCAACAATTGCGGCAGGTCTTGAAGGACGGTATTGGCGTCAGAGTGGTAGATATCACTCCCCAGCTCGAGTTCCCGGGTCGTGACGAGTGCAAGCACAACACCAGTCCGGCGCTGTCTCAAGCCCTGGCCGGAACAGTGACAAAGGACACTTTGGATTATTGGAAAGAGACCAACGGTCGGGAGATTGTAGAAGGTGCCAGAGAGTTGTTGAGACTCGCTAAACAACCCAGATAAATGCGGATGAGAAGGAGGGCTCTAGTTCATAGCTCACGAGGTTGTTTCACTGGGTGGGTCGGTCATAATATTTGGATTCCATCGGATTCTCGATAGCAGTTGCCCTAATACCAACGATACATCAGCCATGCACGAAATAAATGTGCTCCATGTACGTACCTGCTAAGGGCCAGTAAGGTTGATACCCTTCGAGGGTTTCTTTCATTGTTTTCAACGCTTTTTGAGAACTTTCATTTGTCATTTCATCGAGACCATAACGAAAAAAGGCTTCCGCCGAATGAAAGAAGCACTGCAGTTCCCACAGTGAGATGACTTGGGAGTGTCGGTATTCTAGAAGTGGGACAATATTGGCTCTGTCGAAGACCATTCGTATGGCTGTATCTATGACGGCATGGTGCTCGTGGCCCTTCGTCACTCGGCATTCGTGAGATTGATTGCTACTCCGGTCATGGAGGATGATTATTGCACTCAAACAGATGTCAGGGGGTCGCTGACGGAGGAGTTATTAAAGGGACCGGCCACTCACCTGATGCAAATGGCGAGCAATGAACAGTTGATGTGAGAGCCTTGATCTCGATCTTCCACCAAAGAAGTAGCAAGCATGTTGATTGCCCGGTCAAGGCTAGCTGTTCGGTTCTCAGCATTAATTATATCCACCGTTGATGGCTCGTTGCATTCATTGATTGCCATCTCAAGGAGAAGCGCTGCCTGACAAAGTCTGCTAAACCATGACGGGATGCTTTTCGCGACGACGCTGACTGCACCTCTCGCACGCCGCCTACAACTCTTCTTGCATTGAAGGCCCATTCCAGCTCCGAGACTTAGGTCTTTGTCCAGCAGGCTCGTCTTGAGGCAAGGCGTGGGACAGGAGAAAGAAGCGGGTGCAAGGTCATCGTCATTGTGGACGGACCTGATCATTCTTAACAAGGGGTTAGATTGTTCTGGACAAGGTTCAGTGGGTGCCTTACCGCTCCAGAGCGTACAGGCACCAAGCGACTCGGCGCCCTTCTTCGTCAACGAGGCAGACTTCGTCAGATTTCGAACCACAATGCCAGTGTAAGTACCCGAGACCTTCAGCGATCCTAGTGGCCGAAGCAATTGTTCCAGCTGCTGCAACATGACTTCCTTCCAAATGCTCGTACAAAGCAAGGAGAACCGAAACCTGCAACATTTCCATGCTCATTTCTAGTCTCATGAGGAAAGCCGAACGGAAAGAGATTATCCTCACGTACAGCTCCAGGTTCGATGTTCTGTTTTCTACCCTCTGTGACTGACCGACTCGGGCCAAAAGAAGGCAGGAGAGAGTCAGCATTGAAACACTTGCGTCGTAGTGGCCCCTCGGAAGCTCATCACACAGCCTGTAGAGACTTTCCTCGTCCACCACGGGAAGCCATTTGTTAAGGCCTTTGAAATATGGCTCCAGGCGTCTGGGGAGGTCCCGCGGTGCCGTTGACTCCAGATACAGAGAGAGAACGTCTTGAAACGGATCAGAGGGAAAACGGTTTTGCACAGTAGCAACCACAGTAGTGTTCTCCGTGCTTCCGTCGAGACTACATTTCAATCCAACCCTGTCAGTGTTAGAATGTTCTCAATCGGGTGGGAAGATTGGAAAGATTACTTGCGGCATCTACCACACTTGGGTGTTGTGCGATCACATCGTTTCTTGCGGACGGTACATTGACTACAGCGCTGACTCCCAGCCATGTTCTACTTTGGCGTTGCTTGCGTTTATTGCCAGACATGGACTAGATGAGAGTAGGTCAAGGGCGTTAAAGGGTGCTCGATGTGGGCAACGCTTTGGGTTCCTGCTTGATCATGTCATGTGATCATGTCTCGATTCGATAAGGCGCTAACGGCCAGATTCTGACTTCGACCGTCCTGACTACGCCTTGACCTCTGTGCCTGCAAATATTGCTAAACCCGTGTCCGCTTTCTTTGATTTCGTTTGTTACGAGAAAGGTCGCCCAGCCCTGACAGCAGATGCGTGACTGGTCGCTCCCACCTCATCCGAGATACAGACGATAGCGAGTCCGGATCGGTCTTGTCTGGCGGCGAACGGGATCCTCGGTATGCGTCAGACCTTGCCAGACGCGACTCGATCATGCGAACGCGATCTCGAGCTCCACTACTCATGAGGATGAATATCCCAGACTGTCGAAGAAAGGTCACGCCTGAGGCAGGGCTTGCTGCTTCATCATATCATGGAATGACTTCGGACTATCCTCGCCGAACAACAGGTGGTGAGACTGACGATTCTCGTCCTTCTCCTTTTCCATTCTCAGCCACATGGCTTCCTCGTATTCCCTCATGCTTTTTCGGAGACCCTCCAGCACCTCTGCTTTCCCCGGCTGGACGTCGAACTCCTCCGCACCAGACAAGGCCTGGCCCATCTTCTTTCCCAGGTCCAGAGCGTCCAGCATAGCCATGTTTGCTCCTCTGCCGGTCCAAGGCGGCATGACATGAGCGGCGTCTCCAAGCAGGGTCGCACCTAAATTCGTCCTCCATCTGCCTCCCTCTGTAGGCTTCAAGGTGTCGTATAATGGCCACAGACGCATCTCGCTCGACTTGCTGTCGCGAACGACATTCTTGACGCTATCAGACCACTGCGTAAAGAATCGATTCAAGATCGTCTCTTTTGTAATGGTAGGGTCGGACCAATCCAGCCCAGACGCAGTGGCCCAAGTTTCCGGAACCGTCAAAGCGATGTAAACACGGATCCCTCCATCGGCATTTCTCTGGGCCATCAAGGCTTTGTTGAAGGCGACGGCCATGTAGCTGCCTTTGCCTACCATAGCGGAGGTCTGCTGACTTTCTGTTGCTGGACTGATGTTAGTCTCGACTATGGTCATGCCTGAATATACCGGGTCTGGGGCGGAGACCTGAGAGACGAATTTAGTAAATTTCTGAAAGGCCCCAGTGGATGGGGCCAACCTACCAGCTCTCTTGTGCGGCTCCAAGTCCCATCTGCTCCCACGACAAGGTCGAAGAGGACTTTGCTGTCGGGGGTTTCCTCGTGGCCGCCCACAACGATCTGAAAACCTGCTGCATGTGAAACAATGTTCACGACTTTCTGTCCCCAGCGAACCTGGACGTTGTCCACGGTTTCAACATCCTGAGTGAGAAGCCTCCGCAGATGGCCCCTCCCAATCTCAGGCTTATCTCTAGCCTTTCCCTCCTCTTCGGTAACTTGTGCCGCCATCTGTCCATTGCAATCATCCACTCTCCAACCTTGAGCATCATAGTGTGCTTTCCGGGTGAAGCAATCCCAGATACCGGCTGCCTTGATTGCCAGTTGGCCGGAATCCGCGTGGAGATCGAGCTGACCGCCTTGAGGACGCTGCACCGGGTCTGAAGGTGACAGATCTCGGTCGAAGATGGTGATGGAGAAGGGGTAGCAAGACCCTGAGGACGAGGAAGTGGCGTGCACTTCTTGGGCAATGATGCGTGCAAGTGACATGCCCGCAATACCTCCACCGACTATGGCAATGAGAATCGGGTGCTGAGCAGACATTGTCAGATTTTTGTCGCCGAGACTGGGTAAAAATCAATAATATTGGTGGGCTTGTGATGAGCATGCGATGGCCATGGCTCTCTGCTGTCGACGTGAAGTACTGATATAGCTTTCCCGCTACGTGGTCATCTTCGTTTCAGTAAATGCCCGGTAAATATCTATTGTTAACGCCTTGAAGTCCGGAAGGCTTACTTTTAGTGGAGCATCTATTACACTGACTTGAACGTCACCATCACGTCTACCATTTGTTGTCGTTGGTGTGCCTCTCTGTGGACGGTTGTTCGATAGTTCCAGACGGTTGGACATGGCAGTATGCCTCCGAACAAGATCAACCTGACTGGCTGTCGTATTGCCGAATTCCCGAATGTTGACGAACCACATTTCATGGACTGTGAGGCTGGAGCTCTTAGCTCCGTTGTTCAGGCGGCCGGCCCAGTCAGAATCGTTTATCTCGGAGAGGCGAATCCGCAAACTCCAGGCGGTTTGTAAGTCCGCTTCCGAGTTTCTGATGGAAGTTACTTCCAATCTCTCTCCCTCGACCTTCATTCCTCAGAAATGGTCGATACATGAGTGATTCAGTACGGCAGGAGCTCGCATGGTGCTAAAGGCCGGACCTTGTGTTGCTCGAGGCTGTCATTATTTCCTCCGAGGATATGTCCGCCGCTGGTCCTTTGAGCCGGTACGCGGTAGGTCAAGCATCAAAGATATGCACTCGTCGCTCGTTCGGCTCACAACGTTGCAGTGTGACTACTGTAGAAAGAAAAAGGTTTCTATGGCTGTACTATGGTCTGAAGACAGGGCCTGGTCGCTGACTGCGAGCAGCTGCGTTGCTCTCGGGAAAAGCCAAAATGCGAGAACTGTCGCAGCTGGACTAGTAGCTGTGACTACTCCAAAGACAGAAGTCTGGCAGGGCGACTTCATGAACATACAAGGTCTGCGACTACGTTGTAATTGCGGGGCTCTATTCTGAATTTTGTTTCGTTCCAGGGAAGTGGAAGGAAGTTCACTAAAGGCTAAGAACAGAAGTCCTGAGACGACTTCGAGCCCCCGTGCTCACCCATCTGGAAGTTGTGCAGTCCATGGAATTTCCACAGAAGAGGCTGGACCCTCGTCACATCACTCTTACATCCAAACTCAGCATCCCATACTCTCTGAGGATACTTCGCAGTCCACAAGCGTCGTCGCTACGCTGGCTCATGCTCAAGGAGTTGCTGACCATGTCGGCGCCTATATTGACCAGCCGGGAGTCAATAAGGAGGGTGTAGGCATGCTTTCGGATTTGTGCAGAGGCTTTTTGGAATCAGGATATGATTTTGATAAGATCAAAGCCGCGGTCAGGAAATCAAGAAGAGAGGGAGAAAAGTTCTTTATTCCGACCGAGCCTGTCGGACGAATGCTTGTTCAATGTAAGAAAGGCCTGCTTTGACATCTGAAAATGAGACTATCCGGTGTTCGAGATGAGGTACACTGACAGAGAATGTCTTTGGAAGGTTTTGTGGCCTCGATCACACGAGGGTATCCTATCATTTCTGGCGTGCCTCAAGACCATTTATACGACTTGGTCTTTCGTCCTTCTTCAGTCCAAGAACGTGGATGGGTATTGATCTTCAACACGGTGCTTGCAACTGCTTCATCTCTTGATGCCGCATTATCTGAGTTCAGCTCCCAGCTCCGATGGAATGCGTGGCTAGCCGCCGACGAGGCTAGTATTTACGTGCAGCCCAGCATACTCAATATCCAGGCTTTGACGGTATTTGCGGCCCACGGTCAAGATCTTGTCACCCCAGGGGCATGCTGGAGCTTGATGAGTCAAGCCTGTCAGATGGCCCAGATGATCAAACTACACCTACCATCCAAGACCGCTCCCAGAGATAGCGAAGCTTATGGCCGAAATCTCTGCCTCTTCTGGAGTTTGTTCAACATTGACAAATCTTTGTCCTTGTCTTTCGGCTGTCCTCCAATCATGTCTTCACGTCTCTACAGGAATGTCGACTTACCCTCCTCTAAACACCTTGCAGCGTACAAGCCACATCTCAGCCAGGATGAGTCGCCGGAAAATTCAACCATCTCACCTCTTGTTGAGTATTTTGGGGCGTTTTATTTTGTTCAGGTAACCAAGCTGGCCATGATCGAAGGCGAAATCTCCGACTATTGCCTTCTCGGAAGCGACAACGCACGCCTTCATCTCGATCTCAAGGATAAGCTGGACCGTTGGATCTCTATAGTCTCACAGGTAGGCCCTGATGCCAGTCTGTTACTGTTTTGGTAATACACTCACGCTCCCGAACAGACTAGGTCATTGCATAGCGAACTGGGGAGCTCATCTTGCTCGGCCCAAGCCTCGATAAAACTCGGCTTCGATTTCCTGACGTACCGTCATCATCACCTCGTGGTCTGTTTGACACGAAGTGATGAGAGTTGCCGCGAGGTTTGCCTCAACTCAGCCAGGGTTGCTATTTCATTATTGAAGGATTTGGTTACGCATTCAGAAGAGGTCTTCAATGGAATCATTTGGTACGTCAAGACGGGATGACACTTTTTAAGCAGCTCTGATTCTGGGGTCTGATTGATATGTCCAGGCAGCTCTTGTACTATCCGTTCACCCCCTTCTTCGTCCTCTTTGGAGAAATTGTCACCAACCCAAGGTCTAAAGCGTGCATGGATGACCTACAAAGCTTGCGGCAGACAGTGTTGTACTACTTACAGTTTCAGAAGTACCACTCGTCCGCCGTCAAGCTGGAGAGAGTGGCTGAAACGTTCACTAAAATCGCCGAGGCATTCGTTCGGCATACCTTTCGACAAAGCAAAACAGCGACAGTCAACGCCGTCCCGAATACGCCTGTAGTTTCAGGCAGAACGACACTACATCCCGAGGGCAAAAGAACCAGCAGGATTAATCCCTTACCTAGATCAAGCAGAACATCAGGTCAACTTGGGTCCGAGGCTGTCCAAGCTAGCACTCTCCATTTCCAGCCGACAATGCCGCCAGCTGCGTCCAACAACACTCTTCCTGATCCCATGGACTACCAGCTTCACTTGAATGAAGGGGCGTCACTAGATCCGAACTCTCTCTTCCATCTCTTCTCCTACTCGACGACAGGCGACCAAGAATCCAGTATACATGACACGAATGACTGGCCAGGAAATCCGCAGGAGTCTGCAAACCGTCTTCAAGTCGACAATGATAGAAGCGGGGATCATGTTGAGCAATTTCCACCGGATTTGGGATCCGGGAAATATGTTTCATTGAGGGATGTTGAGACCAATGCGCGCAATCAGTTCTCAAATTGTACGTTTGACTGGTTCGGCCTCGAAAACTGCGAGATATGACTACTATCCAACAGTGGACCTTAAGGCATGTCATCATATAGTGCAGTAATTTACCGTGTTATCTGGAGCTATTGTGACTGCAGGATGAGTTCTGCCAATGCATGTGAGAAAGTGATCTATATATTTTGCATGATGCCAACAAAAGAGGTTTTACAGAATTTTGCAAAGCACAAATATTTAGGACAGAAAAGTTACCCTAAACTCGGCATCATTGTGTCCCGAGATCCCTGTGATCGGAGCAATTGTACCCTTCAGGTTAAGGTAAGACCGGTGAGCAATGCGATGGTTGCCATATTGATCAATGAACATTGGTCAAGAGTTGTGAAGAAGTCTGGCCTCTTCAGACACCACAAGACTGACTTTGGAACGGAAAATCCTCCTTGTTGAGAAAATCAAATGAGTACTTCTGTCTGGACTATGATCACTGTTTCTGTGCCGCTCCTACCGAGAAGCCCATTTGATCTGGTGAAGAGAGGAACTCCGATGCCGATTGCTATATCGCCATGTCCTTTCACCTTCCTCCACAACCCCCCTCTCCCCAGAGCCTTCCCCGCAAATGTATCCCTTGATTCACGATTCGCAATCCGAAAGGCCACTTCCAATATCTCCATCGACACGGCATCAGTGCAGGGAGACGTATCAGTATCCACCGTTCAAACCCCGATGATGGACCGCCAATGCGAAGACACTCCGTTCAGCTCTGCTGGACGCACATCATGTCTGTGGCGAAGGCGCCTCGATTATAAGTGCGCGTTTTCTTGAATTCAAATGTCTACATCCAAGACAGAGGCCAAGCAAGTCAAATCACACCACTTGATACCATACCAAACTCGATTCTCAACCTTTGTCATCAACATGTCTCCCGGGAAAACCAGGGACGAGCTAAGAATCTTCACCCCCGTCGGCCAATTCGGCCAAGGGTGGAACAACGGCATCTTCTGGGACACCGTTGAATCTGGTGTTGACGCTATTATTGCTGATGCTGGTTCAACTGACAGTGGCCCTGGACGTCTTGCGCTTGGTAAAACCGCTGCCTCACCGGCGGGATACAAGAGGGATCTAGGCGAGTTGGTCAAGGCATGCCATACCCATGGGGTCCGCTGCCTCATAGGCTCCGCCGGCGGATCTGGCTCCAGTGAGCTCGTCGACATGAACACTCGCATCATCAAAGAGATTGTCGAAGAAAATGGATATCGTCCCATGAAAGTCATCAGCATCTATGCTGAGATCCCTAAGGATTTGGTACACCAAAAGTTCAAGGACGGTCTAATTAGTCCTTGTGGACATGGTGTTCCTGCTCTCAAGGAAGACGATATAGACTCAGCAGTGAGGATCGTTGCACAGATGGGGTTGGAACCTTATGTGAAGGCAATGAGTGAGAATCCAGATTTTGACATTATCATCGGTGGACGATCATATGATCCTGCTCCATATGCGGCGTTTTGTATCCATCATGGGTTTAACGATCTTGGTCAGTGTTTATCCTGTTTGAACCTACTAGTATTACATCAGGAACGGTACTGACGTTTTGTTGTTATCAGGTATCAACTACGCGATGGGTAAGATCATGGAATGTGGAGCGCAATGTGCAATCCCCAAGACGAGAGAAGGTCTTGCCATTGTACGCGACGATAATTTCGACCTTATCCCTTTGCAACCAGGAGCGAGGTGCACTCCAACGTCAGTGGCCGCTCATCTCCTCTACGAGAAGAGTAGACCAGATATCCTCCAAGGTCCTGGCGGTGAGCTTCACACCCGTGATATGACATATGAGCAAGTCGACGAGCGTACAGTTAGAGTACGTGGACCCAAGTTCGTTCCACAGCCAGAAGGAGAGTATACGGTCAAATTGGAAGCCGCACGAGTCAATGGCTATCAAGCCAGCTTTGTCGGTGCCTTCAGAGATCCCATCCTGATTTCACAGCTCGACACGTGGATCCCTGCGGTCAAGGAGACCGTCAAGGGTAGGATGTCTGGAAACTACGAGTACGAGACCAAGATCATCACGTACGGTATCAATGGTGTGATGGGTGCTCTAGAACCGAACAAGACTCTCCCGCACGAGGTTTGCGTGGTCGTCCAATGCAAGGCACCCACAATGGAGCAGGCCATGGAAGTGGCCAACAGAACCAAGATGGGCTTGACACATGCCCCGTACGCAGGTCAACTTGCGACAGCTGGAAATTTCGCCTGGCCCATCACTCCTTGCGAGACACCCATCGGTCCAGTGCCGGAATTTTGCATATACCATTTGATTCACAAGGCGGATCCTGTTGGCCTGTTTCCTTTCAAGGTGGAAGAGTACAAAGGATCCAACACATACGTGCATACTGCTCGTAAGTTGTATTCCGGTCGGTGTTACGAGGAGGGTGATTTACTAACCTTGGGGATAGGTGAAAAGGTGCCTCTCAAGGCTGACGCTGCTGTGGCCAACATCAAAACCCCTGCAAAGACAGCAGGACAGCCCAAGAAGTATTATCTCTTGCCTGAGCCGGCTCAAGGAACATGTTACCTCGGAGACGTTGCTTCTGTCCTTCGTAGCAAGATCGCCGGCCCTTACGAAGTCACCTTCGACATCATGTTCCCTGATGACGAGACCTATAACAAGGTGAAGAATTCGAATTTGTTGTCGGGACCAACGGTGGCCAAATTGTACAACATCCCGGAAAGTGATGTTATTGCTGCTCTTTGGTGGGACCCCGCGAGAGCGTTCAAAGCCACGATCCCTCGTTACCGTGCATCGGCTGGATTCGAGGAGACCGACACGCATGGTTCGCAACAGCATGCTCCGTTGCTGTACTTGACTTTGCCATGGGTTAGAGAATAGTGATACATAGTTTCTGCAATGTCTTTGTCGCTTCCCCTGAGCCAAGCCGTCTCGGTCGAGACTGTGCGAGCCTCCTAGTTCGGCGATAAAGTGGCATGCCATGGTCCGATTGTCGCCCATGATGCGATTGTCGCAATTGTGAACCGCAGACGGTGCCTTGACACTAACGTAGACCTAGACGGCGGCCCTGAAGGAACATATAAAACCCGCGACTTGCCTCATTGTATCATTGCTCTCTCAGTGAAATAGACCTCGGTAAACTTCAGGACCTATACGACCATGTCTTCAACCCCTGTCCTTCTCTTACTCGGAGCCGGGTCGAACCTTGGTTCGAGCATCGCCACGACATTCTCAAAGGCAGGGTACAGAGTCGCTCTCGTGGCGAGATCCCACGAACCAGGCCTCCAAAAGAATGGATACTTCCACATCCGTGCCGATCTTGGTGACGCCGGATGTATGCCAGGAATATTTGAAGAGGTCACCAAAAACATGGGAATTCCGACCGTCGTAGTCTACAATGGTTTGTCAATTCTCTCTTTCTCACCAAAACCCCCTTCTCCCCTTTCTTCTAAGCGCTGTCGTCGAACGCGTGTACGAAATGTTGACTACAATGCACATGTATAGCCGTACAATATAAGCTCGACGATGAGAAAGATCCATTCGCCACCCTCGGTCCGGAGACGGTATCTAGATTCCACTCAGCCATGGCCGTCAATGGAACCACCCCCGTCATCGCAATGCACCATGCCATTGAAGCGTTTCGGAAGCTACCCTCCGACACCGCAAAGGGCCGATCGTTCATCTTCACGGGAAACATACTCAACCGTGCCGCGACGCCGAACAGACTCTGCTTCGGGTGCGCAAAGACGGTGTGCGCGTACGGGATCAAGATGGCTTCTGTGATGTATGCCTCAGAGGGTATGAGGTATGTTCTCTAGCCGATAGAGATCGACAGACCGACACACATTGTTTTTTATGTGCCGACACTGATTTTCTTGCCTCAGGTTTTATTATGCAGACGAAAGAACCTCGGAAGGATTACCTGTAATGAGAGACATTGACGGTACAGTTGCTGGGAAAGTTTACCTCGAACTGGCAGAAGCTCCTGAACAGAGACCGTGGAATTATACATACCTCAAAGATGGTAAATACCAGGACTTCGAAGACGGTAGAGAGTATATCACCGTCCGGGAGGCGAGTACTGCTGAATTCAGAAAAGGAGGAAGAGACTGAGGAGCAGCATTAGACTGAGGAACAAAATGCTTTTTATTTCCGTCGACCCTATGGAAACTCCGTCCAAGGTAAATTCTCAAAGTCCCAAAAATCAGAAGAGAACAATATACTACTAGACTGTTGAATATCCATGTAAACCTGGTGGAAATCAAACACCAAAAACGCACCTAGACGTGATCGATGTGGTGAACTTTTATCCACACTTGCCTGTACAAATGCTTCCTTGTTGTCCGGGGACGTGACGAAAGCGATGAATTGAGACAGTTTGGGGCCCTCGGACACACCCAGGGCTTCTTGGGCTCTTTCGACGTGGAGATCGATCATGTCATCTTCCCAGCCGTACGGACCCAACTTGATCCGACAAAGCAGGAGGGCAGCGTAGCATACTGACCTTCGCGTGTAAAAAGGCACGAGCGACAGATTCATCTCGCACGCGATTTGGATCAATCTCATCGCATCCTCTCGCGCTTGACAGATGATCTGGACGCTGTTCGCGGTCATGGGGACGTCGTTGTGAAGCGCAAACGACCAGATCTGGAGTCTCGAGCTCAAGTAGAATATCTCGACCACGTCGCTGGGCCGGGGAAATCTCTGACGCCGGACGTCGTCGAATTGTTTGCCAAAGACGTTGATCAGGCTGATCCGAGCGGACGGTTCCACCAGTCCGGCAGAGTTGGACCCGCGGGCTCCGAGGGCGTGGGTCGCGTCGACGGTGAGGTGGGAAATGTAGCAGAGGTGAGAGAGTTCCGGCGGCACCGCGGGATTGTCGAGCGAGTACAGCAGCGGGTAATCTGCCACGACCGTCGCGGGGACTCCACGCCTGCTCGCTTGTATCTGGGCCACGATGAAGCATGCCAACCACGTGGTTCTCCGTATCTCTTCGTAATCCTTACCATGGTAGTGGCGGTGGTCGGTGGTGTCCTCGTTGTTGTCGAGACCGAAACCGGCGTCGACGGCGGGCCGATGCAGGCCGATGCTAAGACTGATCTGTGTCGCCAGGCCGCTGTATATGAATGAAGAGTCGGTCTTTTGATTGGCGAACGGAAATGGCCACATGCACAAGATCAGCAGAGCCTGTACCATCTCGACGGTGCTGCTCTTGTGTGGATCGAGGACGTCTGCGATGAGACATCGGACGGGCGCCTCGAATTGTGACCGTGCCGTGTCGGCCGAGGCCACGGCGCAAATGACCCAAAAGAGCAGCGGGCATCTCTCGTAGATGGCCTCGATGGATCTGCAGATTCTGAAAGGAAGGTATCGATGACACCGGGTGAAGTAGATGCGGAAGAGTTCGTTGACATGCGAGGCCGTCAGTTGGACGTCGCCAAGGTACTTGTCGGCGATGCACAAGCCATCCAACAAGATTGCTGAGTCTGTTGTGCTTATTGGTGGGCAAGGAGGTCCATCCGGAACTATGACAGGAGTGGTCGACGATTCAGCGGAGATGTTAGTACGAGTAGGTGATAGCGAAGCTGGAGGGGCCCCCTTTGCAGCAGCTGTAGCTTTGTCAGGCAGTTGGTCGGTGGCAGTGCCCTTGCCCTTTGCTGTACTGGTACTCTTAGCAGCGGCCAATTTTCTTAGCTCGGCCAGTTCACTCTGCATCTCTGCTAGTTTTGTCCTTTTGGCGGTGCGCCGAAAAGTCCGGTCGAAAGTGCAGGGGGTGCCGTGTTCCCGACACCTCGTGCAGCCTTGTGGACCGGAGACGTCGGCGTCACAGCCGACTTTCCATTGACGACAACGCGTACAGGCTTTGGCCTTCATGGTGGTGGTGATGGTGATTGCGAATACTGCAGTCAGGGAGAACACAACGGCTGGGGAAACTGAGTGTGCGAAACATTGCGAACACGAAATACGGACATGGCACGCCTCATATTGGTTTTAGCGAGACGCGGGGGGCAAAAGGCCCAAGGCTGAACAAGACAAGGAGACGCGGTGATTCGCCAACCCCACATGGAGGCCCCGAGGTCGACAACATGCCGATTGCGATAATCGCAATCCGAGTCTGAGCGTCCTCACCTCAATTTCAGAGATTGCATGATGACCCACGGTGGCTCGAAACACTCATCCCAAACTCGGCGGATAGATTGTAGGCACAAAGTGAAGCCGATAGTTGGTGGTAATGGAGACTCTGCACCGGTACAGGAATTCAGCGAACGTGGACTTAGCATTCCGATAGCGCTGCGCCAGAGGCGTAATGAGGCTATGCAACAATCTAGGGTTCATCTCACCGCTGAATTCTCGAATGACGTTCTTGAAACAAAACCCAATGAATTCGACTCCAGCGAACAGAGAGGGCGGTATTTATCTCCGTTTTCTTTTTCCAATCCAGCATAGAACCACGACCACGAAGCCGACAAAGACATGGATATGGCTACCAACGGCGCAAGCAATGCACCGCACACCTTATACGTTGCCTTGCAAAGTACTGGGATAGTCGAGATCTCCTTCGACCCTAGCAAGGAACCTGAAAAATCCATATCGATCGTCGGTGTCAGCACAGACGCTGGATACATGCCAGGATGGGTTGTCGTATCCAGGGACAAGGTCTACAGTATCAGCCGAACCAGCTCTCCCGGAAGTGAGGACGAGTCTGGTGGTGTCTTTGCCTTCCAGATACCCGATGGTGCAAGCGGCGATCGTGGTTTGACTCGCATAGACAGCAAGAGCAGTAATGGCAAAGGCGGTGTTCATTGTGAAGTGAGCCCAGACGGAAAGACGTTTGCTGCCGCCAACATCACTGCATCGACAGTATCGATTTTTCAATTGTCAGAAGATGGGTCCATGGGTCAACCGACTCATATCTTCGACTACAACAAGTCCGACCCTGGTCCGAAAGAGGCACACCCGCATCAAGCGACATTCGATCCTACAGGAAGATTCCTATTCGTCCCTCTTCGAACCATGGACCGAGTGGATATTTACTCTGTCAGAAGTGCCCAACAAGTCCAAAAAGTACACAGTATTGACCTACCAGTACCGGCTGGTCCACGACATCTTGCATTCAACTCAATCAGCCCTTTAAAGGCATACATGTACCTCGTCAGCGAAAAAGACAACACCATTCGCGTATACTCGGTGACGTACGATGATACTTCGGCATCTGGGATCACGATGGATTTGAAGCAGACTTTGTCGACCATCGAGAAAGACATGGCTCCCACGCCTGACGAACACAAAGACCTTGCGTCAGAAGTGGCCGTCAGCAAAGATGGGAAATTCGTCTATGTGTCCAATCGCAATTTGACAAGGGTAGATCCAGATACAATGGTCATCTACTCGATCAACAGTGACCAGGCTAACAACGACGAGACTCACCTCACATTTGTCAAAGCGCAAGAAGTGCCTGGAAAACATCCTCGAAATTTTGCCCTTTCCAATGACAAAGACAACAAATGGGTCGCTGTGTCGAACCAGTTCACCCAGGATATAGTCATCATCGAGAGAGATTTGACCACAGGACTGTTGGGCGACGTCAAGGGGAGAGTCAATTTGAAGGTGGAAGAACCCCATCAGCCTTGTCCGGACAAAGTAGTATTTTCGGATGTTCCGAGTAAGATGACCAGGGAAGATTTCTTGAAGAATCGCGCGAATGGACCCATGTGTGTCGTCTGGAAGTAGATAATAGTTGATTCACGCGATATCGCAAAGAAGAGTGATGTGATACTGGGTATCGCGATACCACCATGACCTAGCTACGCGCTGTAATTGATGGTGTAGATATGCAAAAGACTCTCCAGAGACAACTCAATAACCAAGATCCATAATCACAAGATACAAAGATAATCCTCATATTCTCATCTTAGCCATATTCTGGTTCCTCCCTTTCACAGTCTCTAGATGGCTTTCTTTGACGAATCCCAAGCTTGACACCGACACCACTCATCCTACCTTGCCTCTCGCGAATCTTTTAACGGTCAAAAGATTCACCGTCTTGAATTGTTCGCTTACAAGATATACACCCACTAGTAGCCTCCTCCTTCTCCTTCTTTGGATGTGGTAGTCATCATCACCTTTCAAGACTGGGGCCCAGAATAATAAAACAGCCAACCACGGGTGAGGATTTTGCGAAAATCGCAAAGCCCAGAACACCAACGTGATCAATCTCCACCAAAACCAACCCACATTTTCCGTTGTCCCCCGTACTTTTTCACCTCTCCTGTGTCCTTTTGGTCCATTTTTTTTCGCTTAGACACCACTTCGACCCCACGGGGATCTGGGATAACTCCTTGACTATCATCTGAGAACGGACACCATGGGCCTATGATCCAAGAACTATATGAACCACGACTAGATCCTGGTGTACTCTCCTTTCTATCTTGGTACCACACCTCTCTTCTCTCCTCCTTCTCTCTCCTATACCTTTCCATACATATCCTCCCCGAGGTCATCCTTCCACCACTGGCACCACTCTGCATTACACCGACTCCCGACGTGACTCCAGTTCCTCGAGCAACCGCATTGTTGCATCCCACCTATTGACCTCGAGGTTCGTTCGGGTCGTCGAGGTTTTGGTCGAAACAATGCCTCTCTTCACCAACCGCATCGGCGAAAACGTCAATGGACGCCTCGCCTTCGCCTCGATCGTCATGATGCTATCCCAGATCAATTTTGGGATGGACATGGTTGCTTTTACAAATACCCAGGCCATGAACGCGTTCAACAAAAAGTTTGGCCACTACGACGCCCACCTCAAACGCTACGCCATCGACCCGTACTTTTTGTCGTTGCTCAACAGCCTCACCTACGTCGGTCAGGTGTTTGGCGTCCTGACTGGCGGCTGGATCGCGAGGCACCACGGCCGTCGAGCGTCATTCTGGGTCATGTCTTTCTGGGCCATTGTATCGGCTATCCTGTTGGTGACGGCACAGAACAAAGAACAGGTCTTGGTCGGTCGTATCTTGAACTACATCTACCTAGGTCAGGAATTAGTCACGGTCCCAGTCTTTCAAGCTGAAATTGCACCACCCAAAATTCGTGGTATGGTGATTGGAACCTTTCAGTTGGGTACTATGGTGAGTTTTTGAAAAATTACTCCTGACTTGAGACCCCAAAAATGATGAAGTTTTTGGTTTGCTAATGATATGGTATGCTGACTTTGTTGTTTTGACAGGTCGGAGCCTTTATAATGGCTTGCATAACATTCGGTACAAGCAAGATGGAAAGCGAAGCCTCTTTTCGTATCCCATTTGGAATCTTTTTTATTATACCATTCGTGGTATCCATTGGTGCATGGTTTATGAAAGAGGTCAGTCACATCTTCCTACCACCTACCATCTACACCACTACCTCTCCCTACCCAGGATTTCAAAAATCTTAGCTGGCTGACCATGGTGACTCTGTCTAGTCCCCCCGTTGGCTCCTCGTCCGAAACAGAACCACCGAAGCCCTGGAATCTCTGACACTCTACCGTCGAGGCAAATTCACGGAAGATCAAATCCAAGACGAATTTCGTGACCAGGTCGCCATGATAGCGGCCATCACACACGACAAGGGGACGTTCAAAGAAATGTGGCAGGGGACCAACCTCAAACGTTCTCTGGTCGTCATCGGAGCCAACGTCAGCATCCAAATCAGCGGACAGGGTCTGTTCAGCAAATACGGAACCATCTTTCTCAAAGACCTAAACGGTCCCAACCCGTTTCAGATGTTTCTCATCAATACATCGCTACAGATCGTCATTGTTCTATTGGCCATGTATATGTTTGACAAAGTTGGAAGAAGGTATGTTTTTCGTTATTGCAGACTCACATACATACCATCTCTTTCCCTTTCTATTTCTTCTTCTCCTTTCTCTCCCTGACACGGCTGCCTCTTCGTTCTTCCATACCCTTCGATTGTCTACTCTAAACTAACAAACAACAAAACAGACTTCCACTCATCATAGGCTCAACCGTCCAAACTACAACTTACTTCGCCATCGGTGGTCTCGGTACAATCTCAAACCCAGGCGACGGGACCAAAATCGCCATGACCGCATTGTTTACCGTTTACTACCTAGGGTTTGTGTTTGGATGGGCACCGATCTATCATATCCTCACATCCGAAATACCTAGTTCACGTACGTTGGTCCATTTTCTCCTCTCCTCTCTCTCATCCCTTCTCCTCTTATACACACGTCTCTCTCCCCCTTCCGTGGCACTACCCTACTCAATATTTGAACGTCTGTGTTAATTATGTTATCCAACAGGCATGAGAGATGTAACATACACCGTGGCCAGTTCCATCACGGTCGTCACCCAGTTTGTCGTCTCCTTCTGCATCCCTTACCTCCTCTACGCGCCTTACGCCAACCTGGGGGCCAAGATCGGATTCGTCTTCGCCCCCATCGCCTTTTTGACTCTGATTTTCGCCATTTTCGGTGTGCCCGAATGTCGCTCGTTTTCTCTCGAGGAGATTGACCACCTCTTCCGACAGAGGGTGGCGATCCGCCACTTCACCCGCTACAAGCACGGGGAGATCCTACCGCAGGAGACGCAACAGATTGGAGCGCAAAAGGCCGGAGAGGGACCGTCGGTCGAGTTGAAGGAGGTGGCAGACATGTAGACCCCAAAATAGTCACCGTGCTCCGTGACAATATTGAAGTTGTCATTGGACAAGCGAAACGGAAAAGAAAAAAGACATGAGAGGCAACGGAGAGAACGAAAGGTGCTGGAGGTGTAAAGTGCAATCAATATACGCATTACGCGTCAGGGTGATCTTTATGGATTGATTCGAATTCAGTCTGTTGATACTCTGTACACACGTCTGGTTCTCACTAGCCTTGTGATAAGACCATGTCGAACAATGCTTTTTTGTAACACTCGTCGCTCAATCATTCCCTTTTCAAATCAAGTCACATCCTGTTTCACACTCAGACCTTTGATACACTCAACAGTCGCCAGTGCCGATCACATCGTAACATGCCGTCCGTAGCTTCGTCAAGACTAACTGAAATCCAATCCCGTTGCTATGCCATGCTCAACCAGATCCATTTTTACCGAGTCCATTTTCAGCGTTCAAGACACAATGTGGCCACAGTTTGTGAGTAATCATATTGGGACACTCTGCAGGTGTCTCGACCCTTCCTTTCCGCTTGAAGCAAGGTAAACAGATGCCGCCTCTGAGATCAAACTCCAGTCGAATGATTCGCAACTCCAGCTCAGTGTTGATGTTGAGCCTATCTGCGCACATGCACGGACCCCAGGTACCGCCACGAACGGGCATCGGTGTTCTGTCGTCATGAAAATTGATGGCTCCCACATCTTCCCACTCTCTCATCATACCACTTACGCTCTTGTTGCATCGATTGCTGTTGGGCCACAGCCCCCGTAAGGTGAGGACGGCGCTCAGAGCTCCCAAACGTTGTGCGTGTCCTGGACACAAGGCGAAGCTGCTGCTGCTCTTGTCATAGCTAGACCCTTCGTGATCCGCCATGTTCATCTGCTTGACAACGCTCTCAAGCACGTCACCGCCAATCTGAGCGGCTCGGTCAAGGAAATAGTCTTGCCAGTTTTGGATTGTTGCTCGAGAATGTTAGTGAGATTTGAAATATCACAAACGAAATACTAAGTGCGTGTGCTTACCTACGAGATCGGATTGTATCCAACCGTCAACAACTAACTTCAGACTTATCTGAATCTGCTCACGGCTCTTCTCCCGATAGTAGGTTTCGGTGGATTTTGCAAACATTTCGTTATCGTCAATGAGATAAGAAATCAAGATAACCTGTTCTAGACTCATCTCACGCCTATCCAGGGCCACTTGATCGAAAATGCCAGTTGCCGGGATTGTGAATTGATGGAGTTGGCCTCGAAACCATGGAACGAGAGACCTGGAGCAGTTGTACTTGTCGCTGATGACCGCCAATTTGATCAATTGCTTGCCCGTTACTCGCTGATAAATGTCGCCGATCAGGTGCAAGATCTTGCAGAGCAAAGCAACAGTATCAGGATCATCTTCTGGTAGTGCGATGGTAGGAGGGTTCTGCTTCGAAAGCGTGAGTTGTCCTTCTGCAAACCGACCATCCAACATGACTTTGAAGACTGGAGAAGCATGCGTGAGGAACGTCGACGACACCAGGAGACGAACATAGTGTCGAGAGCTTGAACTAGTCTCTCTCCCAAGTTCCTCCTCTTGGCTCCTCAAATCTTGAAGTCTTGGTTGCCCAGTGAGGTCTGACTCGTCGTAGTCACTTATGCTGATTTCATCTCCATTGGGATGACCAGTACGTCCATAGCTTGGACCAGGTTCTCCCCAAAGATCCTCCTCCATGGCTACCAACTCTTGTGGCGCGCGTCCCTCACGATCTGTCATCTCGTCGGGGTCTTCGTCAATCCCGACTGCCAGGATCAAGTCACCATCTTTATCAATGACCTCAAGAAGGGTTTCGGTGGCAGCCATTTTTCACGACCACGCGTCGGTAGAACGGATCTCGTTGACAATGACGTCTGACGTTTGAGGAGGGAGGATGTCTGCGAGTTAGAGAACTTGCTTTGGATTTAATGTGAACAACGATGTTCTAGGTCGAAAGGAAGGGGAATGTGCGAGTGTAAATTTCCAGGGTAAGAATAAAGGTGGTTGAAAAGTGGCGGCAGTGAAGTGAATTCCATTTGCAGCGATGTTAAATGATCCCAATCTTACTAGTGAATGAATACTGAGTTGTCCCTTTGATGTGTAGCAGCGAGAAAGGTCTTTGAAGAAAACAGAACTGCGCGATTGAGAATCGGATTCCTCCAACGTGAACCGTAATCTTGCCACGGTCGAGGTGTCAGTGTTGAATGATTCGATGCAACACACAATGAGACGCTTGGTCAAGATTAGGAATGCCGGATTTCAAGCCGCTTGTTCTTCATCAGTTGTTCGAGCTCACGGTTCCTATCTCGAAGGCCGATATTGCCATTACTGCCATCGAGCTCGCTTCATGGGGGACTAAGGAAGATGACACGTGGATTTTTGAGGCACGAGGAGGGAGTCTGCCGATTCCTGTTTTGGGACAGAGAGATGCTGACTTCTTCTTCTTCTTCTCGGCCATCAACATATATTCTGACAATCCATACCCAACAATTCTGATTGGCATGGTCATTCTTCTTATATGTCCATACCTATTAGTCCCTACCAAAGCATCGAGTCCTCCTTGCTATTCCCAGCCTCCAACTCCTCAATTTGCTTTCTCAATGTATCTGCTCTGAATGCTCTCCACGCCTTTTCCACCCGCGCCTGAGTGTCTGGGTTTTGTGCCAATGTTCTCCGGGCTGACCACGTCCCTGTCAAGAGACCAGTCTCGCCTCCCAGGAACAATCCGGCAATACCAAAGAATGTAAAAGCCATCGCGTCCCCTAGCGACGTTGGCTGTAACAACGGCGTGACGTCCGGTATAGCTTCTTCTCTCCCGTCCGCGAATCGCACGTGCGTAGGCTTCTCGGTGGCGCGGAAAGCTTCGTAGAACGCTCGTCGATTCGCCCGAATCCGGTAGGCAAAGAAACTGCCCAATCCTACGCCTATGGCCGATCCGATCATGGCATGGGTAGAGACCTTTGAAGCGGATCGTTTCACCACATCTCGATCTTCTTCTCGTAAACTGCGGACCAAGTCAGTCAGGATTTGTGAGCTTATTAGAACCAGGGAGTCTATTGCTCTCACTCGTGTTTGAAGTGTTCTTCCGCCAGCCTTCCCAATTCATCCCCGCTTGTTTTCCTTAACGCGGCAAATGCGTCGGAAGACATTGCGGATCAAAGGTGAGAAGACGCCGTAGGGAAGGTTGTTCGGGAGAAGTCTCTTGTCGGACACGGCAGGAAGCTTAAACGAGAGGGAAGTGGTAGGCGGTTCGAAAAAGACCGAAGGAGGAGAAGGATAAGGAAATGTTGAAGCTATAAAGCTGGGCTGTATTGCACCCGTGGTGGTAGATGTGTTTTCTGCCGCATCTGCGGAGGTGAAGCTTGGGCTCTTCTTCAGGTGGATTTCTACGATACGTCATAAGACTCCCGGGAGCCCGGAGAGAGAGACAATCATTGCATAATCGAAGCCCGGAACAAACTTCCCGAACCCTAAAACTGTTACTAAGCCAACCCTACGAGGCCCCTTTATTTCATGCCCATCAACATCCACAGGGAGAACTTCATTGCGGGCTGCTAGAACCCCGGGCTGTAGATTGATGCTGCTTCTTTCCGTCCATATGCAATACCTGCCTTACGTCTTTCGCTTTTCACATCGACCAGGTTGAAAAATGACTCATACTATGTATGATACGTGTCTATTCAAATGCCGTCATCATTAGATTACACCTTTCCCTCCTCGTTGTCTTGACCCGTTGCAATGGAGTCGTATTAAGCTGAGGAATACTATCTAATATGTTTGACTAATCTACAGCAGATAGCCGGGCGCGTATTGGTCTCTATAAACCTATCCAGCAGACTCCAAGTGCTGAGTCTTCTTCTCCACCCAATATTGGTCGAAATCCTTTGCACATGGTGCAAAAAACATGGTCTCGTTCAAACTCGCCATGGCGTGCTTGAAAACAACCATCGACCAAAGTAGGAGGACGGCAAGGGAGAAGATTTTACCTAACACCTTGAAGAAAGAACTAGAGTATTGGCTCCGAGTGTGGTGGTAGAGACAGCAAACGCTCCCAATGGGAAAATAAAGCCCCGCCAACCTGGGTACGGGTTAAAAAACAGGTCAGCTTCAGATCTTTGGTTGACAGACTCATGTGGGTGCATCTGCTGGCTGTGAGAACTTACCCATATTGAAAAGAAACTTGTCTCTTGTGGTGCTCAAGAGCGCCAACACTACCCACAAGAGATCGTATCACCACATGATCATGGCAACTGCGGTACCAAATGTGTCCAGCTCTGAGCCAACGTTTCCGTATTTATCCAGAGCTATATTATCCAAGTTCGGAAACAGCTCTGCCGCGACGCGGCCCAATCGCATCAGGGCAAATGATCCCTGTCTAAGACGTTCAAGGGGAAAATCGAGACGACCATTACTTAAGGAAGACGGTGCGTGGTCAACCGATGGAATTAAATGACAAGGCTCACCGTCGCAATCGGGAGGCCAGTAACAAGCAAGATACACGAAATGATCATGGTCCAGAAGGCATGCTGATGACATCCAGCATTGGTGAGAGCCTCGGCCGCGATTCCTCCGGTGGCTGAGGCGACAATGGTGCTCACAACCGGGAGCAACCACACAGTCGTCATCGCTTGGAGCTTCATGTGAGCCTCTTTACCGTCGTCGTGTAGAGATATGATGGCAAATGGGTGGAAAAGCCCGATGGTGACCGCAATGGCTGAATCTATCCACCACATGGCCCACGCAAGGTTCGTTAGTTGCCCAGCTTCCAATCACGCAGCATGTTGGTTGTGTCAGAGGGTTGAACCAACAATCCCTGTCGAATTTTGTTCCGCGGACAGCGAAGATAAAAAGACCTTGGTTAGGGATGTCTGCCGGGAAACAATGATAAGGAAATCGGTCGGAGACGAGGAACCCTGGTAGGCTCTAGATTCAGTCTCACATTAGTGCCTCAAAGGGAAATATCCAAGCTTCGTCATCTCTTCTTTTCAGATCAACCTTTCTGCACGGCGTGTGGTAACCATCAAACCGCAGGACGTTGCCACTTGGCCATCAACCAATCGGCGATCGGCTTTTATATACATATGTGGCTAGAGCCAAAAAAAGTGGAGGCAAATGAACCCCCATTCCACACTTCACATCTAACACAGAGTCAAGCAATCTCTGCAGTTATCAATGAAATTGAGGACTTGCGGGGAAAAGGAAGACTCTGTGGGCTGATGACGAGTCTAATATTCGTACTCCGCAAGAACAGAATGGTGTCAGACGGCTGCACGGATTCAACTACGATGGCTACACATGCCTCAGGGATTGATTGTGGAGCAATACTATATAGATACCTGGTAACACATAAAGCTACCAGTATCTCTCTAGCCTCTCCCCTGAAACACTTTTCTCTCTCACACACACATATACAAAATGCTTATGCGTTGATCTTCTCCCAGAGCGTTCCACGAAACTATCCAGTCTCTAAATCACCCATTGGGTAGATCAGACAACATGGAAAGCCCAACTGCCGTCGAACTCCATACGAAAGAGGGACATCTGGAAAAGCGCTTTTCGAAACTGACCATGATCGGTATGACTTTTGCTATCTTGAAGTAAGTATAAAAAAAATCAACGCATCTAAAAATCAGCTGAGGATTATCTAACGATTCCAGTACATGGATCGCATTGGCCGGGACGCTGGGGATCGTGATGCCTTCTGGGGGGCCTGTGTCCTTTGTCTATGGGTTCATCCTATGCGTCCTTTGCAATTTATGCATCGCCGCAAGCCTAGGAGAATTGAGTTCGATTTGGCCCACCGCTGGAGGTCAGTATCACTGGGCATTCGCAGCATCTCATGAAAGTTGGAAGGTCATGATGGTAGGCTTATGCAACCCCTTTATTTATTCGTTCATATGGAAATCCATGCTAATTTAGGTAGAGCTTCATCGTTGGCTGGATCAACATTGCTGGGTGGTTGACATTAATCACCACCGAAGCCTTTTTTGCTGGTTTGTGGGACCCAATATCCTGACATTTTCGAGAATGACGCCAGCTAACCAGCACCGAAAGCCCAATTTTTCTCTGCCGCCATCCAAGTGGGTTCGGGGGGACACTATGAGATTACCGAATGGCGAACATATCTCATCTTCGTCGCGGTCTCTCTCTTTGGGGTCTTGTTGAATGTTTTTGGGTACCACCTCCTGGGTCGTTGGAATGAAGGCGCTTGTGAGTTTATCTCGAACCTCGGTTTAATAATGCTTCCCAAGCATAGCAAGAGAGAGATGAGCATGACTGACTTTGGTAGTGTTGTGGTCTATTCTCGCATGCGTCGTCATTAGTGCCACGATCCTGGCCACTTCTGAAAAAACCCATGCAAAATATGTCTTTACCGATTTCTCCAATACGACCGGCTGGAGTGATGGCATGGCTTGGATCTTGGGTCTGCTTCAGTCTGCTTTGTCTCTGATCGGCTTCGACGCTGTGGCCCATCTGACTGAAGAAATGCCACGACCGACAAGAGATGCCCCCATTGCCATGATCACGGCGGTGGCAATTGGAGGAATAACGTAAGCACTCTTGCCCTATCTTATCAGTTCGACGGACGGTGTATCTTACAATGTATGAACACAGTGGTATTGCTTTTATCCTGGTAATGTTGTTCAGCCTTACCGACCCGCAGACCATTTTGTCTACTCCCACTAGAATGCCCATCACCGAGATCATCCATCAAGCAACACACAGTCGGGCTGCGGCGGTCGTGCTCACCGTGGCTCTCGCGATTTGTTTCGTCAACGGCACCAATGGCAGCATCACATCTGGCTCAAGGCTTCTGTGGGCCATGGCTCGAGACAATGGTACACCATTTTCACGATGGTAAGTCAGCCCAAGATTGAATACGGAATTCGGTTTCAAAATGCTAACCCGTCAACCAGTCTTGCACGTATTGAACCTCGTCTGAACGTACCTGTGAATGCAATCCTGGTGGCTGCTACTTTCAATCTACTCTTTGGTTTACTGTATCTTGGTATATATACACACTACCCCCACTCATGACATACTTTAGCTAATTCTGTTCTTCGCTGTTCAGGCCCACCCGTGGCATTCAACGCTTATATCGCCAGCTGCACCATTTTCCTCAATGTCTCCTACGCGGCTCCCGTCCTCGTTTTTCTTGTCCGAGGACGATCTGCCGTGGCGGATCTCACTCCGGATTTCAGCCTCGGCCATCGGTATGGCTTCGTCATCAATTTAATAGCTGTTGTGTTCGTCTTTGTTACATCAATTGTGAGTAAGATACGGAAGATTCAAAACCCTTTGGCCCTGAGAGGTGCTGATACCGAAACTCAGTTTTTCTGCTTCCCGGCGACATACGACGTGAACGCATCGAATATGAGTATGTAACTTTGTCTTGTTGACCATTCGGCATCCAAATGATTCTAATTCGAAACCAATATCCTCCAACCACTCTACCATTCCCACTAACTTGACACGCAGATTATGTCTCTGTTGTCGTGGGACTTTTCTTGATATTTATCGCCGGGTTGTGGATAGTCAAAAAGGGAGCGTACCATGGCCCAGTGAGTATAATTGTGCTACTTTGCCTCCAAAGACAAGTCTGACGATGCTGCAGCAATTCGATCTGATCCTCGGGGAGGACGTGATACATCGCGACGCTATGCAGGGGCTACACCGAAGTTCGATCCAGGAAGAGAAGGAAGCACGTGTTGAAGGGACCGAAGATTGATCAAGTAAGATGAGGGACGGTTATATAGGGGTTACACCAAATATATCATTACCTGTGTGTTTCTATCGAGTTTGAATTGTGCCCAAAGCCATCGCGAAGTGCAACTTTAATTCACAACGTCGTCAACTATTAGTCATACCATACTATTCACTTTGACAACATCATGATGAAAGCGAGACGATTAATATAGGTCTCCCCTGACCATCCAAAACCGGATGCTTCCGAGCTAGGTATCTAAAAATTCGCTTGATCGTTAATCTTGTGGTCTCAAATAGTATCCTGGCCGCTTGTCTTTTCGCCATAAAAATGGACACGTTGAGGGGCAAACTCTTACTGTTTCATAAAAAAATCCCAACACAGGGAAACAAAGGCTTTGGCTTTTCTATTCTCATATCCCAAGAGTCAAGTTCCTTAACAATACCATCTGTTGGCCTCTCAAATACGTACGTATATCACCGTACCAAGACGATCCCGATACCCACGGCTCACATCTATGGCGAGGTCTACGGCAGATGGGAAGAGGATTCTACTTTCGGGGACGTTGCCCAAAGTAAAGCAAATCTACAGTGTCAAGATTCGTCATCTTCTCTCTTGCTACAAAGCGTCAGACATCAGCATCCTTTTGTTTTTTGACGCGAAAAGCTGCTTGAATGGATTATTGTTCTGACGGTCGGATTCTATCTAGCTTATCCTGTCCACTATACAACCCTCTACTTGTGTCCAGAGCAAGTACAGATCATGCAAGGGGTTACCACAGCACGTCCTGATCTACTGGACAGGCATCATGTGCAACGACATCAGCTGTTTCGATATCCCAGATGGGAGCGAGTAACCCGATAAGGAAAACATCCAAATTGTGTTTTGATTTATCTCTGAGGTGGAACTCCTCACCAAGGAAGACCGGAAGAACTTGTACAGAACTAGGACTTCCAAGGTGACGATTTGTCAATGAAAAAGACTTTTGTTGTGAGGGTCGAGGAAGAAGAGAGTCTCGCCTGTGCCAATTGTTCCCAGCAAATTGCCAGATTTGGCCAAGTTCCATTCTTATCTTTCAGCCGTGTTAAAGTTTCGAAGCAACGAAAGAGGTTACCAATTTAGGAGCTATTGTGCGATGGCGATGTCCCGTGGCCTTCGATACTACTTCAGCCCATTTTTCAAAACTTCCACACACCCGATGGGCGACGAGAATTGATTCCTGTTCCCCGAGTCGTTCGATAATTGCAAGTATCACTACAAGGCTGAGGTCATAACTGGGTGGAAAGGCCTGTAAACACGAACTTTCTCCCCGGGGAGGGTTGTGCCGAACTGAGGGATCCGCAACTGTGGTCTGGGGGACCCCTTCACCCCCGCATTGGCCCCCTGCCTACCATAATGACAATCGTAAACCTTGGGAAACCAAAGTGGACGACACCTCCCAACTCATATCGAACGCGCTGCAGATAATTGTTCCATCATCTCAGGATTTGCCAGTTGAGGACAGGATGTTGATGGCCTAGATCGACCCCATTGATAACAACGAACGCTTTGGTCTTTGCAAATGGGCGGCGCAACCCAAAGGACCAAGTCTAGGGATGGATGCAGACAATGTAAAAAAAGCAAGGTTGGTGCAATCCAGTCCTTTCCAGTAACATGGAACTCACAAGGTGACTAGATCAAGTGTGACGGAGAACGGCCTGCCTGCGGACGTTGCTTGTCAAAGGGACTCGAGTGCCCTGGCTATGAACGACTGCTAAAATGGTCTACGAAACATGAAGTTTATGGGCCTCGACAGACTGAAAGTCGAACGGCGAAGGAACCTGTACGAGTCAAGGCCGTCAGTGAACGTGCAAGCGGCGATGCACGCTCACGCTCACACGTCGTTCGCCCTTTACCATCAGCCGACCGGCCGTCAAGAAGGCGAATACCCAAATCCCCGTCAGTAGTATCGACTGGGAATGACTGGTGGCAAGGCCATTTACCTGTGAAGAAAGCCTTTGATCCACACAACCCGGACGGGGACGAGTGGAGCGGCGCCATGGACCTAGATTGGCCTTATCAAGATTGGAATAATGATGATTCTTCAATGTTACCTACCTGTTATGACTACTTGACCGCGGAAGACTCTCTTCTCTTTGCCAACGACGACAATGTCACGATCAATGACATGCCGGGTATCAACGGACCCGAACGCATCCCAAGTTCTGCGGTATCGCATCCCAATCATGTTACGACGGCAAGTCCGACCCAGGCTTCTTTTGTCTCGTCATCGGTGCAAGAAGAACTCCCAAGTGAAGTCGCCATGCACCGCTCAGCCCAAACCCCGGCGTTTGCAAAGGTGCCTGCCACCATCACCACCACCACCAAACCATCAAGATCCTTGACCGACCCGGCTTCCGTCTTGACAGAATACTATTTCAAAGAGGTTGCCGGACTATTTTCCTGTTTCGATGGGCATCTGAACCCTTTCAGGACGGTTGTGGCCCAATCGTGGACCTCATCCCCCGCGATGCTTCGGGCGATGCAAAGCATGGCAGGGGCCTGTCTCGCGCACCAATTCCCGCAATTCAAGACCACGGTGCCACGACTCAGGGCCGACGCAATTTCCCTCGTCCGATCCGAGCCCAGCAGGCAGGAGCACGACCCCCGGTCACTGTTGACTTTGTTGATGATCGGTCAAACCTCCAGCTGGTTCGACCCCCATGACCTCGGTATTCCGTTCTTGACAAGTCTGAAGAAGCGAGTGTCCAAGATGGCTCTGTCTCAACCTCAACCTACCACCACCACTGTGCGAACGAACTCATCATCGACACCCCCCACGGCGAACAACAACGTCAGGTTCTTCCAAGAGGCGATCGTATATTGGGAGATGCTATTGTCGTTCGTATCTAGTGACTTCGGGGTGGACTGCTCGTCAGATACGGATACGGATACGGATACGGATATTCATATTCCTATCGACTCCTCCGGATCCCTGTCGTCCGGCGGCGGACACACCAACCACAGAATCCCCCATCCTTGGACCGGTATATGCAGAGACACTCAGGCGATCGTGCACCGAGTCGGAGCGTTGGTGCGTCAAGAACGACTCAAGAGGCGACGGAACAAGTTCGTCACGCAACGCAGCCTCGATGAATCAACAAAGGCTCTTGAGCTCGCGTACTCTCTAGAGAAGGAATTGCTCGACGTCGGTAAGCTTTACAACAATGACGACGACGTTATGGACCCAGGGGATCACGAGACACCAGTTTGGCATCTACAGACCGTGTCCGAGATATACCGCCGCAGTGGGCTTCTCCATTTGTATCGGGTGTTTCCTGATCTCCGTCGAAGCCGGTGTCGACAGGAGAGGTCATCACCGACGATTCTCGGGGTGTTGGGTCGCCATGGCAGTGACGACTATTACGCCGCCGGCGACGATGATGGCGGAGATTTGATAACATCTTGGTTGAGTAATGTTGGAGGTCATCATGATGGGGCGAACTACAACGAGACTGGTGTTGACGATAACGAAGACGACGACGAAGAAGAAGACGAACAATGGCTTCTCAACCTCGCGGTTGACACTCTTCGACTTTTGGAATCAATCCCGATAACATCATCGACAAAATGTCTGCAGCCAGTCATGCTCGTGTCATGCGCGAGCGAATTACGACTTCCACCTTTGGCGAAAGGCGAATACCAACAACAGCCATCGCCACACGGCGATTCGCCGCTGTCAGTTAGCAGTTGTCTTTTTCATTCCACCGACGAATCTTCTAGGGGCGATAGTGATAGCAATTGTAGGACAAAACCTACTGGAAACAAATCCAGAACGACGACGGAAGAACAAACGGAATTGGCAACAACTTTCGTCAAGGTTGTACAGGCGAGAAAATTCGTCACCTCTCGATTGAGTCTCTTGCGGAACATTCTTCCTCCCTTGCCGATCGACACCTGTCTCGAACTGGTACGTCGGACTTGGTCAAGAATGGACGGTGGTGAGACCGATGTGTATTGGATCGATGTAATGATGGATCATGGCTTGCACACGACAATGGGTTAAGATAATGTCTTCAATTGTAGCCTCTTGCACGAATGCCGCAGAGGCAAGGCAGTATACAGTGTGCAGTGTGCAGAACCGTGTACAACTCTTCCGTACATCTTCTGTAGGTGAGGTAAACAACAAGTGCTCGATACTCTGTAACAGATGAGGTTGCCCATACACACACACAAGTCATCGGCAAGAGATATCGACCCATGAATATAATATTCACCTGTGAGTAACTCCGTAGGTATGCCCCTTCTCTTCAACCATCCCCCAATGGACAGACAAGGCTATGTTGCGTTCGAGAATCTTTGTTAAAACCCGCCCAAAATCACCACCACTTTCAGCCGCAGTCCTCCCCAAAATCAAAAGGACAAAAGACAACCGAAAAGCGTAGGCTGAGACCTCTGACTGCTTAAGGTGAGGTACGTACCACCTCACCATGCAAAACCTCGTAATTTGGTAGAAAGACTGTGTCCATATGATACAATCGAATATTCCCCCCCTCTCTCTTTCTTTCTGTTTACAGTGTCGAATACCGAAGCCAAAATCTTTGTACAAATGCCGAACCTTTCCCTCATTCACAAGGGAGGGTTTCTTTCTGTATTGTTTCTCTCACTGCAGACTCAATTTCCTCATCAGGCTCGGAAAATGACCCTCGCCTTCTTCTTGTTTGCGGATGTTGGAAGTCACCTGGGACTCCAACGTTTCCGTCTCGATTTCTCCCAGGATACCTTCGTCGTAGAATTTGTACAGCGTGCCACCTTCGGTCCAGATCCGCCGTAGCGTCACCACCGTCGCGAGGGCCGAATACACTTGATACTCCTCCTTTTCAATCTCCTTCAACCGCTCGACCGAGGTGTAGGATCTCTCCCACTTGGAGCCCGTTTGTTGTTCGTACTCGGCCAGGATTTCGTGAGGCGTGGCCGTGAAGGAGTGTACCACAAGGGTGGTGTTCCTCGACGCCCCTGGGTTGAGGAGGGCCGCAACGACGAATTTTCCGACACTGTTTTTTGGGGGGGAGGGGACACGTTAGCTCTCAACAACAACAACAACAACAACAACAACACCACCACCTGGGTCAGGGACGCCACCGCATTTCCCGGAATAAGGTCCAAAACGTACTCGTGCATGGCGGTGAAACTGACGGGACCTTCCCCGTCACCCAGCAAGACCGCCTTTTTCCCCTTGACGTCGAACTCTCCCAGTTCGGGCCTGGCCTTCATCGTGCCAAAGTACAAATCACTGTACGGGCCGGTCACGAGGTACGTGTGCTCCAACCTCTTCATCGTCTTCATGTGGGCTCTCACTTTCAGTTTGAGTTGGTGTGGAGGTTCCTGTGCCGACTGTGGCCAGTATTCGATGTCGGTGCCGTATTCGGAGGGGAAGAAGCGCCGGACGCCCGCTTGCTCGGCCCAGGTGATCAGGTTGATCTGTTTTTCTATCCCACCTCGTCCCACGCACGAAACGATCGTGTCGATACCTGCGGCAAAATGGGGATCACATGTCAGTAAAAGGAACTGCGTTCCACAATCTTTTCTTCCTCGATGGTTCCTTTTCTTGTTTGGTCCCCACATTCCAGCATCAAAGGTACCAGTGGCCCTCGCACCGCACCCCTTCCGGAGTGTGTGAAACATAACGTACCTTCGCAAGCTCTCTTGAAGGACCTTTCACTCTCCAGCCGGCCGGTGTATATCTCGACCCCCCATGCCTCCAGCGCGGCAATGTCCTGGATCTTCTCCATCATGGTCTTTTGACTCGTGAATATACATATTCGCCCAAAGCTCTCTCTTGCGTCCACGATTGCCCTTGTGATGTACGTCCCGATGATACCCGTAGCACCGAGTATGAGGATGTTTGGTGGTTGTTGGCCAGGGTACGGCGGCGGCATGGCCGCGAAAAGGGTCCGGCCCAGACGGCCCTCCTGCCTTGGGCGCGTTTTGTTTCGAGGATGGTTGGCTGCTACTACCACCCCCGTAGTAAGACAGCTCTCACTCTCACTCTCACCCGCGGCAATGCGCGCACTCCCTTGCCCTCTCCTCTCCTCTCCCTAGGAAAAGTCGAGCTTGCACGACCGAGCTGCTGGATGATGCGCGCGAATGGTCGGGGAGCCGACTAAGGTGCTGACGGTGGATCTTTTTCGCAGCGCGATCTTCGGTGTGGCTGCGGGAGAGAACACATAAAAGGCAGGCCAGTGGCGCGTGTGGTGCTGAAGCTCGAAGAATGTACCGCAAACAACTATGGGTTGCTCGATAACATGCAAAAGACAGACCGTGTAGGCAGGTGGGTTTGCTTTGACGGGGCGAGGGAGATATGCGGGATCAGGCTGGACTCGGCGGAGAGATGTCGGTGGTGTTGAAAGAGAGAGAGAAACAGGGTGAGACGCTGAAACACCCGTCAAATATACAGGGGGTGCGAGTATGTATGTGCTCTCTGAGCTTCGAAAGAAAAGAAAAAATTACTGAATTTGTCGAGATTTGTTATGGCGACGACGAAGACGAAGACGAAGCGTGTCTGTCTCGTAACATGTGGCGGGGACAAAAATTGAATAAAACGGCGCGGACCCATGAGACTGAACTGAATCCACGCGGCCACCCTCCAAAAAGAGTAAGAAGAAAATAAAGGGACAAATGTATCCTCGGTACGAACAATATAACGTCGTCGTCGTCGTTGTTTTTTTTTCTCTGGGTGTTTGACAGTGTCTCTGCCTCGTACTCGTGAATCCGGTGGGTTGGCTCTTTCTCTAGGGAGATACCCAAGTACAATGCTTGTGTGTTGAGACGCAGGGAGGTCATCTACAACCTCACAGGATTGACTCGCATGGGCAATCAGTCTATATATGTTATCATTTCCTACGCCGCACTCCGTACAGTATACGCATATAATTCTCGTACGGAGTACAATCGAAAAAAAGCCATTCCGACCAAAGATCGACCACTGGTCTACAAAGGGACGTTTAAATCTTTCGAGCGGACCTGAACATCGACCCTTGCATTAGATTCGGACATGGGATGACTTGGGGCGCCGCTTGCCCCATGGCAAACGTTTCTTTGTCCGTAATGGTCTCTTCTCCGAAACTGGGTTTCTCAGGGGGGGCTGAAAAAAAAATACGAGAGGCCTGGGATGACTGACTCCGGAATAAATGGATGACATTTTCTTCTTCTTCTTGTCTTTGAAAAGGGAAATAGAGCTGCAGATTACTTTCCTATTGTCGAACTAGTACAGTATCTTGTATGGAGAGTGGCCGTTGTTTTTCGCAATTTATCCCTCTCTCGTCCAAGAGCGCCAGGAGTGCTGGATGGTAATACGGACTGACACGAGACAACCACCTACAATAGGTAGGCTAGCCGTTTGATACTCCTTGTACTCCGTCTAGCCTCGTGAGTTCTTTCAGCACGCCTTGGCTTTCAGCCTTTGATCTTCACCTAGCTGAACACGAGGATACTTCGCCACTACGAGAGCCGATTCTGAATGCCTGGAACATTGTATTCTATGCAAGTGGCGGCCTCGCAAGAGACTGGCTACCTTGACGTACAAAGGGCACCGGGTGAGAACAAGACTCGACACACGCAAAGGATCCGGTTATGTGGAGCGACGCAGAAAATAGACACCACCAGCAGATCGGACTTCTCGTTGGGCAAACGTCCAAGCATATGTGGTCGGGACTGCTTAGACTCCGCCGTCCTTTAAAACCTCAAGTATCGCAACAGTACGAGGCATTCTGTCCAGGGAAAATCAAATTCAGCCAGGGCCCCCCAACCTGTACCCTGCTCATGCTATTTGCGTCCTTGCCACGTCAAAAAAGTGCCTGGTAATAGCTTCCACTCGGATCGCATCCTTCGACTGCATCGATTCAGACACTGAGCACATCGTTGCAGACACAGTCATTCGCCTCACTTTCCCAGCTCCGTGCCGTCGAACGCGTGTCATTCAGGCTCGTCCACGTCCCAACCTTAAGCACCGGCCTTCATGTGGGTGGTCAAGGTTTTGGCGGAATGTTCGTCAGACGAGCTAATTGCAAGTTGTGCAACGACCTTGGTGTCCCAAATGTGATACAGGTTGGGATGTTTCCGTCAAACCTGACATTGATACCGTTCCTACCCCATTCCAATGCTTGATCGTGGAGTCATTGATGTAGATCGCCGACAAGATGAGAGAAATCTCATAGCGCAATATCTTTCACTTAACTCGAGTCCTCGTCAGAAAGAATAGTGGTGTATTCAACAATCGCACAACACTTCCTTGGCGCAATCAATATACACATACCCACTCCAGTCACAGTCACAGAAAATGTTCACTTGATATATTATGTTTTTCAAATTTTGTTCAACAATGGGACTCTTGTCTGAACACAAAAGGCCTTCCTTCATAGTACCCAGAATCCCTTCTGGAGTTCATGAGCGCAATGCTTACCAGCATGTCGCCTGTGAACTTGAGCAATATCCTGGAGAGAGTCGGGAGTAATGGGTGGTAGGGTTCGAGTCGCATCGGTGTTGCTCCTTTAAAAATCTGGTTTCCTGGTTTTATATTCCCACAATCCCTTCGGGGGTTACGGGATGAGTTTTTGTTCGCCAAGAGAAATCCCAGTGACTCACTCATGCTGCTGATAAATGGAGTACGTTGAGTTGCCGCAATCCCGCGCGTGGTCTACAATCAGGATGGAGAATTGTCGTTGCTATCGATGAGATGGAGCGACGCAGACCAGCTTCCAAAGCTTGTGTAGTAGTATGAATCAGCCCAGGTGGAGATGTTCGCCTTTAAAGTCTGCCTGTTTGCTGTCAAGTATGCCTTTCACGGCAGTCGCCGTTATCGAATAGCGGTGACCAGGGTCGGACGATCATGGGAGCCACGATCCGCAAACCACGAGGCCGAGTCTGGCTAGCCATATCGTTTTGGCAGCATACCAAATAGAAGATCGACTTACTCTGGCCTGTTGCGCTTCGCAAGCAAGTTTAATGCACTGCCAGCCAGAATAAATCCGCATTGATCCTTACTCAAAGTGTGCTTGACCGGGATCGTGAAAGTCTCCCCGTTTATCTTAGTGACCTTCAGTCGAATTTCGCCTTGTCCATCATTTCTCAAAACGTCCCAGAGGCCTTCAGTATCGACCGAATCGCAAGCGTCGATACGATCATAATCTTCTTTGTTGGCGAAAGTCAAGGGTACGACTCCTTGCTTCTTCAAATTGGTCTCATGGATACGTGCAAAGCTCTTAGCCAAAATGACTTGCCCGCCCAGATATCTGGGCTGGAGTGCTGCGTGTTCTCGCGCAGATCCCTCACCGTAATTGTCTTCAGCCACCACAAGCCAATGCTGGCCTTTCTGCTTCCACTTCTTGGCAAGCTCTGGAATTGATGATTTGGAACCATCAGCGTCATAGGCAGTATTGGTTTCTCCAGTGGCGGCGTTGATTGCGCCAATCAGGGTGTTTTCTGCAATGTTTGGTAGATGTCCCTTGTATTTGAGCCATGGACCAGCAGCCGATATGGTGTCGGTCGTACATTGGCCCTTTACTTTGTAGAGGACTTTCAATCCTTTAAGATCGCCCTCCGGGAATGTCTCGAAAGGCTCCAAGAGAGCCAACCGGTCGGACTCAGGGTCAACAACAACTTGCACGCTTGAGTCAGGCTCGGCGGACGATGGCAAGAAAGCCGGGTTGCCTATGGCGAAGCCAGATCCTGGTAGCGCAGTTCCCTTGGGGGGTTCAAACTTGAACTTTTCGCCCGACGGCAGAGGGATCTCGTCAGTAATGGGATTGAATGAAGTCGATCCGGAGAACGACATGGCTGTGACGATCTCCGGAGAAGCCAGGAAACTCATCGTTCGAGGGTTGCCATCGTTGCGGCCTGGGAAATTCCGATTGTATGAGCAGATGATGGCATTGTCTTCACCTTTCTTCATCCCATCGGTACGCTTCCACTGACCAATGCAAGGACCGCAAGCATTAGCGAGCACGGTTCCTCCAGCGCCTTCGAAGGTTTGGAGAGTCTTACTATCGTCCAAAGTGGCGCGGACTTGCTCGCTTCCAGGAGTGATGAAAAAGTCGGATTTGGGCTTGAGACCTGCAGCTTGTGCTTGCTTCACCAAGTCTTCCGCTCTGGTCATATCCTCGTAGGAACTGTTCGTGCAACTGCCGATCAGTCCAGCCGAGAATGTACCAGGCCATTTGTTAGTTTCGACGGCGTCTTTGAACTTAGACAATGGTGTAGATAGATCTGGTGTGAACGGTCCATTGATATGTGGTTCAAGACTAGACAAATTGATGGTGACTTCTCGGTCGTATTCGGCACCTGAATCTGCACGGAGGAAGTTGAACTGCTCAGAGCCATATGCAATTCCCTTGATAGCGTCGACAAGAGCTGCGCGTCCAGTGGCCTGGAGGTAAGGGATGTGACTCTCGGTAAAGGGGAATATGGAAGTCGTCGCGCCAACTTCAGCGCCCATGTTGCAGATCGTGGCCATGCCGGTGCAACTGAGTGTGTCGAGTCCTGGACCAGTGTATTCAATGATGGAGCCGGTACCACCACGAACGGTGAGCTGGCCTGCAAGATGAAGAATCACATCCTTGGGTGACGCCCAGCCACTGAGCTTGCCCTCCAAACGGACACCCAACATCTTTGGAGCTTTGAGCTCCCATGGAGCGTCGACAAGGGCATCGACAGCATCCGCGCCGCCAACACCAATTGCAATCGCGCCCAGACCGCCCGCATTTGGAGTGTGCGAATCTGTGCCCAGCATCATCAAGCCAGGGGCGGCATAATTTTCAAGGACAGTCTGATGTATAATTCCAGCACCCGGAGGCCAGAATTCTATACCATATCTCTTTGCTGCAGACTCCAAAAAGTCGAAGACTTCCTTGTTCCCGGCAATCGAATTCGGCAAGTCTGTGTCTGCGCCATTTTCGCCCACAATCATATGATCGCAATGTATGCTCGCAGGTACGGCGGTGGAAGGCAAATTGCAAGTCATGAATTGTAGAATAGCCATCTGTGCAGAGGCATCTTGCATGGCGACTCGGTCGGGTTTAAGCTTGAGGTTTGCATTGCCGCGAATATTCTTGCCATTGTCGGTGTTGGTCAATAGTGATTCTTCTGGATTGTCGAGATGGGCGTAAAGAATCTTTTCAGCCAATGTCAATTTTCGCGAGCCGAGTATCGTGCGGACTTCTTCGAACCTCTTGAGGATCTTCTGGTAGGGAGGAACCGCCGCCTTTCTTCGCGGATGAGGTTGTGACTGGGCATGTACGGCGTACGCACGTCGAGCAGCACTTCGCGAGAGGGTGGAGGTTCCGAGGTCGAGTGGACACCTCACTGCAAGGGACGGCCTTCTCTGTAGGAGTGCCGACATTTTGAGCATTTGCGCTTCAACAGCACAAGGAAACAAAGATTATCGAGACCTAGTTGTGGAAAATGCCATTCGAATCCAACATTTTTCAGATCCTCGGTAGCTTAGCGACATCGGATATAATTGTGGGCCGAGGAGGACGAGGCCACCATTCACAGCGCATATGATTACACAAGGCTGGAGGGCGTCATCCTTGAGCGAGTACACCATAGAAAGAAATACATTCCTTGATGAACAACGATAAGACGCTGCTGTTTAGTTGAGACTTGTACGCGTGTGAGATTGCTTGATGACGATAACGATACACTCAAGGATGCTGCCTGGCTTAAGCCTCACAGCCCCGAAATGCGCAAAAGAACGCACATAGAACAGCACTCCGGCTTTTGAGTGATGCACAAGAATAGCCACCCAGACCTTGTCCTGATGATAACATCGTCAAGCCAGCTAAGAAGAACACCTGACGCCTGTTGCTGACATTTTCTTTCACTGGGTCTCATCGGGACTATTCATCATTGCTTTCTTGCTCAGCTGCTGTCCTGAGCTCATAGGCTAGGTCGTAGCATTCTGCAAGCAGATCATTAACAGCGCCTTGTCCTTCAGGTATATCCTTTCCAATTTGAAACTTTCCATCCACCCTCATGTTGTCAATCGAGTTCAATTTCATACTATAAGGGTACAGTTCTCTGGGGTTGGAAACGCCACCAGCTTTCTTGACTTCAACCAGACACCGTCGCAAGGTGAGGAGCTGATTGTAGATTGGTAGCAAGGCCTCCGAGACCGGCTCAGACGCGATGAGAAGCTGATAGATATAGGCGTAACCTCGTCGGATGAGATAAAGCAGGGTCTGTGGAATATTTAGCTAGGATCTTTCGCAGCGTGAATCTCCTTACTCGTTGGGCATGTAAATCCGCCGGATGGCCCTCGGCGTCAAAAAAGTTGCCATCGCGTCTGGAATCGTCTATGCGATCCAGCTTCCTCTGCCACATGAACAAGTCGGTCTCTCTGAGAGACCATGCCTGCGTCATGGTCAAACGTTCAAGTTGGTTGCGGATCTCGAGCAATTTGTCATATATGTCTTTGAATCGTTCGTCTATTTTGCCTTGTCTGTAATCTTTGTTAGCCTGTGGATTGTTTCGATTAAACGTTCGACCATACCGCTCGTGTACGATGTCGGTGAACTTGAGGCACCGAGTGAGCAAAGGGACAACGAGATCCTGACCCGACGAAGCGACACCAGTCTTGTCTGGTAGTTTACCGTCCTTCATCGTGGCCTGAATGTTGAGCAATTCACCTCGCAGTTCGTCTAGGTCCTTATGGCTGTACTGTAGCTGACAGTTAGCTCTGCTTGTTGATGACACAACAGGTGTCTCAAATTTTACCTTGCTTCTCGTATTCAGGGCGGCAATTGCTCTCAATATAGACACCAATTTCTCCCATACTGGTACCATGTCTGGAGAGAGTGTGCTGAGGAAATCGCTCAACTCTTTTAGCATGGCCTTGCAGATCTCCAGGCGGTATTGTATTCGCGTCAACAAATGGTCTGAATAGACGTCTTTCCCCTGCTCCAAAGTCGCTTGCATCTTGTCGAGTGTATTCTCTAGGCTCGTGAGATCCTTCTTACTATAGAAGGCGGCCTCTTTGAGGTGGTGACACAGCCGCATAATGTTTCCGGTCATAGCGTACAGTGCGGGTGCCTCGTGGTTTCGTCCAACAGCCATGAAGAAGAGGGAGATGAGTTGTAGGCAGTCATCAAGAACCGTGTCGACCCGATTCTGTACCAGGTGCTCTGGACCACGGACGTCGTTGAGGATGGACACCTGCTCAATGACCTGATCGTAGAGGGGAATGACGTCGGACGACTTCACATAGGTGCTCTTGTCTTGTTTCAGAAGCAGCAACTTGTCTCTGACCAGTATTAACTTGTCCAGGATAGGTTTTTCTTGCGGCCCGACGGGGGCATTCGTAATGGGAGAATCAGACATGGCGGAGTGTTACCATGGATGTTCGGAGGGTAGGAAATTCGAGAGGATTCGGCAGAGGAACGAGCAAAGCCAGGTTGCAAAGGCCGAAAAGTATCAAGTGCACAGGTTGGTCAATGTGATGAAAGCGACAGGATATTGAACAGCCTCGATTGTTTTATCGGATGCTCGGCCTGTTTGACTTAAGAATGTGATGGGCGGCGGGCGATAACCTGAAGTGCGGGCACAAGGCACATTGATGGCAGGGAGTTTTTGGCTGGATTCGCTTGCCCCGCCAAGTTGAACTCACCCTGTGAATCTCCTCAAATAGTGGTCTAGACTATGACGAATTAACTCACGTACAACATTGTACTGCACCTAATAATTATGCCCACGTGAGCTGATTCCAAGACTGAATTGCCCCTCCATCTAAACTCCAAGCCTCGTCCGGGGTCTTCGCCGTCGCCTTCGCCTGCCACTACGAGTACGAGGACGCACTCAATTCCCTGACAAATCTTCCTCGCATCTATCTCAGCCTCGTGCCACTTATGCCCATACTGCGCTTTTCTGACGCCACATAGATAGCAGTTTGGCCACCAGCTTCGACTGAACCCTTGTCGCCCCATCGCATAATCCTGCTCTAACGCAATCTCGTCGCGCACTGTACATGAGCAAGGCCATACTTTGTCCCTCGCTCGTTTGCCGAACTGGGACTTTGCTCGGGACGTTCGACACATCTGCTACTGGCCCAACTATACCTGACTTGTCAATGTGTTTTATTACAGCATACCAATTGGCATCGGCCCAATGCAAAATGTCTGACGCGGCGAAGAGACCGGGGAAAAGGACCGCCAGTCGACAAACAGCCGCTGCCATGAGTGCCGTTCCAGCCGTGTCTCCAAAGGCATCAGCTGCAGGAAGTCGTGCTCTTCCATCCAGATAATTGCGCAGTAGACCAGAGCTCATGTCTCGACCTTGAGCAATCGTGCATGTGAGCATGGAGTTGATGATATTGATAAGGACGTCTTTTGTTGCACCCACGAAATCATCGTAAGCAGTCAAGTTGATGCTGCTGGTCGCAGGTGGACTCCATTTCAGAACTGTGGCAAGCACTCTGGTCATCCCAGCTACTGCCCACGCGTTGCTTGTCAGCCAGACATTTGAATCTGAACAGCACACGCCCGATGGCAACTCTGCCGGACCTGACACGATATGCCGCCACAGTCCTCGACAGATCTTGCCCGACTCGAGGACGATGTCGGTCTCCAAGACATCATTGTAAAGCTGACACTGGCGCACAGCCTCTTGCAGAGGGTACAGGTCGTGGTTGACGGCACCATAGTAAGCCAAAAAGGGAGGGACCATGTAAATGAAATCTCCCCAGAGCTCTGGTGGCTCGTCGCGGTGAGAAATGGCCAAATTGGTCTGATTTATATGTAATCTCGTGGCGTTGAACATCAGATATTCGGCTTGTCGTCTTGCTGCGTCCGAGTAGGTTTGATCATGCCCACCGAGGAGGAGTGCAGCAATCCCCAACGAAGCCGGATCCGCTGGCGAGCCTACGTCTGTGAGCATACACTTTGGTTCGAGGTAACGAGCATAAGAAAGTAGCTATCGTGCTCACCCTCTCCATTGAAGAGTAGATGAGAATGATTCGTCCATATGTTGGAACGTGCGTATTTGAGCGCTCTCACATTATCAGGTTGGACGACTGGAGGAATCTGACCTTCAGGGAAAGGGTTTGATGCGAACACTGTCAGCTCTGGAGCTTCAAGCTCAAGAAGAGCCTGTGTTAGTGTACCGAGTTCCCATGACCTTGATGTTATTCTCAGTGCCTGAGATATAATCGCTGACGGGTCAACGAAGACCTCGCGCAACCACCATTTCTGCCACGCGATGTTTAGAACAAAGGTCGCTAGTGCAGAAAGCAGGCAATATGATAGAAGACTCCTCATGGTAAGATTAAAAGACACTCCTTCTCTAGGAGCATCCTCTTGATTAGCCTCGAACGGACGGCGAGCCACATCAGAAGTTGTCTAAGCCAACAATGGCCAACGCCGAGATTCTTTTGGAACGATGGAAGACAGTCACCGGGTCTACTCGGTCAGGAAATGGGTATTTGGAGCCTTGATACGAGTACAGAGTAGATACCAAGACAGAAAAAAAATGGATCTTGCTAGATTCAAAGGAGAGGGCCTTCTGTCATTGATGTCAGTCAATCGAAATAGAAGGATGAGAAATGGCCGTAGTGTGACGAATACATCACCGCTCCTGATGAAAGAGGAAATTCAGGGTCCTCTCCATACTCCGTACTCGTACCCTGATGAACCCTTGGGACGATCTGGCGCTTGCTGTCCGGTTACCGGATATGCCGAGCAGACCACGAGACGACAAGGAGCCCTAGTGTACGGAGTATCTAAGGATATCACCGTTGAGGAGTTCGAACAATGGGGGTCTCTGGGATGTTTCGGATCAGTGTACGGATACGGAGAACTGGTGCCGCAACTATCGAAGGTCTTACCAGGCGAGATTATTCCCTTGCGTTTTTACTTTTTCTCGGACTCCCAGTGGGATTGTAACTGGTCGTTTCGCTGTATAGGCCACCGCTTGGGCCACTATTTGGGTGTTTGAATTTTGGTCAGAGTGCATGGTGTCACCATCGCTTGTCATGATCTGGCTGCGATGCACGTGCTCCCGCTCCCGTGATCCCTGCGCCCCCAAAAGCGCCCAAGATTCGGTTTGCCAGCCGTGGGATGATCTACTTCATTTAACTACTCTTGTACCGACCAGCAACCTCTCATTTTTTCGTATCCCCTTCACCTTCCAGGCTGACTTGTCCAATCTTTTTCATCCAATCTTCACCGGGGATATCTCACTTAAAGATCAACCGCCACTATCCATCGACGTTGCATACTAGCATACCACCAGACTCGCATTTTGGTCAGAATTGACAAAGTCCTACAAGCCTATGGACGTATTATAGCGCCGGCAGTCACCTTCTCTTCGTAATTCATGGAGTACAGACATCCTTCAATTTGCTTCTAGAACAACAGGAATGTTAGAGCTGGCGACTTCTATTTCGGAAAGGGTTGTTGGTTCCAAAAATGGAGACCAACCCGGTCACCCGAGAATTACCGGACAACGTCAAGAAACTGGAAGCCTTGAGTATAGCCTCTGCTGCAACCGATGACGGAATGGAGAACTTCACACTCAATCCGGAAACGACGGCTCTTGCAAATGGAGCCTCATACCAAGGAGCCACTTACCCATCTACGAGTTTGAACAAGAGAACTCCTTGCTGGACCAACCATCTCCCAAAGAATGAAAATACAGAATGGTTTCTGAAAGGGACAAACTGGTCTACAACTGAATATGGACCTCTTGAGCATTGGCCAACTTCACTGCGCACTCTAGTCAACCTCGCAGTGGCAGATGACCATGCTGTAGTCATTTATTGGGGACCTAAGTTCCTGGCATGTTTCAATCGTCAAGCGTACGAAGACTTCAGAGCCAGGTTTCATATTAGCCGTGATGTTCAAGGGAAGCCATTCGCAGAAGTTTGGAGGAAAGAATGGTCAGCCATGCAAGGTCTATACGACAAGTTGCAAGCCGAGTCCCAGACCCTCGACATCGCCAATATGCCTATGTTTCCGACATATTCTGATGGAAGGCACGAAGAAACATATTGGCGAGGCTCATTCTTGCCTATCCTAGGCGACGATGGTAAACTTGCAGCCTGGTACAACCGAGCCTCGGAGATAACCAACGATATTGTTAATGAAAGAAGGGCGAAAACCTTGTATGCAATTTCATCGCCCCCAGACACACTCGACACCCCCGCGTGGGAGCATATGTTTCAGGCATTGCGAAACAATGTCATGGACTTCCCCATGGCGTTTGTGTACTCGGCAGAGGATAGTGGCAATGCATGCAGACTTACACTACAACAGTCCTTAGGCCTTCCCGCACACGGTCATCGGCTCGTCCCAGAAATGCTGGATATGTACGAGGCACCGTCCGGCTTTCTTTTCCATTACAGAAGAGCCAAATCAACACAAAACCCCATTGTTCTCCACCAACACGATGGATCTTTGCCACCAGAACTACTTGACGGATTCGAGTGGCAAGGCTACGGTGAGCAACCAGCCAGCATGGCATTTCTGCCGATTTCCGTCGGTCAGCGATTACTAGGTATCCTTGTCTTTGGGCTCAATCCTCGCCGTCGTTACCAGCCGGAAGACGATGCTTTCGTAACTGCGTTGTGCCGACAAGCCTCCGCCGCAATTGCCTCCGCTGTGGACCTAGAAGAAGCGCAGCACCGAGCCGAGAAGCTGACAATGCAACTAGAGGAAAATGAAAAACAGATCAGAGAGGTTGCGGAATATGGACCTGTTGGAATGCTCAGGCTAACCCCACACGGCCATCTTATCTGGGCGAACCCTCAATTCTATTCTATAACGGGACATTCATGTACGGATAAATATGCCTTCTCTTTCATGGACGTGGTCCACCCTGACGAACGAGATGTGGCCATGGGCTTCTGGGCGTCCCTGGTCGACGAGCACAAGCCGATGTCACAAGAATTTCGACTCGCGCAGAAATGGAAGCCTCCTCCCCGTCCCGGGCATCCTGACCCCGAAGAGGAGAACTGCTGGATTCTCGCAAACGCATTCCCGTCCTTCACAGATGGAGTGTTGTCAAGCATTGTGTGCTGCATAACCGATATCAGCCGCATCAAATGGACCGAAAAAATCCAAAGTCGTCTGGCCGCCGAAGCCACCGAGGCTCGAAAACTGCAAGAAGCCTTCATCGATGTCGTCTCTCACGAGATGAGGAATCCGCTGTCCGCCATAATGCAATTGGCTGACGGCATCGCTTCTTCTATCGAGGACTGGGACTCATTGGACGATCATTCTGCAGATTCTGCGCTCCAGCTGCTCAAAGAGAAGGCGGAAAACGGCAAGACCATTCTCCTGTGCGCGACGCATCAGAAAAGGGTCATTGACGACGTCCTGACCCTTTCGAAGCTCGACTCGCAGCTCCTGTCGATCTGGCCAGCTGTAGTACAGCCTGCACTCGTCGTCGAGTCGACCTTGACGATGTGTCAAGCCGAGTTCGATACCAACTCAATCACCGTAGAGCATCGCACTGACGAGTCATACACGCGCCTCAATCTAGACTGGGTCGCTCTGGATCCTGCACGACTAACGCAGATCTTCGTCAACCTACTCACCAATGCCGTCAAGTTCACCAAACTGGAATCCAAGAGGAAAATCACCGTCACCCGGGGCGCCTTCTCCCACCCCCCTCCTCCGCTCGAAAACATCACCTGGTTCCCGACGAAGCAAGAGAGGCGTGACGCCACGACGGGATCCGAATGGGGAACCGGCGACGTGGTCTACCTGTTGTTCACCGTGTCCGACACAGGCAAGGGACTCGAACAAAAGGAAATGACTCGGCTCTTCAACCGCTTCCAACAGGCCACGAAAAAGACACACATCAAGTATGGCGGGTCAGGTCTCGGTCTCTTCGTGTCCCGCGAACTGACCGAGAACATGGGCGGCCAGATCGGTGTGGCCTCGACCCCGGGCCAAGGCACGAAATTCGCCTTCTATATCAAAGTGCGCAAGGCGCCTCCTCCCCCCACGGCGTCGGATGACCACAAACAACAACACAGACAATCACTTCAACCACCGTCACAACCGCCCAGCTCCACGGCGGCGGCCGCTGCGGCAGCGTCGACGGAGATGATGAGCCAAATCACCCGGTTCCCCAGCAAAGAAAACGCCGTGCCCACGACGGCCGTCCAGGTCCTGCTCGTCGAAGACAACATCATCAACGCCCAGGTCCTGACCAAGCAGCTCAAACGCGCCGGGTGTACGGTGTACATCGCCAACCACGGCCAAGAGGCCTTGGACTTTCTCCCGCGCACCAAGGCCTGGCACGACTACCGACCTTTGCAGACCGTCGACTCGCCTTCGGCGAACCTCGACGTCGACATTGATTGTATACTGATGGACGTCGAGATGCCCGTCCTCGACGGCCTGAGTTGCACGCGCCAGATCCGCAAGCTCCGCCGGGACGGCCTCATCACCAAACACATCCACATCATCGCCATCACGGCCAACGCCCGCTCCGAACAGATCGCCTCGGCCATGGAGGCCGGAGTCGACGCCGTCCTGCCCAAACCATTCCGCGCCGTCGACGCCTTGACCAAGATGGAAGAGGTCATGAGGACCACTTGATATTTGCTTCGAATCGACACGACGGTTAAAGCCATAATGGCGAGACGGAGCGAGATTTAACAAGAACGTCATCAGTAAACACGTGGATGGCGGTGTACTGTAACAACACTTTTGATCGTGTACCAGCACCTAACGTTCCTGTATACTGCGTTACAATCAGCGTCTCGTTCTCCATTCCTCTTTGATTTTCTTCAACGACAGTTTCAAACTAGACACGTTAGGGATAGACGGCGATAACATCGGTGGTCGCAAATTATGGCACTTGTCTCTGATTTCCCTTGGTGTAATGAGTATGCAATGGTCTCTTCACAAGCATAGAAAGGTTTAGCGGACATTGCATTGGGAGGTTCGTACTATCCAACAACGCGTTTTGAATAACCAATCGCCTTTTCGTCTCTCTAATCTAATCCAAACAGTCCTGGCGATATCATTCCCCTGCATGTGCACCAGTATCGTGGTTACCAATGCACGCAATGACCGTAGAAGGAATATTAATCATGACCATAATCATACCCCACCAGGCGTCCCAAGATGTCCCCATCCAAAATCTAGCTTCGTTGGATTCGTCGCATCTTCACATTAATTGTCATCATGAAGTCTTCACCTCCGCGCCAGTGACGTGCTGTTGTACATCCTCCATCTTATCGGGAGGCGGACTGCTGCTGCTGTGGTGATGGCCAAAACCGCCATTCTCGCCACTCGCCGCCGCCGTTGTCGGAGAAGGTTGAGGTTGCTTGCTCGGGGTCGGGACGGGTTCATTGCTGCTCATCTTCCTCATCTGCTCCGGGCTGGGTCGGAGGTTCTCGATGGGTGGAAGCACAGGCGTGCCGCTGACCGTCCTCCTCTCGACATGGCCACCTGCCATGGCATTCGGTGGCAAGGTCGGAGACATACTGTTTCGCTTCTGGGGGATGATGGAAGGTGGCGGGAAGTGCTGGGGTGTAGGTTGCTTTCTTGGGGAAAGTCCCGAGATGGGCTGTGTGGTAGGCGTCTGAGCCTCTTGAGGTCGGGACGAGGCACGGGGCGTCGCATGCGCTTGGGTAGTGTTGAGTCCGTTTTGATGAGGCTGAAGGCCATTCACAGGCACACCATTCACGGTATTATGACCAAGAGATGGAGATTTCTGAGGAATTCCTGCAACCGGTCCAACATCCATGTTGCCCTGGGTAGGAGACATCATCGGACGATTAAAAACTGGGGATGGAAGACGACCAGTATTGTTTGTTGATTGTCCATGTGCAGGCGACCGTGTTGGCTGGCGAGGACTGTCATGTGCAGATACCAAGGCTCGTTGTTCGTAAGAATGATTCTGGGGTTGAAGAGGAGCACCATTTCGAAAGGGTGTATGCGCGGCCGATTGAGGAGGTGGACTTCTAACAAAGCCGTTCCCAACTACATGTGCAGATTGTTGGGCAGGATAACCAGGCACATATTGAACGAACTGATCAGAGCCCGGAGATTGTTGGCTAAGACCTGGGGGTAGTGATCGCTGTTGCCATGGAATGCTGGCAGCTTGTGGATATTGCTGGAATAAGCCATTACTCTGGATCTGTCGAGGTTGATATGGTGAGCTTGGTGGGTGACTGGACGGCGATGATTGTTGTCCTGGGTATCCGTTCGTCATGGAGCCCTGGCTGGCGGGCCGAACCACATTCTGTTTCGGTATCTCAACGCTGCCAAGGGTCGACTTCTGTGATGCTGACTGTTGTGCCGCAGGCGCTACTGGACTTGGGGGTGCCGGCGAGGAAGACGTGCCAACCTTGAATTTGAGGGAGATTTTTGGCTTGTTTGCGTCTTCTTCCTTTCGTCTGCAATCTTTACAAACGAAATGGAAATCCTTCTTCTCCGCAGCAGACTTTGAAATACCCAGACACTTACTATGTTGCCAGACGCTGCATCGTTCGCAAGCAACACAGTGTGAGCCATCATCCTAAAAGCATGTTAGTACTATACTGCAGACATTGAACAGAGTAATACTTACGATGTTCTTGCCGTGGACACCACAGCCTGAGCAGTCAAAGGTCCATTCTTCCTCATTGTTGAGATCTTCCAGTTCTTTTTTATTCTTCTCAATGCGTTGTTTCAGGTGACGGTCGGACCCTCTGACTTCACCTTCCTCGATCTTCTTTTGTTCGATGGCATCTCTGGCAAGTTCTTCCTCCTTAAGGAGTCGCTTGTATTCTCTGTCCCGAATGCGCTGCTCTCGGGTCAACATCCGGGATTGCCGTTCCTGCTCCATCTTTTCCTGTCTCTCCATTTCTCGATGGGCAGCCGCGAGATCAGCTTGCTTCTTCCGTTCAGCCTCGGCTTCTTCGGCTTCGCGTCGTTCACGGTCCAGCTTGTCTGCCAATCGACTAGATCGTTTGGCTCCAACCATTTTCTCCATCATTAGAAGTTCGCGCTGACGCCGCTCGATCTTTCGTCGCTGCTTCTCTTCGGCAGCTTCGATGATCGGTATGACTTCGGAGATGAGACGGTCTCGTAAAACCTTCTCGTTGGGGTCTTTGGACTTCTTTAACGATTCGCACAATTCATGGTAGTCTGTAAGAGTGATGGCAATGCACTCCCACTTGAACCCGCCAAAGGTGTCAATCTCCCAAGGCTCCTTCGTCTGTTCTTCAACCATATGGCTTTCGTCAATCTCTTCGTGATTTTCATCTGTGGTGTCCTCTAACTCAGCCTCTAGTCTTCTTCGTTTGCTCTCTCTTCGTCTTGCGGCAATTGCTTTCTTCGAGTTGGCTTTCGGCTTGGCTTTGGACGCTGGTGGCAGTGGAGGTTCAGTCCGACGGTAGAAGCGATTGTCGTCCAGTAGGTAGTATTGTCGATCATCACGGTCGTAACCAAACTCCTCGACTCGCTGGTTGGATCAATAAGCATGTGTTCAAGTTGGGCGGCACACAAACTTACCCATTCTAGTTGATCGACCTCACGCGGATGATCAGGCATCTTCTCTCTTATGCGATCAGGGTTCCAAAACGTCCATACCGTCAACTGGTGCAGCACTCTGATCTTGGTAACGATGTCGAAGTCTCGGAACCGCTTCGGTGTCTCTTCTGCGCCATAGGGGTTGAGGTGTGGTGCCTTGGCCAGATACTGACGTCGAGTATATTCATCCCAGATGGTATAACTAAGGTGGTTTAGCTGGTGGTCAGAGATGCGGGATAAGAGCACCTACTCGAGCCCACGATGCGATGAGATCCATTTGAGTAGGGTCAAGCCTATCTCTTCGAGTTTTTCGGAGTAACCAGGCTTCAGGCATTCTTCCTCAAAGTCCTGTGAGACCACCATTAGCCATTCCGTGCATTGAAATTACTCCGCCGCGTTGCGTCAAGTGTCAAGCAACGCATATTCGATGGGGGTTGTATCATACCTCGATGTCAAAGTCTTCGTCAATCTTGATTGCTTTGCCAAACATGAAGATGAACTGCATCGTAGAGGCAAATTCCCACATGTTTCGTATTCTCTGCAGGAAGGAAGGCTCCGTCTTCTTCTTCTCTTCGGGCGCAGAGGCCTCCATCTCGTCGCGGGTACGTTTTCGGGGCATGGTGAAGGGAGGAGAAGGAAGAGGTAACGAGGTGGTGAATGGCGACGCGAAGGCCTCCTGACTAGTATTAGATGAACGACATCAGATACTGACGCGTAACATCTTTGTCGGACAATGAATATCCTAAGGTCGGGTGGTTGTGCTGTGGGAGTGAAATCATAGACTGCGGCGTCTTTTTCGCTAACTAGAGAAACGCGGATTAAATGAGCCAGAATGAGATGCGCGCTTCACGAGAGCCAAGCGTTGAGAGGACTTATTCGCGGCGCAGTAGACTAACCTTTTTGGGGCGACCCAAGACGCTGCTCTACTTACAGCCTTGCCAGCAAGGCTGTGAGCGCGGAGGCCCAAGAGAGACTTCAATTGGTAACCCGCAGACGGAGTACTCTTCTCATTAGTCTCACAGACACTCAACGGAGTATGTACAGAGATGTTCTAGCCCACCAACTTCCTTCAATTTCTAGGTGCATGACCGATAAAGATAGAAGTCCCAAACAACCCCACACCTCATACATTATCTTGTACTTGGACTGTCCGCTGGTCAACTGCTCTTCTTCCTGGACACACGCCGTGGGCAATGGAGAGGCCATATCGATCACGGAAGCAAAAGCCCTGTGACAAGTGTCGGACCCGGAAAGTATTTTGTTCTCGTCAGGGCAATCTTGCCTGTTCATTGTGCCGCAACCGAGGCATTCCATGCATGGTGGACGGAGTGGTCATGGGCGACAGGATACACACTCCCAGTGTCCATCATGAACAGTCTGCCTCACGCCGGTCGATAGATATCAGGGGTCCAGGGATAAGGACTTCTTCCAGAGGAGTCTCGCATGTTTTGGAGCACCATCCCCACTACGAGGCACCAGAACTGACGACAATACCGACAAAGACCGAACGATTCGTCGGTCTCTCCAGTGATCTAGATCCTTTTATCCTTCGACATTACAACTGGAAGACTGTCTCGGCCAACGGCAACGAGATGCAGATCCTTTGCGATCGAAGGGGCAAGGACCCATACACTCCAATCCATTTCGAGGTGTGATGAAATACCGAAAGCCCGGCGAGATACTACTTCTCCTTCGAAGTGTGCTGACGTTTTTGTGATCATTGTTTTAGCTCTCGATACAGAATCGACTCGAGATACCAGTGAGTGAGAGCAGCGCAGAACCCGTACTCGCTCAGATAGAGCCATTCCAGCAAGAACTCTTCCAAGCCTTTGACCGCTACGTCCACGCGTCGTATCCTCTCTTGGGATTCAAGAGACCACACAAAGGGGACATATCTTCAATGTTGAGAATAGCCATATGTTGCGTGGCCCAGAGTTTCTGTTCCGCAGCGCAGAAGCTGGACCCTAGTATTTTTATGCGTTTCACTACTCAGGGACTTCCTGCAAAAATGCGTGTGGCCCAATTGGACACGATTGAGGCGGCCCTTCTGTTTCAACAGGGTAACGCATATGGTGCCGGGTTCGTACACAGAAATTTCCGACTCCCTTGATTGTCCTGGTTACCTCTATTCTAACCAAAACTGTCAGATACCCTGAAATGCGAGGAAGTCATGTTGAAACAGGCAATGTACAATCTCACATCCAACCTTTTGCTCGCGTTCCACGTGGTCTCTCACTTACCGTAAACTCGACGTTCACGTAACAGCTCGTCGCGGCCACTCAGGATCTCGGTCTCAACGTGGATTGTACGGGCTGGGATATACCCATACAAGAGAAACGACGTCGACGTCGAGTATGGTGGGCGGTCTTCGTCCAAGATAAATGGTGAGTCCGTCAATAATCCGAAATAATCCTAACCATCTTCCTCTCCCATTTTCCTGTCTTGAACTCAGCACATATGATACCGCATGCTCTCCTATTGCTGCTGTTACTAACACCGCCCGTCCATACTCAGGTCAGCCTTGGCCCTAGGCAGACCACCATACCTCACAGAAGCGCACGCCAACGTGACGATGCTCGAGCGCTCCGACTTTTTCACCACACCAGCAGGAAGCGACGAAGGGCTTTCCGATGGAATTTGCCAGGCCGCCGACGTCTTCATCGCCACCGTGCATCTGACGCATATCCTGGGCTTTGTCCTGGCCACTTTTTACTCCATCCGCGGCCTCGACGTGTGTCTGTCTCTTCCCGCCGCCGATCTCCTGCCCTTGTTCGAAAAGTGCTCGCGGGACCTGGACCGATGGGTGACAGGACATTATGAGCCTTTACGAAGGGCAACAGCTTCTGACTCATCCCTCGACGCAACAGGTTGGTTCGCACCCTCTGCCCATAGATACACCCCAAAATGCCCGGTCCAGACTAATTCTTATGGCAAATTATCAACTACAATTATAGGCGCCCTCGAACTGGCGGCCTACACCATCAGGATCATCCTGTACCGCGCCGTCTTACCAAAACTTGAACTCCTACGCCACCCGACCAAAGACCTCCGTCACCAAGCGTCGTTGATAGTCAACCAAGTCATGACACTACTCCGGAATCTAACCATCAGTCGCACATCTATACTCTGGTGGCCTAGTATGTTTCACTACTTTTCTTGTCTTCTTTTGTCTTTTCCCCCCTTTCCCTTCCCACTTCCCCAAGTTGTACCCTCAGCTCTTTCGACGCTCTCATGATTCATCACCTTGTGCCCACATTGTCCTCATTCTCACATGTATCACGTCCCAAACAGTGCCTCACGTCAACCTTTCAACCATCGGGACCTTCATCGTCAGCATGATCCTCTCTTCCACCGACGACGTCGACGCCAACGATTGGACCGCGGCGTTGACCTCCTACCAAGAACTTCTCAAGGCCCACAGCGCCGGGTTCCCCGTCTCGCGCTACGCTGCCGGACAGGCCGAGTTGGTACCTTTGGACACCAGCAACGACGCGACTTCTCAGAGTTCGCCTTAGATCAGTCCCGAATTCAATGAATTATCACCTTGCACATGCTTGACTTCTATAGATGTAAACAACTTGATGACTTTCTGTTAAACTACCACTTGTACCCCCATCTATATGCCATCATTCGTACGAATAGTCGTTATCTACCTGATGTAAACTCTTCCTTCGAACGGACTCAGCGTGTCAGGCACCGACTCGTCGACGTTTGTAATCGCGGCTTCCAAACCCTTGAACTCTTCTGGTATATTGGAAGGCTGGGATTTCTCGGTAAAGTTGAGCACGACCAGAGCCCTCTTGTCTCCTCCGTCCTTGACATATGTCATGGTCGCCGGGTTCTCGGCGTCCAACGTTCTCCACGTTCCATGGACGAAGACGTCCGAGTACTGCTTGCGCAGCGCCAACATACGTTTCCAGAACGACAGCACACTGTCGGTCTCCTTGACCTGTTTCTCCACGTTGATGTCGACATAATTGTCGTTGGTGCGCATCCAGGGTCCATTGGGAGATGTGGTGAAGCCTCCATGGGGCTTGTCGCTCCACTGCATTGGGGTTCTGGCGTGGTCCCTGGCGACTTTCTGGACTTTGGCCATGGCCTTGTCCAGTTCGGCCTTGTCGTCCGTGGACGACGTCAGGTCTTTCCAGTAGTTTTGCGAACTGATGTCCAGGTACTCCTCGATGGGCCAGGATTTGGGAATGTTGGTCATGCCGATCTCCTGCCCTTGGTAGATGAACAGGGTCCCCGTCGCCGTCGCCTGTAAAACGGCCAGCATCTTTGCGGACACGGCCCGAAATTCCGGAGAGTCGTTGCCGAATCGCGAGACCGACCGTGCAATGTCGTGGTTCTCGAGGAACATGCACGTCCAGCCGTCGTTGCCCTCGACGAATTGCTGCCACTTGCCGACCGTCTGCTTGAACTCTTGTAGGGGGAAGTCGCGGATGTGCCAGTGGTTCAGGGCGTATCCGATGCACACCGTCTCGAACTGGAAGCCCATGCCGACGCAACGTTTGCTGGCCCCGACGTAGTCGAGTGCGACGCTCAGATCTTTGAGCCCACCAAACTCGCCAACGGTGATTTTCTCTCCGTACTCGTCCATGATCGCCGTCATCTCTGAGAGGATCTCAAAGACCTTGGGCTGGTCACCGTACCACTTTCGTCCAGTCTGGTATGGGGAGCCGGGATCCGTGATCGGTGCGTCGGGCAACGCAGGGTTCTTGCTGTAAATGGTCATGGTGTCGATCCGGAAGCCGTCGATGCCCTTTTCCAGCCAAAACCTGACGGCGCTGTCATAGACCGCCTTGCGCAGTTCCAAGTTGTCCCAGTTGAGGTCGGGTTGCTCGGGAGCGAAGAGATGGAGGTAGTATTCTTGGGTCGTCTCGTCCCAGGTCCACGTGCTACCCACAAAGTTGGATCGCCAATTGTTGGGAGGGATGCGGTTCCCTTGCTCGTCGTATTTAGCAGGGCGCCAGATATACCAGTCACGCTTGGGGTTGGTCTTGGAGCTTCGAGATTCTTGGAACCATTTGTGCTGGTCTGAGGTGTGGTTGACTACCAAGTCCATCATGAATTTCATGCCACGATCGTGACAGCCACGGATCAAGTCTTCGACATCCTCCATGGTACCGAAGTTTGGATCGATGGCCTCATAATCAGAGATATCATAGCCAAAGTCGATGCGAGGGCTAGCGTAGATGGGACACATCCAGACAGTATCGGCACCTAGACCCTGGATGTGGTCCAAGGACTCGATAACGCCTTTGATGTCACCAACGCCATCATCGTTGGTATCCTTGAAACTGGCCGGCCACACTTGATAGACGACCGCATCCTTCCACCAAGGTTTGGCGATTGTGGCTAGAGAACCCATCGTAGATAGAAAAGATTGAGAAACACACATCGATTCCGTGGCTTGCCAACTTAGTTCGACTTTTATAGGAGATGCATGCGCCCGTTTTTCTTGCAGTGGACGCCACTTCAAGCTCACCAACTTGAGGATTTTCCAGATAGGCAGGTCATCTCAATGAATCTGCCGTTAAGATAGTCATGCAATCAAGTAACTCTACTCCACTTGTAAGGTAATGAATACAGTGTGGGTACACAGATAGAAAAGCATTCACCAATCGTGCCACGTTACGCTTTGATCGCGAAGGCCCCAAAGCCCGTATCTGGTTTAGACACTCAATGTTGAAGCGCCAATTCCATCTCGAACGTACTCATGTGTGCCGTGACTCACTGAGCTTCCGCCGCGGCGAAGGTCGTTTACCCGCGCGGAACGTTTGTGGAGCATAACCAGATCAGCCACGGGGAACAGCCAAGTTCTAGAATTCGTGACCTGTGCCTCGACCTCGTCTTCTATCAGGTGTTGCAAGGTTCCCGAACTGTCGCGTGCGAACTGAAGATCTGGTAGAGATGGAGATGTATATAAGTTGCCAACTGCTACGCCCAAACGTGGCCATCTCTCCATCATAGGCGCCCATATCTTCCAAAGGTTCCTCTTCTTCGCTCGCGTTAAATCACAATCCTTGACAGACATGGCTTCCACTCAAGAGCCTACCCAAATGGCCTCATCAGACCCTGAGAAAGTGGTACATGTCTTGGGTGAGCCCCAGACAAGCGTTGGAGACATGAAAGGTGACCGGATCGTCGACGGACATGAGGCCGAGGTCCATCGGTCTCTCCGTCAAGGCTTGCGCCGATGTTACAGCGCAGTCTTCTGGTCGGGCTTCTTGTCAATCGCCGTCATCATGGAAGGGTACGACGCAATCCTTCTGAATTCCCTGTACGGTCTTCCCTCATTCAAAGAGAAATTTGGCACAGAAAAGGAGGACGGCACGTACAACATCACCGCCAAATGGCAAAGCATCGTTTCTAATGCTGTTATGCTTGGACAATTCTTCGGACTCTTCATCGCCGGCTGGGCTTCGGATAGATATGGCTTTCGGAAAACAGTCATGGCTACCTGCGTTTTCACGGCCGCAATCATTTTCATGCAATTCTTCGCCACTGATCTGAAGGTCTTGACGGGGGCGGAACTTCTCTTCGGCTTTCCTCTGTCAGTTTTCCTCACCTTGACCACTGTCTATGCCGCAGATGTCTGCCCGCTGGTCCTGAGACCATACTTGACGACGTGGGTCAACCTCTGCTGGACCATCGGGAAAGTCATCTCAGCCGGAGTATTGCGAGCATTTGTTAACACGGAATCACACTGGGGCTACAAGGTCCCTTTCGCCACACAGTGGATCTGGCCCCCCATCATCCTTATCGGAACATTCTTTGCTCCAGAGTCTCCTTACTGGTTGGTGAGACAAGGTCGTACTGAAGATGCCCGAAAGAGCTTGAATCGACTCTTTGGCGGTTTCAGCCCGGAAGAGATAGAGAACTATCTCGTTCAGATCACCGCGACCAACCAGCACGAAGTTGAATTACAAGCAGGGACATCGTATTTGCATTGCTTGAAGGGAACAAATCTCCGTCGGACCGAGATCGCCTGTATGACATGGATTGTACAGCCTTTCTGTGGCTTCGCAATCGTGGGCTTCGCGACTTACTTCTTCGAGCAAGCTGGCTTCAGCCCTGCGAACGCCTTCAGCTTGAGCCTGGGTCAACAAGCCATTGCATTCTTTGGTGGCATTGTCATGTGGTTCATTCTTCCTCATGTCGGGCGCCGCACATTGATGCTCTGGGGCCTTGTCATCAGCGCCATAACCCAGATCGTCGTCGGTGGTCTGGGAATTCCGGCACCCCAAGGCAGTGTCGCCTGGGCGACGGGAGCCGTCCTTATGATCTACATTTTCAGTTATTCCATGACCATTGGCCCCCTTGCCTACATCATCGTCGCTGATCTCGGTTCCAGCCGTCTTCGAGCTAAGACTGCTGTGCTCGCTCGCAACGCCTACCAAGTCGCAACAGTCATTAACAACGTGCTTACCAGCTACCAGATCAACAGCGACGACTGGAACTGGCGAGGAAAGGCTGGCTTCTTCTGGGGAGGCTTCAATGTGGTGTTGTTCATCTACTGTTACTTCCGACTGCCCGAGATCAAAGACCGCACCTTCCTAGAGTTGGATCTGCTTTTCGAGAACAAAGTTCCAGCCAGGCAGTTCAAGAATTACGATGTTGATGTGCTCCGTGGAGTGACAGGTAACGAGGGAGCTCTTCGAGAGCGCAATTCTTCTTATGGAGATGGTGAGTGAGTGTGAATGATAGATCTGCTGGATACCAGGCACATCTTCTGGTGTAAAGGGCCGTAGGTGCGTTGGTTAGCCTCGAGACTTTGTACGGAAGTTGGTATATGCAGTCCCCGAAAGTTGAGGGACAAGTGGCGAGCATCTTGATTAGCTGATGCTATTGCTGTTTCTGTACCCTAGGAGCACTTCTTCAGGGATGTGGATGCTAGAACGACCTCATGGTTTCAATAGAAGGTATTGACTTGACATTGCAATGCCAAGATCTTGTCGTCGCGTTGGTTGAAGGAATATTGTAAAGCACTTAGAGCTACCATTTCGATTCTCGCCACTCACTTGGGTTCGATGGTTTTGCCGAACTTTGCGCAGATACAGGCTCAAGAACCAAGAGAAGAGGCGCGACGAGGTCAGTAAACTCGAAAACAGCCTGGTTTAAAGCGGCATGGCGTAGAACATCTATGGGCGCCAAGCTCCGGGAAAATATCGGATGTTTGTCCTCGACGGACCTCATACTACAGCACCATCGACGCCATGTATTCCTTGCCAACATCTGATACCTTTCGATATTGTCCATCCAAGGAGTTATCAGGTTATACTAAATCCGTCAGGCTGCCGCGTTGTTAGTATAGTCATTGAAATTTCAACTGCAAACGTTTTACCTTGGCCCTGAGAAAAGACATCCAGGGCCGCAACCCTCAGGCAATGTCGTAAATTGATTATCACCGAGGAGATATTGACAAGAATGGCGGCGGCAACGCAAGAAGCGGGAGATAGTCCAGCCTTCGAATTTCCAAAAAGCTATAACTTTCCACCATTTTTCAGTCCACAACCAACGGCGTTGACGCGGCAAGCCCAGTTGAAGAAATGGTCAATTCTGGTCCAGAGATATTGCAAGCATCACAGAATATTCAAAATCACCATCATCGACGCTCTCGACACCCCGCTGTTCAACAATTCAACCCTGAGAAAAAGATTGAGTCTTCAGGACGCCAAGGCTGTCATTGATTATATGGTGAGCAAGGACGGTGATGAACGAGCCGAATGGCTGGGACTTGAGAAGTCTGAAGCGTGGGTCTGGTGGCGAAAACCCGAAGAATGGGCGACAGTCATTGCAACCTGGGTAGAGGAAACAGGACAAAAGGGCACGGTGTTGACTCTGTATGAATTGGTTCAGGGAGAAACAACCGAAAAGCAAGAATTTTATGGACTCGACATGGACGTCCTCCGCAAGAGTCTCGCTACTTTGGTCAAGAAGGGCAGAGCTCAAGTGTTTGGCACAGAAGACCAGCAGGGTGTCAAATTCTTCTAACAGTCACACATTCACCTCCATATCGACATCAGCCTCCACAATGCTTCGCTGGTCGTGAATATTCATGGAAATCGTAAACACAGTATCTCCATCAGTCCTCGAGCTCATACTGCTGTGTGGGTAGCAGCTTCTGGGACATAGCTGTCTCCAGCAACCAGTCCGCTGAGACAATACGTGGAATTTTGCGACTGCCTTCGGCCATCTCCTTGAATCTTGTCCATAAGGGTGTGGTCTCTTTCCGATCAGTGTCGTTACTCAGGAGATACACATCATTGGTAGCGTCGATGTCAGTACTGGCCTCGCTATCGGCTCGCTTGGAAGGCACAGTTGTACCCTTTCGGCCGCGCCACAGCCTGCAGTCACCACCGTTGGCATCCACAATCGTTTTGAAGGTATCGAATCCTCCGCGGATATCTTCCATACAATATATTGTACGGCCTTGAAGCAATTGATTGCGGTTCTTCTGAGCACGTTCGCGAGATAGCTTCAGAGAAACTCCTAATTTCTTCTCGCTCTCCTTGTCGGTCAATCTAAATCGCCCAGGGTCGAGCAATTCATTTGCTTCCAGACAAGCCTCAATGTAGCTAGTGGAGAGAACCATGGGAGCGTATGCGAGCGCTGTCACAAATTTCATCGTGCGGACAACACGCGGAGCAACAAGATGCGTCGCTCGACTAGGATCCATGGTGCATACAACCCCTAGGCTCCGAAGACGTTTCTAAACATGTCAGTATACATACCTGAATATAGAATATACGTTACCCACTTTGTCATTGTCTTCAAGCTTCGCCCGACCAACCCACTTATCGTAACCGGATATGACAAGATGCATAGCTGGCGGCGTGTTCTCACGTTTAACTTTCTTAGCTTCGCCCTCAGTAGTTTCATGATCCGATGCTTCATCAACAGATCGCTTTCGGCCCACCTCTATGCGGCCTTCGTCGGTCTTGCGTCGACCTCCATAGATGACTCCACCGGCACGCTTTCGTTCTTTCTCGTACAGGAGAATGTCTGGTGTCATCTCATGCAGTCGAGCTGAAGCAACTTCTTTTGACTTGCGACTATTGGTAGTCGACGGTGTAATATTCTCTTTACCGGTGGTGATAAACTTAGATGGCGCAGGTGTGCGTGGTTTTCCGTTTCTTTCGCGAGCATCACTGTCATGGTTCTGTGCTTGATCTAATCTGGTTGCCGAAATTGTGTTGTTGTTGACTTGCTGCATAGGCTTTGCATCCGCGACATCAGCCATCTCGACATCTTCCTCCGGTGGGAAGAAATGTCGTTCAAGAACGGTACGATCTAGCTGTGTATGGCCAACAACCTCGCCGAGATTGGTCCGCCTTGGGAAATGTGTGTATTTGTTGTCCGTAATGCTCTTCATCGTCCACTGAGCGTAGCTCTCCTCGAGCCAGAGGTGGTTGATAATGTGGATACCCCAGTCCTTTGCGGCAGCGCATTTTTCGCTGAGAACATGAGCCGTGATTAGATGGGTATTGTCTTGTTTCAGCGTCTTGGTGCATTCTGCTCCTGTTGCATAGATCAAATTTTCCAGATACGTTCGTGCATCACCACTGTAGTTTGACAGACTGATTTTGAGCCCCTGAAATCCCGGAAGTCCTTCTCGTGCGACAGGATAGTGTAGCATGCGCCGTAGAGGAGACGTCCACTCGTCGGTCTGAATCAAGTAGTAGAGCCAGGCGAGGTTACCAACATCTTTGCCTGCCCGCGAAGCCATCCGATACTCTTCGCCACTGCGGTATTTGCAAATGAACATATCGGCATCCATGACCGAGTCGGTTAGCTTACCACCACTGGTGGTAATAATTCCGTCCAGTATTTCTCTGAGATTGTTCGATATGCGAAGATCTTTGGATAGCATTACTGTCTTCTTTTTGAAAACTTTGTTCAGCTTTCGAGGGCCAACCGGTTCTTGGCCTTCTTGAGACGGATCTGGATTTACTGCCCCTTCCACCTGGGTCTTGCGTTTCGCAATTGGCACCTTCTCCGTCGGACCTTTCAATATGTCGGGATCTGGCAGAGAATATGGATGCTCGTCGATTTTTCTCCCCAGCTTCAAGCAGTCATCCACCCAATGCGGTAAAACAACCTTGATCCTGAGTTGCCCATCTATCACTCTATGACAGACGTCCGATTCGACGGTAAGTGCGATCACATGGGTGACCTGGTTTGTGAGTCTGAGAGAAAAAAGTCCACCCATTGCTAGAATCCCGCCAGCAATAGCGTCTGCGTCCCCTTCTGGGAGATCTGCGACGCATGCGACAACATCAGACATGAAGTAGCGCGGATCGGGATTGTATTGTCGGGGGTTCAGCAGTTTGTTCTTCGCTAAGGAGTGCGTAACCCAGGTGGGTCTGACCACCGGAATAAAGGCTTCGACGCAGGCATGATAATCGGGAAAGTCGTAGGTGGCAGAGACGACGTGCGTGACCCCGTTCAGGTCGAGATTGTTCTCAGGATAGTCGTCGAAGATGACTTCGCCATCGTGTAGTCTCAGTTCACCGGCGAGCTAATTGAATCAATCAGCACCAGTCATTATGTTCCCCGACTAGCATCTTACCTCTTGGGCCTGTTCGGGACCTAGACTTGCAGAACGGACGATGATGAAGCTGCATTGAGCGAATGTGCCGCGTTTTTTGGTGTGCTCGAGATCGTTCATATTGGCAGAAGGCGAGGTACCGACAAAACTACGCACAAGACCCCTACATGTATCGAAAAGACCGGTCATGGACAACTACATCGCCTGTAGAGACTGGGACCGAATGTGAATCGAGTGGAGGACTTTTGTGGCAACAGTAAGTGCGTATGTACAGTAAAGCGCAGGCACGCGTCGAAAAAGCAATCAACGCGATTGACACGCGCCCGCCAAACTGGTCACGTGGTGATACGAAAGTGGTTCTTGTACTTGAGCCAGCAGCCTGATGGCTTAGAACAGCCACTATTACAGATTACAGTCTACCGTGCTTCGTACAAACAGGGACACTACATTGCCAGTGTCGGTAACCTCCATACGCATGTCTACCTATTGTACCTCAGGTACGCGAGATGATGTCGGAGCCGCATTGATCCCAGCAGCAACTCACTCAAGCGGAGGCGACGCTTCATCTTCGGGACGGTACTCTTCCGTACTGTACGGATATGGCAATACCAACTACCGTTTGAGCCTCGGCTCTTTTCTGAACAAGTCGCAGGGCTGGCGCGCAGTCGGCAAGTGCACTTTCCACCCTACACCATCAAAAGTTCATTTTATTGCCAACATACTTGCTTCCACATGAAAAGAGCGGACGGTGTGAGGTCCTCGAGGTGCAGCGCTGAGTATCCGTCACAATGTCCTCCTTCCACGTCGTCGAACATAAAATACCCTGCCAACACATTCGCGAATACCCACGGGCATTGAGCGGCTCACAAGAGGACGTCTTGCACCTCGCAGTCAAGCAATATATACCCAAGGACAATCCTAATCCTCAGCCCGGCGATGTAACAATCATAGGCGCACATGCCAATGCATTTCCAAAAGAGCTTTACGAGCCACTATGGGATGATATCCACGCAAGGTCAAAGAAGAACGGCTTCCGCATCAGAAGCATATGGATCGCAGACGTTGCGCAACAAGGTCAGAGCAGCGTCCTCAATGAGAAACTGCTAGGCAACGACCCCAATTGGAATGATCATCCACGGGATTTGCTACACATGATCAATATGAAGAGAGATCTCATGCCTCGGCCACTGGTGGGAATAGGCCACTCGATGGGAGGAAATCATCTGTACGGCCCAACTGCGGTGTCTCCGTTGGCGTTTACTAATGTTCTCACTCAGAGTCAACCTAGCCTATATGCACCCCCGACTTCTCACCACACTCATCCTTATCGACCCCGTAATACAAGTCCATTCCAGTGTTCCACCCGACGCAGGTCCGAGTCCGGCACGTTTATCCACTTTCCGACGTGACGTCTGGCCCTCGAGAAAAGAGGCCGCCGAGAGTTTCCAAGCCAGCAAGTTCTACCAAGCATGGGATCCCCGAGTACTCGACCGCTGGGTACAACATGGCCTTCGTGATATGCCGACTTTACTACACTCAGAAGGACCACCTAAAGTTACGTTAAAGACCCCTCTGCACCAAGAGGTCTTCACTTTCCTCCGACCAAACTACCAAGGCTACGGATGGCAAGGCAAGCCCATCAACCGTAAGACTCATCCAGACCTGAACCCCTCTCTGCCGACGATATACCCATTCTATCGAGCTGAAGGACCACAAGCGTTCTTCCGCCTCGAGGAACTTCGACCCAGCGTGTTGTACATATTTGGGGGCAAATCAGATGTCGGCACACCTGAGGCGTGCAAAGCCAAGATGGACCACACCGGTGTTGGTATTGGAGGCAGCGGAGGCGCCCCGGCCGGTCGTGTACGGAGTGTCTTGTTTGAAGATATCGGCCACCTGATTGCCATGGAAGCTGTCGATAGGACTGCTAATCATAGCTCCGAATGGCTAGGGAGCGAGATGAAGTTGTGGAGAGAAGCCGAGGAGGAACACGAGCGAGCGTGGAATGCAAAGTCGTTGATCGAGAAACAGACCGTGGATGAGGAGTGGAAAAAGATGATAGGAGGTCCGATGCGCAAGCCTAAGAAGACGAAACTTTGATTTGACTTCAACGATTTGCATGCCGCAAAATCAAATAGAGGCTTCCAAAGCTGGGGCTTATCGCAAGACCAACGACAGCGCGGTTCCGGAGAGGCATGTTGCATTACTATAGAGTGTGGTCTGTTTAGATTGGGTATACGATACACGACACGTATAGACAACTTGAAAATAGGACAAGACAAGAAGGGTGAAGGATGATTTTTTTTTTCGGTGTACGAGAGGGCGTAGAATCATTTCCTTCATTCGTGTGACATAAACAAGAACTCGACAACGATTGATATGATGTACATGTGGACTGCGCGGGAGTGATACAATTGGAAACCCCCTGTCACAGGTCTCCCCTTTCCAAGTCACCCAGTCAGGTGTGGTGCTCCTTTTATAGACTCATTCGCCTGAGTCTTTTACCCAGAAGTCTATCACTTGTCATGTTTAGTTGCTTCTCGCTTTTAGTTTTCTGTTGATGTTGTTGTGGCAGCAACGGCGCCCTCTCTTCGTCGTCGTCGTCGTCCTTTTCTGGGAACGACGATGACAAACCATCGTATCTTCCCCGGGGCATTCTACCCCTTCTATACCCCAACCCTTCATTCTCGTCAATCACATCCACGTGTCTGATTTGACCTTCGTCGTCGGCGCCGCGAGGGGGCATGGCGCCACCGGGATCCCTCACCCCGTAAATGAGTCTGTAGTTGTTCAGTTTCTCGGCAATCTCGTCGCCGGTCAAGAGGCAGCCGCTGTCGCCCAGTCGATCCACGACGGGCCTCAGCAGCCTCGCCGTGGACAGGTGGCTCGTGTCCTTGATGATGGCCTTGTTCGCAAACGCCACGACAAAACACAAGATCAAAAACTGCGCGACGGGGATGGCGCCTAGGATGGCGCCGGCGTACTTCCACTGCACGTTCAGAAACTGTGCCGGCGCCGGCCCGTAGCCCTTGACGTTCAGCCTGGGCCCGCCGGCGTCCATGGCCGCGACGGCGCCCGCGGTGAAGCGCATGATCAACGCCGCCATGTCCCCCTCGGTGTAGTTGCCCGGTGGGCTCCAGCTGGAATCGGAAGGGTACACGAGCATCTGCAGGTCGCTGGCGAGCGAGCCGTCCGAGTACTCGGTCTGAACGCCTGACCAGCCGATCGCGCCAGCCAAATACTGGGCCTGGAGGTTGGGGAGCTCGTACTCGTCCGGCTCTTCGTACTCGTCGACGTTGGACACCTGCGAGACGTACGACTTGCAGCTGAAGAAGCGAGGCACGGGCACGTCGGCCGTGTTGTTGTCGGCACTCTGAAGGGCGTAGACCTGTGTGCACCGGCTGCCGCAGGAGGTCATGTTGGCCATCCACGTCGTCGCGCCAGTGGCGGCTTCATTGATGGTCCATGTGTTGTTGTGCCCATCGTCGTCGACCCAGGTGACGTCCCACATCGTGTCGGTGTCGTCTGTGTTGAAGCCAGCATAGCCACCGGCAACCACCTCATCTAGACGAGTAAAGTCAGTCTTCTTGGTTCTTCTTTGCTGGGAATAAAGATACGGTGATATAGATGAATTTCGGCTCAATCCAACCTTATATAGACGATTTTCGCATCTTCAGGTGACAAACGAAATGAGACAGGTACTTACGATATCGGCATTCCGCTGTACAGTTGACTGTACGATCACTGACTGAGCTCAACGAGGTAGCTAGAGGAGACTGGTCGATGAAGCGGTACCAGTATGCGGTGTGATTTTCATTCTCATAAACCGACTGCGTAAAGCCTGAGCGGTCTTTGGCATAAGTGTCAAACAAGACTGGGTAGTCTTGACCTGTAATGCCCCAGGTATTGGAGGCTGAAAACTGTGCAAATTGAGCCGTGGAGCTTCCAAGGTCGTTTCCGTACAGATCCTGGGTGGCGGCATTGCCGATGTAAGATAAGTCAACAATGCTGACATTTCCTAAGGAGGGGTGTTCGTGAGTAGAAATATACGAATCAAAGGATGGGCAATTGCCTTACCATACGTCAATCTCACAAACTCAGTTGAAAGGTCTATAGAGTAAGTAAGACCGAGAAGGGCAGTAAAGACCTGCAAAGCAAGATTGACAGTGATGGAGAGGAGAGCCATCAGCTGGGTTTTGTTGGGGTACCACTGTTTCGGCGTTCGACCTGCCCAGAGTAGGCGGAATGTCTTGGTCTGGCTGTCGCAGTTCATGACAAGTTCGAAGTCCTGGAGAGACCGATAGCTGGAGGCTAGGAACCTCCACCGCATCATTTGAGCGTAACCCTTGAGAGACGAAGCAAGGTTGAGACCGAGGCAGATTGACAGGCCAGTAACCAAGGCGTTGAAAACATGCTTCATCGTCGAAGTAACGCCGATGTCAATTGTCGTGAACCCGTAGAGTACAGCAGCGAGGCCCGCACAGATGACGGCGGTCATGAGCCATTGGAAACTGCTATTGACAAACAGTCTCCTGCGCTGCCGATGAGGCTCGAAATACCGTACAGTGTCTGATGGTGGCGGTGCTACCCCTGGCTTCTCGGAATATTCGTGGTCCCATGGAGCAGCTACTTTGGGAACATTGAATTGCGATACTGTTTTCCTCGAGTACGACCAGACGGAAGACGCTGCCCTGTATAACGAGCTTCTGGTTCGTACACGTTCTGTAGGCAAGTTAGCAGAGAACATGTATACGACATTTTGGCACCGACTTGGCTGCGGAGGAGAGAAATTCCCCTCGGATCCTGTATAGGCTAGGCTGTCTGTTACAATCCCTCTGGCAGGTTTCCTGAACACAGAGCTGAAACTTCCATCTCTGTTTTGCGATGGGAATGGCTCAGATGGCGGAAAGCCTTCTGTGTTAGAGAACTGGCTGGATTCTGTTGGAGAGTTCTTCCCGAGAAACCCAGTACTGGCTAGCGGATTCAGCCGTGCATATCGTGAGGCAGGCATCTAGTACAGAAGGCAATCATGTGCTGCTTCCGAGAAGATGTGCAATAGGGAGCGCAATTCAAAGGCCGCGTGTGGTAGTAAACTTGGCTGTTGGGCGTAGGATTCGAGTAGGCTAACATTGGCACAATGCCAATATGGAGCTGTGTGAGTTGGGTTGGGAGATATACATGGCACACCTTCGCCTGGACAATTGCGAAGGATATATCTGAAGGAATACTGTAACGTAGCCCCCAGAGCGCTGAAGCGGTAGTGACAATACCAGACCTGACGCTATATTTTAAGCCCTAGTCGATCAAGAAACACCCTAGGAAATACTGCGGGCTAAGGGCGTGATATCGCCGTCTAGATTCAGGCGTCCCGTCTGGTTAAGTTTGGGCGATATATCTTGAGCCGCGTGGGGGCCGCAGGCGTTTTGATTACTACACTTCGATCAGTGGATGAGTCCAGGTTGCACGAAATACAGAGTACCGGACTGCAAGTGGAAATCGAGGAACATGTTTGTCTCCTGCATGGCGCCACTGATCCTTGCGGAAACGCAACCCAGATGGATTCGCGCATTCACTTCCAAACACCACGCTTAGCAGAACGACGTGAGACAAGCTTCGGTACAACAGCCAGCCCTGTGAGGCCAGCAGGCGCCATGGACTAAACTTGTCCGAGCCACGCTATGCTGAGTCACCCCCCAGCCTGGGGCGAGAGCAATACTTATCTTTGGCTGCCAAGATGTGATACAAATTTGGTGTGACGTGGTCATTGGTAGGATCCTGTGAGGCCGCGACGTTGAGCGCCAGTGGTTTGAGGATACTGGCATCCTTTCCTAGTGTGCAACAATAGGGACGAGGATACGGAGTAATAATGACGGCCGAATCGTGGTCGAAACAATGATAATGCAGCGTTGGCCATCCCGGTCAACAGGAGGAGCGAGATTGAAGGGGAGCCCCAAGAAGAGGCGCTACTGTAAGTGCCACTCAGCGCTAGTGACGTGAATCCTTCCAGCAGTTGATATGCGAAGGAGAGGGTACTCCGTACTTTTGCCCAATGGCCAAAAATTGGCTGAGGAGGTTGTAACTCGTAGTCTCATCAGGGACACTGTCGTCGCTTAGTGTGCAGAGGCACATCGGCGTTAGGTACATTGTGATCACCCATCTGCCTAAGTTGTAGTGCGGTCGTTTGCTCTCAGCTGAGCTTCTTTTCTAACGTCGTCTTCAACTTTGCATTTTTCTGGTTCGGCAGAACATACATTTTTTTCTCGTGTCGCCTGCGATATGTGAGTCACATTGGTCTGTTGAGCTGGGTTGAAAATTGTTGTTCCGACGTAACAATGCTGACAGGGTTTCTGCTGACGCAAGCCTAACTCCGCGCCGCCAGTTGACAGCAATGAAGCACTCAGACATAGGTCTCACAGCCACAAGTGATATGCATTGTGAGAGACATACAGCATATTGCCAAGGGCGTCTTCGCAACAAGATGGAATCACCCCAAAGGCGACTGAAACTCCAGATCCATTGTATTGAATCCAGAGTTCGATGCCAGGTCGTGAAATTGATGACGCACAATGCTCCTCTGCCCTATTGTATACCTTGAGGAGTTCTCATATCTATGCAGCAAATGCATAGCTTCCCAGTATGCAATATACTGACCAGGGAGGGAGATGCTCTCCACTTTCCAGCAACTTGCCAACTCGTTCAGCGTGTCGAATTCCAGGATTACTTGCAATGGACTTTAGCTGGTTGAGAACCCAAGGCAGGATATTCGTCTCGGGACTGGCGTATCTGGCGGCCATATAGTAGGGGAATAGGAGAGTGTAACAGTGAAGTCTACGGACGGGAGAGAAATCGTCTTTCTTGGACACGATGTTGTCGCCCCCAGTCAACTGAGGACCGGCTGCACAAATTTCCTTGGCCATGGCGTCGATGATCTGAGACGCGAACAGCCCACAGCTCCGATTGTACTCGGCATCTTCACCCTCACCAGCCATCTCCGTATAAATCGTCCTGATAGACTCATTCAAGCAAATTCTCATGATTCGGATGACATTACAAGTCTGGGCAACGAAGTAGTCCGGGTAAACATCGTAATATGGTTCAAGCACGTCGGTGGACTGCTTATCGAGGGAAATACGGTGGCGAACCCAAGATGCCGGCAAATTGTCTGCCAATACCTTGAATTTGTGGTCGAGCTTTTTTGCAAGCCTGATCTTCTCATTGTTCGACAATAACTTACTGTCCAACTCGGCTCGGAGGAGTGTATATTCCATCACAAGACCCGTCACTCGCCATTTTGGGTCAGAATCGTCAATATGCGAGGCTACCTCTTGACGCAACCGGAGTAAGGCAACTGGAGCAGGTGCGCCCGCCCCGACACAGCTGATCAACATGTTTGTGAAAAGACGCACCGACAAGCGCCGCCCGACATACGTCCGAAATTGCTGCTGCGTTCGAAACTTGAACAAAGCTAAAGCTCCCCTAACATGAGACATCCATGCTTCCGATGACCTGGGATCGTTGTGCATTATTTTCTCGTACAGGTCCAGAAAGAGGATAGAGAGCAGGGTCGAATCACTTGCCAGCTGTTGAGGCGACCTCAGAGCACTGTTGACGAGAGGTAAAGCCGACAGATACTTCTCACGGGCCAGTGACGAAGCTTTGGGGGAATTATACTGAAAATGGAAAAAGGCCAGACTGACTGCCTCGACACTGGCAGTCAGATGCAGGTCTGGTGAGGACTGGGTGTCGATACGTTCGAGGACATCGTATGTCCTTCCCATGCCGATCACATAGTGGGAGAAGAAGGCGCCCTTGGCTTTCTCATCCAGGGGTATCTGCACCCTCGGTGGGAGGGCTTTAACCATGCCGACCATAGCTTTCTGCCGCGTCGCTTGGCTCTCATCTTGAATCCTGAGCTGGTTTGGATCACGATAACCTCCACACACTAAGCCTGCCCTCACACACTGACCGCAAGCCTGGCTTCGGAGATCACACTTGAGGAAAATAAGCAACAGCAAATCAGAGGAGCAACATGGACCTACCCGGAGTTTCCTTCTCCTGCAGTGAGCACATGCTCTCGAGGGTTTGCCGAGATAGACCATAATCCTGGGACAGAGGGACTATGGGCATGGAGCTGTGGGGGCGGATGTCGTGTCTATCGCCCTGATTTCGTCAACGGAAGAATGTGTCCGTCCTGTGCATTCGCAAACTAGGATCATGTTTCTAGGATCGGCGCGGGGGGTCTGGAAGTTGCGAGAAGAAACGTGTCCATCTCATAAAAGTGACTCGGGTGAAGTCGAGATGGCCGTACCGAGTGTTGGAAAATGTTACGTTTAGGCCAAAACGCAGTGGGCGCCGCATTAGTCCGGACTAGTCCTATTCTGGAAGGACTTACGGCGGCTTAGCGTCATTTCTCTACCGGCTTCGTTAAGACCGAAGGAACGTGCGGCCAGATACAATATCATCGTCCTCTTCTTTATTGTCAAGTACATGTGTGTGTGTGCGTGTCTGTGTGAGTGAGAGTCCCATATACATGCTCCGTATTAACCCCGATGGAAACTGTCAACACAATGGGTAAGTATTTATATGAACTTCTCGCCGTTTCTTTGACAGAGTTGAAAATGCTCTCGCACTCACAAACATTCGCATATTCCTCTCACGACACCAAAAACACATCCCCTTAACTTGGAGACTACCTCACCTCCAAAGACTGTGCTGGTGCTGGTGTCCTCGCATCTTCGCCGTCTTGATCCTATCGACCGTCAAGTATGGCTTTCCCTTTCAAACATGTCTTAATGGTCGGTGCCACTGCCGGCATCGGGGCAGCAATGGCGGACCGATTGGTTCTCGAAGGAGTCAAAGTCATTGCTGTCGGCCGTAGACAGGAGCGACTCAATGCATTCGTACAGAAGCATGGCTCAGCTAAAGCCAGCGCCGTTCAATTCGACCTGAGTGATAGCAAAAACATGGACAAATTTGTCTCCAACGTCACCCAGACCTACCCAGACCTGGACTGCGTCTTCCTCAATGCAGGCATTCAGAGTGTTTTCAAGCTTGCCCAGCCAGAAACAGTCGACCTATCTGTTTTTCACTCCGAGATGTCGGTCAACTTCTCGTCCTTTGTCGACCTCACGATGAAGTTCTTGCCATTCTTTCAGAGCAAAAAGTCCGAAACTGGCTTGATTTAGTATGTGTGAGCACAGCATACCTAGACACAGTCCTCTAACATTGTCAGCACCGGGTCTAACCTGGCAATCGTGCCGTCTGCGAGTCTGCCGGCATACTCAGCTTCGAAGGCGGCCTTGAATGCTTTCGTTCTCTGCCTACGGGAGCAGCTGAAAGAGTCATCGGTGAAAGTCATTGAGCTTTCTCCTCCACCTGTACAAAGTAAGTGCCATTCTCGTAGTATTTGCTGGTCCGTGGCTAACAAACTCAGCCGAGCTGCACGATTATATGGGCGAGGAGAAAGGACGGAACATGGGCATGCCCGTTGACAAATTTACCGATGCTGCGTACAAAGGTCTGGCTTCCGGGGAAGACCAGATTATCATCGGTACAGTTGGGCCAGAAGAAACGTTCCACGACATTGTCGACAAGAGGAGGGCTGCGTTCGAGAATTTGGCGAAACTGATTCGACTCCATTAGCTGTGACAGCCTCCTGATTGAGCTCCCAATTCCGTGGCTGAGTGTCAATTATTCCAAAGCCTTGTCAATCGTCAATTGTCTGGAAGCAGGCAGACTATATCCATAGCTGAGGCAATGCGCAGAGGAAAACATCTTCAAATGTGTTAATGGTCACAAATAACCCAGCCAAATTGCTTCTCAAATTTCCACCAAGTACTCCGTACAATACTTGACCAACGTGGCTTCGCATGGGAGTTAACTACCCCTGAAAGGAGAGATAAATTAAAAGCATGATTGGTTTCCACAAAGTTGCCGCCACCGTACTGCATGCAAGGCTGCGACATTTCAGCATGTTGACAAGATTGACTGATAGCCTGCTCAATGGGCAATGCGTTCGGCCAGCCCCATCCAAAGAACAGAAAGGCGAAAGACGGAAGGCAAACTTTCAGAGAGAGAACAACTATGCAGATTCTTTCTGTACTATCGGTATAATTCAGGGATACCCAGTAAGGAGGACGAGTTGGTACTCCGTCTCAATTACTTTTTTTTTAAACGAGTCTCAACTGCAGGGATCAGTGGTTTTTATAGTCTCCCCCGCCAGAAGGGAAATCTCGCTTCGGCTCGAGAAAAAGACCCTTACTTGACTCCGTACTCCGTACCGACACTATATCCGCGAATCGTTCTTGTCACAATATCACACCCTTTGCATCTAGATCTTTGGCACGTCCAAAACGAGCGTGGCTCATCAAAAAGCAGTACGACGACGATGCCACGACAGGTTCCATGACACACGGTTGTTGTTGTTGTTGATGGCAATACTCACGCCCGCCACAAAACAAGTTTGTACAACCACGCACCCTGAGAAACAAAAAACATGTCTCAAACCTGTGGGCGTAGAGCCATTTGGGACAGAAACAGCCCCGTCCCCAAGAAGAACGACGGAAGCTAAATAAAGATCCTGGATTCAATACTCTCTCCACGGTAACCGGACCCCTTGGTTGTCTTTTCCGACTGGTTCGACGACTGGTCCGAAATATCCATCTCCATGTGGACGCCAAATACAATAACCAAAGGCAAGGCTTTGCTTCGCTAGCGAGACAAAATCAAGGTGATGGACAGGGATATCTCAAGTCGTAAAATGGGGATGGTGCACTCCATACTGAGTCCAATACTCCAGAAGGGAAGACTGTGTAAGTATCCTTGTTTGTCTACTACGTATTTGTTCGTGCTTCTCGTCCTTGTAGTACAGTCTGTAGCCTCCCTCCCTCCCTCTGTCGGATCCCTCTTTCAAAGACCAGTCGATCATTTCGTTCCTCTTGTCGTTCATTATTACACCTTTGCCGCTGGTCCGTTGCTGCACTCTGAACAATTTCAGTACATTTCAGTATTCTTCGTTCAACATGCAGCTTTTTACCACCATCCTCTTGGCCTCGATAGCCTCCCTGGCAGTAGCTCAAACAGCAACCTCAACAGCCAGCTCGTCCACAGCTTCTTCAAGCTGTGCCGCTCAGAAGTAAGGACTGTGTGTGTACACTTTGTCCGAGGCAAGCGATACTGATGATGATGACAACAGCATCCTCGACGCATGCAAGACCACTATACAAGGCCAGATCAATTCTTGCGATGCCACCGACTATTCCTGCCTATGTACACAGTACGGAAACATGTTGACATGTTACAACAACTGCCCCAATGATCCAGGTATGACAGAAAGAAAATGAAAATGAAAAATCAAAGACGACCATATGCATAACTCTTGCCCCCGCGCATTTTCCGCATATGCCATAATACCAGCAGGGCTAACAACATTCTAGGTGTCGGGACCGTTCAGCAACAAAAGGAACAGAACTGCAACGCGGCCTCCGTGTACGGTACGACAACCACCTTAGGTACAGCCTCTTCCACGAGCGGGTCGACAAGTGCGACCTTGACCGAGTCATCCGCCGAGACTGCGGTTCACACAGGCTTCGCAAGCGCCTCCGAGACTGGTGCATCAGCCAGTGGCAGTGCAACCGGATCTTCCTCGAACGACAACGCAGCTATTGGAATGGAGGTTGGCAAAAGCTTGGTCGTGCTGGCTATCGCCGGAGTTGGCCTTATCCTATAGGGATCCCATTTTTGACGTTGAAGGGATCTCAAAACCGGGCGAGTGTGGTACTGAAGGGATTGAAGAGCCACACGTTTAAAGTTGGCTTGAATGGACCTAATTCATAATCTGAAGTGCAATTACTGCTTCCTTGTTTTCGACCTTATCTTCTTGCGCTTTTGTTCGTTCAAGCCTGTTTCTGGGCCTCCTTCCAGACCTCGTTTTGACCTAGGTGTTGTTCTTTTAGTTTCGGTGGTATGCTGTGCGACATCCTTTTCCTCGTCAAGAGCTTCCTGCTTATCGTCCTGGGCAGTCTCATTGCCGAAGGCAGCTTCTAGCTTGTTCCGCTCCTGCTCGTCGAGAAACTCCATGTGGCCAAACACGTAGGAGGCCTTTTCTAGTTCTACCGCCTTGACACCGAGCTTTTTCAACACGGGCCGCACTGTCTCGAATAGCTGGAGGTATTCCTTTTGATTGTATTTGAGCTTGGTCGCTTTTGATTCGGCGAAAAGCCAGGCGTACATTTCGTCTTGGAAGAAAGGGATGTTGGCAGGGTCGAATATGTTGAGAAGTAATGTTCCCGTAGCTGGACCAATTCCTGAAAGTTTACATACAGCATCGAGTGCGGCAATTACCGTGGCTGTCGATGGAGGGCCGGGCTCAGACCGAAGCGTTTTATAACCTAGAGCGGTCTGTTCTGTGACGAATGATGCATCGTTCCTGCGAACCATCGCCGGTAGGAAGGGACGTGACTGGCCGTGTGTACTATACCCATACCATGTCAGTTGAACGACATAGCATTGAAATGAGAGCAGTTCTCAACTTGCAAGCTCACTCATCACTCAAGGGTCGAAAAAGCATTTGTACTCGAAACGCTCTTCCGATGTTGCTAGAAATGACGGACAGGCGAACACTCACATTTTCCACTGAACGAGTCTTTCGACCTGATCCTTCGACAGACCTCCATTTTGAGCTTTCTGATCGACGAACTCTGAGGGAAGCTCCTCAAAGCGCCATGTTTCACGTTCCAGAGCAGCTTTGAGTTTCTTCGGGTCTTTGATTTTTGATTGGTAAGCTTTCACCACTAGAGATGGATAGAGTTCCAAGGCTGTCTGCACAGCTGTTGATGTAATAGCAGAGGGAGCGGGTACGGGCGCCATCCTGCCTTTCGACCCTTGATGCTCACAATGGAGTGTCAGTGGGATCTGGAGATCTATGCCCAGCAGTGAATCAGAAGGACGATAGAGGTCATTTTTGAACCCCTTCTTGGAAATTTTAAAGGGAAATCTATGATCCAGATGAGCTGAGCAAGGAGTAAAAGAGTCTGAGAGAATGACATGAATAGTGCTCGGTGCAAGGCTGAGAGTTCCAGGCTTTCATTGGTTCACACGAAGATTCGTAAATTATCACGTGATCAGAACTTCGACTTCGATGCTCCTGAAAGCATACGGGAGGTTTTCCTCTGAGCAATTCATCGCACTTGCAGCCAGCATGGCTACAATCTTGCCGCGACGGGCGACTTATATATGCCAATCATGCGAAAGGCTCGTCATAGCTCAATTTAGCCGACGACAACTTGCTTCAATTGCGAGGACCCCCAAGAGGCAACCTGCGACCAAGAAGAATAGTCGATTGTTTTCCCAATCCTCGATATCCAGAAATGCCCCCAGCATCTCGGCCGCCGCGAACCTCCCTCCGAAACCGAACAAGAAAAAACCTTCCATAAACGCACATGAAATACCCCCCGAAATCTCTCTGAAACCACTCAACCCGGCAGCCGAGCTCAAGGCCCTCAAAGAGACAGTCGCACGGTTGACGTCCCTCGACACAGTCCCAGAAGACAGCGATGTCCTGACATTTCTCTTGGATTCATATCGCTTAGCGAACTGCCTTGTATTCGGCGTCAGTAAAGGCGCAAATGAAGTTGACACAGAACCTGGCGAGGATCTCTCTGCCGCCATCCTGCGCGACCTGACGGAAGATGGTTCCAGCAATGACTCTGTCTTTGTACCGGATCACGAGCTCTCTGCGCCTTTCCGCGACAGTGCTGCACACACCATCGCCGAACTAGCCTATACCCTTTTGCGCGATCCAAAGGTCTACGTCTCAGACGAGGCACTGTCCCTCTATGTCCGTATACAATGTCTGCTGGGCAAACCTGAGTTTCTCCCCGAGATATTCCACCTACACGCGCACAAGAAGACACCAAACCCAGGCACAAAGCCGATCACATTTTCAGAGACGTGGCCGAAGTTGCCAAAGTATGCCATCCCACCATCTCTGGCGGATGCTGCTCTCGAGGCCGCCATATTGAAGAAGAACCTGCCACTTGCAATTGCGATCATAGACACTTCGATCGCATCACCTGCGAACAGAAACGCCCGGATCATGGGGAGAGCGGCAGTCCCAATGGTCGGCGTAGCCTCGCTACCGTTGCTGGCCTACGTGGGCGCGGACTGGGTGGCTCACTGGCAAAACACAATGGACGTTCAGTTGAGCAAATACACGGCCATTGCCGGGGCGATGGCTTATATCGGTACATTGACGACGATCGGGTTCGTTGCCATCACGACGTCGAACGATCAGATGCAAAGAGTTGTCTGGCGGCCGGGCACGAAGCTGAGTGAGCGGTGGACCAGGGAGCCGGAGCGAGCAATGTTTGATAGACTTGCGTTGGCTTGGGGATTTCAGGAGAGATCTAGATGGGGTGAGGAGCAAGGGCATGACTGGCAACAACTCAAGGATGAGTGTGGGTTAAGAGATATGATTCTAGACAAGACGGAGTTGATGGAGGGCATGCAATAGACGTGTAACAGCGCACTTTCAGGCTATGTCTTAACAGACTATTCCATAATACGAGATTTCATGAACTTCCATTGCTAGCTGTGCTAAAGGCAACTATCTAGCTTATTTTTCTGGGCCCTTTGCCGAAGCAGATGCAAATCAAAAGGCAAACAAATGCATCTGCAAACGAGGATTGTGTTTGATCATGAACCCCAAGGTGACAACCCCACAGAGATACGTAACTTAATACAATCTCTTGGGAGGGCTCATGCTTGCCTTGATGGTCAAGCTGCCGACGTTTTGCCATCCCTTCTTCAAGAGAGACACCAAGTAGTTGATGGCCAACATGATGTTGGAGATGAGTTCGTCCTCGGTCATGCCGACGTTGCCGACGGCGACACCCATGCACAAGACCTTCTTCAGCTGGAACTTGATGGTCGACTTGACTTCGGTGATCTTGCTGGCCAGATCTTCGTTGTGGGAGATCGGGGTCGGGAACTTGCCGGCCTTGGACAGACCGGGACCCAAGAGACGAGGAATCTGCTTGATCAAGGTGTCGGAGGCGACAAAGGCGTCGTACTTGCGGGCGAGCTTCTTGATCAGCTTCTTGTTCTTGTTGAGCTTCTTGAGATCGTCGGACGACATGGCGTCGACACCATGGTGCTTGGCTCGGTCAATGTCGTGCTGGTCACCGAGAACGCTGCGAAACAAGTTACAGTCAGTTTTTGTGTGCTTTCTTTGCCCAAAACTCTTTTGCGGGAAGACTTGTGTGCTGATTTTGTGACACATGGTTCAATGGATAAATATGGAGGGGTGGTGGCGTACCAGATGGACATGCCCGGGCGAGGGACGGTGGGCAACTTGATGGTTCCGGAGAAACGCTTGTCACGCTGGGGATCATAGTTCTTGAGGCCGATTTGGAGTTCGACGGTCTCGAGGAAGTTTCGCTTCTTCTCGTTCAGGGAGTAATCGAGAAGTTGTTGCACGTTCTGGCGCACTCCGGCTGTGGGAAAGTCGTTAGTTGAGGTTCATTGTGAGAGTCGCTAAGCGTTAAGTGTTAGATCTTACCGACTGAGATTTTCGACATCTTGATGACAGTCTTCCAGAAGAATCAATCAAAAATTCTTATGGTGAGGCACTGCGCTGGAACGGTTGGAAGGGAAAAAGAGATCTCTTCGACAGTGGCAGACGCTGACCTGCAAAAGATGTTCTCTCGGAATTTGGAGCCAAGAAATTTGTGTGCGCTAGAACTGATCGGGGCTAGTTCGTTTGTGGCAGTTGGTCGCAAGTGGGATCGAGTCACTCTCCATCGTCGTATTCGTACATACTCCTTACCCCCATTGCAATGGTTTGCCGGTGTAAATACGGAGTACACTGCGTGAAAATGCTACCATATTGGTTGAAGTTCGGATTGACGAGGTCTGAGGTTCCTTCATCATAGTCGCAGTCGATGTGTGTGAGTCACGCTTGACAACACGATGATTTGAAGCAAAAATATAACGCTCAGGTTTGTTTGCTAAAAGCGAGAACGTCGATCGATATCATTGCCATGGCATCATTCTCCATTCGAGTTTTACCAACGACACCCCACGGCGATCAAGATGTTGACTATGCTTTACGACTTAAAACGCTGCGATTGAAAACTTTGCAAGAAGACCCGGGCAGCTGGATCTCGTTGTACAAGGACGAAGTCGATCAACCACAGGACTTTTGGGTGTCAAGACTGAGGGATCCAAGAGCCATCCATTTGGTCATTGTCCGACATGACTCGAGCCAGGACAATGTAGATGAAAGCACGGCAATGCTGTCACAAGGAGACTGGGTAGGACTTGTTGTCATAATAACTCCCGAACTCGACCATGGGGACGGCGTAGATGAAAAAGAGCAGACTTCCTCTGAATTCTTGATGGCCGCCGTCTCTGTACATTCCGGACATCGTGGCCATGGACTTGGAGGGCGACTGGTTCAGAAGGCCATCGAGACAAGTCGGGATTTCGCCCTGGAGAGGAAAATCACTTCCCCATATCTGACGGCACATGTCCGCTCTGGAAATGACTCTGCATTGAAGCTGTATCAAAAGCTGGGCTTCAGGATCGTCCAACCCGAATATCATGGCGAGAAAAATGGGATGCTATATACATCGACGGTCGTCAGAGTCGATTTATAGGGGCAGGCGACTCCATAATGTATTTCGAAAAAGATTTGGGATCTATCAAAAATACTGGATCTTGACGAATTCCAGACGGTGCCAAAAACGTAGCACGTGCTTTTTTTGGATGTTCCCCGTTACTATTGGCCGAGATTTATTCAAGTATTAGAGGCAATCAGCAGTGACAGGGACTGAATCTGCGATAACCACAGCTTGACAGACGTAGAGACCTTGGGGGCTTGTCTCCTTACCCCTAACTTCTGGCCAGAGTGTTGAAGCACGGCCTGGTCCGATAACAGTGAGGGAAAAAGTGCGCTAACAAGGACATTCACCTTTGGGGCTTGGCGGGTCGTCGAGCCTGCGAGATTCATCCTGGATTCCCAAAGGTGCAACATCAGTCCATCTTGAATCTGGAACCATTAATTCCATCTTAATTTCAACACTCTTTCCTCGACTCCAACTCACAGAGTGTCACATCACTTGTTTTCGGTACGTGAACCAATTCTTTCTGCCTGCGTCGAGGAATACGATGACCGCGACAAGGACAAAGTGGCCACACATGCGTCTCCGGCCTGAGAAAGGGAGACGTGGGCTTTTTTGCCGTCGTGCCCTTCTCACGCCCTTGAACACGCGACTTCCTTCTTCCGCAATCCTATACCCTCTCACTATACTTGATCGCGCGTCTTTGGGTAGCTAGCTGACCTCTCCTGCCAGACCGCCTCCTCGACCAACCCCTTCCCACTAATTCCGTCAGCTGAATCGCAAACATGGGTCTCGCATTCTCGAAGCTGTTTGACAGACTATGGGGCAAGAAAGAGATGAGAATCTTGATGGTCGGTCTCGATGCTGCTGGAAAGACCACGATCCTGTACAAGCTCAAGTTGGGTGAAATTGTGTATGTCCATCTCTAGGCTCCGGGATTAGAACAGCTTGCTAACGATGCGCAGCACCACCATTCCCACAATCGGTACGGCACTTGCCCAAGCCATCCTTTCTACAAACTGACCTCTTTCGCAGGTTTCAACGTGGAAACTGTCGAGTACAAGAACATTCAATTCACCGTGTGGGACGTCGGTGGTCAGGACAAGATTCGACCTCTTTGGAGACATTACTTTCAAAATACCCAAGGTATCATCTTCGTGGTCGATTCCAACGATAGAGATCGTATCGTCGAGGCTCGTGAAGAACTTCAGCGCATGCTCAACGAAGACGAGCTGCGCGACGCTCTTCTCCTTGTCTTTGCCAACAAACAGGATCTTCCAGTAAGTTGAAGAGATATCTTGTCCGATCTCATTTCTAACTACTTTTGTAGAATGCCATGAACGCCGCCGAAATCACCGACAAGCTTGGTCTTCACAGTCTCCGACAGCGTGCCTGGGTAAGGACACCTTTTTTTTCTTTTTTGTGATAAGTGCTGACCTCATGATAGTACATCCAATCCACCTGCGCTACTTCCGGTGATGGTCTGTACGAAGGCCTTGAGTGGTTGAGCAACTCGCTTCGTAAGGCAGGGCACAACTAATAGGCCTTTCATATACATTGATCAAGAGGAGATACATTTGGGACCACAGTTGTCGTTCCTCGAAACGAAACTCCGCAAGACCTGTTGTAGGGCTACTTTTGTCACCACAAACCTACCCCAGCCAGCTTGCTCAAATTGAAAAGCGCTCCAATCACGCATATGAATGATCTGCCTGTCGTTGTCCTGGGTCACGTTGGGGGAGTTTCTTCGATAGTTTTTGTACGAATTGCTGGCATACCTTGGCTTCGAGGAGGCAGGACCCGGCACACTACAGAGGTTAAGCACAGGTTGTGGGCAATGAATAGAATTCACCTTCAAAAACGAATGTTCCAAGAATTGCAATTACTTTCCCAACTTTTAGGTACTCTAGGCACCACCGGATCATGAGCTACGAATACGCATATTCGGTGGCCGGAGATGGACTGTGCCTTTGTATGCGTTGGTGCTACGCAGTGGAGAAAGGTGTGAGGCTGAAGTTGCGCCTATTCCGCTGAGCGCTCTTTCCCAATAAGCATAAACTCCGCCGCGTCGCATGACGAATTGCCATTCGACTGTCACCAACCACAACTTCGCAGATTCCGTACTCGTAACTGGATATTGATCCTCGTAAAGTCGCAGATGTGCAGCATATTCGCCTCCAGGCAGCTGTTCTTCGACCACTCTTCTTGTGAATGAGGCTTCTAGGGTTGTTTGCCGTCTCGGCTCTGGCTTAATGTCCAATTTCCTTCGGTGCCCAACTTCCTTCCCAGTGTGATCTACACATTCTGAACAGCGACACCTCAACACTTGCAAAAATCTCTGGTCAGGTACAAGTCGACGACAATATGCCTGCTCCTCCTCCACCGCCGCCCCCGCCGCCGCCTCCCCCAGGGATGGGAGGGCCCCCTCCTCCTCCACCTATGCCGGGGGCATCTCTTCCTGCGGCTCCTCCCAAATCAGTCGCGAAAGGCCGGGTACGTCCATGAACGATGCATACAACACTCACGAGTTTGAGCGTGAGGGGCGGAGGGAAGTACAAGAGCTAACAGGCCACAGAACGCTTTATTGACAGATATAACGAAGGGAGCAAGACTGAAAAAGGCTGTCACAAATGATCGCTCCGCACCGTTGCTCGACAAGAAATCTGGGGGCGGAGGAGGCCCTATAGCAGGAGCACCGCCTGTTCCTGGCATGGGAATGAAAGCCCCGGGTGGTCTGGCACCCCCTGTGCCCGGCGGAAATCGAGCTAGAAGCAACAGTGACACGGGTTCGGATGCAACAGCGAGCTTAGGAGGTGCTCCTCAACTAGGAGGCCTTTTTGTAGGAGGCATGCCAAAGTTGAAAAAGACTCGGGGAGGCATTGACACTGGTGCTGGACTTGATGGTCATCATTCGGACTCGGAGACGACACAACCATCTGCTCCTCGAATTCCCTCGGGCGCGGCACCTCGACCACCATCAATGCCTGCTCCTCCGATCCCAGGCGGCAGACCTCCTTTCCCACCGTCAATAGATTCTGCACCGGTAGTGCCCAGTCCACTTGCACATCTTAAAAAGCCTCCGCCAAAGCCGTTATCAAAACCATCGTCAGTGGCAAATCTGGTTGCTGGAAAACCTCCGCCGCCGCCTCCAGCGTCTCGCAAAGTGAGCACTGCTACTGCACCGCCTGCACCACCTCCGCCTCCGCCTCCATCTTCCAGTCCAGCTCCTCCTTCAGCGCCCCCTCCACCGCCGTCAATAAGTCCAGCACCTCCAGCGCCGCCTCCGCCACCTCCAGCGTCAAGCTATGCGCCTCCGGCGCCACCTCCACCTCCTCCTACAATAAGCCCTGCACCACCATCAGCTCCACCGCCGCCTCCTTCAGCAAGTCCAGCTGCACCGCCGCCTCCTCCCCCTCCGCCACCACCCAACAGCGCACCTTCCCTTGCGCCTCCGCCGCTATTACCACCCTCTGTGTCTCCAGGACCGCCGTCCAGATCTACACCTCCTCCGCCTCCACCAGGACCGCCACCACCACCTACTTCGCCTCCAGCAACAAACGGCGCTGGGTCATCATTTGCATTGCAGGCAGCAGCTACTGCCTTTGGGCGGAAATCTTCATATGGCGCGCCCGACGCCCCTCCTTCTCCTTCATCGCCAGCCATTTCACCTCCACCTTCCCGAGGAATATCTCAGCTTCCGTCACGATCAACATTAGATGCGAGTTCCTACACGCTATCCAATGGCAACTCGCTGGGATCTCCAGGTCGATCCGGGTCGTTCAGAGTGGAAGACAACAGATGGAGATTTCAAGACGAAAGTCAGCTACCTGCACCACGGAATTTTACAGGGGTGCCCAAGAGGTATAGGGCAGGAAGAGGTAGTAGCGTTCCACTTGATCTTGCCCAGTTTGAATGATGGTACCATGACCCTCTCCACGAAAACCGCCAGTCTACATTTTGATGCTCAGTTCTTGGATTCTTGACGAGGCACGCTGTTTCGCTGCATGCTGGCATTGGGAAACGCAAAATGTTGAAAGTCGATCAAGAAATGCGCTGGTGCATGCGGCAGTCGCCAGAATCGCGTGTTGGGTAAGGAGACTATAGACAGGAGGCACCCAACAAAACAGGTATGAGCAGTCTGCAAAATGTTTCCTAGCCTGGGCTGTACGATAGCGGCAGAGGAAGGAGAATAGCTAGGCACAGGTATATTTTTCTTTCCCTGAATGGGCGAACCATAGCAAATGGTGGGATGAATTAAGTACCAGATTGAAGTGAGCAATATTTTGGCGTGTTTCCCAAAGCTTTCTACCTTACTCTTCTATTCAGTCAATGGCAGTATTCAGTGAAGTACTTATATCCCTTTCTTCATGTATCCTCACCGCATTATTGACCCAACTTTTCAATTCCTTATCCCCATCAAAAATTGTCCCCATTCTTCCTGTCCTTCTTCTCCTCTTCCACTATCATCAACTCGCCAACCACAACAGAATTCGACTGTTCACCTTCTGCTTTCGAGTGTTCTATCTCTCGTGAGTATTGTATCGCTTCAGAAGCACGCTTTAATATACTAATACTGTTTAATAGACTACCAATAGTATCTCTATTAACACTCTTGTTGAAATCGGTCAAGATGCCTATGACGTGGAACGCTGATACGGACGCGAAGGTAGACATTGGCTCTTCTCAGGGAGATAAAACCGCTGACTTCCTCTCAAGCTATTCGCAGCTGTCCTCGCGACCTCTGATGTCAAAGTCAATCACGCAGCCGTAGCTCAAATCATGGGTCCTGGTAAGTACTCCTGTGGGCTTGGCTTCTGTCTTCTCTTCCTGCTACATGTTGCTCTGGTTTTGCCTGAAGACACAGGTCAACACGCCAAGGGTTCACCTTTCTTACAGTTACACAAACTGGGTGAGAATCAAGACTGATCGTTTCTGCGTGTTATTAGAGTGCACCGCCAAAGCGGTTATTCACCGGATCAATAATATCAAGATCAAAGCGACAAAGGCCGACGCAACTACTGTAGAAGGCACTCTACCTGCTTCTGCAAAGACTCCAACTCCAAAACGCGGTCGTAAGGTGAAGACGGAAGCTGACGAGGAGGAGTCCCCGACCAAGAAAACTAAGACTGCTGCGGCTCGAAAGACCAAAACCAAGGCTCCAGTCAAGATGGAACCAGCTGAAGACGAACAGCCCAAGGTCGAGAATGTTACCGATGGCAATAACTAGGTGAACAAGCTTCACAGAACTGTTGTGATTGGATTTCTTTTCCTCGACTCAAACCGAGGAGTGTGCTGTGGACGAGATGGTGATCTCAGTGGTCAATGAGAAATGCTTGCGGAAAATCATGGCATTGTCTCAAGCCGATGGAAGGGCTTTTGCTGTGCTGAATTGCTGAGCTGCTGGATTGTCACCTCGAGTCTTTTTTGGGGCGGCTGCATACGGGGTTCGGTATCCTTTCAGCAGACTTTTCATTCATGTGTATGGTTAAACATTGGACATTGATGGTGGCGTAGGATTCCTGGAGCTGAGTAATAATGATTCATGATCAAGATCCCTTTCTTTCTGCATCGCAATTGATTTGGTCTTTTTGCTCGATCTCGACCGAACTGAGGTAATTCTCGCGTTCTAGAGGAAAGGAGGTATGGTGGTAGTACTTCGATGAGTCCTCGACAAGCTCGCAAGCACCGTCCTACCTAGTTTATCTTGGCCCACCTATATCTGTCCAGATCTGGCCTGATCTACCAATCAGGTAGTAACCTCTCACAAGATCACAAGTATGCCAAGTAGAGGTTACAAGTCTCCAGAATCATAAAGGATGAGGATCCGAGGTCCAGCTTGTCCCCTTCAACATCCAGTACTTAGTTTCCCCGCTCCCCAGATGATCTGGGTCTCCGGTCCAGACCACTTTCTCCACCTACATACATCCCTTTCTGGCGTTTGACCCAGGGCATACTGTAGGTAAAAATACGCCGACTGAAAGCCCTCAACATCTCAGTCTCGGTCTCTTTGAACACCGCCAAAGAGAACGAAGACCAAAATCTCTCGCTTAGCCGCTTGGAGAGTCACCCATTGAAACGCGCAATAAATGTCAGATCCTGCAAGGCTGGCGTCATACAAACGACGCAAAAGAGCCGGCCGGGCTTGCCTACGCTGTCACGAGAAAAGAGTACCATCTCCCAGTTCGTATTCACCTACACAATGCTGAGTCTGGCCTAGATCAGATGTGATTTCCTGGAACACCGCAACGAGGCCTCGCCTAAATGTCACAACTGCGTCGAGGCAAATGCATCCTGCCAGTGAGTTGGCCAACACATCTACTTTGGAGGTGACAGCTTCTAACCAATCTAGCCTACGCCCCTCGAATCGTGGAAGACGAGGGCGCGTTCAGGCACTACCTGTTATGCCCGAAGAGCAGCCTGTGATAAACAATGCTGCGTACCATGACGAGCGCATAGAAGAGGCACAAGATCGACCACAGCAACAGCAGGCCCCTTCTGTTGAGCATAATGACGCGGCTTTTCCTTTCACACCATATGCTCTCCAAAACACGGAGATTGACCGATCTATGTGTGGGCCGACATCGTCCACTTTGCAACCACCATCAGCCCAGCGACCCTCCTCGAAACTCTTGCATCCGCCTGTAGCTGTGCAACAAGATCCACACACCATGATCCAGGAGTCACGGTCCACTGGGTCTGATGATGATTCTCCTGGATCTCGCACCTTTCAAAGTTACCTAGGGGATGTGGGATGTATGCAGATTTTCGGCGCTGATCACTCTGACACCCCTTGCACTGGTCCCCTACCCATGGAGCGATACGACGAGCTTGATCAGGTACCGCACGAGCTCATGCAGAGTTACCTCGAGACATACTTCAACTACATACAATCGTGGTGTCCGGTACTGGATAAGCAGACGCTCAAGACGCGCCCAAATGCCCTATATTCGCCATTGCTAAAACATGCACTGGCTCTTTGCGGCGTCCGACTGAACCCGCCGCTTATTGCCCACACGTCTTGCGCGAGCCACTACAAACGTGCAAAAGGTCTTTTCTACGCCAACTATCCAGAAAACCCCATTTTCCAGATTTCTGCCCTCATGCTGTTTCACTGGTACAGCCTCAGTCCGCCGAACGCGGTCAGTACAGATAGCAATTGGTGGTGGGTCGGAACAACCATTCGTTTGGCTCAACAAATTGGCCTACACCGGGATACCACTGAACGACGACAACCAGCCTATGAGGGAGAGACACCAGAACTAAGGCGGCGGATATGGTGGACCTTGTTCGTAGGCATAATATAATCACGACAAAAGAGAAGTTTGATACTGATATTACGTCCACTAGGTCAGGGACCGCATCGCGGCGCTAGCCCAAGGGCTGCCTCTCATCATTGACAAGGATTATTGTGACATTCAAATGATCACCGTGACCGACTTCCCTGATCCAGCCCACATCTCTGCATCCATCTTCGTGGAATGGGTTCGTCTTTGGGACGTCGGTGGACGAATCCACAAGGAGTTGCTTTTGAAAGGGGACGCTCAGAGCAAAGCACTTCTAGCCCAGGAGCTGATTGACTGGGCACACGGCTTACCAAGTCATCTGCAGTTGCCGATTGGGGAGCATTTGGTACTGGATTTCAACCGGGATCTGAATTATCTCCATCTAGGCTACCTTGCCATCGTCATCGTCCTTCACCTGAGCAAGAGCCAAGAAATACTACCCAGGGCAACCGTACCGGCAATCGTGGCGGCCTCGTGCGTCGCGGGCATCTTCCGAGCGTACCTCAGCCGTGGAACCGTCCAGTACCTGGGATGTGAGGCCGTCTGGTACTGCACGCTGGCCATTCTGGCGCTACTCCGAGCTCGCCGCGTAGACATGTTTACTCATGATGCCGATGTCGACATTACCACGTTGAGGCTTGCCCTGAGAGAATTGTCTCGGTGGTCTCTTACAGGTAAGATGTTCGATCGGGGTCTGGATAGGCTTCTCAAGGAAGAGCCCCTCATCGTATCTGCTTGCGACTCACCTTCTCATCATCACGACATCTGGGATTTCCCGAGAGCATCTGGACAGGATGCGACGATAGCCTTCGAAACGCGATGGCTGGATTATTTCCCTGGCATCACCGCGCAAACAAGTCCGCTGGTGGCTGGATTCATCCTCAGCGACTGTATCGGTGTACCTTCACCCCAGGTGGAATGGTCCGATGCTGTTACACTACATCTTCAAGACCTTTTCAGAGACATCGAGGGCTGGAATGACTAGAGGAAAAAGTGGCTTTGGAACAAGTCAAAGTCTCAAAGCAATGATTCAAGGTGACAGCCCGCCGAGCTGTTGAAGATATATATAGCTATGAGAGGGATTCTCCAACAGAGCTGTTGAACTCCGACGGCATCATATGATCAACGACTTAATGGACCCCCCTTAGACATCTTATCCCCAGAGCCTTTCCCGCGCTCAAGGTCTCCGATGCACCAAATTTGATTTTGAATCCGGAACACAAAGCAATTCCTTGGAGCTCGCTCGGGTATGGCAGTGCAGCATGCCGACTCTTCAGGAGACATCGCCTACTCACGCAATATTCCCGCAAGGTTAGCCTAGTTAGGCTCTGAGAAACTTGACCAGACCTCAATTTCTAAGTGCTCTTTGGAATCCCTTTCGGATAAGTCAGATGAGCTGCGGAAACGTAGATGATTCGAAAGGGACAAATTGTCTTTCTTGGACGATGATGCTCGTGACGGACACTCATAGCCAGAAGATGAGAGCGAGCTACACTAATGGGTTCTCTTATTGGCCAATGTTGAATGGCTATTCGTCACCCTTTTGAGGGTTCCCGACCCAGGATATGCGCCATCAAACCTCGTATCCATTAGCCTATACCACGAAAAATGCGGAGTACCAGCTGAGTCTTTGAACGGCGACTTCGGTTACTCCTGGACAGTACCCACCAAACATCTGCTCCACTTTTTACGTTCTATAACTTTTGTGGAGATTCCGGGGTTTGCGACTCCTTACAAAGGAAACCCCATTGGACTGGGTATGTGTCTTTCTCCCAGACCAGCAGATAGGCTTCTGGTACCAAAGGAAAGATGGATCCCAAGATGCTGGTTAGAGGCAACCCGATATCTGATCAGTCATGTTTTACGCTGCTGTTGAAAGAAGCCGACAGAACTGGCAATAAACTAGGTAGGTGGTAGCCTTTCTTGCCGGTCTAGTTCGATGATGAAAGACCCCTCCCGAGGAGCTGATTGACCTCCTAGGGAATAAAATGGGAAGCCATCCCTGGCGCGTCAGTGGCACTTCCAAACTCACCAGCCAGGTCGAAATTTGTCATATGCCCAGAGCGTTTAACGACACAAACCACTAATCATGAATGTCGATGGAAAAGTGTTTGCCATTACCGGGGCAGGTTCAGGTGAGTCTTCTTCTGCCTCTTGTTGTGCGCCCGGTGCCATAGCAGAGCACAAGCGGCCATTTTTTGATGGTACCTTTTCTTGACCATCGCTTAGGGATGGGAGCGGCCATCTGTCGCCTTCTCGCCGAACGAGGTGCGAGCGGCATCGCCGCCGCAGACGTCTCTCCGAAGGGCTTTGATGCGTTGAAACAAAGCATCCAAAAGGCGAATCCAAAGACAAAACTACACACGACGACTTTGGACGTGACCAAGTCGGACGCCGTGGCCGATTGGATTCAAACTGCGGTCGAGGCCTTCGGTGACCTTCACGGCGCCGCCAACGTGGCCGGCTTGCCACAGGCGGTCGGTGTCAGAACGGCCCCCAACATTCTCGAGGAGACGGACGAGGCGTGGCACCGTGTCATGGGCGTCAACATCAACGGAGTCTTTTACTCGACCCGCGCGGAGGTCAGAGCCATGAAGGACCTTCCGGCCGGCACCGATCGGGCCATAGTCAACATCAGCAGTATGGCGTCGTTGAAACACGATCCGGACATCTACGCGTACCGTACCTCCAAGGTCGCCGTCGCACATTTCTCCCAGAGTGTCGCAAAGGACACTCAACCGTTCGGGATCCGGATCAACTGCGTTTCACCAGGTAGGTGTGAGAGAGAAAGACCGTCCGAGAATGTTTTGAGACAAAGAGCCGGCTAATCTTGCTTTTGCTCTCACATCCAGGATCGACCCAAACCCCCATGATGCAACAGTTTGTCGGAGGGAACCCGGAACAACTTGAAGATTGGAAAAGGAGAGGTTGGCAGATGATGGACCCCGACGATGTGGCACGAGTCGTCGTTTGGTTGTTGAGTGAAGACTCGAGATCGGTGTTTGGTGCCAACATTAACGTCGGCGCTGCGCTTCCATAGTCGATTGGAGCGTGAATTCGTATGGGTACTTTGTACAATCCATTGACTTTTATTTTAAACATGAAGTAACCGTGAGTCCCAGCCAAGCTATACAAAGGTGCTGTGAAAGCCGTCATGTTGTGGTATGACTACCGCTTTGTTCTGCAAGCCCCTCCGGAAAGGGAGATATTTATCCATACGTATAACAAACTTCAAGAAGGACGATGAACGCAGGGTTGTCCTCGGGACCTAGGCTCTCATCCAACGCATGGCCGTTATCCAAAATGGCTGATACCTAGAAACAAGGCAAATCCTCTCTTTAATTCTTTTGGTATACAAACGAGTGAGAATAGTCAGAATGCTCAATGTCATGCATGTCAAGGATGTTGAGTCTCAACTTTGCCATCTTAAGCTTGCTGTGATACCAGCGTCAATCCTGGATACCCGGCCTGAGCCTCCTCCTCACACCTCGCCCGGTACGAAGGACAACTGCCACTGTACCGAGCAACGATCCTCTTCTGGCGACCTTCGACGTTGCTGTTGACCCCCGTCATCCAAGAATCAACGTCGTTCGACAAGAGTCCCTTGGCGAGCTTCTCGACCGTGCCCGTCCAACTGTCCACGCTCTCGCCTTTGGCCTCGACGTATTCGACGTTGTTATCACGAGCGTATCGCAACATCTTGCCGATCCACTCGACGCTGTATTGAATGCTGAGAGGGATGTTTCCCAGGGCGCAATGAGGGCCCATGACCATGAACATGTTTGGGAAGCCCCGAACGGTCAAGCCCAGGTAAGTTCTCGGCCCATTGTTCCACGCCTCCTTCAGTCGCAGACCATCGAGCCCTCGGATGTCGATCCTGTCAAAGGCACCCATGACCGGGTCGAAGCCCGTCGCGTAGATGATGACGTCGAACTCACGCTCTTTACCGTCGGCCGTCAGGATGCCCCTCGGTGTGACACGATCGATCGGAGTCTCGGTCAAATCGACCAACTCGACATTGTCTCGGTTGTACACCTCGTAGTACTTTGTCTCCAGGGGAACCCGACGGGTGCCAAAGCCGTGGTCCTTGGGGATCAGCTTTTCCGCCACCACCGGATCCTCGACCCTCTCGCGGATTTTGCGAGCGATGAAGTCACTGAGGAGGCCGTTGGCGGCTCGATCGACGAGGACGTCTTTGTAGTTGCCCATCCAGATTCCGAACCCGGGACTGTCGTAGAGGGTCTGCCAGAACTTTTCCCGTTCCTCGGCCGGCGTCTCGAGGGCGGCCTTGGGGCTCGCCCGGTGGATGAAGCCGGCAAAGGACCCGCGGCAGTGTTCGAACAGCTCGGGGTACCCCTGTTTGATCCTTTGCATCTCCTCGGGTTCGATCTTGCTGTTGTGGAGCGGGGCGCACCAGTTGGGGCGCCGCTGGAAGACGGACAGATGGCCGGCGGTTTTCGAGACCTCCTGGATCGTCTGGACCCCCGTGGCACCGGTGCCGACGACGGCGACCCGCTTCCCCGCGTAGTCGACACCGGCCTTGGGCCAACGGGCCGTGTGGCACGACGGCCCTCGAAACTCCTCCAGGCCGGGGTAGCGCGGCAAGGTGAAGGCCGACAGTGGACCGACGCAGGTGACGAGGAACCGCGCGGTCAAGGTCTCTTTGGTGTCGGTGGTCACGACCCAGGCGTTGTTGCCCTGGTCAAAGTGCGCCGTCTCCACGCGCGTCTCGAATTGGATGTGCGGACGGATCTGAAACTTGTCGGCCATGTGGTTGATGTAGCGTTCCGTCTCCCGCTGGGGGGCGAAATGTTCCGACCAGTTCCACTCTTGGAGCAGTTCGGACGAAAAGCTGAAGCCGTAGGTGTAGCTTTCCGAGTCGAACCTGCACCCTGGGTACCTGTTCCAGTACCACGTCCCTCCCACCCCGGTCCCGGCTTCCAGGCACTTGACCCGTAGACCCGACTGGAGCGCGGTGATGAGGGAGTAGCAACCCGAAAGTCCGGCACCGACGATGATCACGTCGTAATCAGGGGCAGTGTGGCCATTGGTTTCTTTCTCTGACGCCATGGAGTAGATGACAACAAAGAAGAATGTCCCAAGCAACTCGAACGATTTCACCTAGTGGTGAGTGTTGACTGAAAAAGGTACCTAGGAACTCTGACAAACAATTCTTGTAGATGTAGAAAGTTACGAGTTGCTTTTCAGACTAAAATCATCTACATCGCCTTCCAGATGGAAAGCGTTGTTTTAAGTAGGCTTCTGGGCATTGGGACGAGGATCACCACGTCCATCTGTCCGGAGGAGAGACCAGCAATTGCCTGTCTGTGTGTGTGCGTGTGTGTGTAACATATCCCACGGGAATCCCCCTTGAGAAACGGTAATCGGCTACCAGACATTCATACACTCGTCAGGCAAGCTATGGCTAATCGGCCTCGAGAAAGTCGTCGTCCATTCCTCAACGCATACTGCGCTACTCCACTTCGCCTATCTCGTGGCCGAATCAGAGATCAGCTTGAAGCCGAACTGGATAACACTTCGTCCACCCCACACATTGAATGGTCGGCTATATGCAAGGCAACGTCTTCCCCCGGATCCAAAGAATCCACCCACGCCAGTTCTCCTCCACAATGCCCTCGGGGGCGGGTGGTCAATGAAAGGATACATATGTATATCCCCCGGATGTATCTCCACGCCCTAACAACCACGAGGGGCCAGCTTCCAGTCGTGACCACCGATATTGATCGATTCACAAAGAAAGACCTGAGAACAAGTTCTGTGAGGTCTCTCTCTCTCTCTCTCTCCAAGTCAACCCGAGTTGGGCCCGGTCTTTTCCACCTTTGATTGACGAGACAAGTCATCTCCCCTCCCAGAAGAATGGAAACCCTGGAAGAAAAGCCACGCCGGCACTACAAGCTGTCGACCGTCCTGTACTGCGCCGGGGTGTCATGGGGTGCCGCGGCGTACGGTTACGGCGCCTCCATCATCGCCACCACCATGGGTCAACCCAGTTTCTTGCACGAGATGGGCCTCGACACAGCTTCCAACGCCTCATCTCTGTTAGGGGCCGCGAACGCCCTCTACTTTGTCGGTGGCCTATTCGGCTGTGTCATGGTTGGACTGTTGGCGGACAGGTACGGGAGGAAGAAGACGATCCTGTTGGGGGCCATCATTCTACTCGTGGCCAGTGCCATCCTCGCCGGTTCCACCAACATTGCCGTCTTTATCGTCTTTAGGCTTCTATCCGGAATAGGGTGAGTTGAGAGTTGAGACCCTTCTTTTTAATGAGCGAACAATGGCTTGGACTCCGGTAACAACAGAGTCGCTAACTTGACCTCCTTTCTCATACAGTGGGTACATGGAACTGGTGGCGGTACCTCTATGGGTCGCAGAGATTGTCCCTCCGAAAGACCGAGGGATATTGTCCGACATCAGTCCCATCTTCATCAACATCGGCTATGTTTGCGCGTCTTGGGTCGGTGTCGGCTTCTACTACTACAAAAACGTGAACGCCTGGAGGGCTCCCATCGCTCTGGGCTGCTTGCCCGCCATCTTCTGCATCGTCGCCGTCTTTTTCGTACCGGAGAGCCCTCGGTATCTTTTGCTGCGAGACCGCTCCGAGGAGGCGTGGAAGGTGGTCCAGAACCTCCACACCTGGCACGGGGATGAGACTTTTGCCCGAAGGGAATTCCAACAAATGAACCAGCAGATTGAACTCGAACGGTCGCTTCCGGGAGGTTACCTGGCCATGGTGCGACGCCCGAGCTATCGCAAAAGGGTATGGATGACTGTTCTGTTGCTCTTTACCCTGGTGAGCTCCGGAGTACTTGTGATCAATAGTGAGTTCCATCTTATTGCCTCCCCAGTTGCCCACTGCTACTATAGACAAGTGGTTGTTTTTTTTTGTTTTTTTTTGGAGCGAGTGCTTTTCCACCAAGGAGATCCGTGCTGCTCCAAGTTTTAATACGGCATTTGACTAATTTTGGGATGTAGACTACGCTACCATCACGTACGGTCGATTGGGTTATAGCCCAGAGGACCAACTCTTTCTGCAAGCCGGTTGGCTGGTGGCTTCCTGGGCCTCGAACATGGTGGCGCCCCTCTGGGTCGATCGGATGTCCCGACCCACGCTCATGACGATAGGGCTGGCGGGGTGTTGCTTCTCCGTCATCATGGAGGCGGCGTTCGTCGCGACCTACGGCGACACCCACAACAAGGCCGGACTCGGGGCCTGCGCCGCCTTCAACTTTCTCTTCGTCTTCTTCTACGGAGGCTTCCTGGACGGCGTGACCTGGTGGTACACGGCCGAGATATTCCCCACCCACCTGCGCGCCCAGGGCATGACCATCGGCATGTTCACATACGCCCTGACTAACATCGTGTGGCTGCAGGCCGCACCCACCGCGTTCGCGAGCATCGGCTGGAGGTACTACCTCTTCTTCATCGTCTTCACCGCCCTCGGCGCCGTCGTGGTCTGGTTCACGTTCCCCGACACTTTAAACAGACCGTTGGAGGAGGTGGCCAAGCTGTTTGGCGACGACGACCTCGTGGCCGCGTACCAGGATCATGGGCTCGTCATCACTTCGGCGGATGACCACAAAGGGACCATCGAAGATGGCACTGGCGAGCAGCCGGTCGTCCACGAGGAGAACGTGCACCACGTCGAGGGTGAGAAAGCGTAGCAAGTAACTCGGGATGGGTCTTTGTCTGCACATCATATCATTCTCTTCCTAGGACGCTTGTCTACAGTAAGACCGACCAGTGTGCCACATTCACTATCTCCCAGCCACATACATACCATGTAGCAATGGTTGTTCAGATCGCCTGTGAACACACCCTGAGAGGGAGGCGGGTACTTCGATCGCATCCGTAGTTTTATAGAAACACAGGGGCTGGAGGCAAGGGATATTTGGGTTTGAAATCGGTTGTGTACCAACAATGAACATGCATTTCAGCTTGATGGATCATGAGGTATCATGGCGTGGCATATAAAACTGTTGGAGAAGAATTTCCCCTACGCTGAGCTCATTCTATGCCCTTGGCAGATTCGATCCAACTATACCAGTCCATCCCACCGTCCAGATCCATGTTCACGTTGTCAAATGCGGCAAAATCGTCAGCCGAGGGGCTCGAGTCGGTCCATAGCCAGGTGACAAAACCCGCTCCCGTCGTGGTTCGGTCACCATCCGTCCCGTCTGTGGGGAGTGTCGGCATGGCCCTGTATGCTAAGTTTGCATCATGTTCTGCTGTCGATTCGCCAAAAGTCGCCTGCGTGTTGTTCACCAGGCCCGGTATTGTCTGGAGTGTCTGCTGTTCGTCGATTCCCGCCACATACCCTTGCGCGAAGTTCATAATGGGTCTCACGTCACCTAGGTCGATTACACCTATAGAAGTTCCACCAGACAGAGTCATACAGTTTGTGTCTGGAGTCGCGTCGGCGCGTCTGGCGCTGGTACTCGTATCATTAGGCATACGTGTAGGGCCTGCAGGCGTGGCAATGACATCGCGCCAACGCCTGAGGAAGACATCGGCACTGCGCCCGTCTGGAAATGTGCCTGAGCTTGAAGGGGTCGGCATGTTTGAGTACTCCATCTCGAGCCTCACAGCAGCCTGAGGATCAGCACGCAGCCGTTCAATTTCGGTGTTACGATGCTTGCGGGATTGTGCCATCAACTTTCGCAGCGGGATCCAGTGGTGCGAGTTCCTGTCTGCCACTCTGGCTGGAATTAGCCAGGGGCTGTGAAGTGCCACCCAAGCTCTTTCAACGAGAGGGGACCAAGGGCGCCGACAAGTCTCGATCAGGAGATAGACGATGGCGTGCCAGTGTGTGCGTGTCTGGTAGATCCAGCGCCAATGCCGAGCCGCTTCTTCGGCATTGAGCATGTGGTTGTACTCTGCCACCTCGATTGCGGCAATCAGCAACTTCATTCTGATCGATTCGGAGGTCATCCCACTCGGGGACGAAGAGAAGAGGACGGGAAGGAAGACTATCAGTGTCATCTTCGCCATTACCAGTCGAGCAATCGTGACGGCGACCCAGTGAGCAACACTCCCTGTGTCCGGAGCGTACTGAAGGTATCCCTCATCAAGTCGTTGCCAGATATCGTTCAAAAGACGGCTTTGCTCTTCCAGGCCGGCCCCGTTATTGCTACCGGCAGCCACGGCCGCCGTCATCTGCCGCATGTTCTTATTTATCTCGATGTTGATGCGCGTAAAGGCCCGGTCGGTCAGACCATGGCGTTCTGCGGGCACCTGTTTTGTCTCAGGATCAATGTCGGTGTCGTTGATGTTCCATGGCATCTTGGTATCGAAGCTGCCTTGTGGGATCGCCATATCCGTTCCTTGGTCCTCTGCGGAGCGTATGTCTAGTATGACAACGGCCCACCAGACCCTTCGACGTAAATCAGTATCGAAGGGAGTGAGATGCTTAAAATTATCCCCGTCTCGTTGGAGTCCAAGATATTGTGCCATCCGGACGAGGAGGCCGGTCATCATGTACGCGAATCTGGGGCTGTCATCTCGGCGCGCAAGGAACAGGAAGATGCTGAGTGCCTGCACGAGGACAATGTCGGGGGCGTTAAGGAAGTCGGCTTTCGCAAGGAAATGCTCCAGGCCGTAACGATACTTCGAGGCGAGGTCGGCCTTGGACGAACCGAAATTCGTCAGGATCTTAAGAGTAAATGATTCAGCACAGAACAATCGTTCAGGATGGGAGAAACCTGGGTTTCAGGTTCAAGCGCCGTCACTCACATCATCTTCTTCCATTGACATTATGGCGGCATAGTAGATGGAAAACATCAGCGCCTCGTGAGATGGCGTCAGGTTCGACATGCCGCTGCCACGCAGATCGCGCACCATTTTTGCAACAGTGGGCACGTGGACGATGTGATAGAACAAATTCACATTCTCCGCGAACACGTCAAGAATAAACGGAATCTGTGATGGGAGAGGGTGGAAGGACCGCGAGTCTGGGGCCAAAGGGTTCAAATTATGTCGAAAGAGGAAGGCGTAGCGTTCTGAAGCAGTCGACCTGATTTCTTGGGTGGAAGGGGTGTTTCCAGGGGTAGGGTCATGCTTTGAGACTTCAGGTTCGTCTGCTGCTAGACCGCCATTGTCTACCTCCAGGCCGCTAAGCTGAAGTGAGAGTCAATGAGGTCCTGGCTGTATACACAGAGCGTCTGTGCTGCAGAGGGGTTCAGGTAACAAAATCTCGACTCACATCGTCGTCGACTCGAGACCAGAAGCCACCGGTCACATAACGGCTGCTGCTGGCATCCTGAACCACCAACCGGCCAAACTGTTTGTTCAGCCTGCCGTCCTCCGCGCTTGGGGACGGATGACTCTGAAGGTCGGCATGTGCAGAGCTGCCAGGAGAATTGACTCCGGATGAACCACCGTTAGCAGAGCCAGCTGCCGCGGCGGCGGCGCGGGCCTGGTTTAACTGGCTGCTCAGCTCCTTGACCAGGTTCTCGAGGGCGCGGAGTCTGTCCTCGACCTGGTCGACGACTGGGCTCGCCATCTGCGACTTTGAGGTGCTTGAGGAGGAAGGATCGTTGGCGAGGTGCTCCAGACGGCGAGCCCATCTCGGAGGACGGTCGCCCGATGGAAAGACACAGACGATGTTCCCCCGGCGGCAGTTTGAGCATGGTGACCGCCTGTCGCACCGGACTTTGCGCGCACGGCAAGTTACGCAGCTCCGCAGTTGAAACGGATGAGCAGGCCCTGACGACGGCGTATCGACGTACGCGGAAGGCGTGCCAGAAGATGTCGCGACATTCTCGGACGGGGTCTGTGACATGGCTGTGTTCCTTTGATGGACCTTTGGCTCTGCATTGACGTTGACATACCCGGGTACTCTCCTTCTCGGAGGCGTTTCGCTGGGCGCCTTAGATCAGATAGAGCCAGGCTTGATTTAGACTAGACGGCGATCATTCTATTATCTAATCATCTCGCACTCCCCCCGACGGCCCAACTTGATTCGGCGCGGTCCCACACGAGTCCCGAGGAGTGCGCGAGAAGATAGCGAGATGGCGAGACGGCGACGGGGATGCGCTGATGGTTCAGCGCGCTCCCTGGACGGCCATGGGATTATAAGTCAGCCATGCTGCTGTCGGCTGTGATATGTTATCCTTAACAAAGTGAAAGCTTCTTGAGTCTCAGTCTCGATCACCCGCTGCGCAAAATTCCATCTCCATCGCCTCCCCGTCTTTCGACCGGAGTCTGACAACATTAAGCGACTTTACACAGAGGAACAGAGTATAATACAGTCCGACCTCACCGAAAATGACAGAAGGGCAAGCGTGCTCGGCATGCATCAAGGTGACCCTCTCAACCAGCCGTGGCCTTGCTATGTCTCTCTAACTCTGTGTGGCCAGGGCACCATCCATGAGGGCACGCCCCAAGGCAAAGAAGAACTTATCCACGGCCTCAACACCTATGTGATTGGCAACCGCACCAACCCTCGTGCCACCATCGTCATCTACTCGGACATTTTCGGCCTGCCTCTTCCCAACAACAAGCTGATCGCAGACGCCTACGCCAAAAGCGGCGAGTATCTCGTCTATCTCCCAGACTTCTTCAAGGGTGACCCTGTCCGACTCCAGGTCGCCGACGTCCTTCTTCCGGTCGATGCGGCCAAGCAGTCGAAATTTGCAAAGTACACTGGCCTTCTCGCCGCGATGCCGTCGTTCATCATGTGGATGGGCCGGCACAAGTTCGGACCCACCGACAAGATCTGTATGGATTTCCTGAAGGCATTGAGGCGATCAACCCCCAAGAGCCAGAAGATCGGGTAAGTAAACTCTTCTCGGCCCCCAAGTTCAGCCTTTGGCCCATGCAACGACGGGGCATCATCATGGCTGACGGTTTGTGGACACAGCATGGTCGGATTCTGCTGGGGCGGACGATACGCAATCCGGGCCGGATTGGAGAGCAACATGATCGAGGTCGATGGCGCCAAGGTGCCCTTGGTGGACGCGGTGGCAGCCTTGCACCCGAGTCATCTGTCCCTGCCCGACGATGTCGAGAACATGGTGGTGCCCGTCACCTACGGGTGGGGTCGGCACGACGAAGGCGTCAGCTTCGATACCAAGGCCAAGGTGGAACAGATACACGCCAATGCCACCAAGGCAGGAAGGCGGATTCCCGAGCAGGTGCACAAGGTCTACACCCCCGGCCGCCATGGGTTCGGGGTCAGGGGCAACCCGGACGATCCACAAGAACGTGCTGAGCTTGAAGAGTCGGAGAAGCAGGTCCTTGAGTGGATGAACCGGTGGCTTTGAATTATGTTGTATCGCGAAGTTATCTTCATGTCTGCAGTCTTTATATGAGAGTTAGTAGTTCGTAATACCCATAACAGAACCTCTGTAGGTTTGAGCTGAATGATCCCCCTTAAGTCGAGACGCCGGTGACGCCGTCTCGACTTTTACTTAGCCTCTTACAAGAGCAATGCATTCATTAATGATGTGAATAGCAATGAACGGTGAGAGATCCTGGTGAGGAGGAAGAGGGTGAGCCCTCGAGTTGCGATGGTACAAAAGCGGCACCGAGAACGGCGAGGAAGATGGACAAGTCCTAGATTGCCTTTTAAAAGCGGCAGGCGATCAACTTTCGCTGCCAAGCCTCAGGTAGTGTTGCCCGCATACAAATTTCTCCTCCTGCGTTTCTGTTTCTTCTCTTCTTCTTTTTTTCCTTTTCCTCATCATCAGTAGAGGTGTTACATTACCATGTAAACACTTATACCGGAGCTCCACTACGGTGGCTTGCTGAGGGTTTTTCTATTTTTCACAAAATCTAAATGAATCTCCTTCCGTTCCCGGCTCTGCAGAACAAAGTCGGCACCGTTCCTTTTTCCCAAATCATACTATGGCTGTATGCCTCTTTTTGGCGTGGAGCTGTGGAGGAGGTGCTACAAATTTATGAAATGAAAATATATCAAGTTGAATGATGACTACACCCAACAAAACATGATGAAATGAAAGAAACATGACTGGAAAATGTGACGAGTGCGATGTGATCAAAGTAGCGGATGGAGGAGGTCATCTACTTTGTAGAATGTAGGTCTTCTGCATCCAGATAGAATACAAGAAAGAAACATTATACCCAGTACGCAGAACGCACCACACGTTATTTTCCATAGTATCACCTTGTTATACTTCATCTTTAAGACTGAGAGTCCTTTGAGTTTCTCTCTCTCTCTCCTTCTCTCGAATATGTACGCCTCGCTATGCTCTATATCAAAAAGAAAATTGTTACTCTGTTCTGTTCAACCCGTCGGGCCTCATTTTCATCCTCGCTATCATCACATCGTAACCAGGTTCTCCTCCCACGACATCACGTTTTGTTTTTGAACATCCATAGGCATCGTAATTTCTTGACACTCTGATAACCCTCATCTACACTCTCCCAGCCCTTCCGATCTGAATTCTGGTCCCTGATGCTTGTTCATCACTCCGCAACGTCGACCAACTCGTGCCGTCCTTCTTACAAAGTTCCAGTTCCAACTTTGTGCCCATGATCTTGAACGCGCTCTTGTCGGGAACGATCTCCGCAAACAGCGGCACGACGCTCTTGTACCGTTTCCCGTCACTCGTCGGCAAGTCGAGATCGACCTCCGTCCCGTTCTCCTTGAACTCGACCTTTGCCCTCTCCTTGTCGATCTTCTTCAGGTAGAAGCTCACAATTACACTACCCACGGTCTGGTAGAAGTCGTTGCGCACCGTGGGCAGCAACTCCTCCCCGTCGCCAGTCACGCCGTCGCCGCCGCCATCGGCAGTCTCCTTCTTCGGCTTCGGCTTGCCCACGTAGCAATGTCGCTTCTTTGTCTTGCAGCCCTCGATCTTCATGAACTCGTCAAACTCGAGGACCCGCCGTTTACAACAGGTCCACCCCTTGCTGCCTTCGTGGAAGATGGGGACGCCAGGATGGTACGTGCACTCCTCCTCGTGGCGCGGCACTTTGTCATCTCGAGACCTCCCGCAGCCTCGTCTCTTGCACGTTGCGTTCGGAGGGATCTGGGCGTCCGGATCGTCCGATTCGTCTTCGGGAGGCTCGGGCTTGGGCGTCGTGGACGGGGTGGGCTGCTGGGCGGCGGCGAGGCTGGTCGCGATAGGTCTCGTCACCGGGACCGGGATAGGTGCCGCGGCGACAATGTTCGACGCATCGACCGCTTCAGGTTTCGCAGGGGCCACGGGCGTGTCATCGACGGTCGAGTGCTTGCCCTTCGTGCACGGCGGAATGGCCAGGAATTCGTCAAACGTCAAGACTCGGGGTTTGCAGCATTTCCAGCCTGTGCCAGGGGACATGGGTCAGACCAACAATCACTTGAAAATCGTACTACTTCGCGAAATTGACAAAACACAAGAAAAAAAGAGACAAGTTGGGAAGGCTTATCTTGCTCCTCACCTTTTTGTCCTTCGTGAAACTCAGGAGGTCCGGGATGGTAGACGCATTCTTCATCTGGATCCGTAAAGACCTTGCCGCATCCTTTGTGCACACACTTTTGCGCCATCTCGACCGGACGGGATGACACCTTGTGCTCGCTCACCTGCTCGTGTCAAAAGGCTGTGAAGGGTATTTCACATCAACGGAATCGAATGAATTGACCAATGTATTGACCAAGCTGAAATGGAATTTCAAAAAGTCAACGGGCAAAGAGGTACCACACAATCGCACTCGAGTTGTCGAATTCGTGAGCGGCGAAGGGTGAAGATGATGGAGCCTTGGCGATTCCAGAAACATCTGACGCAATGTACAAGGCCACCCGGTACTACGGTACACGCCCCTCTCAGCCTTGCAGTAGCGATCGCTAGCAGTTCGAATTTGGATAATGACAATTGAAACACATACAATCTAGAGCTGAGTCTTTTCATTGTTGGCTTGCAAGCATATTGCTTACATTCGACTGATAGTGGCGATGATGCAAACTCGTGCATGTACTATGTATAGCATACAATATTGATACCAATGCTGGTGTATCCCTATCAATCCCATACGTGCTTTATCCAAAGCTCCAAAATCAACAAATCAGACCGTGCCACAAGCATCTCCTTCTACACTAAACTCCGGGAACACTGAATTTGGGGTTTTGGATAGAAGTTAAGTCTAGAGAATTGAAGTCTCTCCGTGTAATCACTGAACCTTCCGTTTCTTCCGATCCGCACTTTGGCGGCCCATGGGCATATCTCTTGCAGGACTCGGGCTGACGAAGCTGACGTGCTTCTCTTCCCTTTCTTCGCCATGTCGTCTTATTGCCGAGGGCCGCCTGGCATGAGTGGCAGGTCTGGCATGTTGCGCACAACTTGGCTGGCTTGATTGAAACTCTGGTGCATGAAGAACAGTTCGTGCGTCATCATCGTCGCCCTGAACCTCGAAAACCACCTCCCCATCATCATGTTCGTCAGAAACAGAACTGCTGGTCGGGGAATGCGGTTCGTACTCCTCGTCATCATCAACTAGACTAGGGGCCTGGTTGGACTCGCTGGTGGGAGAGGGATCCGATGGCTGCAAATCAGGTCCAGCTGAGTGCGTCATGGGTAGATGAATTCCTCGAGGACGATGTTGTATGAAATCGTCGGCTGCGCCGTCATACTGAGGGATCGCACCGGCACGCACATTCGGCGATCTTGTCATACTCGTGCTCAGGAGCGGGGAGGACATGGGAGACTTGGTGGGTTTTGGTGGCTGTTTACTCATTGCAACTTGGGGATGGCGACCTTGGCCTGCAGCTTGCACAGGAACATCAACATCCATCTCCTCCTCATCATCTGATTCAATTTCGGGAAGCTCAACTTTCGTCTTCGCTTCAGTGACCAGAATATCCAAATCGATACCAAAACCTCGGTTCTTAACCAGGTCTGAAAGATTTGGTGTCAAAGTTGATTCTTTGAAATCAGGTGAAATGCTCTTCGGTGTAGTAGCGGCAAAGCCATTCTGGATGGATGTTTTCGGTGGACTTGGCTGCAAGAGCTTGGCTGAACGGATCAGAGGATGGACATTTCCTGTTGTGGGCGTTGCTGTTGGTTCAGCGCCAACAATGGCTCCAGACTCATCGACTTCTACAGGCTCACCGCAAGCATCGGCTGCTGCATCGTGGCTGGCAAAACTTCTGCCATGACCGATGCGACAGTGGTTGATGAAACCCTGAGCACTTCCAAAGTCATGTCGACCACAATCGGGGCAGACCAACTTGACCATAGATCCATCAGACTTACGCTTGACGATCATCGGGCCGGTAGCTTTTTCCTTGGGCTGTCCGTATCCAGGTGGCAAAGCCTTGAGTTTACCACCTCTATTGGAACGGGAGCTACTAGAGGCAGAGGGCGCCTCAAAGCTTCCTCTCATTGACCTAGACTTCATGGGCGATTTACCAGTTGGAATTCTGCTCATAGGTTCTGGGTCGACCCCGCCGTCAAAGCGTGCATCTGGTATGAGCCATTTCGCATAGTGACGAGCGTAAGGACCATCAGTCACGCCCCAAGCTGAAGGAGACTGAGGCAGGGGCGTTGGGAAAGCTTTGCGCAGAGCAGCACCTGTGCCGTTGCTTACCGCCAGCGAAGGTTGCTGAGAGGCTGGATAGGGAATCTCCTTACATCTTCGCAGCTGCTCTAGTGAAGTCTGGCATTTTGCAATTTCTTGTTCAATGAGGCGAAGTTCTTTGTGCTTGAGCAAAATCTCCAGACCAAATTGAGTCTGTATGACGTTGCGTAGGGAATCAAGACGTTTCGCCGATACCGTATCGTCATCAATCGATGTTGCCCGAGTATTTGATGTGCTCGCGGTAGTCTCCAGATCGGAATCTTCTATCTTGATATCCGGTGGCGTTGGAAGGGATGCCGGTACGTCGTTCATGGTAATTGAGGTGTTCACTGTCTGGCCTTCGGCGGAAGGGGCGCGGGCAGTCACGAGGGAGGAAGGCTTCGAATTGTTTCTTTCAACAATCTTCGCCCGTTTCCTCTCCGACTGGCCCTGGTTGTCACCAGACTGTTTGCGCTTGTGCTTGGGAGGCATTGTGAGGGCACCAGAGGCGGGGGAGTCTTGTTTGGGAACAAACATTCTCATTTCTGGCGAAGCGGCTTTATCACAACCTGTCCAGGACAACAGGCGCAACATTGTTGGGCGCTCCTCAGTGCAAAATGCAAAACTCTCGGCGTTTTCAGACTGTTCATTTGGACCATTTAGTCATTGAAGACTGGGAATTCCACCACTGGCCATGTGTTTCTTCTAACCCTTTGCGGAACACACTCTCGATCAACTGTCTTTGAACGGTACTGGTAGTTTTGCCACAAATCCTCTTTACACAGTCACAACTTTCGACTTTCGATGTCGTGGTAGACCTCGAATCAAAAGGAAGGTAAGTCAGTCAAGCCCGTGCGAGAGCCACACAGGGACAAACTGGAACAAATCGATATCGTCACGAATTACTAGGATTATAAATGTTGTATCAAACAGCGCGCAGCGCCTGGAAGAGTGAGAATAGTGAATGTGATATTATCGAAGATTTGCTCAAAGGCAAAAAGAGAAGATTGTCGATCAAAGCAGAGGACAGATGGCTGTTGCAGTGGAATGAATGACGCAGAAGAGGCGGATAAGCGGATCCGCTATGGTCGCTGGACGTTCCCGAGGATCGGAAGGCAAAGAACAGGTCGAAGTGTAGCGCAAGATGGTGGTGTACAGGAAGAAGATGGATTAAAAGTAAGATAGCTGGAAGATGGTGAACGAAGTCGTGGGTGGAATGCCAGGTTTTTGGGAGGTGGAATGAAGCGAAGAGGCAGACTGGGGGGGATGGCACAGGAAGTGTATAGGAAAGCGCAGGATAGTCGTGGATAGAGGCGCAGAAAGTAAGAGCAAGGGAGAGAAGGAGAGTGAGAGGGAAAGGCAGACAGAGAGAGCGAAAGGGAGGGAGGGGACGGACAGGTGGCCCAGAACCACACAGTCTGCCTCAGCAATATCGCCCGGGAAGGGGTGACAGCCGGGGGGCACACCTGTCAGTCCCTAGTGCCTGTTGTTATTGGCGGTAGGGTATTTTAGGCACCAGGTCTTTGCCCCTCTTGATTTAGTCTGATGCATAATTCCAGCATTGGCGCATCCACCCAGTGCCTCATGCGATCCGATACGTCCTGATCACCTGACCAGGCATCCGTACAATAGGCTGCATCGGTGCCTGGCTGGTATGGAGGACGCAGGATGGATAAGAACAAACCATGCATCTTCCATCCATCCCTGTTGTGAACCATGCGAGCAAACAACTCAGACACCGGTTGGTTGCATTGTTCATCCAATCACGTACATTCCTGACGGAGCGAATTAACAAGCATCGCTGGATCAGTCGATATCAAAACATGTCGTTGTGGTCTGACAACCAGATAGAGATGGACTCACACAAGTCCCCTACCGACCCAAAGAGAGACATTTCGTCAGACAAAAGGATAACCCTGCAGTGAGGTGTGAGAATGACAGTAACTTGTTGGAGTACGAACAGCAGGCCATGTCAACATTTTATCGCAATGACGAACCCGAGTCGTATGTTGAGACTGGTATATGGATCTTACCACTCGCAGATCAGAGGAACACTCCAGGCTTTTTGACAAACAGTTCACGACGATTACTCGTACCTGGTAACAAGAAAACGCCATCGAGGACGAGTACGTAGAAATAGAACAAGGCATCATCGAATTGATAGACGAGAGGAATCAGCAAAGACATTCACTCATCTGGTGTACCTAAAAATACTTGTCCTTTCAAGGTTGTTGCCGATCCCTTGCTCAACGCACTATGGAAGAGTTGTCCTCAACTCGCGCTCGTACCGATCATTGACCTCAGGAGGTATTCCCACAGGGTCCTTAAGGTAGTGCTGGTCCCATGGCCACTACGGAAGACATTCTTCCGGCTCTGCCAGACTCGAAAGATACTATACTAATCCCACTCGTATCGTACGCTGTCGCTGTACTTCTTCTCTCTCCAAATCATAAAGCGGTTGGAAAATCCGAGATGTTGGTCGAAGTTCGCCACTGATGAACCTGCACCGCCACGCAGCCACACAAACGAACCAATCACATCACGCACCCGTCGACCCTGCATATGAGATCGTCCAAGTCTTCCCTCTTTCTTTCGTTCTTGTCCGTCCAGACTTCACTTTACCATCCATTCACATCATGGAATTTGATCCCTCGGTAACACGAGATCGACCGCTGTCCCAGAATCGACTGGGAACTAAGCATCGTGGTAGAGCAATTGCATGCGGCGGTTCTGTTCCAGAACCCTGAAAGCCCCGTCCTAACTGGCGTTAACGCTCGTTGACCTTACAGACTATGTCTCGCGAGGGCATCGCTCTGTCTTCCACATGGGCTTTGAGGACCCTTGCAAAGGTAGGTGTTTACGAATGAAAGACTAGGTGCCTCGCATATCACTGCAAGCTAATATTTACATGACGGTCATGTCTCAGTGCTTCTTCTTGTTCTCCTTCTTGCGCTTCTTGATAACCATGTTCTACATGCCGCGAGATTGTTACTGACACTTGATTGTTTCATCCCAACATAATATGCTTGCATAGTAGCATACAATCTATCCAGCTTGGACTGTATGACAAGTGACTGTGCTCCCACATCAAGGTTCTGGCGGAGGAAAAGCCATATCCACCATGAAGTTCATTGGCATTGTCGTGGTTATACCATGTTTCCTGTCAATGGTCGCCGCGCAGGACGATCCATTGAGTGTTCTTGTCTCTGAAGCACATTCAATATACACAGAAGCTACACAGATCATCTCTTCTGTCGTGTCAGCAGTGACAGCGGACCCTTCCGCGTCTTCTGTGTCAACCACATCAGAGCCATCCAGTTCCAGCGAAACGACTGCGCCGAGTACAAGTTCAGACACATTCTCGAGCACGCCATCAACCTCCTCTGCGACCACATCCTCCTCTCCATCGTCCTCACCTTCTCTTCCGGTATCTACCACCTTCACTTCCTCGCCCTCATCCTCATCCAGATCATCTTCAAGTGTGTTGCAGCTATCCTCAACAGAGCCATCGCATACAGCGACTTCCTTGTCAGTGTCGGCGCTCGGAACATCCTCAGTGGTCGGCGCAACTGAAGAGACCAGCACAAGTCTCCCAGCATCAAAAGGGTCTAACCATGATCACAACCTAGCGATTATCTTGGGAACCGTGCTAGGGGCTCTTGCTCTTGGACTTTTCATCCTGGCGGTGTTATTATGCCGAAAACGCCGACATGGCCAGTCGGCGCGCCACCGGACTCTCTCCCCAGGCGATGACGAGGTTGAGAGCTGGAGGTTGAATAGGCAGTCCGACATTCCTGACAGCAAAACTTCTTCGCGCCTTGAGATTGGCGCTTCGGGGTCTGCACCACTTATGTCGGAACATCCAGCATTTCGTGGCTACGATGGGCACGAGAACCCTTTCATCCCAGTTCCCCCTCCACCCAGGAGGACGGCACCGAACTCCCGAGCCGGTCTGACAGACGGCATGGTTGAGGGTGATGAGCCCTTTCTCGATGAAAAAGAAGTAGAGGCAGCCAGGCCAATGAGTTGGCCAAAGGGCTTCACGACCAATTCATCCCCCAAGAAAAATGCGGCTGTGGCTGGTCTTGCAGGTGCGGCCATTGGAGCAGGCATGATGCATCATCATCATCAAAAAAGGAGAAGCGACGACGAGAAAACTCCAGTTCAGGATGAGAAGGCCGTCGAACCTCAGGTCCCTCGTCAAATTCATCGGAAACCGGTGCCAATCAACAGCGTGAACAACAGGGAATCTTGGCCAGCTTCACCAGTGTCTCCTATTGACCCAGTCGCTGAGACCGCGGCTCTATCAAGATTTTCAGCAAGAAACGATCCTTCGAGCGAGCAACATTATGGCAAGAATGCCGCCAGAGATCTTGGAGCGATTGAGACAGAATATAATTCAGGCAATCCTCAGCAAGATCACCATAATGGGAAGACGGCAGCAGAGCTCACGGCAGGTACACTCGCAGCGACCGCCATCGCACGTCACAGCGAGGACAATCGATCAGGAAACCATGGCAAAGAATGGACACATCGCCGTACTCGGAGTCCGGCGACCAATACATTCCCATCTCCACGGAGGATTTCCAACGACTCCCACGGTTCCACGGCCTCAGAGAACCGCAATTCTTATAGCGATGTCCTACCCAGTAATCCTTACCATGACGTCCTTGCTCCAGGAGCTGGTCTGGCAGATGATCCCGAGCGCCCCACGGCGAATCCACCTTCGCAGCAAATAGTCGCGCCCATCCGGAGCCCGAGACGCGACAGCAACGGTGGTCCAGTATTCAACGACCCCAACCGTCCAGCCGTCCCCAGTCCCTTGTCCAGCGAAGTCCGGCGCGACGACCCATCTCGCTCACCACCGACGACGAGCGGCGACGGCGGCGGCGGCGACGGCGGCTTGAACGCTCTTCCAAGCCGTAGGTCCCGCGACAGCAGCCAAAGCAACGGCAAAAGTCGAAGCAGGAGCAGATATAGCTTCGAGTACGACACCACTCCTACGCCGTACGACACGTACCCGCCCGGTGCCGGCGCAGAACACTACGGCGGCTTCTTCTCGTCGGCGCCTCGGGTCGGCGACGGCGGCGAGGGCGTCACTCCGTCCGAGAAGAAGTCTGTCGTCGACAGTCGTCAGTATCCTCCGCTCACGAATGGCCGCCCCCGCCGCGAGAGTCGTGGAGGAGAACAACAAGACGAGTATCCTCAAGAAATATCCAGGCGACGGCGCAGGGACAGTACACCTCCCCTCCCGCGAGACAACAACACCAGCTCAATGTTTTCCTTGGACGGGAGTGATTTCGATCCCCGCCACGTCGACATGGACTTTAGTTCCAACTGGCGTGTGAGTTCCGGGCTGCCGAACGGATGGCAGAGACACGGTCGGCGCAGTTCGGGTCCTCGATCGAACAACGATGGTGGTGGTGGTGGTGGTGCTGCTGCTGCTGCTGCTGCCGCCGCGAGGCACATGCGTGATTCGGGTCCAGCTGGACTCGGTGGTGGTGGAGGCCCATTTCAACAAGGACGGAGGTTAAGGGCCGCCGACCTTGCAGGAAGAGATGGTAGGTATACTCAAATAGGAGGCCTAGGACAAGCGCTGTGAAGACGACCTCTAGGAAGAAAAAAGAAAAGAAAAGGATGACCGAAAGAAGGCGAAGGGCACCAAGTAGTCTGGACACGACCTTCTCTTTTGACGAGTCACGAAATTATTCTTGGTCGGTTTGTGGTTGACATCTACAAATAGTATATATATTGTGTATACCCCACGGTCCTTGTGATCTTTTTTTTGTTGATAGTGGAATTGAAAACAACGATTCGAGCCAAAACAAAACGATCAAATACTTCCATCGTTTTCGTTCCGCAATGTCAGAAAGTAACAAGCAAGTAACCGCTCAGTTGGAAATGCTAAAAGCCTCTGATGAGGTTGTTCTTGTGTACATCATCAGATACAGAAACTCATCTCCAAGATACCCATTGCTCTCGAGCTCTGTATTACGACCAAGTTAACCATCCGTTACTCCGTAGGTTTCCTGTATGTATATTCCACCTAGAAGAGGTAGCAGGTCCATATGTTTCTTTTATACGCCCTAGAAAGTCCGACCGTATGAATATTCGCCCCGGTCCAAGCACCTCGGATGGACTCTTGCTTTCAAAAGGCAAGAATGCAATCGCCCCGTTGACAATCAACCCATCTGGGGTAACAACAAAAAAGTGGCCACCGTGAAAATGCATGGACATTCCCGTCAATGTACCGTAGCTGGCTTCCTGCTATCCCAAGGCCACCTGTAGATGCCCAGGCCTCATAATGCGTCCGTGTATGCTTCATCGCCAAAGACCGTTGAAAACCCGTAGGCCGTTCGTCTCTGCCTTTGGGAAAAAAAGAGGAGAAGAGGAAAAGAAAAAATAAAAATCATAACACTAGTACGTCGTCATCATTGTGATAGAACTTCGACACCAAACACGCCGTTCACACTATTAGCCAGTATGAAACTGGCGTGGGCGACTTGGCATATGGCACTGGTGTGCGTGCGGCTGCTTGAGAGAGGGAACTGAGAAGCTCGGTCGGGCTGGTCTAGTTCAACAACCGGACCATATCAGAAGGTACCCTGCCGGAAGGAGAGATTGTTTCACAATTCCGCCATTCGCTGCTGTAGGATGGCGGTGTTTCAGGAGCAGGACTTGGTTCCACACTCGAGTACTCTGATTTTAGGGGAGGGACAACCGTCTCATTCGAGTACCGTCTCGGTGACAAAGGTTCAGGCGCGACCTTTTTATTCTGCTGTGTGATCTCGACAGACACTTTTGGCTTGGTGACTTTCCCGACGATACGTTGTTGCGTGTTTGCACCTCGCGAACTTGTCGATGCACGAATTTTGGTGACCTTTTTCCGGTTGAGCGAGGTCTTCGGTTTACCAGACTGCTTATTCCGGTTCTCTTTGCCGCCGAGAACATCCGCAATGGTTCTTCCCGAGCTGGCGGGATTCTTCACCTGTGTAGACGCTGCCTGTTCACTGCGCTTTCCAACTTTGAGTTTGATACGCACAGGTGAAGTCGAAGGAGTCTGATCCTCCTTGGACGCATTTGACACTCGGTCGCCATTCTGGCTGCGCGGTGGCGTAACGGTATGAATGACAACAGAAGGCGACTGTTTCTTGCAACGCTTCTGCCCCTTGGGTTTGCTTTCGCCCTTCTTCGGAGTAGTCGGAACGACAACCTCTATTTGTGATTGGGTAGATCGAGCGGCTTCGAGATCGACTGTCGTGTGATTTTCCACCAAATCCATGTTCGGGTCATTCCATTCTCTCAAGCCTGCCAAACGAGCAACCTCGTCGCTGTCGCCCTTCACTACCAAGTCCCACAAATTCTCGAGGTCCTTACCGGGTGGAACGGGATCTCGATTGATCCAGACCGTCGTGCCTTCTCTTCGATCCCGAACAATCTGGCACATCTCGTGTACGATTCGTCTCACTGCTGGAATTTTCATGCTCGTTCCCACCACAATTACTGCATCAGGTCTTGTTCGAAAGTCGGCCGTGGTCACAGCACCAATCGCTTCGTCATCCGGATTGTGTTCGTTGTAGAGAACAATCCTGGGCCTTAATCTACCAACTCCATGACTCCTTTTCCCGGCATGCTTTGTCCGTAATGCATCAGCGGCGACACACTGTGGGCACAGTGGAGGCGTTGGTCCATCGAACAGACCCGCCTCGAATTCAGAGACGTGTCTGCATTTTTGACACATCATTTTCTCAAGTCCTCCATGTAGTTGGATGGTCTGTGGCCATGGCGCCTTGTGGTTGAGCGGAACTTGGGTCGTGAGGGGCGGAAGAGAGCCTTCCAGGCCGTCTACATTCTGTGTATAGAGTCGCAACAGTCGGCCCTCCACAGACAATCTCGCCAGAAAGCGATGAAAAGCTGTCGGCTTGGCGTTCTCCGACATTCTGGCCAGCTTCCGTACCATGTCATGAAAACTCGAGGTGGAATGGTCATCCTTGTAGACTGAAGCATCAAAAAGCATTTTTCCAGAGCTTTTGAGTTTGTGCTCGCCTTTCAGACTGTTGAACAAGCCTTGGGAGGATCTAAAGTCAGGTATTCCCGCTGAGACAGATATGCCGGCCCCTGCAATCACAACAATCTTCTTTCTGCCTCGAAGAGCTTTTAGCAGCGTATCCAACGCCTCTGTGCGGTCATAATCAGACTGCGCAGCGTCTGAAATCAGGTCAAGATGCTGCGTAGTCCGAATCCTTGGTTCGATCTTTCGACGTTTGCGAGCAGGGGGCATATCGTCGCCGGCATGTTGCGAAGGTGGGGGGGTGACAACCTGGAAGCCGGGTGGTATCGTCGGGGAACTTGGAGGAGAGCTGAGAGGGGAGCTTGGTATAGAGCTCAAAGGAGACGATAGCTCTGAAATGTCGTCGACGTTCATCGTTGTTATTGTGAGACTTAAAGTTATGGTTTATCGCATGTCTGGATCTGACGAAAAGGTGGATGAAAGTCTGGGTGTCCAAACTTTTCGACCAAACGGACGAAGGAGATGCGATCCAGAATCAACTAGTTGGAAGCTGGAAAGAATGTAGAGGGACTAGAAAAATAGGATGAGTTTGTTGTCAAAGTTGAGTGAGGTGATGATGAGCTGAGGCAAGAGAGGCGCAGTTTTACGATGAGGCTGGCACCGGCTTTGGGGGACCTGGGGGAACCTGGCCATGGACTTGACTCGCTAAGGATGATGAGTGGAGGGAGAAGACGGAAGCGTCAGCGGCTGCATGAGCGGGAAAAACAGCAACGAAGAGGAGATGCACAACAAGACACAAACAAGGTGTGGACTCCAATATGATCGATCGGTTCTCCGTAAAGAACTCGTAGGGAATGGGCGGTACGGTATACAATACAAGGACGGCAATCCGCAATAGGACGCTAAGTTTTAGACGAGCATTGCAAAACAATAAAGAGCCAATAATAGGTGGCACTTTGGCGGTCTGTGCGTTGGCTTGCTGTGGGAAAATTCTTTAGGCTTGTCTGGGGGCCCTGCATTGTCTGTTTGGGGCATCAGCCCGGCCAGGGACGCCTGTCGACGCCTGTTTGCAGTCATCTTTGGGCGCGGCAGATCAGGCAACGCCTAGCAAGGCCCCCCGGGGACAAGCCTGAGAAGAGCCTGGGATTTGCTGCTTTGGGCGCAGCTGGTGCCTGCGGCTCTTTCGTCTCCGACGCCCAACCGTGAATGTCACAACCTCAACTTTGAGTGCGTTCACTTCACTTTGTGACCCAAATCATCGTGTCTTTCGCATTGCCCTGTCATCAACGGTTCATCGAACGAGCAGGATCGCATCTGCCACAAGATAGTAGCAACACAACGAGTATCTATGTTACATACTTAGCGGATGAACAACAGTCATTATACAAAGAAGCCTCGTCCTTGCAGACTCGTATCGACTGTTACCCGGACTACCGCCTGTCCCAGGCTTGTGGCTTGACACCTGGTCCAGTCAGACTCCCGCACAAGCCATTTGTAAAGCCACAAGGAATATCCACACGACTCTAAGGGCCACCCAGAATTTCTGACTGCCGTTGTCTAACTAGGGATTGTGTCGAGAAAGAAACGTGCTACTAGTATCAGCTACATCGTCATCGCAGTACTCATCGACACTGGTGACTTTTGTGACTATTGTGACAAGTGCGAGGAAGGATACTCTCATACTACGCGAAAGCCCTCGAATCGTGCCAAAATGAATTTGGATATGCACTCATAGGATGATGTTGACGATGATCAAATCGAAGAGCGATTCGCCGATTTCCCACCAGAGCAGTTGGAACTTATGAATAGTCCATCTCTGGAAGAAGAATTCGATAAAAGCTTTCCCGAGTACGCAGGCTCAGATTACCCTGCTCCAGAAAAAACCCCGGGCGCATTTGGAATTCAAGCCTGCCCTTGGAACTACTCATAGAATGAGCATTGCCCGACCAACATGGAGTCATTGAATTCTCTGAAAACGAATGGCCTAGAACAGACAGACGACTTCGCCTCCGAGGCATTTTTCAACCAGAACACCCTCGAGCAGATTCAGCAGCTGGATACCAATACCGCTCTCAATGCTGCAGCGAATGTCGTCCTTCCAACAAAAGCCACCACCCTCGATCAGCTTCAGCGAAGATGGTTTTGCGGCTTTTCGGAACGAGTGGCTTGGTCTAGACTTGGGCATGTCGCCAGCATTTCAGAAGATGGTTCATCTGTCCGCGTGGAATGCTTGCGTTACAACTACGAGGCTAAGTCGTGGGAGCTAGACGAGAAGATCGTTCTGCCAACGCTGTTCGAGGACGCAGTTGGGCTTCTTTTCAGTGGTCATGGACAGGACCTCGCCATTGTCGATGCCAAAGGTCGCTTGTTCATCTACCAATGTTCCCATATCGCCGTTAACCGCTTCGTCCTCTCCAAACCAGGAGACCTCGATGAGGTGACCGATGCTTCCCAAATCATCGGAATGGCATGGTTGAACCAAGATCGACACGACCGAGCGAGGAATATAGTTACCCATGCTACCAAGAGTGACACCAGATGGTTGCACACAAACGTTCGAGCGAAACCACTCGGTCCATTCTTCCCGCACGGTCTTGTGGCTGTCCATCATTCCGGTACCGTTGGACTCTGGTATTTGGGCAACGACGGCCAATATATCAGAGTTACCCAGAATCTCAACGTCATGAATGACACGCTATATAGTCACGCCAGCCTTTCTCTCAGTGCCAATAACAGAATGATGATCGCGCTGCATTCCATCCATGGGGAGATATCTGTCTGCTTGATGTCAATCGCATGGCCTGCCTCCACATCCAACGAAAAAGAGTTGCCGAGTGTGAACTTCAACTTTATTCCAAGCAAGGTACAGGCTAGTCCAGTCGGATCAGCAGCCATGACTGATGTCTATGACCCTAACTCATGGCGTTTGAGCCACCTTGAATTGACACAAAGTCCTGAAATCGAGAACCAGCCATCGGGTCCGGTAGCAGTAGTTGCGGTATTCACAGGAATCAACAAAGCGCACAGCATTACTGACCCTGGGGCACTCACTGGAAGCATGATTAGGAGGTGGTCCATCACTCCCGTCCAACGGAATTTGCATCCTCTTTTCGAAAGCCTGCCCTCCAAAGGTACTGGCAAAAGTGAACCGACGTCAGTTCTCGCTCTACGAGCCCAGTCAGAGAAGATCGAACAGGCGATCGTAACAATACATCATGTCGACGGCCTCCAGGCATATGTTGTCACTACCACTGAGAACCGTACCGATTTCCTCAGTTCCGAAGACTTTTCTCCTCTCTCGTACGCCGCTTCGGTTGCAGAAACTACATCGATGGCCCAATCGGGCTTCACGTATCCTTTTACAGACATGAAATGTCCGGCTTTCTCAATCAATGCTTGCGTGAGAGCTGATGTCGGTCATGACGACAAAACTGAGATCGCGGCTCTAGAATACCAAATCCAAGGCCCGGTCCAACAGCCGCTCGACTTGAATGTTGACGCGGCAGTTGCTTCATTGAATCTGGCCTTTGCAAGAGCATGCTGGAGCAATGCCAGCATAGATGACGTGATCATGTGCGCCCAGCACTCTATTCCTCAAGACGTGCTCCCCACCGTCGTCGTTGGCATGTACCGTACTCTCTTCAGAGATACGGAGTTCATTAATGAAAAGACGCAAAACTCGGAGCTGGAGCGGATATTTCATAAGCAGGTCATGGGGCGGGTTATGGCTTATCATGCCATGCTTGTAGCCTACTGCCCTCAACTACCTTCAATCGCATCTAGTGGCGGGCATGTCGGCGGCTGGTCCCTCGCCGCTCAATGGGCCTGGGTGGCAAGCAACATCCGCCACACTGCGACGTTGCTCTTTATGAATTTACGCGACGTTGCGCATGCCACCGCCACCATGTCCCAGGACTACTCCGACATGCTGTGTCTAAACATCCGGTGGGGTCTGGCCGTGATACGATGGATCGTGAGTACAATCCTGGAGATCAGCGATCGCGAGACGAACCCGGAAATGTTCGATGGAAAGTCCGGGACTCTAGGTGACGTGAACGGTGACGGCACCCAAGGGCTGGTGGCATTGTTGCTCAACATCCACTGCTCGCGAGTGTTCCTCGTCGCCTTCATCCGTGCAGTCAGGGCGTATGCCAAAAGCGCCGAGCCCAAGACCAGGCATCAGCTGCAGGTTTTGCAGACGATCCAGGCCCATACTACCGGCAAAGGAATCACCTTTCCCGCGATCGAAGCGATCCTCGAGTACCGCTGGACCGCGCAGGGTGACGTTGACGGCGACATTGCCGCCACGACGATGCGACAGCTCGAGATGATGGCCACCGGTGTCGTGCCGGAATCGTACCAGGGGACGATCAAGATACTGCTGACGAAGCTGTTCAACAGCCCGGCCGGGTTGCGCGCGAAGAACCTGATCGACAGGTTGAAGCTGTTCACGGATCGCATCGATCTGGACTACATCTTCCTCAACCGCGATGTCCTCGGAAGGAGTCAAGGTCACTCGCAGCAGGGGAGGGTCATCTACGACGTCCACAGGAAAAGGCCCATCACCAAGGGTGTGACGGAGCCGGGTGAGCCGCCCGGAAACTTGATCGTCAGACGCTGCTTGAGGTGTGGGAGTTTCAGCGCCGACATCGTGGTCCCTCCACCCGACTGGGCGAGCAAGACCGTGGCTTCACTGCTTGCCAAGTGTGTCTGTGACGGTAACTGGATCATTGTACCTTGGAAACAGTAAAGCGAGATCTTGAAAAAAGAAATGAGGTACAAAAGGGCTCACGAAGTTTTCCGAGAAACAGGGCTTGCAGGGTCGAGCTAGACTTTTCCACTGAGGGAGATCTACGTTTTCATATTGTCTTGGGGGGTCATGCGTTGGAGGACCTTACCGTCACACATACACACATACATAAGTCACTCATTGGCGACAGATGCTGTCATATGTTGTGGACGTTGGACCATTTTGAGCCGATCTGTGCTCATAGCGGTGGGCTGACGGATCAATATGCATTTGAAACCTGTGCTCAATTCCTCAAATGGTAGTTCAAAATTGACGGACGATATCGATTGATGTGTTCATGAATTTTTGGTCTTTCATTTTCTAGTCTTTCGCCTGGAACAAAGTTGTTGGGTAGGGATGAGGCTGCCAGAAGAAGCAGTATCCCCCCATTTTCAACAAGAAACATCCCATGCCTAAAAACATCCTGCGCAAGCTAGGGCCGCACGCATATAGCCGGCCCAGGTTGTCGATAGAGCAAGGATGAAAACATCCCATCCGTTGTTCAATGCCAATTCCCATGAAGCGCAGGCTTTTTGGCACGTCCAGAATTCCGGATCATCGTCTCTCAGCTTACTCCTTGTCTCTCTTCCCCCCAACCCCTTCGAATCCATGCCTGACGTGTTGTTGACACTCCTCACAAACAGAAATAACAGGGTCGTTTATGCCTCGGCCTTGATGGCATACTTTCTCTGGGGGAAGTGAGTCTGTCTCTTCTTCTGCTTCTCGGTGATCCTGCTGGCGTCCTTCTTGCTCAGTCGTCGGCGGATGGCGCGAGTCTGCTTGGGTCGGAGGTCGAGAGGGAGGTACTTCTTCTTCTGGTAGAACAGGCGGAGTTGGTGTCTCTGGTTGGCGTTGATGACGGTCAGGACTCGAGCGATCGACTTGCGGAGATCGTGTCTGTTTTTGGAGGATGAAGGTCAGTAACTTTTTTTGGTTTCCCTCCAATTGAGATAATTTTGTAGATTTGCATTTTTTGGGTTTCGTTGTAGGGCCCGGTCTGGTCTGAACGTACATTCTGGTGAGTTTTGAAGAGGCACCACCGGCAATCTTTTGGACACGGAGTTGACCCAACTCGGTCTTGAGCTCATCGAGTTGCTTCTTCAAATCGTCGCGGCCCTTGTTCCAGAGCTGGCCCGGCTTGACTCTTGCGTTGGTCGACTACAAAATGCCCCCAAATGTCAGTATATTTCCTTGTGCGCAGAAGAGAGATCTGGGAGGAGGGGGCCGCTTCGAGGAATGGGATTCCGTACCATCTTGGCTGATATGTGAACCTTGTCGACGTCTGGAAAAAGTTGGTGATTCGAGTGTTGGAAAAAGCAAAAGTCGCAGGTTGGAAGTCGTCGTTGGACTGCGGGATAGCCTCAAATTTCGATAGTGCGGACAATTTACGCCAAGAGTGTTTGTCACGTGAGAAGTATGTCTATACCAGTTTAGGCCAAGTTCGATATCTAGTGCTCGAGCCTCGTTTAGTGCATTGGGTCTTCACATGCAGCAGAAGCCTAGACTTCCATTTACTCGTACGGACTCCAACAAATGTACTCGTACTCCGTGGCTTGTATCCAGGTTGATCGAGTTCAGCACCATGAGATCATCCGCCCTGCGAACGAGTCTCGAATTATAAAAAGAACGAAGTGAACTATTCTCTCGTCTCATTTCTGTTCATGGGATGGCAACCGGCGGCGGATGGGCGCAATTGCGTCAACAGATCAGGACCCTAGAGAGTCAGGTATGCATTTTGGAAAGAGTACTAGCATGCTGCCACGACTGACCATTCGTGCATATAGACTGAAGCCTTATTTCACACGTACTCGCAATTCGCTTCCACCTCGAATTTACCTGCCAAACCGTCCGAAGAAGAACAAAGGAATGAGGTAGAGATTCAAGAGTTGCTAGACAAGGTCAGCATTATGCATGATTAGAGTTGGGGCACGTGGTTCTAATATGAAGGGGAACAGCGTGACGGTTTGATTGCTCAACTTTCCCGACTTCTGGACTCTGAGAGTGCTTCGAGCACATCCAGTCTGAAGCAGAACAATCTGTCGCGACATCGTGAAGTCTTGAACGAACATCGGCAGGAACTTCGCCGGCTCAAAGCCTCGGTATCAGAAGCACGAGACCGACAACATCTCTTGGCCAATGTGAGGTCCGATATCGACGCTTTCAGAAGCTCAAATCCGGCCGAGGCTGAAGCCGAGTATATGCTTCAGGAGCGGGCACGGCTAGATCAAAGTCATAATGTGATTGATGGGGTGTTGGCCCAGGCGTACGCCATCAATGAGAACTTTGGCATTCAGAGAGAGACGCTTGCGAGCATCAATCGTCGAATTACCAGTGCGGCAGCACAGATTCCGGGCGTCAACGGTCTGATTTCGAGGATCGGCACCAAACGGAGAAGAGACGGAATTATCTTGGGCAGTTTTATTGCCTTTTGCTTTCTGATGCTAATGTACTTTAGCTGAGGTAGGGATGGAATTATTTTCGGGCCTCAGATCTCGGGCACAGTTGGCCACGATTTCTTTGGGTGGACAAACAACGGAAGCAACAACCAGCGACGCCTACCACGACTTCAGAGAGTACAGTTTTCGAAAACTACACCAGTCTCCTACGTGGGGAATCCTGCCTCCGCACACGAGTGAAACCAGGAGAGGTAACTTTCAATGCCTTGCTATGTTGATAAGAATCGGATGGTTCCTCTCCCGTTCTCGGGTGTCACGATCGAACCTACAGTGGCCTGCCGAAACAGCCACTGTTCTATTGGATGGCATTTGCAGCTAGACGAATTTGTCGTACGGTGGCAGCTTGCTATGAGCCTGGACTTGTTTCAACTCAACCCCCAAAGCAGGAATGATCTTATGGTCTCGGTCTTCCCGTGTTCAAATTGATTTTAGCATGCGACACAACGGACTTTGTATGTTAAAAGGTACCACTACCTGGGCGTTCTGGCACTGCTGTTTCTAGGTTGTCATAATATGATATCACTGAACGAGCTGGTTCTGGGAGGATAGAGAATGATATGTCCCTGTTGCGTACCTAGGTACGAGTATGCTCTACTCTTCCACATTATGAGTCGAGCACACTTGCATGTTGTCTATCATGGCCTTAAAGACCCCAACGGCATTGGACATATGTCACAGCTGCGACTCTCTTCATCATCTTCGGGAGCAGAACGAGCAAGGCTTGACTTCAGTGTCTGAAGGTTGGAAGTTCCCTCTACCCTCTGCCCTTTGGACCTGTAGTCGGACGATCCAGTGACCATTCTGTCGCGGTCGGCCACACCGGATGACGACAATCTGTGCGTTACGGAGGTTTCCGTACCTACATCCCTACCTAGGTCCCTAGGTAGTACGGTGTACAAGACATTTTTGACTTGCGAAGGGCAATGTTCAAATGGCAGACGTCAAGGCTTCTTTTTGGAGTAAATAAGCACCTTGGGCAATGCGTATCGTGGCCGGCCAGGGCTAAAAAGTTCAGCCAGGAAACCGGTGCCGATGCGACCACGGCAATACGTACTTGATGTACGGAGTAGATTACCAGATCATTCATTGGCCAATGCTACATCTCAAGGGAAACAAGCATTTGACTAACTACAACATTATATCTCTACACACGTCTTTATTGGAAGCCGCGGGTTTGCCGGCTTTCGAGGGCGAGACCGAGGGAGAAGAGAGTGTGTGTGTATCTGCCCGTTCTTTTGCCAATGCGGCGTTTTCTTGCTTTTCCTTCACCCTTCACCCTTCTGTCTCTACTGAGAGAATTCCTTCTGTGCCCAATGATGACCCATGATGATGATGAAGATGAAGAAGAAGAAGAAGAAGCTGCCGAGTGAACCACCACACACACACACACACACACCAGACTTCTTGTCTTTCCGCGTCTCCCGCAGCAAATCTACAAGTCCTCGTCGTCGTACGAGATACTACCTACCTAACCTGGAGTGAACGCGGTTGCAACCTGGACGGATATAAAGGCAACTCTAAAGAGTTTCCTCTTTTTTTTCTCCCCCTTCCCAACGACATCATCCCGCTTTTCCCATTCGAACCACAAAAGTCTTGGGTATAGACGGAATAGTGGGTGTGAGGCAATTTTTTTCGACGCTTTGATTTTCTTACTTTACTCTCCCCCATACCTGGCCGTAATCTATGTGCAGTGCCTGAACCTACTAGAGCCTCTACCCTTGGCCACCTAAGAAAGTCTTGTTGCGGCTTCCATCTTTTGTACAAAGCTCGCTCGCTCCAAAACGTTGGTGGACTCTTTTTCTCTCTCCTCTCTTTCAAAAATAACTACTCGTTTGATCCGCCTACACACTCCTGGTAGTATTTCCCACAAACGTCCTCCATAGGATACAGTGGGCTGTTTTTTTTTTCAAGTCGACGACATAATCATTCCCGATTCTGGTTTTCATCTTCTCTTTGTTTACTGCCGTGTGGTCTCGGGCGCACGCTTGAACAATCAAACAACTCAGGCCTTATCTGTCCCCTGACTGGAAATAATTCTCAAGAATACCCTATTCATTGTGCGCGCTGGATCGCTGCGTTCGGAATCAAACACAATACCATTCCGGGATTTTTTTTACATCATTGTAAAACAAACAAAGGAGTTTCTTACTGGCTGCTGGGCTGCTTGCTACAAACCCCAGTAAAACGAGTTACTGTGGTTGCCAGGAGAGGCGATTCTATATTATATTGAAAGGTCCTGACTGGTCACTCTCCCAAAAGGGATTGAGGAATGGACCATATTATCTCCGAACCCAGAACACCGATTGCACGAGAACAATTGAGATAGCCTCTCTCTATCGACAGAAGAGGTGACCGGAAAGTTCGATATTTGTACCAAACTACTGCCAGTCTCGTTTCGACTACCAATCAATCGGCTCAGGTACCTCTGAGATCGTCATCCTTCAATAATTCGACGATCAAGACACAAAAGTCTACCTCATGTGTATTTACTATACGTACCATTGGAGCTGCTGTCCTGGCACTGCACGCCCGGCTCCGTACTATGTTCACTCAATGTGCGACAAGGCAGCTGCTTCTTCAAGAACGACCAAGAAGACTGATAACAAGGCCGCATCAAAAAAGTGTAGGGTCGTGCATGAGATCTTGGACGGCGCGGAGTCGGACGAAGTATGTCCCAAGTGTGGGTATGTATGATCGTCTTCTGAAACCGAAAAGCCTTTTTGCTGACTGCTGCCTTCTAGCATTAAACCGGAAAATTGTGATGCTTAGGTCGCATTGACCATGATGATTGAACGACAGGAATCTGGCTAGGTGGTAATTGTGGCAGGCATTGTGCTGATTCGGCGTTGGGAAACTATCTTGAGCAGTTTGATTTTGGATGGAGGCGTTCCAGAGGAGCGCGGTCTATTTGAAGCTCCATCGAGGACCAAGCACGATTTTGACATGGGATGTTATGATGACTGTAATTTTCGTTCTTCTTGTATCAGTCTTTGAAGAGCGGAGTTGAGACCGGCGACTTCGCCTTCCCATGCATGGCCACTTCCGGCCCATCTAATTTTACAGCTGGAGTCGACCAGATAGACATAACCCACTTGGGAATTCAAAAGGCCCATGGCGTCTCGCACATCGTCTGTCAGCCCTCGTCGAATATCTCGTGGGAGTTTGATCATGAAATATTTGTCCCAGCGGTCATCGGGGATCATGCTCCGTAGTCGTCCTTGGAACATTTTGACGAGCCATGCACGAATCCAATCCCCTTGAATATTGATATCGACACGTTGGACCAACCCATTGCTCGCTGCGATAATCCCAGACAAGTCAGGGTTGTCCTTCGGGCCGAAAAATGTGTCGACCTGTTCTTCAGCCCACTGGCCAGACTGCATGCCTATGAGCGAGATTTTGCCCGTGATGGTAGGTGTGATGTCTCTTCCGCCGTCGGGACCGTCTCCTTCTTTTGCAAGTGTCGGCCCCCAGATGTTGGGGAAATAGAGAGCCTTGTCCCGTCGGAAAAGGCGCTCGTTAGACACGAAGCTCTTGCCCTTGTAGTGTTCGGTGCGACTCCATTCTTGGAAGTACGGGCGGAAATAAGAACGCAGGTAGATTCGCCGACGCTCAAGCGCTTTCTGGTAGTTTGCGAAATCCTCCTTGCGTTCGCGCAGCGAGCGAGCATCAATGGGGCTGTTCTGTCCCGGCAGAGGAGGATGTTCAAGTCCTAGTGGCCGTGAGAGGACAGACGGGGTGAATTTCTCGCCTCGTTCGCCTCGTGGTATAGGTATTCGGGAGATGGCCGACACGGCGTCAGGGTTGCGGTCCAGGCCAACATGTAGAGGGACACTGGGTTTCTTCGGAAGCTCTTGTTGTTTGGGAGCCGGTGACGGAGGGTTCGAGGACGAGGCATAACGTATGTGAGGATGCCATGCCAGCTGGTTCCTCCTGTATATGCATCGGCTGTGAGGTCGGAGCGCGAGAGCGACAAAGAGGCAACATAAGTCCTCTCGTCCCCTATTCATGCTTAACCACTGAGGACTCCAGATGGTGTTGTGTTAATCACAATACTCTGGTATCGGGGAAGCTTTGCTCATTGGAACACAAAGGCACGGAATACTTGCCCATAATTTTCTAGAACGCATCACATGACTGCGCGTCATCACTATTTGAACCGCGAAAGGAACAAATAAAAGTCGTGTACCGTACCGTGAACGGCTTCCACCCCCACCATTGTCACTCCTTGCAGTGAATGTGCAACATTTACTTCTCACTGACGTGCCGAAGCAAACTTTCAGTACGTGGAGGTTATATGACTATGAATATCCAACACGGCAAGTTTCCTTTTCATTCGTCGCTCACCAGCCAGACCACAGCATGGCGTCGTCCCAGGAAAAAGAAGAAAAGGCAAGGTTTTTTGAACATTTATATCGTTTAGACGATCTTGTCAGCGACGACGAAAGTCACGATGAAGCGTCAGACACTTCCCACGATCAACATACAGCTCGACCAGTTAAGTTCCGGGAACAATCAAGACATACTGATGAACCTTACTCTGGCACCCGATCTCGCAACATCCTCCAGGCTCATGCCAAGAAACGATTACATGAAGAGCCGTCGCAACCTGCACCGATTGTGATCGAGGATGAAGGCGATGGCGATAATAGAGAATCCCGAAATCTCAGTCCAGCGCGCAAGAAGAAGACAAGGTTTGAGGTGAAAACCAAGAATGCCACCAAGCCAACCAACCTACCCGTGAAGGCAGAGAAAAGGAACTCTACAAATATATTAAATCTGAAGCAGCGGAAGAGGCAAGTTCCAAAGAGTATGAAGTTGACAGCCGTCCCAATAGAACAGCAATTCTTTAGGGAGTTTATCTTCTGTACGTATTCCCGCTTTCTACCATGGATACTTTGTCATTATTGACAACATCAAACAGACTTTGTCCCCAATGACGACGATCATCCTGTTCGCCGTATCAGAATGTACAAAAGCGTCCTGTTGGGAGCTGAATGGGTACATGAATGGTATGATGATGTGACACATATCATTGTCGACAACAGCTATACGATGTCAGAGGTCGCAGCCTCGTTTCCTTCAGGAAAGGTTCCGGTCAGTTTGCCTGATCCAATATTGTGTGCCATCCTTATAACAAGCCGCAGGAATGTCCGGCGATTGTACTTGAGGAGTGGCTCGTACATAGCTTTTCGCTAAAACAGCCTCAAGACGTCAATAGAAAGAAATTCTTGGTCCCTGGATTTGAATCTCTTCAACATGACCGTATTCAAGGTCATACTGCAAATACGGCGCTGTCTCGAATCAAAACACCAATGCGCCCCAAATCTCAATTAAGAAGGGGTGATATCACCCCGTCCAAGTCACCTTTGGTCGGCGAGCAAAAAGCGCACAAGGTATCGACGATATCAGATGATCAGCTTGGTGTCACGATCCAAACTGTGAAGGACCTAGACTATCTGTCAATGGACCCGAGCTTTGACACTGCAAATGAAGCTCCACACCGAGAAGGCCAGGATCTTGCCTTTGCTATACTGCGCCAGGACGACGAGATGCAGAAGCAAAGTGCCGGCTTTCAATGCATGGTGAAGCATGGCAGTGATGCCGATGGCATGAATCCGAACGGTAGAACCATCGAGAACCTCCAGAAGCTGGCGACATTCTACGACCGTAAGGGTGACCACTGGCGCATGACAGCCTTCCGTAAAGCAATCGGCGCACTGAAATCTGAAAACGAGCTGGTTCGTACGAAGGAGCAGGCCATGTCATTGAACGCTGTTGGTGAGAGCATAGCTGGAATGATCGAAGAATTCGTCTCCAAAGATAGGATTCGGAGACTCGACGAAGCCCAGAAAGATCCTCGTGATCAGACACTGGAGCTCTTTATGGGTATATATGGTGTTGGTGCTCAGACAGCTGCCTCGTGGTACTCCCAAGGCCACCGTACTCTGAAAGACATCCGCCGGAAAGTCAACTTGACTCCTTGCCAGCTCGTCGGACTTGACCACTACGACGACCTCCAACGGCGAATCCCTCGTGACGAGGTTGCTCAGCATGCCTCCATTGTCAGAAAAGCCCTCAGAGGTGCAGATGAAGGTTTACAGATGATTGTGGGTGGCTCCTTCAGAAGAGGTAAAGCAGACTGTGGAGACATAGACTGTATCATCACCAAAGAGGGGGCGAACATACTGCAGATACGAACACTCATGATGAACACGGTTATCCCAGAGCTGACAGAGCAGGGATTTCTGAAGGTTGCATTGGCTACAGGGACTGGAGATGATGCCACAAAATGGCACGGCTGCTCAGCTTTGCCGGGCACTGATATATGGCGACGGATTGATCTGTTGTTTGTACCGTGGGCAGAGCTTGGAGCCGCCTTGATATACTTTACCGGCGACGATATCTTCAACAGGAGCATACGGCTCCTGGCGAGTAAGAAGAACATGAGGTTGAATCAGCATGGGCTCTACAAGGACGTGCTACGAGGCCGGGGCCGACAGAGAATCACCAAAGGACGGCTTGTGGAAGGGCAGGATGAGAAGCGCATCTTTGATATTTTGGGTGTACCATTCTGGAGACCGGAAGACAGACAGATTGGATAATGATGGCGATGGAATGATTAAGAATCACCAGTGAGACAAGCAACTATGCACAGAATTTCATATCCCACAACTGCAACAGATCAAAATTTTGCTGGAAGATTACTCCTACAGCCCGACAATAGCTGTAGTCCAAAAGTACATGAAAAGATCATACCGCGTCTGTCCACAGAAGGCACCATACCATGAACGGATAAGCGTGGTGCTTGGCGAAAACTACCAATCACATTCGCACAATTGTTTCTCACCGCCCCAATTGCCGAGCTGGAATCGAACACCGCCTGTGAATACTGCCCGTTCAATTTCGCAACATTTTGGGCCAAATGCGATCAAGCCATAACAAAGTGAGACGAGTTGATCATCACGCCCTTATTCGCTGTACACACGTGAGGACTCACTGCTAGCCCTGCTCCTAGGTCTCGCGTAGACCGAAGAGCCGGGTGCGGCAACATTGTCGATTGGTTTTGCACGGCAGTGACCTCGCTGTCTCCGCTTCCCTTTGATATCCTAATTCGTTGTGCCCCGCGGGTAGCGACATTGTCCAATCTGGTGAGTCTCCTGGCAAGCGACGACATCATAAGCGGGTCTATACTGACATGGGAGAGCAGATTCACCATGGGACGAAGAGCCAATCCACTCATCGCGGATTACTTCGAACGCGGAGCCAGACTCGATGACAGCTCAAATCGATATGCACACACCTGTAGACGATGTCTTCAGGTATTCCCAAAAGGACGCATGGAGAACATGCAAAAGCACTTGACCAAACTGTGTCCGGCCATGTCGCTGAAAGAACGTCTCCAAATCATCCTCCGTCTTAATGACCTTGCTCACTCCGATGTCGAGCAAAACATTTTCCCACATGCACCTGAAAGAGAAGGCAACCAGGTACAAGCGGACAATTCTTTGAATTTTCCCCCAGCAATTCACACAGGATCGCAACAAACTGCTCTGGAAGTGCTGGCTGAGGCGTCTCGTCATTTGAACAACCCTGTTCAGGAGCCAAGCTTCAATCAATTCCTTCCACACACTCAGGCTGCCTATTCTGAAGTGCCTCATGATCTCCCTTCTCAGTCTCATATTGTTCCACAGATCCAGCACGACAACTTTGGTTCTCATTCAAATGGTATGTTCACAGATCCTGCTGAGATGTTCACCTTCACAATGACTGACGGATAACAGACTTCCAAAGCAGCAATCACATAAACGACACCATGGATCACTTGATGAGCACCAATATGCAAGTCTCAGATGAAACCTTCACGAACATACCTGCAACAACCTCGGCATATGGATATGACGCATTTGCTGGCTCGCATGAGACAACGTTACCACCACTCCTGCCACATACTGAGTACCCTGACGCAGCGCCCGAGTGGAACAGCTTACCAACGACAAGCACTGCTGTTGAGAGCATCCTCCCAGCAAACAACAACAACAACAACAACGATGAAGTCCCGACTGTTGAGTCACCCAGCGTGGCCCCTGTACCAGTGGTTATCGATTTAGACGACCAAACCATGCCAGATTCAACCGATCAGCCCATTCCAATCGACCATCCCATGCCAGACTCAACTGATCAATCCATTCCAGATTCAAACGATCAGACCGTTCCATTTGTCCCACAGACAGGCGCATCCGGGAAGGGCCCAAGACCCAAAGGCCGAGCAAAGTTGTCACCACAGACCAAACTACAAGCTGCAATGGTGAGGAAGATTGGAGCGTGTTCTCGCTGTAGGGCACTGAGAAAACCATGTGTACCTGTTGACCCAGCAAACCCCCGAGGCATCTGCAAGCTGTGCATCAACATCAAAAATCCTCGCATCTGGAAAAACACGTGTATCCGCCCTAGACTATGGGAGATCTTGGAAGCATATTTTGCCAGACCACGCGTGTACTCTGTAAACAGAGAACAGAGTGGTGTGGCCTGGCTTCAGTATCATGGGTCTGTCAATGTTGTCCATTTTGAAGGCAAGACAGTCGCACTGAGAGCTCGCTACCGGAAGCCTCCAGATAATGCACTTGATAATTTTTCGGACTTTTCTATTGTACAGGAGGATGGTGCCATTGCTATTGACCTTGAAAACCAGGATGAGCGGATGGAAACATACCTCAAAGCCATCACTGAAGACGTCATTGCACGAGAGAAGTCCCCCATGATCAAAGCTACCCTGCAAGTTGCCTACAGTCTTCACATTGAACAGCTCGCCAATCCGAGCACCGACAAGGAGGACAAAATTCTTTCCGACGTTATCGAACTTTGGACCGCCACATCCTTGATGATAGACCCTGAGTTGAAAGCTGAATTCACTATCGTCTCCGGCAGTACGGGAGCTCAAAGAGCAATTAGCGAATGCCACAATACCTCCGCTTACGCGGCCATGGCTAAGCAATTGCAGGCAGTCATTGAAAATCGGACCAGCTTTCTCTCCAAACCTACAATGCGCCGCTTTGAAGAGTGCTGTGGTCATCGAAACAAAGCCAAATCATTCAAGGTTTTCATGACTGCTTTCATCCTGCTCAGTTGTGCGGAGCGAATGTGCTGGCTTTTCCGTCGATGGGAATCAGATACGTCTGTCCCATGGAGTCTCATACGAACTGCGGGATCGTATGCGGAGCAAGGTACATCCTTCCTTGAAAGCATCATAGTGTTATTGAGTCCTCAAGCTCTGAAACCTGACTTGAAAATAAGTGAACAAACCGGTTTTGTAGTGTTGGCGGCGGCAGGTGATAAGGATCGGCACCTCCTCACCTGGCTCGACAATGCTAGGTTCACGGCCGGTTTTGGCAAACGAGCCGATAATGAGCAGCTCGATTTCAACGATTGCAGATGTATGGACGGGGAGCTTTCGAGTCACCTGCTGGAAGCTTAGGAGGGTGAAGATTAAAGAAGAACGAGAAGTATTTCCGAGCCTCATGAAAGGATACTTCCGCCAGAGGAGGACGTCGATGGGCAGCGCGTGCTAGGGAGGAGGCTGAAGTGACTGCAAGATTTGGCAATTGCCAGCAACTGTATGATTACACGAAGAGACGAAATCACTGAACTTCATTCGTCATTGATGTTTCAAATGAGATACCCCCCCAAAGAGCTAGATCAGGTCTAATGTTCACAGAGAGCTTTGAGATTTAATTAATGTAATTCATAAGAGATGAACCTGAAAAAATCACCATATAATTTGACTGATTTGCAGAAGTAGAATCAACAGATGAAGATGGAGGAGTAGGCACTTCACCCACCGTGCATTCCAGTATGAGCCACGGGCAGTGACATCCACGCTCTCTCGATGGCCCCAGCAGGGCCTTGCTTTGACCACGGCATGAAATGTCAAGCGAAGTAGTCCCGACCACCACCACCATCATGGAAAGGGGGGCGTCCGTTGAGTGGGAACCTCTTGTTGTGACACCCACAAAATACAAAGACCTACCATATGGGTGGCCCCAGGCGGAAGGAGGCAATGTCTCTCTTCTACCTCCCTTTGTTGGGCAAATCCCCCTGCGAGGCAAATCGACATCTCCTAGGTACGTCTAATCATCACCTCCTGGAATGACGACGAACCCACGGTTGTAGTGAGTCGATGTATGAATGTCCAAGGGTCAAAAGGCGTCTTTGCGCAAATTTGGTGAGGTCTTACAGAACAGAACATGAAGCGACACAATCCCGTCAGCCCATTTGAGTATCGACATTGACATTGACATGTAGTAGATTGATTGCTGAAAAAGACAAAAGAAAATAATTCTCAGACAAATACCCTTGTCCGCCTCAAACTACCTGGAGTTCGAGGTCGTCGACGATAACACTTCTTTTCTTCATCGTCGTTCGGAACCTGATGACTGGAAGGTTTGGGGGGAAAAAACAAGATTCGGGAAATTGAACAATCCCTTTGCTCCTCTGCCAGTGTGTCGAGGGGATTGCAAATTGGTCAAACGGGAAGGATTACTGTTTGGACAGACACACGCACACACAAGGGTGCATCATTTGGAGATGTGAAGCACAGGAAAGCGAAAAGGAGGGGAGGGAAAGTCGAGGTTGGTGATCCCGGGGGGGGAGCCTTGTGTTACTGCATTTACAGTGTTACTGCATTTACAGTGTTACTGCATTTACAGTGTTACTGCATTTACAGTGTTACTGCATTTACGGAGTACTGTACTCAAGTCATGGATTTGGGTATGTTTAGTGAAAAAAAAACCCGCAAACCTACTAATGTAGAGGGGAGAAAAAACATGGGGGTGGGTGGTAGGGAAGAGGGGAGGAGAGGACCCTTGAAGTTGCTTGCATTGTACAGCGCACAACACGCACGCACACACACACACACACACACACACACACACACACACACACCACTTCGGCGATCTCGCATGAAGCAAGACCCTCACCCCCGGGGTATACGGAGTGTAAAAAGGGGGGGGGAGGGGGTACAAGTATAAGGCATGCATGTCACTAGCCCAAGTTGCCTCCCGCCCGCCGGGTTTGTGCGACTACAAGGCAAGCTGCGAGAGCGGCTCGCATCGAGGTGTCCGAAGAAGTGCCACCGAGCGATGGGTTTTAGCCAGCCCTCTTTCTCTCTTTTCTTTCTCTCTCAACCAACCTACTGTACAGTAGCAAAAAGCCTTTTTGTACGAGGGTTGGCGTTCTGGGGAACTCGGGGAGGGGGTTCCCCTTTGGCTGCTGCTGCTGTCGCTGCTGCTGCTGCATGGAAGATGTATACTCTCCAGTAGGTATGTATAGGAGGTTACAGGTACGGTACTCGTCTAGAAAAACATACGAACCTGAAAAGGACATCCACACCTAGTCCTGTACGGTAATAATCATCAGTCGTAAGGTCCACTGAGTAATAAAACCAATCGACACATGGGTTAGAATACTGTACTCATAGGGTAGGTAGGGACCTACTCTACAGTACAGCCCGCAAAGGACCATATGTCGAACTTTGTGGGGGGGGGAGGGGGGGCTCATCAAGTGATTATTGATACTCGATACTTCATACGAGTAAAGGACCACTCGTCACTGCAAACGGAGTATTATAGTGTCTCCGCTGTGCACTGGAACATGATCACCCCCAAAATAATAAATGATCATCACCCTGTATGTACAGTACAATATGTTCTGGTTGCACAACAAGGTTCTCGCCTGTTGCAGATCATGGGCACCTCCAGGTACAGTAACGAGTAATAGACAAGGTACAATAGGCAAAGTTGCTTTGCCCGGGGGCACGGCGCGCCGCGGGTACGTTACAAGGGGACAGTGCTTTTGCTCGCCTTGACCTCTCTTTCGATCGACCGACCGACCGACCGACCGACCACACCCTCAGCAGCAAACAAAATTTTTTGTTTTGCAAAAAAGGTTGGCTGCAAAGCTGGAGCGGGCCGAGGAGTGTTGCAGGGAGATGGGCGAAAAACAAAAAAGCGTGGGGAATCATCATGATCATCATCATCATCAAGACCTCTTCTCTTTGGACGTCTGGCCTGCCATCGCGGTGTATACTGTACAGTTCTGGGGGCCCTTTTGTGTGTGTGTGTGTGTGTGTGTGGGAAAGCCATCATCATTGCAGCATGGACTGTTGGTCAAAGCAAGGCTACTTAACTTCAGGTGTACTTGTACGAGTGTGTGTGTGTGTGAGCTCACGACTACGGAGTATCGTTGGTAATGATCAGAATTGCATTGTATGTAATTCGGACACGACGGCCCACCGGCTTTCTTCACTTGTGATCCGTATGTAACTACGGAGTAGAGGTACTCATTATCGTACGATTTGATTCCATACGAGACAAAAAAGAGAGGAGTTTCTTTCTTTACGTGAAGCAAAGGGCAATAATCATGAGCCCCGCTGTTACGAATGTATAAACAATAAATCATAATCAATTGCGCAGGTCTCTCTGACCCCATTTTTATGAGGTGGAGGGGCAATGGAAAAAAAAAGAGCTGCAAAAGATTACAAAACCTTTCCCGAGGGTTTGATTTGTGCTGTAATCTACCACGAGTACGTAGTTACCTAACCAACGACCTTCCCGTATCATTGTTGCTTTGTACCTTGGCTACATAAGGTACGGAGTAGGTAGGTAGATACCCAGTAATATATGGATTTACTGTACTGTACGTGTTGTTACAGAATTACCGTTCTTGACACGGGGTGGTCGTCGTCGTCTTCTTCCACAGTCAGGTCGCAATATAAAACTACTTGCCTGGGTTAAAAGAATGATCATACTGCCCGTCATGCATCCATCAACTACCTACGGAGTACTCCGTACATAGTTACCTGTTTGTACCGCCCTTGGTTTGCTTGCTTGCACCAAAGAAATTGGCCGCCTTGGCTATCTTACCTTGAGGCCCTTCCCCCTACAGTATAGAGTAACGTTCGAATCTCCCCAAACCATCAAAATCACCAAGACTCCAGTTGAGACAAGACTTTCCCGCTATTGAATTTTGGGGAGGGGGGGGATTTGAAGAGAAGCGAAAATGCTTTACAAGCCCGAGGCATCCGAGGAGAGGCTCCATCTTTTTTTTTTGGTTTTTTCGCCAAATCGCTTTTTGACCAAGGAATAAAAAGAAAGGTTCCAATCCCGCACGCATATCTGACGAGCTGCATGCATTATTACATGGCCCGAGGCGAGCGAGAAAGTGAACCCATGGATATACTGCTTGGCATGGTACGTAGTACGTCGTAGTAGTAGTAGTAGTAGTAGTAATTAGTGGAAGACAGAATGAATCGATACGGAGTATGCAAAGCCGCCCGTGACATGTGCAGCAATTCATGCATCATTGGTGCCATTTTAACCCCTCCCAAATGTACAATCCTTGTCGCTTGCCTCCCGAAGCGAGCAAGACATTATTGTCTTCTGACTTGGTTTTAAGACTCGCAGTCGAACGATGTGACTTTTGTTTTGGCTCCATCCTTCAGACTTTTCCCAGGCCGGGCTTGCACCAGGCCGACAAATGGAAGAATTGCAAGTGCAGCAGCCACATCCTCGCCAATTGGGCGCGTCGACTACAACATTCGTTTGGCGCACGTCCATTCTGTTCCGTATGTATGTATGTAAATATGCAAATAACCACATTGCTCCGTGAGTGTTCCGGGCCCTTACTGTAGAGGTGACCAAGGCTATCTATCCATCACCTGCATCGTTTGAAGCTTTCCACGGGTATTACTTGCGCTGGAGACCCGTAAGTTAAAGCTAAAAGCTAACAGAACCCAAGTGCGTATCCTCTAGTGCGCAAACAAGAGAATGGGCCTATTCTGGAGTAACGCGTGCCACACAAAAAGCCATGGACCGGTGGGAAACGAACCAAGAGGCCTATTCCCGGTAGTGCGTGGAGTTCCAGTGCAGGCGCTCGGGCCATCGAAACACGAGTACATTTGTCAAATTTCAGCTGGGGAAGAGCCCTGTCCTTTGCAGCGTTTTCCTTTCCCAGCCTTGAATGGTGCTGTGGCATTCCTTGGAAGGCGAAGTCGTCATGGCTCAGCCGACACTGGGCCCAGAAGAGAAATGTCGTCCCCCCGCCGCCATCAAAAGCATGATTGCGACGCCGGCATTTTGACGACAAAAGTGGCTTGTGTCCCAAAGCTAGATCTACTCGTAGGGTGGAAGAACATCGTCATCGCGGCACAGGCGGGCCTAGCGAACGTGGAGAGACAAAGGGCACTTGGCTCCCCCCTTCTAGCTCGATTCTGAGTGAGCGAGTACTCGTAGAGGCCCGAGCCCATCAACCACCAGGACTCATGCCGCGCCTCTTGGACGCGTTCAGCGATGCTATGCCCCAATGGGCCAGTGCACAAAAAAAGGGTCGTGAAGCAGGGTTTTGTGGCCAGAACCAACCACTCGGACGACCAGAAGCTACATATCTCGAATGAGAGGTTTCGCCGCTGCTCACCCGGGGTTTGAAAGCATCATCCAGTGATCAGGCTGCCAATCATGTCTCGGAAGGTGAAGGCTGTCGCTTGCTGCGCCTGAAGCCATAGGCCGGAAAGGGTGAAGAGGATGGTGTGAACCGCTGATGAAAGATGTGGGATGATTGGTGGTCCATTGGTCATGAGCGCCTCTACCCAATCGCATCAGCTGACACTCGTTAGTTCTGCTAGGTGACTCGACGCGGGAGACACGGCGAAGCGAGTTGGATGTTTTTTCTTAGCTGATGGTTTTGGGAGGCAAGCCTTGACTGAGGATTTGGGTATGTAGGTTCTTTCTGACGTCCGATAATCAAGAAATTTTAATCGCATCGACGAGTCATTGGGGAGTGACAGAGAGGGGGGCGGGCTTCGAACGAAGGACCATTCAAGAATCGTACGAGTAAGATAAGGAGTCTGGAGGACGGAGTAGGACTCGTAGTGGACGAGGCAATCGATGGAAAGACATTTCCGCCACCAGACCAGGGTGTCGCGTTTGCCGTCGAGGCAGATGACCTTTGATCAAGCCGGGGGGGTCCACGGTGTGGGTGGATGTTAGGACGAAGACGTTGTACGGCGGGCGCCTGAGGCGTATCATCATGGCGTCTATTCGCCGAGATCTTTGAACAGGTTCAGAGGGACATGATCCAATAGATGAGCTATGTGAGAGCGAGCGATGTACTTGTTGCGAGTACGGAGGGATTCGAGAGGAGGAGTGTTGGTGGTTCGCTTTCCAAGCCCTGTCTCCGGTCGACTACCTGTACTGGTACCTCGTTAATTCTCCAGCCAGTCTTACTCGACCGTACCGAGTCTCTACATTGTTAATTTCTGAGCTTATATAATCGGGTAATTGGAAGTTGGTGTTGATGGATCTGTTGTGTAATGCTACGTCGGTTTAATGTCGGCAGTCCTGACGAAAAAAGTCGAAAGAAGCAAAGAAGAAACTACGGAGTAACGGGGGTTTTAACGTAAACAGTGTACTCCATACTCCGGACGGAGTCCTACAGGGAGGACAAAGATTCTTGTACCAGTCTCTTGACGGACGGACGCGTCAACATGGTGGCAGCAAGGGGAAACTGACCTGAAGATGACTGTTCTTTCGTGGTGGGACACAAGGCCAGTGGCTTTTACAGAGTAGCCCTTTCCATTTGATCTTAAAATGGTTGTGTAAGGAAAACTGCTGGCAAGTAGCAAGTATCGTGTTGGTAGTATGCATACTTCATCCACAAAAAGATCAACAGTCGTGGAGAGTGAACCTCGGGGCAGATGATTTGATTCTTCATCCCCTGTTCCCTGTCTGTCAAGGCTATCTTATTTGCCTATAACTCGTACATGTTGCATCCGGAGTACATAGGTATTTAGGGCGCAGTAATATGCATCCAGTCTAGCCGGCCTACTAGTTTCATGCGCCTCGAAACCGAATCTCGCGTCGCCTTTCAAATCAAAAGCAAAAGTTTTGGCGATCGTAGAGTTTTTACTGTATTCAGGAGGAGGAGGAGGAGCTGGAGGGGGGGAAGAGAAATGGCAGCTCATGCAGGGATTGACTGGCGAGAAGTTGAATGCCCTTGTCAAATAGTCGCATCGAGGCCTGGATAGGTAGTCATTTTGTATAGTACAGTTCTCGTACAGTAAAGGCTCCTCGGTTGATCCAATATTCCCATGTCGGTGACGACGATCCCGTCGATTACCGTGCGTGCATAGACTCGTACTCCCGTATGCTGCGAGGCTCTGCTCTCTCGCCCAATCCTCCGTCGTGCATCCGTACCCCGGTGGGAATCGAGATTTGGTCCAGCACTGCCGCTGTTGACCTACCTACCGTAACAGTGCGAGTTCCCAAAAACCTGGGGAGAGGCACATCTCGCTGCGGCTTCAACCTTATTTCGGCCGTTCGACCTTGGGCCGCACCAGCCTAGAGAGATCCGATCCACAGGAGCAGTTTGTTGCCTACAATACCGAGTACAGTATCCGTACAACAATAGGTACTGAAGGCACCAGCTGGGCTCGCCAGATGTTGCGCTTACCGTGGTTCCGTTCAGCCTAAGCAGTGCCTGCCACTGTATTTTACTTAGCGAAGCCTACCTAGACTCTGGGCGCACCTGGCGAGGCCGAGAAACCCCCCGGAAGCTGCCTCCGACATCATCACCTTTACGAGCCTAAATATTGTACTGTACTCTCAGTACGGAGGGGATCCCCATCGACCCTGAGTGTATCGTCGCCGTCATCATCTCCATCATCAGCATCATCGCCCAAAACAACTCGTCAGATTTAGCATCAGCTGCATTGTCATTCAGAACCCGATGTTTCATATCATATCATCATCTTATTTCATTGCGAGTTCGAAGACTCGGCACTGTCGCCTGCATCACCAACGCACGAACTGACTGGTTCCTGGACGGAGTGAGTGTTTAGTATCCATAGTAAGTATTGTACAGTATTGTACTCGGTAACTCGTACAAACCATCCGTGCCTCTGCCGCGACACCCGCGCGCACAAATCCCCTTGACCTGGTCAGCGATCGGGGCTGCCCATCAGCCGCTAATGGCCGTCGGCAAAACTGGAAAGCAAAGGCCCTTGCAACCCTCGTCATTCTGCAGCTAGCACGGACCCATGACTGACTGACAGTGTCAAACGGGCCCCAGCAAGAGAGAGAGAAGACCGAGAGAGGGAGAGGAGAGACGAGTCGCCATCTGCAAGCTCCAAAGGCGCCAATTCCCGCACCTGTGCTCGCTTTTCACACAACTAAAACCCTCTGCACCTCTTAAGAACCACACACCAGAACCGGCCATATCCAGCCCACACACCGGCCGATCCAACAAGCGTCTTTTCTGCCTTGAACACCCCCCTCCAAGAGCTGCCATCTGCACCTCTCAGCCCGTCTACCTCCACCATCTTACTTCCTCCCGCCGCCCGCGACTGGTCCAGCATCACCCTCGTCAATTTTCGCCGTCACTGCACGCCGACACGCTTTCGCGATTGCTGCTGTCGCACCCTAATATTCCTCTCGTCGCACACTGTTCACACCGACGAGGGAACGCATCAGACGCAGGCACCCTCCCCAGGATCTTTGGGTCACCCAGCTCGCTCTGTGCTGCCTGGCAGCTCCTGGGTGTGCTGATGCGAAGCCTGCGCATCGCAACCACAACCAACACCACCACCTCGACCTACCTTTGGACGTGAAATGTCCATCTATCCACCTTCTCACCAGCCGACAAATGCTTTGAACGGTATCGGCGCCATGAGCGATGGTTCGGGCACCATTAATCCTGCAGCTCTGAACTCCAGTGGTACGTATATCTCGCATCTATTGGTCATGGCACCTTGACCTCTTGACCGGCCTTGGTGGTCGTTTTTCTTGTCGCCGCCCGTCGTCTGGGCCCTCAGACCAAGCTCATCATTTTTCATCAGTTCCATCGCTATCAAGTTTGTGACTGACTGAATTCGTGTATTGTAATAGGTGTGTTGCAGCCATCCACAGATTCCGGACCCCGGGGTCTCAAGAGAAGTCGATCTCCCGAACAGTATGGCGACTATCCACAGGCTGATGATGATGGTAAGTCTGCGGAATTTGTCTTCGGGCGCGAGCTCGGTGAATCTTATTAACACACGTACAGCGCCGCGCAAGCGTGGGCGACCTTCAAAGACGCCTAGATCGTCTGGAGACTTCACTTCACACGTCGACGCACCGCCCCTTCCCTCCGACCAGACATCACCAGAGCTCACGCAAACACCGCGGGGCCAAGGTATCTCGCAGCATGCAGGTTCTACTCCTCTCCAAGCCTCGCCGCCGCGCTCACTCCCCAAATCTACCATCAAAGCATTGCCCACGGTTAGAGACCACACAAGTGATGTATTGCAGCCCGAAGGAGATGAATATATGCCACGGGAAATCGACGAACAAGGCGAGAAAAAGGTGGACCATCTAGGTTATCTCCAGGGTGGACGCGAATACAAAATCAGGACATTCACTCTGCCAGGCCGAGGTCAGAAGCTCTTCATGCTAGCGACAGAATGCGCGCGACAGCTACAGTACAGGGATTCTTACCTCTTGTTCAACAAGAATCGTTCACTGTTCAAGATCATTGCCAGCGCAAAGGAAAAGGAAGAGCTTGTTAACCACGAGATCTTGCCCTACTCGTACCGGTCTCGACAGATAGCGGTGGTCACTGCAAGGTCAATGTTCAGGCAGTTCGGCAGTCGCGTCATTAAAGATGGACGTCGGGTTCGAGACGACTACTGGGAGGCCAAAGCTATCAAACAGGGCTTCACTGAGCAGGATGCGGCTGGTGAAAAGCGACCGGGAGCCGCCAGAGCCAGGGAAGCTGCTGCTCAGGATCAGTTGAACGCCAGAACCACCCACGCGGCCAGCTACGGTGATATTGTCTACAGTAATGGTCCCGGCTATGGAGCGCTTCAACCACCTCCTCTGCACTCCGGAATCGCGGCGACCATGCCCCCATTAGCAAACTTTGATCCTGCATATGAGCGATTCAAGGACATCCCCAGACCACGCTTTGATGTCAATGGTCCCCCGTACCAGGATTTGACTCGCTCAAGTACCGATGCAGAGTTGTCGAGTCAGGCGGCGCACGCAGCGGATTTCAGCAAGACCCTCAACCAACAAAGTCGCTATCGCCGTCACCTGGTGGATGACTATTGGCGCAGACCCCATGAGCCACCTGTGTCTACTCCTCCACCTCCAGAAGCCGAAGTACCAACAACAAGTCATCCTTTCACCTCACCAAGATTCCCGACAACCGACATACCTCCTCCAGGAAGTGCTCTGCCAAATCAAGCGCAGACGTCCCAGTCCTCAATGAATCCGCCATCGTACCCTCACCAACCTCCACCGATTCAATCTCCAGTGCGTACACCAAGTTTACAACAGCAATTCCCCCGAGACCCGACGCAATACACTCCCCAGCATCAACAATTCCAGCGATCCTCGTCCAATCTCTCCATCTCACAGTCAGCCGCCCAACAGCAGCAGATGCCTTTTGCCGGTGGTAACTTCTCTCCCCATGGTATGACGCCGCAACAGCAACAGCAGCAACAGCAAGGTTGGGGTGCTCCGCCTCCTCAACCTCACCAGTCTCCAGCCTTACATAGGATGCCTACGCCCCATTTTTCACCGAACCTTCCACAAGGCCAGATCCCTTCGCCGATGCCGGGTGGGCATCCGAATGCCTCCCCTCATCCACAGCAGATGCAACCGCCTCAAATGCCGATGCTCCATCATCAGGGTAGTTCTGGTAATCTCGGTGGACAGCAGCAACTTTACGGACCTGGAGCAGCGCTTCAAGCCATGAATGCTGCTGGCTATGGTGGAATGGGTATGGGCCAGAGGCCGATGTATGGTATGGGTGGGCAGAATCAGTACATGCCACCAAATCCTCAACATGGACAAGGTTGGGTCGGTCCGACGCAGAATCCCGGCCCAGGAAACCAATGGAATAATCAATACTAGCGGTGTATTGCTAAAATGAATCGCACGGTTCGTTCGAGTCAAAGTCTTGCAGTCACCATGGCTTAGAACATGTTCGAAAAGGACGTCGACTGTACTCGAGTGGTCTCGCCAGGTCTTCTACAGACTAACTTGTTTCGTGATGGGTACTTGCCGAGGACATATACTGCCTACGTCATGCATTTACCTCTGGACTTCAAGCTCGGCTTGAGCTCTGAGATTGCATGAGAGTTCTCTATCGAACCATGTCGGTTGCAGTGCGCCCAAGGTATGATTTGAATACTGTTCGTTCAGATCTTGGGATTGGAGATTCAATAAGCTGGCTCCTGCATGACAAGGATCATTTATTGTCTGACCTAAAGCTGCGTCCTACAGCATTTCTCGCCTTCGCCAGAACGGAAGCTAGGCACGATGGCCACAGTGGACAAAAGATGGAAGCAAGGGGAACTCTTTTCAAGAGGCGTACCTCTGGAAGAAGCCATTCGAGACACAAGCACCTTCAAACATCCGACCAAGCATTCTACAAACATTTTCAAGAAACACCATGCGCGGGCCCCCAGTTTGACAAGGTTAGCCCAAAGTGCAAACATTCCTTGCGAGTGCTACAAATGTTCTACCTGCGGTCGGGCCTTTCGAGAAGCTTAAGCTTTGCATGAACATGTGAGAACACATACCGGAGAGAAACCCCCTGTCGGGATTGTGGACGCAACACTATACAAACCTCGCACCTAAGAGGACACAACAAAATACGTACGGGATTGAGGCCGTACAAATGTCCTGTCTGTGGTCGTGGATTGATTCAAATGCATCATTGACAGGACGATTGAAGGCGGAAAAGAGATGCGGCTTCCTTGCTTCATAAAGCGGAAGGGTGGATTGCATTCTCATGAAAGGTTTTAATTGTGCCTATTTGACTTTCGTTTGGGTTGTTTTTATATGCACACCACTGCTTGGACCACAGAACAGTGCAACAGAAAGCACAGGCATATATGCAGTGATTGTTGTTGAGTTTTCTATTCCATTGCATCATAGGAAGGTCGTTGTCGGGGGGCTGAGAGGATTTTGTTGCGCACACTGGAGCGAATACAACGATATGCATTGGGTTCAAGCTGGAGGGATGCATAGTGAGAATGCGTGCAGCGTTGAAATGGGTGTCTGGAGAAAACTAGGTTGTTTCTATCTGTTTTGTCTTGTTTTTGTTTTGTTTTTGTTTTTGCTTGGATGACAGTGTTTCCAAAGGGTCGCGATGGTTGTTGAATACTCTCCATATGGAGAGAGCTTGTTCGTTCAATAATCAGTCGGCTCTTCCCAGAGGTGTTGATTTTGTTTTACCAAGTTGTTCTCTTCGAGTGTATGATAATTTCTTTTGACTGGCCTTTGTTTTTGACTTTTTGTTTTTGATACTCTTCTCTTGTTTTTGGTTGTGTTTTGCCTCCCCCTTTTTTTGATGGTTTGCATCGTTGTTTGGTTGGATGAAGCATATGATGGGAAGTATGGGTATGGATATGAATATGGGACTTTGGAAACTTGGGATTTGAATATTTCATTGGAAATTCAGGATTTGGGACTGCTTCTTTTTTCCCATCCTTTTAGTAGCATTGTTCGGAATAGGGAATTAGGGATGGAAACGGCACAGTCCAACCTCACCAGATCGGTTGTAACCACACACAAACACACAGAGCGGTAATAATACTTTTGATACTCCTATTCTATTTATTTATCTGTTCATCACACATTCACACATTTCAAATTGTACAAAATAATGTGTAGTGTGCAGCGTGCAGTGTACAGTATGAGGTAGTCAATCAGGGTCCATACTTTGAACGTGTCAAACAAAAATGTACATACGTGGTACATACAGAGTATTCTGTACATAATCAAGATCCAGTGCCAGGACCCTCATTCATTCAGTACCTTGTCAAGTACTATGGAGTATACACGGGACACGAATAAACAAGGAGAGTTTTCGTGGGGTCAGTAGGTGTGGAATATGGAGTACGGGAGGCATTCTATGTAGGGGATGTACAGTAGGTAGTGTATGTACGCTGTAATATACTCTTGTATCATCTGCCGTAAAAGCCTAAAAAGGCTCAAAGGGTTTATTCGTGGTCCAGACAGCCCCACGATCTCGGGGCGGGTGATGGTGGTGGTGGTGGTGGTGGTGTGTGTGGTGTTGTGGTTTCCAAAGGGTTAACGACTTTTATCGGCTGTTGTTGACGGACCGTTGCACAATGTGGACCTGACCTCGACCCAGCAGCCTCGTCATTCTTTGTATATCTTCCTTTTTTATGGAGTAGATTTCTTACAATTAGAACATTCACTTGAGCGCATGCAATAGAATAAAAAATCTTCCACAAAGAGTCAGGTACCTACCTGGATCTGGGAGGGAGCCTACGTGGAAGAAAAAATATTACCAACGGGTACAGAGTACAAAACCAGGATCACAAAATCGTTGGCGAGGGATTTTCTTGTGTGTTGAACTTGAACCTGTTCTGTTATCCAAAGGTCTAGTAGGTGGAGGAACGACGAGGTCATCTCAACAGTCACATCAATCATCATGGGTGAAATCAATAGGGAGAAACAATATCCTAGGGCAAAGGTCCCTTTGAAAGTCATCATCATTGGGTGAGTTCACCGACCTACAGGAGTACCTTGTTACACTCAGTAACAGCACCACTTTATTCCTTTTCCGGGTTCAACACCGAAAGAAGCTTTTTTCAGGTTCAAAAGGCTGACGAGAAGTGCAAAATTCCAGTGCAGGTATAGGTGGTTTGGCAGCGGCGGTGTCCCTGGGTAAACGTGGGCACGACGTACGGATCATCGAGTTCGCACCCGAGATTCAAGAAGTCGGAGCGGGCATCCAATGCGCACCGAACATGTTGCGCATGCTCGACCGGTGGGGTGCGGGCACGGCGGTGCGCAAGACGGGGGTGATGTTGGGTTCCATCCACATCTTGAGGTGGGAAGGCGGGAGGATGTTGGGCAGCGTGCCCATCAAGCAGACTCACGGCGAGCAGTTTGTGGTTCACCGGGCCGACCTACAGATGGCGTTGTTGAACAAGGCTTTGGAGTTGCCCAACGTGAGGATCCAGACCAACACGTTGGTGAAGGGTGTGCAGTTCACGCCCGCGGCCGTGGAACTGGGTGACGGGTCTCGGATCCGGGGCGACGTCGTCATCGCCGCCGACGGGATCAAGTCGACGGTGCGAGGGAGGATTCTGGGGGACGACAAGGACGTGGCCATCCCGACGGGGGACGCGGTGTTTCGGGTCGTCCTGACCAGGGACATGTTGAGGGAGCACAATCCGGACCTGATGCCGTTTGTGGAGGAGAAAAAGGCCATCCGCTGGATCGGACCCGACAGGCACATCATCGCCTACCCGGTGAGGAACCACGAGATTTACAACATGGCCCTGGCCCACCCGGACCGGGGGAGGGTGGACGAGAGTTGGACCACGGTGTCTTCCAAGAAGAACCTGTTATCGGAATATCAAGGGTGGGACGAGAACTTGATCCGTCTGCTCGAGATGGTGCCCGAGGGGGATGTCCTGGAGTGGAAGCTGTGCATGCACATGCCCTTGATACGGTGGGTCCAGGGCAGTTGCGCGCTCATGGGTGATGCGTGTCATCCGATGCTGTGAGTTCATGACACTTTTTTTCCTTATGCTGGAGAATCTCGCGCGCCTCTTGGGAGAAAAGAACGAAAGAAAGCTAACGGGGGAAATATCCTGGCCTAGTCCGTATGTTGCTCAGGGTGCCGCTCAGGCCGTCGAAGATGCCGCGTCTCTGGGCGTGACACTATCGTCTATCACGTCGAAAGATCAAGTCCCTCTGGCTTTGAAAGCGTACGAAAAGGCACAAAAAGCCCGAGCCGAGCATATCCAACAGTCGTGTTTACAGACGAGAGCGGCGTTACATTTGCCCGACGGTCCGGAACAAGAGGCTCGGGATCAAAAGTTTCGAGCTCTGTCGCAAGGAGGCGAGAGTGACGACAAGTGGAATGATCCTCAGATGCAGCAGTTCCTTTGGGGATGGGATGCTGAGACCAAAGCTGAAGAGGCGTGGAGAGGTGAGTTTCCCTCTCAGTAGCTATTGATTTCATACCTTTGGCACAACTAACAAAAAAACACAGAGATGAGCCAACAACCTACCAAACAGAGCCGATTGTAAAGGAGAGGGACGTGAGAGATGACAGATGACTGAAGAATTGCTACCTACCTAGACTGTGTACTGGTACTCGTACTTCGTATATCATGATCCGGCACTGGAGTGATGTTTGTACCTCTGTATATAGCCCCGCAAAACTCGACTCCAGTATCTCATATCTACCAATTACATAACCAAACTACCACCATTTACCTCATACAATCTTCATGTGTCACAAGAGTCTTCGACTTCTCGTTATTGTGGCTGGAAGATGTTAAATTCCTTTATTGTGATTCTGTTGATCGTATATCCTCATTAAGTTCAACAGATATCACAGCTGGTCGGTCCACTTCGATTTCAACCACTTAAATAAAAAGCACATGTCATGCCTAATGCCATGGCTGTGGCGGGCGGGCTTACAGGTTAGTTCCCCCCTACCAAGGCACTCAAGCGATAATAGTGCAGACCTTAACGAGAGATAGAGACCGTGCATCATGAGTCGTCCGCCCATTCCAGCAGTCCATCAGACTGGACTTTCTATTGAGAGGATCATTTTGGCCACGAGATCATGCGCCTGGAGTAGCTTAACACCACCATTTTTAAGCGACAACAGTGACAATTTCACTTTTAAGTGCGCTGTGAGGGCTAATTACCTATTCGCACTTGGGGCGTTCAACTTGGCAATACCCAGAAGACTGGCGGCGCCTTCGTGCGGCTCCTTTTAGAGTTGACAGGCGATACGATTTGAGACGGGCCGTGCAATACGAATGCTTGTCCCTGGGTTGAAAACTGTCTGATGTCCTACTTGAAGATTCTTTTGACGATGAAGGTATCGTGTTACAATTCAGAGACGGGTTCAAGCGATCCAAATCCAGAAGACAATCATCATTAGCCGATCTTCGACGCCGAAGCACAACCACCACAACCAAGCTTTTGGGTTGCATGATGTCTTCTCCGGAAAGTCAGGGACCCTGGATGGTATGAACGGCAATAATGACCAACGCCTCGATCATTACGGAGTACAACCCGGGCATTTTCATACTGCCGAGAACCCAATATCGAGCCCGCAAGCACGAGAAAATGCAATGCCGACGTGTCGATGTCTGGACAAGGGGGGGCTCTTCCTCGCTAGATCCGGCCACCTTCCTGAAGCAATGGTCTTCTTCCTCGTGGCCCCATGCCCACAACAAAGCAAGGCCCATGCATACGGAGTCGATAGGGATGGAGACCCCGCTGCCCTCCTTCGACGCCCCACCGATCCAGAAGGCGAATCGTGTGCGCTCCCCCGGGAGAAGGAAGCCAGATGCCACCCACACTATTATTTCAGGGCTCAAAGGGTCGCTAGCAAGGTTTCGCCCGGGGCTTGGACTAATGGAAGATCCTCTCGTACTGTACAAGTACAAATAATATTAACCTTTGGGCCTGTCGAAGTTTTCTAAACCACAAGCTTCCAGATCTTTTCTTGGTCGACCACGTTTTTTGAATACTTTTCGACGACATCGATCGTGGTCAGATCTCAACTGATTGTCATCAGCTCTTTTTTTTTCTTTTTCTGATTTGCCATCATGACCGGGCACGACGACCATGAACACGGTGCCCATCCTCCCCACTTGAAGCACAGGTATGTTGTATACGCAGTAAATCTTCTCTCCGGAAAATTTTTGAGTCACAATCCCCGGATAGATAAGTCACTGACTTTTTTGTTGTTCAGTCATGCACATGAAGAGGATATTCCGGGAACCGTCAATCTGCAAGCGCAAGGTACGAACAGACACTTCTTTTTGAAGCCTAAAAGAACCCTTTTGCGCGAGCGCCAATTACTGACTCATTTTTCCAGAGGGCGATGATACTGGATATGGACAGGCTTTGTTTCCCGTACCGGCCGACGACCCAAACGACCCTCTGCAATGGCCAAACTGGAAGAAGACGATGATCCTGTGCATTTGCGCCGCGTATTCGTTCCTGGGCAATTCCTCGCTACTAGGACCTTCGGTCTACATTGGCATCTATGCGGAAAGCTTTGGAATCTCGCCCACGACGGCCTCGGGGCTGATCTCTTATCCTAACTTGGCTTACGGGTTCGGTACGTTTTCTTGTCTTTGTTGCTTCTTTTCTCTTTTCTAAAAAAAAGGTCGTCTCGCTGACGATCCCAAAAGGCTCGCTCGTCCTCGTACCTGCATATTTGAAATTCGGCCGGAGACCAGTGATGCTCTCTTCGATCGTTGCATTCGCCGTCGGCCTCATCGGCGCTTCTCAGTGTAACTCGTACGCCACACTCATGGTGTGCCGTGTCATCCACGCCTTTGGATCAGGGGTCTGCGAAGCCCTGCCTGTCCAACTTGTCAACGACATCTTCTTCCTGCACGAACGCGGCCAACGACTCGGGTACTACACCGTCTGCCTGTGCCTGGGAGCCACCGGACCCTTGTACGCCGGGTACATGCTCGCGGGCGGCAACTCGTGGCGACTTTTCTTCTACGTCGAATTCGCGTTCGCGTGCGCCTTGTTCATCCTGGCCTTCATCTTCGTCGAGGAGACGTGGTACAAGCGCGAAGAAATGAAGGCGAGGCTGGGCGCCGCCACCATCGACCCCTCCTCCACCGAGCCCGAGGAGAAGATGACAGCCGACCCCGATCTCCGCGAAGTCGGGCCCGGGGTCCCCGGCCGCAAGAGCTTCGTCCGGACTCTGAAACCGTGGGGCGTGTACGACCGGGAGGCGCCCTTCTTCATGACCATGCTCAGGTCCTTCACCTACTTCGCGGTGCCGTCGGTGTTCTGGGTCGTCGCCACCTACGGCATCTACATCGGCCTCGGCGCCCTGGCGTTCAACTACACTTTTCCCCTCAAGATCACGGCGCCCCCCTACAACTGGTCCGAGACCAATTCCGGCCTGATCGCCGTGGGGAACGCGGTCGGTTACATCCTCGCCGTCCCCTTCACCACCTCGTCCGACCGCCTCGCCGCCTACCTGACCAAGAAGAACGGCGGGATCCGCGAGGCCGAGATGCGCCTCGGCGTCCTCCTGCCCGCCATGTTGATTGGCCCCGCGGGCCTCATCGTGTACGGGTACACGGCGCAGCAGAACCTGCATTGGTTTGGCTACTTTGCCGGGGTGGCCATGGTCAACTGGTCCGCCTACTTCTACTTCACCTTCTCCCTCGCCTACGCTGTCGACAGCTACACGGTCAACCTGTCCGAGATGCTGATCGCCATGAACCTGGGCAAGCAGGCCATCTCGTTCGCCATGGGCTTCAAGCTGTTGACCTGGATCTTGGACAATGGCTACGTCACCGTCATCGCCGGCATCTTCTGCGGTGTCCTTGCCGCCAACGACCTGGCGCTGTTGATCTTCATGATCTTTGGCAAGAAGATCCGAATCGCGACGAGCAGGACGTGGCTGGCGAGAATGCACAGGAAGACGCACGTCGTTGGGGAGTCTCACTAAAAACACTATGCAATACTTTTTTTTGAAAGAAAGCGGGAAAAAAAGAGGAAGGAAATCAACACCTACTAGTGAAGAACCCAAGTCCCTGTACTTGTCAGGTTTCCCAGAGCCTTTTGTATTTTTTTTGGGCAACTAGGGCTCTGTTGGTCATCCATGGCCATAATGGATATGCAAGGTTTTTTCAATGATATGGGATTTATCTGCCTGCATTTAACTGTCAGGAGTAAGTAAGTAGCATAATGAGAAATAAGAAACATGACTGCACTTTAACAGGCGGTCAAGTGAGGGAACAATAAAGTGAGAGAGCATGCTTGAGTCTCTTGCCACGTAACTGCCAGTGACCTTTTTTTCAGAGACACATCTATTGATATATCTTGTCTTTTTCAACAAAGCTTCCTACACCAAATCAAGCAACATAACATCATCATTTGCCTCGTCTCTCTCTTTATCGCGCTGTGCATGTACAATCTCCTTCAAAGACAGTGGCTCTTGAACACCACAGGTCGACACACAAGGTCTTGAAATGGGACGACAAAGATTGAGCTTGACGACTTGCTTTCACTGCGTTGATTTGGCTTTACGGTGGTGGCCGTAAGAAAGACAGACAACGGTTCATGTTACCCCTTGCGTACTGTATGATTTCAATTAAAAAAAAAGGGATCCTCCGCAAGAGCGAAGATCCTAGGGATTCAGGTAAAGAACACGTCGAGTTCAACGCTTACTACTTGTTGGTGTAGTGGCATTTCTCCGTATGTGACAGTAGTCCATATCTCGTTGCCAATCCCCAGGTGAACCGGAGAATCCCCAGATATTCCATAGCTCGTGGCGGTCGACGGATCAATCTGCATAATACACGTGGTCAATGAATCGTATACTTTGTCCTCGTACAGTAAACATAGTTGTTCGGCTAGTCAGGAGGGTTGAATCCGGAATACTGGAGACGAGTAAGAAAAACACTTCTCCCAGGTAATACTTACCGTACAGTGGACATTCTCGGAGGTTCTTCTTTACCCGAGATCCACCGGTTCATGTACAAGGCTCCTCCGGGGAAGTTCTACCGCAGACTTATGACCTGGGGTTGGCGCACAATGGCGTCTGCATGTACGAGTCATGGAGTAAATAGCTAATGAAAAGCTGTCTAGTGACCAAACGAGCACGGGTTTTGGATCATGATACCTATCAAGGAGTCTGTCTTTCGAAATTGCCACATCGGATTCGGAGGCAGATTTTGTTAATCGGCTCTGTCGACAGCCCCCGTACCCCAGAGAAGTTAGATGTGTGTTCTCGACAAAGGTGCCAGGAAGAGATTGCTGTACTCGTACTCATTATTGAACAGGAGAGATACATACACATACCCGTAACGTAGTCGGCGCCTCGTAGTTAGTAATACTGAATCTCTCATTCTCCTCGTCCCCTCTTGGATCCCCCCGGCCCCTCCAGTTTCTCCGGATCCCGAACCAATGAAATCGCGGGTTGCCTCTCCACCATTTGGATCCCCAGAAGTTGGTCGATTGGCAATTTTCTCATTCGTCCATCGTCTTCTTCTTCCTCCTCGTCCTCCTCCTCCTCTTCCCTCCATCACCCTGGATCCTCGTCCTCCACACAATCTCATCTCTCCCCCCAGTCCCTCTTCCAACCCGCATCCGACTTTTTCTCAATCCGTCCATGACTCTTCCCCCTCCTACACCATTCCTCATACTGTTCATGCAGTGGGAAGCACCTCACTGTCGTCTATCTGCATTCATTCTTCCCCGCTGATTCGACAGCATCAGCCCAGACCACGTGCTTAGAACCCTGAACCCTGAATACAGAGATCGTTCAGAACCTCGGACCCTGGACCTTCTGCACTGCCGACGCCGCTCTACTTGGACGTTCACCCTTCGTCCTCAATCTTTCCCGCCGCAAAAGAACATCACCCAGATTCCTCTCTCCTCCACCTCTCCCACATTCCCTTTTCCCTTGACGTCTTTGCGGGACGCTTGACTTCAACCACCACTTACCGTAATTGCAAGCATGGTCTTACGACAGTGCACCGTATGCGGTCGCCGCTTCACCAAAACAGAGCACTTCAAACGCCATGAACGCTCGCGTAAGTGCAACGACCCCCGCGCTAAATTGATGTCACTGTACTCTATACTCATTCGTCGTGCTCAGATACTCGAGAACGTCCTTATCCATGCACCATCTGTGACAAAGCTTTCTCTCGAAGGCAAGTACTTCTGTTTTCGATACTGTTTCCCCCCTACAGTATAGCCATTCTAACCGATACTGCAGCGATGTCCTGTTTCGGCATATGAAATGTCATGCTCAAAAGAACGACAAAACAGCCACCAACAAAGCGACGGCCAGCCGTAGGAACACTATTTCCGAGGGCGTCGCTCCTCAGACTGCCCAAAATGAATTCGACGTCAATTCACCTGCCGCCCTGGCAAGTAGTACTCAAACTGGCATTCCCTTGATGCAAATACTATCGCCGCCCAACTATCATCCACCTCAAGGGAATGAAACTACCCAACAACCCCCTAGGCATTCCCTGGACCTTTCCACTCCGTTCTTGGATTCGACTACCACACCCTCCAATCCTCTCCACATGGGCATGTCCAGCACCTCTTGGACCATTCCTTCTCCAATCAACACCATGAACAAGATGCCTCAGCCACCACAGCCGCAAAAGCAGTCTCCGTCCCAAAATAGTGGTGGCAACGCGTCGACATTTGAGACCTCTGTCACGACCCCTGGTGGAAATCCCGCACAAACCCCCAGGTCGGAGATGGCACCCAACCATTTCGCAGACAGTCACATGGAATGGCTACCTCCATCAGACCCGAACCAAAACAACTTCCATGACCCCTTTCAAATGTGGTTGTTCCCGTCGCTGGGCGATCTCGATCAATCACCGGACTTTCTTCAAACGTACGGCCTGACGGACCCTACACAGCAATTTGCCGACCCCAAAGACCTGACAAATGGCAGAGCGTACGAGAATGCCGATCGACTCAAGACCATCGACAAAGTGCCCCGAGAACGGTTCTCGAGGGTGCAGCGGTGTTGGGGTCCCCGCCCCGGCCGGGTACATCGCATAATGCCCATCCTTTGGAAAGAGGTGGCGGCGTTACGTCTAGACAATCTCTTTTCCGAATCACCCACGACGGCCGAAGACTTTCGCACAACCTCGAACTGGGGCCTCGACATCGACTGCAGGGTACGGTTGCGAGACGCGTTCCGGACCCCGGCACCTTCGGTCTACCACTCGCCGAAACTACAACCGGTCGTCGACCCGTCTCTTCAGCTACAGCAAGGCAACGAGGAATTCCCTCCCGCCGAGATTCTCGACATCGCACTCGGTCTCTTCTTCAGACGGTTCCACCCCACGGTACCCTTTATCCACATGGCCACGTTCTCCGTCCGCACCACACCTTCACCCATGCTCTTCGCCATGTGCCTGATCGGTCTGAGTATACTGGGCACCACGGGGGCGACCAAATTCGTGGCCAAGATGTTCCCCAGCTTTCTCCAACGCGTGTGCAACGATCTGTCGGCGTGCGCGGCCACGTCCGCCTCGCCGACCCAACAACTCGTCGTCTTTGCCACGGCGCTGCTCACGCTCAACCTGTCCGTGGTGACCGGTGACCGGGACTCGTTCAACCAGAGCCAGATGCTCTACGTCAGTTTGATCTCCATGGTCCAACAGAACGGCCTGTTCGCCGCCGGGGACGGACAATCCCTGGACGCGTTGCTGTCCGAAATGTCCGAATCCGACGACCGGTGGAAGGTGTGGAGCCGGATCGAATCGGCCAAACGGCTGATTCTGGGACTCTTGCTCGTGGACTCGTGGTATTCTAATCTATTGTCGAGGGCGCCCATCATCCGGTCCGAGTCAGTGTGCGTGGTGGCCCCGTGCGACGAGGCACTCTTCCAGGCCAAATCGGCCACGCAGTGGCAGTCTTTGTTGAGGAGCGGCAAGAGCCAGAGCGCACCTCGGTTCCGCATCGAGGACCTCCACCAGCACCACGACATGCAACCCGTGGGTGGTGGCGGTCAACAGCTGGGTTACCTGGGTCGTTCGAGCCTGCTGGCCCTGCTCCAGATCCAGATGCTAGAGGCCTACCAGAGGTTGATGCCACCGGACCAGCTGACCATCGGGTCCTTTGTACCCTGGCACGTCTACTCGGGCGACGTGCGGGCCGGGACTCTCATCCCCGCCGTGCTCGCCGCCACCCACACGGCCGGCCCACTTTCGTCCTCCAGCAGCGACGACACCAACTGTACGGTATTGTGGCACAGTTTGTGCATCATGTTGCTGTCCGATTTCCGCATGTTCGAGCTGGCGGCCGGCCGTCACGGCGCCGCGCCCGCCACGGGGGCACTGGAAAGTATCGGTCAGTGGTCCCAAACTCAGTCGGCCCGCCGGGCTTGCGTCCACGCCGCCCAAAACTTCCGCCTCATGTCGGAGAGGCGGGTCTCGGACAATGTCACCATCCATTCCGTGACGGCGCTTTTCGCCTCGGCCCTCGTGCTGGGCCTGTATCTGTTCATGGTCCAACCGGGTTCGTCTTCCCGTCAAGGTACCGCCCCCGTCGAACTCATCGAGGCCGACCCGGATTGGACGGAGCTTCACGATTTGGGTTTCAAGGACGAATCCCTCGACCAACACCCCGCCGACCGGAGCCTGACGGCCAACCGCGAGGACGAATCCTGCCGGTCCCTCGTCTACCAGTTCGTCAAGCACGGCGGCACCGTGAGTCTCAACGGCGTCGTCCACCAGGGGGGCTACGAGAGTGCCCGGAGGGTCCTGTTGGACTTTGCCAACCTGATGGACGGCATCTCCGGACGGAGACTCAGGACCTTCACCCAGGTCCTGCACATCATGAGTGACGATTTGATGAATGTGGATCCGGGATTGTAATCAGCTAGCTTCTTTACATGTCCAAATCTACGAAATGACAGCATGTATATGCACAAATTTACAATGACAGTGTCAAGGGACAATCACGCTCACACTTACACTTAAGATCACCATTCTCGAAAAGTGTGGCATTAATCCAACGCTATCACCTCTGCATATAGGGTAATGCACGAGGAAGAAGAAAGCCGGCTACCTATTAGGTATGCATCATAGATGCGTTTACATGTATAATGTCTTTGCATGTGTAATCTTCGAACCTCAATCCGCACCGATACTACCATCATTGAGACTTCCAAAAGTGTGATTCATTCCGTCGTATTCACCTTCAAAGACTCGGAGCTAGATGTTTCATTCCATCTTGTACAAAACACAGATCGTTCGATCAAACGCAAGTCTTCAGATCAAGTCATGTCAGAACTCATTCTTCTTAAATATGGGTCCGAAACTGGCACCCCATCCCGGTATCATATAATCATCATCGTCTTCTTTTCTGATCAGCTCAGCTCGCCTCTTGACCTCTTCCTGCACCGTCTTATCTTCTTCCAGGTCGGCCTCTCTCCTCTCATGTTCAATCATCCATTGCCTTTCCCGTTCTTCTGTGGTGAAAGTTAGATACAAAAGTATTAGTAGAGCCGAGCGACAACGTTCTCTTACCTCTGATTTCAGCAGTGCGTTTGGATAATCTGGTTATCTCCGCCTGTCGAACTACTCGATGAACAATAACATAGTCGTCTCCTGCTTCGAAACTCTCGCCTGCTTCTTCCAAGGCTTCCGGGTTCACCAGGGCACGACTGATCTTGGTCCACGCTGCATCGCGTAGAATCTCCTCATCGTGGTTTGAGTCTTCTGATAACTTGAATTGTTCACGACCAGAGTCGGAATTCTCAACGTACATTCCTTGAGAATCTGTAAAGCTACCTTTGGGTGTTTGTACATCCCGTTCGGACGCCTTCGTCGCAGTGCCCTCGTCTTGTTCTGTCGATTGCATCTCGTCATTTTCTTCATGTTGCAGAAGTTTACTCTGTTCAGCTTCTTCTGTTCTGAAGTCGAGCAAATTTGGACTTTGAACAAAGTCCCAATTACCGATAGAGTCACCTCTTGAAGTAGACACATCAAAAGACCTTCGATAGTGTTCAACTTCGGGTTCGGGGTCGCCTTCGAGGAGATTGGGATCCAAGGGTGCGTCCGCAGACACAGGCAGTCTCATGTCTTTTGGATGATGATATACTTCGTTCGAGGCATTCACCAGCCTCAATATTTCATAGGTCCTTCCTTCCGTTTCATCGGGCGGCAGAACCGCCAAAGAGGGCTCTTCTAATTGTTGGACATCTCTGGTTTCCTTCACCCTTCGCGGGAGCATTTCAACAATCACGGGTTTCTCATTCGGGTCCACAATGGTTGGTTTCTTACGCCTGCTCAAGCCCATACCATGTTCTAGAGCCCTGAAGAGTCCATGAATAACTTCACATTCAGCTGGGATGCGGACTTCGATAGGGTTGCCATAAGCTCTATCGATCCTAGAGAAAGCTTTTCCGCCCCTATAGGAAAGATGGGAGAAAACATATCTAGCATAGCTCCGGCCGCGGTCACACAGGCCATGTCCTTGTTGATAGGAGTCGTATGGGTCGGCACAGAGTGTGCATTTACTTGCATGCTTTGCAAACCTGTACATGACAAAATACTCATCATCGCGTGATGGGCGAAGCATAAGTAATCCGCCGCGTTTCAACGCGCGATGAGTAGAGATACCCTCTTCATCTGCTTCAGAAGCCTGGGAATCTGTCTCGTTGCCGGTGCTTTGAGACTGAAGTAGGATGCTGTAAAGAGTCTCCTGGAGAAAGTTTAGCGGCGCAGGGAAGAGTGTAATGTTATCATGGACTCACATGGGATAAATCCGCAAAGACGTAGTAGAATATCTCATCCTCTTCAAAATCGAGTCCACGCGACCGGAGGACTTGGACGTCCACCAAACCTTTAGGGATTTGTGTCCACGGGCTCTTTGAAGGCACCGCCCCTCCGTTTGGGGTCGCCGTAGGGCGCTCAACATCGGTCTTGGTTTCACTGTTTCGAGGCACAGGGTCGTATCTTAGCCTGAATGCCTGTTCATTATCGCTGTCGCTATCAGTATTAGCCGGAGGTATAGGGTTGGCTGTGGGCTGATGACCAATGGTAGAAGGATCGGATGCGTCAGCAACAAGCGCACGCTCATCATCATAGACATTGCCTTCGCTGACTGATCCCCCATCATCGTCTACATCCCTTTCCCAGTCTTCCTCTTCCCAGGAGCTGGTGCTTTGGCGGTTTTCGGGATCGCCCTCATCATCGGGAATAGCTCGTGGCATAGCAAATAAGGCCAACTCTTCCAGGTGTCGTCCAATATGGCTTTCCAAGTGCATAGCAGAGATGGATGCAGTGCTGCATTGCAAAGGACATTGAGACTGTGAGTCCAATTCAGACGTATGAGCACTCCTCATGTGGTGGAACCATTCTCGACGGCTGTTGTATAGCTGATTCGGGGCAGAGCAATCGGGAAAGACACATGTGTACGGCATGAGATCTCGAAAGACGTGGCGCACCCATGAAGTCTTGTCCCTAATTGTGACGATGTAGAAGCAATATGGGCATTCGAAGGGCTGTTCATTCGCTGATTCTTTGGGTGGCGGAGGGACAGTGAGTCGGTCGCTGCCTTCCCATAAGCTCGGTGCATAGGAAGTCTGTGATACGCCGGAAGTGGACGCAGTGTCGTCGAAAGTTATATTGGTCTGTTCGACGAAGCCAGTCGCAATGGTCTCAGAGAGTTGAGTAGACGTTGCATCCTTCGTCTCATCCACGACGTGGTCGATATTTTTACTAAGCTTTGCGTGATGTCGCTCTCGATATCTCAGAGATGCTCTGCGCCTGGAAATGGCAGAACCAAGTCGATCTACGACCACTTGAGTGAGCCGAGGGTATTTCTGACCGACGTGTACGCGGTCATAGGGCTCAAAGGGAGCGGCGTCAGCTTTTCTAGTGCCTAGAAGACGATCATGTTGTATTGGGCGGCGAATGACCATGGAAAGCTGGAAAAGGCAGCTGATTGCGTCGACCAGGCTCTCATAAATCTCTTGTGTTTCCGGTTCATCATCTTGGTTAGCCGACGACGAAGCGTTGTCGTGGTCTGGATCGTTCAGAAGTTCTTCCAAATCCTTCAGTATCCGACGGAGCCTTTGTAGGAGTTTAATGGTCTGGTCTTTGATATGAGACGCGTCTCTAAGGCGAAAGTCGAGTGAGGATTGACCGGTCTGGTGAGCACCGATGTTGCTTGCCCAAACGCGCAATCTACCTAGTTCGTCTTTCCATAGGTTCATAGGGACCTCAATCTCATGAGCTGCAAGATCGCCTCGGCCCAAGAGTGCGTTGAAGTCCCTGAGACAATCGATAAGAAGAGCAGATATTGTAGACATTGCCCGGTGCTGATGCCTTAAGAATTCGGCCCGTCAACGGAAGGAAGCAGCCGCGCGGGACGATCGAGATCAACGACACCAACAATAATTCAAGAGACTCGGACGCTGTTGGAGTTCTGTTCAATCTCTCGTGTTCAAAGCAAAGGCTCCAGAAAGGCTGACGATGCTACTTGCAAAATTCTGAGAAGTCCTTGCTCCAAGGCGGTGCTATGCACAAGCCTCTCACATGTCGCATAGCCTGTCGTGACTACCGACACTGCCACCGCCATTGCTTCTGACTATTGGTTGTCGACCAGGGTATGAATGTTCAAAAGGCGGGGATGAGTTGAGCTGAGTTGACCGTAAGGCTGTGACTCTTCTTTCCCACTCCTTCGAATCTCTTCATTGTCAATATGCAAGACGACTGAAAATGGTGACAGGTATCGAAACCGTGGGCGTTGTTCTAGCCATCTTGCCCCTTGTCGTAAATCAGTTAGACACCTACGTCCAAGGCATCGAGACTCTCAAGGGCTTCCGCAACAAACGGTATCGGCGACAGCTGGAGGAATATTCGACGAGGTTGGGGACTCAACATGCAATCCTACTGAATTCACTGGAACAAGCCCTAGAAGGAGTGGTTGAATATGAGGAAGAAATATCCGACTTGATCAATTGTCCTCTTGGGTCGTCCTGGAAAGACCAGGCGTTTCAGCGTAAGTTGCGCCGAAAGCTCGATCGAAATTACGACGTATTCATTAGGACAACCACCGAGATTTCTCGAGAGCTACAATGTCTATCTGCAAAGCTTGGGCTGGACTCCTCGACATCTGCACAAATATCTTGGGACGATGCCGGCACTGTTGAACGCGAGCTGAAGAAATTCAAGGATATCTTCTCTAAATCAATCTACAATGAACTCCTGTCCAAGGTTGAAGGTGCAAACGGAGCTCTTAAGACGCTGATTGAACAATCACGTCGTCGTGAAACCACAAGAAAGCACCGAGTGTATAAAAGGAAACCTCTTCTGAAATACAGAAACGCTCGCAAGCATGCCGCAAATCTGTACAATGCAATCGTAAATGGGGCCTACTGGACCTGCCCATGCAGAGCATCACATTGTGTGCACCTCAGGATTGAGCCGCAGTCTCTGGATGAAGACGAATCGAAATACCAGACTCAAGAATGCTTGCTTCCCAAGTTGCGAATGGTGTTCGCTTCAAAGTCCACCAGCACAGCGAAACCTTCCTGGTACTGGCAAGAAGTAGAGACAATTCCTATCATATCCGAACCAGTCGCGACTGTTCCACTTGCCAAAGCAAAGTCTGCATCGGCGGTCGTTACCAAAAACGCTGGCCCAGATCGCAGGGTCACGTTTGCTGCCATCGTCGAGTCCACACTAGAGACTGTTCCCTGGCCACGAGTGGACAACCTCCCTGCGCCCAAACAAATCTCCAACATGTGTTCTGCATTGTGTGCACAAAATGTTGATGACAAGCTGCTTGGGTCCATCCTTGACCGTTGCGACCCAGTGCACCGGTACAATGTCTACCTCACCGACAAGGTGGACAGCGACGTCCCTACGAAGACGCTAGCAGACGTGCTCGAGTCGTCTGCAAAGGACAGTTTCAGGTTCAACATTGCCAATCAAAGCTTCATGCTCAGCCGTCATGACCGACTATCTCTTGCAGCGACTTTGGCTTTGAGCGTCTTGCAGTACCAGGGTAGCTGGCTAAGGCCACACTGGCGAACACAAGACATTCTGTTCAAGACACCAAAAAGCAGCACTCCGACGCTGCTCGATCGGGTATACCTCTCTGCTCACGACGTAAGTTGTCCAGAGAGGAACGAGACATCACAGCCAGTCACGGCGGTGACTTCGAGCAGCTCCCTGATCCGTTGCGCCCTTCTCTTCCCTCTGGCGCTCTCATTGGTTGAATTGTCTCTTTGCACGCCCTTGTCGTCACTTCAGATACCCGAAGACGCTGATCCTGTCGACGCAGTCTCCGACCTCAAGACGGCAGCCCGCGTATTGCATCGCGTCTACGCAGAAAGCGGCTGTCGATACGGTGACGTCGTTGACAAATGTCTCTTTTGGCCGGACACGAAGAACATGCAGCTCGACGACGAGGAATTTCAGAGAACGGTATTTGACGGGGTAATCTCACCACTCCTGGAAGACTTGAAAAACTTTGAAGGGAGGGATCGGATCCGCTGAATGTACTCGTTATTGTCAGGAAATGATGTCAACAGGCTCTTGTGAATCATGATCAAATTTCAGCCAGTTCTTGTTCATTAATTTCGGGTCCTATCTCTCGTATGAGAACATGACCTTACGATTATGAATCCATGTGACATATCACAGGTCAAAGTCATCGTTCCAGCCGAGTTGATCATATATATCTTCGTCTTCGTTCTCGGCAACGCGCCGGACAGTAGTGGCCTCCTCCTTCTGCTTCTCCGCGTCCCGAGACCAAATAGGTGAAGAGTTCCCTGCGACATGTTCTACCCCCTCCTGCTGGCCAACAAATCCAAAGTCCAGCGCTCGACCATGCCCGCCCATGACACGGTTCATCATCAGACCTGCCTGTCGAGGGATCTCGGGCGCATCACGGAACGCATGCTCGATGCGCACATCGGATTTTCTGAGGGGTGTAAACAGTACAGGACGCTGCGAGCGAGTCATGCGCAGCTCATCCCTTCGCGAGCTACTCATCTGCGAAGACGACATACCCAAATCTGACCGAGGTTCGATCATGGGCGGGTCTGATGTGCCGTCGTAACAGTTGGCAGAAGGACGCGCCGACCGAGACAGTACAGCTACTCCCATCGCTTCTTCATCCCTCTCGCGCTCATCATCGTCGTCGTCCTGGTCGAAGAAATCGTCGCAGATCCTCGACAAAACCGATGGATCCGACCTTTTCCTTTCCTTAGCTCGAGATGGCGTCTCGTGTATCGCAGACAAAACAGCCCTTTTCGTTCCCGACGATCGAACAACACTGCCACTCGAACCCGGTCTAATGCCACCACCAGGTGCTGTAGCCAGTGGTTTTCGCGTCGACGATGGAATGACCGACGTCTCTTCCTGACGCACCTGCGTCGGCATAGGCGGAAGTTCGGGTTCCAAGAAGAAGTCTCCTTGGTCCCTAGTGCGTCTTGCTCGAGGAGTCGCCGAGATCTGCACCGTCTTCTCCTGTTGCCGTTTCTCGACCTCGTCCATGAAAGCCGCCGCGACTGCAGACCTACTAGGCCTTTTCAGAGCGTCGATGGCGGCTTCGAGTTCCTGTTTCTGCTGTGCGAGTTTGTCGAGCTTACGACGTTTGGCGTCGTGGATCTTGGAGTCGGCGACGAGGTCGATTTCTCGGTTGCTGAAACTGACCGACTTGGAAAGCATGCCGCCCCTGGACATCGGCCGTTCCGAGGGCTCACGTTTCAGGGTCGGGATCGAAGGCTTTGTAGGCCCTGTCGACGAGCGTGAGAGTGTTGGTGGCGAGGCGTGTCGACCTAGATGGTCTTCACTCAACACACGTTGAAGCGTGCGTTTCACGAGTGGTTCTCCCGGTCTAGACTTGGGCAGAGAAGCAGGAGCTGTAGTTTTGTGAGATCCTTTAGACGTTTGTGTAGGTCGTTTCGGTGAAGGTTCCAAGCCCGAGAGTTTTCGTGACACGGCCTTCATCTGATCAGGCAGCTTTGCTGAATAGAATGGCCAAAGCACATCTTTACAAAACTCCCGAAGACTGTCACCAGGCTGGGGCGCGTGGTCTTTTGGCGCGGTCTCGGATTCAGTGCCCTCACTCAGGTTTACAGAATGCCAGATACATAGCCGCTCTACAATCGTATCGAGCTCGCTGACGATATCGCGCTTCTTCTTTTTGCTGAATTTTTGTGGAGTTTTGGCAAGGATGGAAGGACCATCGTCTTCGACTGACTCGACCTTGACGTCAGGGTCTGTGTGGGCGGGTTTCTCGGACAGCTTCGACGCTGCCATTTCAAGTAGCATGTACTCGAGAATCAGTAGCAACTGCATCTTGGTCTCCCTCATTCGAAGGTCTGCCAGCTCCCGGCGGATCTCGGTTTGGCGGTCGCTAGAGCTGGAGATGGATCTGAGATCCCGTGAACGCCACCATCTACCGACATAGTCATCTTCTTCTGGCCAAAGACAGTCCTTGCCTAGCTTTGTTTTCTTCTTTCGCGATTTCTTCTTCGATGGCTCGGTATCTTCGAGTGGCAGTTCCTCGAGAACCTTGGGTAGTGATTCTTTGTATTTTGTGTCTATCTTCTTTGCTGGCAGGATGGCCTGTCCGTAAAATTCCAAGAGTTCTGATATAAGTGTTGACGGATTGTCGGATGACCTCACATGTGCGCGTGCACGACTCAATGGGCCTTTGACGTAGAAGGCCAAAGATGTCTTGGATGTGTATAGGTGTTCCAAATACTGACCACGAAGACGCTCAGAAGCACAGGGGTTCTCGACAGTCACGGCGTGTGGGAGCAGCTGAGCTTGCTGAGATATCGAAACGTCTTCAGCCGCGCCTTCTGACTGCTCAAATGGATTGACCGTCTCTGGGCGTGCTGCGGGAGTGATAGGCAATGCTGCGTCCGAGGAGGAGGCGCATGGTGCCGAGACTGGTTGCTGAATGAAGGTAGGTGAGCTGGACGATTGGAATACAGATTCCGGGATCTTTGTGTCTTTCTGTGTCAGAATGGACATTCGTGCAAGAGCTCCTCGTCGGTTCGTCGGCCGCCTTGGGCTTTTCGGTGTTGGTAATGCCGTAAAACTCGACCCCGAAGCACTTCTCCTGTGTGTCTGTTGAGCCACATTATCTTTACCAAGCAAATTCTCGAGTCTTATCTCTGCCACATTCCCCAACGCGGCATCTTTGCAGTATTCTTCTGACACCCAATTCTGCAATGCCAGTGCGACGAAATGTTCGGAGCCGGCTCTTTCAATTGCATAGAGCCCATCATTGGGCTTCCCTCTAGCGATCAGAGCTCCCTGGTTCCACTTTTGCACAAAAGAAGTGGTTGTCTCAAAGACAATGACGGTCGCAGGTTGGGACGTGTCGAGCCATGATAACGGCAGGAAGGCTCTGGCTAGGAGCGTCACACGTTCAAGGTCCCATGACTGAGATCTGGCCGGTAGGACCGTCGCTGTGAGGATCTCTGTGTGGGCTTCTCTGGATTCGAGATCGGAGTACTTTCGCTTCTTGGTGTATCGCAAGCTGTTGGATTTCGCGTTCAAACTACTACTGGTAACAGAGACGAGTGCTGATCTTTCGGATGTAGATGGTGATTGCATGACTTTCCATACCGAGGAGTGGCTCTACAAAGTACAACACATTCACAGAAAGTCGCATAAAACTAGGGACTCGAGGGCTACGGTTCCAAGGCGTGCGTGCATGGATGCCCACAATATCAACGCGCTTGTAGTCATGACGCGCCGCCGCGTGACGTCAAAGCAAGGCTACGAGGCTGAACCACTCCTCTGGTCTCAAAGCAGCTGGAGCACTCCTTGATGTCCTTACGACTCACAATGCATGCATTGGAGAGCGATTCCCTGACCTTAGGCACTGGACTTGCACAGAGACCCCATGATCTGATCTACTTCACAATCTTCTTGAAGAATAAATCTTAGTGGGGGATATCTGTACTCTGTACTCCGTACGTCTCTGTGATTACGCTCATGCTGGTCTCTACATATTAGTAGATACTGCGATCGTTTATGCAGTTCCTCCCTGAAGAGACAAAGGCTTAATCGAACAGACTTTCAGAAAACTCCACTGTACAGGCAAGGGTGCCAAAACAGAACCTGCACCACAACGCCAAATTGCGATAGCCAAATATCAACCAAGGACGACAGCAAGTATAACAATGAGCAGAACAATTGCCATGATCAACAATAGGCAGCATGCTTTGTTGCGGGCGGCCTTTTGATATCGACTGGCACTTCTTAGCTCCACATCCGCTCCACGAGTATCTGTCAGGGTGTTCTCGACGTTGACATCAATGGCGTCCAGCATGTCGCCTTGGTCGCGAACAAGATGTGCAACATCTCGGAACAGCTCGTTTAACTCGCCCACCGATTGCTCGATCTGTCGAATCTCTCCTTCTCTCTCTATGATAAGATTCTCTTGGAAGTCAACCTCGTCTTGCTGAGCCACTCGGGGCTCTTCTAGAGATTGGAGTTGTTGTTGTCCTTCTCCTGATGGTGACTGCGCCGAGTGTGCTTCTTCCAAAGCTGCTTTTGACGCCCTCTCTTTCTCGATCGCTCTTCTTTGCACAACCTGAAATTCGGACAAGGCAGAGGCAAACTCGCGGGACAACTTCTGGTTCGTGTATCTTTGCGCTGGCTGTGATTTGTTAGCAAGGAGAAGGAGACCGTAATGTGTTCTGAGATACTGACATTGAGATCTGGCCAGGTTTGGGCTCTTTTGACACCTTCTCCAACCTCTTTGAAGCCATCCCGGGTCTCCTCTAAAAGATCATGGATTCTCTCCCGCACTCGCTCGGTATCTCGTTTCGAAATTTGATTGGAGAGCCGTGAAATATTGGTGATCAACTCGAACAGCCGGTTAGACAGTTGCTCGGTGAATTTCTGGAATTCCGGGTCGTCTTGATAGTGAGGATCATCTTCTCGGCGGGTGGTGGTTGGTTGCGACTCGAGAGAAGACAACCTGTCGAAAGACATGGCGAATTGTTTCAGAAAGTCACGTTGATGTATGCGACAAGCCTAGCGACTTCGAGATAACTTCATTTGCTGTGACAATGTTGTCTGGATGGTGTAGAATCGTGGAAGCCTGGGTGAGCCTGGGATCTGCGATCTACCGAGACGCTGCAGTCCCTCTAGTTACACCGATGCTGCCTCCGCATCACGTGCATTCACATCACGTGAGACTGACCTAGCACCTCGTCCTGAACCCACGTGCTCGTAGTTTCATACCTGAACATCTTCTCATCAGTCGACTCCTCCATGTACTGTATGTCCACTTCTGTCATCACCCTTCAGTGGCCTATTATTAGCGCTACACAATCTCAGGGGATCCTATTTGATAGGTCCTCTCCTGTCACAAAGTTTATGTCCCTTTCGAAGACGCGGTCACATCGTATTCGGTTTCAGGTCCGAGCCATCAGTTGTTGTTATCACTCCTGGGCCAGTCCGAAAGCATAGGGCCTGAGAATCCAATCGAACAAATCTGGGGCAGATGGCAGGGTCCAGACGTCAAATCAATGACAAACAGTAATGCTTTTTATGGCATCCGCCACGCCGGACAGTCGTCGTCAGCACAGCGGCGACTCTGAGGGCCTCGGCACTAGGCTGAATGAAGTCTAAACCGGTAGCCTTGGTATATTTCGCCGGGGCCAGACCACGACTTCCCCCTTAAACTCTACCAGTAGGCAATACAATGGGAGTTGTTTGTGAAACTAACTAGGTTGTTGCAAATGAGTATCACTTGGAGAATACGAGAACTAATTGAGCTCAACCTGGGGCAAGTCTGATTCGACAATTGAAACAGGAACCCAAGCATCCTAAGCATTCGCTAGGCGGTAAGCATAAATATACACATATTCGACAGTGTTTCAAACTCAATCAAACATGGTGAGGCCTTTAGATATTATGGAGCAGATCTACTTGTATCGACAGCGCACTGACGACGCGCGGCATTCCCCTGATGCTTGAATCTCTAGCGAATATGTTTCCAGCTAATTCAAAACGAAATACGGAGTACGGTGAGCATATTCTTCTAGAAAACTTATTATATTTGGCATCCAAATCGAATAGATTCACGCTGCCGGTCAGCGATTTTCACTCAATCCAGCTTTTGCAATGGCGATCGCTCAGTCTCTTCATAGACAAGAATACATCTTGCGACCAGATAGAGATGCAAGTGAGAGCTTTTCCATTGCAGGCGTTTGCACTCTTCCAGCCTTATTACACCGACAAGCAGAACATCGAGGAAATGCCACCCTTTTCTCATTCCGATCTGCGCCAGAAAGCCCTTTGACCACTCTCTCTTATGTCGAAGCATATTCAAGATCTTGCAACCTTGGACGTAGATTGTTTCACCACCTCCCACCCTCGAAAACAACCAACCCTGTGGTTGGTATATGGCTGGAGAGATCAATTGAACTTCACCTTGCGACCTTAGCCACGACCATTTCAGGTGCTGCGTGGTTACCATTTGACGCCGATGCTCCCGTCGAACGCGTTGCTGCATGCCTGCAGGACAGTAATGCAGCCATTTTGTTGTGCGATCAAGCACATCATGAGGCTGCGTGCAGTGCAGCTGAGGGACTTCCTGGATGCAAAGTAATCACGTTTGAGCAGTTATCCAACCAGGAAATACATAAACCCGAGTCAAGAAATGACGGATGCAGACCACCCCAGCCACAAGATACAGCATACATGATCTACACTTCAGGCAGTAGTGGAACGCCCAAAGGAATAGCGATATCACACCATGCTGCTCTTATGTTCTGCCTCAGTGAAAGGTCGATCCTTGAGACCGGATCAGATGACATCGTCTGGCAGGGCTTTTCTGCGGCTTTCGATATGTTTATCGAAGAAACGTAAGCACTTGTACCGTGTCGACAACTCCAGACATGCACTAATGTTTCGACAGATGGGTTAGCATAGCTGGAGGTGCACATCTAGCTATTGGGAACCGCATTGAATGTCAAGATGTGCCAGGTCTGGGAGGTGCCAACGGCATCTGGGCACAACGTGGTGTGACCGTGGTCAACGTCGTGCCTACCCTCATCAACATCATGACTTCGCTCGATGAGGAATGCCCCCTCCCTCCTTTCGTCAGGTTACTCAATTTTGGCGGAGAAGCCTGTCCAGAGGCTTTGGTTAATCGCTTATGGTCTTCCAACCTGCGCATTTTGAACACATACGGCCCCTCCGAAACCACAGTGACGGCGACATTCAAAGAGCTATTCCCTGGGCAGACAGTTACCATTGGTAAGCCCCTTCCAGGCTACCACGCTTTACTGCTCCCAGTACTGGATGAGTTGCCAACTACTTGGAAACCTCTTGAAATCAAGGAAGGTGTCGAGGGCGAGCTTGCCATTGGTGGTCAATGTCTGGGAAAAGGCTACATCGGACGACCAGCTCTCACCCAGGAGAAGTTCATCAGCCACCCATTGGCATCTTATACCGGTGAGCGACTGTACCGTACGGGAGACCGGGTTCGACTAGATCATAATCTGGACATTATATTCCTGGGACGGATCGACGCGCAGGTCAAGCATCGAGGCTTTCGCATCGAGCTCGGCGAGATCGAACACGCCATCGCAGGGCATTCAGGGGTGCAAACAGTCGGTGTCATTCTCTCTTCTTCCACGAATCGTCTGGAAGCTTACATTGTTGAGAAAGATGGAGGAGATGTTGAGCTTGGAGATGTACGCAGTCATCTCCGCCCTCTGCCAGCATATATGCAGCCAGAGGCATACTTTTTCATTTCGGCAAGTGAACTACCTCGTCTTCCGAGTGGAAAAATCAATATGAGAGCGCTTCAAGAAATCTCCTCCCTGCAGGCTTCCAAGTGCGACGATAGTAGCGAAGAGAACGAAAAGGATGCTGCTTCGGATAGCCTCACGCTCAACCATGATCCGGATCTCGACTTTTTTCTGAAAACATTGGCCAAAGTCTTTCCACAATCCACCAATATCACAGAAAACGTTGATCTGTTCAGCGACTTGGGCTGCCATAGCCTTCTTGCAGCGTCACTTGTTTCTAAGCTTCGAAAAGAAAGCCCAACAGGGTCGATTTTTAAAGACCTGGGCTTACAGGGTGTTTATCTCAACCGCACAGCCGAGAGTATCGTGGCAAGTCTAAGGGGCAGGTCGTCGGACGAGAAGCCAGAGGCAACTTTAGAGGTGAAAGAACTGTGGTCAAATGAGTCACCTACGACCGATAGCTGGCCCGTTTCACGCCGACGCTATATCCTGTGCAGCATTGCACAAATACCCGCTCTAGTACTCCTTTTCGCCATCCAAAGCGTGAGTCTCATCGGACCATATCTTATGTTCTACGCATTACTGCGCATATACGACATTCGAACTGCTATAGTGGGATCATACTTCACCTTTGTGGTTATACCAGTCGTCAGGGCCCTTTTTGCTGTCGTTGGCAAATGGGTAGTGCTTGGGCGAGCACGACCCGGTGAATACCCCCTGTACGGTTTGTATTACTACAGATGGTGGCTTGTCGGCCACTTCATCAAACTCATTGACATGGTAACGATTGCCGAGACACCCATGCTGCCAACTATCTTACGCTGCCTGGGTGCCAGGATTGGCAAAGGATGTCACATGGGTATCTTGTATACTGGTCCCGCTATGGATCTGGTATCAATAGGCGACGATGTCTGCCTTAACAAAGACATGATCATCAGCACCAGCTGGATCGAGCGTGGCCGCCTCATCCTCGAAGAAGTTCAAATTAGATCACAGACTCACCTCGGTAGCCATACCGTTATTGAAGGTGGAGCAATCATCGGAGAGGGGGCTGAAGTTGGTCCTCTCAGCATGGTACCGAGAGGAAGCTACATTCCGACAGGCCAGCGCTGGGCTGGCTCCCCTGCACGATTCCAGGAGAATGTGGAGGAGATTGGGGCCATGAAAGCAAACCGACCGGGCAGCATGCGAGTTGCCTGCATGACGCTGGCGGTCGTCATGAGCTCAGGATTCGTGCTCCCGATCATGTTCTTTGGGCCACAGATTCCAAGCATGATGCTGTTCGATTACCTCAACATTCCCAACGTTGGATGGTGGACACAAACCACCATTGTCATTGTCCCTGCGGCCATAATCTATCTCTTCCTGACATACTTTCAACTGCTCGTGATGCGCTGGCTTGTTCTTGGTAAGGTCACTGAGCGATCTTTTCGCACGACCTCGGTATACTGGTACCGCAAATGGCTGATCGACCGGCTCATGGATATGAGTCTTATGATCTTGCATCCGGTGTACGCGACGCTCTATGTGGTACCATTTCTGCGGTCACTGGGTGTCAAGATTGGGCGCCGTGCTGAAGTGTCGACTGCTCGAGGCATTAACTACGAGCTCACAGAGATTGGTGACGAGTCCTTTGTGGCTGACCACGTTTTGATGGGCAACGAAACCGTGCGGAACCATACAGTGACGCTGAAGAAGACAGTCCTCCAAAACCGCGCCTTTGTCGGCAACGCCGCGCTTGTACACCAAGGCTCCGTGATGGCTTCAAATACCCTCATCGGCGTCCTTTCGACTTCGCCCAGCACGCCGCTGAAGGAAGGCGAAAGCTGCTTTGGGAGCCCGCCCATCTTGATGCCTACCCGCCAAAGGGCTCAGATGAACCATGATGAGCATCTTCTGTTTCATCCACGTCCCGGACAGATTGCTGTGCGACTTTTCATCGAAGGCTCACGCATTCTCCTGCCTCGTTTGGTCATCACAGGTGCTCTGGGCTACAGCACGCTCATCATTGGCCACATCTACGACCACCTTGGCATTGTCGCAAGTGTTTTCATGATGCCGGTTGTCTACTTCTTCGGTATGTCATTTTCTCTCGATTCCCCTTCTTTGTTTTCAAATGTAGCATTTTTCAAGATACTAATATGCGATGCACGTAGTGTTTGGTCTCCCATCCTTCTTCACGACCCTCATATTCAAGCTCATCCTCATCGGAACCTACCGCTGTGCCGAATGGCCTCTCTGGAGCGTGGACGTCTGGAAGTCCGAGTTCGTAACCTCGACGTACGAAACCTTGGCCGTCCCGTTCTTGGTGGAAATGCTCACGGGAACACCCTACCTCGCCTTTTTCCTACGGTTGCTGGGCGTGCAGGTCGGCTCGCGGGCCACTTTACTCTCGCACGACATCACCGAGTTTGACATGGTGAAGATCGGCGACGAAGCCGTCTTGAACATGCACGCGGCGCCTCAGACCCATTTATTCGAGGACCGCGTCATGAAGGTCGGACGTGTGGACGTCGAGGCGGAGGGGTGTTGTATGCCGTATTCGATCTGCTTGCCCAACAGTCACGTCGGTGAGGGCGCCCAGCTCGGCAGCCTGTCGCTGCTGATGAAGGGCGAGGCGGTGCCAGCACATGAAACGTGGGAAGGGGCGCCAATCGCGCCGGCCAGGAGAAGGTCATGACCATTGAATCCTTTTTTTTTCTTCAGCCTCGCGTTCCCAGCGGTGTCGGCCATCTAGCCATTTTCTCACTGTACTTTAACCGACCAGAAAGTCACATGGCTCTTCTTTGCGGGACGTAAAGAATTCCTGTGGCCTGTATACCTACATGTACGTGTATATCTATCTGCATACACTATTAGATAGAGAAAGACCATAGATTTCTACTAGTCCCATCGACAATGCTTTACTCCAAGTGCCAGGCGCTTCTAAGCCCCCGTGAATGAGCCGACTACCTGCACAAATGTGATTTGCCGCTTGGAGCTCTTGCTGAATTTGTCCAAATCAACTATGACTCCCATTGGGACCTCTTCTTAAATCTGTCCAACTCAGACCAAGCTGACAACCTCCGGCTTTGCATTGGCAAAGTGTCCTGCGGTTACGGCTGTGCAGTCCTGGTGCGTATTGTGAAATATCCCAACCCGTCTGTACAGAGGTCTGCCCTCGTCCATCGCCACGGGGTCCTTGCTCAGCAGGAGCCCAATCGCACCATTGTTGAAGGCTTTTTGCTCCTTTGTTTCGGCAGACTTCGGGCCCCCGCTGCTTCCATATTCAGTTGCGCGGCTATCAACACCGACCTGCCGGAAACAATTTGCACGAGAATGCCACCATCGGTTGCAACAAATGCGGAGGCACCGCTGTTGGCGCTTGTGCATATCTCTGCCTTTTCGTATGTTCATTACGAATCCACCATACGGTTTGCTGATATTGTAGGCCTCATGTTGAAACTTCAACAACGCATTGACCAACAAAGAGAAAAGACCTGTGTACTATAGCGTTAGTAATGAACGGGCCGTCGCGAGCATCTAGACTGCACCGGTAGCACATGTACGAGTACAGCAACATAAGAAATTGTCTGGTAATCCAAAGCTTTTTGTGTTTGGTGCACCCAAGTACAACCCACAGTAACTTTCGCAGGCAACACTTTTGTCCGCGAGGCACGCAAAAGGGCGGCACTCTGGTTGGTCAGCCCACCCAATAAACATAACCTGGAAATCCAAGCCTAGCAGAGACAGGCTGGCGTTCTAGGCGATTGAGAGCTGCAATGAGAGCACAGTCACGATGGCCAAGTTCTTGATGTAGCAAGCTGAGAGAGCACGTGGCTGTTGTAGAGGATAGAACCCGTTGAAGGCAACTACGCCTTTCTTTGTTGTCGAGTGAAACGACAGACCTACCACATCATGGCCAAATACGAGTAGAGCGGGAATTGAGTGATACGTAAGATATCGCAGCGAGTAGAGGAGGAATTGCGAGACAAGTGGTAGAGAGAGATTAGGAGACGAGTATCGGTATGTACTTGGAAATAAAAGGGGACTCGTATTCGTATTCGTATTCGTAGAGTCTTCAGAAGAACTTGGCGTTGCCCTGCAGTGACGACTTTTTGGAGAATCGCACGCGCAGGTGTTGTTTACCATCGTCCAATAAATTTCGCACCTTACCAGTCAGTAAAGAAGACAACATCACAATTGCAGTCCACGCCGGTCGTTGAACGACTGCAACTCTTCATACTATGGTCCGTTCCTGAATCCCGAACACCTCGCTTCTTCAGCGAACATGTCGAGTCCAGCTGCGACCCCGGCGCCTCCCCGCCCGCGACCGTACCGACGCTTTTTGAACTCGGCCTTACACACGAGATTTATACATGCGGTCTTGATATCTCTGCTGATCGCTCTCAATAATGCCTTCTGGTTGGGCTCAAAGAAAGGTACACCCTCTCCGGATTCTGCAGCATGACTTGCTAATTCATCAAGATATCTTCTGGTCATGGTTTCCCCTTGGGCCTGCAGGAATCAAAGCTTTGCTCTTCTCACTATGCAGCCTCTGCATCTTTTTCCCCCAGATCGCCGGACTGAAAATCGGCCGCCAGACAACTACCTCCCCTTTTGGCATGTTCAGGAAGATGGCTCTGAGTACGACAACCTTTTGGACTCTTTTCTGGTACCTCTTGTCCGCATTCGTCTTCACCTCTGTGTACACTTGGTCTGCACCAGATCTTGCTTGGACAATTCCGGGAGGCCACAATGCCCCAGATATGCTCAATGAGAAACCCATATTTCTGCGCTTATACACGCTTTTGCTGGGCTGCGCCTATGCTGTGGTACATCTCTACCTTGGCAATTCATCACTTGTGATTGCGATCTCAGCCCTGCCAGTATCGCCAAACACAGAGGGAAAAGGACAAACCACACATCCACAAAAGCCAATTCTAGCTCAATTCCAACAGAAGACATATTCGGCAGTTCTGAGGATTTTCATTATTCCCACCTCAGTCATGGTTTTGGCACCATTTCTCAACACTTTGTTCTTCCGAGGGCCACTCTGGCAGGTGCATCTGGCGATTGCAAAGCTGTTCAACAACTTGTCAAGGGCAAATGCTCGACCCATCGGACTGCCGCCCCTCGGCCCTGTACATTTGATCAGGTGTCTCATTGCAGGTTTCTTGCTAGCCGCAACATGGGAAATGACAACAATGCTGTTCCTGACTTACCTTGGAAGGGAACCAACCAAGGCTGGATTTCCTTTATCAACTACAAGCAAAGATCCGAATGGGACGTTGCTCACCGGACTGCGAGCGAAGAGAGATGTAGTGAGGACATTCGCTTTTTGGGAATTGTCGATCATTGCCCAAAACCACAAAGATCGCAGAAAGACCATTTTTGAAGATATTGAGCGACCGACTGGCCCAATATGGGCTCAAATGTCAGAGGCTGGACTGAACATTCTACGCGAGATTGACAGTCGTATACTAGGCCCACCCCCAAAGGCGTCGCAACCCCAGGGATCGAATGTCGTAGAGAGCCTGCCGCATATTGTGCCAGAGGTACAGACACAATCCATATTCAAGGCGAGTCCAAAGCCATCTATGGGCGAATCACTGGTTGGAGGTTCCCTACGAAGGATTGGAAGTAGTAGTCAGCCGTGGCGACCACCGATCGAAAATACGACCAAGGCTATGGAGACGAAGTTGCTCGAGTATGCCAGGCCTCCTGGTTCTCCCCAGGCGCAATCACAGAGTCTGATCCAGCAATGGATGGATTCGTTGCAGAAGAGCCCGGTTGGATGGTTTTTCACCTCCACGGAAACAGCGAGAATCAACGCCACAGTACTAGGATCACCGAACAGTGATGCTGCCGTAATTGTGGATGTTGTCGATTCACTTACCAAAATGCTCATTGCAAGTCTCACAGAGGACACTTATGGTAAAGCAACACCCACCGTCCCAGAGACTGTAAGACAATTCACGAAAACCTTAACCATAATCGAGGACTTTGTCGCCAAGAACAACCCTGGTGGAAGCAGAGGAATCGGAGAAGTTCAAATCATTATTGAGAGACTGAGAGCTGGACTAAAAGAATTACTTTCAGCTTTCCAACTCTATTTACTTGATGTCGGTTTGGGGATTACCGATCTCAATCAGGCGAAGAAGGCAATTGAACCTCCAAAGCCAGAGCCCCAGCCTCCCAAATCTGTCGAAGAACCACCAACCCGTCGACAACTCTTCTCAAAAGAACCACAAAGAGTACAATCAAGGCAAGAGTCTCGAAGAGTGGAATCTTCCCAGCGATCCTCGGGAATCCAGAGAAAGACATCAAATGGGATGAATGGAAGGCAGCAGCCTCGACGAGAGATGGAACAAGTCAGATAGAATAATTTTCAGGTCTGACCTAATTGATGTATATCCTTGTCGTCATTCCATCCTCCAAGAACCTCTGTGCTTTTATGTGTTTTGTGCATATTCACGCCGGCACAAGCTCGTTCGGCGTCCACTTCTTGACTTCGGGCGGCTCTTTCATTTGCAAGCCTTGTTGACTCTCCCAAAACACCCCATCGGCACCAGGAGGTCTTCCCCCACCGTTGATGTCGTAGGTATTGGTGGTGGCAGCCTGGGTATCTTCGGGCTGCACGGCTTCAACCTGCCACACCTCTCCCTTGGCCTTGACGCACAAGTCGACCATTTCCCTGAGCACCTCGTCGACCTTTGCCGCCTGCTCGCGCATGCCGCGCCTCGACAGGCCGCTGAGCAAGCGCTGCACCTCGTCATGCACGCCGTTGACCCGCTCGACCAGTCTCGCCACGCTGGCGAGGAGGTATTCTTCTTCGTACACGCTGCCCTTTTTGCCACGGGCCCGCTTCCGCTCCTCGCGTCGCTTGGTCTTGCTGGTCTTGCGCGACACGTTGCTCGCGACGGTGCCGCCGAACTTGCTCGCGTTGCTCCCGTAGCGCGTGAAAAGGCTCTGGCCTCCCGCCGTGGTGGCGTCGGTGGCGGCGAGGGAGACGTTGTCCGGGATGTCCACGGCGTTATTGTTGGAGGCAGCCAAGGAGGACGAAGGGTCGCCGCCGTAATAGGCGAGGGGGTCCTCCTCCTTTTTCTTGCGCAGCTCGGCGATCCGGGGCACCTGCGCGGCCAGCTGGGCCTTGCAGTCGGCGATGAGTTCGAGGATCTCGCCCACCTTGTCCGCCAGCGCGGCGTCGAGGACCCCCGGGATCTCGGACCGGAGGCCGCGGAGGGCCAGGACGCGGCTGGCGTCGGCAAAGTACGAACCCCGGCAGAACAGGCGGGCCGCGCTGAGCGTGTCGTTGAGGTACTCGCCGTGGATGGTGGCGGCGGCGCGGAAGTCGCGCGTCTCGTCGGTGCACGTGGCCGCGAGGGCCGTGGCGAGGGAGAAGAGGCGCTCCGGGTCCAGGGGGACCAGCGTCGCGCACGTCAGCGACTCGCGCCACTTGTGGGCGAGGGCGTACAGGGGGTAGGCGGCGTCGTAGTCGCCCAGGGATTCAAAGAGCGTGGCCGCGTGGCTGTGCTGGGACTGTGCCGCGAGGTGCTGCGCGTAGAGCCTCATGATGTGTTCGAGGTGTGCCTTGTCGTACTTGTACAGGTCGAGCGCCGTCGTGTACAGCTCGTGTTTGACCGCGTAGGCCTCGACGTCGTCGTGTGCTTTGAGCGCGTGCAGGGAGGACAGGGCCCGGGCGTACTTGTGCAGGTGGTTGTCGATGGTGTATTGCCGTCGAAGAGTGGGTAGGGCGTGGAGAGATTGCAGGAAGGGCATGTATTCTTTGGGATCGCGCTGGGCGCTTTGTGCGACGAGGAGGGTCAACTCGAGGTCGTAAAGCGCGAGGGCGGCGTCGAAGAGTCGGTTCGAATCCGTCAGGAAGACGAGGTGGGAGATGGCGGTTTCGGCTTCCTCTCTGGAGGAAGACAATATGGTAGATATCATGGTCAGGGCTGAGTTGAGATCTGGTGGCCGTTTACAGACGTGTGCTGTTATCACGTTCTGGAAGGATGTCGACGCGTGAGGAGATAGGGCCGACAAGAAGGCATCGGCGATCTTGTTGACCTTTGTTCCCGGCTTCGGTGGTGCAGGTAGTGCTTGTTCAACGTTGAGAGTGTCTCGGTAGAGAGTTTGGGTCACATCTTCGTCCTTTAGTTTTGAGAGGAATTCGTCAATGCGACTCGGCTTCTTCAATTGCTCGATGAATTTGGGAATGCTGGCTAGGAACGTCTCAGGATCGTAATCGTGCAGAATGTTCATATCGACTTGGTGTGTCTGGCAGGCCAGGAAGGCCGACAGATAGTCTTGTTGTTTGAGGTGGTGACGTATGCCTGAAAGGACGAGCAGGCGAGGATATACCGTCTCTGTGTTGCCTCGGGGCATTTGTAGGATCACAGCATACATGGAGGGGATCACTGTGACTATTTTTGCTCCTCGCTCAACGCTGCGGCATCGCTCATCAACCTCCGGGGTGTCGCCTGGAACTTGCATGTTCGAAGGAGCTGTTAAGTGGACAAACTTCAGAAGATGTTGAGATGTTGTGAAGATCAGATGGGCATCCGTGAGTACGTAAGATGTACATTCTCGTACTAGGGAGATATCGTCGATGTAAAGATTGTCCTTTGAGGTCAAGGATGCTTTGCGGTACTGGGCTGTGTGTCCGTTGGCGAACCCATTGACCTCCGCATCGGCAACATCGCGCAAGGCGAACAAACAAGAGTTGGGCTGAGAGCCAAGCAGTTGGTTTGAGTCAGTCTCCGATTGATATGGGAGCAAGAATGTCCTGTCAAGCTTCGAGCTTGTACACGCGATTGAGTCGTAGTGGACGTCAACCAAGAGATTGTCAGTTCCTTGAGGTATAGATATCACTTCAAAATCCTTCGATGTAGATGTCTTAGACCAGGCTAGTTTCAGACATGTCGCTGGTTCGTGGCTCTGAGCTGGGGCAAGGATGCAGACTTGGTCCCCCTTTTCTGCCACCTGTGTGTATCGAACAGAATTTGGTAGTGGTAGGGAATGACGTTGCACAGATGGTGTAAACCTGAAATCGCCTGTGGATGCTGTCCGAGTTGACCATTGACAAAGTTCGAGAGTGTGTGTGGTTAAGACAGCAATCTTCCGGCCGTCTTGACTGACAGCACAGTCGACAATGTTGTAGTCGAAAGCGACGTCGCAGAACGACATAGGCGGAGGCACCCCAGCTTGCTTCAGCGGTGTGAGTTTTAGCAATTTCCCATCGATTACTGCCACGACACCACGGTCATATGGGGGCACCGTGCTTCCACGAGCCACCGTTGGAAGGAATGCAATATCCAACAAGCTCTCGAATGTACCGAGGATGGCCCTTAATGGTGTTTCTTGGTGCCATCTGAGAGAGGCGGGATCAAGAGCCGCGGGAAACAAGAACTCTTGTTTGAGATAGTAGTGATAGTTTCCCACGGTCCAGAACTGTACACGGTCCTTGAAGGATATGGCCAGCACTGTTGAATCAGTATTCCAAGACAGGAAAATGCGGCTAGCCCAGCTCTCCGACTCTTCTTGTCTCAATCTAAGGTCAAATTGGCCGTGCCGCAGACCGTTTCTTTCGAAGAATACAACCTCTGTCTTGTTTGGCGAGCGCTTGATGCCTGCAATGAGGTTTCCAGACGGTCTCCAGCTGAGTGCAGACTCAAGTCCGTCTACTGCCTCGCTCGCACTGTCGAGCGCAGCTTCGCGAGTGTAAACCCTGATTACACGTCGATGGCCGGGGATCATGCTATTGATAGCAACGTATTGCCCATCTCCTCGCCAGCTGATCGTCACTTTGCCTTCCTCGTAAGGACTGGACTTTCCCTGGTCAATGGTTTCAGGGACCGTGGGATCTCGCAAAGCCTTCGCCCGTCTGCCCTGAAACTGAGTTTCTCTTTGGCCCCAGCCTACCGAGACTTGCTTAGAGACTTTCAGATCGTCTGCGGAAAAGGCCGTCTCATTTAGTGGCTCGAAATTTCTGCTCATCAGAACAAGCGTGTCTGATCGAGTAACGATAGCGAGAAGCTCCTCGTCCGGAGCCCATGCAGCAGCACATATTCCGACATCGACAGTGCCGACAATTTCAATCTTCTCCTGGTCTGGCAAAGGGTCCTCACGAACCACCACGACATCTCCACCTGCTAGTACAATGCAAGACGTGCCGGAATCAGAAAAGTGCTGAAGAAGTAAGATTTGGTCGCATTCAAGATCCGGCAACGGACATGGGGCGTCCCAGGATGTTATGTTGACAAATTGTGCTCCCTCTGCACCCGTTGATATTCTTCGCTTCAGTTCAATAACTGGGTTTGTGGGTGTCGGGCCAAAGGCACAGATGATAGTATTGTTGGAGACATCCCATGCTGTGGCGGCCAGAGGCAGGTCAACTTCAAGTTCCGTTTGCGAATATGAGATTGTCTTTAAATTTCTCATTACGGTGATATGCCCTGCTGGGGTTCGTGTGTTCAACTTCTGGTGTGTCTATCGGAATACAACGAAATATCCATAGCATGTGTCAAGTCAAAAATAAAATATAATCGGAGAATTAAATTTACGGGACGAATACCCACAATTTGATTGGTTGAAGGTCGGATGCTGATTCTTCATAGATGCGAATAAATCGACAAGAGTATTTATGTTTGAGAGGCTTGTAAACACTACTTCGACAGTCCAGGGACAGAAACATTGCGGAGTTATTCATTCTGTTCATGATGAAGCATCTCAGCAAAGTTCAATGCAATCCAAAATCAGCATCAGCGATCGAGACGGACGAGACCAGTCGATTTCAAGCTCAGAGGAGCTTCTCGAACGCGAGGAAGACCACGGGATGAAAGAAGGAGGCCGCGGAGATGGTGTGACTGAATTTGATTGTATTTCTTGAGGCTCTGTACAAATCCGAGTGCCGGGATGCCACTCCCTCACTCATGTTCGACGCAATCTGATCCCGTCCCAAGCATTCCGAGACACATTTTAGACTTTGTACGTGTGCCAGACTATCCATCTCATCAGTACGTCGTAGATGTGATGCCGGAACAATATACATACCGGCCATGCCAAAGGGAACGCCAAATCCGACAGCTGCGCAATTCTTAGTCCAAAGTCTACGTGCATTTGGTGGTAGAACGTACTCATGAATGTCCAGTACCTCAGCCAGAAGAATTTTGTCTTGGGGTTGAACGGTAAACCACTTCTAGGGCCCTCTGGGTAGTGGAAAGGACTGTCGAATCGAGGTCGGGTGGTCGAGAAGCCGCGGCGGGCGACGGTCTGAGAAGCCATTCTGGCGCGGAGGAGGGATTGAGCGTTCATCTGTGGGATCAGCAAGTAGGTCCGAAGCTAGATTGTGCGAACTGACCTTTGAAATAGAGTACGCGCACAGCTTCGGTCTTGTTGAGCAGCTTAAAGATCGTGAAGAGTGGTGTCAGTCCACTCCGTTCATTGAAGTAGCAGCAGCTCGAAGCCTTGGCGCAGATCGGCATAACTTCCCCATTAGTTTTCATACCTGGAATTTCCTCCGCTGCCAAAAGTCTTTCTCTCACTGCGCTGCCCTCAGCCGACATTTTTTTCTCAATCCTCCTTCCCACGATTCTAAAGGCGTCTTGGGAACTTCTACCAGTATGGAGGAGCTGTTCGATGTATTTGATGACAATCCGTCCGCTGCACAGCCGACAGGTAGCCCAGCGAACACACAGTCCAGGAAAGAAAGACGACGAAAGCGACAAGCTGACGGCGAACTCAAAGATGCGGCCGACGTTGAAATGGCCAATGCCGCCTCTAAGAGTGAGACATCGCCTGCTCCTGACATGAATGATGCCGAGGCCGTAGAGGACGGTGAACCCGATAACAAGCGTATGCGAACAGATGACGAGCCCGAGCCTGTCGTCACTGATACTTTTGAGACCGAGCAGTCCAGAGAGGTTGACGCCATCGCCGGCCTCCAAGCCTCGAAAGATGCAGACAAGATCCTTTTACACCATCAGGTTCGACATCAAGTCGCGCTACCGCCAGATTATGACTACGTTCCTATCAACCAACATAAGCCGCCCGCCGAACCTGCTCGAACATGGAAATTCCAACTTGATCCCTTCCAACAAGTTGCTATCGCTTCCATTGAACGCAATGAAAGTGTACTGGTCTCAGCACATACTAGCGCAGGCAAAACAGTGGTCGCGGAATATGCAATTGCACAGTGTCTGAAAAACAACCAGCGAGTCATCTACACCAGCCCCATCAAAGCCCTGAGCAATCAAAAGTATAGAGAATTCCAAGCCGATTTTGGTGATGTTGGTTTGATGACCGGAGATGTCACCATTAACCCAACAGCCACTGTTCTGGTCATGACTACTGAGATTTTGCGATCCATGCTTTACAGAGGCTCGGAGATCATGCGTGAGGTCGGATGGGTCGTCTTTGATGAGATTCACTATCTGCGAGATAAAACCAGAGGTGTAGTATGGGAAGAAACTATCATTCTGCTACCTGACAAGGTTCGCTATGTGTTTCTGTCCGCGACGATTCCCAATGCTATGCAATTCGCTGAATGGATCACCAAGATTCACAACCAGCCTTGTCATGTGGTCTACACTGACTTCAGACCGACTCCATTACAACATTACTTCTTCCCAGCCGGTGCGGATGGAATTCATCTGATTGTGGATGAAAAGGGTGTATTTCGGGAGGACAACTTCCAGAAGGCCATGAGTTCGATTGCCGATAAACAAGGAGACGACCCTTCTAATGCTATGGCGCGTCGGAAAGGAAAAGGCAAAGACAAGCGCTTGAATAAAGGAGGCACTAAGGGTCCCTCCGATATTTACAAGATTGTCCGTATGATCATGACGAAGAACTACAATCCTGTCATCGTCTTCAGCTTCAGTAAACGAGATTGCGAGGCATATGCCATTCAAATGAGCACAATGTCCTTCAATGAGGATTCTGAAAAGGCCATGGTATCTAAGGTCTTCGAAAGTGCCTTGGAAATGCTATCTCCGGACGACAAGAATCTGCCTCAAATCCAGCATCTACTCCCACTCTTGAGACGAGGTATCGGCATCCACCATTCAGGTTTGCTCCCAATTCTCAAGGAAACCATCGAAATTCTCTTCCAAGAAGGGTTGATCAAGGTGTTGTTTGCAACCGAAACATTTTCCATTGGACTGAATATGCCTGCAAAGACCGTGGTGTTTACCAGTGTTCGCAAATTTGACGGTTACTCTCAACGATGGGTGACACCATCCGAGTTCATTCAGATGTCCGGGCGTGCTGGTCGTCGTGGTCTCGACGAACGTGGGATTGTCATCATGATGATTAATGAGCAGATGGACCCCGGTGTTGCAAAGGACATCGTGCGAGGCGAGCAGGATAAATTGAATTCAGCATTTTATCTCGGCTACAATATGATCCTCAATTTGCTGAGAACGGAGGGCATATCACCCGAGTTCATGCTGGAAAAATGCTTTCATCAATTTCAGAATACTGCCAGCGTGAGTGGGTTGGAAAGAGAACTGCAGCACCTTGAAGCAGACAAATCAGCCATGGTGATTGAGGACGAGAGCTCGATACGAGCGTACTACGACTTGAGGAAGCAGCTTGATGTCTATGCTGAGGACATGCGCAATGTCATCATTCATCCTAATTATTCTTTGCCTTTTATGCAACCAGGTCGATTGGTGTACATCAAGGACGGTGAGCATGATTTTGGCTGGGGAGCTGTGATCAACTTCGCACGCCGAAGCACCGGAAGGTCCAACGAGAAAGTAACGCCACAAGAAGAATGGATCCTCGATGTCGCTCTTGAATGTGGCGAGGGTTCAACACCAACCACCAAGACCTTTCAGTCTCTTCCGGCTGGTATCCGGCCTGCACAGCCTGGAGAGAAGTCCAAAGTTGAAGTTGTCCCTGTCCTGCTGAAATGCGTCCAGAAAATCTCTCATATTCGCATCTTTCCCCCAGCCGACATGACAATCTCAGATGAGAAGAAAAAGGTGCAGAAGGCGTTGCAAGAAGTCCAGAGACGCTTTCCCGATGGGCTCTCTGTCCTAGACCCAATCGAGAATATGAAGATCACCGACAACTCGTTCAAGGAGCTTCTTCGCAAGATCGAGATTATGGAATCAAGACTGGTTGCGAACCCGTTGCACAATTCTCCACGACTGGAAGGACTGTACAATCAGTATGCCGAAAAGGTGGCCTTGCAGAACAAAATTCGGGCTTTGAAAAAGCAGATCCAAGATGCCCACGCCATCATGCAGCTCGAGGAATTGAAATGCCGCAAGCGAGTACTGCGTCGGTTGCAGTTTATCAACGAAGACGAGGTCGTTCAGCTCAAGGCTCGGGTCGCCTGCGAAATCAGTACAGGTGACGAATTGATGCTTAGTGAGCTGCTTTTCAATCGTTTCTTCAACGATATGACTCCAGAGCTATGTGCCGCTATCATGAGTTGTTTTGTCTTTGAGGAGAAGGTTAATGAGCCTCCTGCATTGACAGAGGATCTTGCCAGGCCACTCAGAGAGATCCAGAGACAAGCGAGAGTCATTGCCAAAGTGTCCATCGAATCCAAACTCGCGGTCAACGAAGAAGAGTACGTACAGAGTTTCAAGTGGCAGCTTATGCCGGTCATGTATGCCTGGGCGAAGGGAAAGTCGTTTGGCGAGATATGGTAAGTTTGGTACAATAAATAAGCAGGATATTGCTGACGCTTATACAGCAAAATGACCGACGTCTACGAAGGCAGCTTGATTCGAGTGTTCCGCCGATTGGAAGAAGCCCTTCGCCAAATGGCCGAGGCGTCGAAAGTCATGGGGAGCGAAGAGTTGGAAAAGAAGTTTGAGGAGGCTTTGACCAAGGTAAGAAGAGATATCGTGGCAGCCCAGTCATTGTATCTCTAGACTGGATGATCACTCGAGACGACCCCCTCCTCCCTCTCATCGCGCAGTCATGTGTGGGAGGGTCTATTATGTATGATGATACCCATGCTTCTTTTTGACGACACGACAACTAGAGCTGCATTTTCTGGAACCTAAGGATGATCTTAGGGGCCAGTTTTGCCTAGATCGGCGTCGCACCACAGACCTTGCAATGCATCTTGTTTTGGATGTATTCCGGATCTGAGGTTAAAGCCAGTCTTGTCGAACATCCAATATTAAATTATGTTTTGCCTTGCAGCGGCGAAAAGCTGCATGAGAACCCGAACTTTGAACGAGTAAATCGTTATCAATATGAGTACCTTGACCTTGATCGCTAGTAACAAGTATCAGTATCCGTAGTCCCTGGTGAAGTCATTTGTCATTTCCGTCCCCCCAGTTCTCGTTGTCGGTTGTAGACAAGGCAGTCAGCACCAGTGGACCGCTGCATTGGCCCGCGGTAGTGAGCACATTCTCGCATGGAAGAATGAGAAACGGCATGAAATCATGTCTGGGATTGGGCAGCAAAAGCCTCTGGATGAAGTAGACGGTGACAGCTGGCAGCGGGCAAATCAGGCTGGTCGAGGCTACTTTAGTGAGGCTTGTAGAAACATCCTTAGTGGACACCTGGTGAACCATAGCTGGAACCATACCTAATACACCAGAACACGGGCCCAAGGGAGCCACCAGAGCCAGCAAAGCACATCCGACATTCACTGTGCCTCTGCCTTCTTTCCCACTCCAGGCGCAGTGCCTCCTCCACTCCCTCCTCCACTAACTTAACCCAGCATACCCGACTTTCCATCTCTCACACACACACAACACAATTGCATCTCCATCACCACCGAAGGCCCGACCTCACCGCTTGGACTGCCTGGTGGATACAAAGACTGACTGCCCGTGACTGTCCCTTCCACCTCAGTCACTTCAGGCCTCTCCCATTCCCTCTTTCGTAGCAACAACCATCGACCACCAACAACCCTCTACCGCATTGGAACCCAGACACACCCTCCGTCTCATCGGCATCAACAGCCATCATGAACAGTCTGGCTACGCCGCCGATTCCCCCTCATTTCCACGAACACACCCGTCTCTCCCCTGGAAGATCAAGTGAGTCGTAACCTCCCACAACACAATTTTCCAGAGACTAACCGCCACCTCAGTGTCAGGCACCGCACCCTCGAGAAAACGGAAAGCTTCTCCCTCCCCAGACCGGGATGATGAAATGACAACATCCCCTTCCATTCCCAATGCTCGACTTCCACAGCCTGCAACTCCTTCGACCAGAAAGCGAGTCCGATCGAACCTGGCAGGACGGCCGTTGTCGGTGGACAGACTCCTAGAGACACTGGATAAAGATTCGCTGAGATCTGTATTGAAAACTCTATGTGACCGGAACCCTGGCTTGCGAGAGGATATCGTCCAAGTCAGCCCTCGACCAAGTATCCAGAGCACCCTGCAAGTTCTTCGACAATACTACGATCGATTGATGCAATCGTTCCCACTGGGCCCAAATCCACGATCTGACTACGCATATGACCGAGTTCGTCCTCAATGGCACGATCTCCTCGAGGCTCTGACCGATTTTACTCCACAGTTTCTGCCTCCGAATGAGCAGCAATCGTCAGTTTCGCTCGACTATCTGCACGGCGTCACAAATATCATCCATGACCTTCCAGAGTGGGATAATCCATCATACAATCTCGCCAAGCAGAATGCCTATGAGGAAATCTCAAAAGCGTGGGCTGCCGTTATCAAGGAAGCCAGCAAAAGAGGAGGTGGAATTCAACTCCAGTACAATGGTTGGGAAGTGAAGTTGAGGGCACACAATGACAAGAGTGGTGGTCGACTACGAGAGGCCTACGAAGCTCTTGTCGATGCTCTCGGCTGGCTGAAGCCAACACCCCAGCCAACCCAACCGCAAAGCATTCGACAGCAGTTATTTTCCAACACATACGGGACGGAGCAGTCAGCTGTTCGAACTGGCAATTGGTAAGAGCAGGAATGGGGTTTCCTCAAGAGGCCAGATGCCAGACTCACATCTCCTTATTCAGTCAAAGATGATGCCTGGGGTTCAGCAACATGGACAAATCCTCCAGAAAAGCTCACGCACAGATCGCATCAGAACTTTCAGAAGATTATGCCGATACGAATTTCCTTTGTTAATGGGTGGTATGATTGAAACACCTTGCACTTTTTACGACCCGGAACGGCCATTGCCCATCGTTAAATTACCTATCATTTATTTCAAATCTTTCTGCAGACGCAATGGACGCAGCACAGCGATCATTTGCATCCCACATTCGGCGTTGCATTGGAAGTGAACCAAGTATTTATGGGGACAAAGAAGGAGGCAAATTCACAAGGCCAATTACTTTTTTCATTCGTTTTTTCTGCCAGGTCCATCTTGCTCCCTGAATTCTTGTGCAGACGATGGGTTAGAAGACAAAGGCAAATACCTAGGGACAACCGGGTTTTCTTGAACAGGCTTGAAGTAGGGATTGTACACAGTTCTTCAAGTAGGATTCCATGATAGGCCATAATTGAAATTGACTCATACTACAACTATACTTTGTACCTCGAGGATGTACGGAGAGTAGATGGACAAGGCAAAATGGTAGAGAAAAATGGAGTGTAGATAGGGGAGATTAACTAGTAGTTTGGCTCATTCCTCCTCTGTTTCCTGGCCATCAGATTGAGTGATTTTGCCCTCATATGCAAGCGGAACAAAATATTATGATTTAATGTTGCTACAACTGTCTTTCAACCTCCTCTGGTTCGCTCCCTTGGATCAGATGGATCTTCTTTGTTGTACACACACACACTGTGAGGCTGGGACCACACAGAATTTTCGAATTTTGGGATAATTTGGGGGTTTCATCGCCAACCCACGAACCGTTCCGCTCTCATCTTACACCCTTCGAGGGTGTTGAGTTTGGGTCGCACGTCGAGGTAGAAGTTCAGACTGTTGGGCTTCCCGTTGGGATCCTGCTTGCCCTGGTAGAAGTCGATGATGTACTCCACGGTCTCGCCGCCGCAACGCTCGACGACCCAGTCGTGCCGGTCAAAGGGTTGGGTGTAGCCCATCAGCGACTTCACCCGGGCTTTGGGCGAGAGGGCACCGGCGCCCAACCCGCGAAAGGACTGCAGTTTGGGCCCGCCGCAGGCCTCGGACGAGTCCGACTCCCATGCCTTGATGAGCGACCAGGCCCGCTCGTTGACGGCGTTGTGGATGGGGATGATGTGGGAGATGCTCGAGAGGAGGTCTTCGGGGTTGGAGGACGTCAGGGTCTCCTTGCGCATGACGGCATGGAAGAATTGTGACTCCGAAGGGTAGATCCAGTTGCCGGACGAGTGGCGGCCGGTTTCGGTCTCGGCGTTGGCGGGTGTCGTCGTCGTCGGGGAGGAAGAGTCTGTGGCAGTCTGGGAGCGTGGGATGGAGGATACGGCGCGGTCTTGGGAAAGTGGACGAGATGTTTTATAGGGAGAGGCGGTGGTCGGAGGGGAGGGACTTTGAGAAATGCGGTCGGATGAACATTCTTTGGAAGGGGGAAGTGGTTGTGGTTGTGACGGTGATGTTGAGAGTTTTGGATGATCAAGCGGGAGAGGAGGATGGGAGGGAGGTAATTGAGACTGTGCAGAGTTCTTTTGTGCTTGGGCTTGTTGAAGCCATATTGATCTCGTCTTTGGGTCGACTGGGCATGCTGAGGAGGAGGCGCTTGATGTCGAGGTAGGTGGTGGTGGCTGAGGTATGGAGGAAGATGTCAATGTAGAGGCATGCGGTTGAGGTGGCTCCGGAACTGGATCTGCTTTCCACCAACCCATGGCGAATATATGAGATGCGGTATCAACAGCTAAGATAACGAGTGATTGAGCTCGGGCGGAAGGGGAAGTGGTTGACTGAGAAATATATCGCCGGTGATGCCTGTAATAAGAGTTAGTAGAGTAAGTCGTAGTCGAGTTCCCTCTTAGCGGGCCAAAGAAACCTTTTTCCATCTGCCCGCATTTTCTCCGACAAGTTTCTACGTTGCATGTAATATAGTAAATACACCACATGCTACATCTTGCAGAACGACGTTTTCTCCTCCTCGACCTTCTCTGGAGACACTCAAAATGTCGGGATCTCCTCAAATTTACCGTACTAGCACCACGGCGCCGGTCAACATCGCTGTAATAAAGTAGGTACGCCAGAGAAGAAAGTCTCCTGCTGGGTTGACAATGGAACGAAGCTTACTGACGACCCTCGCTGTAGGTACTGGGGAAAGCGAGATGTGGCTTTGAATCTGCCCACGAATTCGTCCTTGTCTGTCACTCTGTCGCAAAAGTCACTGCGAACACACACCACCGCTTCATGCTCCGAGTCGTTCTCGGGGCCCGACTCGCTCATACTCAACGGAGAAAAGGAGGACATTGAATCTTCAAAAAGAACACAAGCATGCCTAAAGTCCCTCCGGTCTTTACGAGAGCAGCTCGAGTCCAAGGACAACTCTCTACCTAAACTGTCCAAGTTGACTCTGCGACTGGTCTCGGCGAACAACTTCCCTACGGCCGCGGGGCTGGCCTCCAGTGCTGCAGGGTTTGCGGCACTGGTCAGGGCGATCGCCAACCTTTACGAACTGCCTCAGTCGCCCGAGGAGTTGTCGGTCATTGCGAGACAGGGGTCTGGTTCCGCCTGTAGAAGTTTGATGGGAGGGTATGTCGCGTGGAGGGCCGGCACGAACAAGGACGGAAGCGACAGTCTTGCTGAAGAGGTTGCACCCGCATCCCACTGGCCCGAGATGAGGGCGTTGGTGCTGGTTGTCAGTGCAGAGAAGAAGGGCGTGCCGTCCACCGCGGGGATGCAAACTACGGTCGAGACGTCGACACTGGCACCGGCACGGTTCAACGAGATCGTCCCGCGGAGAATGAAGGAGATCGAGAAAGCGATCCACGACAAGGATTTTGAGACGTTTGCCCGGATCACGATGCAGGATTCCAACTCGTTCCACGCCATCTGCTTGGACTCGTGGCCTCCTATCCACTACCTCAACGACGTGTCTCGTGCAGCTATGAATGCTGTCGAGACCGCAAACCGCAAGGCCGGGAAATTGGTCGCTGCTTACACCTTCGACGCCGGTCCGAATGCGGTAATTTACTACCTAGAGGAGCACACTCATCAGGTCGCTGGTGTCTTCAGAAACATCCTGCCCAATACACCTGGGTGGGAAGGGGAGTTTGGTGATGCTATCGGCAAGAACGAATACGGAAGTCTAGAGCAAAAGACTTTTATGACCCTCAAGGCCGGTGTCAGTCGAGTCATTTGTACCGGCGTCGGGGGAGGACCAGAAAAGATTGATCAGCATTTGATCGATGCAAGCGGAAATCCTGTGCCAGTTGATTCGTAATAATGACCATTAATGCCCAAGGCAAGACTGAGAGACAACTTGGGCTTATTAGGCCCAGAATTTCCCGTACCCACCACTCTGATTTCTGCCAGGCCAGAGCGTGACAATTTCCTACCGTGTGTACTCACCCATATTATGTACCCGTCTCCGTATGCTTTTCGAATAATTATCTGCGCTATCGAATGGTGTGAGAGCCTACAAGATATCCAAGCAGTGTGGTGTGAGGCCAGAATCCGGTGAGACTCTGACGCTGACAGAATTTACGAGTCACTGCGGAGAATCGACTGTACTCTTTGTACGGAGTAGAAATCTACCCCGGAGACGATAAGAGAATGGAGGGTCTTTGGTGGACTCGATTAAGCGCGGTGGGCTCAACGGTTGGAAAATCCTTCGGGGCGCCTGGCGAACCACATTCAGCCCTTTTCCCTCCTGTCAGGCCTTCCGCGAGTGCGTCCCAGCATTTGGGAGCACGGAGTGCATCACCTTTCTGACATCTCGGCGAAGTCAGCATATCGGTGGTCCGATCCAAATCAGTACGAGTCGTCCGTGCTTCGTTTCCTTTTATCTTGTAGTGTAAGCTGTGAGCATATGAAAAGGACTCCCGGCCACACCAAACCCCCATCTGGAGACTCCACCGAAACGTACAGTATCTTGCCTTCGTCGACGTAGCGCCAGAGCCGAGGCAAGAAGGCCAGACTCAACGACTCAGTTTCACTTTCTGACTCGCATCTTTCGATGCCCTTTTGAACTCGTCTCTTCTATCCATACCTTGTGCCGGTCATATATATCTTCCTTGCGTACAACACTATCGCCCTCTGGTTTCAAACAAGGATCCTGAAACTCTCCAGTCGTCATGTCGGGCACTACCTTTGACGTTCTCATCATTGGAGCTGGTATGTAGCTTCCTGCTTGAGTTCTATGAAATCTCAGACTTGCCTCTATCGCCCTCCCCGTTACTGACACTCTCTCAGGCATCAGCGGTATCAACTCTGCCTATAGACTCCAAGAGGCTCTACCAGACTATTCTTATGCTATTCTCGAAGGCCGCAATGAAATAGGTGGCACCTGGTCCCTGTTCAAGTATCCTGGCATCAGATCTGATTCTGATCTTCACACCTTCGGCTTTGCTTTTGATCCGTAAGTTTTCTCCTGTCACGACCTGCAAGGAGAATTGCATTTCCATGCTCTTTCTGTTTGTGAGATACCTAACCATAGATCTATAGCTGGAAGGAAGATCGTTCCATCGCTGATGCGCCTTCGATCCTCAAGTATGTCAAGGAAACGGCGGCTCGTCATGGCATTGACAAGCACATCTTGTACCATCACAAAGTCGACAAGATGAACTGGTCAAGTGAACATCAACAATGGCAGCTCGACGTCACCATCAACGAAACCGAAAAGAAGAGGTTCTACGCTCGCCACATCTGTCTCGGTACCGGCTATTACGACTACAAGACGCCCCTGCAGAGCAAGATCCCTGGCATTGAGAACTTCAAGGGAACCGTGGTCCACCCACAATTCTGGCCCGACGATCTGGACTACACCAACAAAAAAGTCGTCGTCATCGGCAGCGGAGCAACGGCTGTCACCATCTTACCCAACATGGTCGACAAGGTCCAACATATCACCATGTTGCAACGGAGTCCAGGCTACTTCCTTCCACTTCCTCTCAGCGAACCTATCGATCGATTCATCAAGAAAATTCTGCCGGAAAGTTGGGCGTACAAACTCATCCGCATCAGATTCATGCTGTTGTCGGTCTTCTTCTTCAACTTCTGCCGTCTCTTCCCTAAGCAGGGGATTCAAACACTACGCAAGGGTACCGAGAAGGAATTGCCGCCAAACATTCCATTCGACCCTCACTTCGTGCCCAAGTATAAGCCGTGGGAGCAGAGGATGTGTATTACTCCAGGTATGTTGCCGCCCTTTGAGTGTGCCCATTGTCCTTGAAGTGCATGGTAACTGACCAAGTCACCAGGTGGTGACTTCTTCGCGGCCCTCCGGACCGGTAAAGCCGACATTGCAACGGACACCATCGAGATGGTGACCGAATCTGGCATCAAACTCAAATCCGGTCAGACCCTCGACGCCGATATCATTATTACTGCTACGGGTCTGAAGATTCAGTTTGGTGGCGGCGCGACTGTCGCAGTCGACAACGAGCCAGTTCATCTCGGTCAGAAATACACGTGGCGTGGCGCCATGATGCAAGATTTGCCCAACTTTACCTTTGTCTTTGGGTACACAAACGCCAGCTGGACACTCGGTGCTGATGCTACGGCCCAGCTCTGGGTCAGAATTCTCAAGACCATGCGTGACAAGGGTTTGACGACCGTGGTACCCAAGGTCGGCGACAAGGAGGTCATTTCGAACGTTCCATTCCTCAATTTGAACAGCACTTATATCAAAGCTGCAGAGCCAGAGCTGCCAAAGGGCGGTGACCGAGGGGTAAGTTTAATCCTTGTCAACAGAACAAAAAGCATGTGCTAACGAACCTTCAGCCATGGAGGCCGAGAAGTTCCTTCATCAAGGACATGTGGTTCGCTAAATTCGGTGATATTCAGACTGGTTTGCGCTTTTCTCGAGTCTCGACTTGATATGGAACCAAGTCGTTCAACTGGCGGATAGAAAAGACTGGGTCAACGGCCAAGGAGTTGGGGTTGCTTGATATGGGATTCAGTGGTATAACGATGGGGAAGTTTGGACAAGCGTCGAGACCTGATGTCGGTCGTTCCCATTGCGATGAAGGTAGACATGTTGGCTGCTCCGCCGCTGTTTTGACACGTTAGGGTGTCACTTTTTCGGTATCCTTAGCGAGGCCTATACATTGAGTCTGTTATTAACCCAAGACGTGAACATGTCTGGCTAGAATCAGTGCGATTTAACAAGTTCAGTACTGCAAATGTCGAAACAAGTTCCAGTGAAGATAAATCGTGTGCACATGATATCCCACGGAGATATGATTTTCCGATATCCGAAGACAGCCGCAAATGGACTGGTCTCGACACCTTTTTTTTTTCCGGAGTCTGAGTTGGCGAGTGGGAATCACCAGAACTTCCATACCACGTTGCCGCCTTACTTTTTTTTTCTTTTGCAGTGTTGTCAGCAACGACCTCTTCAATTTTACCAACATCTCCAACGACCGTCAGAGTTTCGAAAATACAAAACCTCAAGGCCATCTTCCAAACTTTGTCTCGACAAAACCATCATCCTCTTCGCAAAGAAACAATGGGTGGCGGTAACGGAGCAAAAGCTGCCACGCGCAGAGCCAGAAACGCAAAGGAAGCAGCTGGGAAAGAACCAAAGTCTCAATTGAAAACGGTGTGTACCTTTTAACTCTTTTTCCCGTTCAAAAATGTTCTTCTTCTTTCTGGATGTTTTTGCTGTTGTTTGTCTCGTTCAAAACCGAGGGATTCCGAGACTTTCGTCCCTCATCCCTTGTCTCTTGATTATACCTTACCCGTCAATTGAGAAACGGCAAAAATGAAACTGATCATTATTACGTACCACAGAACGCTGCAGCACAAAGTTTCAAATGCAAAATCTGCTTCTCGACATTTCAGAGTACCACGACCCAGAAAGGTCTCGAGGAACACGCGGCGAACAAACATGGCAAGAAGTTTGATGAATGTTTTGCCTAAGAAGGACAGGTATACACCTACCTAGGTCCACAGTCAGGTTCACGACACCACTTGCCAAGGTTGATTCGACCCTGGGGTTGTGCGGGAGTCTGAGAGCCTGAGAAAGTGCTCCTTGGTTGATCTGGAATTCATTTTCGAGGCTTCTACGAAAATGCTTTCAAAGCAAAGCCATTTGAACACGATCGCATCAACGTTTGATATGGGACTGGAACTCGAACTCGTACTCCTGGATGCAATCAATTCTCCCACCTCTCTTTTTTTTGTAGAGGGTTCAGAAATATTAGCGGGGAGTTCTATGGGATTTTTTGGCCTTTTCCGTATCATCATGTCACGTTTGATACGGAGTCATGAACAGAATTTGGAAAAAAAAAGAGAAGAACTTTTGAAATGTCAATGAATGATTGATGAATATTGGATTTGAACTTTTTTGGTCTTTGCAGATTTCCGAACCATTCTCCTCTTAGTAGTATTCAGCGACAATGAGGCATCGGTGTTTGTTACCTGAAGATACCTGGTGATACCTCCGCATTTGGGTTATTGCTATATTCGTTATGAGAAACGTACGGAGTATTTTGTACAAGAGTACAACGTACAAGGCTGAGATACATGTGAGTAAGGAGTTCCAAGGCTACCGAGAGGCGTAATAGGGCGCGTTGCGGTTGAGCCAGGCATCAAGGCGGAGTTCCGCGACTGAACCCTTTATATACTCGATACGGTCCTCGTTCGAATACGAATACTTCACGTCTACATACTGTACTCCGTACTCACTCCTAAGTAGGTACAGACAAAAGAATTTTACATCTACCATTTCGTTTTTGGTATTGGACAATACTTTTCATGATTTGTTGCTACTAGTGGATTTCTTCTCTCCGGGCTTTTTATTTATTATAACCTCTGATCAAGCCAGAACTGGTCACCAACCACTTTTACCTTTATATTTATATGTACACAATTCCTCGACATCATGTTAAACGACACAAACGAGACGACCGATGCTTCTAACACCACCTTCTCTCCGGTCCCTGCTCCTTTGGAAGAGGCCGTACCGCCGGCACTCTTGCACCGATCTCTCCGTCAGGCCCCTTACCTGGTGAAATCCGCCAAGGGACTCGCCATCACACTGTCCGACGGGCGGACCGTCCTCGACGCCTGCGGAGGCGCCGCCGTGGCCTGCCTGGGCCACGGCAACGAGGAAGTGCTGCGCGCGGTGACGGCCCAAATGTCGAGCGGCGTGAGTTACCTGCACTCGCTGACCTACACGACGTCGGCGGCCGAGGAACTCGCCCACGCCCTCGTCGACGGACCCCACGGCGGGTCCAGGTTCGGTCTGGAGCGGGCGTACTTGGTCAACAGCGGCAGCGAAGCCATGGACGCCGCCCTCAAACTGGCCCGGCAGTACTTTTTCGAACTCGACGGCCCCGGGACGACGAGGTCACACTTCGTCGCCCGCCGTCAAGCCTACCACGGCACCACCGTCGGGGCCATGAACGTCAGCAGCAACCTGCCGCGCAAGATCCCCTACGCCAACCTCCAACTACCCAACGTGTCTTGGGTCACCCCGGCGTACCAGTACCAGTACTCCAACTGGCGCCAGGGCGAGACCGAGGGAGAATTCGCCGCGAGACTCGTCGAGGAGCTGGACGCCCATTTCCGGTCTCTCGGCCCGGACAAGGTGGTCGCCTTCATCGCGGAACCTCTGGTCGGCGCGACGAGCGGATGCACGCCCGCACCAAAGGGCTACTTCGCGGGCGTGAGAAGGGTCTGTGACGAGCACGGGGTCCTCTTGATCCTCGACGAGGTCATGTGCGGCATGGGCAGGACGGGGACGCAATTCGCCTTTGAACAGGAGGAAGGACGCGTGGTCCCGGACATCATGACCATGGGGAAAGGTTTGGGTGGAGGGTTCGCCCCGGTGGCCGGGATGCTCGTCCACAAAAAGGTCCTCGACGTCCTCCGAAAGGGGACCAGCAGTTTCAACCACGGCCACACCTACCAGGCCCACCCGGTGGGGTGCGCGTCCACGCTGGCGGTGCAGAGGATCATCGCCCGGGACGGCGTCATCGAGAATTGCGCCCGCATGGGCAAGGTCCTGCGGTCCCTGTTGGGCGACACGCTCGGGCCCCGAAAGTACGTCGGCGACATCAGAGGGCGTGGCCTGTTCTGGGGCATCGAGTTCGTCAGGGACAAGACCACGAGGGATCCGTTCCCGCCCGGTGTCGCGTTCGGCCCAAGATTTCAACAGATGGCTTTCGAGTTGGGAGTGGCAGTCTACCCTGGTAGTGGGACCGTGGATGGCACAAAGGGAGACCACGCCATCATATCGCCGCCGTACAACGTGACGGAGGACGAGCTGAGGGAGATTGTGCGTATTGTACACGAGGCGTACGAGAGACTGGAAAAGGAGGTTGACGATGCTGGACATGGCCGGTAATAGAGACGATGCCCCAATATACTGGACAAACAAAAAGGTACTGCACCACATTATTCATTAGTCCCTTACGGAGTACTCGTTCTCGGTCACACATAAAAACCACTCCTTCTTCTCTGTCATAGCAGAGTGTCTCTTGAGGTAATGTGACCAGTTCCTCCTGTCCATTCTCAACATGGTAATGGGTTGAGTATCTTGACGTAACGTACGTAGGTCCTGTATCTCATTCCGAATGCTCTGGTGTCCAATTGCCAAACAAAAACAAAAGACAACTGTATCGTATTGATACCTTGTTCTTGAACCCCAAAATAAAACTCCACGTCGGTCTGTCCGTCCGTTCAATATAAGTCTCTTCATAATGCATGGCGTAGAATGATAGTCGTCAACCTGCCTCCCCCTTCTATCGTACCGTCACCTCCGCCTTTCCGTTGCTTTGTGGTCGAGGGATATCTTTGAGTTCGCTACCCGTACCACTTTGACCTCGCTTCCGTCCTGGAATTATATGGAAATGGTGCTTGCCATCCTCCTTCGAAGGCACATTCTCCCCATTCGAGTCCCCAAATCGAGACAAGAAACTTTTCTTCTTGGGTTGTTGTGGCTTGTTGTCTTCGGTTAACTTGACATCTTCAAAGTCTTCTTCCTCTTTCGTAGGCGCCTCAAAAGTGCTGCTGCTAAATGTAGACCTCGTAGGATATCGGGTGGGTGCTCGAGAATCTAGCGACGATCGAGATGTAAAACTGTCGGCTTGTAAGATGGGAGACCGCCCAGAAATGTCCTGTAGTTCATGTTAGTATCTAACCCGGTGTACACGGACATAGATGACGCACGAATGATCTTCTGTAAGACTCGAAGGACTCTCGAGAGATCGAGAATGGCTCATTGTCGTTGAAGCACTGTCGGTGGTTGGAGATGGTAGAGGTGGGCGACTTGGCTTTCGACCAGAAGGATTCTTTCTCAGTGGGTGAAGGCTATACCACCCTGTCAGTCAGGTTGTTGTTCTTGTTATTACAGTGTGAACTCTGAGGCTTACCGGGAGGTATTCACCACTATCGTTAACGGCTGTGTAGGCGAGTTGTTAGCCTCGGAATGACGCAGCGGGATCAATGTTATGGTCGCATACAACTCAACTTGAACTCGTTGGGTTCTGCTCGCTTTTCTTTCAATCCCAGTGCCAGTGAAGGCTTATCTCTATACGGACTAGAAATCAACCCATCCATAGACGTCGGCCGTGCATTTTCGTCCGAGGTTGGCTCGTTCGTGACGGGACGCCGGGATGTGAAGGGCATGCGAAAGGGTGGCATGGCGGCGGTGTTGTTGAATAAGGACTATCGAAAGGGAATCATGTACAGACTAAGTGGATGCGACGATGAGCGAGAAAATACGTGGGAGAGAATGTTGTAGGAGGGGAAGACTGGCCGGTGCATAAGAAAGTAATGTTTCAAGAAATGAGCATTGTGAGAGAAGGGCATGTTCCGGGAGTTGTCAGGCACGCCACGCAGAGACAAATATCTGATCGTATCAGGGCGGGATAAGGGAGCTTCGAGGAGAGGATTACGCTGCACATCTGCGCTTAGCCCACCAACCCGGTCCCTAACATCGCTCCCTCTAAGCCTACGAGGTTCCTCCTTCCGGGCATTCAGCGGCTCCCCCGGGACGAGGTCAACCGGATACGCAGCACTCACTACGATGATCTCGTACTCGTACAATCGCACGGATATATAGAAGCAGATCTCTCATTGGACATCGCCAGCATCCTCCTCCCTCCGAACTTCCCTGTCCACTAGACGTAGGGATCATGAATCAATCCAATAAAGTCGCTTTCCCTGGCTTTGTCAACGCCCTGTCAGCTGTCCTCGCATTCCAGAAAGAGTCGGGCTATGTCGCATGCAAGGTACAACAGACGAGACTGCGAGGGAACTACTCCTCGTGGAATGTCCAGAGTCCCGATAGACCCTGATGATTCATCCAAGCCCAGTTCGACCAGTACGCATTTCATCATGCTGTAGATCTCATTGAACTTTGGCGCTTTTCGACCGTTGTCCATCCTCCGCATTTGGCCCATCGCCAACCCCTATCCAAGATTCTTATTCCGTCCTTGCCGTTGGTGCCGTCTTTGTTTGCGCCCCGACAATTCCACATTCGTGACGTTGAAGATTGAATGAGATGGAAATCGTCGACAGTTGTCACGCTATCCATGTGCCTAGCAACTGATCGACTGGTACATTCATCGAGGCTGACGGGCTGCGAGGCTGTGTTTCAATGCATTGTCTTGCGAACCAGTCAAGTCCGATTCGTCTCCAGGACTACCGACATGTCGGACCACGTTGATGCATCCATCCGCGACAGTTATTCAAAGAAAAAAAATACACAAATCCATAGGAGCTGCCGTCGTCTGTTGCGCTCCTAGTCCTTCGCCGGCAGAACGCGAGTAATGTTTATCGGTGGGTTGACTAAGTGACAATCTGCACATATCGGGAGTACAATCGCCAACTTCAGCAGACTCATACTAACCGAAACACTTTGCAAAAGATCGCAACTGTACTTGTTTATGTCTGGATACCCAGGCAAGGCTTCGGCATACTGCAGATTCATGCGGTGCGGCAGTACAGAAATTCCTGTGCAGATGCAAGCACCTTCCCATGCAAGATTGTTAACCTGCCCTGCTTCACCTCGAAATTGTCACTGTGACTTCGTTTGCAATTCATCTTTTTTGGACAACAATAGAAGGAAAGTGCTAAGATGGCATTACTACGACTATACGACATGCTCAGGCAAGTGCTATCTCCATTGACCAATTCTAGCAACATCGCAGTCATTACTCTCGTGGTCCCCAGCAAGCTCGAGCCTCCCACCAGCCCATCATTACCACCGCTTGACCGGATCAGAAGCTGTTCTATCGTTTCTTTGCTGTTCGTCTTCGTTGCTCTTCGGAAATGGGACTCTGCTACCTCATCTTTCCTGGTCCCTAGCAATCCTCCCATATGTTACTCTCGCAGTATGGACCGAGACCACGTCCTGGATCCGGGTGCGGTCTTCTTTGTGGAATGGCCAACATGGGCAAGACTTTGTGTGGTGAGTCTTCATCCCCATGACCTTGTAACAATACTGACCCATGTCCAGGTTTTAGGTGTTCTATTAGTGCGTTTGCCGATCGACTTAATCCTTTCCGACTGACCACCCTAGGTCATACTTGTCGTGATGGCAATCTGTGTAAGGGTGCGAAACTGGAGGAAAAACCTCATGCTCGAGAGAAAGGCTACCGAAGCAGAAGCTGAAAGGGCAGAAATAAGTCTCTCGGCCAGGAAAAGCCATGACATACCTTTCGGAATACGTGCACTGCTAGAAGATCCAGAGGTCGAAGGAGTTTGGAATTCGCGAACAAACACTCCTCTTCGTTGCTACTCGCCCCGAAAGCATGGATCAGTTGCAAGTCTGCATCCTTGCAATCCGCCAAAATACACACCGTCGTCGTCTTCGAATGCGCAGCCAAGGACCGAAGAGAGTGAACTGGTCTCTCCAAATGGTATGGTCGTGGCTCTCATTTTTGTATTCACTGACAATGTCAAGAACGGCAGCCACTGAGAGATCCAATTACGAAAGTCGATGGAGGCTCTGATTCTCGAAGTAAGAGCAAGAAGTTTGTCATCAATCATCAAGGACCTTACCTTCGATCAGATCTTGCGAGGGAGCCGGGTATGACAGAATCTGGCTTTGTACATTTTCAAATTAGCTTTAAATGTTGTTAACCGTGTTACACAGATCGCGATTCGAACACCACTCGCCCGAGATTGGATAATTCTCCTTCAAAGATGTACCTGCGTCCGACCGCAAATCAAAGTTCCAATAGTGGACGCAAGTTTGTCATCGGCAATCGACACAAAGACCTGCCTAGACACCCCGGACGCGAAGCGGTGTCTGAAGCGAACGCCCTCGAGCGCATGGAAGCCCATCGGAGATTTCACGCTGCAGAAAGTGGACAATTACTGCCTAGGTCTCGTCGACGTAATACAGATCTTGCTTTGATGTCACCTCTCGCATCATCTGCCTCAGATAGCGATGATGGCGACTCTGTCGATATTGTGTCGAGCCAAGTCAGGGCCTGGCAACGTGGTACAGCGGAGATGAATTTGGGCAAACAGCTGTCTCGACGAGTTGAGAGAATGGAAGGTCCCAAGGCTGTTCCATTCAGAGCATTCGTCGAGTCGCTACCGACATCCAAGCCTCCCCCGTCTGCTTGGACAAACAAAACTCAGGCAAGGCTCGATGCCAAGTTACCGCCATCCTCAAAAGGAAGCGAGACTGCCTCCCAGTCTTCCAAGCACACGCCCAACTCTTCAATCAGCTCCACCTGTACTTCACCCACATCTCAGACAAGCTCAGTCTCGATTGTCAATACCCGGACACGGAAAGTCAATTCCGGTTTCGAAGTGCTCCCTGCTGGCACATTAGAGAAAGGACCGGATGTGAAGGAGTTTGGACTTTGGCCAGAGAACCCACGTGTCACCATCTCCAAGAAGCCTAGAAAGCTGCAAAAGAGGCGGTCCCAGTCAAATTCTTCAAGTCGCCGGAGCTCAGTGGAGAGTGCAAGAACGAGCAACGAAAGCTTTCGATTCCCAGTATTCTGAACGGAAAGGAACGGGGGCATTAGTTTTGCCCGATCATGATGTTGGAATATGATTAAATTGGGCTTGGATTCATCGAAGGTCGGAGTTAATGGGACCAGGGTCGCAGTAATGAAGGTGTTTTGCGGCTCTTAGGTGCTTCTATTGGCATAACGTTCACTCTTGGTCTTTCAGGATGGCATTATTGCGCACGACTGTGCGTTTCTCGAGGTTTACACTATCAGACTCAAATATTATTTAAGTGCCTTTTATGGTCATGGGCTATATTCTCTGTTCTATATTCTGGCCAGCTGAGTGTTTATCAGGTCGAAACGCCAAACTCCTTTTGTAAGATCGTGTAGCGTTCGTAGTCGTCAACTCCGACACTGGGCCTAACTTCGGCCATGGCCCTCTGGAAGTCGGCCGTAGTCAGCGTGATGTCCTCTGGAGGCAGGCCTAGGGCGGTGCAGCGGCTGATGGCCATGAGACCGGCGCGCTGCAACAAGGCCTTTAGATCGGCACCGCTGAAGCCCTCGCACAGTCGGGCGACGGTGGCGACGTCGTCGTCAAAGGCAAAGTTTGGGATCTTGCGGCACAGGGTGCGCAAGATGTCGACGCGGCCCTCGGCGTCGGGCAGGCCCACGAAGAGGAGAGTCTCGAGCCTGCCGGGCCGCAGCATGGCCGGGTCGATCATGTCGGGGCGATTGGTGGCGGCGACGACGTAGATGCCGTCGCGGTCGGAGCCGACGCCGTCGAGCTCGGCCAGCAGGGTGTTTGTGACGCGGGCGCTGGCCTCGGAGCTGGTGCCGTCGCGGCGGGGCGCCAGGGCGTCGAGCTCGTCGAAGAAGATGATGACGGGCACGCTCGAGCGGGCGCGGGCAAAGACCTGGCGCACGGCGCGCTCCGACTCGCCCACGTACTTGTTGAGCAGCTCGGGGCCCTTGACCGAGATGAAGTTGGCGTGGGAGCTGTTGGCGCACGCCTTGGCGAGGAGCGTCTTGCCGCAACCGGGGGGGCCCCAGAGGAGCGTGCCGGACGACGGGGTGATGCCGAGGTTGGCGTACTTGGCTGGGGTGAGGATGGGGGATATCACCGTCATGTCGAGCTCCGAGATGTGGCGCGACAGGGCGCCGATGGACGCGAAAGTCGTGCTCGGAACGGTGGCGAAGCCTTCTCGCAACGCGGACGGTTGGATCTTGGGCAGGGCGGTGAGGAAGTCGCTCATTGTCACGTGTACGACGGACTCGTCCTCGCCTTCGCCGTTGGGATTCGGGTGGTGGGGGTTGGAAGAAGCAGTAGCAGTGGTGGTTGCTTCTGTTGATGCAAGAGGTGCGGCTGGCCGAGGGTAGGTGGCTGTGGTAGAGGTGTACTTGATGAGACGCCTCAAGGACGCCAGCACAGGCGAGATGTTCGAGTCTGGATGATCGACGGGCATGTCGACGGCCATCGAGGAGGACTCGGCATGGGCTTTGATCAAGTTCAATTGCCTTTTGATGGCGGCGGCGCCGGCGGTGGAGACGAGGTCGTTCAGATCTGCACCGACGAAGCCCGGCGTGCGTTTGGCGAGGAGAGAGAAATCGACGTCGGAGGAAAGATTGGTTTCACGGGTCAATGCACGGAGAATCTGTTCGCGAACAGGTTCACTGGGTACAGTCATGTTGATTTCCTTGTCGAACCGGCCACCCCGCCGGAGGGCTGGGTCAAGAGCGTCCGGACGGTTTGTTGCCGCGAGAACAATGACGGGCTTACCGTCGGTCTTTGCGAGAGCAAGGTCGTCCATGCAGGTCAGGAGTTGAGCGACGATTCGCTTCTCCATTTCACGCTGGGCGGATTCTCGCTTTGGGGTGATGGCGTCGATCTCGTCGATGAAGATCAAGCATGGTGCGCAACGTTTTGCTTCTTCAAAGTGCTCACGCAGTGCCTTTTCGGATTCTCCTGACATGCCTGAGACTATTGAGGGTGCAGATATCGAGATGAAGTTCACTCCGAGTTCGGCGGCGAAGGCATTGGCGATCATGGTTTTCCCGCAGCCAGGAGGGCCGTGGATGAGGACGCCTCGCGGGGGCTGTACCTTGCTGGATGTGTATATCTCGGGACGAGTCATTGGAAGGACAAGGAGGTCTTCGAATTGCTGTATCACATTGTCCACGCCTCCCAAGCTGGCCAAGTTTATGTATGTAGGCGCAGTATGGTCGATGGTATCTCGGGGAACATCGCGAGCCTTGCGACGTTTGGCGGGCGGTTCGCCATTTGTTAAACGCTTGGAGATTGTTGTCTCCATGGGAGTACCGTCGGAGTCAGTCGTACGCTTGGGCGACTGAAGGCCTTCATTGGACTTTGACCATGCGCCTACGATTGACCGATTGAGTCCACTGGAGACTTTGAGGCTCTGTGCTTCGGCGGGTGTTTCAACGGGCATGAACTCGTCTGAGTCATCCTTTGCATCTTGTTGTATAGTATCGAGAACTCGTTCAATACTGTCTTCCAGCAACTTTTTTGGCTTGCGATTGAGGCTCGAGTTCGACCTCTTAATATCGTCGTAGATAGTCGAGAAGGAGAGGCGGGTATCGGAATCACCGTACTGGCTGCGCTCGTCGAGAATTTTGCGCACAACTTGGTAGACCTGGGATGAGGGGTTAGAGCTGGGGATAGATACAAAAGTGTGGGATAGGTATACCTCTCGGTCTAGACCTTGACTTAAGGTCGTTCGACGGTGTCCGCCTGGAGCCATTCTTGAGTTCAGTGAAGAGAGAAATATGTAGGGAACTTTTGAAGCCCGAAAAAGTAAATAGTTGCATGACTCGCGACTGAATTGTTAGCGCAGAAAATGACTCGAGTGCATCTTTCTCAGCATATTATGCCTGTGCTTGGACAGGAGAATTTTTCAAGGCCTGATGATGTTGGTAAGATCAACCTTGATATGGGTTCAATTTTATTCCCTGTCAATAGAAAATGCGTGCAAAGTCGGTGCTAGATATCGTGGTGCTATTCTCAAAGTTTCTTACATTTCTCTCCCGCTCGCACCGAAGGATCTGACAGCTTCGCCCACCAGAGGCACTTTCTTACCAGGAAATTCACTAAACAACACATTTGGCAATGGCTCCCCTATGTATAGAGTATTAATCCGGACAAAGCCGTGATTCCCTGATCAGACGGCTCTTGTATTGGAGTGTTGTACGGGGTACCGGTTCCCAGGTACTTCGATGCCAAGGACATTGCCGGGTGTAAGCGAAATACTGGGGAAGAAATTGGAGGAGCCTGGATGTTCATCCTTTCTAGGCATGTGGCATTCCTTCAAACACTCATACCATCTTACTCTCACCAATTCTAAGCTCAACACAATCGCATCCCTTTCCCATAGTATACTGTGTTATCTTCTCTTCACGACTCTGTTCTCGACGAAGTTCGTCAACTCATATGCCTCCCTGATGACGCCTCGATGACCTACATCCCAACACCAAGGCGCATCGTGCCTGGATGCCCGTCCTGAATCCTTTTCTGCGCGCGCTCTTTCAGAGTAGTGTGCTAGGGCATGCTCTAGCATCGCAGAATTATGTCCTACTCGTACCTACCACCGAGTCGCTTCTATACGGCCAGGACCGTGAGACGAACAAGCGCTATGCGGACCAGGCTGACGATGAGGACTTCCTGGGGAGTCACATCCTGCGCATCACTCCCCCGACGGCAGGGAAAGAGGGAAATGTCCGTGATAACCGTGGGAAAGCGAAAACTTACGCCACGGTCAATGGGAGGTCTGTGATATTGAAAGAGAATATCGTGTATACGAATAAGGGGTTCAAACAGTTGACCCAGGCTACACTTTTGACCGATTTGTTATACTATTCTTCAGGGACTGAAATGCAGCAATGGCTTGTTTATTATATCAGCAAACCTCTGACTGGGGTCTTCGAGGCATTACCTATCAAACCAGCCATCATCGGACAGAGTAAACTGCTTCCTCCGCCATCCGCGACTTCGTCCTCGGCCGAGCCAACCCCGAGGAAGAAAGACATCAAGACGTTCAACGAGTTGCTCAATAGCTTTCCCATGATCGCGCGACAAATGCAACCTGGCTTAGAGAGGTTGTTTAATGAGTTTGGCAAAGAGCTGGGCAAGCCGTTGCCTCCACCCCCATCACGCAGCCCAACTTTAGGTTCTCTAGATGGCGTAACCCAGACTTCGGAAAACGGCTCGATCAAGTCCAACGGCTCTCTTAAACTGCCCTTTAATTCCGCAGCGTACTTCGAGGACGAGGAAGATTTGATGCGTCGAGCACTGGAGACAGCAGTTACGGCCGCAATTGATTTGTTCCAGGATGTCGACAAGCAGCAGCTGTCGTATCTCGGCGCTACCACCGACTTGACTGGTCCCGACGTTGAGCGACTGATTGAGAGATACGTGGCAGAGTATGTTCACGATCAACTGCTGTTCCCACGATTGTGCGCCTTTTACAAAGCTCAAGATCAAGAACTCGACCGACGAATGCGCCAGATGGATTGCCTGGACGTCTCTCAAGTTGGAATTGCAATTGAAGATGGACAAAAAGGCAAGCGGGATTTAATAGGCAGAATAAACCGCGGAGTTGCTGTCTTTCGCAAGATGGGAGTTGCCAGCAGTCCTCAAGAAATGCTCGATACTCTGCTTGAAACTCAGAGGGTGGTCTCTGAACAAGGCATCACGGATGAAGAAAAGCGAGCGGCAGCGATGACAATCAATGCTGATATCCTGGTGTCCCTTCTACTCCTTGTTGTCATCCGGTCTTCCGTAAGACATCTCCAGGCCAGACTGGCATACATGCAGCGCTTCATCTACATCGATGATGTCGAAAGTGGCGAAATAGGATACTCGTTGAGTACACTGGAGGCCGTCTTGACCTATCTCGCACGAGATGCAGGTGGCTTACGCAAGGCATCTAAACAAAACCAGATGCTCTGGAACGCGGTCAAGGACGGCAGGGTTGAAGACGTGAAGTCTGTCTTTGAAGAATCAGCCATCCTCACCGATGACTTTATGGATGAACCTATCGAGCTCTCGCTTTCAAGAAAGACGACACTGTCCGCAGTTTCGACTCCTCGGGATTCTCTTTCACGGACAAACTCTAGTGAAGGTGGCCTAGCACATGTCTTTCCATTTCAAGCCGCGGAGAGAAGTCTGTCTACGCCCAAACAGAAGAAAAAAGTCAAGATGGCGGCTAGGAGCATGTCGATATCTTCAGCCTTTTCACTCTCGTCTAGAGCTGCTACAATTGAGACCAGTCTCAGTGGTATCGAAGGGGATACATCTGTTCAAAGCCTGGCACAAACGCAAGACGGAGTTGGTAATTCTGTGCTTATGATGGCCGTGGAAAGTCAACAGCCACAATCCTTACTGTATCTGTTAAGTCTTCACGAACATTACGGGACGGAAGACATCCTCGACGATACCACTCAAGATGGAGCAACCCTACTCAGTGCAGCAGTCCAAGGTGCGAATACTGAGCTGGTCAATATTCTTCTCGATTTTGCCGAGCAGAATACCAACGAGACACGCTTCAGGGAATACCTCGCCGTCAAAGATTCTCGAGGGCGCAGTGTGGCCCACTATATCTTTAACACCCCTAGCTTGATCAAAAGACTTGCCAATGTGCTACCCTGGCGACAAAAAGATAAAATCGGACATACACCTCTCTTTGCGATTTGTCGAACGTACGACCATAACGAATATAGCAATATGGTTTCTGAAGCTCTTATAGCCGCGAAGCAGGCCCAGGGTGACGACGGTCCATTACGGTTGGAAGACCACACTGACAACAAGGGCAACTCCTTGCTTCATATCGTCAATGATGCAACAATAATGCAGCGCTTACTTCAATACTGCGAGGTCGATGTGAATGCCATGAATGACAAGAAGTTTACTCCTTTGATGCTTGCAAGCAAATATGGCCGGATTGATATGGTGCGCATATTTCTTGGCGACTCGAGAATAGACACACATCTCCGCGAAGCAAGAGGTTTGACGGCTGTCGAATTGGCCAAAGATGACGAGGTGCGAAATCGCATCGACGATCTAACCCTCTTTTCACCTTCAAATGTGGCAGACATGACCGGCCGTATAACATCCATAGTCCGGTCTTTCTTTGTCGAGGATGGCTCAACGCGGTACATCTTGAAGTCTGGCGCACCGAATCCGGCTGTGTCAAGCACGACCTACACCATTACCACGAGTCGCCGAGCTCTCCAGGACTTTGAAAACCTTGCCAAATGGCTTTCGATGGATCACCCGGCCTCCTACATGCCCACGGTTCTCGCCTCGAATTTCCGTAGTCCATTTCAACTTCACTCACGCCCTTCCCGTGCCGTTCTGTACGACGCCCAAACTCATCTCGACCGATTCCTCAAGATCCTCATGAATCACCCGACTTTCTCCACGCACGAAATGCTCTGGGAGTTTTTCCTCGTGCCCGACATGCTTCCGGACCAGATGGCCGAGCGTGCACGCCTCAAGGCCGAGCTCGTGCAGGAAAAGATCAGCGATGATTACGAGCCACTCACCAACCATGGCGATGTTCTTGCCGTGGACAATCTTATCTCGCATTCTCGCGAAATGGTCCGTCGTGTGAACAACAGTACCCGTGCCATTGTCCGACGGGGACACTTGTATGTCCAAGCGCAGGCAGATTTGGCCGAGAGTTTGAGTTTGTGCGCTGTGGCATTTGCGTCCATGGGGACACCGGCGACGACTTTGCCCAGGATCCACGTCGATACATTCATCCGTGTGGCGAGTCAGATGCACACGGAGAACGCATCGAATCCATTGGCAAGTTATGTTTTGAGCATGAGCAGCTTCCACAGTACGATTGCGGCGGTGCAAGGTGCATTGCTTCGACCTGGTCAACTTATTGAACGGATCGGCACGTTACAGAAGAGTATTGACAAGGGAAGGTTGAACTTGGCCAATGGCCAGGTGGTCAGGAAGGGCGTCCTCGGTGGTATCAATTTCCCTGGGAGTGAGGAAAGCAAGGCCAAAGCAAAGAGGGATGTAGAAAAGAAGATTGCAAAGAATGAAATTGAAGTTGACATGTTGGGGAGAGAATTGAGATATACACAGGAAGTCGTGGTTAGTGAACTCGCAGGTTGGACTACGTGGAGAGAGAGTTGGGGGAAAGAAGAGGTCAAGAGGTTGGCTTCGGCCATGGTGGTGAGGGAGAGAGAAAGACTGAATGGGATGCAGAGAGCCCTTAGAGCTTTGAAGGAGGCGTAGAAATTGTGGACGGGTATTTGGATAATCGACTGGAAAAAGGAGCTGAGAGGGGGTTTAGATGGATTGAAGATATTAGCCCCCCATTGCTGGCGAAAGAAGAAATATGGATTGATGGATTGAACTGGGAGTATTACATCTATATGGAAGTATCTAGGTCGTAGCAGTAGGGGTGATGATAGACTGCCCTACCGAGTCAGTACTCTCTAGTATTGGTATTAGTATTACCAGATGTTACAAAATATTGAGGTACCAAGTCAACAATGTTTACGAAGCAATAAAGTCTTGAAGTGTAAGTGTGTATATTGTAATAGACGTCGAAGAAAATCATATTCATTTAATCTCGTGTGCATGTATGTCTTTTCATCGCATTCCACGGAGCATGGGATACATATTTTACTTGATACTTTGAGGGTCAATATGTCCATAATCCATATTCCTTGTTATCCGATACGATGGTATATGGATTTTTTTTTCAACCGTGAGTCACTTTTCTGACCGTGCCATCCTTGTCGACATGAATGTTTAGTCTGGTGATGACAAAAAATAGATTAGTCTTTTGACCAAAGTTATTGTATAGGTTGAGTAAGTAAGGTGTGTGGTGTGGTGAAGGGTTGTTTGTTACCTATCAGGATTATGATCCATTGTCATCATACCACCTTCGTGATCGACGATGCGATGGTTTTGTGGTAGATCCTTTTTGGCGAAACTCGAAGCGTCGGAGGAGGAGGAGTCGGACAGTTTTTTGCCCATGAGTTTGGTCATCCACGAGTCTGTCGAGGATGAGTCCTTGGAGTTGATACCTGGGACGACGAGAGGCATATTGTGTTTTTCTTTTGAATATGATTGTACAGTGTATTCAGACCGCAGAGAAGAAAGTGCCGGTTGGGTAGGGTATCTTTGTCGGGGAGAATCAAGGTTATGAAAGGTCAAGACGAAGAAGAGGATCTAATTAGATATAATACCTACAGTTTGTATGAAATACTGATGCCTGGCTTATTACAACTTTTCGACATGACCGCGGAACGATGACGTCGAAAATCAAAACTTCCGTCATCACTCAGTACATCTCTGTCCTCATCAGATTCTCGTAATAGTACGAGAGTATGTACGAGCATGATGGATCTACATCCTTTTAAGAATGTACAGTACTCCCAGCGTCTACACACGTTATCAATTGCCCCTTCACCTATGCAGACACGGAAAATTGACACCCCATGGTTTTGATGCTGTCGGCTGATGTCTAGTCAATTCACATTTCGCCAATGAACAACAAGAGACGATTGCAACTTTCCATTTGGCCGTTTCTAGTACAGTAGGTGTCGAAGACCAAACACTAATAGCGGCAACATGTATTCCCCGGCTCGGCGTGGGCGCAGCTTGCCATCCTCTGGATGCAGCTGAAATAGATGATGGAGAGTATTCACAAACTGCTGGAACAGAATGAAAAACAAGGCATCAACTGTAGGAAGCCGAACAACAAATCACGACACACCGCTCGAGTTGCCTACGCGTTTCACGAATTGAGGAGTTTACGTCTGTGAAGCTTGCTTTCAGGCATGGTCGTGGACCCGTGAGCAAAGTCGAGGAAGTTGGAATGCGTTACATGAGCTAATCTCGAGCGTGATTTGGAGGCAACTGAAACCATCAAGAAAGTCAAAAGAGAAGTTGGCATCACGAAGCGGGCTTGATATTGACGTACAGCGGCTCATATGGGCTGGAAGACAGCTCGAGGACGGTACAACCCTCGCCGACTATAACTGTGAGGCGGAAGGAGACCGTTCACGTCATTCGGACAGCAAGCCTCGCGATGGATCCAGAATCACCCCTAAGCCCAGACTTCAATTCTAGCCCTATAAGAACTTATCCTACCGACTTTGATACTCCGCCAGAGTTGGAACTAGATGATGGTCGGCCGTTATCGCCTCCGAAATATGCCACCCAGCCCTAAACTTCTCAGGTCGATCTGAAGGACTACGATGATGATCTGCATATTGTCAATCCGCGATCATTCCGTTCCAAAATCAAATCTTTGGAAGAGACAGTGATAGAGGCCTCCGAGTTCTCTCGGTGTCGGGGCTCATACAGCCTGCACGACCAGCAGGTTTCGAGTAGCCCTCTTGACCAGAGAAAGCAAGCCGTGGCCAGGAAATTACAGTCGGCGCTTGAGGATAGTCGGAATCTTACGTCTGAGTCTCGTGGCTACGCGGGCCCTGGTTGGAATGAGAATCAACAATTCCTGGTGAGCCTCTGAAGAGTTATCTCATGATATGCCAAGCGATAGAATCTCTTGAGGCGTTAAAGACAGCTGATTTTAGCCATGACAGCTTCAATTTCCTGGTAAAGCATCCGAACAAACCGGTCGCAGAAGTCGTTCGAATTCCGCAGGAATTTGGTCAAACTCTCAGGTCTGACATGGAGGTTTTCGCTGTCGACGTGAACCATACCCGAGTTAGGACATTCGAATCTATGGTTCATTGTGCCTGGGAGCATATGCACGTATCATTTTCAAAGGTCTTCCAATTCCTACAGACTCCAGCTCCAGAGTTATCACCGGAAGCGGTTCCAGCATTGTGTAGAATGACAGCGACTGTACTTGATCTCAGTCTCGTCTCGTACGTCGTTTCACATGGGTCGCGCTTTGATCTGAATCATCTCCAAAAGGACATGCCTATCATCACCGTCCAGGGACTGGATAGCAACGGGCTCCATGTCAATTGCACATTGAGACGGCTTGCCTGTCTTCATAATTTCCTCGACCGAAATCTCGTTTGGACATTCCAAGGATATTCTCCCAAAGAGCTTCAAATTGGCCAGCCTATGACAGAATCATCGGGCCTATATATCCTCAGCAGGATCGAGGATTTTGCCGATATCTAGGGCCCAGTCTGGCCGATTCCTTCAGACCATTCCTCGGCTTTAATCAGACAGTATAATGTCTCAAAGGGTGCGATCGTTCGAGCCGATACTGTGGCCAACGAGCTTATCCCGAGTTCCACACTCTGTCACTGGTATAGCTTCTCCGATCTACCCGACGTATCGTCGCGCATCGGACAACCCAATGGGAGAAATTTCATGAAAAGGGACGACCTCCTTTTGATTGGAATAGCTTTCAGAGACAACGCCTCTTGTTCCTTCACCATGGACGACTTCGAGAGGCGCTTTGGGAACAGGATGGGAAGGCTGGGTACTGCCAAAGCGTATTGGAGAATGGACACTAGGAGTGCTGGCCTATCAATTTCAAAGATGTTAACGGTATCTGTCGTTGGAACGCAGAAAAAGGTTACCCGAGACGACGTGGAAGCAGAGCATCTTGGATAAATGGAGGTTGAACCCTGGCCGAGCGAATCCGGACGTCTTGTCTCTGGAGCTTGGAGTTGAAATCAGCCATTGTACTGGAAATGCACGACGCATCAGTCTGAAACAATTGCTCCTTTTGGATACAGTCCAGCCTGTACTGTAATGTACGTGCCCACGGTGGCAGGATACGGTTTGGGGGAACCGCTTCGCGCAGGCTCTGCGAAGTACCGACCCACAGGATATCGTGTCCGCTTGGAAAGAACACAAAACAAATCGATCGGACATGGCGGATCTCGTCTGCGTCGTCCTGGAAAGACTGGGCACGACCGGCATGGGGAACGACGGATTTCTCGCCAGCTTTTTTACACGGGAACAAGGAGCGTTCGATTCCGGTGGACATCCGAGTGAAAGACTGGACACGGCACCTCTGCGATTCTCCGCAGACCGCGGCCTTTGTCATCGTCGGTGGGAACTGTATCGAAGGTGACACCTCCGACCGCAGCACGTCGGTCTGCGATCGGTCGGAGGAGAGTTTGGGGTCCCGAAGACGAACGTCACCACCGAGCGGCCGGGTGCTGCCTTGGATGACAGTGTCAAACTCGATCCTGTCGGCCAGACCTATCGAGTCCACCCCGAAAGTGGACGCACCGGGTTGCGAGCCGTGCCGACGTCCAACGTGAGCCACCGTCGACCCCTTCTGGACCGGGATCCAGGTTTCCAATACATTTGCAGTCGGCGCGTGAGAGTCACCACGGGGTGGAGAGTCGGCAGGATCGGAGCATCGTGCCTGGGATCGGACCCTGCCGCGCGGGGGATCGAAAGCCGCGAGAGCGTGCAACCTGGGACGGATCCGTCGGTCCCGCCGCCTGATGGTACCGCCGCCAGTGCGGACTTGGGGGCTCGCCTCGCCTCGATCGGGTCCAAAATCGCCTACACTTTGGACAAGCTCAAGGGGTAGAGGGAGGATGACGGCTCAACAGGGAACGAGGGGACCTGCCCCCTTCACCGGGAGAGGCCCAAGCAAGTCTACTGACAATCCAGCCCGACAATCTCGAAGGGGGTTGGTGATTGTAACGAAGCGGGCCTCCTTTTTTTCCCCTTCCTCTTCGCCCTGCAGAGAGTCGACTCCCTGGGAATGAACGTACCCCGAGAAAGACCTCCAAACAAAGCGTGTGGTGTTCATGCGGCACACCGTCACTGAACGATGACAAGAAGCGCAAACGGCCCTCATTTTTCCATTGGCTAGCTTTCGGCTGGGGAAGACTAATAATAAATTGCAGTCCCTGATAATTGACAGTATACTTACTGTCTGTACGTGTAATGTGAAGCCACGATTGAAAAAAAAGGCTTTGTACAGTTACTTGTACACGGAAACTGCAAAAGGGACCAGGTTTCATACTCGTACACAAGTATTCATTTCAAGAGTAGAATTATTTTCTTCTGCTTTTCCTTCATCACACCCCCACCGAAAGAAAGGGCTGGACAAGTTAGCAGCCCTTCTTCTTCTCCTTCTTTCTCGCCTCTGTCCATATTCATCTCAATTTCCCTATCAATGAATCTGATCGACTCGAGCTAAACCCCCAACCCCCCCGATATATTGCTCGAACTCAATGCATCCGGACGAGGTCATGCAGGCCATTATACAAAAACCCAGCAATCTTCACTGCTGTACAAATAGTACACCTTCATTCAAGCACGAGTACAAGCCAGTGGCTCCAATGCCCGTGCCGCCTCCTCCTATTTTCTTTTTTCCCTTTTTGACAAGAATAAATTACACAAGACAGAGATCGAGATGGGAATGATCGCTGCAAAAGTTTTGAAAAGAAACACAAGGAGCGGATGGCCCCCCCATCTCCATTATGCTCGCTGAAAGATGCTGGTACAGGGTTTTTTTTCCCATTTCCGAGGAGACATGAACAAGTTGTTTGCTGATATCGTGATCAGTAATAATCACGTGCAGCCTTTTGCAATTCAATCATTCTCCATCCTCTGGTCTCGGGATTGTTGACTTCTTCGGGTAATCTGGTCATACCAATGGCATATGTGACCAGTTGGACCTTATCCTCCATACCAGCAGCAAGTTCGTTCGTTTTTTGGTTTCGGTAGACGTGAACCTCTTGTGTCCGGCATGTGATGATAAACACTGGAATGTCGCCTGGCTCGAGTAACCTGGCATTTAGGATGTCGACGTGTCTGATGTCAAGTATCCGTCCGTCCGACTTAAGTCCAGCCTTGGTGTACTGTTCCATCAGAGCAGAATAGACCTGGAATTGCGCCGCCGATAGCCAGACCTTGAGTGTCTCAACATCACCCTTGACGTATGCATCGAGGACCTCAGGGAGCATGAATTCCCGCAAATCTCGCAAGAATGGCTCTAGTTGGAAGTTGGGATCAATCTCTCGGAATTTCTTGATCACCATCGCAGTCTCATTTTCGGCGAAAAAGCCTGCAACTCGATCTGATATTGACCGGGCTGTTGAGATGAAAGGATTCTCCGACTCTTCATATGTTTGTTTCATATTGAACAAACCTTGCATCATTTTGGAATTTTCCTTGAAGCTGTTCCATGACTCCTTCCAGGCCGAGTCTTTGTGAACGGTAATGTTGGTTCCAGCACTAGAGAGGAAAATGTTAGTAATACTCAAAGATTACCATCTCTGCACTTCACTTACTTTGGATCCTCGACCATTTCTTCCACAGGTTTTTTACCAGATTGCGCTTCTTTCAGGAGTTGAGCCTCTCGCTTCTTGCGCCGTTCTTCTTTCTCAACCCAGCCTCCATATCTCGAACTACTGCCGTCGTCGATAGCTTCGGAGATATCTTTGAAGGCCTTGGTTTCTCGGATGGGGCGAGTCGCTTTCTCAATCCCACGGCCAGTCGCATTCACACCGGATCGAACACCTTGGACTACCTTGGAATCCCATGTCCATGCTGCACCCTGTCCAATGGCGCGACCTGCGCCTTTGATGACCTGCGAAGTACCCTTGGAAGCAGCCTCTGACGCTTCTCTGGCTCTTCGTACTGCATCGGATTCGGTGAACTGTTGCACTGAACCGGATAATTGTTTGGTCGACTCGTTCCATTCCTTGGAGGCTTTGAACTCGGTTCGGAGGGTTTCGGTAAAGACTTGCCATGGTGTCTTGTCTCCATGAGGTGGTGGCGGAGGTGGCGGTGTTTTGTCGTCCTTTTCCGATTTCTCGTCCTTGTTTTGTTTCTCCTCTCCCTCTTTCTGTTCTTCGCCACTGGCTTTGGCTTCTTCCTTGGGCTTTTCGTCCCGCGGAGGATCCCTGACTTCTTGCTTGGCTTCTTCTTTCGGTTGTGGCTGTTGGTATAGGGCTCGTGAAGTATGTAGAGATCTTAGGAGAGATTGAGAGGGGACTGTGAGTCGAGGAGAGAAAGGTGTGAGATGTATAGAGGAACTCAGAGGAGATGAGGATGTGTCGGTGGTCGCCGCCGTTAATCTTCTGTAGGCTGCTGTTCTGCCAAGTTGTGCTGCTCGCAACGAGGCGATGGACGATGTCGCTGTCACATAATGACGGACACCATGAACTGGTGCACGGCGCGCTGCGATCATGCCTCTAAAATACAAAAACAACTCACGGCACAGAAAGGAATCAAGGGGCCGAGTTGAGAAAAGGAAAAAAAGACTCTTGTCGAGCTGCGGCGGCATTGATGGAGAAGAAGATGACCGGAGAAAACTAATTGAGATCGGCCCTCGGCTAACTTTCCAACCACGGTTCCCTTCTCAATCTTTCTTTTCGGTACCTCCAGGTACTCTGGCTACTCAACCTGGACGCGCGAGATCAGTTGTGGTATTCCGTTGAAGCTCAGTACCGACACATACACGAGCCTGTAGACATGGCTCAACCGCTCCTCTCCTCGATGTGCCGGACATGTCGACTATCATATCTTTCTACGGCTCCCATTCGACGGCCTTTTGCAACGACTGTCCAGAGATATGCTGAAGGAGCAACTCCCCTCTCACCACGGAGGGGATTCGTCGTCGACCGAACCGAACCTGAGCCTGAGAGCGCCGACAAGTTGTTCAGCGACGCCCTCCGGAGTGTCGATCAGTCCCAAAGTCCCAGCTCCGACACCATAATCCGCAACCTGGCCCGGTCAGCACGAGACGAAGCGGCCACTCGACCGAGCGCCCGACTCCACGTCGACGAACCGTACCACATCCACGTGTACGCGCACAAGCACAACATGCACATCACATTCACCGACCCTTCCCACAATCCCATTCTGAGTCTGTCTTGTGGGAGCATCGGACTGCGACACGCCCAGAGAGCCACGTACGACGCCTGTTTCCAGCTGGCGGCGTACACCTTCCGCAAGATGGTGGAAAAGCAGTGGCGCGTAGGCGGCAAGAAAATGACGCAGAACCCCATGCAGACTCTGGCCGATATCAGGAGACCCGGTGCGCAGTACGGCGGAGCCGGGATTGAAATCGTTCTGAGAGGCTTCGGGCCTGGAAGGGATGCCTTCCAGAAGGCGCTGCTGGGTACGGAGGGAAGAATGATCAAACCGCTTATTGCAAAGGTGACGGACAGCACGAGGCTGAAGTTTGGAGGCACAAGGAGTCCGAATGTTAGGAGGTTGTAAGGAGCTTGCCACGACATGCTAGCTCTTGTTTTACTTTTACTGTATAAAAAGAACGCATGAGGTTCGGAAAGCGCAAAAAAGAAAAATTTGACACATGTAAAGATATGCTGTTCGAAGCAGAACCCATTGAGAGACGGTAAAGTCCAAAAACAAATACTCCATGCCTCGGTGGAAGGGATTGACTCACGTATGAATACACATATGGGACTATTTTCACTATGGACAATTGACGTATACGCTCCAATGCCAGAATTTTTGAGACTCACCAATGACTTTTTTCAATCTCTTTTCTTTCTCTATATACATCTAATAGCCTCCGGGAGTTGACGAAAAATAGTCTCCGCCACTCACTGGACTCAACCTCGACCCGCTGCCCGGTGAGCTATTGTTGCTCGACTTCTTGTCCTGCGATATCATCAAGTGCGGACTCAGATGGCTTTGTTTGTTGGTGAATCCCACGCCAGCAATGACTCTCCGTAAAGCACCGCCACGGGGATCGACCCCGATCATGAATCTGGCCAGGTCCGAACACAACTCGAAGTCGGATTTTTGCCGCGCCAACTTCATGAGCCGAATGACGTTGTCCTCGAACTTTTGAGTATCATAGCTATCAGGCTCATCGTCCTCCTCCAAGCCTTGCAGGACGATCAGGTATCCACTCGCAGTCTTCAAATCTTCGAGTTCGAGGGCTTGCTCGAAGAGGGTAAGCGGTGGCGGGAGGTGGGCGAACAATGTCCTCCACGAACTCAGCTCCGTTTTTCGAATACACTGAACAACGGTGGAGAGGTACGTCGTGGGGGAGAGGACGAGTTGCAAGAAGGACAGAACCGCAGGTAGAGGGCCTGGCGAGTCGTCGTCTTCCTCCACTTTGGCCTTTCTAGTTCTGTCGACCTCATCGTCAAGAACGTGGTGCAGCAAGATCTCCAGGGCATGCGGGAAATATGACAAATTTTGGTACTGGTTCGCCAGACCAAAAGCCGCTGCTGTATCGTGTTCTTCGCACAACTGGTGGCGAAGAATGTAAGGCAGGAAAAGCTGTGTGCGTATCCCTGACCTAAATTGTGCAAAATTGACATCCCGGCGTTGCAGCAGTTCAGACTCGATGCCTAACACCACGCCCTTTGTCAATAGGATCGACAGGGGGTAGAAATCAACAGACATGGACAAGAGTGCTGATGTACCAAGGTCACCTTCCGCCGCGTGATATAGCAGGTCACGTACGTCGGGCCATAGCCTGAGTTCTTCGCCACTAAATATCCAAAGAGAGTCCCTCAGCGAGTAATGATGTTGACTCTGCATCGTAAACGCTGAGCCTGGCGAAGGGGTTGGAGGCGCAGACTCTTCCGTGCCGGTGAAGTTGAAATAGATCTGATCGCGCATGAGGATGTAATACTCTACGTGCTGAGCGACGACACGCATGTCGTATTTCAATTCATCCTTCTCGTTCCGTGACGACTGCAACAAAACCAGTTTATCATCCACGAGGAAGAGTACAGAGGCATACTCGACGTCGCGCGAAGGGTCACCATTGCGTAGCTGGCTGTCTGGTACGACCCAACTGACAGAGCGCACTCGGCTGGGTGCTCTGACGATGCCGTGGAAGGCTATCTGCCCAACCTGGACAAGTTGGGCGCCTCGATCAGTAATGTTGAGGATATAATGGTAGAGGATATTTTCATAGGTGTATACAAGCAACGAGTCTTCGCCCGAGGGACCCACGAACACAATTGGCATCGAGAAAGCCTCACTGTGGAGTGGTGTCCGTCCTAGGTCAAGGTCGCGGGAGTACAAACGCAAATCGTACCCGGTTGCGTTTTCTGTGGCCACGGCAAGGATGTGATTGAACCAGCACATGCCTCCGCGGACTGCGAATGAGCTTTCGACGGCAAGGTCGGAGAACGTTTTCCAACGTCCGCTCTGCAAGCTATAATGAGCAAGACCTCGACGGCCGGCGATGGCGACATATCTGCCATCTTGCGAGATGACGCACGATTTGATGGGCCATTGATTGTGCAGATATACTGGCGGGTACGGAGCGTGGTGCCACAGGGATGCTTCGTTCGAGATAGACGTCAAGTCTGGAAGCTCATGGCCTCGATATACTGTCAATTCCTTTGGTGTTTGGAGGAGCGCACGGACAAGATTGGCGCATGAGAAACAGCCCATGGCTGCGCTGCGAGACATTTCAAGCTTCCATATCCGGTCGTCATTCGGCGTCGTCAGGAGAATTTCAGCTCCGCTACTGATCCAATTTGCTCTTTGAACAGAAAGGAGTAAGCTCTCGTCGTTAGACTCGGCATGGGACAGATTCGAGTGAAAGGTCGATGCACCCTCTTTCCCAAAAACAGACCAAGTTGACCAACCATTTTCGTAGCCCGCGAATAAACAATATCCATCTGGAGACCAAGTCAAACACGTTATAGCACCACGAGACGATGGGGATGTTGAGGGCTTGAACGTATGTGACAGAGGTATATTGCCGACATAGTCTTTGGCAGCGTAGCAGATGATCTCTCCAGCAACGGTCGCAACCGCAATAAGTGAGAAGCGGGCGTTGATGCTGGCGTATTTTGCTGCAGATGATTCTTCCGGCTTGTGGAAGCAATAGCCGTCAAACAGTCGTGTCGAAGGTGTTGTTGATGATCGCGAGGAGGGAGTGGAGTCGTCTGAAGATGGAGCTCGTGATAACTGAGGTTTGACTCTTTGGACTGCACATGCATGGCCATCAGGAGATAACCAGACCGAGAGATTCATTGCGCGGTCATGAATCATGCTCGACAGACCGGATTTTGTGTCGAGCCATTCCATCTTGGACAGCAACTGTGCAACAGCATGTGATCCATCCTTTTGCGCCTCCCAGCGAATGCACTGTACAGCTGCGGGTTTGACAGTAGCCACGATTATCTCCGAGTCCAACGCGATGAAAGAGTTGATACCAGCGTCTATCTTGATAGCCCGCTTGAACCGGAGGAGGACTTCAGGGACGCCAGCAGTGTCGTCTGCCCCAAAAATACGCATTACGTTTTGACGTTTTGCTTGGCTATACCCATATTGCTGTTGCAGCGCGCGAGCAGTCTGGTCGCTTTCCACGGAGTAGGTAATCAAATAGCTTTCCGTGGTCCTGATAACAACCATCGTCGCGTCTGGCTTGAACAGAACAGATACATTGTATCCGTAAGTTTGCAACGACTTTCGTGATCTAGATAATGAGGCGAGCAGGACGACTGGTCGAGTTGACCACAGATCAAGTCGTGAAGGCGTGATTGTTGTGAATAGATGATCATTTCGTGCTGCTTGTAAATCCTCGATGCCAGATGCTTGGTCGATGCCGTTAAGGTCGGTTTTCTCGTCGTCATGACTCGCTTTGGCTAGGCCCGAATCTCTTTCTTCTGCAACCGAGTTCGGGCCATGGTATGCAAAGACTTGAGGCACACCACATGGCCAATACATAATTTCCAACCTTACTGTCCAAGGTCATGTTTGAAAGAATTCATCTCTGTATTCCCAATGGTCTGAGTACTTGCACCAGCGCACGAACGCGATGACATACCACAGGTTATTGTCAAGTCACGAAATATCGACTTGTTTCTGCTCGCGAATACGCGAAGTTATGGATGAACGTGCCAAGTCGGTCAAACATTGATCCGGACCTTTGTCCGTTCGCATCTCCCAGTAACACGGAGAGCGTGAATATCAGAGTATCTACTGCATACCTAAAGTCGTCCCAAATACGATATGACCATATTCTTATTGCCATGAGTGTTGCGATGCAGATGCCTTGAATCACTCGTCGAAATTGAATCTCGGTGGTACGCCTGGCCAACCCAGGCTCGCCTTCTTTTGCGGCCAACCAGTCAAGTTATCCTCTTTCATCTTTTCTCGTGCTCGATAACGAGAATGGCAATAGCACAGTTCTTCCGGGCTTGGTCACTCTCTGGTCTCCTGGTTTTCACGTATAGCAGGATTCACATTCTGCCCCCCACCTGTTGTACTTATCAGACTTGGGCAGGGCACCGTGAAATGTTATGCATGTTCCCTGGCACGTTTTCCCGAAACAACCCACAGCTTAAGCTATCGGACGCTATCGGACAGCGTCATACGCGGCACCTGGTTACAATTGCCAGAAATTGGTGCTAGAAAATGTCCTCTTTGCCCAGCCGTCGATGCCCACCGCTGCCCACTTTATCAGATAATCTCCAGCAATCAGATTATCTCGATCATCAGATAATGCGAGAATCGGAGGAGGAACAGGGGTATATCATCTTAACTACCTCCTACCACCCACACAAGGGACCCTCATCTACGCATCTGATTAGCTCACTCAAGCTCATCAGACGAAGTATATGGCTAAGACTGTCTTCTAGAAGCATAATGCCCATAGACCCTGACCTCGTGGACGGGGCCGCGGAATTTTTTCTGCAACCCAAGCATCCAACATTGTTCCGAAGGTGAAAATGCCTGCTCTGGCTCCTGCTGTTGCAAAAAATAAATAGCCTTCCCGGTCATGTACAGAATCCTGTGTTACTATTCCCCAGACCTTACACACTTGATTTATAGATATCCCAATGGCGACAATTACCGCAGCGGCTCCTCAACCAACTGGGGAGGTTCTCCCTGTCGTGGAGAGGGAGATGGAAAAGTATGCTCAAGATCCTCAGAATGTTCATGAGGTATCAGACGACCTTAAATCCGACTCGGATTCGAGCTCTCAGCTCAAACAAGATGGGGTGAAGAGAGTCGAAGTCATCACCACCGTCTGGTCTAAGCAGGTGTTGATGCTCATGTTTGTCCTGTATGTTCGTGATGTCCACGTTTTTCCACACCAGCCTACACCAGCCTAACCGCAGTACAGGCTATATCTCGTCAGCTTCAGCGATCAGCTGCTCCAGTCAGTGCAAGGCAACCTCACCCCGTACGTGACCTCGGCATTTTCCGAACACGGACTTCTCTCAACCGTCAGCATCGTCGCTACCATTCTTGGCGGTGTTGCAAATCTCACCATCGCAAAAATCATCGATATTTGGGGACGATGTGAAGGCTTCCTCGTCATGCTTCTGTTCATGGTGATCGGCATGATCATGAAAGCAACTTGCCAGAATGTGGAAACATATGCCGCTGCTCACACTTTCTACTGGGTTGGTCATATCGGACTCGGTTATGTCATCAACGTGATGCTGGCCGACATGACAACTCTCAAGGTTGGTTTCCCCGGGTGCCGATGTGCTTGAGCTAGAACTCACTGTGATTCAGAACCGGATGATCATTTTCTCTATCAATTCCACTCCGCTTTTGGCCACCAACTTTGCTGGCCCCAGAATTGCAGACCTTTTCTATACCCATGTGAACTTCAGATGGGCATTCGGCGCATTTTGCTTTATTCTGGTCGGGTTCTGCACTCCAATCGTCGTCGTTTTCTTCCTCAGTCAGCGTAAGGCAAATAGATTGGGGATCGCGCCTGAAAGGGTCAAGTCTCGAACCATCGGGGAGTCTTTGCGGTATTATTTTGTCCAATTTGATGGTAAGCCGCTCTGTCAGATAAGCTGCACGACCTCCTTATGCTAACATATTTCCTGGGACAGTTGTAGGAATCTTTCTCACCACAGCCGGGTGGTCACTTCTCCTCCTTCCGTTCAGCCTTGCCAATACCGCTCCGAATGGCTGGAAGACTGGATATGTGATCGCCATGATCGTGCTTGGAGTGGCGTGTCTCGCTGCCTTCGTTGTCTGGGAACGCTACTTTGCCTCTGTGGCCTACTTCCCATTCAGATTGCTCAAAGACCCAACAATTCTTGGAGCCTCCTTGCTCTATGGGATAATGTTCATTTCAATCTAGTCAGTGGATTCCCCGCCCTATTTTGAGATCATTGACACTGACCCGCTCTCCCCAGCTGCTGGGACGCATATTATTCCTCCTACCTTCAAGTCGTACACAATCTGAATATTACCAATTCAGGCTATGTGCTAAACTCATTTTCGCTGATGTCTTCTTTCATCGGTCCATTTATTGGATTGTGAGTTGGTCCCGTCTTATCCTACATTACTGCAGAAAGTTGACTTCTTCTAGCCTTATCCGCTACACCGGTCGCTACAAGTGGATTTCGTACTCAGGTATTCCATTCTGCGTCCTGGGCACTGCACTACTCATCCACTTCCGTCAACCACATTCTCACGTTGGATATCTCGTCATGTGTCAATTGTTCAACGGTATTTCCAGCGGCATCTGGGCCCTTACGGCTCAGCTTGCCGTCATGGCCTCGGTCAGTCATCAAGAAGTCGCCGTTGCTCTTGCCATGTGGGGCATGTTTGGCAGTATCGGCGCCTCAATTGGTCTCGCCATTGCGGGAGGTATCTGGACCAACATCTTGCCTACTCAGCTCTACAACCAGCTGCCGGAGGGCAGTAAAGATCTTGCGCCTTCAATCTACGCTTCACTAGTCACTCAGCTCTCATACCCAAGAGGAAGTCCCATTCGTGACGCAATCATCGCAGCTTATGCAGATGTGCAGAGGAAGATGGTCATTGCCGGAGCTTCGTTTATTCCACTCTTGTTGGTTTGTATCATGGTGTGGAGGAATATCGACGTCAAGAAATTGGAGCAAACTCACGGTAAGCAAGCGAAGGGAAATGTGTGGTGATCGGAACGAGTTGAGGCTAGAACGACATATAGCAAGAGAGAATCCAACCATAATCCATCCCTAGGTGTGAATACTTTGGGTCCACCATCCTTCTACTCTTCTTTACGGAGAAGACAGACGTTACCTTTATTTGCTGGAATCTCTCTTTGCTGCAGCATCTTTGTCTTTGGCGATACTTTCAAGCTCTTCCCATCTCCAGACCTCATTTTCCCTTAGCTTTCCCGGAAAGAATGTGTCTCTCATGCTCGCGCCGATATGGTGGTACTTTTCTTCCACGGCGAACAGGGTGTCCATGGCTTTGGTCTTGCCGATGACCTCCACAAAGGTCAACGGAATCCCGTAAGCCTGGGGGGATCGTCTCCAACCGGCGACGAAGATGTTTTGAAGGATTCCAATGCCGCCGACAGCCAGCAAAAACCAAGTATCTCTAGAAAGGCCGGCAGCGGTGATCAACACCAGGATCCAGAGGGCCGCAAGGACGGTGACGGAAACCCTGGTCACCCACGAGGCCGAAACGTCGACGTTGGTCTGACCGGCCGCGAGATCTTCGAGGTCCAGGCCTTTACCGTCGCCGAGGACGACGATGGCGTGTTGGCTTCCATTGCCCCGGGTCAGGATCACGGTTTTGGTCGATTTCTCCCGGCACGCCCACTTTTCCTTCTTCCACTGTGGCAGGCAACCAGAGACGAACGAGAGAAGGATACCCGCCGCGGTTATCAACAAGATACCCCAGTCGCCGTGAATGCCAAAAGGGATGGCCGCGATACCCAACTGAACGAAAGCCGTCGCAAATCCGAGCCAATACATGAGATCATAGCCCGGGTATCCCTTGGCTGCTAATTCGGCCTTGTACACCGACACACAGAGACCGGCTTGGGATGGTGGTGGTACATCGTCGCTTCTTGTTCCAGGGCCGCCGCTGGTTTTGGCCTTGGCCTTTCGCTTGTCCTCCTCCCAGCGCTGATCGATCATCTTGGCGAGATGCACTTTGACGTCCTGGTGAACCCATGCTTCAAAGTCTCGAACAATACGGCCGATGATCCAACTGGTGTTGTCCCGAACGTAGCCCGACTTGCCATTGATCACCTTACAGGCACAATCGGGAAGTGGCATCAACTTGTTCTCTCCGATGGCCGAAACCACCGCGGTGATGGCGTATGCTACCCATCCTGTTGTTGTTTATTGTCAGTACCCATAGAGATTGACAAATCCTTGGGGTTTGAGAGATTGAGATCGAGATTGGTAGGAAGTGAGTGCAAGTCGGAGGTGTTTTTATATATACCAAAAGAGAATGCCACGGGGGTTATGCCAGAGCCAGAAAGTTGTGCCAAGGCACGTAGAACGACATCACCACCGAGGATCAACAAGACCGAAAAGACGTCGCCGGGAGTTTTCCATTGTCTCAAAAACTCTTGGGATGGGAGATCTGGGTTGAAGTTGCGTCGGAAGAGGTCTGTAGATAATGGTGCCATTGTGTTTCTACAAAAGGCTCACTCGAATAAGACCAAACGGTTGAAACAACAAGAGACAATCACCGTTTCTTTTCAGGGAGTACGGAGTAGAATTAGTCGTAGTTTGCTGGGTCACACATTTCGCCCGCTCCCTCGCTTGCTGGATGGCTGGCCGGCGCTTATGTGGCCTGGCCAGGGCTGATTAGGGCGTGGCTGAGAGGTGTGATACAGGGGGTGTAGTGTGATAGAACTATTGGTAGACGAGAATTGAACGTGGCTTGAACATCTGTTACGGAGGCGGTGTAGGTACGGAGTATGGGGATACAGGTTAGGAGGCTTACAGTATTAGCAGCGGTATGCCCATTCTGTTCCGAGTTTGAAATGCTGTATATGTATGCTTATGCAACATTTGTCAGACATTACCTGGTATGTATGGAGATGTAAATAGTCATGAGCATTACTTTAGAGAACGACAACTACAGAACAACAAGTACAGTAGAACCCCACGCTGGGCCTAGGCTGATGTCGCTCTGTGCTCGCCCCTGGTCTCACATTTCGTGGTCTAGATGCCCTCGCGTTTCTTATCAGGGGTGTCTCTGCTAGGACCACAATTCAATCGTCAACATTTGCATCCAAGCCTACTCATTCCGATATGGATCTAGAATAAAATCAACCCATTCGTTCCAATCATCATCAAAGTGGCCACAGGCAAATATTGCCCGGGAGTACTCCCAGTAACTTGGATACCAACCGGCAAACTCCCAGTCAATAATCGTAATGCGACAGTCTTCTTTCGTCAGATTAACCAAGACGTTTTTCCGCTGAACATCCCCGTGTGTAAAAGTAGGGGGGTGTCCAGTCAGAACCGAAGGAAAGGCTCGACGATAATATTCAGCTTTTCCGACTGGGAGGTCGCCAGACGCTAGATATTTCTTGACGAGGCCACCGTTCAATTCTGTCTCCGTCTTGTATGGACCCTCAAGCCTAAGGGATTCCTCTTCCTGTCCCGTACAGAAAACGTGGTCTCGGAGAGGCTGACAGCCGAGACTACAATACCCATCGGGAGAGGGCAATTTGCGTAATTCGGTCAGGGTTGCCTTGATCTGGAAACAAACAGTCTGCTTCTGCGCCAAATCCAAGGAAGTCCAGATTAAATCTAGACGAACCCCATTAATTCTTTCCCTGACAATATAGTTTTGACTGCTTTGGGCGTCCTGAAAAAGTGCATAGACTTTCGGAACGACGACGGACGTCGTATTTTTGAAAAACATCATATTCCAGCCTTCCTCAAGGTCGACCTGAAGGCCGTATTTCACGACAAAATGCGGACCGACACCGACGACCCGACGAGCTGACTGGTCACAGAGAACCTCGGTCGAGTTCTTGATTGCGTCCATGGCCGGGAGTTTTCCTTCATGAGGCACATCCACGGGGGGGTGCGTAGTAAGGAATTTGAAGAAGTTCCATCTCGTTCACGGTGCAGGACCATGCAGTGTACTGAAGAATATGGAGATGGATCTCGGATTCGACTGGACGAAGGAGTATGTTGACGTACTGAGTCTTGTGTACTTACTATGAGTCGGACGTGTTCTGGAGAGCCGGGAATTTACCAGATTTCAGTTATGAACTGGTACACGTCAACTGCGCCCGGCGTGCAGACATGGTTGCAAGATGAATCGCAGTCAGCTAATGAGGCCGGTGCTAAGACTGAGTATGACGGTGAGAAGAAGTTGAGCAAACGGCGGAGGGGAGGGTAAGTCACTTTTTAAAGCGGCACGGTCGCGGGTCATCCCTCAATTTGAGGGTCGAGTACGGAGGATCCACGATCAACAATACCGTGTACTTGGATCCTGCCTGGTGCTTCTTTGGACAGAACATCATTGAAATTTTGTAGCTTGTATCTTTCGTCACCCTCCAACACAGTCCGCCTTTGTCAATATGGTACGTTTCTGCTGTCATGTCTGCGTCTTGAACTGCATTCTGACATTCCCAGTCTCTGGGAGACTCGAAAAAGCGCCTGGCGCTGTCGATAATAGATTTCCTCTCGACCTCTCTCAAGGATGGCACCCTCACTGCAGACGATGCAGACAACATCGAGATCGCAAGCAACTGTATCGCCGAGGCCTTCAAGGTCGATCCGGCAGACAAAGCTGCCGTCTCAGAAGCCGTCGGATCACAGTCCCTCCTCAACATATTCCAAGTTTACGAGAAGCTGAAGGGCAAAGGCTCGAGCTCTGATGCAGCCCCTCCTCCCAAACCCGCCGAGCCCAGCCCTATCAACCCCGAAGCCGAAAAGCTCAAGAGTGCTGGAAATGCCGCGATGCAACAAAAGGACTACAAGACTGCTATTGACAAGTACACTGAAGCCATCAAATTCGCTCCTACGAACCCGATCTACCTCTCCAACCGCGCTGCTGCTTACTCCGCAAGCGGCGACCATGCCTCCGCCGTCAGAGATGCCGAGTTGGCCGTGGCAGCCGACCCCAAGTATACAAAGGCGTGGTCCAGATTGGGTCTGGCAAGATTCGCCATGGGTGACGCCAAAGGTAGTGTCGAGGCATATCAACAAGGCATTGACTTTGAAGGCAGTGGAGGCAGCGATGCAATGAGAAAAGGTCTAGAGACTGCAAAGAAAGAATTGGCTCGCATGGAAGCAGAGGAAGCCAACATGCCCGAGGATGCGGTGGACGATGCGCCCGGGAACACTAGAGGTGGCGGTGGAATGCCCGATCTATCCAGTCTCGCTAGTATGCTTGGAGGAGGAGGTGCCGGTGGTGGTGGTGGTGGTGGCGGAGGAGGAGGTGGTTTCGACTTTGCCAGCATCATGAACAACCCTATGTTTGCTTCCATGGCACAAAATATCATGCGCAACCCAGAAGCGTTGAGTGGACTTATGAACAACCCGACTATTCAGAACATGATGAACAATCGACGAGAAGGCGGCGGAGGAGGAGGTGGTGGTGGTGGCGGCGGCGGCGGTATGCCCGACATGAGCCAGATACAGCAAATGATGCAAGATCCTGCCCTCGCTAACCTGTGAGCACCCTTATCCTTTCTGATCCCAAATCAACCAGTCCGTACTGACAATCTCTCCAGGGCACAACAATTCATGGGCGGAGGTGCCGGTAGAGGTGCAGGTGCGGGACGAGGCGCGGGCAATCAATAAAGAGGATGTGGTTGTTTCGCCAGGCACTTGTGAGTCAGCATGAAGGAATATGATACACCCAATACAATGGATTACATGATAAGACATCTACATCTACCTTAAGACAGGTATCTCTTGAGGTTGAGAGGATGCACGCCCTTCGAGGCCGAGGCTGCGTAGGTAGTCTTATTACTACACTATTCAGCATATTTAGGCGACCTCGATGATAATGTCTTCCAGTACACCAATGATTTGCCTTCCAAGTTGTTTCATCAGGACAGAGTATTCGCATACTGCCTTGCGAATTTGTGCCAACAAATGACTTGTTCTCGTTGCGGCTGTCGTTGCGAGACTTGGCAAGTAAAGAAAGACTTGAATACCTGATGGGAAGCTTCCAGTCTTTACGGTACAAGTAAGTATTACCGATGCCGATGGTGCTAGTGGTAGATAACATCTGTCTCTATCTCAAATTCAGCCCACCGACATTCCTCGCAATAATGATAACAGTCTTTGTTCGGCGCCTGGCATTGCTCACTACGCAACCAAGATGTTGCGCCAGGACAATTAGCCTCTTGGAATCGAAGCAACTGTCCTAAAAAGGCTCAGACTGGTGGTGCATCAGCTTCCACTTTTTCTAACACTACGAGTATTCTGTACCGAGTACTGCGTACTTGTTGGACAATTAAATCACTCCCCACTTCCTTCTTTTTTTCCCCGACACTTTTCTGCCTGACATCATACTCCGTACTGTACTCGGAACCCACAACCTGCGACATCATCGCCGCTTCTGTTCGAGCTGAAACAGTCCAACACAACTAGAGGCTCATGTGCTTGAGGCTCCCGGAAGTCTCCGTCAATACTAATGACAAGGTAAAGCTCAAAGCTAGGTAGGTTTTGACTGTTCCAAGTTCTTGTTACGAGTTGTACCGTTCCATGCACGCCATACATACGCAACCCTCGTTGGTAGCGTCCTTATCCCTGTTTTCAGATCCCACCACATGCGTCCATGATTGGATGGCGCAAACTAATGCTCCAACGGCCAAGCTGTCTCGGAAAACCAACCCATCGTAGATGGCGATAAGGGTATGGAGAAGCGAGTATGGAGGAGGCATTTTGCTTTTGCTTGTCCTCAGCTGTGTAGTAACCACACTAGAATTGCCCCGCCTTATCACGACTATGAAGCAAGCTTGTCTGCTTATCCCACAAACTGGGTCTTGGGTAGGGAGTATTTGCCCCTCCTTCTACCAGTAGTTGGTCTCATCTTTGGAAAACCAAAAGCAAGCCAATGACGAAAGATGAGGAGCTTCCAGATACGACTGCCGCGAGTAGGTATCAAGCTTCCGAACTGAGCATAACTTTGCCAGGACCGCTGATTTCTTCGAGTCTTGCTACCTCGTACAATAGCTTGTGTTGTTTGAATCCTTCGACTATCACTCATCTCCAAAGGAAGATCCTATTCGAGCTCCGTTGCACTTATAAGGCTGGCTACCGGAGACATACATCCACACATACGTACGCACACGCAATCACCTACACCAGCACTCGCTTATGAGGCTTCTGGAAAGCCTTACAACAATTGATCCGACACGAGTCGAGTAATACACTACCCTTTACAGATGCGCACATCGTCCTGTCGCTATCTATCAGCATTGTATATTCCGATCATATAACAACAAACATTCTAAGACTCGAGGGAAGGGCTAGAAGTGAGATAGCACCTCCAAAGCTGCTCAATGTCACAATGATAGTCTCTGGTTTCACCTTCCTCCTCCTCACTTTCTCGTTCCACGCTTTAGCATAGTAAGTGTCTCTGTTCTTGAAAACCGCATCTCAATTGCACTACACATGCATGATTGTCAACAATTGTCCATACTAACATTTTTGACCCTCAAGCGACTCTGGGTTCTGGACACCGTCCCCAACGATATCAACAACGGCATGGTGGACACCGACCACGACGTCATACTGGTCCACCTGGACTCCAACCACGACATATACGACATGCTATACACAATCAGATGTCATTGTCACCGTGACATCCTACCTTCCTTGTCCAGTCACGTCGACGGTGGTATACTGGGAGTGCTGCGATCAATGTGAGACGAATTGCTACAACACACCTACCCCGACACCGACGCACGGAGGAGGTGGCACGTGGATCGGTACGACGACAGTGACTTCCTACACGACGATAACGCCAGGTCTGGAGATGACGACGACGAGTAACGGGGTAGTGATTGTGTATACTTCCGCAGCGGCGGAGAGCACGACCACGGGTCCGAGTATAGTCTACGTTACGAGCAATGATTCCATGGGTCAAGAAGGAGGTATGCCTAATCTTTGGTCATATGGAATGTGGTTGGCTTTTGTGGCGACCGTAATGATTCTCTTATGAAGAAGATGATGAAGACAAGACACCAGGGTAATGAGGAACAGAACAACTACCAAGGCATGGGCAGGACAGACTTGTCCCTCACAGGTGCAAATGATTATCTAATGCATATATGTATGTAATGCTTAATGAGATATGGGAATGATGAGCACCTATGAATCCGCCTTTTGAAGCAATGTCTGCATCTACGAGTAATGAATGCCTAAAGGACTGGCATTTCCTCTGACAAAAAGAAGAAAAAGCTTGGTGCGATAAGCTTATCGTAATCCCAGGTCATTTCTCCTCTCCAATTGGTCAAAGTGACTTGCGTGTGAAACTCAGCCCTCGTCCTACTCCTACTTGGGGCAGCTAATAACCCTGGTCTTTGGCACGAGTAGATTTGTGCTCAATTGTCTCGAGAGGAGTACCGTTACTCCTTTACTCTTGCTTTCTCCCATCGTCATAAACCTCATCCTTTGGACCACATGTCTCTCGCGACTCTTGGTCATCATGGCAATGCTACTGACGATATCTTGATCAAGCATCACTCACTCACTCCCTTCTGGCTGACTGATTGACCGACTCACCTCGTCATGCCTCCTGGACCATCAAACCCTCGCACCAATTCTCGTTCTTCTCGTCCATCCAATTCGTCCCGTGGTTTCAGCCATCAATTCCGCCTGAACCGTCAACGAGGCGAGACAGAAGCGCTCCTCGCGTCCCAACATGACGAGGAAGATGTCGCCGACAGTGACGGTCTGTACCCGCCCCACTGTACGTGGACGAGCGCGCACCGTGAACCTCCTCGTGCCGCCGACCCCTATGGAAACACTAACTGCAATGTATACGAGAATATTCATCGGTGAGTTCCACTAATTTTTCAGGGGTGGATAAAACTGACGGTGCAAATCAATCAAACAGTATACGAAGAGATATCATCAATAGTATAGGTATGACTTGCTATCTACAACTGAACTTACAATTACTCCGTACTTCGTACAAAATCCCCCTGACTTGAAAATCTCCCACAAAAATATAGATGATCCTTATTCTCTCGAACAACTCAAGGCGCCGCGCATGAACATCTCAGTGGTTCGGCCGCTGGTGGACGCTTTCTACGAAATGCAGGACCTCTCTATTGGTTCGCTGCCATAACCCCTTCGAAATCTGAATCAGGGACTCCTGCTGACTTGTCTCAAAGTCTACTGCCTTCTTGTCAACCGCATGCAATTCATCCGCGAACAGTCTTACGCAACTCATCATCAAACAGTGAATCTCACCAGAGCTCTACTCTGCGAATTGGTGGCCGAGAAGATTCTTCGCAGGTACAATGAACAAAACCCCGGTCCGCGAGGACTCCTCAAGTTGGCAAACATCCTCGTAGCAGGATTTGAACCGTTCCAAGGAGCCCCCGACGAGGTTTACCAACAAAGTATCCACGCCATGCACTGGGCCAAGCGCGAGCGAGGCGGGAGGATCGAGAGAAAGTTGACCGCTCTAGAGGTTGCTATCGTTAGTGCAAGCAAGAGCTTTCTGGCCAGTAGTGCATGCCAGAAGGTCGTTGACGCGATATACCGAGGAAAATTGGTTTACACTCCCAACGCCTTTGTCGATATCATCCCGGATCACTGGAAGAAGCGACCCATCTCGTTGTACGATCCACGGCGAGCACCGTTACTCAACCAGTATCGACTGATCGTCCCACGGACGCGAAATCTTATCGAGGTGTGCCAGTTCGTCATGCTTCTAGTACTGTATCTGGTGGTGATGGCTGGCCGCGAAAGTCGGATGAGAACGGATTATACTGTCATCGAGGCGGTTTTTGACGTGTATGCATCCGGTTGGGTATGCTGGACCCCTATACCTGTCGGGCTGAGACTAACAAAAACAGGTGCTCGATCAACTCGCTTCCATCCTGGAGCACGGTTGGGTTGTGTACTCACAAAACCTGTGGTCATTCCTCGATGTCATATTTTGCTCTCTTTTCATGGCGTACCTGGTTTTGCGACTGCACGCATTTCGGATACATGATGAAGAGCAATCAATACTTTTGGCGCGGACGGCCCTCGACATCTTGAGTTGCGCGGCCCCGGTTTTGATACCACGGCTAGCATTCAACATCATGTCGGAGAATCTGCTATTTTTGTCGCTCAGAGCTATGATGTCTGACTTTATGACACTTACTGTTCTTGCCGTATGGTGTTTTGCTGGGTTTCTTTTGAGTTTGAAATGGCTGCATGCCGGTGCCCATCAGGTAAGTCGTTCAACTTCATACATTCTCTTTGCTGACCTCCTCTAGTCTGTGACAATTGGCAAATGGATGATATGGATCTGGTTCGGTCTTGACGGCACTGGCATCGATGAGTCTCCCGACTTTCACTGGTTCCTTGGTCCAGTATTGATGGTCATGTTCGCCTTTTTAGGCAACACGCTCTTCTTGACGATACTCGTGTCAATGTTGACAAACACCTTCAGTAGCATCGTCGGCAATGCTGTTCAAGAAATCCAATTCCGACGAGCAGTCCTTACCTTTGAAGGGGTCAAGTCCGACGCCATCTTTGCGTACCTGCCACCATTCAACATTCTCGCCCTTTTGATCATGCTGCCGTTGAAATGGATTATATCGGAGCGAATGTTTCACAAGGTCAACGTTGCTGCGGTCAGAACACTCAACTTGCCCGTCTTGTTGCTTATATCGTTGTACGAACGAAGAACCTTGTGGGTGACAGACAAGAGGTACAAAAACAGAAAGATTGACTGGAAAAATCCCAATGGTCCGAAAGCGACGGCTGGACAGTATTGGGCCATTTCGAGATTCACCGTGCATGGAGACATACATGCAGTGTTTGACATCGACCCACCCCAATCTGTTTTGGACAAGATCGCGGAAGAAGACGATCTGGAAGGCTCTGATGGTATCAGTAAAGCCCTCGGAAATACCTTGAACAGCGGGCTTGGACAATCACCGGTGTCGCGACGGCAGACCTGGGCGTTTAACAACGATCAAGCAAGATCGGTTAGCCCCAAAGAGACAAAGCAGAAGCGTCGTAGAGATTCTCAAGAGCCTGAGCGCATCAAGAGGGAATTTGCAGACACCAGTGAAGCTGAAGAAGATGAGACCGGTCATCCCCGTGGGTATCGGAAGCCCAAGAGAGGCGAGCGAATGGACTCTTTAGTAGACTTCAACGACGAGGGGGATACTGGCACCCGCCTTCTGGAAGCAAACGCAAGGCTTCACAAAATGGAGGAGTCGATGGCAAGGATGGAAAGCATGATGGCCCAACTCTTGAACGTGGACGCTGGCGACGCGAGTTCGGAGAATAGCGAAGGAAAGGCTGAGTTGGCCCAGGAATTGCGAAACGATTCGCTGAAGTGATGGTGGTTCGTCGGGGATTGTTTGGCGTTCAAGCAAGCGACAGTCAATCATGAATCAAGTTGGATGTATTATGCAGTGAGATGGATAATTATGAGGTTGTACTGGAGAGATACTTGAAGATCGAATTCTCGAAAATAGAGAGGCCTTGAGGGGGTAGAGAAGTACATCCATGTACGGGTCGTAGCTTCAGTACCACTTTACTGCCAAGGAGGTCAGGCATGACCTGTTGTACCCTTTCCATACGGCTTGATTTACTTTCTTCCCCCTTGCACTCCTAGCTCACGCCACGTCGAGTACGCGCATCAGCATATAGGCGACAAGCAGAGGTGAGCGAACAATGATTGCTACGGAGCGGGGTTCGATCCTTCATGAAATGACTGTTGAACAGCGCCGCGATTTTGACAAGACTGAGCAAGTGCTTGTCTTTCCTAGATAACAATACACTACTAGGCACTTCGAGTGTGAGTGAAGGCGTGAGCCAGTCGTATTGTACGAGTAGGATGAGATGAAAGTCGCGAGTACGTCGTTCGAATACTGTAAAAGCGGCGTACAGTAGTTTGACAAGTGGTGGGCGGGTGGTTGTGGTTGCCCTTGACGACCATCTTTGATCTCAGCGTCCAAAACTTCTCCTTCGAATACGGCGTAGACACTCATACAATTCAACACTACGCGTTAATCGAAGATTGATCTTTCAACACCTGCAACAACAACACTGCATGTTTTGCAAAAATGGCTACAACAATCAATCCGGCTGCATTCTCGACGAGTACCTCCTCCTTCCGCGCCTCGCAATCCCAAAATGCCGCCGCCATGTCGTACTCGGACAACCCGCTCACGCAACTACCGGCGGTGGACTTCAACTTCGATGACTTGCGGAAGCGCATGGCCGATTTCACGCTCAGGTTCGATGCATTTATCGAACAAGGCAGGAAACGCGTTTTGCAAGAGAGAAACGAATTTCGAGCACGGTTGGGAGAATTGAACGGTAAGACAATGTTTGTGGGCGATTTATGGAAATTGGACTAAAATTTGTTGCGTCGTGGCAGAGGAGCAACGCTCCAAAAGCACACAGATCACGACATTACAATCGTCGTTATCGAACCACAGCAATGTCCTCGCGAGGGAGCAAGCCGAGAAGAACGAGATGCACGCACAAATATCCAAGCTCGAATCTCATCAAGCGACTCAAGCCGCGGCTTGCGACAAGCTCAGAAGTTCGATTGCCCAGACACAGAGGCAGATCGACATCAAGCTACAGGCCCAGCGTGAATACGCTGAAAAGATGGACGGTCAAAGTCGTCTGAACGGACCCGAGTTGAATTTCTGGGAAACATACCTGGGTTGTCGGATCGAGGGAAGCGGCGATGAGAGCAGGGTGAGGATTGTGTTCATGTTCCCGCCCTCGAAGGGAGGTCCAAACACCAACGACGAAAGAGAGGCCATGTTTGAATTACAAGTGCCAGCTACGGGTAGTGGCAAGTATGATGTTGTATATATGAAGCCAAAGCTGGACGCTGTCAAGGTCGAGAAGGTCGTCGATCGACTAAATTCGACCAGAGAGATTGGAACGCTATTGAAGGGCATGAGAGGTTTGTTTATGGAGGCAATGAAGTAAAGTAGTGGCGACGATGATACCCCCAGGGCATATGATGAGATTTTGGACTTTCAATATGCCATACATTTGACGACAATCTTTGTTGCGAGAATTGTTTTTCTTGACGAAACCATTACACGTACAAATCGTTGAATGACCGATTGGCCAGGGATCGCGCATTAATCAACATCAGTGACGGCGTTGGTGATCAACGTGTCTCACTTTCCCTGTCTTAGAACAATGAGTAGACCGCAACACAGTCTGAGTGATGGAGTAAAACTTGGTCTTCTGATGTCGGGTCTGTACAGAAGTTGGGAGGATGTTGTCACAGAAATCGACTTCGTCTATCCGCGAACCTGTCTCTAGTTCATTGTTATTTGATCTCGTGAAAACAAGGTCACTGTACACCTGAATGCAGATAGATATGTTGTACACAAATAGACACGTACATTGTGGAATCGATAAGCAAGTCTTGAAGAGCCCAACAGAGAGGTATTGATACAGTCGTAATGACACTGCGTCCATATCTACCTGGCCACCTGTACTCGTAATAAATCCCGAAGAAGTAAAAAAGTTGGAATGAGAGTCTTGTACCTTTTGGACCCCAGCATCAATGCGCCGCCTCCCACGTGGGGAAATATTGACACCTTTGTTACTACGAATACGGGGAGTAGTACAACACCAGGTACGACTCGACCACGGAGGTCTAGTTTTCTAGAAAATAACCCGCAAACATGTCGTCGACAAACATGGCCTCGATGCCCTCTGGAGGTAATGCATACTCTCTGACTCCCACGCGAGACTCTACCGTCCTGACATTTGTACCTCAGACCAGAAATCCAAGAAGAAGAAAAAGTCAAAGAAGAAGGGCGGCAACAATGCGCAAGCCACGACTCCGGTAGAACCTCAGACTCCGACAGAAGCTTCGCAGCCCAAGGATGGCGCAGAAAGTGACGACTCCGATGCCGAAGAGACCACAGAACTATCCTCCACGAAGACAGATGTGCCTGAGGGGAAAAAGATATTAGATTTGATGAACGGCGTTGCCAAAGATACACCCACACCCACCGAGAAGAATAACGATGCGAATGCCGATGCAGACACAGATACAGATACCGCGACACGGTTCGACGCTCTGGTCAAAGACCGTGACGCTTTACGTCTCGAAGTGACGGAACTTCGCAAATCCCTCGAGGAACTACAATCTAAACATGCCACCGAACTTGAAACAGCACAAAATGATCTGGCCGAAGCCCAGCAAGAGAAGGAGACGGCCGAAGAACAATACCAGACGCTGTTGGGTAGAGTCAATACCATCCGCAGTCAACTAGGCGAACGATTGAAAGCAGATGCAGTACGTCTTTTTGTTCCTTGTTGTATCATCACCGAGAGACGCTACACCCTTGTCTCCTACTCATTACACACAACTAACCATTGCCCCCCATCCTCAACAGGAAGAACTCTCACAAGCACGTGAGCGTATCGACGAACTCGAATCTGAAAACAAAACCCTCCAAGAACGTTACGACTCTCGGACCGCCGAAGTCGAAGAACTGTCCTCAAGGAACGCCACCCTCGAAGCCTCCAACGCCGAACAATCCAAAGAACTCTCGACCTTGCGCAATCGACTCACTCTTTCCCAACAGAATTGGCACAAGGAAAAGGAAGAGCTCGTCGAGTCCGAAGCGTACATTCGTGAGGAATTCGAAAATGCCAAACAAGCCATGCACGACTGGGAAGTGTTGGCCATGGAGGAACGCACCTTGCGTCGCGACCTGACCGACCGAACCGCCGATCTCGAAGAACAACTGGCTTCGTTACGTGAGGCGTACGAAAAGGCCACGTCGGAGCGAGACACGCAGTCCTCCACGGTCGACGGGCTCCAAAAGGCCCTACAAGAGATCCAGACCGTCCGGAAGCAAGAGCTCAAGGAACTCGTCGAGACGAATCAAGCCGAGCAGGACTCGCTACGAACACAACTGTCGAGTCTACAGGCGCAGCAAGAGTCCATGAGTGCGGAATTAGAAACGACGAAACGAGACCTCGAACGAGCCCTCCCGTTCGAAAAGGAAGTGAAGGAGAAGAACCTCCTGATCGGCAAATTGAGACACGAGGCCGTGATCCTAAACGACCACTTGACGAAAGCTTTGCGATTTTTGAAAAAGGGCAAGCCGGAGGATAATGTTGATAGGTGAGTTTGTCTGTTTTGTCTTAGTTGGTTTGAATTTCCAAAACCTCCTCCTTCACTCATTTTTTGGCCCCCAATATTGACCACTGCCTTCTCACCATCACCTGTTGAAATGTCCCCTTCCGTTGGTTGCTGTTATTCATAAGGCCCACCACTACAGCACATACCACGGCCCCCGAACTCCGCACATACACAGCCCTACGGGACTTGACTGGATTCACGGGGGCCTACTCCTAGTCGTTCGAATACACACGTGCATCCTTGGTGTTGTACAAAGTATTGTCGGAGTCAAAGGCGGTTTACAAACACCGTTCCGATGATGATCCACTTACAGAAACAAAAATCCAACCCCAAAGATGTCTCATCCTTCCAACGTCGTCGCCCTACCTGTACCCACATACCCATTCCCATACACATTGCGTCTCTTTGGAATATTTGAGGTTTGAGAGAAGGCTAACATGATGGCCTTTTTTTTGAAACAGACAAATCGTAACAAATCATTTCCTGCATTTTCTCCATCTCGACCGATCCGATCCCAAGAAGTTTCAAGTTTTACAACTCATTGCCGCGTTGTTGGGTTGGACAGATGAACAAAGAGAACAAGCTGGACTTACTAGGCCAGGTGGTGCCGGTTCCACGTCCACGTCAAATTCGCTGAGGTTACCGGGGTCGCCTCTCGTTCATCGTACACCTAGCACTCCGGCTCTACAGCAACACCACGACTATTTCGGCGCCGACAGCGGTGTCCCGACGAGCCCGGCCGCTGGTGCTGCCAGTAGAGAGACTTTGGCAGAGTTGTGGCAAGATTTCTTGGAAAGGGAAGCGAATGTCAATGGTGGTAGTACCGTGAGCAGTACCAACGCTGGTAGACAGGGGAGATCATCGAGGCAAGCAAGCCAAAGTCAGAGTCAAAATCCAAAATCACCACCACCACCACCAACAACAACAACATCCTGACAGAAAGAAAAATGATTGCTCGACCTCTACGGATATATACCTCACATAGGTCAAGAAAGATATAATGATGAAAACAAAAAATAAAAGAGGAAACATGAATGGATAAAGATACACGAGACACAAAGACAAAAGACACAATGACACAGAAACAGACACAGATAAAGCAAATGTTGAACGCAGAACGGGATGAAGTTGCTTTGGTAATATGTCTCGGTGCTTTCGATTCCGTGTGCCATGGTCGATACATTTACTACAGAGGAGGTAGTCGTCGTCTTTTCCCCCCCTCAACGAGGATTCGACCAAGTGTCTTGTATCGTTGTCTTGGTATAAACTTGGACTGCTGATTTGATCGCTTTTGGGTTTCAATGTGATTCATGCTGCATACTGTGAACTCCCATGATCCGGTTCACGAAGCCAGACTCGAACCCCCCTTACGGAGTATAAGAATCCTACTCGTCTTTTTCTCCCGGAGAAAAACCCCATCCATTCCTAGAAGAAAGATAAACAACCTGCCAACGAACGCCTTTGGATCCAAAGAAAACATCAAACTCCTAAATCACCACACCATATCATCCCTCATAAAGTCTCGTGTGTTTCTGGGTTGTCCCTTTCCCTTGAATTGCCTTTTTTTCCCCTTCCGGGCTATGTGTTGAATCAATTCCTCCCCAGAACTCCGGGTTTATTCCAAAAAAAAAAATCCAAAAAAAAGGAAAGGCGATAACAGCATCAACCCATTTGCACACACACCCATACCCACATTCATATATGCCTGTATATGCTTGCTTCACTCTGTCATACTCGTCGATCTTCATCCACATTCATACGAGCCTGTATATATGCTGCTGATTCCCATACTCGTAAAGTATTCGTTTCAATGTTTCAATTCGTCTGCAATGCAGGATACCCAAAACGTTCAATCACTTCGGGTAAGTTCTGATCATGTCAAAAAAGGTCAGTCACAGTCACAGTCACAGCCTGGGGTGGGTATATGTGGATGACCTACCGGATCCACTGACGCAATGTCGTCTATTCCAATCTCTTTGTCGACGTACCGATGATTCTCTCCTCCATTCCATCGTAGGTACAACCTCGCCCTTTGAACGTCCACGCCGAACCTCATCTGGCCGAGGGTGACCTCGGACGGATCTCGAGGGTGGTGTGGCGACCGATCTGACCGGTGAGACAAAACATCGAGCATGGCCTCGGCGATCTTGGCAGCCAGTTCCGAGTTCCACGATCCTTCGACCAGGTTCAACAGTCTGATGGCGTTGACTGCCCGTCTCCGGACCTCCACGTTCGGTGCGGACGTCGCGGCCAGAAACAGGGGAGGGATGAACCCCAGCCCACCCGACAGACTGCCGCCGCTGGGTTCGTCCGCGACGGCTACGGCGGGACCTTGTCCGTGTTTGAGCATATCCTCGACCTCGTTGACGACGAAACTCCACCGACAGCGAGGCGGCTGCACCACTGGCTCCTCCGACACGCGGAGTCGGTTTTTGGTCAGGTCCAGAAGGACGTACGCGGCGACGTTGTGCACCACGAGCATCCGCCTCTCGGACACGGGACCCGTCGAGGTGAGCTTTTGGAAAAGGTTGATCCACTTGTACAGTCTGGCGTCGAGGTCGTTGATGGATTCGATGACCTCGTCCGACAGCGCTCCAGCTCCCCCGTCGTGGTCCATCATGGACGACGAAGATGCCAGGGTCGTGAGACTCAAAATGTCGGAGATGGCTTCGCACAGGTACGTGCTGGCGTCCTCGAGGCCTTCAAATGTCTGGCCCAGTGCGTGGTTGATGATCCGGACGTCTTGCGGACTGAGTCCTATCGCCGTGATCTGGCCCTCGAGCTCTTCCAGGCGCGCCACCGGTGCCAACCTGACCACGTCCCTGATGGTGGGCTCGATGTACGTCGAGATGAGATCGTGGGCGGGATCGTCCGGTCGGCGCTTGGCCTTCCACTCCCCCAGGATCTTGATGGCGGCCTTCATGTGATCGAAGGCCGCCTTCTCGGTGCCGTTGAAGTTTTCCAGGCACCAGAAGATGACGCACGAGACCAACACGACGTCGATGGGGGGCTTGTGGGTCAGTAACGCCCTGATCGCCGTGTTGTAGTGGGTCACCGAGTCGTGGGCCGCCTGCGTCGAGACGGACCCCGACGTCGTGAGCGACTGGTGGAGGTTGGCGAGGGCGATGATGGAGTGTTTGATGGCAGGTTGGTGCCAGGTCGCCTGGGGGAGGACCACGGTCCACAGGTAAGGCTGCGAGTAGACCGAAACCAGGTTCGCCGTCCGCTCGAGGAAGAACTGGAAGGATCGGTATTCTTCTTCGGTGCCAAAGCTGGGGACCAAGGCTAGTTCTTGAGGATGGGGGTATGAGTTCAGGTACGAATGAAGCTGAGGATTTTTGGGAGGAGGGCTTCTGGTTGGAATACCGGGTAGAGGAGAGGGTGCTATCGAGGAAGGCCCGGCCGAGGACGACGAAGAGGAGCCGGCGGGTTCGAACAATCGGATCTTGGGCGGTGCATAACCGCCACATTCAATGTTTGATTTCAGACACCTCCATGCCCCTGATGTTAGCGACAATGCTTTTGGAATAGGACATCAAGACGACCACGTTACCTTTGACACGAAGGTTTGCCCTCGTCACACTTGATGCGTCTCCTTTTGCAAGTGAGGCACCCGTTGAACGTCTTCGGCGCCCACTTCTTGGTGCGAGACTTTTCGGACTGCATGGTCGGAGGAGGTGAGGTTCGCTCTGAAGCAGCCGCATCATCTTGGGCATTGTCCATGCCGGTCTCTATTATATCCTGAAGCATCGAGAGACACAGAGAACGAGGGCGACGATCAATCTAGGAAATGACGTTTCCGGAAAAGATGGACCCGGGATGTCGTGCGTGCGATGAAGAGGAATTCAAAAACAAACGAGCACCGCCGACTGAGAGGACGAACGTCGGTGGACGTCGGAGCCACGGTTCGGGCGAGATTGAGGACAGGGATAAATGTTGAGGATACCAATGGGGATACTCCTTTTTTTCTCTGCTTTCCCATGCTCGTACTGGCCACACACAACATGAGCATGCTCCAATACAGTTGCCGACATGCCAGATCTTGTGTTTCGTCTCAGCCTTGTGTTTCGTGGATCTCTTTGGACCTTTTATGCCACCAGGTTTGGCATGGCCTCGGGGCTCCTGAATCTGTCGGTAGTAGGCGACGCAATGAGACTCGACACAGACATTGGTCAATTGGCAAGAGATGATGTGTGGCAAGGGAAGTCAAAGCTGAACAGAGAACGAGTGAAACGGTCAACCCCCGTGCTCCTCTGAACCTGGCGGTCCTCCAAGGTTCTAGAAGAACATCTTTGCCTTGTATAGAGTTTTGACAGGTAATAGATGATATGGGGGAATTCCCCGAAAAAGGGCTGTGTATATGAGAGGCCCTATAGCTGTACAGTATGAACGAGCCGACGAGTTTAGGGCCAAATGGCGCATAGCCTGGAGTGGATATCACCACAGGGTGCCTGGATGGGTATATGCCTGATGGACGGGAGGAAGCGACTCTTTTCACGTACCTTTTTCTTTCCATTCATTTGTAGTTTAGTGAATGTCGTGCGTTTCCGACGACGGTGAATGCTTACATACCCTGGTCCCGGAAGTAAACCGTGACTCAGGCGGTTCTTGCGATTTTTTCCAACGGTCGGTGACAAAGAACAACATACTGAATCAGGACGCATCGGTTTGCGTGATATTGCTTTCAGGCCTTCTCATTAGATGACCCACAAATCCCAAGGCAGATTTTGTGCATCCGACCCTCCGGCAGAGTTCTGGATCTGGAAACCCGTACTTTCTTTCTGCTGGTCTGCTTGGAAATGCAAGGTTCGAGATGATTGGGAAAGGCTTTGCAATATCAAAACCCACCAATGGGGTGGAAGCACGAGATCGGACTCTGGTCTTGGAGTCACAGAGATCTTCCGACAGATTGCAACGACGGGCCCTTGACCGTGGCATCTTGTTGTAACCCTTGAGTTCAGCTGAGAGACCGTGGACATATCGGATGGAGCAACGATCTGCAATATCAGCTGGTAGAATTTGCTTACTCGTATCCGTACGAGAATACTGGACAGAGGGCAACGACCAAACAGAAACCTCCCCACGCTTCCGCTAACACCGAGGCATCCCGTACGGTAGGGTACTAGGTTAGGAGAGATGGCTCCAGAGTCGCAAGGGCACCACGCATGACTTTGCCGCAAGGCGGGCATTGTCGAGAGATCTCATCGCTTAGCCTGGCAAAGGTCGGGCCGGGTTCATTGGGGCGGGGAGAATGTACCCTGGTTCGCATCTCTCGGCGATGAGGCTGTAAGGCTGGACCATGAGAAACCCATTTTGCGGCCGGTTGGACGCGCGAGGACATAGGTTCGTCACACTTGTAAACGAAACGATCGTCGGCGTCGACAAAAAGACGGAACGAAGCGAAGACCTTGATCCGGCAATCATTTCGAGTTTGGTCCTCTTGGCTTCGTTGAGGCTAAAGATATCATCCATGGCTTGTATGGCTATGCATTTCTATATTTTCCGCATTTTCCAGCTTCAGGGTCCAATTGGATTGTTCAGCAGGGCTTCGCTTGTGGGAGGGACCACCCACTGCCCTTGCATACATTGACCCTAGGCAGCCCTATGGAGTTACCCAACCACAGGTAACTCCGCGCAGTTACTGGCCCTGTGGAGGTCGTCGCCGAACATGTGGCAAAGGGCATCGCGCAACGAAAAGGGAGTGGAGAGATGAGGGTCTCAAGGGGGCGGTGGAGGGCCACGGGAGGGAGGAGGGGGGGGGCCTTAGATAAGCAAAGGGGAAAGAGGTTGTCTAGATGGTCTGCCGCTACAGGATCATTTTCCCAGGCGTCAATAATCAGGCCAGCGAACCGGATATGGGCGTGCAAGAGAGAGGCACATGGGCCGGAGTCCTCCTTGTAGGTGGTGGTGGGATGACTGGACGCCTTACCGGCAACACATGGTAAATATACCGCAACTCACGGAGCACTACTACAATACTACTGCTACAATACCACTGTACCTGAAAAAACAAGACCTCTCTTTGGCATTTGATCTTCTCTCTGACCGTACTTTTGCAACAGTATGGAGACTTGGTGTTTGAGGGTCTTGCGGTCAATCATTGAGGCTCTGGGTCTGGACTTTTGTTAGATATTGCGGATATCTCAGCATATTTCTTTGTTCTCTGTATGGGAAGATGTCAACCATATTTTTATTATTCAAATCTTGCATTCTCACTCTAGTAAAAAGCAGAGACTGGGCCTACTATACGGATTATGACCACCCTGTTCATCTACCAGAGGTGAAACAATCCCTACTCCGTACAGACTACGGCTCTAATACTATGTACTGTAATTACTTCATTCCAAAGGTTAAGCTCCTTGACACACACACACACACACTTTAACCCTTGACACGAATTCGCCACGCGGGAGTTGCAGATAGATTAGAGGTAACGAGTAGAATACCATAGTTCCTACGGCCTGCATCCATGGCAAACCAAGTTAGTGAATACGAGCATGTCCATCGCTCGAGCATTTACTTTACCTACAATAGAAGTTTACCCTCGCATCTTCCATCCTCTTTACGGTCAATACTTCTCTATTTGTAAAGGAGATGACAGAGGATTCCCTTTTCTCAGTAGAGGGCTAAAGGACTGATCATCCCCTCCATCCCCTCCCCTTTCTCCCTCCCTCTTACAAGTCATCAATCTCAGATCATCTGCTCTCCTCCTCCCCCCCCCCCCTTTTTTTTTTCGTCGGGCGGACTCCGTACTTTGGGCTAAAATATTCGCTACTCGCTTCAGGGACGATGAGATCTCAAACTACCCGCCTTGGCAACGCTCTCTTGACGCCTTGGTATGGAGTTTTCTGTCCGTGTCCATCGAATCAATCTCTTCTTTTTCGCTTTTACTGATACCTTCATTCCAGCCCATTTCAGCCACCGAAACACCACTGTATGACCTTTGAACAGCGCCATGGCCAAACCTGGTCCAGTGCGCGCGCGCGCGTGTGTGCTCTGTTAATCGCCTGCCTATTGTATGTACAGTACCCGTACTAAACTCGTTTTCTCTGATTTGGCACGAAGGGGGGCCGCTCTGTCGCTGTCGCTTTATGCTTGGTTCCCTTTCCCTACGTACAAGACAAGGTAGGGGCGTTTTTTGGTTGGCCTTTCCGCCGCCACCGGGTGTAAGTATCAGCTTAGAACTTCACGCCTTCATGGCTACAGTACTATTGACACTACCCCTGGTTTGGAAAACTGGTTCCTTGGATTTCTGTTTTCTGAGATTCATCTTCTTCATTATTCCTCATCGATCATTTTCTCGTGTGAACGGTGCTTGAGGCCAACATTCATTCATTGTTTATTTATTCTCCATGTCATTCATTCTTTTTGTGGTGTCGATGTAATTGACCAACGGACGATTCATTTTTTTACACCACATTCCTTTGGAATTTCTCTACCCAGTGCGATTTTGCCTGCAAGAGGGAGAGAGGTGGTGGATTGACCAAATCCATATACTATCCATGGCATCTTGATACGGACACTTACTAAAAATGTCGTGGCGGAACGTACCACCGAGAAAGCTGATCACGGCCACTCTCTCGGTGTGCGCATTTCTATTCTTGATCCATTTCGTGACCCAGGGACCCAGAACTCCCACCCAGATCCAGCACAAGTTCGCGTCAAGGGGACTGGCTCAACCTGAACGACAAAATACCGTCAAACGTGAGTTTCTCCATGCGTGGACAGGATATCAAGACCACGCCTGGATGGCGGATGGCCTCTTGCCCTTGTCCGGTGGTAAGAAGCATCAATTTTGCGGGTGGTCCGCCACTCTCGTCGACGCGCTGGACAGCTTGATCATCCTGGGACTGGACGAGGAGTTCGACGAAGCACTGAATGCGACCCTGACCATCGACTTCGCCGAGAGCGTGGAGAATTGCGACGTCAACCTCTTTGAATCCACCATTCGATACCTGGGTGGCTTGATGGCGGCATACGACCTAAGCAACGACGCCAGGATCCTCCCCAAGCTGATCGAACTGGGCGACATGTTACATTCGGCCTTCGACACGCCCAACGGCATGCCCTGTACGATGTGCAAGTTGGCGACAAAGGGCGCCGTCGTCGAATCGTCCGAGAACGCCGCCCTGGCCGACATTGGTAGTCTCTACTTGGAATTCGCCCGACTGTCCCAGGTGACGGGGGACGACAAGTACATGCGCACGGTCGACAGGTTGAGTGACGTGTTTGCCCGGTCGCAAAACGACTCGTCCATCCCGGGCTTGTGGCCGGAGAACCTCGGTCCGCGCCTCGTCGACGGACCGCAGGGGTACGACTTTGCCAGGAAGAGCTCGCGGTACGGCCTCGGTGCCATGTCGGACTCTGCGTACGAATACCTCGTCAAGGCGCACCTGCTCGTGGGCGAGACACGGAGCGTGTACCGGACGATGTGGGATCTGGCGTCACGACAGATCAAACGGTACCTCCTCTTCCGCGCCCTCATCCCCGGGGCCAACGAGACCGACGCGCTCTTCCCGGGCATCGCATCTCGGAGCCTCGGGTCGGCCCAGACGCTGTTGGAGACGAGGACGGAGCACCTCGCGTGTTTCGCCGGTGGCATGTTCGCCATGGCTTCCCGAATTTTCAACAACCCAGACGACTTTGAGGTCGGCGAACAAATCACCAACGGCTGCGTGTGGGCGTACCAGAACAGCCCGTCGGGCATCATGCCGGAGACGCTCACGCTCCTGCCATGTTCCGTCAACGACGGTCTCCAGTGCGACTGGGACGATTCGTACTGGGGCGTGCAGAGCAACAGACCCGAGAACTGCATGAACGGCTACTGTCAGTCGTCCCGGTACCCTCCCGGGTTTTTGCAAGTCAAGGACCCGTCGTACAAGTTGCGTCCCGAGGCGATCGAGTCGGTGTTTGTCATGTGGCGCATGACGGGCGACGAATACTGGCGAGAGGTCGGTTGGGAGATGTTCCAGTCAATCATCGAACATACCCGCTCCCCCTTTGGGCACGCCGCCCTGCTGAGTACCATGGAGGTCTACCAGCGAGACACTTACGAGAGGGGTCTCATGGTGAGGAAGGTGTTGGCCAGGCAGACGGATGACATGGAGAGTTTCTGGTTCGCCGAGACCCTCAAGTATTTCTATCTACTGTTTAGTGACCCCAGCTTGATCAGTTTGGACGAGTGGGTTTTGAACACCGAGGCCCATCCGTTTCGATTGACCAGGGGAATTCGAGGGTTTTGATTATGACATTTGATTCCGAACCACCAATCACGACTTTTGATTCCTACTTTGGATCCTGAATTTGGATCACACATCAAGATGGCCCGGCATTACAAGTCTGTTCCTCCCATCTTCGAATCAACAATTCAGAACTGTATCACCATATCCAGTCACCACCTTGTTGGTTCCGGCGGAAGATTCGGTCTTGTATGCCGAATCACAATATCTTCCGACATTCTTTTTGGATTTCGTCAAAGGGTTCATCGTCAGCGTCATAGAGAGAGAGTCGAGAGAGTCCAGGGGGTTCTTCCAAAAATTCAGGGGCAGGAGAAACAGGACTCACGGTACTCCCACGGCAAAAGGCGATACAACATCCATCACCAGGTTCGGATTCATAAATCCATGATTGAGCACCACCTGACCAACCGACCTTGTGACTTCCACTGTTTTTGGGGTTTGTCAGTCGGTCATTCAGTCAGAAATCCAAACAGATTTTGCTTCAGAATGAGGATGACAAAGCAAGGGGGAACAAGGTCAACGGTAGATCAAGAAAGAGCAGGGATCGAAAAATGGTTCAAAGTACTCAAAGAAGGGAAGGCAAAGAGTGAGAAGGAGAAAGAGTCAAGAGTGAAGAGAGACGAGTCATCCAAAACTCACTCGGTTGTAAAAGTCGCCTGGTCACCTTGGAAGTTTGTCTTGCCGTACAAACTGATTCGATAAGTCGAGTCTGCGTTGACGTCGTCGCCGAAACACAACAACGCAACGACAGCGACGGCGGCGGCGGCGGCGGCGGCGGCGGCGGTGGTGATGGTACCAAAGACAAAATTAGTCGAGGGTTTCATCATCATCATCATCATCATTGTCGTCACTTTCCTTTTTGGTGTGAGAGGACAAGAACAAAACAGAAAAAACAAAAAACAAGATCGCACTCATCAGACTTTTAAATATACCTACTCAAAGGGAAAAACCCCCCACCATCATCAATTTCACACAGTGTCCCTTCCTCAACGAAAAAGAAGGAATATTACGAGAATTGACGTTCCAATGTTGCACACGCAAGGGAAAGAAAGTGAATCACAAACCGGTTTTGTTCTTTCTTTTGCCCAGCTTGATCAGGCACGGCAAGGCGGACTACAATACCTTCTACTGTGGTGATCGGCAAAGAGCATAGCAGCAAACAATTGTCGTGTCACCTACTCTAAACATCTTTTGCCTCTGTAGAGTCAGTTCTACTCAATAGCATACTCCATGAAACTCCATGCTGACATCGTGTGTAACGTTGCGTTATCTTCATTGCAAATCCCGCATCTTGAGATGACTTGGAACACTATGGAATTGTGTTTCTTTTTTCTTTTTCTTCCGAGACGTCATTCCCACCCATGTACATCGTTTCGTTTCTCCTTTATCTGCACGGAAGGAACATGCTCATGCTGTTCCCGTCACGGCGAAACAGAAACAAAAAGGAAACCCCCTTGCTCTTGCTCTTGCTTTTCATAATCCAGTTCATCATACTTGACAGAAAAAAACCCACGCTCATTTTCGCAGCATACTGTTGCCAAACAAAACTCATGAGCTCAACCAGTCCAAAAATTCCGGAGTGAAATAGCTGACTACAATGCCGGCACCCGCTCGTAGTATGCCCTCGGTACTCTCAAACGCCATGGTCTTGAGATCAAACACGCCAGCCTTTGCACCCGCATGGATCATGGCATACTCTCCACTAACTTGGTACGCAGCAATAGGCATATCTTTGGCAAGCTCCTTGGCATCACTGATGATGTCGAGGAAGCTGCTTGCGGGCTTGACCATGATGATGTCAGCACCTTCGTTGATGTCTCGTACAATCGCACGTCGTGCAAGACCTCGTCCTCCAGGTGGAAGCTGGTAGCATTTCCGGTCACCAAAACTGGGGCAGCTACCTGCCGCATCGCGGAAGGGGCCGTACAAGCAACCCGAGAATTTGGCAGCATAGCTCATAAGGTTGACTTGATGAGAAAGACCTGCCTCAATGAGTTTGAGCTTGATCGCACGGATGCGTCCGTCGTTCATATCGGATGGGGCGACACAGTGTGCGCCGGCTTGGGCATAGGCCATGGCCACGTCGGAGATGCGTTCAACAGACATGGCGTTATTTAGAGAACCGTCGTCGCGGAGAATTCCACAGTGACCGTGGCTCGTGTATTCACACAGACACACATCTGCGACTATGAAGAGGGATGGGAACTGTCGACGGATGAGTTGTATGGCTTGGATCACAGGACCCTCCGGGTCGTCGGCAGCTGTGCCCAGGGCATCTTTGGCAGTGGGTGCGAGAGGGACACCGAAGAGGATGACACTTCGGAGACCTTTGGCCACAAGAGGCTCAAGGAAGGGGACGAGCTTATTCAGGCCGAGGCGGTTTTGGTTGGGGAGGGAAGGGATCGGAGTAACCTCGTTCGGGTTGTCGGTGATGAAGAGAGGGTAGATGAGCATAGACTGGAGAGAGTTGTTAGTATGTTTGAGATTTAAAAAAAGCGACGGCAAATGACCGCACCTTTGTCAGCTGTCGCTCTGCTTGCCATGCTCTTGACAGTGGGTGACTGTAACCTGCGTGAAGTTGGCTGGAGATGTCACCGGCAATGCTCACACTCGTGGCGGCGGTCGAGGTGTACGAGCGGGCCATGGAGGGTCGAGAAATGGTCGATTGGTTGTCATTGCTTGTCGCCGTGCTGGCGCTCGCTCGGACATTGGACTGAGAAGAGTCGCGGAACGCGATGTCGTGGACTAGGGAGGAGAAAGACATGATGGGCGGTATAGAGACGAGGAAATTCGGTTGGTTGGTTGGGAGGAGCGTTTCTGAGAGGGTTGTCCTTAGAGGACGATGGTCTCAGGTATGGGGGCTTTTGAGGAGGTCGAGCACAGCTCAGACCAGGCAATCGCAGTGAATATCTTGAAGCAAGGGAACACTGAGCAAGAATGAAACTGCGCTGTGTGTAAGATGGAGGCGACGACGGCAGAAAGTACGAGCGCTAACATTCCGTGAATTTCTTCCCGACGCACTTTTTGGGATCCTCGCCCTCGGAAGCCGGAAAAACTGTCAGCGAAAATCGGAGGGAGTCGATTGGATTTGGCACTTGTCTCACTGCTCCTCCGTACCTGGACTGTAGTTGTCGCTGACCTTTAGGGACAGGCGATTCGTCAATGGCACCAACTGTCACAAAAGATGATATACGTTTACAAGGGAAATGTGTAGTGTAAAATAGATGATTTTGATTTGTATCTAATATTGATTACCCATGTGGAACCCTAGTCAAGTCAGCAGAACTTGGTATAGTCTGCCGAGTTGCTGTGTACATTCTCTGCTCCATAGTTCATAACCAGTCATTGAACCAACTCTATCCTGTCCTGTCCTGTACATTGTTCTTGTTCATCCATATAATGGTTCTCTCTGAACCCAGCCCGGGACGCCGTCGCAATGCAAAAAGAAAAGATGAGGCAACTTTCTTTACAATTGAATGTCGTTGTTTAGCAGACGGACCTCTTCTCCAGGTTTGAATGCAGGGAGTCCGATATAAGGACAGCCATCGCATCGGAATGCATCTGAAAACCAATCTTAGCATGTGTCAATAGCGACGAAACTTCCCTCAAACTTACCTCCAAGACTGCAGTTTCCACAACTCCCAACCTTGCCTTGAACTGTAAAATCAACCTCGGCGAGATCATCGGATTGTAGCTTCATTGTGTTCAATGCCTTGTCGGCATTTTCTCTTCGTGCCCGATCCTCTGCTTCCAGCTTTTCTGCTAGACCACAAGTACAATCCTTGCACGCCCGGCGCCTCTTTGCCTTGGGTTTGCATTCGGTGGCTAATTTGGTCAGTCCCCGACCTTCAATCAAGGGTTATGTCAACTTACGGATCTTGATGGGTCTTTTGAGATCGTCCTCGTCCAGCAACTCATCCTCGTCAATCATTTCATCATCAGAGTCCATTGTACCATCGTCAAACCCAACACCATCAAGCGCATTTTCGGCACTCTTTCGTTTTCCGTTCAAGGGCAGAGAGACTGAATCTCCGTTGGTGCTGAGCCCGCCAGCAGCCTGCGCAGTCTTTTTCTTTCCAAATTTCAGAGGAACTGACTCTTGTGCTCCGTAATCTGGTTTGACAAAACCTGTTCCAGGCTGAAAAGATAGTCCTGCCAGAATAGCCTCGTTCTTTTCCGCGCCATCCAAATTCCCATATTGACCGTCCTGGCTTCGTAACTGGCCTCCATTCTTGAGTGCTTTCACCAGCAATCCCAGTACGTCTCGGTGGAGGAGAGTGTGCGATTCCCGACGAGAACCATCGGCATCGGAGAGGATGATGATCACATCATAAGTGGACTGAGGGAGAGAGACTAAGCCAGCAGCTAGTCTGTCCAACATTTGCATGTCTGTGGCTGCTCTGTTGTGCATCTCCAGCACATTGGTCAATTTCTCTTGGTGGGATGACAGAGAGGGTGGCGAGAGCAGGAGGGTTCGTTTGGACGCCTGCGGCGCCTTGGAAACCGGCAAGACGAAATCGTCCGAGGTGTCCATGAGAATAGAGGGCGACATGTTGACGACACTGATGAAGACGACTACTTTACAATTGAAACTGTAGCCGTTGACTGTTGCAGTTTGTGCCTTTGAGCGACCAGAAAAAGAATCAATAAAACAAGGGCTCGGATTAGAAATCGGAGCGGGAAGAGGGGAATGACGCTAGAGTCGCAAGCTAACACCCGCCGCTGCTGTCGGGGACCAGTGGAGGGCTTATGGACTCTCCCACGCAGCCTCCCAATGCAGCGAAATCGATGTCGGTGCCTTTGTTGATGTCTACGGCGCAGTCTGAGTGTTCCACGAAGCCAGCAAGATGGATTGTCTGGGATGAGGCAAAGACCAGAGGCTTTGCCAAAGGAAAGAAGGGCAGTTCACGTGATGAGCGGTGTCGTGCGTTGCCGGCATAATCGGCTTATCAGATTTGATCAGACCACCGAATCACCTGTTCTAGAATGCTCGGTCGCGCGAGAGAAATAAATACTGTAACAAGTGATGCTGTCCGAGTACGGAGTACTGTACAGTATGGCGAATATGAGTCACTCGATATAATTACTTAGCTCTTGATTATTGCACTCAATAAGCCCACATAGCCTGTGCCACGCAGTGTATCTCCAGGTGTCGCCATGTACGTAGTTGTTATCGGCGGGTGGATTTAGGCATACGATGCCCTGTGCTCGTACTGTAGTGGCATCTGCTGAGCACAATAACACTACCATACCTAGCTGACAACAATGATCATGATTGTGCCCCGTTACAGTACCTGTTTCATTTGTTTACCGAGAGTACTCAATCACCCCTGGTACCTGGATTTCCTCCTGGTTCTGTGGAGACGGTGGCTGGTCTCTGCTCTCAACAATCTCCTAGACAAGTGAGAAAACACAGCCCTTTTGCCCCGCGCTAAAAGGGGCCCAAATGGCGCAAAGTGGGTGCAAATTAGTCGGCATCAGGAATCCGGGGAAAGTGCAATGACGATTGGTCTGTCCAGGTACCGAGTAGTACGAAGCAACAGAAGCCTCCAGAACGCGAAAGCCCAAGGTCATGCGAGCAACAAGATACTCCATAATGATAACTATGGCTTCAGCTATTGAGATTAAATGGATCCTCATACGTAGTTAATACTGCACTCGTAGTAGCTGATATCTGGCCTTTCTCCCTTCCTCTGCTGTCGTCAGCCACCCCGCCATCCTCCTCGTAAAAGTCCATAAGTACCTCACAAGTCACTCGTCCTCCAACCCTTGACTTCTCTCGCGCATACACCCAATCACACCACGAACCCCCCTCGCTTCAGAACAAAACCCATCCCTGACACTTCCCCTACCGCTCGACAAATAAGGTGAGTTTCCAGTCCGATCCCGCCCAATACATCAACGATCATCATCATTCACTTGGCCCGAGCTTCTTCCTCTTCCACTCCTTCGCCCTGCAGGGTCGCGTGTCCCCGTTCGTTCCCTTCTTCAACTCCAACCTCACTTCAACCAAAGCTGACTTTGACCTCACAAGAGCAAACAATCGACCGCCAACACCAATCTCTCGACCGACACTTCACACCTCTCTCAATCGTCTCCGACCCCTTCCTGAACTCACCAGTAAGTCTTTCCGGAGCTTCCTCCGGCCTCGTTGGGGCCTCCTTGCGGGCAAACGACTGACCGGCTGTCCCTCCGCAGTGACTCGAACCAACAAAGGCAACGACCGTAACCACAGCGCCCTTGCTGATGGTACTGCCGTGGCCGAAGACCGCCTCCCACGCTACTTCGCCAAACACGGCCACGTTGACGCTGATCCCAAGGCCGTCAAGAAACAAGGTGGTGGTAAAGGCAACTGGTAAGAGCTATATATCCTGCATAACACAAAACGTCCTGTCTTCGTCCCACGATGTCATCATCGTACTCACAAGACTTTTCTCTCTCTCTCAGGGGACGTGAGGGCGACGAGGTTCACGACTACGGCTACAACTTTGCCAATGCCCGCCGTCGATCCAACAGCAGCACTCAGGCGCTAGGTGACTTCAAGACCAAGTTCGAAACCATCGAGACCGACCCCGTCTTCGAAGAAGAACTCCACGGCCCTACCGACGATGACATTGAGAAAGCCTCCAACCTGTCCAAGGAAGAGAGCGTCGACTCTAGCACCCTCGGAGGAAGCGTCGATGGCGACAACCTCAAGATGTAATATTACAAACAATAATCCGTCGAGAGATGATGATCATCAAGACTGAAAATTCATGACTCCCGTCTGGCGGAAACATGGATGATGAAAAACATGATCAATATCTCCTTATATGGCGCTCAAAGGATGGTGCTCCACCAAATGTGTAACACTGTGACAACACAGTTTCTTTTTCTTTTTGCTTTACTCAACAAATGAAAGGTCATGAAGAGGAATGATTCACACAAAGCATGTATTAGCAGAACCAGAAATCAATTCAAATCCAGAATTGCAAAGTCAACCCGTTGTTTGTTATCTTCTTGCCCTTAGATGATGATATGTTATACCCCCGCGATATGCTTATACTCCCACGGCTCTGATGTATCATAAATACCTCGCTGTAGATTATTTCATCGTTCTGTTTGTACATCCGAAGCGTAGATCCTAGGTTCCCTAATTTAGTTACATAGTCTGGTCTAGGTCTACCGACAATTGTTCCGTGTTGATGGGCATGAAGTCCCAGTCGGGGTCCCACTGAAACAACTCGATGTCGTTAAAGGCCGAATTGTCAAAGGCCAAGAAGTTGTCATCGAGTTCCCACGGCTGGTCGACTTGAGGTGCCTGGTTCCAGGTCAACGGGCCGTCGGAGAAGAGCAGCCTCTGGATCTCGTCCGTGATCCAAGGGTCGTCGTACCGCGGGAACGACGCACCGCCCCCGCCACCACCTGGGCTGGTGCTGTTGTTGCGGAGACCCGCACCGTCGTCGTCGGGACCGACAATGGCGAACGCGGTGGCGATCTTGTCCGCCACGGGGGCCAGCCGGTCCGCGCACACGGCGGCCTCGTTCCACCGCCTGCTGATGTACGTGAGGGCCTGGAGGCAGCGGGGGATGGAGTCGTCGAGCATGAGCCTGGCCTGGGCCCTCAGGGGCTCCCAGTCGCGCGACGACCAGCAAGCCTCGAGGGCGATGACGGCGGCCTCGAAGAGGATGTGGGCGCCGTGCCAGGGGTAGAAGAGTCGGCGGCGGCGGATCTGGCCCTCGTAGTCCTCGATCAACCTCGTGGCCGACTCGAGCACGAGCCGGCGGTCCTGGGGCGTGCGTACCCTCAGCCGCGGCGTCGGCCTGTGGATGCGCGCCTTGAGGTGGTGGTACTGCACGTGCTTGAACTCGAGCATGTTGTATTGTGTGTACGACTGCGCCTTGGCGTACCAAGTGTCCAGCCGCGCAGATATGTCGGCGATCCAGCCGTCGATACTGTCGGCCTGGCCACCGAACGCTGCGAGGTCGTCTTCGAGGTGGAGGACCCGGTGGACCTCGGTCTCGAGCGCCCGGTAGAGGTAGATGTGGTTGGCCGACGATTTGCGTTCAATATCCTCGTGTGCGAGGAACGACACAGTTGTGTCGCTGGGGGACGACATTTCAAACTGACATCCACAAGAAATATGTGAGCTGGGTTCGTCATGTCCTAGAGGCAGATGAAAGGACAGGAGAAATCATAACGAAGGAGAAGAAGGGTTAGAACTTACTTTTGTAGTTACGGCCTCTTCTGGGAATGATAGCGGTAGACGCAAATTCGTACACAACGATCTCTCCATCCCGTATGTCACCCAGAAAAGCCGCGAGCGTACACTCACTTGTTCAGGCGTGAAGCAATCTGGGGACTGTTTGTGTAGGCCCAAGTCCAAAACGATCCTGACTGCGTTCGTAATGCATATCCAGTTATCGGCTCTTTCGGGACACATTTGCGCGTAGTGAGCCAGGAGGAGAGATATTTGAAGCGCTTGCATTTCGTCGTGGTTGCTTAGCGTTTGGAGATGACGGAGGGCTGAATTGTAGAACGACTCTGATGCCGTGCGGGCTTGGTCTTCGGCTTTCCAGGTCAATGTCATGGCCGATATGGCCATTACTATGAAAAGGACAAAATACTCAAAATGTCCCAATTTCGCCGACGGTGGGATGCCGTATACGAGCAGGCTGTTGGTGTCTCGGAGTTCTTCGTCCTGGAGGCGTTCCACCATCTCGTGGAGGGCGGACTCGGAGACGCAGGGATACTGCGGAAGGAGGATTTCCAGATAGTTCTGAATCATGCGTCGGATGGCTGAAAATGGCACGCTGTTAAGATCGAGGCAATTCTGCTTGTTCTGGGCATCTTTGCCACTGTTGTCGCGGTGGAGACTCGGGGACTTCTTCTCGGACGGATCTCGCTCGCGGTCTCGAACCAAAGCGAGTGGCGGGCATGATGGGTGGAATAGAAGAGCAGAAGAGAGCCGCGTGCGTAGATACGGCGCAGGAGGAGGAATCCCGAACGATAACGTCGCTCGTGAGATCTCCGAAGCCATCAGGTAAGGAATGTTTTGTGGCACATCTCGATAGGCGCGCACTTGAGCCTCCAGCTCTGCCAGGCGTGCTTCCAAGGATCTAACCAAGCTGGAACCCAAAAATTGTAAGCATGATGAAGGACAAGCCCCAAGCAGTGCGTCATGGCTTTCCTGGTACTCACCTTCTTGGAACCGCTTCTTTGGTTACTGGGTCATACCCCAGGCACGTGGCTTTGGCCACTTTACATGATGTGCATGCCGGAAATTTGAAATCACACTGTCATTAACGACATCAGCCACTGCAGCCTGAGTGTATCAAGAAGTTGCGGAGTAAAGTACCTTGGTTTTGCGCTTTCTGCATCGAGTGCATACTTTGGTGGAACGGCGATGGGACTGCTGCATTTCGAGACTTCATTCGAAGTGGCCTGTCTCCTATCCCGCAGGAGAAACGGATTTAAATCTTTCCAGGAGTACAGTGGACTTGTTAATGTCCACGTATGGTGTTCACGTATGGAGATGTAAGGGTACCTGATGTAGAGAGTAGGTAGAAAAGATGCCCAGAACGAAAGCCGCATTTGCTGCTTTAAGCGTGCCAAGGACCTGGTTGGCTGCCATTTCTAGGTACGCAACATCGAATCTATCCTACATACACAATGTCCGTGTGCACAAGATTCAATCAACCCTATGTAGGCAAAAGAACTCTATAAGACCATCTGTCGAGTCTTCTGTCTCTCATAAGCCCACCTCGAAGAGCACAACCCTTTCCATACCTGCGTAATGCCAGGGCCACTCGTCTACAAGACGCAAAATCATGCTGCAAACCTGCACACGCTGTCGAACACGGAGAATAAAGGTATAGAATCCGCTCAACTTCAAAACGTAGCTGACCAAAGGTCCTGGTGCTCAACTTAACAGTGCGATTCAAATCTGCCAGCATGTGCAAATTGTGTCAAGGCCGACCTTGAATGTACTTTTCGAGATGACGCGCTTCAGGAGGATATCCCTCGAAGGTACATGCGTGTCCGCAGACATCGAGAATGGACGCTGACTTTCATGAAGCTATGTCAAAGCCTTGAACGACCAAATCCAGTCCTTGAGCTCTCAGCTAGCTTTGCACATGCACTCTTCACCAAGGTGAGTCTCGCACTTACTAGTGCTTTAGGGTTCGCTGTTAGGTTAACAATACTAGCATCACCTCGCCAGTGGGATTTCCTGCTGCTACATCGTCCATACCAGCGGGACCTCCTTCGTATGTGCTGATGCCCAGAACTGGCCAGTACATGTACATGGGTCTTTCTCTTCCGTCATTGATCGCATTGGCTACTTTTGAGGTCCTTCCTCCTTTCGAGGCCTCAAATGAGGCTACCGTGAAGGTCGATGACGATCTGCAGCTGCAAGATAACTGGAAGCTCGATCGTTCCGCACTCACACCTAGAGTCATGCGGTTTCTACTCAGCCAGTACGACCGTTGTATCCGGCCCCAGTACGACGTGCCAATCCCAGAGGTCTCCAACCAGGATTCAACTTCTCTAAAGAAACTTCCGGAAAATCAGAAGTTCAAGATACTCATTGCGTGTGCCATAGCTGCGGCACGTGAGAGTTACAAGCACCCTCACTGGAAGGCGATGGCTCAATTATGCAGAGATTGGGCCAGTGAATCTTTGAATTCTGTCATCTCCTCCTGCGATGCTGACTCATTGACTGCGATTCTTTTATTGCTTGTCTTTGAACTAGCTGAACCTAGTAGGGGAGCAGTGTGGGAATTACTAGACCTTGCTATCCGAACCTGTCTGCAATTGGGCTGGCACAGAACCAACGGTACACTTGAGAGCGTATCCACTATTCACGACACCTTCGATAATTCTGATAAACCTCGTTTGATGGCTGTGTTGAAAGCTGTGGAAGGGCAAGTCGTGACCCTTTGATCATGCTGACAACCACTGACAAAAGTCTAGATCCTTGCGATTGACGTTTGATCGACCAAATATGCTTAGAGAAGCCAGGTTCTCATATCCGACAGACAACGACAACATCATGCAAATTTTCACAAACTTGTCCCAAGAAATCTACGGCAACGGTCAACTTTTGGAAGCCCAAGCTTGCCCATTCGTGGGCCAGAGCGCCACATTGATGGACCTTCTCGACAGTATGATAACCACAGACGTCGTAATCAATGAAACGTGGCTCCTGTTCCTACCGGTCTGCGTGAGACACAAACAATGCGTCTTTTGCTTCCAAGAAGCAGACGACCCTAATAGCAGGGGTATGCTTGCATTGAGGCACAAGGTGATGGCATCTGCTTGCAAGCTCTTGCTAGATGTACATCAAAAAACAGCAGCCGAGTATAATTTTATTCCACCTATCGTGGCGAGCTCGAGAGCATTCACCAGTGGATGTGTTTTGGCAACGAGCATTGTCAAAAAGTGGACGTCGGCAGAGCATCACGTTCGTGATCTCCTGAGATGCTCAGAAGTTCTCACCTTCTTTGCGCCTCATTGGAAGGGCGGCTACAGCTATCTCGAAATGTGGAGGACAATTACAAATCTTCTTCAGCCAGATCCGACCTGAGCAGAAAGTGTTGGTTCTCTATTCGAACTGCAAGAATGAGGGAGTAGAGAAATTCTGCTGAGGACTATATTCGCCTCCAAGCTAAAGTTGACTCTCTAGTCTACCAATATGGTTCTAACAGGGGGGGAGAGCGATGGCTTCCCAAAGGAAACCTCCAATTTCCGCTTCTGGAGATCCATGATGACTGTCGCCAAAGTCTCCATTCTTTCAATACCCTTTGCAAGAGGCGGCGTAGAGCGACATATCGACACGGGCGTGCCCACCTCGTCCGAGAGCCAAGTTCGAATCTTGGACATATCCGCGGCTTCACCCTTGCTCAATTCCCTGATCCTCTCCAATCTCGAGAAAGAGTTCTTCGAAGGGTGATCAACTATACCGGCAGGCACATTGGGAGACCACAAATGATTTGTGTGGAAGGTTGTCGTACTGCCAGGTTCCGGATAGATTGGTGCTAGGCCCTTTGGTGTACATTCAATTGTAGCCAGCTTCCCACTGCGATCAGCCATCATAAAGTTCACACAAGAGGCCACTCCCTTCTGTTCCAGCATACTATACGCCTCATCGAATGACTTGCATTCCAGCACACGTCTCATGGCCAGGTGCACCGGTAGTGCATTCTTGTTCACCGTGCCGCACCTGATAGCATTCATACAAATGCCGAGACCGTGCTCATTGATACCAAACTTGGCGAGGATTCCAGCCTCACCCATGATTCGAATACGTGGCTTGCCAGTCTTGTGGAAGTCGAAGAAAACAGTCGACTTTCCTGCCTCGCCTACCCAGTCCCAATTCTGCGCGAGGAACACCTCGGACGTTTTAGGGTTTTGGGAGACGACAGATGTGCATCCATCAGAGTAGTTGGTCAAAGAGATCTCGCTGCGCAAGTTGAGAGCAAGAATGTCCAGGAAGTCGACCCCAGCACCTTCAGCGACAGCGCGCATTTCTTCTACCAAGTCAGAGTCATGTTGTTCCAGATATGGAAGATATGTAGAAGCTCGCTTCTTAGACTCGGTCCAATCACAATCGGCTGTCTCCTGGAAAAGCGTTTTGTAATTCTCGATCGCTGTTCTAATCCGGCTGGGGATTTGACTGCCATGAGTGAAGCCAATCTCGCTGGCCGAGCCACTGGCAACTACCTCCGGTACTCCCTCCCACTCCTTCTGGGTATCTTGAACACTCGTAGAGTTAATCATGGCTGATGCTGCTAGTCTAAATCGAATGATCTTGTACTGGATGCCTAGAATTGTTCACGAAGCAAACTACTAATACCTTCAAACTCCGTTCCCCGAATATGCCACAACATGGAGACCTGTGTGTTGTCCCGAGTGAGAGCCCGCCCTTCATGGACACCAGTGACCTTGTCGGCATTGACCGACGATGAGAGTCTGTCCGATGGGCTCCTCCGGTTGATGCCGCGCTAACCGAGAACAGCCAGGAAGAGAGTTTGGTATAGAAAGGACTGTGTCACGTGATTGTGAGCTATACTACACTGGACGCACTGTATGTAAACATGACATGTTGCATCGCTTGCTTGCCCTCTAGAGGTCTGGTGACAAAATCATCAAGATGGGATCCATGGGATATTCTCCAGCGACTGCGGAAGTGAACAACGACTACGATGTCAGGATTGCAGGTGGATTTGCGCCTCTCCCCGTAAGCCCCTTTTCAGCCTTGAGTGAGCACAATGCAGGACTATACTGATCACTCTACACTACATAGGTTGCACTTGAGAGGACGGAGGGGTCCATGGCATATGATGTTGACGGCAAACCTTACATAGACTTCCTCAGCATGATTGCCGTCAACAATATGGGGCATGGCCATCCCAAAATAGTTGACGCCGCCGTCAACGCAATCAAGACTGGTGCTACTGTGAATCTTGCTTTCCAAAGTCCCTGCTATGGCAAGCTCGCGAAGAAGATCACAGGGGTAAGCTATATGCTCAGCTACTATTGCGATGATTTAAGGATTAACCTTGTATAGATGTTTGGCTATGATCGGTTCGTATGCTTGACGAGTGGTGGCGAGGCTGCAGATGCTGCTCTCAAGATTGCTCGTAAATGGGGCCACCTTGTCAAAGGTATCCCTCTGGGAGAATGCCACATTTTGAGCACAGCATCTTGTTATCATGGCGTTGGTTTGGGAACTTTATCAACTGCCAGCAGAAAAAGCTCGCGTGAGTGGCCATTTGCCCGTGAGATATATCAGCAATAAGCTTACATCGATCCCAGTTTTCCAACCTTACCTGCCTAATACTGGGGCTATTACCCCCACGGGACTACCAATCAGGTTTGGACATCTAGAAGACCTCAGGAGGGCATTTGAGCTCGATGGCTCCAGCATTGCTGCGTTCATCATTGAGCCCATACAGGGGGCGGCTGGGTATGATACCACCCCTTGACTTGAAGTTCTGGACTTGACATTTTGGCCACATAGTGTCATTGTACCTCCAGAAGATTATCTGGTAGGAGTTGAAGAGCTCTGCAAAAAGCACAATGTTCTATTCATTGCAGACGAGATTCAGACTGGTCTTGGAAGATGCGGATATCCTCTCTACACTCAAAAATACGGACTTCACCCTGACCTGGTCATCTTGGGGAAAGCGTTGTCTGGTGGTAAGGTTGAGATCCATCGTCGAAGTTGTGCACCTTTGGCTGACCAAATACTTCTTGCAGGCGTGTATCCAGTCTCAGGAGTGCTAGGAGACAACAACATTATGGAACTGCTCGACCCCTATGAGTAAGTGAGCCCTTGGGACTTGTCGAGTACTGTTTTCTAATAAAACTCCTTTGAACAGAATTGGCTCAACTATGGCTGCTAATCCGCCAGGGTGTGCAGCCGCCCTTGCCGCACTTGATGTACTCGTTGACGAAGACCTATCCACTCGAGCCAGAAAGATGGGTGACCTTTTAATCTCGACTTTGAAAGCCTTGAACCCTCCGCATGTCAAGCAATACATGGGCGAAGGTCTCCTATGGGCGATTGTGCTCGACGAGAAGCCTCCTCAAGTGACGAGTCGTCGTTTGATAGCTCTTCTCGCGCAACGAGGCGTCCTGGCGAATGCAATCAAAGGCGGAAGAGTTCGGATCTGTCCTCCCTTGACCATAAGTGAGGATTTGTTGGTGGAAGGGGCGAAAATTATAGCCGATGCCCTGACTGACCTTGAGGCGCACCCAGCGGGTCTGCCAGGAGAAACGGTCGATCTCAAGTATCCGCAATATATGAAGTAGTCTCTGCGAGACTGTCAATAGGTTGTGTTCAGGATGAAGAGATCACGGGGAGTTAGGATCACACTTTGCGTTATTGTGAAGCGTAGTACATCTATGATAATTTTTCAACAAAGCAGTATATTCAAGTACACTGTGGATTAATCGAACTTCTGATATGACTTGTATAAATAAAAATATCTATCGGAAGCATTTCATATTGCATTGACCTCGATACATATCTAGACGAGTTATACCTTCAACTTTTGCTCCTCAGTCTGCATGGGCTGCAGAGCAGCTAGCATGGCTTCCTGCACACTCTTGTCCGCAAACAGAGGGTACGGTCGTCGCGTGGCACACTTAGACTCTTCATAACCGAGCAACTTTGCCACTGCCCATTTCGTCCCATTGATGCCAGTCTTGTTGAGCCACCATTCAGCCTGTGCTACAGACTTTTGCAGTGCTTGTGCCTCCTTGACTCGTCCTTGTTGATAATCCTGGTAGATTTTCACACAACTCTGCAATACACATATATCCATTAGTCTACTCTGTTCCGAAACTCGTTTTTGTGCATAAGGCGGCAAGCGGCGGCGGTGCAGACTTACTCGTGGACACAGGTTGGCAAACCCAGAAATGCACCCAGTACCTCCTATGCTGAGGGCAGGGACCAACCACTCACTGTGTCCTGCTAGGGCACAGAAGTCGCTGGGGTTGAACTCGGCGGCAACACGAGCGACCTTTGCAATCCCACCGCACGTCAACTTTGTGCCGGCGATGTTGGGGTGCTTGCCCAACGCGGATAGTATGTCTGAGTTGATCTCAATGCCCGATGTCACCAGGGGCCAGCTATAAATGAGTATAGGGATTGGACTTGCGTCGGCCACCTGTGAGGGCTCATGTCAGAGTTTCAAAGGGTTGTGAAGAAAACGCGAGAAGGACAAGGACAGATAGACCGACCTCTGTGAAGAAATCTTGGATTGCCGAAGCGTTCATGGCAAAGTGGAAGTAGCTGGGTGTCAGCACAAGAGCAAAGTCTGCCCCAACAGCTTTGGACTGGTGAAGCTGTTTGATGATCTCCTGGGTCGTTTGACCGACTGTGCCTATGACGATCGGCATGTCGGTACGGCCATGCTTCACTGCCAACTCCTTGGTCAACGAGAGCAGTTTAAGCCTCTCTTCCATGGTGGTGGCGACTGCTTCGCCATTGGAACCCGCAATGACGACTGCAACATGTTGTTAGCATGTCACTAGATCTCTTTGTTTTTCTCGTCAATGGAATAAGTTGAAATGTCTACTTACTTCCTGTCAACCCTGATTCAATCAGGTAAGTGAGATGTTTGGATTGTGTGTCCCAGTCAATACTTTGTTCTTTGTCATCCGAGAACCAAGTCAAGGATGGGGCGTAGACGCCTGGTGGGAAAGTCTTGGGTGACATCGTGATTTGGTATTGATCCTAGAGTTTCTGTAATTGTCGGTGATGTTGGGGCTTTCTTATCAATACGACAGTCTTCAATTGTGATTAAAAGTCACCTGTACACAATGCAAGTATTCAATCGAACGAGGACTTACATGGATTTGGTACCATCGAGGCGTATAATAAAGTGGATCGCCGAGGCACCGAGATTTAGTAGTTCTCAGGTACTCGTAGAAGTCATGGCGTCTCGGGTTTCTCCTTGGGCTCTGGCACTCACGTCGGATTTCACTCTCCAGCCCCACGCCCTGTTCTTTGTCAATGTTACGGCACGCCCTAGGGCAAGGCTTGTTGTGTTTTCGTGACAACGCCTTTTCCAGATGCGTCGGGACGATACATCGGATGACCGCCCCCTGGGTCGACCCCCTGCTGAAAGCCGAAACTTGGACTCATAGTCTCAAGGCTACTCAGCCTTTTGATTGCGTGTCGGAGCCGTCCAATCAGCGCCAAGTCGGTTCATGTCTAGGTTGCCTGCTGTGTTTCGAGGGGTGGTTGGCACGCAGTCAATGCTCAAGTGAGAGTGGCAAAAGGGCGACGAAGGATGCTATTTTCCCTTCGCTTCCCCTTTCAGGTTCGCCAGTAGGCTAAGAATCACCGTTGATCTACTGTGGTTGAAGACGCAGCACAAGAGAAATTGACCATTCCCCATAACAATGCATCCATTCATACATCTACTACTCCACATCTATACTCGTACACGTTCTAGTCTGAATTTGATGTAACACCCTTCAGAATCAACAAGCGTCCACCTTCTGCACGAATGACTTTCCCATCCATGAAAGCTCCAGCTTTACTGATCAACCAAAGTGCCGTTCCTACCATGTCTTCCTCGTTACCCGGGCGCTTTGCCGGAGTTTCTCCTGCGAGATGCAGGTTGGAATTTGCATCGTCTGTTGTCATTCGAGATGGCACTATGCCAGGTGATATTGCGTTGACTCGGACTGTGGTTGGTTTTAGAACATGTTCTCGACATCAGAATTTGCACCAGTGGAGATCTTACTGTAGGGCTCAGCGAACTCCATAGCCATTATTCTCACTAGATGATCCACTGCCGCCTTGGAGGTCTGATAGCAAGGCACAAACTGGTGGTTATGAACACTTGCCGGACTGCTGAAAAGAACCACACAGCCTCTTCCGTCTCCTTTCGCAGCGGCAGCCCCAAGATGGCTAATAAGATGGGCAGTCAAATAGTAAGGAGCAAGCACGTTCAGACGGAAGGTGTGTTCCCATCCCTTGTACGGCGCCGATAGTGTTGCAGCCTCAAGCTTACTTAGACCACCTCCAGGTTGGTAAGTGATCTCGTTCATGTACCGTATTGCAGCACAGTTGAAAAGTGCATCTACCGAATCGATTTGTGTTTTGATGCTGTCGGCAACAGTTTTTACACCTTCCTCAGAAGACAGATCACCTGGAATTCTATGGCTCGTCAGCAAAGCTTTTATGCTCTAGCTATTGCCAGCTTACATGGTGACTTTTGATGATGGAAAAGCCTTTTCAAGCTCGGCTTTAGCTTTTAACAGCGTTGGCTCATCGATATCGATCAAGACCACATTTGCATTGTTGGCCGCACAGCCTCGTGCGATCATGTATCCGATACCACCCGCTGCACATTGTCAGCACGAGACCTCAAATCTCAACCCTCAAGCTCATCGGTCCAAGTTATCTGGAATTCGTGACGCACCTGCACCGGTAATAACGATCCATCGCCCTGCAACATCGAACAGGTTGGTCACTGATAAATTGTTCGCCATTGTTGCTGCGTGATTTCGTTGACTCTTTGTGGTCTGGTCGTCGATCCAGAAGCAGTACTCTCACCTTACCTCTAGTTTGACCACTAATCACGTTCCCGGAGGACTGGATGGCCGCCAGAGTATGCTGTGTCTGTGGCATAAATCTTGGGTGGAGTAACCACGTCGGAGGAGAGCAACCTCATCAAATATACCGGGGGCGCTTTTCCCCGAATATGCGTCAACAAGCGACGGCCTCCACCGACCACCACTTCTAGACCTCACCACAACACTCCCAATCTTCACCGGCCATGGGAAAGTGCGAGTTCTCGCCACGCCTGGGATTGCAGCACATGTACTAGGCTTTGGTGCTACTCGGACAGAAGTAGTTTGGGAACACCTGGATTCTTTTTTATATGTCAGCTTTACTATCTTTGACGAACCGTCACTCGGGCCGGTATTTTCGAGCTACTTGGCTCAGAGCGAAACAAGAGGCATGCTCACAATGAGTTCTTCGCCTGAGATGTCGTGGCTCTCGGTGTTTCCAATCGTTGCTATCATATCACTTGTGGCTGGCGTCGGGATCCTGGTATATCTTCGGTTTTTCTACGTCGACCTTCCACCCATCGAAGGCATCCCCGAAGTTCCAAATGGAGAACTACTTGCTGGCCACTTCTACAAGCTCGGCAGCGACCATGCAACTACAGCAGAGACCTGGGCACAGAAGTATGGCTGGCCTGTCTTTCAGGTGCGAATGGGCAAACGACGTGCCGTTATTCTAAATTCGTTCGACTCTGCACGTGAATGGACCGTGAAGAATCAATCGGCCACCCTGGATAGACCATGGTTTTACACATTTCATGGCATCATATCAGCAACTTCTGGTAAGCCCCATCAGGTCGAGAACTTGCCGGCCTTTTCCTAATGTCCGATTCAGCTGCAACGATAGGGACTAGCCCGTGGGATGAAAGAACCAAGAAGCAAAGACGGGTTGTCGGCTCGTTCACGACAGGCCCTTCAATGCGTGATATGCGGCCAATGCTGGATTTGGAGACTTGTGCCATGGTATCAGCCATTTATTACGACAGCGCGAAAGGAGATGTAGAGCTTTCACCTCACATCTATCAGAAGCGCTTGGCACTGAACCTGATGACTATGTTCTGCTATGGTACTCGTTTCGCGTCGATCAAGGATCCTTTGCTCGGTCAAATTCTCTCTGATGCCAATACCATTGCCAGGTATGTACTTTTGCTACTCTCTGAATTTAATGGACGATCGAAACTTATCAAAGCAAAAGTTTCCGATCGACAAAAGCCAATCCACAAGACTTTATTCCACATCTGAGATACATGGGTGGAAATGCACGAAATCAAACAGCAATGGAGGTTCGAAAGCGTCGAGATACTTGGCTATCAACGATGTTGGAAAACATCCGCGGCAATCTTCCAATGAATCTGGGTTCAAAGAAGATGAACGTTGCCGAAATGTTGTTGACAGACAGCCAGGAAGGCCTTACTCAAAGTAAGTCTTAGCCAGAAGATGCTGTTTATGCCATTCAGCAGAATGCTGACTCTTTGGCAGTGGACATCAAGACTATTCTCGGTGGTCTTATGTCCGGAGGATTCGAGACTATTTTCTCGACAGTCATTATCACCATTGGCATGTTGTCCACGCCCGCCGGTCAGGCAATGCAGCAAAAGGCGTACGACGATATCATGAGCGTCTATGAAAGCCCCGAGGAAGCGTTTGAACAATGCCTGAACGAAGAAAAGAGTCCGTACATTGCCGGGCTTGTCAAGGAAGCTCTTCGGTTTTACCCACCTCTGAAATTACTGCCGGCACGCCAGACGTATAAAGAGTTCATCTACCAGGGAGCCGTCATTCCCAAGGGACTCTTGTTGTATGTCAATGCACAAGCTGCAAACAGAGGTAGGATATCTCGGTACCTTGAGTCTCCAACACAACCTACTAATTCTTGTCCTCAATAGATAAATCAGTGTACGGCCCTGACGCCGAGGAGTTCCATCCTGAAAGGTGGCTGGAAGGAGGTGCCGATGTGCCTCCGCCGTACCACTTTGCCTTTGGAGCCGGTGCGAGAATGTGCACGGCGGTCAACTTTTCAAACAGAATGCTCTATGCAATCTTCCTTCGCTTGATCGTGGCATTCAAAATCGAGGCTAGCAAGACCATGCCGGCAAACACTCACTATATCAATTACAAGGAGGACGCGGCTGCTTCTAATGCCGTGGCCTCGGATTTCAGGATTAGGCTTACACCCAGAGACAAGCAGACCTTGGAGAAATGTTTCGAGAGATCAGAAGAATTGTCAGAAGGTGCCACTTCGAGTCAATACTCTGAGCCTCTCAAGAGGTAACGTTGATCAACGGAAGGTGTCAGGAAAGAAACGCACGACGGAAAGACGTCATGAGTTATGGTCGTTTAGCATGAAATTTCTATTCGCATGGAGAAGACTAGATATTTTCAACTGCATACATAGGTGTTTGTTTAGATCTTTATACGTATCGACCGAAATTTGTATACGAAAAATGTTGATTCGCTTGGCTCCGGGTTAACGTGCTGAATAGTTTCCTCCTTTTTGTTCATATCATTCCTACTGGCTGCCCGTTTTGTTTCCAGACTTTGGCATCTTTCATCACAAAGCTGACCTGTCTCAAGGCGTCCTTGACCTTTTCAGGATCATTGTCCAAAGCAACAATGTCAGCCTGTAATCCTTCCTCGAACCATCCGAAACGTTGCCCACACATGTCACCGCCACAAGACTCCCAACCTCCGACCGTACACGCTTCCAGAACATCCGACACGGGGATGCCAGCTTCGATCATCAGTTCCAGTTCTCTGACGTTCTCGCCGTGAGGGTACGTTCCGGTGTCACCTCCACAAGCCAGACGGACGCCTAGTTCATGTGCACGTTTGATCTGTGGTAGGATCTCGTGGAACCGTTTCGCGTGAAGTCGCTCCGCGACCGCCAGTGTCGGCACGAGAATCGTCTTCTTTGCAACCATCCGCTTGAACAGGTCATCGGTGGCAAAATACACGTGCTCGATCGTATCGACTCCCGCTTCGACGGCCGTGAGTGCACCTTCTAACGTGCAGCAGTGAGCCACCACCGGACACCGGGCCAGCGCGCCTTCTTTGACAATTGCATCCATTTCTTCCCTCGAAAAGACCATGTAGTCTGGGTTGGGGTCTTGGGGCGGATGGAGCACGCTGGGTATGTACGGATGCTGTTGTGCCGGTGGAGACCTCATGATCCTTCGTCTGTAGTCGGCAAAGAACTTGACGATGTCGGCACCGGCGGCGATCCGACGTCTGACGGCCTTTCGACATTCTTCGACCCCATCGACAGCGTCAGCACCCGCTGGTAAGCAATGCCCACCGCCGCTGTTCTCGGTTCGGGGCTCAAAAGATCCTGTGCTCGCCAAAACTTTCGTCGCGACGAATAGACGAGGGCCGGGAATGAGGCCGCGAGCGATGGCGTCTCGCAGGTTTGCATCGCATTCTTGCATGCCTTCCGAACCCAGGTCTCTGCGATAGTGCAAACCAGTCAGTAATTGGCCAAAGTGCAAATTGAGGGTCCAGCAAGAAGGGATCAAGCATATCGGCTCTTCAGGGAAGGTAGTGTCGCTTCTCTTACCTGTACGTCGTGTAGCCTGCAAGGAGAGCAGTACGGCAGTGATTCACACCACGCACAATTCTCTCCGTCATGCTTTCATCTCTCTTCTGTATCAGTGCTCCTGCTTCACTGTAAAACACTCGAGTCAGTAAGGGCCACACGAAAGGAGTTGCATTGGCGAGTCGTGGTCGTTCACTCACTCGTATGAATGCAGGAATACATGGGTGTGAGCGTCGACAAAGCCTGGTAAGACGTATTTGCCTCGTAAGTCGATATCTCCTTCTGGGAAAGACTCTGGCTCGTCACTGCGTTCAAAGACTTTTACGATCCTCCCACTCTGTTTGTCCACTGTGATTGACCAATTATTTTGCACCTTCTTGGTCTTCGGGTCAAAGAGCTGCGAGGTGTGAACGGTGTATTGAGTTGACATAGCGTTCAAGGAGTTCGAGGATCAAATCGAATGTAGGGCCTGAGTATTTCCCCTAACACTATCTGTATCACACACCGTTGAATGTTTGAGAGTGTTCACTGGTGTTGCCCAATCTCATGTCAAGACCTGACCAATGGTCTCGAGCTCCCAGGTTTCGGAACTGAGCCCATGTTCTTTGCTGGAGGTGGCAAAGCCACGTCGTCGCTCTTCCGCGTTGAAATGTGGGCCGTGGGCGGTGTTCGCCGAACATCATTGCGGTCCAACGCCTTTTTGCAAGCAATTCGTCAGTCAGGGTTCTAGGCACGTGAGATTCTACGCACCAAATCGGAGAAGTGGTCATGATCATTTGGATTATTGTGCATGCATGAGTGATTCATCGAGGGTTTGAAAGCAGCGCTTGTATTCAAGATCTCCCGGCGTAACAGCACATCCGACATGGGAAAGGTCCTCCTCACAGGCAAGTACAAAGGCCATTCATGGGCGAAGATGTATAATTAACCGAGAGATAGGTGGTAGTGGCTTTATTGCTACTCACATTCTGAGAGTTTTGTTGGAGCGAGGGTAAGTATCAATACTTGGGCAAGAATCCAGTCTAGAGCTGATATACGACCGAATGATAGTTACGATGTTGTGACTACTGTACGATCTTCCTCTAAGGGCGATAAGATATTACAAGCATACCCAGACATCCCCAAGTCAAAATTGTCTTATGTGGTAGTAGAAGATATCGCTAAGGCCGGCGCTTTTGACGAGGTCAGTCCCCAGAGATCCCATTTACTACGGATTATTACGAGGACACTTATATACAATATTCTCCCTTGAAGGCTGTCAAATCAGACCCTCCGTTCGACATTGTCATCCATACAGCATCTCCTTTTCATGACAAATTCGAGCATCCCAAAGATATAATCGAGCCTGCTATCAATGGCACGACAAGCATCCTCAAAGCGATCAAGGCGTCAGCGCCGACCGTGAAACGTGTGGTCTTGACCTCTTCATTTGCATCAATGTTCAACTCGGACGCGAGCATATCGGTCTATGATGAGAGTTCATGGAATCCCATTACGCTAGACGCGGCCATGGCCGATAGGGCGAAAGCATACCGAGGCAGCAAGGTGAGTTTATGACATTATCACCAAGGGTTTCTGTTTGAACAGTACGATCGAGCTGACTCAACATGAAACAGACATTAGCAGAACGAGCAGCTTGGGATTTTGTTCAAAACGAGAAGCCGAGCTTTGATCTGGTAACCATGTGCCCACCCCTGGTGTACGGACCTGTCATGCACCACCTCAGCAGCCTCGAGAGTCTCAACACGTCCAACCAACGAATTCGAGATTTCATCCAGGGAAAATTTCAAGACGGCCTCCCTCCTGTGGTAGGCAGTGTCTTGTGGACCGACGTGAGGGATTTGGCTCTTGCTCATGTGAAAGCGGCCGAGGTCCCTGAAGCAGGAGGTCGTCGTTTCTTCATCACTGCCGGACACTACTCAAGCAAAAGGATAGTGGACGCCATTCGCGCAACTCATCCCGAGTTATCGTCAAGGCTACCTGCAAGTGATACTGATGACTTGCCCAAGGATGTTTATGGCTATGACAATTCACAGGCGAGGCAGATTCTGGGACTCACTTTCCGCCCGCTACAAGAGAGTATCGGTGATACTGTTACCTCGCTACTGAAATTGGGTGCTTGAGAGGTTTTCTAGAGCAATCAAAAACGCGGTACTCTCATCTATCTATGGTTTCAAAACGGAAGCCGCCAAACTGCACGAAGGTGCAATGAACAGTGGTACCAAAGCCAAATAAGTCTTCACCTTGACGAAACGAATACTCCACAACGCGCCGGCGACCGACAAGGTGTAGATGACGAGTTTATCCTCCAGAGTTCGAGGTCGTAGAGATCGGGCCCAGTCCCAATTCAAGAGTGCTACAATGAGTACGTGAAGAGTTCAAAAGTCAGTATAAGCTCAGCATAGGCCCGCGGAAAGAGACAGACGCATCGCAAGTCGTGGATCGTGAAGCGTGAATGGTTACAGAGTAGGACATACCCGCGACCAACAAACTTGCATTGATATAGTCCCAACCACCTATCGCTGCACCCTTGCCGACCTCGTGTTCCTTTCGTGCTGGAATGGCATCAATGGCAGGGTAGACTTTATCAAAGCCATGTTTCTATTTTCTTGGTTAGTAAGTAATTCTGCGGCCCGCCCGCCACTCTCAGAGGGACTCGATGTGAAATCGGAGGTGTATACGTACCGTGTGGCCTATGATCGAGGCCTGGGTGGAAGGAACATTGACGCGGTTAGTATATTCGATCAGGCTGTGTGATCGCTTTCAGGAGTGTTGCATCTTTACGTACCGCATATAGAATGGCCGATAGACGATATAGTTTCGAGCCGATCTGCGCGGCTGTCATGCTTGGGGATGTCAATGTCGAGGTCATTTTTGGATTGGGGAGGTAGACCAATTCTTACGACGAGGATAATTGAAGTGATGTGCACAGATGCCTCGGCCATGGATCTCATCTTGCTCTTTTCCTATGGGCGCCATTGCCTGTGAAGGTCTCCTGTAAGGCGAATACTTCGTACGTTTCGGTCGCAGGATCCACTTCGGAACCGCACTATGAAGGCAGTTCATTGTATAGGAGAATGCGGGATGACGCGGAGCCGATTAGTGGAGAGGGAAGTTCACTTACGGGAATATTTCACACGCAACGGGTACTATTCGTCCTTTTTGTCCAACTGAAGTGACAATCATAATCTCACACCTCTTTTGCGGTCGCATCGCCCTTTATCGATGGCAATGCCGCTGCCACGAACATTACGAACCCATTTCCGGACCACCAAAATAGTTACCATCGTCCGCTTTGACCTGCCTCCTTTGCTACATGCGGTTCCGTCACACAACAAAAACACTGAACACCCGAGCTGAGGTCCCCCTGAAAGATCGGATTTAGCTACTGAACTGAAATTTGGTAGTTAGCTTACAACACAACACTTTCATGCGGGCGGAGAAGTCGTCTCAGGTGAGGAATCCATCGTTTCCGTTATGCAGGTTTCTTGATGTCGCCCTCGCCTTTGTACTCCACCCGGGTTCAATTTGTGGTGCCAGAACCATTTCCTGAGCCCTATCCAAGCGGTGCTCATGGCTACCTTAACAGCCAAAATTGGGTAGGTATCTGGACCGTCAAGGCTGTTCATTCCATGGAAATGGTCTTTCCCGGTCGACGGTCAACAGATTCTCTATCTGGTCCGAAACAACTACATACCTTATCCCAACGTGGACGTCGAGACCATCTGGGACAAAAACAAGGCCGACGGGTTCGCTCGGGCAATCACCCTGGTCCAGATCACCTGGTTCAGCGTTCAGTGTATCGGCCGCGGTGTACAACACTTTTCGTTGACGACGTTGGAACTCCTCACCATCAACATGATCTTTTGCACTTTGTTCGCGTTTTATTTCTAGTACCACAAACCCTTGGACGTACAGACTCCCATCATCCTAATGACAAAAATTACCACCCCCACCACCATCGCCGAGATACTCCTCGGTGCCGGAGATCGAGCCAGAGAACCGTACAAGCTGACCGCACTGGAATTCATCGCCCCTAGACCGACTCCTGCAAACTCCATAGCTACCTGGTGGTGGGGTTTGCGGTTTTGCTTCGGGAGAATCCTGTGTGAGACGAAAGGAAAACGCGCCGTTTCCACCTTTGCCAACTCAAGAGCGATCCCACCGCGGGGAAACTCTTTCTGGTCTTGTCTCTTCAGGCTGTTCATTGCGGCTGGATACTTTGCTCTTCATTTTGCCGGCTGGAACTTCACCCTCCCCACGGCCGTGGAGCAGAAACTGTGGCGCGGCGCGATGATTTATTTCATCGGCCTTTATTGTACTTACCTGGTCGTGTTCGCCGTGATGACACTCCTGAGTAGCTGGATTGCAAGGAAGTATTTTCACGAAGAGGCCAGAACCTTTATTGAAGTTGCTTCAATGTTCCCAAGGTGGGTTATCCTGGGTGGACTAGTACCCATCTATTGATCCTCTGGTGTTGTGCGCATGTATTTGGTTATTGAAGGCTTCATCAGTCTGCGGATGCTGCCTGTGGATGCCTACGACAGTGTCAACTGGTCTAATTTCATCGTCCATTTTTAGTGGAATGGTTTTGGTCTTTCATTCTCTGGCCCTCGCTTTCAATCTGCTCACCAGGAAGGTTATATCGTGACCCCGTTGACAAATTCAATGATAAACTTCTCGTCAAGGTTTCTCCGCCTGGGGGCACTCTTTGAGTAAGTACCCTAGATCGGATAGAGTGATCCTCACTGCGACAGGTATTGATGCCGCAGTGATGAGGGCACTTTTGACATGCTTCCCCGACCAATGCGTTCACTGCTGGGCTCCTCCTAAGTAGCTCTGGTGTTTTCAACTCAGGGGTGTCCCTGTCTCAACTCATTCTGGTTCTTTTGGTCTGTTTCACTCATCCCGAATTTGGGCGCTTTCTGAGAGGCTTTCTGGCCTTCACCATCAGGAACCGAACATGGTCGCCGTGACGCCATAGCTCGACACCGGCCATGACATTGACGAAATATGACTCTAAGCCGAACAACTTGATGATGAGGTAAGGTATGTACGCTAAGAGGAAGAAGAAGCGCATCATTGGAGCAACGTTGTTGGAAAGATCCTGGACTTCGACATCTTGGAAGCCAACGCCTTGAAGCATCTCCCCAATAGTGTCCACGCTAAATTGCTCAAACGCGGGCATGTGTGCGTACATATTGATTCGACGCAAGGCCTTCCGTCCGACTGGATCACTGTCCATGTCGTGCTCGTATTCGACATGTGTGACAACTCCGCCGGGTTTCAAAACGCGATAGAACTCTTTCATCGCCTGTCGAGGTTCGCCCGCATGGACTAATGTCTCCATCGTGTAGACGCCGTCAAAGGTATCGTCGTCGAAGTTCAACTTTTCGTAATTGCCAGTTGATACCTCAATCCGGTCACCTAGATGCATGCGCCTGACATTGTTGCGCGCCCATCCCACGTGCATATCAAGGAGATCGATGGCTTTAACCTTCAGACCTTTTTTGGCCATGAATATCGCAACATCTCCGTTCCCAGTTCCGGCATCCAACACCAACGAGCTATCTTTCAAGCCAAGTGTGAGATAGAGACGCTCTTCCATCCGCTGCAGAGCATCATGAATAGGGAAAGGCCATAGCGTCCCCTTTTTGTAGTACCCAAAGTGTCTTGTTCCTCCTAGAACAATCCTGTAGCCGATTCGAGACTCCAAGCGATGGTAATAGTCGGACACGGTAGGCATTGCTACCATAGGCAGAAATTGGGGCCTGGCTAAAACTGTTCCGTCGTGGCGCTAGCAGTGTTAGTGTTGCCGGCCACTCTTCTAGGATGATATCACCGGAGGAGATCGCTCAATGCATCATCAGTTGGTTGGACGGGAGGGATAAGAGCCTTGTCGGTGTCCGACAAGAGGACAAAGCGGTCGCAGTTGTCACTTTCTGGACTGCCTCCCTTCCGACTGCGCACTGGCGAGAAGTGAATTGTGTCGAATGGACACAAAAGACTAAGGATCGAGGATTGGCGAAGTGCGCGGAAGATGCTGCTAGTGGTTCCGATCAATGAAAGTAGGGTTCCTGGAGTAGGGAAATGCAAAGGTGAAACCATGAAAAGAACAAGAAACCATTAGGCACACGGCAATAGACAAAAAGAATGTGCAAAGAAGAATACTGAAAGGCTGAGAATCTTGAGACTTTAAAAGCGGCGGCACGCACCGCCCCGGAGCCGGGAGCAGCCGGTCATATCCTCAAACGGCGATCTGTGTGCAATGTCTCTATCAAATCAGGCACGTACAGAGGGATCGAATAAGAGTCCGGAGGAGGCAGTCGGATGTTTTTTGCAGACACCTATCTGAGGTCCTAAAAACTACTTGGATTCTATGCGGAGCACATATCCGTACCGCCCTACGTTACATCCATAGCTGCTGTCCTAGTGTTAACTACTTGTGCGTTAGAATATTCCACTAAGCCAGGTCTAGATAGTGCCAGTTGGCCGGCCCAGTGGTCCCTATGTCACTTGAGTTGTTCCAGGACTTCGAAGACACTATCAGAGATAGCAAAAGTTGTTGTAGTCAATATTACAGACTCAAGCATCTGAGGCATCTATCACTGACGTCTGTGAAAATACCCTGAGCCCACCTTCCGCACACAGGACGACACATCTATTCATATCTTCGCCTTGGCTTGTCCAAGCTCCTTCGCGCACCGTATTGCTAGTTCTCGACGAAGTATTTTCCCTGACTGTGTCATGAAGACAGGATTAGCAAGTGAAGAACGGCCTCGGGTGTGCAATTTAACATGTCGTTACGACAAATGTCCGATTCGAGTGAAAAACCAAAAGGGGGCCATCGCTTCACTCACTGGGTTTCGAGGGATCTGGTCGACAAAGACCACCCCTGCCGTGATCCTCTTGATCTTTGCGACATTCTTCGCCATGAAGTCAACCACGTCATTTTCGGTCAACTTGGAACCGGGGCTTTGCACGATATACGCTCGAGGCTGCTCATCTTCGCCGCTGAGAAAGGTCAGACTCACTGTACAATGAAAGCAACAAGTCACAAACTCACATCTTTGCACCAATAACGGCCGCGTCGGCGATGCCGCTATGCGTCATCAAAACGGCTTCCAGCTCGGCCGGTGCCACCTGGTTTCCTTTTACCTTGATCAACTCCTGCATAGAGACCCCAGAAGGTCAGCAATCTAGTGGGGACCTGAAAAAGTTCCATTCATCCCCATATCGATGAGGGAGATCTAGGTGCGAAGCATACAAAACAGGCATACCTTTTTCCGATCCACAATGAAGAATTTGTTCTGATCGTCAACATATGCAATGTCCCCTGTCTTGACCCACCCGTCGGGGGAAATTGTTGCTTGTGTGGCTTGGGGGTTTCGCCAGTACCCTTTCATCACGTTGAGGCCACGGACCCAAAGCTCGCCTCGCTCGCCTCGCTCGGTGATTTCGACTTCGGTCTCCGTATCTACAAGCATGGCTTCGCAGTTCGCGACGACCTCTCCTACAGATGCGCCTGCCGAAGCTTCTCGGTCATCCCAGCAGAGACCTATGACGGGGAACCTGAAATGTTGGCTCTGTTAGCGGCACGCACATATATGTGTTCTTGGTCTTTCGCTGCCTTCAGAGAGAGCTTGGGCTCACTACTCACTCAGACATGCCCCAAGCTTGCTTCACGCTCACATGCGTGCCCTTGTTCTTCCACAGCGATTCGAACTCTTTGCTTACACTGGCAGACAGAGGTGCGGCTCCACACATGACCCGCCGAACGCTCGAAATGTCGAACCTGCCACTGCGCACCAGTGGGTCCTTGGCCATCCATCGGACAATGGGCGGGACAAGGATCATCTCGGTCACCTTGAATCGCTCGATATACTGGATCATCTTCTTCCCGTCGTATCTTCTCATCACGTAGACGGGCATGCGTCGGAGAGGTGCTATCAGTGAATTGACAATCAATCCCAGGCCGTGAAACATGGGTAGTGGACATATGGTTCTGGACTCGCCCGCTTGGTCCATTTGTCGAAACCGGGGGTCCAGGTTGTTCATGTACACGTGTTGGCAGTTGTTGGCGACGAGGTTGCGGTGCGTGGCTTCGACGCCTTTGGGAACTCCGGTGGTGCCTGAAGAATAGAAGAGGCATGCAGTGCGATTGGCCTGCTCTGCCGTTGAAAACTCTTCCCATCGAAATTGAGCTCCTGTGACCGGGTCCGCGATCAACTGACTCCAGTGCCGCTGCGACGTGTCTGCTCCCGCACTCGGGTCGATCAACGGTGTCTCGTCGAAGAGATATATCTGTTCCTGAGCAAGACCCGAAAGCGACGCTGCCCGTTTCGCACAATCGGCGAGATTTGTGGCTGTGAGCAGGAATTGTGCCCCCGAATCACGCAGTTGATGTGCGAGTTCTCTCGGCACATACATTGGGTTGGCCATGCTTATGATCCCCCCAGCCATAATGACGCCCATCAGCACAACAGGGGTGAAGATGCTGTTTCCTGAATGCAACAAGACCCGGTCTCCATCTTGTAGTCCTGCCTGGAGCAGTCCGGCAGCGAGCCTCTTGGACCATTCTCTGTAGTCGTGCAGTGTCAGTCTAAGCGTTTCGGGAGCTTCGCAGTCAACAAAGGCATGTCTGTCGGGCAGATCTCCATCTGGTGATCCGAAGAGATGGGTAGGAACCGAGACGAGGGGTACTGGAGTCGAATATCGTGATCGAATAGGCATGATGTTGAAATCCTGATGTGCAATTTGTGGTTGGGAATGGGCTCTCCTGTCATGCACAAGCAGAGATAAGAAAATACGTTATATATTGCAATGGTGGTGAGGACCCAGTCTGTATTGGATGTGCCATCCCCGGTCTACCTATAATGCCACCTGGACCATCGTAGCGACTCGGCCTATAAGCATCCGCAAGGAACGATGTGAACCCCAACCTGGCCTGGTATGCGAAGTTGGTAGGCCGGATATGGCAAGGTGCTGGGCGGAGAGCAGAGCGGCTCCGACTGTGCGGGCGAGTCCAGGTTAAGCAAACCCAAGGTTCCGCTCTTCCACGGTCTATCCGAAAGGCTTGCTGAGATCCGTCTTTTCATAACGTGCGTGGTTCTGTCACTGGAGAAGTCGGTTCTTGCAAGCGGACTACTTGACTTAAAATCTCGACATCTCATCATTGTGAAACCTTGCCGTAATTTTACAGAAACTTCAACATGGCTACTCCACGGGCACAAGTCTTAAGCAGCATCTGGAAGGACGGATCGTTTGGTAATGACCTTGTTCCTCCGTTTGATATATTGTTAAGTCCTTCCTTGCTAACAATCTACGGACCGAAATAGATGGGAAAGTCGTTTTCGCGACAGGTGGTGCTGGCAGTCTTGTCAGCGTGCAGGTGAGAGCACTGGTCCAGCTAGGTGCCAATGCTTGCATCATAGGACGAAATGTGGCCAAAACAGAGCGGGTGGCTGCTGAGCTGGCGACTACTCGACCGGGGGCTAAAGTCCTGGGATTTGGCGCCGTGGATGTGAGAAAGCCCCAGGATCTAGAGAAGGCTGTGGCAAGATGCGTACAAGCTCTCGGGAGTATTGATTTCGTGATGTATGTGCTGGTGAAGAGTGATGAGCAATTGGCCCATCTTGAGGGAATCCTGAACTGACCATATCCGTCCGCAGAGCTGGAGCAGCAGGAAACTTTCTGGCACCCATCGAGCAAATCTCTTATAACGCATTCAAATCGGTAACTGACATCGATCTCATTGGTTCATGGAACACCCTCAAGGCCACACTACCGGAGTTGACCAAATCCGCACAAAAATACAAGAGTGATGGAAAACAGAGTGAGTCAATCCAATGTTCTCGAGGTACACAAGTCTTGGGCACTGAAGCGTTTTGCTGCATACAGGTACGGCTTCCGGTACAGGTGGACGCATCATATTCATCAGCGCCACGCTTGGATATACGGGGAACCAGTTGATGACCCACGCGGTGGTTGCCAAAGCCGGAGTAGACGCCTTGTCCGTTCAAGCTGCCATTGAATATGGGCCTCGTGGGATCACATCAAACGTGCTTGCGCCAGGCGCTATTCTCGGTACTGAGGGGATAGCCAGGTTGATCAGTGACAGCACCCAGGGCAACAATGGCAGAGATGTCCCAAGCGGTCGACTTGGGCATGTCAAGGACATTGCAGATGCCACCATTTACCTATTTTCTGATGCTGGGAACTATGTCAACGGGGAGACATTGGTTGGTGAGTCGAGACCTGCTTTCCCGTTGGGTATTAGAGATTTTATCTGGCTAACCATGATTCTCCCGACAAGTTGATGGAGGTGCATGGCACACGGCAGCGGCAAATACTGCAGAAGATTTTGCGTACCCAGACTTTCTTCTTTCAGGTGAAAAGGTACAGACATGGGTTTCAAGGCGTAAAGGGAAACTGTAAAGGGGGATAGATAAGACCAAGACGTAGTTTTTCAGTCCGACTGTAATAGAAAGGCTCCTACACGCTTGAGACCCCCACTCCAGAAAGTTCAGTAACAGTTTCTTCATGTCTCAAAATCTGTCGACCAGCAATCGGATAAGATGTCACCGTAGGATGTTATTAGTTTCTGGGAGGCACACTGAACAGACCAAGATCCGCCAACTGTTACATCTAGAAGCAGCAGCCCCTTCATTAGGTAGTCAATACAGTCTCCCCATCTGTCTTCCTCGGTGAGGTTAAGGCTAAAACCTTCCGGTCGCCACGATTTGTGGGCCGAAGTTTCGTGAAGATTAATCAGTTGCTCAATCGCTTGCTGAAGAGATATCACCATCAATTCAGTGGTGATGTGATAGCCAGTAAGGGGAATGTCTGCACTGAGGCCATGGTATAAGTTGAACATCTCTAACGACGGCTGAGCTTGGACTTGTCGCATGAGTTGGCTCAAATCTGACGCTGCATCCTGTTGGTAGGAGTACAGTTTGGAGGACCATTCAATTTCAATTGAAGTGACGTCTGCGCCGCCCTCGGACGTTGTTGCTGGAATTTTCGCCAGTCTTGAGAGCCCAAGGCTCCGTAAGGCACTCAAAGTGACTATTTAGCACCAAGGCTGGTCAGCATCTACCCATCTCGAGATACACTGCGGAGACTTACGAAGCTGGACCTTGGATTCTGCCTGGAGTGCATTGAAGTTTTCCACAGATATACCAATTAGAGGATTCATGATCTTTTCCATATTCTCCATGGCTTCGAGTCCTTGCAAGAGCATCTGTGATCGTTCTTCAGGGTGTCCACAGACTGTCTGCCCGACATCGACGAGTGCCGTCTTCACGCGAAGGAATTGTCTCAATGTGGACAGAAGTTCGTAGAGATGTTGACGGTTGAATTTACGAACCACGTCTGCTGCTGTTGAACAACCGGCCTCACCCAATGCGGTAGACGGCATTTCTGTTGTATGGTCAGCCGAAGCAGTCCTGGCAGTATCAAGAGGTGCACACTCACGTGAGATGAAGTCATCGGGTAATTTGCAGCGACGGTCGCCCACAAGCGAACTCACGGTATCCCGAAGGTATCCAAAATGTTCCATGAATTTAAGGCTTTTCTCCAAAGCTGAGCTGTACAGCGAAGACGGCCCTAAAGCTTTGATATGTCGTCTGACGAGAGGGCCGAGGGCCCGAAGGATATCAAAGGCATCGTCGAGAAATGATGATATCTGGAAATACCAGTCGTGCGACTCTTCTGGAGCCGTCGCCGCTTCAAAAATGAGTATTGCATAAAAGACTCGAAAACTCCGAACATTCCGTGCACTATTCAAAGAGTCTCTGGCATGGACCCACGTTTCGTGATAGAGACTAGAGATTGAGGATGTGGTTGAAATCCTGGCATCCGCCAAATGTGTATGGGATGACGTCGTTCCTGTAAGGGTGCCATCCCGGGCTGGAAGCCATTGCATGGAGTAGGCTTTGAGGACTTCCTTCAACGCTGAGTCTGAAGCCTTTCTCGCAAAACGACCAAGGTGATTTCCATATAGTCCACCGAAATGATCCAAGAAACGTACCGCACCAAGGAGAGTCATTCCATCCTCAAAAGTCTTCATATGTGGAACAGTACTTGACTGTTGCAACAAGTGGCCGGCAGAGGGCGGCTTCGGTAGGGACTGGGGATCGATCAACCCTTCGACGAAGTTGCTCAGTGGTGGCGCATCTGGAGCGGTAATCAACCAAGAGTCATTTTCACAGGCCACGTGCTTCTGTTTTCCCGGGACAATGCTTGGTAGCCATCTCAAAGCATTGCCTGAGACGATGACATTGTAAATTTGTGCTAGATTTTCCTCAATGATCTTGCCCGTCAAAGAAGAATTGAGTAGATGTAGTGGCTTGTTGAACGCATCGCATAGAGGGGTGTTGATATCGTTCTGAATGCGACCACCCGTGAAGGGATGTTGGTCTAAGTTGTTCTGCCCTTCAAGCTGGGAGGCCTGATTCGGCTTGGGAGTCTGCGGAAGGCCAATGTCAAGCGGCCCCGGAGTCAGGCAGAATTCACTCAAGAAGAAGTCCAATCCATTCGGGGGTGAGACCTCTGGCCATGTTCCTGGAAGGTCATTTCCCAATTCCATCATGGTCGTTGGAACAACAGTGTCACCGTCGAGGCTCGCGCCCAAGAACCAGTCTGTATCAGCAGCGCCGGGCTTTTGTGTCTTCGACCGTCTTGATGATCTGTTCGATTGCGCTTGGGCAAATTTGAAAGTGCAGTCGTGGCCCAGGCGGGCACAGTTAGCGCAAATTGCTGGTGCATTCTCACTTGCTGGAGAAGTAACCAGACAGCGACGCTTAGAGCTTCGACACTGATCGCAAGATCTGTTCTGACGACGTGGCCGGTCAGCAACAAATTTGACGCCTGCGAGGTCTGTCATTGCGCTTTGTATGTCCAGAAACCAACTTGGCATCTAGGCAAGTGAACTGCATGTAAGAATTGAAAAAGAAGGTCATAAGATTCCGCGAAGCGATGGTGGAGGTTGTTACGTGCGAAGGACTTCGGTTATATTCTGTTCGGCATTCGGATATCAAGTACTAAAACTCCACAAGGTGAGCCGGCAGGAAGAAGTTTTGAGATAAAATAGAGGAAAATGGGGGACGGTAACCACAATGGCGATGATGGCGTGAGATCAACGTGGTGTGAATTAAATATGTAAGTCTTCAGGCCTCCAAGAAGACGACAAGGATCCCAGCTAAGGTCTTATAGCTCTCGGACTAACAATATGCTCGCTTAACCAGGGCAAGGCTTACGAGGGCTGCCCCACTACTTTGTACCCGCTCTTGTGGAGTACATATTCTACCACTGCCGTTCACGGGGTACGTAACACTACAGACATGGAGAACTTTCCGAGGACATATATATTTCATTTGTATCTCGACTTTCCCCAAGACTCGATATTTGCTACCAAATACCTCCCCAACCAGCTACGAGCATCAGGGAGGAACAGCCACCTCGCAAATTATCTCTTACTTCGTGTAATTAACAAGCTGTCTGTTGCCGTTCTAATAGATGGACTACCCTCTCTCCGCTTTCTAGAGCCTAGGTCCGACTTTCATGTTTATGAGCACAGATTTGGTCTCCATAAAACTCTTCAAACCTGCTAGGCCTGCTTCTCGACTACCATTACCGCTCTCTTTCCAGCCGCCGAACGGAACAGTATGCCCGGGAAGATAATTGGAGTTAACGGCGATGTTCCCAGCTTCTATCAAGGAGGTCACTCTCAAAGCACGTGCGATGTCACTCGTGTACACGCACGCCGACAGACCGTAAGAGGTGTCATTAGCCAGCTGAATGGCTTCATCTTCAGTGTCGAATATCCGGATCGATAGTGCAGGACCAAAAATTTCTTCGGTCCAGGTGACCGAATCCGGAGATCCGTCGACCATAATGGTAGGCTGAATATAGTTCCCACCCCTTTCGTGTTTGCATCCGCCGGTCATAAATCGCACACCATCTTTTCGAGCCTGTTCGAAGTACCCGAGCACTCTCTCTGTTTGCGCCCTATCAGCCAAGGGACCCAGGTATGACTCTGGGGACTCAGGGTCGCCCATCGCACCAGCTAACTCTTCAAAGCGAGCTTTGAGCTGATCCATAAATGATTCGGCAATTTTCCGATGGACCAACAGTCGAGAAGCCGCAACGCATACCTGCCCGGAGTTGAGCAAAAAACTTGCCGAAGAATGATGAACAGCATTCTCCATGTCAGCGTCGTCTAGTCAAAAATGATGGTTAGAAGGGATTCAGGTCAAGGCAAAGACGAAGCGGTTTCGTTTGGTAGACCTACCGAAGATGATGGAAGGAGATTTTCCACCCAACTCCAACGTCACACTTTTCAGATTGCTGGCCGTCGCAGCTTGTTGCACCTTTCGCCCAGCTGCAGAAGAGCCTGTGAAGCTTATTTTGCGGATGTTCATATGCGAAGCAAGGAGAGCTCCCGTCTCGCCGCCACCGGTGATGATATTAATGGTTCCTGGTGGAAATCCCGCAGATTTAATGAGATCTCCCAAAGCCAAAGATGCTAACGGCGATTTCTCTGATGGTTTGAAGATGAAGGTATTTCCCGCGGCTAGAGCAGGAGCCACCTTATGTGCGAAGAAGATCATTGTCGCATTCCAGGCTGCAATACCGGCGCAAACACCCATCGGTTGATACTGCACCAGACTATATTCACCGTTGCCATCTTCCGGAAGCATTTGGCCATAGATCTTGTCGCAATACCCGGCGTAATAGCGAAAGACAGGAGGCCCTAACTTGGCAAGCTCCATGGCCACGCCAATCGGTTGACCCATCGCAAGCATTTCCAGTCGAGCAAGGAGAGGGATATTTTCCTCAAGAATATCAGCAAACTTGAGGAGGACTTTAGCTCGCTCAACACCAGGAAGACGACCCCAAGTGGTCTTGAAGGCCGTTTGTGCTACCACCACCGCATTGTCGACGTCTTCCTTGCCTGCAATGGGAATTTGTTCAGACAGGATGCTGTCGTCTCGAGGGTTTCGAAGTGTCAGAAAGTGACCTGACTTTGGGGGGATGTACTACTTGATAGTCAGTGACACTCCGGAAAGTGTAATGTATGATGCATTCTAGCTCCTTCAAGATGTGAGACTCACTTCATTATTGATGAACAGTTGGTTCTTCAGCTTCGGGGAATCCATTGCGCGACCTGTCTACACCTTGACTGGCTGGTCTAAAATGCTTACTATGGCCAGATAACTTACCAAAGACTATATTATCATGCTTTTAATAGGACAGTATCTCTTTTCCTCCGCACGGGGTACCTGGTATCTGCTTCTGGGGAAGCGTTTTCTCCATCCCTTCGGCTCCGCAGGAGCCGCATTTCAGGCGGGAGGATTGTGGGGGATTTGACAACAGAAAGATTTTGACGACTACAATTCAGCTATTTTCAGTATCAAGCGTATTCGTTTAGCAACGGAGCCGTGAGATTTCAGCATATGCGCTGTGTAAGAGTTGCATTGCTAGAGCCGCAATGGTGAAATCAGTGAGATTTCAGGCCAGTCACCTAGAGAAGGCCTCGCTACTGCCAATGGGACTGCTTTTCGTCTCCCTGTCCTCCCTCATCTCTGACCCCGGGCTAGCGCCTCATGGAGTGTATGTCTGGGGTATAAAAGTATGTGAGTTCGAGAAGGAGGATGCGGCTCTCTCTCAAACCTAAGACGTCTGTCTGCAATTGTTACATTGAGACAACACGGCCACCATGGCGGGGAGCGTTTGCACTGCTGACGAGTTTGTCCGCCATACCTATGACTACCTTATCTGTGGAGGCGGGACTGCTGGCTTGGTTCTCGCTGCCCGATTGAGCGAGCAGTCCGACATTACAGTGGGAGTCATCGAAGCTGGAAAGAACACTCTCGATGACCCCAATGTCCTAACTCCATTGTTGTTTCCTACCCTCATATCGAACCCAGATTATGACTGGATGTACACGACAAGCCCTCAGGTAACGGCAGTCACAGCATAGGAAACATATATTGTCTTACTGACGACCACAACAGCATGGCTGTCACCACCAAGTCCATTCGATGCCACGAGGAAAAGGGCTCGGAGGCTCGAGCTCAATCAACTTCATGGTCTACGTACGAGGTTAGCATCATAAATATCACCCACACACGTCGGAGTGGCTCGCATGAGTATTGACGCTTTCTAGGTCATAAGTCTGATTACGATGACTGGGCAGCTTTCGATGCTCCTGAATGGGCTTTCTCGAAACTCTTACCCTGCTTCAAAAAGTCAGAACAGCTAGAGGCTCCTGCGAATGAGGAGGACGCAAGATCGGTCTCTTCACAATATCATGGTACCACCGGGCCCATCCACACGAGCTTCAATGACTGGGGACTTCGAATCGACAACGAGATTCTAGAAGCGTTTAAAAGCACCAGCGGAAGAAGCACCAGGCCCTTGGATCCATGGTCTGGTGATCATGTGGGATTTTTCACTTCTCTAAGTGTGATAGATCGCAAACAGAACAAGGGGACCAGAAGCTACGCTGGAAGTGCATACCTGGCACCCTCAATGGAGCGAGCCAACCTGAAGGTCCTGTGTGAGACCACCGTGTCAAAGATAATTCTGGACAATAACGTGGCTGTAGGTGTGAAAGTGCTCCACAAGGGACAAGAACATTCAGTTCGCACTCGAAGAGAGGTTATCGCCTCTTGTGGAGTTATTGGATCCCCTCAGCTGCTAGAACTATCTGGCATCGGAGATCCCGCTATTCTTCGAGCAGCAGGAGTTGAATGTCTTGTACCAAATCCTGCAGTCGGTACCAATTTCCAAGACCATATTATCAGTGCAGTTGGCCTAGAACTAAAGAAAGGCGATTTCTCCCTGGACTCACTTCCTACTTCGCCAGACTTTGAGGCGTTCCAAAAACAATACATGACTACTCGGGAAGGCCCACTAGCATATGCGCCGGGAACAATGGGATTCTTGCCCTTGCAAGCTCTGGTCGAAGATGCTGAACTCGAAGAGATGATAAGGCAAATCGAACGAACCAAAACCAATACCGAATTTCACAAGAAACAGTTGACCCAAGTCATCGAGCAGCTCAAGAGTCCAACCTCTGCAAATGTGCAGTACCTTGTTATTCCTACACAGATGAAATTTGAGGAGGGAACTAGTGACCAGTCCAAGCTCTATGGCAAATTCCATGCTGAAGACAATGATCGTGTCGCCCTTGCTGTCTGCCTTCAATATCCAGCGTCCCGTGGCACTGTGCACATTACGACCTCGGACCCTCAAAGATACCCTCAAATTGACCCTGGATGTGAGTATTGGTCTACATACCTGGTAAAACACGCCGTACCTTGATAGCTAACCTACATTCTTCTCTAGATCTAAGCCACCCAGCAGACGTTAAAGCTCTCGCGGCTTCGGTCAAGTTCGCGGGCAAGGCAATCGATTCACTGGTTGACAACGGGAAAATTGCTCGGCGCGTCTCGCCCGACGTGAACAACGGCCTCGAAGACGAATCACTCCAAAGATTTGTAAGAGAGAATTGTATCGGTGAATACCATGGTATGGGTACTTGCGCGATCTCGGAGGTGGTTGACGGTCATCTGCGGGTCAAGGGCGTCAAAGGCCTGCGAGTTGTTGACGCCAGTGTCTTTCCCAACAATATCAGCGCCAATCTTTTGGCCAGTGTATATGCTGTTGCAGAACGGGCTGCTGAGCTTATCAAGGAAGATGGGTACCAGGGAGCATTTGCAAAGCTTGGTCCTGATGTACATGCTCACTTGTGAATGTGTGACTGGTTTGGGGAGATCAAAACTTCAGACCTATGTGCCAAGTGACAGACTGCTAATACTTGGGCTAATTCTACATTCTCGAGTAGAAGGTTATTTTCTATCGGTCTCGTCTGTGCGTATTTCCACTAAAACTTCGACTGCACTTTATCCAATGTCCCTTCGAGAGCCCATTCACTGCGTCGTTTGGACCGGGCGCTATCTGCTTGTGCCCTGGTAAAACCCTTCGCCTGTACTGCGGGATTATAACCCAGACCCGTGATCTTCGCGACCTCTTCATCGTCCACGGGGCGATTCTTCTGGCCGTCCACGCGCTTGTAGATAGTCACGACGCCTGCGCTGCCCAACCCGGCGTTGTGGGCGAGTGCAACGTCGATACCTGGGACCAGTCTATTCGTGGCCCAGCCACGGAGTTGCCACACCAGCTCGGCACATTGGGCGATTCCCGTCGCGCCGAGGGGGTGGCCCTTGGACAAGAGTCCGCCTGACGGATTGACGACGTACCTACCCCCAAAGGTGATGTCCTTGTTGCGGACGAGCTCGTGGGCCTTGCCAGGCTCCGATAGACCCAGAGCGTCCAATGCCATCATCTCGGCCGAGGAGAAGCAGTCGTGAAGTTCCACTACTTTGATGTCCGCGATCGAGGCGTTTGCCTGTTTCAAGGCTTCCTTGACGGCGGTCCTGGCGAGGCCAGCGCCGACCAACGAGGCAGCCGATCCGTCGAATGCGGACGGAGAATCGGTGACGAAAGACTGACCAGCGATGAGGATGGCTTGACTCCGGAGGTGAGGTCGTGCGTTCAGAAAGTCTTCGGAAACGATAATCGCCGCCGCACCCCCGTCACTCGTCGGACAGCACTGGGACATGGTTAAGGGCTCCTGGATCATGGGGCCCGACATGATCTGTTCTAGAGAAAACTCCTTTTGAAACTGAGCATAGGGGTTCTTCTTGGAGTGAGCGTGGTTGATCCGTGCTATCTCTGCAAAGTCCTGTGCGGTTGCACCATGTCTGAAAGCGAGACCGGAAAAGTCATGAGTTTTCAAATTTTCTCCCGAGACAAGAGAGGGTAAAGGTCATACGTACTTATTCATATACTCTTTCGCGGTGTTGGCAAATAGTTGCACAGCCCCGGAGGCTTCTCCCTTGCCCCAGCTCTTATAATTCATATCCATGAACCGTCCGACAGGGTCTGCTCTGTCGGTGAAATTCCGTTCAAGACTGCCAGGTTTCATCTTCTCGAAGCCGACGACCATGATGCAGTCGGCGCCGCCGCGCGAGATGGCGTCCCGAGCCATGGCGATGCCCGTGGACGCACTGGCGCAGTTGTTGTTGACGTTGATGATCGGGATCTCGGTCATACCGAACTGATAAAACACCCTCTGGCCGCTGACGCTGTCGCCATAGCAGTAGCTGGCGATGCCCATTTCGACATCGTCGTAGGTGATGTGGGCGTCGAGGAGAGCCTTGATACCCGCTTCGAAGCCCAGTTCAGTGTACTCGACTTGTCCGCGTGGTTTGAGGAACTTGGTCAAGCCGACGCCCAGAACGTAGGAGGGAGCCCGAATTTGTTGCTTCATCTTCTTACTCGATTCAATGGTCCAACGTGGAACTGAATGGCTTTGATAAAACAATTCTAACCTCCCACGAAAAGGTATAGTAGTCAAAATCGACAATGTCTCGTAACGGGCTCGCTAGACTCCTGCTCGGGGATTTCCAATAACCGAGCTTTCGATGAGCTATATAGCACTGTCGTCCAGGCACAACATCCTTGGGCCAGCGCAAGGCACGAGAGTCAAGGAGTGACGAGTTCGACCTCGACCAATCAGATGTCAAAACCTCGTCTCCGGCTCTCTCTCTCAAGGTGGGTCTCGATGTCGGCTCCGCATCAGACACGGTCAAGTCTCGCACCCGATGCGGTAGGGATGGCAAGAAATTCATGGTTACGCCCGGAAACGAAAAATGATGCGATGGTCCTCGGCAGAGTAGATTATTCCTTGGTACGTTCCGAGGCGATAAAATGCTCCTCAAAGGACTGGTCGAGGCAAAATGATGCCGATACAAGGAATTGAGGACACAAACTACAGCAAACATGCGTTCATCATCTTTCAACGGGAAGACTGTGGTGATTATCAACGCCCAAAACACATTGGGAGCCGAGCTTGCCAGCTCGGCAGTCTCTCAGGGTGCCAACGTGGTTGCTGAGTCTGGCAGTGGAGATACTCTCATCGAAGCAGCCGTCGCCAAATTTGGTACAGTCAATGTCCTGGTCAACATTGTGAACAGCAAGCCAGACCATTGCTTGTCCAACAGCACACCGTCAAATTGGCAGAGTCTGGTTGAAGGCGCTTTGATATCAGCATACAAGGTATGTCAATATAAAAGGTCTGAATCAAGGTCCAGGTCACTGAATTCTGTTGGACGAGAGTAGTCTTCTCAAGCAGCCTGGCCCCATTTCCGCAAGCAATCTTCTGGTAAGATTGTGCATGTTCTTCAGCCAAGCGGGACGTCAAACGCACATTCCAATAGTAAGTGTACCTACTACATCGACAGGCGTACTGTCAAACTGACATAAGCCACAGCGCTCAAATTTGGCTTGCTCGGATTGACCAAGACATCAGCACTGGAAGGCAAGAAGAACAACATCTCGGCATATCTGGTGACGGAAGCGAGTGAGTCGTTCCATTATTCTCGCTCACATTGAGGTGCATGTATATACTGAAAGTCCTGTGCCTTAGCAACCAATCTTTTGTATGTCAACGAGGACAGCCAGCCCCAAGCTGAGCAGCCGTCACCTCGTGCTTTTGTCAACACCATATCCGCTCTCAGTCTCACCAGGGACAGCATAGAGTCAGGTACATTATTCGAAGTTTCTGGCAATAAAACCACCTCGGCTCGATGGGTGAGATCGGGTGGCGCGTTACTGAAACCGGATGCAACATTCACTCCATCTTCGGTATGGCAAAGATGGAACGATATCTTGGATATGTCCAAGCCCTCTTACCCGTCAGGACCTTTTGATGCTGATGCTGAACTTGCGTATCTACCCAAGTTGGGACCCAATAAGGCCTGGAATTCTTTAAGCCTCGAGGGTCAAGTGGCCATTGTTACTGGAGCTGGATCTGGGTAAGTTTATTCGAGACAAGTTGAGAACCTCCAGCTAACACAGCTCCATAGACTTGGGCGCGCCCACGCTCTATCCTTGGCCAAATCTGGCGCTGCGGTTGTAGCCAACGACCTCAAAGGAGCAGAGGCAGTGGTAGACGAAATTCGCGCTCGTGGTGGCAAGGCGGCTGCCCATATCGGTTCCGCTACTGATGGAAAGGGCATTGTGGCTAAAGCCATAGAGTCATTTGGCCGCATCGATATGCTCGTGAACAATGCCGGTTTCCTCCGCGATCGCACCATAGCAAAGATGGAAGAAGCATCGTGGAATGCAGTTCTTGATGTACATCTGTTTGCTATGTATGAGCTTTCAAGGGCAGCATGGCCACATTTTGTTCGTCAAAAAGGTGGTCGCATAATTAACACAGCAAGTACCAGTGGTATTTATGGCTTCTTTGGACAATGCAACTACTCAACAGCAGTAAGTGCGTCCACAGTAGCAACATTGCTGAAGTTTGAAGTCCAAAACTCACCGTGGAAATAGAAATTGGGGATTGTCGGTCTGGCTGACGCCCTTGCCCGCGAAGGTGCAAAGCACAACATTGTCGTGAATACAATTGCTCCCATTGCTGCAACAGCTGCTCTTGCTGCAAACATCAAGACCATGCCTGGTGGACAACAGAACAATCCGCTCAAACCGGAGTATGTCTCTCCTCTGGTCACACTGCTCAGTTCTCCTCAAGCACAGTTTCTGGCGTCTGGTGGCCTGTTCGAAGTCGCTGGCGGCTGGCATGCCCGTACTGTCCTGCAGCGAAGTGAGGGAGCTCAAGCTGGCGGCTCACTAGAAGAGCTCTTGGCCAGCTGGCCGCGGGTTGCGTCCTTCAAGGCTGAATTGCCGCAGCAAATCCCAATAACTCCAAAGGACCTCTCGCAGAATACAGATAGGAGCTGGAAGGGTAACCAGTGGGAGAGACCAACGTACCAATATGAAGACAAGGAGATTATCCTTTACAGTGAGTACTTAGGCCTCATTTGGATGACATGTATGCTGAGCGTGTCCTAGATCTGTCAGTTGGCGCCAAAAGAAATGACCTCGATCTGGTCTATGAGAAGTCTCCAGCCTTTCAGCCCGTGCCGACGTTCGCTCTTATCCCTGCAATTGAGGAGTTCTTGATCTACCACAATCAGGTCCTCGTACCCAATTTCTCCGATCGACGTGTCCTGCACGGCGAGCACTATCTGGAGATATTGAACCATCCCATTCCCACGAAGGGTATGATGAAGACGACCGGCGAGACCCTAGATGTGATTGACAAAGGAAAAGCTGCCATCACGATCACAGGCCTGACAACCCGTGACACGGTCAACAACGAAGTCGTCTTCTACAATGAAGCCACGTTTTTCCTCCGCGGGAGTGGCGGATTTGGAGGGCCTCGAACCCGTCAGAGTCCTCTCCGGGGTCCACCGCTTTCCAAGCCGCCCCAGAGAGAGGCCGATGTTACAGTCGAGCATAGAACCTCCACGGAACAAGCGGTACTCTACCGTTTGACTGGCGACCGAGCAGCAATGCATGTAGACCCGAACGAGAGCTGCGGCGCGGGCTTTTCTGACCCCATATTGCACGGAGCTTGCTTCTTGGGCATCACGGGCTATCACATCTTTAGAACATATGGACGCTACGGAAGCATCCGCAACAGGTTCTCGGGCGTGGTAATTCCTGGTCAGACTTTGAAGGTGGAAATGTGGCGCGGTTCAGGGAAAGATGCTGGCCTGGTGTACTTCCAGACGACCGTGATGGAGACGGGAAAGCGATGTATCGATGGAGGAGTGGCAGTGCTTGCTGAACAGCCTGGGCAGAAGTTGTAGTGTCTGTGATTAGAATATGTTTGATGGTGCTTGAGCAAACATTTCAGGAGGAAAGAGATTCAGAGGAAAACAGAATGGGGGAGGACATGTAGACGAATTGGTTGTTGTGTGAATATACAGAGCGAATGTATTGACTCTCGACATTTTCTTTCACCTACAAGGCCTTACCCATCATTCCAGTTAGTTGTTCTTTAGGATCGATTCTCTTCGAACAACAAAAGCACCGACTTTGGGATGTCACCTATCGTAAACCCACGTAGATTTTGATTCACCACCATCAATTCCCTGACAGTTGGGCATCTCACATTCACTTCAGGACGTACGCGTCAGAGGCTATGATGTGTCAGCAACCTTGGATGCCCTGTCTTGATTTCTCTTCAGCCTTTTCGTGATGGCGGGTACGTGAAGCCGACGTCGGCTCCCCCAAGGAAATGTCGGGTTTGCTCCGTGCAAACGACCAAGTCCAGCGGGTTCAGCCGAGACCTTCACCACCTCCACGCCTTTCTTCATTGTCGAGTCGTCGTTGTTATGCGCCCTATGCTTTGCCTAGGAAAACAATACTAGGCCCCTTAATTACCAAGAATCTAAAGCAAACTGAACCGTGGCGTGAGGGACAGCAAAGCACATTCCACGTTTTGTTTCCCAACCAAAGAATCAAGGAGCCCAAGTGAAGAAGCCTTTCCCGCGAGAATGGGAGGTCAGAACAAGCACGTCGTATTCGACATTGTCGGTAAGAATGATATTCTCTCTGAGTGATCAACCTCCTTGAGAAGAGATTAGGCTTCTCATGCGTTTTTACAGGAACATGCATCTCGTATGAGAATTTCTTCGAGGCTCTCGAGGCACGACTCGGGCCCAAGCTCAACCCTCTGGGCATCGGCACCAGAATTTTTGGTTATGCCTGGATGGAAGCCGCAGAGCGAGAGTACACCTATCTCAGTCTGTCCAACGGCTACCGCAAAGTGTTTGATGTGATGCGTTCAATCTTCTATCGGACGCTGTGGCAAGCCGGCATCGCGGAACCACGCAAATTGGTCAGTGACGAGGACATGGAGTTTGTCCTCGACTCGTACCGCGGTCTCAAACCACGAGAAGGTCTCGCCGAATGCTACTCGAAACTACGAGAGGCTGGCTTCACCGTCTGGGCATTCACGGCCGGTGACACGGAACGTGTATCGAATTACCTGAAGAAAGGCGGTGTTGAGATGCCCTCGGAGAACTTTGTATCCTGTGACGACATTGGCATTGGTAAACCCGCCCCAGAGTCCTACGAGCATATCCTGGGCAAGTTCGACAAGAATGGTTTGGAGGCGTGGTTTGCTGCTGCTCACATGTGGGATGCCAGTGCCGCCCGACGGTCAGGGTAAGTTTTGCGGGCCCTTATGGACAAGAGCCTTGCAGTGGAATGTGTGCTGACTGTTTATGCGTGTTCAACAGATTTAAAGGAGCTTGGTGTTCAGCCTGGGAGAAGGAGCCCTGTTCGGATATCTTTGGAGAGATGGATGTTGTAGCACCTAGTCTTCCAGCGATGGCTGATGGGATCATCGCCGCATCGACTAAACAATGATAACGATAATATCTTTGCATGATTCCAGCGATACTATTTACTATCGTGCAAAGTGTCTCACTGATCTGACTATCTCGGACGGTATTGTACTCCAGAAGATCACGAAGATGTGGAGGGAATTCCACCAGTAGCCCGGACCTTAAGCTCTAGACGTAGCCTAAACAGTCTCCTTGGGCATTGTATGGTGTATTGCGTCCCCGTCCGCTCCTACGGTACCTTCAGTGCAGGCATGCGAACTCCGAAGTAGGGGTCCAGATCGGCCAATATCTCATCACGACACATTTCAGTGAGAGCAGAATGTCGCATGATCCATTGCCCTTTGAAGCAGCAGACACGTGGGCAGAGTGAACTGAGTGATGGTTCCTTCGGAGAAAGACGAAAAAATGGGCCATTTGATCGCCCTAAACCGACATTTCTTAGCCAAACGCCTTTGTCAAGACATGATTCAACGACTTACCGTAAGTCGGTCAACTGGCAGTATTTACTGAACTCTGATCATCTACGACTGCTGGCTTGCGGAGATATTAATTAGTGCCTGGCATATCAAACGTCGAAATACACTTGAGAGTATAAGCAGGCTCAACGCCAGACGTACAGACACCAAACACGATGTCCCCACCACAGAGACCAGGCCCTGTGCCTACGTCAACATCGTCGTTTTGGAGATCAGAGCCGCACGAGTTGGACACACATCGAAGCACGCCCGACCTCCCATCGGAATGCGATGTGTTGATTATTGGCGCTGGTTTCGCCGGAGCGGCACTTGCACATTACATCTACGAAGACAACCCCTCGCCACCGTCCGTGGTGATACTGGAAGCACGTCAGGCATGTTCGGGAGCGACAGCACGCAATGGCAAGTTTTTGGATTTGATTTGTTCTCCCCTTACAAGCCACCCCTGCCCGTTACTTTCATCTATCCATTCGTTTGTGTGAACAGAGCGCCGATGAATTTTACTCAACGACTAACGAATCCGTGTCGAGCACAGGCGGCCATCTCAAGCCGGACGTCTACTTCAATATGCCCAAGTACATCAAGAAATACGGTGTGCGGTCGGCGGTCGAAGTGGCTCAGTTTGAGGCTTCGCAGGTCCACGCCGTCAAGGCCTTGGTGGAAAAGGAGAAGATCGATTGTGACTTTGTTCTGACTCGAGCTTGTGACGCTACGCTACATAAGGGATTGGCCGACGAGACGGAAAAGGCGTTTGAAGAAATGCTCAAGGCTGGAGTGACGGACTTCAAGGATGTTTATCACGCACGAAAGGGAGATGCTGAGCGGGTTCGTCTTGCCTCTTCCCCCTTCCCAGCCTTGGTTGAATGGCGTCCGCGCGGCCCTGTGAATCAGAGGGTTATGGCCGTTACTGACCCAATGATATTTTACAGGTCTCGGGTGTCAAAGGTGCCTTGTCGGCATTTACATTCACAGCAGGCCACGTCTGGCCATACAAGATGGTAATGCATCTCTTGAAGGGGGCAGTGTCGAAGGGTGCAAATCTCCAAACCATGACGCCCGTCACATATCTCTCCGACAAACCCCTCCCTGATGGCCGGTGGCTTGTGAAGACCGAACGAGGCGAGATCAAAGCCAAGAAGGTCCTTCTCGCCACGAACGCATACACGGCCGATATCTCACCACAATTCAAAGACCACATCGTCCCCGTGCGCGGAATCTGCAGTCGCATAGTAACCCCGAAGGGTCAGGTGGCGCCGCGCATGATGCAAACCTACAGTGTCCGTCACGGTCCCGCCATGTACGATTACCTTATCCCCCGACTCGATGGGAGCATCATCGTCGGAGGTGCGAAGCCAAATTTCTGGTCCGACACCTCACACTGGTATGATGTCAAGGACGACAGCAAACTCATAGAGCCTGCGAAACCGTACTTTGACGGGTTGATGCAGAGAACCTTTGCAGGTTGGGAGAACAGTGGAGCGTATACGGACAAGGTGTGGACTGGAAGTATGTGATTTAACCCCCACATTCCCCTTTGCATTTCTTTCCTTCCTCTTTGGTTCAGGAATACGCATACAAGAAAAAAAAGATTAACAATACTTCTCATTCAGTCATGGGCTATAGCTCGGATTTCATGCCGTACATAGGTGAAATGCCAGGGAAACCAGGCCAGATGGTTCTGGCGGGCTTCTCGGGACACGGCATGCCTTTGATCTTGCTGTCGGCCAAAGCTGTCGCAGACATGCTCCGGACTGGTAAGAAGTTTGAAGAAACTGGCGTGCCGTCGGTCTTCAAGGTCACCAAGGAACGGTTGGAGAGCACCAAGAATGAGATCCTGAGTGATAGTGGCAAGGGCAAGGTTCAGGCGAAGTTATGATTCGGAAATGGAATGAGAGATAAAACGTTAGATCAAGATTACATAGTATTCGGATCAAAGTTGAATTGGACGTAATAGTTGCGATGTCTTTAATGTCCATGGTTGTTCTACCATCTGCTGCTAGCCGCTGACTAAGAACGAAATTGAAGCCCAATCAAATAAAGCGGCATCATGAGGTTCCCAAAGAGGCAAGGCCTGTCACTCTCCCAGCGAACACGGCAATAAGGCGCAGGTCGCGGTCATAACAATGCGCTTTTCTTTCCCTGCAACAATTGCCTAGCCATCATCGTTAGGTCTACAACCACGTCCTTCCTTTCCTTTCCTTTGTTCATTGCCCTGAGCGCTCCCGTAATCCGCTCAGCATGTTCTCCCCGGACGCCTCGCGCGTGCAATCCCTCCGGCCCAAAAGAACGCGACCGTCATCTGGACCAGAAGACTCAATTAAACTTCCCCAAGCGAAGAGAAAACGATCGGCTCTGCGACGAGATACATTCGAACCACTGGCTGAAGCTAGTCTAAATGAAATTGCCGGACGTGAGGCAGGCGACGAGAAACCCAATGGACACACTCCAGCCCCTGCGCACCAGAAGGAATTGACCCTACGCGGTGCAAAGAAGCCAGAAAAGCGTTCAGATCGATCAGCGGGAGCAGTAAATCCCACGTTAACGCTGTCCAGCAATGACTTCTACACTGTATCCCAACTCCCTTCGCTCCCGGAGCAGATCAGAAACAGGCCTACGATCCCCTTTTCCTGCGTCATTTCCCAAGAGTATGGATACGCCCTTGCTCTCACCCACAGCGACGCCATAATCTGGCCATACAATTCAAGCGCATCTACCCCGTCATCTCGAGATGTCATCACTTTCAAACTGCCTTTCCCTCCCGCCTCGGTCGACGATCCTTTACCGCTCGCAGCCTTTACTGCCAGATCTGCAAACGGAGAGCCAGGAATTGTCGCAGTCTCCGCCAAACTGGGAAAAGTAGTATATTGGGAGACAATTTCTAATGCCTCGACGTTCATCCCAGGCCAAAATGCGAACGTACAGGGTTCAATACCTGGGATGCTGAGCGGCGAGGCCGTGGAAGAGCTTGTCAATGCTGAGCCATCCGGCTTTGTCCTATCTTTGCGACACGGTCGTGTGGTACATTTGACAATACGAGACCAAATGGGCCGCCCCGGCATCGGCGTACAATTCTTGCGAAAATACAACAATGGTTCCGGAGGGATATTTGGCAGCATTCGGAATGCCTTTGGCGTCGATCGGAGAAAGGGCACACCCATCATTAAGGCAGGAGGCTCGAGGAAAGGTCAACGTGATGTGGTTGTGGCTACCGAGGATGCGGAAATCGAATTCTGGAATACCAATCTGAGTGTCGGAAACTCTCTCGAAACATCATTCAGCTTCAAAGAGGAAATTGGAAGCGCACTGAAAGTAATTCTCGGGGATACGCCGTCTCTACAATTCAAGGTGCTTGACGTTGAACTGTCCACAGGACTCACTACGGCTTTGACTCGCAGAGGCAGTCACGGTGCTCCTATGATGGTCTTGATTTCAGTCTCGCAAGACGCGAGAACGACTTATTACCTGGTTGAAATGGTGGTAGACGAGGGAGCTAAAGTGAGGGTTGTACACCCGATCACATGCTACTCTACCAAATCCTCAGACCCACAATCATGGCGACCGCGCCTATGTGTTGCAAGAACACAACCTGTGGCTTTCGTCCTCTTCGAAACGGCTATTGTTATCTTTTCTCTGGCTAAGATCCGAGAATCGCCGTCGTCACAGCTGATGGCGGAACGACAGTCGTTACCAGAACCATTTCAAGATTGTGTACGTTTCCAAGATGGAACCATTCACAAAATCCTTGGCTATGTGTTAGAAGCAAGCGAAAAGCAACCAGCGATTGTGTTTGGTGTTCAGGGTTTCGGCATTGCCAAGATGGTGTCACATCTTCGTGAAAGTGATGAAGTGCATGTGGAAGAAGCCGTCGACCGAATAAGTGCGAAGAGCAAGATCGAACAAGCAGTCTTCTTTGGAAGTATCAAACAGAATCCTTTGGATTTAAAAAACATCACCCAGACTTTCCCCGACAAGGAGGTTGCAGCAGCAGCATTGAGCATCAGCTCGGAAATTCTGTCATCGAGTTCGAAGCATGTCCCCAAAAGTGCACCTTCTATCGAAATGCATCTGCGAATGAGAGCCAAGGCACTTGCTGATCTGGCTCAACATTTGCTGGACCATTACCCCTCTGCTATTCCTCGGAATGTTCGTTTCCAACTCCTTCTAAACGCCGAGAAACTGGCTGCCGCCCAAGCTGTCTGGAAAGTACAAGAGGAAATTCAGCGAAAATACCCCCAGGAGGATCGAGAGATGCCCTATCTTGATTTCACCCTTCGCGCACTCCACGAGTCCAGACAAAAATACCCTGATCCGGAGAAAGGCGAGAAGGATCGAATACGACATTGGCTTGTCAACAGTGTCAATAACATCGGCCATCTTATGTCCGAGTTGACTAGTTGCATCCCAGAACTGGAGCCGATGCAAGTGACTGATCCCAGAATTGTTGCTGACTATCTCAAAGAAGCTGTCGACTTGTGGATTGCGTCATATACTGCAGCTTTCAAATTTCGGGAGGACAATGCCCCAGAGTACGGTCTAGGAGACGAGGTGTTCCAAGATGGAGTACTTGTGGCAGGATTCCCTGTGGACATTCCTCACCCGTGGACATCAGCTCCGGAGCCGTTTCGATTTGGCCAACAACTGATTTACGACATCTGCAAGTTCTTGACTGAGTGGTGGGATCATTCACTGGGCAAGAGCAAGAAGAAGAAAATGCCGACTGATCTGGATGGCAAACCGTATGAAGCACCCAGCAAAATGGCGCTTAAAGACCTTGCTGCTCGCTTACCGACCGAGGTGGAGCTCTTTTCTCGTATAGCGAAGGAAGAGTCCATACAAGCCGAACGCCACCTCAAAGAGCTGGAGAAGGACCCGGAAATCCTGAAAGATGAACTCAAAAACCTCAAAGATGAGAAGCGTGACCGGTTGAACAAGGCGCTCGTAAACATCTCTCATTTCAATATGCCAGGAGCGATTCAACTGGCTGAAAAACTTGAGAACTGCCCGATGCTTGTTGCACTGCATTACTCGTATTACGGCAGTTTGACAGAGGAAGCTGAAGCTAATCCCATGATCAAGGATGTCAACACAAGAGTTATCGCCGACATGCAGGCTCAAGCTGAGACGTACTTTGAGCGTTTTGGTAAAGCGTGGGCCTGGGCCAGCTTTAGTCAAATGATCGAAGATGATGAATGCGGCAATCTTTTGGTTAAGGGCCAAGAAGATGACAAAAAGCGGCAGTTTCTCTCTTGGTTCTTCAAAAAGGCAGAAAAGTTCGGACAAAGTGTGGGCAAGCTCAGCTGGATCCACGATGTCATCGGCAGCGATGGCTATGCGCGAGCTGAGAAAACGCTGCGGAATGTCGCTGCTGAAGAGACAGCTGATGTCTGGAACAAAAAGACCGAGTTGTCGCTAGCTAAATTAGCAGGACTGGCAGCCGACGAAGGTGCTGATCGACGTCCTCGTCAGACTGTGAGGTATGATCGCGATTTATCGGCCATTGACATTCAAGAACGAGCCTACCAGCATATCTTGGCTGCCGTTGGAGCCGCAGTGGATGAAAAAGCGACTTTGGATCTGGCAGTAGAGACTTTCGCTTCCAGGCTGGTCAAAGATACGCCGGCTCTCAAGAGACAACTGAAGCAGATCTTGAAGTCGCTGGTTCATCAAGTACCGTTGTCGATTGAGGAGCTGGTCGACCTTTTGACGTTGATGGATTCGGTGGAATGGGTTGGCATGGCGGAAGACAATCCCGAAATTGTTGGCCAAGAATGTGCCATCGCTCTCAGGATTGTCGACTTTTCAGACTTGCCGAGTCACAAGCAGGATGACCTTCGGGCTTTGATATGGAGAAGAGTCATGATCAGAGACAACTGGTTGATGATCAATGATACTAGCGGCAAGGATGATGAATGGGTACAGAACGAGATGCAACAGACTTGTTTGTTCCGCACGATCGAACGGGTTCTATTGCTAGAACAATTTGAAGGGGCTAGTATCCATATGTTTTCGCCCAAGGAGATTTTGGAGAGGGAGGTATTTCCTAGCAGTTTACAGGAACGATACCCTCAGAGTGAATTGGAGGGAGTTCGCAAGGATATGGACAAGGAGCAAACCAAGCTCAAAAAGTTTACAGAAAAGGGAAGATTGGAAGATCATTATGGTGGATTAGTCACTTCTGCCCGTCGAAGTGTGAGGGAGATTGTTGACCAAGAAGGTGAAATGATGGCTGAGGAAGTTGTCACTGAGAATGGGACTAAATAGTACAATGCCTGGTCCGTAGGTACTAATATCAACGTACGACAAATGTATATTGTGCTCTTTCTCTATCCGGCCCCTTTAAGTTCCAATACTATTCCAGAAGGTGCTGTGACAAACCCGAACCTGCCTCGTCATTGCGCATGTACTCGACAGTCTTCTGATTGTCTGCTAGGTCCATATCGTCGATGTTGTTCGTAATGGCATTGATCCAAGCGGCCAACCTTCGGCCCGCTTTACCTACCAAGTCGTCTATGATCGGCACGGCGCCTTCGTAGTAGGTTCCGCCTAGTTCTTGGTGGAGGACATCATGAGCCAAGACGTAAGAGCAAATATGAGAATTCGCCTCGGACGCCCATGACAAGCTGCATTCCGTGGCGTCGGAAAGACATTCATTGGAGACCGAAGAGGAGGAGGTGTGGGTATCGTCTTGGGCGTCTTGGGAGTAGAGACGTTGGGCCCAGCGGAAAGCTGCTAGGAGTTCGTCATCATGATCATACTTTGTGGGGGCGTACGATGGTGATGATGATGATGGTCTCGACGAAGATGAAGGTTCAGAGTGACGGTGAGATTGAGAGAGGGTATCCGGACCAGCGTACTTGTTTGGTATGAGCGTGTCCCATACGCTGTGGAGGTTGGTGGCGTGGTTGTCGAAAAGAACGGGGATGTCATTGCCGCCTCGAGACAAGTTCTCGGTGTGGAGGGGTTGATGAACATCACCAAAGAAATGCATCATGAAGCGCAGGGATTGACCGCGGTAGAATCGTGGCAGGGAGAGGTCCGCGACCCGCGCAGTGTGATTGGCGATGGCACTCACGACGCACCCGCCGTCGGCGGCCAAACAGTCGCGCGTGACGTTGATGCCACACTGACGAGGGGGGTCGTCTTGCGCGTCGATGTAGTGCCAGGCCGCAGTGTAGGCGAACGCCGGCATGTGGCGGACTTTGTCGGGGAAGAGAGCCGCTTCGGAAATGTCCTGACCGTTGAGGAGGTGGTTGGTGAATGTGGTGGATCGAGGGGTGAAGTAGAGAGATGCTAGGTAGGCGACGGTGCGGTGACCCAAGGAACCCCACGCTTGTGTTGTGTAGGGGAGGGAGAGGGATAGAAATAGAGTGGTGATTGTACTCGTATACAGATGCATTGTGTTTGAGCTCTGTATCGATATTGAGCACGCTGTTGTCGGATTGGGCGATGGGATGATACGTAGGTTGGTGTTCTTGCGAAGAGATAAACAATTATATCTCCATCTGCATTTGTTTCGGGGTATGTGTCTACATATGGTATATATATGAAGACAAAAACTAGCTGATGATGTGGTCAAGTGATTAGCATGATCATGTAGTTGTTATGATGTTGTGTTTTGGCGTGTTGATGTGTTGTCATGGGAAGGTTGGGAAAGTTGGAAAGTTGACCATGTGGTCGACCCTGCGAGGCTGAGGTTGGAGAATTTCCATTGGTTGAGAGACCCATAACCCGTGCTCACTGTAATCCATACCTTCTATACAACATTCAATAGGCCTAAGAAATGGTCAAACTTCTCCTCAAGGAGATGGTGCCGCTGTTACAACAACCAGCTCATGCTTCACCTCATATAAGTAGCGCCTTGATAAGAGCACCAGTCACCCCTGCATCAGTGCTGTCGTAGCCCTAGGTATGGAGCAGCTCCGGGCAGAGCAATCCCCGGAAATCCCCCACAAAGCTCGCCGCCGAGACTCACTTCTGGGGACCGGCGGGGTAATTGCTCTTCGTGGTTGATCCGAATTTACGTCTTGTTATCTTTATCACTACGAATGGTCGCCATGGAGGTCCCTCAATTCGAACCCTGGGATTTGCAGCCGATGGTGTCATACCGACCTTCAAGATCGCGTTCGCAGCTGGAGAGGGAGAATGAAGAGCTTCTGAGGAAGGTCCAAGTGCTTCAAGCGCAATGCCAAACGCTTGCCGCCCGCAACCAAGAATTAGCCCATCTATATCTCCAGGCGTCTTGCCAGTTGGTGGATGTAGAATTACCAGACTGCAGCAGTCATCTACAACATTCACGAAACGATGGAAGTACATCGTGCTTCATGTCCAACGACATGCCACGATTGGACGTGGTTCCTCCTCAGCCGTCCCAGGCCCTCCAAGGTTATCCTGCCAGAGACTCTCGACATAGGACGACGAGTTATACACGGATTGCATCAGTCCACTCGTCTTCAAGGCCAGAGCCACAGCTTTGGGACCACCATTATTTGCCAAATTTGGCCCGGATGCAGAACGCCGAACCCTCAGCGTTAGATGGTGATTTTTTCAATGATTTAACAAATCAATACTGCTGGCAATCTAATGAATGGGAGCCGCAAGCAACGTCTGGACATTACTGTGCCATGAAAACGGACATTATCAACGACAATGTTTTGGATGCGGACGACACGACGAATGCACAACTAGGGCAACAACCGCGGTCTCTCCAGTCACCAGACTATACGTTGCATGACAGCAGCATGTGGCTCTCGCAACCGCCGGACGCTCCTACAAAAGACTTTTTTCAGGACAATTTGCCGCCGCTTCTGTCTACTGGATCTTCTCTTACCAACGCTAACGTTGAAAATGATATCAGCAACGACGACGACATCCAAGTCGTTGAAGGTTTGTTTGATTACAGTACAACTCCAATACCAACGCTACGTAATCTCCAAGTCGTCCCAGATTTAAGAACGGGTTACAATTCTGGCGTCGGCCAGGAGGCCCGCTGCAAACTGGATCAGTATATCACCACTCTATACCAGGTTCTTAGTCATCACGCACAGAACCCGTCGTTGACCATGAAACACCGAGCCAAGTTGTGCGCGGAGGGAGTCCTTTGGGTGGTGCGCGAGGCTTGGCCGGAAGCCGCCCATTTTTGGAAGACCACGGCCTCGTTCATAGGGTTCTTCCAGTCTGAAATGTGGCGCAACTTTCCCAACGAGGCGGTCTACGGACAGATGCACCCGTCTTACTGCCCGACTCCTCGACAGCTGACGGTCCCCCACTCGCCGTTGATCGATTGGCTGCCATGGCCCGAACTCCGGGAGAAATTGATCGAACAGCAGGACAACTTCGACGTGGATCTGGTCTGTAAGATTGCCATTCAAAACGTCGTTGCACATCGAACAACGTCGTCTTCGGTCCCAGCAGGGGTAGCAGCACGCAATAACAATAATAATGATAGGTCATCAGTCGCTCAAGGATCCGAGTCGACAAAAACAACTACAAAAACAACTCCACCTCCGAGGCTTTCCGACAGACCAAAAAGATCGTCAACAACAACAGCTACTGCTACCTCTTTTCGGGTCTGGGACCTTTGCCTCCTGGAAGAAAAGGCCGGGTTTTGCCCCCCGGTGACGAGCAGCACGGGACTCGTGTATACTCCTGCGTCTGCCGAGGTGAAGGCAATAGAAAAGGCGTACGGTCTCGAGTATAGCAATTTCGAGACCCAGAAGCTGCATCCCCGGTTCTTTGAGACCTTTCCGACCCTGTTCGTCGCTAGCGCCGTGTCGCATTACGTGGTTCAGGACTTACCCGTGGCCGTCGAGGTTGCCGCGGGGAGAGGTGACATTCTGGGAGCTCCACAAAAGTTCTCGCCCGCGGCTGGGGACAGGCTACAAACCCTGATAAACCGAGTGCTCGAGACACTAACGTAGGCTGGTCCAGGTCAGGATGTCAGGTTTCCGGGGGAGAGAGCTGGAGGGAGCTGGGGGAGGGAAGGAGAGGGGCGCCAAGAGACCCTCACTTCTAACCAGAGTTTTGACAGCGAAAATGTAACAGTTCTGTAACATTGGCAAGAAGGAAGGGGGGTATTCCCGCCGCCTTCGTCAGCTGTTGGAAGACGTAGATGAAGCCAGGAAAGTTGCACTTTTCGGTAACAAGGAGAAGTACTATGACCATTGACTGGCAATGCAGTGGCGACATGCTTCGGCCCACCGTCCCCAATCTTCCCCACGACAGCCGGAAGTGAGGTTAGACTGGGCTTTTGTCGACAGGCCAATCACCCTTCGGCATGTTCCATTTAGCTATGCTTGAGGAAACAAATGCCCACGATACGCCCTGACAGCAGGAAAAAGGTTGTTGGCTTTCAATCGGCGGTTCTAGTGGGGGGAGGAGAAGGAGGAATGTACTACCAGAGATTTCCATGTGCTTTTGTGGGGGAGAGAAAGGGGGGCCCCATGGATTGATAGTTCCCTCTAGTCACAGACTGGTAACGCGATGATGATGCTGTAAGGTATATATATATACAAGATAGACAGACATCTGACGAGTTCACCTACTTACTGTACCAAGGTACATACAAATAGCATTAGAAACGACGACGACGACGACGACGACGACGACGACGACGACGACGACGACGGTCCCATCCATCCAACGCATACCGAACCAACTACGATGATTCTCGATACACCAATTTCCAAGACATTCTCCAATGATGGTTGGCTCTGGCACCTCCCTACAATCATTCTTCTTCTCTCCGTACTAGGGGTGTTGCAGGCACTTTGGATTTTGTACTGTCGCTTGTTCCACCCGTTCGCCGGCATTCCAGGGCCTTTTTTCGCATCCTTCTCTCGGATGTGGATCGGGTCAGCCGTCTCCAGCGGCCGAGCCGAACATCTCGAGCGGGCTTTACACAAACAGCACGGGCCCCTCGTTCGCATCGCCCACAACGAGGTCTCCGTGTCGGACCCGTCAGCAGTGAAGATCATCTACAATATCAAGTCCGGTTTCACAAAGACCGACTTTTACCCTCCTTTCGCTCCCAACGTCAGTCCACATGGGGACCTCTTCACGCAACTCGACGAGGTCAAGCACGCCGACCGGAGGAAGTACGTCAACGCGGTATACTCCATGTCCACGATCCTAGAAAGCGAGACGTACATCAACGCGTGTACGGACGTGTTTCTCGAAAAGATGGGACGATTTGCGGCGGAGTCCAAAGAGATCGATTTCGGTGAATGGATACAGTGGTGCGTTATTGAGTTGTATCGCTGAGAACACGAAAACGACCCTTTCTTCCCCTCTTTTGGGCCACATCATTGTTATGTTCCTGTGGCGCTGACAGGCAGATTCGTACACACAGGTACGCCTTCGACGTGATCGGAGAGTTGTTTTTTTGGACAACAGTTCGGTTTCATGCGAGACGAGCATGACTATGGAAGATATATCCAAAGTCTGGATACTTTACTTCCCGGAATAGCTTTGTCATGCGTGCTGCCGGCGTGGCTGCGACCTTTCCATTCGAGCATCGGCATGATTTTCCCAACCATCCGAGACTCAATTCGAGGCTTTGACGAGATTCGAGCTGCAGGGAGATCATGGACCAACGTCCGACGGGAGCAGATGAAAGCCGGCACCGTCGAAAGGGTGGACTTGCTCGATAAGCTCTTCAAGATAATGGAAAATAAAGATGGGTTCGGTATCCCCGAGATACAGAATGAAGCCTGCGTTGCCATGTAAGCGAGAGAAAACCCTGCCAGATCCTTTGCGCGCTACATACACAGGGTTAGAAGGCCGATGGAAACTAATGGTTATACCCATACACAGTTTTGCCGGTAGCGACACAACGGCTATTGCCATCAGATCAATCTTCTATCATCTAATGCAACGTCCAGAATGTATGCAAAAGCTTGTGGCTGAGATTGATGAATTCACTGCCCAGGGGCTGTTGTCCGAGCCGCACATTCGATACAACGAAGCAATAAAGATGCCATACTTGGTCGCCTGCTGCAAGGAGGGTATGCGGCTTCATCCAAGCGTCGGCCTTGGAATGCCGCGCCATGTACCTGCCGGTGGGGTGACCATCTCTGGTCGGTACTTCCCCGCTGGGAGTCGTGTGTCCATCAACGCGGCCGTTTTTCACTATGACGAGTCCATATTTGGACCTGACGCGGCCGAATTCAACCCGGATAGATGGATCAAGGGCGACGCCTCTTTGATGGATCGGCATATGCTTCACTTCGGAGGTGGTTCGAGAACTTGTATTGGCAAGAATGTGAGTTGTCCGCCCTGGGCGATTCCAAAACACCCTTCCGACGAGTCTGATCGAAAACTCACTTTCTCATTTACTGTACAGATCTCTCTTGCTGAGATGCACAAACTTATTCCAGCCTTCTTGAGGAGGTTCAAGGTCGAGCTTGCCGACCCAAAAAGAAGTTGGAAAACTCAAAACTACTGGTTCAACAAGCAGACAGGTATATGTGTCCATGTGAAGACTAGATAGTCCTCGCAAATCAGTGGAAGTGCGCAAGCATCCATTGGCGCCCATGTTCCATGGTACAATGCAGTGCGTGACCAATGGAGTGGTGTTGGCTGAGGGCAGAGCGTTGGGTCGTAGTAATCAACAGAAGCCGATGGACCGTTTTGGCGTGCACTTCGCTCAGTTCGGTGTCGATGATTTTCAGTTTCGGCGAGCCTGAACATAAGCAGTCGTAGTATTCTGTGCGACCATGGGGTTTTGATCTTGTTGTTGAACAGCCTGTCCACGGCGCTTCGTTTGATGGGTGATAGTACAACTAACATGCAAGGATTGACATAATTCACACGGCTTCTGCTCACTGCATCGAGCCTTGAGAGTAGCACAGCTGTCGCAGGCTGCGGTTATGCGAATCGGAGATCCAGCGACATTGTTGTTGTCACGTGAAGCATGTAGTCGGACATGGCGCATCAGTGCGTCCTTTCGGGTGAAGCGGTAGTTGCAGAGTGGGCAAAAGAAAGGGCGTACTGTTGTATGGCTAAGTTGATGGCGATCTCGGTGCTCTTTCCGACGAAACACCTTATGACATTGGTCGCAGAGGTAATCATCGGGCATCTTGATTGAGGGGGCATCAACGACGTCTACAGCGCGGTATGAGCGTACTGAAAGAAGGCAAACTTGTCGTGGTGAAAAGTTGAGCAGGTTCGGCGCCCTATCAGAAGCCAAGGTATGGCTGAGATGCTCGTGGCTCACTCTGGAGCTGGGAAGAGAGTGGTTTTGTCGTATGAAGGTATGAACATGAGTGATACGAAGCTTGTCAAGTTCTAATTACATGAGTGAAGCCTCCTTGTGCCCGAGGAATAGCACTAAACCTAATTAGGTAGGCACACTTCATTCTCACTACCTTTCCACGTACCAAGCCAGGTCGTTTCCTTTTTGCAACTCATATTCCAGGAATCCATTGCCCAAGAATCGAAAACGGTTCTTGTCTCTGGTCACAATTTCAAAGTCTTCGGGTCGCAGGTCTTGGATGAGCCGCTTGAACAACAATGCGCTGCCGGCAAATGTGGCCGTCACGCGGCCGTCGACGGTGTTGTTTTTGTACCAGCTCCGACAGGCCCCGGTCCAGGTCAATGTCTTGTGGATCTGGTCCGAATAGACAATCAACTCATCCACGGCACTCTGCTTGGGGACAACGGCTTTGATGTCCTCCGAGGCAATCTTCCGGATCCACTTGATCATGTACTCGGCACTCCATCCCAGACTCTCCATCAAAGAGCCATGGCCTATTAATGCGTTCGGGCCGGTGAACATGAAATAGTTGGGCATGTCAGGGGATGCGAGTGAGAAGTAGGACGAAGGCTCCTCTGCCCATTTGTCCGCGAGATTCACCGCGTTACGACCAACGACGGGGTACTGAGGACGATAGGAGACGTCGAATCCGGTGGCACAAACAACTGGTTTGAGAGCACTGAGATTAGCTTTTGTCTGATATCTTAAAGCGAAAGTGTGTCAAGAATGTGTGTAACCTTACCAACATCCACCTTGTACGTCTTCCCGTCGGTGGTGACGATGCTGTCGGCATCGATGCGTGTGATAGGGCTTTGGGTGAGCTCAACGTCGTCGCGCAAGAAGGATTCGAGATAGCCTTCGCCAGGTGTAATCCTCCGACAACCTAGCTCCCACTTCGGAATGAGTACCTCGCATAACCTCGGGTCGTTCTGTAATTTGCTCATCATCTGTGCACGAGCAAGGTCATAGATCTGTTTATTGAGCTCTGAACCCTTTAAAAACTATGGTGTCTGTCAGTGTCTGCAATTTCCAAAGTACATAGCCTGCGGTTGTTATTGCCGTACCATTTTGAAACCGTCGTTGATATTGTGTATGATCTTTTTTCGATATTCATGGTGTTTCTGAGGATTGTTCAAAAAGTCTTCCCTCTCTTCGTCGGTGTACTCCGGGTTATATGCAGGGTCATCTTTGCCCAGGAGCGACGCCGGGTTCATGGTGCTGACCACCCATGTAGGCCCTCGTTGGAAGCTTGTCACCTTCGTGCCAGGTAGCTTGGCCAACTGGGGCAGGATCTGGATTCCAGATGAACCGTTGCCTATCACAGCAATTCTTTTGTTGCTGTAGTCATATTCGTGGTCCCAACTGGCCGAGTGGACCTTCTTGCCCGGAAATTGCGACAATCCAGGAATCGACGGCCACTTCCAGGTGCTGTTAAGCTCACAAGTCAGTCTCAGATCTCTAGAACTCGATATAATTTCTCCTGGAGTTAGCGAGCTCACTTCAGGAAACCTTGCGCTGATATCAAGATATCCGCATAGTCCTCTACAACCGTGCCGTTATGCTCGACCATCACCTGCCACCGACCGCGATCTTCTTGCCAATAGGCGCCAGTAACACGATGATTGTACTTTACGTCCCGCTCGAGGTTCCACTTCTGAGCTGTTTTCTTCATGTATGCCCATATTTCAGGGCCGGTCGAGAAGAACCGAGTCCAGCTAGGGTTGGGGTCAAACGGAAAAGCCTCCGCTGGTCAGCAACATAAAGCAACCGGCCATTGCGGCATTGAGGAACGTACGTAAATGTGCGACGGCACATCGCAGACAACGCCCGGGTAGGTGTTCACCAACCAAGTGCCGCCCAACTCGGGCCTGACTTCGTAGATTGTGTGGTCAATCATGTCGGCGAGGTCGGGATGCTGGTGCTGGAACTTGTGGGCTAGGGTGAGGCCTGAATAGCCAGCACCAATCGTGACGACACGAAGCTTTCTGGGGGTGTATGCTGGCAGAGGTTTCAATACTGTGCTCGCATCTTTCAGACTCTGGAAACCGCCGGCATGGGCAGTTGGCTCAGGGACCGCATCAGACCTGACACCACAGCCGTTGCTGCTGCCATTGGGCGTGCTTTTGATCGCGCTAATTGTGACCCCGTTGGTCTCACTTTGGTGCGCCATTGTCATGTGGTAAGTGAACAAATCGCAGTTGGAAGTGCATGGCAAGTAGAAGTGGCATCAAGTCCTAGAATAAATCCAATCCCCTCAGGTTGTGACGAAGACCGAGGTTAGTGCCATGTACAGCCTTGCCGGCGGAATGACCTTGGTAGCCGCCTCCAATGCGGAGGAGTCGCGAGCGAGTGTGGAGTATGTAGGGATACCCGAGGCGGGTAAATCTAGATCGTATCCTTCCATTCCTCGAGGCAATCAGGTTCCCTTTCGCCGAAAAGAATCAAAACTAAACGGCCGTGGACGAGGAACATGATTTGGCATATGATTAATGATCTTGAGATCGACCAAGGTAGAATACCTCCCTCGCCGAAAAGCTCTCCGCAAGGCTCAGGCTCGCGCCGCCGCCGCTATGATGTCTCCACGCGCCGGGGAAGTTTTAATCACCCGATATATGCTTCGAGCAGATATCGGTGTTGTGAGCAACAGTCTGCATTCGCGTATTCAACTATTCGCTCTAACTCCTTCGTCAAACACCCTTCATCCAAGTGCTGCTCCTGCGCTCAACGGCAGCACTCACTACGCAGATTGCTCACCGCCGCCAGACCATAATCCGGCCGGATATGGGTTCCATAGGTGAGTGCCGCGAGTATGATGCCATACTTGTCGGTGCCGGCTTCGGAGGCTACACAATGCTCCCGAAGCTGCGTAGATTGGGGCTTCGAGCCAAGATTTTTGAACGTGGATCTGGCTCTGGAGGTGTTTGGTTAGTTTTTTCCTCGGTGAGAAAACGTTTAAACAGACTGACTGAAGATTGCTACAGGCATTGGAATCAGTGTATGTGAAGTGAACTTCCATAGCTGGCAAGAAACTCATCATTTCAGACCCCGGTGCTCGCGTTGACAGCGACTCACCGGCTTACCAGTTCTTCGATCGGGAGATTTGGGAGGATTTCACCTTCTCTGAACGTTTCCCTGGGTTCCGCGAATTACAAAAGTACTTTCAGCATGTGGAGAAAAAATGGGACCTTCGAAGAGATATTGAGTATCACAAAAACGTCACTTACGCCCGCTGGGATCATGAGAGTCGACGCTGGATGGTAGGCTGTTCTGACGGAACGACGACGCGATGCAAATGGCTGTTCGCGAACGTGGGCTTCGCAGCTAAGGAGTACGTTCGTCGAGGTCCCCATACAATATATCTGCGGAATGACTGAGCGGAGTACAGGTACAAACCGTATCTCAAGGGTTCTGTCGAGTTTCAAGGTGAGATATTCCACACGGCGCATTGGCCACACCACGATGTCGCCCTCAAAGACAAACGTATCGCCGTCATCGGGACTGGGGCCAGTGGGATTCAGGTTATTCAAGAAGCCGGTAAAGTCTGCAAGCATCTCACGGTGTATCAACGCACCCCGAATTTCTGGTGAGCTTGCCTCCTATCCGAAGCCCAACGCTCTCTGAACATCCTCAGTCTGCCGATGCAACAGCGTCGTCTGGATCCCGTCGAAGAGCAGAGAAGGAAAGATAGCGGCCTCTACGAGGCAGCCTTCAAAGCATGCGAAAAGACCTCTGCTGGTGTGCCGTACGAAACGAATGACCGTAAGACCTTCGACGACACTAGTGAAGAGCGAGAGGCGTACTGGAGTCGCCTCATACAAGACGGTGGTTTTAAATTTTGGGTCGCAGGTTACGCTGACCTGACCTTGGACCAAAGAGCCAACGACGCCGCCTATGACTTTTGGCGCCGCATGGTACTTAAACGCATCAAGGATCCCCAGAAAGCCCGGCTGTTGGCGCCGGAGGTTCCACCGCATCCTTTTGGCGCAAAGCGTCCGTCGCTGGAACAAGACTACTTCGAGGTACTCAGTCAGCCAAATGTCGACATCGTCGACCTGAACGAGTTCCCTATCCAGGAACTCAACAAACAGGGGATTCGCACGGCGGCTGGAAAAGTCGATGTGGACTTGATTGTTCTCGCAACCGGCTTCGACGGCTTGACGGGTGGCTTCATGGACATCGACCTCCAAGGGGTTGATGGAAGAACCCTGAAACGATACTGGAGTGACGGAGTCAAAACCTCCATGGGCGTCGCGATCCCCGGGTTTCCCAACCTGTTCTTCCTGTTTGGACCACAAGCACCATCAACATTCTCGTAGGCAAATGTCCTTTTGCATTAAGCGCTCTTGAGCTAACAGTAATATCTTCTCAGGAATGGTCCGACCTGTATTCAATTTCAGGGCCGATGGTTCGAAAAACTAGTCCAGAAAATGCTCGCCGAGGGCATAGAAACATTGGAACCCACGGAGGAAGCAGCAGACAGTTGGGTGAAGAAGATTGGTGAGCGATGGGAAGCAACTCTACTCCCTCGGGGCAAGATAAGTGTATCTGCTGCTCAAAAAGGTGTACTTCGCTGACATTTCCCACAGCTGGTGGACTGGTGCAAACATCCCGGGCAAAAAGGTGCAGCCTCTCAGCTGGGCAGGGGGGCTCCCTTCATATATGCAGATGCTGGAAGAGACTTTGGAGAAGGAATATCAAGGTTGGATCATTGGAAGACAGTCACGCGAGTTACCAGTGTCCTGAGTTGTGTAAATGAAATGTGACCCGGGTTGGAAAGGGGTTTTTTGATTACAGAAAACTACAACGACCGGTTCGGAGATGGCGTAGCTTGTGCGGCGCAGCGATTACAGTAGACATAGTGAGACTTGATAACAGGGTTTGCGAGATCTTTGAGGCTGTCACCTTCCGCCTTAAGTCACTTACTGGTCATTCCATGTGGTAGGCTGGCCCCACAGTTACGTGGAAGTGTTCGCTCGTCACCTCTACAAAACCTGTCCTCCCGATGTGACTCTAAGTTTACAGGAGCAAGTTTCAGTCAAAAGTCGATTATTTCTAGGTGTAAGGCTAAGATTTGTGACACCCATGCTTTGTCTATACAATAGTTCAGCCTTGCGTAGGCTTGCCGACCTGTCAATCATGCACGCTATATGGGATCATTTCTCCGGCCAAGCGATCAGTGGCCATATCTCCGCGATCTTTCCCCCTTGGAACCGAAAGAAGACATGCTCGTAGAACACCACACGATGTTGGCCCAACTTCTTGCTCAGAGAATCATAGCTCAGCCGAAATCTTGCTGAGACCGTTCCGTTCAGGTCGCTTGAGCAACCGTCATCCACAACTAGCATCTCTAGATCAAGGCGAAAATTGGCGAGTTGCCCAACAACTCCACCGATCATTCTGCCATAATCTTCGCTGGTCATCGGCGGCTGTGCGTTGTAAATAACGCCGTCATGGACAAACTCTGGTAGCTGTGAGAACCTGCGCTCGCTCATGCAGGCTGCGTATCTGGAACAAATTGCACGGATATCCATTGATTCTGGCGCATTAGATGATTGGTCAGGTAGAATATTTGGCGTCAGGAACGAAAAAAGGCGGCCTGAGTATTCGGTCAAAGAATATCATGCGGGAGGTCACAGTGAGATCAAAATTTATAGCAGCTAGAGCATCATTCCTCGCCCTTACTTGGACAATCTTTTCGTCAAAGAGTAGTTTCGGCGAAAATTCATTAACAACCTTGGAGAGATACTGATATGCGCATGCTGGTGGGTCACCAGCCCGTCAATGCTACATTCAATATACTATCCACCGTGAAGCCGCACTTGATCTCCTCCACATATCATCATTTTCATTACTGACGGTCGGACGTGTGCGTTTCTTATTCATGCAAGGTTGAAGTCTACCACTATGCGCCTACAGACATCAGCGACCCATTTTTCATGCTTGTTCAGAGCTCACCCTGCAACTTGTCCACGTTTCAACCTTTGGACTGCTTCATTGAACTTGCTCAGCCCAACCACAACAGGCTCGAGGTGGATCTTTCCTGAAATAAACTGTAAATATCATTGCTTCATCTGTCATCATTGTAAGTGTCTCACCTCGTTTCGCAAAGTCCAGTGTCGTAGCTATATCCTTCCGACCGCTCGACAGGGTACCCTTGATTGATTGGTTCTTCAAGCAAAGCTGAGTAGGATCCGCATCAATGTGATATCTGCCCTTGGGCGGCAGTCCGACGCTGTATCCAACTCAATTTATCTATTGTTTTCATCAAATAGAAGATACAAGGAGTTTTGACATACCACATTACCACTCCACCGATACGTGAACCAAGGTAGTCAAGCGAGACGGGATAAGCCTGTACAGCTAAAGTGATTCATATCAGATCCAACCACGAACACAAATCACAGCTTCAAGTAGTTCACTTACCACTAACAAACACGCCGTGAGCACCTCCATTGGTGATTTCCAAGATCTTTTGGACCGGGTCTGACTCGGTCACAAAATCGACAAAATACTCAGCACCAAGGCTGAGCGAGAGGCATCGGCGACTTTCGCCCGTATCAACCACAACAGGTCGTATACCCATGGCGCAAGACAGCTGTACACCTTGGATGCCTGTTCCACCACCTCCACCAGGAAAGACAGCCCAGTCGCCGGCTCTGAGTCCGGATTCTTTCAGAGAAGAGTACATGGTACCTGCAGAGCACATGGCAGGCCCTGCCACGTAGTCAGAAACTTCCTGATCAATGCCTTTAGCTGGAGAACATCAGACATCGGCCTGGTCAAGATACCTCGGGAATTGGCTAGATTCACAAAGTTGTATCAGTATCTACGCGTTCAGTTCCAATGAGGATGTGCTCATCTGCAATTTGCAACGCACATGAACAAAGCCTTCTGGGACAGCACAATACTGCTTGTAAGTTCCTGCCAGAAATTAACACACAAGCTTCTTCAGGGAGAGGGAGGAAGTCCTTGGGCTGTACCGTCAATTGTCCCACCCGTATAGACTGCTTGCTGACAGTATGTCTCCCTTCCAGACTTGCAGGAGTCGCACAAGCTGCATGTGCTATGTATTGGACCATATGCCGCTCGTTGGCCGACTTTAAAACTCTTCACACTGTCGCCAACCTTCACAATTACTCCAGCGCCTTCGTGGCCTGCACAAGAAAGACACAGCTCCGACATCTTTGGGAACGTCCAATCATTCATCATAAAATGCACGTCGGTCAGGCACAGTCCGGTTACATTGAGCTTGATGAGAACTTCCGATGGCCCTGTAAACATGGTTTCCGTCAGCAACTGGAATTTTCATGAACCGGTGTAAGTAGTCCAACCGATGCTGGGCACTGGAACTTTCTCAACAACCACGAAGAAGTTTGCTCCTTCGTTTTTCTGCCCGACTTTTGTAAGTTGACGTCCACGAATGTCTTCATAATACAGGCGTTCTACGCACGACAACCGCTGCCCAACATTGTTTTGGGATCTCCATGACCGTTTCTCCCTCCTTTGACGTTCGCACTCTATATTTTGTAGGATTCGCGTCGTGTGATCTGAATAAGTAACTGTTGCCCTAGCTTACTAGTGGACGTCTCGTCTCTCGCGCTGCGAAGACACAGTATGACTCGAATAGCTGATGACTGGGTTTGCATATAGCGGTACGATTACTACCCTTGCACCAATACCAGCACCACCGAACAATCCGGCCTACTCTTCTTTCGCCGAAATGAGTTCTCCCATTCTTTCCTCCGGCCATCGTGCATTGAAGAAAGTCAAACTTCACATGATATTACAGGCAACATAGATGTCCTTAGTCTGACCTTTCCTCACGGTAATACCAACGAAATCTACAAAGACCCCTTTTCTGTGTCATCCTGTCTTGTTCTCTGACCCTGGTATTGAACGCGTCACATTTTACTGCCCAACTGTATGCTATCTGTAGCTCCAACCGGCCTTGATGACAGGTGACTCCGGCGACATGCAGCTACCGACTTCTAAACCTCAAGGCCCCTTGAAAGCCAACCTGCTTTTAGCTCCGCTTCCATTTTCGGCGAAAGTTGTCCGCAAAACAAGTGGGGCATTTTCTCCGCGACGAGCCCCCTTCTTCCCCGCGAATCTCACCTTCCGTTGGCATCTATACCCCAGAGTTCAATAGGAAGGGTGTTCCAGGGGGACCTGCCTCATCCTGGTCATATATCATACATTTGACGTGGCCATTGTCCGGATGATTTTCCAAGTCTTTCTCTATCAACGACACTATCATATACCTACCGTGTCTCACTCACAGCCTTCACTGTTTTGAACGTTCGAGAATCTGCCTCATCTCACAGCCAGCCATGGGCGATGACAAGGTGGAATACGAGAATTGGGAGGTTCAGCCCAACGTTGTCGTCACAGAGCAATATGTAGAAGGTCGGTCAAGAGCTTCAGTCCTAGGTGATTCGGGAAAGGATCACTGACGCTCGTTTGTGTGATTGATTTCTCGCAGCTGAACCACCCTGGGCAAGTTATATCCCCGGAGGCTATTCAAGGTCGAGATGCTTGAAACTGTCCGGTATGCCCATGGTGTCATGTATCCTTGGCCTCGCAGGGACGTGTCTGCTATTCTTTGGCTACGATGCTGCTGTCATGAGTCTGGTCAATATCAACCCGGACTATCTGCAACACATGGATTCTGCCGGAGATACGAATCGTGATGCCGCTCGCGTTGGAGGCATCGTGAGCTTCTGGTTCCTGGGTTTCCTCATAGGTACATATTACCACCTCACCACCCCCTGTCGACCTTCGTTCCTCAGGAGTACCTGCCTGCGACCGAGGAAACAATTTCTCAAGATTGGACTAGGTGGCGTTTTCCTTGTTCATTTGGAAAAGACACTCTCTCTGGATCAAGGGTGTTAGCTGACCATGAGATTCATTGCTATTTGAAAATAGGTGCGATTCTGGCCGGCAGCTATGCCGACAAGATTGGACGACTCAAATCCATACAGCTGGGTTGCGTCTGGGGGATAGTGGGAGCCTGTCTTTTGGCGTCCGCTCAGAACTTCTCTTGGATGGTCTGCGCGCGCATTATCAGCGGCATAGGTTGCGGTCACCTCAACACCATAGCCCCAATTTGGACCTCGGAACTTGCAGACTACAACCTACGGGGCGCATATGTCTCGGTGCAGTTTACCATGTGCGTCGCTGGGGCGACCATGTAAGTTGAATTAACCTCCTCCCCCTGCCTGCCTAAATTCACACCCGCACACAAACACACGGGGGGAAAGAGAGAGAGATCAACCAATTCTCAAGGCTGGAACGTCTATATACTGACGGGCAGCATTTTCGGGTTAGGACATATTGGATGGAATACGCCGCTCTCAAGACTAGGTCTCTCCCGTTTGCCTGGCGGTTTCCCCAGGCCTTCCAGATGGTGTTTTTGATCTTGATCCTCCTCGCGGCCAATTTCTTTCCAGAGACACCCCGCCATCTAGCCAAAACTGGTCGTTTCGAGGAAGCACGAGAGGTACTTCACCGTTGTCGCCTGCGACCTTCGGAGCAGGCGATTGAGCAGGAACTTGCCGAGATTCGAGAAGCTATTCGCATCGAGGCCACGTCCTCGGCCCATGGCTTTCTTTCCATGATATGGAAAAAGGATGCCCTGCATACCCGTCGTCGTGTCGCTCTGGCCATGGGTATCCAAGCGATGGAGAAGCTCTGTGGTCCAGATGCCATTGCAGCCTATGGACCCATCATCTTCGGTCTCAGTGGATGTGAGTGCCTATACTCCAATATTCTTTTGGTGTCGAAATTTTTTGATTCAAATAAAAGAAGTTCTATTGGCTGATCCACTTCTTCTTGATGTCGCTCGCTTCAGTCACTGGTAACTTGCCTGCCATGCTGGCTGGCTTCAACTTCATATCCTACACATTGAGTGTCCCAATCGGCATGTACTTTGTCGAGCGAGCCGGGAGACGAAAGCTGATGTTGATCGGTTTGGTAATCATGGGCTCTTCGCTGCTCATTGCTGGGCCACTCGCGAGAGAAGCCATCAACACCCCGGCCGAGACCGACTTGTCAAAGAAAAGAGCCTACGGTGCCGCGGTGGTGGCGTTCGTGTTCTTGTATACCTGCGGATTCGGCAGTACCTGGATCACATGCTGGTTGGTCTCTCTCTCTCTCTCTCTCTCTCTCTCTCTCTCTGTGCCCAATGTTCCCCTTGCATTCCTGTTGTCACTCAACAAACTTTCTGTGTTTGTGTGGCTCGTTTGACTTCCTGACTGTTGATACATGTGCTGCGCAGCTGGGTATATCCTACAGAGGTCTTTCCTCTCGCCACACGAGCAAAAGGTGTCTCCCTGTCCATGGTGTCTTTCGCCCTCTGGGGTGCGGTCATCAACGAGGTCATCCCGTACGTCATCAGCGCCGTGGGTTGGTGGGTTTTTATCATGTTCGCGGTCATGAACTTCATCCAGATCATTCCCGTGTGGTTTTTCTACGTCGAAACTGCGAATCGTCATCTGGAGGATCTTGACGTTCTCTTCGCCAGCGACAGTCCCCTGGCGTACAAGATGGAACGTGAGTTTGCCGAAAAGAAACGTGCCCTCGGCTTTCACACAGAAGAAAATGCAATACGGGAGGTGGAGCACAACCCCACCGTCTAAGATGATGGAATAGGTGTGATATGCAGGGGCTTCTCTGATCTCTTCTAGAGATATAAAGGAGAGCTCGAAGAGCCAAAGGATAGATTCTCGATGGTGGTGAAACGCCGGACGGTCTTCACCAACCGATTTCGACACAAAGAACTTAAGCGATAGGCTGAGCACTTACAATATCAGATTCATCGATAGAGCTAGTGGGGCAAGCAGAAAGAGCTCAATAAATCCGATTATTAAACTTCAAAGTCGACATATTCACCCAATCACATGTTGTATATAATCAAGAGTTAGTTTTGTGCACGATGTGAGGGTCCTAAAGTCACAGCCAACAGCTTGCAGTAGGAACACTATATCTAACTCTTTTGTGGAATCAAAGTCACATGAGATCCCAGATACGTATACGCAGGCATTGATATGCAAGTCGTCCAAACATGGTACTTGTCAGCGGTGTTGGATGATAGTTCGTTTGTGGTTGGTAATCTTTCCGGCTGTGTACTTCGTAAAATAGGTACGCTTTTGTGTCAAACTGCATGAAATCAAGAGTTCAAGATGTTCCATAAGGGCCTCTCAAAGACCCCAAGGACTGTCTAGCTATACAAACTAGAGGTGTAAAAGAATGTCTCTTGTCTGATGGCCGGGACGCCCAGCCTCTAGATTCTCGCATTTTGAGACGTATAGAATGCATGCCTTTTTTTCAAATCGTGGGCCTAATGTAGAAAGTCTCAAGAGCCCATGATGTTGGATACTTTTTGTAGAGAGTCCACAGTGTCCGTGACTGTGTCGGCGAATTTCCTCCACGAAAATCCCAGCATCTTTGTGACTTTGCTATTGTCGATCTTGTACAGCCCGGCTTCTGGGTACCCACCACCGGGACTACTCTCGGCTGGTAGCTGGTCCCGCAGTCCATTATGTTCCTTTCTGATTATTTCCACCAGCTCTCTGTTGCAGAAGTAGCCGGCGGCAACCAAGAAGCGTTGATTTGCGGCTTCATCGGGCTTCTCCAGTGCCAGGACGTGGCAAAGCGCGAGGTCACGCACGTCCACCCACGTGAAGGTGGCGTTCTCCGGGATCATCTTGTCGTCCTTGTATTTTCCTTGAATCAGATCACGGATGATTTGGTTGCTGGTGTTGAGGTTGTCCAAGCTGCTGAGGTTGTGGCTCATCACGGGCCCAAAGACCATCGGGGGACAAAACGTGGTAAGTGAGAAGGAGGATGCAGGGGACGATGACACCTTCTTTTGTTGCTGTTGTGGCTGCACAAACTCCCACGCTGCTCTCTCGGCGAAAGTTTTACTTGCCCTGTAACCATTGGGGATGCTTTCCGACGCCTGTTGTAGAGTGACGGGATTCCAGTCTTCTTCGGTGTATGTGTGTTCTGGCCATGATCCTTTGAAAGGATTCACAATCGAGGCGAAGGAGGAAGTGATGACGACGTGTTTGACGGTGGGCGCATTCTTGATGATGGACCTAAAAAGACCCGTCGTGCCCTTGATTGCAGGGTCCAGGAGATCTCGTTGTACATCCGTGACGTTGAAGTGGAACGGACTGGCCGTGTGGATCACCGCCTCGAATGGCGGAGTGAAAGAAGTGAGGGCATCGTCAAAGGCGTCCTCTCGAGCAATGTCTTCCACTATCGCAAAATCCAGTCGA